TATTATTAGCTTAAGATACTTTTTTACTATCTTTACTATAAAGAGGTAGAGCTATAAGTAGATAAGGATAGTATAATAGCTTCTTAGGCTAAGGCCTACTCTTAATATTAAATAACTTATAAAGATTATAACTTTAATACTTTAGAGTAATATAAAAAGATAAATAAGAATAAGTTTTATTTATCTAATATTTCTATATATAAAGATAAAGTCTTAAAGAGCTAAAAGGTACTAAAGTAAATTAGTAATAATAATATACTTAATAGTATATCTAATAATATTTCTTTAAATAATAATAATAAGGTAATATTATTATAAGACTATATTAATAGATATTACTATATTAATATTAGTAGATATACTTTATAGTCTTCTTCAATTACCTATTAAGGCTTTATATATACTATTACCTATAGGTAATTTTACTACTATATAATACTATTAGTTATATCTAGTATATTATTATTAATAAAAAGTCTATAGTTAGCCTAAGAATAATAGTAACTTTCTCTACTATTTTACTATTTATAGATATTTAAGCTAGTAAGCTAATTAGTACTAAGTTCTTCTATTTTAGTTACTTTATTTAATAAGTATATAGTCTAAGGCTATACTATAGATAATTTATAATATTATCTCCTTTTTTTTATTAAGTTATCTTAATAAATATATAAATATCTATAAGTTCCCTTTTTTATTTTCTTAATTATAGGTTCTCTATCCTAATTATACCTCTTTATAGTTTAACTATTAATAAAAACTATCTTACTAATTAAATTAATAGATTTAATATAATTATAGCTATTTATTATTTTTATTATATCTATTTAGATAAAAAGTATATAATTAATCCTAATTTAAAATTAAAGAAATATAGTAAGTATATTTATTCTATTAAATATTATAATACTAAGGAGTTAATATTAGATTTAGACTAGAATAAACTTATTTAGACTATTAATTATTTAGAGTATAAAGAAAAAGAAATTTAAATATATATATTAAAGCTTTTTAGTTAGCTATTTTAAATTAAAAAATAATAAAAATTACTTTACTTTTATATTAGTAAATTTCTTTATTCTAATATAAAGATAGTAGAGAATTTAAAAGCTTTTAATATTAAGTAGGAATAGGCTTTAGCTATATAATCCTTACTTTCTAAAGATTAGATATATTTATAATAAAAGGTATAAGATTTCTTTAACTTATTTTTTAGTATTTTTTCCTTTAGTAATCTTTTTATTAATTAGCTTCTTAAAGGTTTTCTTTCTACTAATTCTTTATATATTAATAAAAGTTCTTTACTAGGCGCTATAAATACTTTAAATATTTAATTAGTTTATAAGTATTTTTTAAAAAATTATATCCCTTCTATTTAAACTAAATAGTAAGTTTATCTACTAATTACTTTTTTATCTAGGATTTTTTTAATTATATATTCTTTTTTTTAATTTTTTAATTATATTTCTAGTTTATATAATTTAATATTCTAAGGTACCTTTTTAATTAATAAAATATAAAATATTAGATATATTATATATATTTTAAGAGTTAGAGTTTATAATTAAATTATTTAATTTTCTCTAGGATTTTAAATAGTTTTAATTTCTTATAGTTTAATTTATTACTTAGTCTCTATATTTTAATATTTTATTAAAGTAGAAATACTTTTTTCTTTTTTTTAAAGTTTAGTACTTCTATATATTATTAATTATAATAATACTTTATTCTATAGTTTAAAAATTTAAAGTCTAATTATAGATATTTATAAAGTTTATATATTTATTCTATTAAAACCTCTACTTCTAAAGTATATTTTACCTTCTTTTAGTATTTTTATTATTTTTAGTTCTCTTTTATAGTTTATAAAGAAAGATATTATATTTATTAAGGTATTCTTTACTTTATTATAAGTAAGCTATACTATTAGTAGTAATAAAACCTAGTTATCCTATTTATAATTAATATAATATTTTAAATACTATTCTACTATTTAGTTTATTCTTTTATTTTATCTATCTATTTATAGGTATATACTATTAAAGTCTTCTATTTAATCCCTATTCTTTTAATAAGTATTATCTAAAATTTATATATAAATTTTATATCTCTATCTAATATAATTTTATCTAGTAATTCTTTATCTATAAAGATATATTATAATAGAATATATACTATCTCTAATAATATAGTCTTTTTAATAAATAGTATAAAATAGATATATTTTATTAATTTATTTATAACTATAAGTATTAAATTATATTAAATACCTATTTATAGCTCTATTAACTTTAGTAGTTTAACTATAAAGTCTATTACTATTAATTTTTATACTATTTCTTTATATAGTATAGATAGACTAGGGATAGATATAAATTTTTTACCCAAACGAAACTAAACCAAACTTAACTGAGTTACTACTAGTTAGGTAATTCTTTTTAAAAAACTTATTTTAATAAGTTAGATATCCTTTAAATACCTAACTAGGTATTAAAATATTAATTATTAAGTTAAAATCTAATTATTAATAGAGAATTAAGCTTTAAATTACTCTATTTAGTTAGTAGAAGTTCTAAAAATAGGTTAATCTAACTAAATTAGGAACTAAATAAGAAGATTAATATAATTAATTTATACCTAATCAATACCTAACTTATTTAATACCTAAACTCGTGGGTATAGAATAATATAGATACCCATCAGGTTAAGGTGAAATAGGCCAAAAACCCGGCCCGAATCAACCCGTCCTCAGTTTAATTAATATAGGTTAACATTATCTTTACTACTTATAAAGACCTTTAGCCTTTATCTAATTAAGGCACTAACTAAAGCTATATTTAAAACTAAAAGATAGCCTCACTATAGTATCCTATTTTACTCTAGTATTAAGCCGTTTTCTATAATGATTTACCTTTAACTCAAGCTTTCCTTAAGACCTTTATACCTTCTATCTTATAGTAGATATAAACCTCTAATTATCTTTAGATAATTAAGAAGCGCTATTAGTTTATAATACTACTTTACTTCTTTTTATAGCTACTAATTTTAAATATAGTAATACTATTAAAATATTTCTTAATATTTTTTTATTTCTTTTTATAGTTCTTTATAATATATTTAGATTTCTTATAATAGAAATATAACTTTTTATTTTTATATCTTTTACTTTTTTTAATATTATAAAGTTATTTTTTAATAATATTTAATTTTATAAATATTATATTATAATTATTATATTTATTTAATTCTTTATATTAATTTACTTTTTAAAAAATATTTTTACTTTATTATATATTTTATAGATTATAAAATTAATTATTAATATAATATTATTATTTTAATTATTTATTTAAAACTATTATATAATTTTATTTTAATAGTTTTATATTAAGTTTCTAATTTTAATATTTATTTAAATATAATTATTTTTTATTTATTATTATAGATTTTTAATTTTTAATAGATTTATTATAATTATACTATATATTATATTATATCTTTAATTTATTTAAATCTTTATAGTTTATATTATAAATAAAGTCTTTTTTTTATTTATATTTTTAAAGAATTATTTAAATATTTATATATAATATAGATTATTTTTTAATATTAATCTAATCCTTAAAATATAGTTTAAACTAGATTAAAAATAAATATAAGTTTAATAATTAAACTAAACTAACTCAAATTCAATCAAGTTGCTATTAGTTAAATATTTATTTAATTTAAAATCATTTTAATAATTCAGATAATTTTTAGATATTTCATTAAAGTATTAAAATAGTGATTACTAAGCCAAAATTTAATTATTAATTAAGAATTAAATTTTAAATTACTCTATTTAATTAATAGAAGTTTTAAAAATAAATTAATCTAATTAAATTAAAAACTAATAGTACTTTTTAATTATTTTAAAGATAATTAAAGATTTATATTTATTATAAAATAAAAAATATAAAGATTTTAAAGTAAGTTTAAATTAAAAATAAATTATTATAAAAGATAGCTTAATACTAAAATAAGATAAAATACTATAATAAAACTATCTTTTAGTTATAAATATAGTTTTAACTAGTATTTTAATTTAATAAAGGCTAAAGATTTTTATAAATAATAAAAATAAAATTAATTTATATTAATAAATAAAAAAGTATTTAATAAATATAATATAAAATAATTAAAATAGTATATTAAATCTATAAAGGAAATTAGAAAGAAAACTTTAACTACTTTCTATTTATTTATTTCTACTATAAAAAGATTAAAGATAGATTTAAAAAGGAGCTAAAGATAAAAAACTAAAATTTAAAATATATCTTTTAGATTAAAAAGGGAAGAAAATAGCTTCTAAACTATTTAAAAGAAATAAAAATTACTACTAAAAAGTAGCTATTAGAAGAAATTAAAATATAGAGTAGTAAACTCTAAAAGCTATTCTTTAATAAACCATTTTTTATTTATAAATTATTTATTATCTTTTATTTCTTTATCTTTTTTCTTTTATTAATAATTATATCTAGTTCTTTATAAAAAAGACTATACTATATTAAATTTTTATCTTTATTAAATAGTTAGAAAATCACCTTTATATATTTAAAATTATTATATAATTTTATTTTAATAATTTTATATTAGATTTTTAATTTAAAATTTTATTTAAATATAGCTATTTTCTATTTATTATTATTAATTTTTAATTTTTAATAGATTTATTATAATTATATTATATATTATATTATATTTCTAATTTATTTAAATCTCTATAGTTTATATTATAAGGTCCTTTTTTTATTAATATTTTTAAAAAATTATTTAAATACTTATTTAAATTATATATAATTATTAAATATATTTATATATAATATAGATTATTTTTAAATATTAGTTTAATCTTTAAATATAGTTTAAACTATCTTAATATTTACAAGCTTGTTCAAACGAATTGGGCGTTGAGATTGGGTGTGCATTTAGTGGTGATGAGCATTTAGTGGTGAATCACGTTACGCATGCTCTTCACCCAGTGTCTTCAGGATTCCTTCCGCCGCATGCCTACCCAACCCATTCAGATTTCCAGTACCCAGCAACTCAAGCACGCTAATATCAAACCCGAATGCCTGTCTCCACCAACTGCGCATCTCGACGCCAACCAAGGAGTCCATTCCTAATTGGGCAAGGGACGCAGACGTATCCAGGTCCTCCGGGAGCTTCAGAAGGAAGACAAACAGCTTCTTGCCTATTTCTTGAGCAAGGAATGTTATCGCTTCCTCACTACTGAGAATACTCGTATCTTTTTTGGCTTGGGCAAGGAAAGACTTGAGATTGTCACTGTTCGAGCCGGAAGTGCCCACACTGACCTTGGAAGAGTTATGGTAGGCGGCCATTCTCACGTCCTTCCTCCAGAACGCACGACTTTCAGAGCTGCTCAGGGGAATTGCTGTCGATAAACCTAGTGCAATGGTGTTCTTGTCAGCAAACTGCTCGGCAAGGGTGTCGCAGCTAGTAGGAGAAGTCGCAGGGAAGAGAGCAGCTGCGCTGACAGCTTCCATTAGTTCAGACTCGGTGATTCCATGCGCACTTGCAAGCTTCATCCTCTTCAGAAGGGCATCGTCTTGCGAAACGTAGCCAACGTCCTGCACGGCTCCAATATCTAGGGAGGACGCCGCCAGACCTAGGGTTGTTCTGTACTGGACAAAGGAATCCAGGAAGGTGTTCGCTCCGGCGTAGTTTGACTGACCGGCCTGTCCAGTTACTCCAGACATGGACGAGAACAATATAAAGAAATCGAGTTGGATCCCAGCAGCAAGTGTAGCATGGTGGAGATTCCATGTCCCTTGGACCTTGGGTGCCACTGCAGTTCTCCACTCGTCTATGCTCATACGACTAAAGTTCTCGTCACGAAGAACCATGGAGCATTGAACGATTCCTTTCAGATTCGGAGCTTGCTCCAGAGCCCGGGCCACATCCTCTTCCTGCAGAACACTTCCCTTGACGAGACGAATCTCACAGCCCATGCTTTCAAGCTCTTTGATGGTGTCAGGGTCTTCTGGGCCATTTCCAGCGCTTCTTGAGAGGAATACCACTCGGCGTGCGTTACGTTCGACCAAGTGCCTCGCCACTGCTCTTCCAAGGCCACCAAGGCCACCGACGAGAAGATAAGATGCGCCACTGTCTAGATTTAGCTCTTTTGTTACCTTGACAGAGGCAGTGTCGATTTTCAGGTCGCCATCAGTGTTTCTGATTGAGATAACAATCTTTCCCAGGTGCAGGCCCTGTTGCATGTAGCGGAATGCGTCTTCGACCTGCGAGGCATTGAAGGCTTTTTTCGGCCTGATGGGTGTGATGTGACCACCCTGAAGGTACCACACAACTTCCTGGAGAAGCTCCTTAACTTTGGATTGTCTTCTAGCCATGAGTGCATCAAGATAGAAGCAGGCGTAGGTCCGGCTGCCGAGGAAAACATCCATGTCGAGTTTGCCAGCGCCGAGGAAGTCACGCTTTCCGATCTCAACCAGCGTTCCAAACTCGGCAACACAACGCCAAGTGGCATGTAAGAGCTCCCCAGATAGAGAATTCAGAGCGAGAACCACGCCTTCACCGTTTGTTTCCCGCATGATTCCTTCCACAAAGCTAGTGTCTCTTGAGTGGAAAATTCGGTTTCTCGGAAGACCAAAGGTTTCGACAAGATGGTTAATCTTCTCTTCGCTCCCAACGGTTGCATAAATCTCAGCTCCAGCCATGCGAGCAAGTTGTATAGCAGCCAGACCGACACCGCCACAGGCACTGTGAATGAGCACGGACTAAAGGTAGTTAGTACCGGGTCAAGGTGAGTGATTGATCCAAGAGGAGTGGCGTACCTGTCCCTTTTGCAGCTTGCCAATATGAAACAGCGAGCAAACTGCAGTGGCAAATACACCTGGCATAGTTGCAGCATCCTCAAAGCTGAGGTTGGCGGGAATCTTGGTGCAGAGCCTCTCTGGAGTGACAACGTGTGACCCGAAGGAGCCATTGCCTAAGAGCATGACCCGGTCGCCTATCCGAAGATTGACGACCTCGGGACCAACACGACACACAATGCCACTAGACTCGATACCAAGGCCATCTTGGGGGTAGGGGACAACCGCCAAAGAGCCCAAGACGTCCTATACGATATATGTTAGCCATCGATGAAAATGGGACGATGTAGGTTTCTTTACCTTAAAGTTCAGGCCCGCTGCGTGAACTTGCACCTCTACGTCATCGTTATGGAGTGCCTTTTGCTCTCGCGGGGCCCATTTCAGTGTGTTAAGACGTCCTGGCTTGCCCATGTCTAGGCCGATCCGTTCCTCCGAAATGGTTGCTGACGAAAGTTCGTCCTGCAAAGAGAAGGGGTAGATTCTGCCGACGTTAATGGTGCCATCGCAAATGGCATACTCGTGTTCGGGCTTGAAAGTCTCATCCTCCACTCTGGTCTGAAATTTTGAAAATACATCAACCACTTTCTCTAAGGAAGAGCCAAGGTGGTCCACCTCGCACGTGGCAAAGTCCAACAGCATCTCGGTACGGATCGTACGAGCGGTGCCAATTACCTGGGCATAGTCGGGTTCACGACACTGGATTTGACATGGCTTTGTCACCCAGAACAGCGCAGATTGTCCAAGGTTGTCCAATATCCGCTGGAAGGCTGTGAAACGGGATTCATCAATATCTTTGAAGAAGGGCTGTGCACCATCAAGAAGAGAAATGACATCTTGACCTGCCGGCAGTTCTTGGCCAAGTCGATACGGCTGTACTATGAAACCTCGAGCCTCTAGAGCTCTGCAGAGGGGAATCAGATGGGTACCGAACTCATCACACAAAACGGAGATTGTCATGTTGACTCGCTTTCTCTCAGCTTGCGGGCTTGCAACCATGGTTGCATTTAGTTGATATCCTTCCTCGGCATCAAGCACGACCGCATCCAGCCCATTAAAACCCGCATCTCTGAGCTCCGACTCCCATCGAGTTGGGGTTATGTAGGGTTCATCTGGACGTCCGTCTGGTCCGCCATACCACCAACCTGGTAGAGTACCAAAAATGAAATTAGGCCATTTGGAGGCAGAGTCAAGCTCATGGAGAAGCAGCCTGCCGCCAGGGCCAAGCAGGTGGTGCACATTCCTCAGGGTCTCATTCAGACTTCTAGTGGCGTGAAGGACATTGGTGGCGATTATAAGGTCAAATTTGTCGTCTTCAAATCCTTGCTCGGCAGGATCCTGGCTGATGTCCAGAACACGGTACTCAATATTCCGATAGTCCTTGAAGTGATCCTTTGCGGAGACGAAAAATGCGGAGGAAATGTCGGTGAACGCGTACTTGGAGTACAGAAGCTGTCCAGTGGGCAAAACTAGATGCTTCAACATACTGGATGTGGATGCACCTGTGCCTGCGCCAATCTCGAGAATGCGAAGATTAGGCTTGCTGTGGGCCAGATGGCGGATGAATTGGGATCGGTCCATAGCGTCCGTGGCAATGTACAGCTTTGTGAGAGTATTGTCGGCCAGCAACAATTCGAGGGCATCTGTCTGGCCAGAGAACAGGCCTTCGATGTTGTTGACTACTTTCTGGATAGCAGTAGCACAGTCTTCCACTGGCGTCCCAGTCATGTCTTGCACCAAGCTGGAAATTTGCATTTTAATGGATCGGTCATCCAGTGGAAGAATTAATGAGTGGTCTCCATAGCGGCGGACCTCGCGTGTGATCCAATCCATATACTTGGCCATATGGGGGAGAGTAGTTTGGGCCCTCTCAATGCGACGTTCCGCATATACCAGACACAGGCGGGTAAGCTTGTCAAGAGTTGGGGTATAAAGACGCCTGGGGATTTCAGGCTTGATGAGACGAGTGGCGTCCAGGAAGTCGATGTGTGGTCCCCACGTGAGACGCGCCGATGTCATGGGCTTGTCCGTTCCCAGTTCCTCGGCCTCTTCCAAGGGCGACAGTTTCGCACCCTCCATGTCCAGCACGATGTCTCCATTTGATATGCATTGTACACGGCTAACAACGTCACCACTGCCCTTTATGAAGACAGCCGATGCGGCGACCTTGATATCAGCAACCGAGGCGCAGCGATGCACAGTCACCCTGTCGATCTTAGTTGGAACTCGTCGGTAATGCTTTGCTTCAACACGGCCTCTAGTAGCTGCGAGGGGGCCCGATTGAATGCAAGCGTCAATGACGGTCGGATGAATGTGGTAATGTTCTTCGTCCCCACAGACGTCGCTTGTCAAGTGAGCAACCGCACGATTGTCAACTGTCCCGGTTCGAATGTCTTCAAGGCGCTGGAAGTGTGGTCCGTAACCAATACCTGCCCGAGAGAGAATATCGTAGTACTTTCGCCGCTGTACCTTCCTAGGGAGCAGCCCTTCATCTGGCTTATGCACGGGCTCTATCTTCTCAGATGCAACCTGTCCTGTGCAGTGCTTCATCCAGATGTTTCCGTTGTGAGAAGCAACCGTGAAGTCCCACCACCCGCTATCCATTGAATCTGTGAGGCGGACTGGACGGAAGGTAGTGACTAGCTCAGTAGGTGCATCCTCTGATAACACGAGGGCCGAGCTAAGCACGATATTTCGCAATGTAAAGGAGGCTTGCGATCCACTAATCTGTCGGATTCCTTCACCGACCATCGCAACATAGCCGGCACAGGGGAAAATAACATTATCCTCAATTTTATGGTCCCGAAGCCAGCTCGCGTTTTCGATAAGCAGCATGTTTCGGAAACTTGGCTCGAGGGTGGTGCTCTCAAGCTGACGTACGCCGAGAAGAGGATGCGCTGGAAACTCGCGATCTCTCCATTCCTGAGAAATTCTGGATTCGCGCCAGTAGTTAGATTTGTGGTCCCATGGGTAACGCGGGAGGTCGGGAAGACAGGTTCCCCTGGGAATGAGCTTTGTGAAGTTGACCGAGACGTTTAGCTCAAACAGCTTTCCAAGAGCCGTCAAAAAGGAGCCAACGCAGTCCGCACCACGCTCCATGACTCCTACGTAGGGTGCCGAGCGCGAAGCTTGTGTCATGATTTGCCTTACGGGCCCTGCGAGCGCTGGATGTGGCCCAATCTCCAAAAAGGTGACATTCTCGATCTGGTCGAGGACGGCGGCAATTGCCGTCTTGAAAAGGACGGGTGACTCAAGGTTTCTCTGCCAATACTTTGCGTCCAAAGAATCCTGTTCAGGCCTTCCTGTGCCAGAGACAGAAGAAAAGAATGGCACCGATGGTGGCTTGCCCTGAACATCATGGCGCAAGGCTTCGACGTATTCATCCCCAACCTCTCGCATATGATATGAATGGTAAGCTTTTTCGACCTTTAGCAGTTTTGCTGTCACGTCGGGGTGGGCTTCCTTGATACGGGAGATAGTAGATTGCACTACTTCAGTATCTCCCGACAAGGTAACGCTCCTCGGTGAATTCTCACATGCAACCACGACCTTGGGTGGCGTCAAGAAGCTGCTCACTTCATCCCAGCCCAGTCCAATGGCAGCCATGGCACCCGGTCTTGTCTGCTTCTTAGCGGCGATTCCTCTCTGCCATGCAGATATGATGGCTTCCTTCGCAGTGAGAGCCCCAGAAGCATAAGCGGCCGCAATCTCACCACTGCTGTGACCGACCACTGCGGAAGGCTTCACACCAACAACGGCGAGAAGGTCAACCAAGGCTATCTGGACAGCCGTGCAAAGTGGCTGCGATAGCTCTGCGGTTTGGACTCTAGAAGTTCTTGCTGGTTTAAGAAGTTCTTCTTCCAAAGTCCAGGTCGGAGCGTCAGGGGCACCTCGGAGATATTCGTCAAGGACCCGAATACTGCTCTGGAAACAAAGGTCGGAGCGAAGTAGAAGTTGGCGACCCATTCGTGGCCATTGCGCACCCTGACCTGTAAACACCATGACCAGGTTCGGAGACGTGGTGGGTACCTTAAGACCCTGGCTAACAGCCCCGAATGACCCGTCAGCGCTGGCGACTAAATAAGATCGGTGTGACAAGCGTTCTCTTCGATGGGCGAGAGTGTAAGCAAGATCTTCAAGGCTCTCGGGGTTCTGGCCAACCCAGTCCCGGAAATTATTGGTCATAACCGCCAACGAGGCTGCGGAATTAGCAGATAATAGGAGCAAGTGTGACTTGTTGGGCTCGTATTGATCGTTCGTCTTAGAGCTCCTTTCGTGAATGTTGAAGCTGCGTGCCGAATCAAGAATGACATGCGCGTTTGATCCTCCGATGCCAAAGGAGTTGACGCTGACTCGTTCGTAGCAAGCCTCGGGCCATGGAGTCGGCTCCAGTGGAACAACAAGCTTCCTTTCTTTAAACGGGATCTTTGGGTTTGGGCTCGAGAATTTGATATTTGGTGGAATCTTTTGGTTTTCTAGGGTCAGAACAGCCTTAATGAGGGCCGTGAGTCCCGAAGCACCTTCGGAATGTCCAAGGTTTGGCTTGACCGATCCAATATAAACACCAGAGTCTCCAAATACGCGCGCAACAGCATTTGCTTCAATTGGGTCACCGACTGATGTCCCAGTGCCATGGCATTCCACGAAAGCAGTCTTGGAAAAGTCCTATAGAGCAAATGGTCAGCCTCGATGCTCGTCCATCGAACCTTTCAAGATCTGAGTTGGGGCAAACTTACGGTAATTCCGGCTTTCTCATAGGCTTTTCTAATCAGAACTTCTTGACTTTCTGTGCTTGGCTGCGCAATGCCTTGTGTTCTACCATCACCGTTCGAGGCAGTGGATCTGATGACCGCGCGGACAGGGTTTCCGTCTCGAAGAGCAACCACAAGTGGCTTGATGTATACAGCGGTAACAGCTTCACCTCTGGCGTAGCCATTGGCATCTGCAGAAAAAGTCTTGCAGGAACCGTCCGCAGATAAAACACCCTTTTCGGTCATGAATGCTGTCATCCCAGGGGCCATTATTAAGTTCGCACCCCCTACAACCGCCGCCTGACAGTCGCCCCGTTGGATGGCGGAAACGGCCTCGTGCAAGCAAATGAGTGCCGCAGAGCAAGCAGTGCGAACGGTCATACTAGCGGACGTCAGTTTCCTGAATCTAAATAAAGCAAAGAATAGGCAGGTACGTACGTTGGTCCCTTAAGATCCATCTCGTACGATATGCGGCTAGAAAGCATGAAGTCACTGTAGCCATCGACGCGATTGACTCCAGTCTGTTGGTGGTCTCTGTTTTGCATTTCAAGCCAGTCCTCGCCATAGCTTCCCATATAGCATCCTGTCACGCTGCCCTGTATCCGCCAATGTCAGCGAGCCAGTTCACGGCTAATTGAAGGGGCTCACCTACCCTGAAACCTATTTCACCGGCGTCATCGAGGGCTTCTCGGACGACTTCTAGCATGAGACGCTGTTGGGGGTCGGCGAACTCAAGCTCAGCACGACTGAGGGAGAAGCGAGAAGCGTCCAAGCTACCGAAGTTGACACTTTCATCAAGGAAATACCCATATTCAGTTGCAATGGTTCCCGGACGTCCAGAGGTGGAGTGGTACGCAGAGATGTTGTAACGGGACTTTGGGACGCGGCCTCTTGCGTCCCCTTTGGCCACAAGGAAGTCCCAGAACTCCTGTGGGCTTGCTAATCCGCCAGGGAGGCGAACAGACATACCACATATCGCGATGGGGAAATCGTTTGCAGATCCATTCCCCTCAAGGTCTGAACAGCCGTTTGATGTTAGAGGTACCTCACTGGACTGGGAAGTCCCATTGGAGCGAAGGTCTGGCCCTGGCAGACCATTCGGAGCTCCATTGACTTTTGTAGGTAGGTCAGACTGGATAGAACCCATCATGAATTCTAATGGCAAAGTGAGCAAAGTGAGTGATAACTTTCGTGACTGTGTTTTGTCTGGAAAGCTCCTCAAACACATTCATCTTCTATCTTTATATAGAAGCTCCAAGTCCCTTCTGTACGTATATGAATCCCATACGGTGCTATATTTCTCATAGCGTTATATCTCACTATAATGATAATATGTCATTATTGTTGAGCCAAGGCTATCATATTGTTGGAGCATGAATATCAACATCGTTGGAGCATGGATATCAACATCGTTGGAGCATGGATATCAATATTGTTGGAGCATGGATATTAATATTGTTGGAGCATGGATATCAATGTTATTGGAGCATGGATATTAATATTGTTGGAGCATGGATATCAACATAGAGGATCAATATTGTACGTGTCTGGGAAGGCTATGCTGGAGCTCAAGCTATTCCATTCATTTTTACCACGTTGTCGTTATCTTGTAGCTGTGAGTCATATTACTGCTGGACCAGAGTATAACAGCCTCCTTAGTGGATGCCACTATAGGGTAAAATTAATCCTTCTTGCATCCTAAGAGGTCTAGAGTGAGATATTAATATAAAGAATGCTCTGGATATATCGTTTACCTAATATATCATATACTTTTGGTTGTCCTATATCCGTTCAGCGGGCTTCTGCTTCCATACTAGTGCTCGTAGACCCCTGAGACGAGTTTGAGCCCCTGAGCATAAAAGGTCAACTTTACGTACATGGCAGCCATGGGAAAAGCTGACTAGGAGTAAGTTAGTGACATAGCAACATAGCAGCCGCTTTTCAGCTATGATGCAAAACCCCCAGAGGCACTCGTGTATTTCAGAGCAAATTTCCTAGCGAGCTCAGCTGCAGATGGTGTTGTCAATATTCTGTTACTGCAAACATAGGCCTTGCTACTTTCACCCCTATCTATTGACTCGTTTCTTTACTCGGCGAACACTTTGACTGCCAAAATGTCTGTACTCTCGATATCTTCTTCGTTTGTTGCAGAATGGGCCAAGGCGCAACAGCCCCGTGGGCAAAGGACAAAAGGCTCTTCCATCTTCTATCGGAACCTCGAGGAGGAGCTCGATGTCAACAGGGCCCAGCATAGCTGCGCAATGCTTCATAACCAGGACACCCCCATCGACTTTTCTTCCTGCGATGTTCTCGGAATTGGAGAATCCGGGGCCCTAAGAGCAGCTTTTCTGGAGGAGCTGGATCGCAACCCTTCCTTCCAACTGGGTGCTCACGGCACGCGGCTACTCAACGGAAACTCGAAGTACCTCGAAACCGTGGAGAACGAGGTAGCAGAGCTGCATGGTGCCGAGACAGCCCTCATCGTGACCTCGTCGGCCATTGCGAACGATGCCATCTTTTCTGCTATCCCACTTCCAGGGGACGCCATCGTGTACGATGAGCTCATCCATGCCAGTGCCCTCGACGGGTTCAAGCATAGTGTAGCTCTTTGCCAGCAATCATTCCGCCACAACAATGTTGACTCATTTGTGGAAACTCTGACGGCTGTGAAGAATTCGCAGCCCCAGATCCGCAATGGCACTCGATCTGTCATTGTTGCGGTTGAATCTTTCTACAGCATGGACGGGGATGTTTGCCCACTGCGGGAGTTGATCGAAGCCTCCAAGGAGGTTTTCCCCGATGGCAACGCTCAGTTCGTCATGGACGAAGCCCACAGCAGCGGCCATATTGGTCCAAATGGCTCAGGCCTGGTCAGTGAGCTGGGGCTCGAGGATGAAGTTGCGGTCCGCAATCACACTCTTGGAAAGACGCTCTGTGGTACTGGTGGTAAGGCCTGCTCTGCTACTTTCAAACGCTGCATCCACGCTAATTTGATTTTATATATAGGGGTTATTCTGTGCAACAATACCATCCGCAACATTCTAATTAACCGCGCACGGCCTATAATGTTCTCTATAGCGCCATCGTTCCTACTGTGTGCTGCAACACGAGTGGGCTACGAGATGCTAAGAACTGGAGTGACTAAGGAGGTGAGTCCATCCCCCTCTGTTTTAACTGCCAATTTATCAAGGGAGCCTTTCTGATACATGTCCATTCTCCACAGGCACAAAGCCGAGTTCAGCATGTAGTGAAGCTTTTCATGGCAAATATTACCTCTCACGCTGTTTGGGATCGCGCGAACGATGCCGGTATTCTACGTATTCCTCTCTACGAGGAAGATGACTGGGACGCCCTGCCATTCGTGACTCAGATATGTCCCATCTGGACCCGTCCAAAGCACAATTTCTATCTTGCTATTCATCTCCAGCTGGCAGGGTACTCCGTGTATCCCATCAGCTTCCCTGTTGTGCCAAAGGGATCTGACAGAATTCGCATCATATTTCATGCGCAGAACTCGGACTCTCAAGTCGAGGGACTGGCCCAGTGTGTCTGCGAATGGGCCGAGGAGATGCTTGAGATTCAGAAAGGTGGTGGTGGACTTAAATTACCAGCTGCTGCGCGCTACGCCTACAGTCTCATGAGTAAGGAGAGTTTGAACAGCTCTGGCTAGGCGCGCAACTGAGTAATAACTACGAGGGGCTGAGCAGACAAATATCCACAACTGGCTACGGATATTGCGGAAGGAAACCAGGTAGTTTTATGTATGCAAACCAGAATTAGTATATCAATATTTCTGCTTTAATTGAAACCATCAAGCATCTAACAATTTAGTTCTCATGCATTTTTGTTTGGTTGCCCTTCCTCCCCAAGGAGAACGCCCCAAGTGGCTAGTCTGGGCCTCGAGGTTCACTTCCATGGCAGGTGGGACGTCTCATGGGCCCTGCTGCATTAACACAACGTTGAAAGGCCCCTCATCCCACTGGATACCGTGTCGAGCACCCTAATATGTTGGTACGGAGTACTTACGGAGTCAGTTAAGTTTGAATGTAGTCAACTAGCCACGGCTTAGTTAGTCAGCTGAGCCTCACTCCCGGATCACAACGGGGCCGGGCCGCGGTGGGCATAGCGCGACCCCGCAGCTCGACGTCTTCTCTACTTATATCCACGGAAACGCTCCAAGTCCCACCCCTGTACGGAGCCCGGAGTATGGAGGATGCGAATGCCTGTTGGTGCAATTCCTTACGGTGTCGCCACTTCGTCAACATCCCTGGATCAACATTGGTCAACGATTACACGAGCTCCAAGTTCCACTCCTGCGTTTGAATGCCTGGCGGTGCTATTCCTTACAGCGTCAAACCTTCATCTCCATCCCTGGTCCAACAATCATGAGTATATGCATTATTGCGCGTCCCCTACGTAAATCAGGACCCAGGGGTTTGGTTAAACCTCGCCTCGCACGCTTGGCTAAACCAACCGACATCAGGTCAATCTCTCCGCGGAAGCCTATACGGCGGGATCGATTCATCCGATCGGAGCCAAGCCCCGAGCACCGAAAGAAAGGTCTACCCGCCTACTTTGGTAACAGACACGATAAAATTCAAACGGAGGGCCACCAGTCTGTATAGAAGGGGGTCATTAGCATTCTACCATTATTTAGCCACCGGTTATGGAACCGGACCCGCGTACCGACGACTCTACAGTCAATGGAGCATCTTCGCAGACAGCACGCACCGCCGAAAATGCTTCCACAAACGGCCAAGTTGACGAGCTATACGATGGAGTTACAAAAGTCGCGGGGCGATTGTCCATATCGTCCGCTTCTAGACAGGGGCAGCCACAAGTCCTCAATCCCGCGCCTGGCAGCAAGCTTGATCCCTCGTCTCCGGCATTTGACCCCCACGTCTGGGTAAAAGAATTCATCAGATTGACCGAATTGGACCCTGGGTCTGCACCTTCGCGCTCCCTCGGCGTTGCCTTCAGGGAATTGAGCGTGTTTGCATATGGCACGGCCGCAGCGTTCCAAAAGACCACAGGAAGTGTGCTGCTTGAAGCCCCAGCCTACCTCGCTAGGTGGCTTTGCGGAAATCGATATGGCAGACGTGTGGACATTCTGCGCGACTTTGAAGGTGTTGTGGAAAAGGGAGAGATGCTGCTCGTCCTGGGGCCCCCAGGCTCTGGCTGCTCTACGCTTCTCAAGTCGCTCTCAGGGGAAACGGCGGATCTGAACGTGACGCCAGAATCGTACATCAACTTCCGAGGTTCGTTCTTGATGTGCTGTTCAACGTCCTGGCGGAGTTTCTGCTAAACGTACACTATTCAGGATTGGGCCTTGCCAGCATCCGCTCCTCACTTCGCGGCGATGTTCTGTACAATGCCGAGCTCGACACTCATTTGGCGCATCTGACTGTTGGAGAGACGCTGACGTTCGCCTCTCGTGCCCGCTCTATGCGCTATGTCCCGGGGGGCTTCACCCGCCAGCAGCTCGACACGGTACGCCGTGATGTCATGATGGCCGTCTTCGGACTGAACCATACCGTCAACACGCGTGTTGGAGATGACTTTGTGCGTGGTGTCAGCGGCGGAGAGCGTAAGCGAGTCAGCGTTGCGGAGGCGTCTCTGACCGGAGCCAAGTTCCAGTGTTGGGATAACTCGACGCGCGGGCTTGACAGCGCCAACGCTATCAATTTCTGCAGAAACCTGCGCCTCCAGGCAGATCTTCTGGATGTAACATCCGTGGTCACCTTGTACCAAGCACCCCAGACAGCCTATGATGTAAGTTTTGTAATAGTGGAACCGTGGAAGACGGATAACGCTCGTTGGCTAACCCTTATTCTTACGTCTAGCTCTTTGATCGAGTAACTCTGATCTATGAGGGAAGACAGATATTCTTCGGTCGAACGTCCGACGCAAAGGATTACTTTGAGAATCTGGGCTTTTACTGTGAGAATTTTGAGGTTCAGCGAGGTCACTGAAAACATGTTTCGGGTTTCCTGACGTCTTTTTAAAGCACCCCCTAGGCAGACTATCCCCGATTTCCTGACGTCTATGACCAGCCCAAAAGAGCGGAGGGTGAGACCTGGTTTCGAAGACTCAGTACCTCGCTCGCCGCATGAGTTTGCAGAACGATGGCGATCAAGTGAGCAGCGGAAGAATTTACTTCTTGAACTTGCATCATACGAGCAAAAACATCACCCGGAAGAGAGAACGGCTGAATACTCCCGATCCAGGCAAGCTGAGCAGGCTAAGCAACAGCGCTCCAAGTCTGCTTATACGATATCATACACTCAGCAGATCTCCCTCACTCTTTGGCGCGCTTACCGGAGATTGCTGGCCGACCCTGGGTTCACCATCGCTTCCCTGCTGTTTAACGTCGTGATGGCGCTCATCTTGGGAAGCATGTTTTATGACCTCAATTCAGATACATCCAGCTTCTACTATCGTGGAGGACTCATCTTCTTCTCGCTTCTTTTCAATGCTTTTGCGAGCCAGCTCGAGGTGAGCCTTTCTCCCCCCATTTTTGTTTCCTTAGAATCTCGACGCGCCAATAACCATGCGTTGACTCAACTGGAAACTAGGTCCTAACAATCTATGCTGAACGCCCTGTTGTCGAGAAGCAGAATCGCTATGCTTTCTACCACCAGTCCGCACAGGCAATTGCGAGTTACTTGACCGACCTGCCCTACAAGATTGTCAACATGTTTGTGTTTAACATTCTTATCTACTTTATGGCCAATCTGAGGCGAGAGGCCGGTGCTTTCTTCTTTTTTTGTCTCACCACCCTTCTCACCACTCTCGTCCAATCAGCCATCTTTCGCACATTGGCCTGCATAACCCGGACCCCTGATCAGGCTATGATCCCCAGCGCCGTTTTGAGTCTTGGACTCATGATATACACCGGCTTCACCACGCCGCTAGAATATATTCCTGGATGGTCGCGTTGGATGACCTACATTAATCCCCTGGCATATGGCTTTGAGGCTTTAATGGCAAACGAATTCCATAATCGGGATTTCCCCTGCGTTAGCATGGTACCCAGCGGCCAAGGGTACGAAAACCTTGCGTCTGTATCGCAGATCTGCTCTGTTGTCGGCTCGGAGGCTGGCTTAGCCTTTGTCAATGGAGACAACTATATCAACAGGTCGTTTGACTACTGGAATGTGCACAAATGGAGGTCAGTATCCATCGCTGCCAGTGAGAGGGCCTATGAGCTAATTGAGATATATGACACAGGAACATCGGTATTCTCTGCGCATTTTTGGTAGTATTTTTCCTTGCCTACGTGCTTGCTGCTGAGCTCGCGAAGCCACCCAGTACACGTGGCGAGATTCTAGTATTCCGCCGTAAAAAAGGGTCTTCTAAACCAGAAAAGGCACTGCCCCAGGACGATGCCGAGAATCAAATGCAAAGCCGCCAAGTAGTAGCAGAGAAGGCAGAGTCTCCAAGCCGGTCTAACGACATCGTAGTGGGAAAGGATGTCTTTCACTGGGAGGATCTCTGCTACGACATCAAAATCAAGGGCGGAAATCGTCGTCTTTTAGACCATGTCGACGGCTGGGTCAAACCCGGCGTATCAACCATTCTCATGGTAACTAATTACAAGCTCAGTCCCGACTCTTAAAGCAAGCACGCACTAATGTGACTTAATTACAGGGCGTTTCTGGCGCAGGCAAAACAACCCTTCTGGATGTTCTGGCAACTCGCGTCACCACTGGTGTTGTAACTGGCGATACAATGGTTAATGGAAACCCAACAGCTCCCTCCTTCCAGCACAAGGTTGGCTATGTCCAGCAGCAAGACCTCCATCTTAGCACCATGACGGTTCGCGAAGCGCTTCAGTTCAGTGCCGTCCTTCGACAAGCAGCGGAGATACCCAAATCCGAAAAGCTTGACTACGTTGAGCATGTTATAGATATCCTGGAAATGCGAGAATTCGCGGACGCTGTCATTGGTGTTCCTGGAGAGGGGCTCAATGTTGAGCAACGGAAACGTCTTACAATAGGCGTGGAGCTGGCCGCTCGACCACAGCTATTGATCTTCTTTGACGAACCTACTTCGGGATTAGATTCGCAGACGTCCTGGGCCATTTCTGAACTGATTAAAAAATTGACTAATAGCGGCCAGGCGGTTCTCTGCACCATTCATCAACCCTCTGCTATTCTCTTTGACCAGTTTGATCGAATTCTCCTTATCGCCCCAGGAGGCAAGACAGTCTACTTTGGTGGTGAGCAGTTACCTGCTCATACTTTTCTAACAAAAAGGGTTGCACTAACTGGACATTCTTGTAGATTTGGGCAGCGGTGCTTCGACTCTGATCAACTACTTTGAAAGCAACAATGCCCCCGAATGCCCAGCGGGCGCCAACCCCGCCGAATGGATGTTGCAGGTGATCGAGCCGCCCGCTGATGGCTCGAAAGGACCGGACTGGCACCAGATATGGCTGGATTCTCCCGAATATCAGACAATCAAGACGGAGCTCGGTCGTCTTAGAGCTCTTCCGACCACAGAATCCAGCGGTGACGAAGCCGCTGATCGGCATCAGGAATTTGTGGCCTCGTTCTGGACACAGTTCGGCCAAGTTCTGCAGCGCACCTGGAAGCATCTCTGGCGATCACCGACTTACATCTGGTCCAAGGCCATACTGATTGCCCTTTCCGTGCGTGAACATCCCTCATATCGCGTTCTCGACTCGCGCTGATCAAAATATTTTTATTTTTATTTTCTAGTCTCTCTACCTCGGCTTTAGCTTTGATGCCAACAATTCCATCCAGGGACTGCAGAACCAGCTGTGGGCTATCTTCATGCTGCTTGTACTGTTTATCAACATCAATGAGCAAATAATGCCCATGTTCCTGCCTCAGCGAGCGCTGTACGAGGCGCGAGAACGGCCGTCGAAGATTTACAGATGGACAAGTAGGGGACTATATCTCTCTTGTCCGCTTTTTCCCTGCCCGCGACTCCGCTGACTCCTTTCTCACTCAAAGCATACCTACTTTCCAACATCCTCGTTGAGCTCGCATGGCACACCCTGATGGCCGTCATCATGTACTTTTGCTGGTATTACCCCGTGGGCTTTGTCCGAAACACGACGTCCGACGACCAAGCTGTCCGCGGGTTCCTCATCTTCCTCTTCCTATGGGTTTACCTGCTGTTCACGAGCACGTTCGCCCATTTTGCCATCTTCTGGAACGACCTTCCCGAAACCGCAGGCGTAATAACCAGTCTTTTCTGGATGCTATGTATCTTGTTTTGCGGGTGAGTCTCAGGCCCAGATCCGAAGGGTAAAAACTATGTTTTAGGCAAAATCACACTAACCTGCTAAACAGGGTCGGGGTGCCCATCGCCGATCTCCCGCAATTCTGGTCGTTCATGTATCGTGTTTCGCCCGCAACGTACCTTGTTGGGGGAATCATGTCTAGCGCCGTTGCCAACTCGGACGTTACCTGTGCCAATCGCGAGATCCTCCGCATGGCTCCGACGGGGAATCTTACCTGCGAGGAGTTCCTGGCTCCTTATACCGAGGCGGCCGGGGGCTTGGTGCTAAACCCGACAGCGGGAGGGCTGTGCGAGTACTGCCCGCTTGCCACCACGAACGAGTTCCTTGACCAGTTCCAGATTTCGTATGGTACAAGATGGCGGGACTTTGGTCTCATATGGGTCTATATCCTGGTGAACATCGTGGCGGGGCTGGGGCTTTACTGGGCGTTCAAGGTGCCTAAGGGGAGGGGTATCAAGCGTGCTTGAGGATGTCCTAGCAGACCGACCTGAGTGTATTTAGTATATAATCCAACATTACATCGATTAGCTATTAATTAATTATCATCATATTTAACATCTGTCTAACCTCTTGAACCTCCCAACACGCGTTCGACTCGCGTTGAACGAAGCCCATCGTCAGGTACGTCGAGGCTGGAGGAACACGCCCGGGAATATGCATCATCCTCCGTCAGCACTATAGAAGGCCTGGATCCGATCCCAGGTTGAGGTACCTAGAAATCATCGCCTAGTGCGTCGGGGGTCCCAAGCACCTGTTTAACACGGAGGCTTATTGAGGCGGCAAGGAACCGGCGCTCCTCCGAATCCGGTTCTGTTCGCGCTAGGTTACGTATTATCCGACTGACGCCCGAAAGCCTTTGGCAAAGTCGATGCATATGTTACAGTAGGAAAAATTTCGGGGGGCGTGTCCCACGCGAAATGATAACCAAGGTAACAAATATAGTTATATGTCTTGGGGGCCTTTACTTAGCGACGGTTCGTTGGCAATCTTGTCAACTCAACTAACTCCTATCTCGCTTCCTTTGGGGCCCCGGCTGCCTTTTCGGTGCAATAGACCTCGAACAAAATAAAGCGGGACCACGGGACGCATAGCTACATGGTTGATCTTCTATTCTATATTCTATTTCTTTGTTCGGTGAGTGACAATGTAAAGATCGACCCTATGGCGCAACAATAACTCTTATAATACCTCTTGTCTTGTGGCCAGCCTATGGCCTGCGAGTGATACGGGCTATACAACGATTATAAGGAATAACTGCGCATATACATAGTTCCTTTTATCAAACTAAATATCTCTATTAATTATCTATAATCTATCTATACTATTTTCTATATAAAAACTAACTATAGATAAATATATTTAAGATATAATTTTAGAAAATTTAGAGATAAATTATAATTACTAAAGAATAAAAAGATCTTTTCTTTAGCCTCTTTATTATTTAATAGTTAATTTTTAAAATAATATTATATATAATTAAATATATTATTTTTCTATTATTAAATTAATTTTAATATTTAAAAATATAAAATATAAAATAAATTAATTATTAAATAATAAAGTAAAATTTTATATATTTAAAACTTTATTTTTATTTCTTTAATTAATAATATAAATTATAAAAAATTAAAAAATAATAAATTAAAATAAATATCTTTTATTAAATTTAGTTTTTTTTTATTAATTTAAATCTAAATATAAAAATAATCTTTTTAAAAATATATATTATTAAATAAAAATTATAAAAATTTTATTATTTAATAAAAATTTAAAATTTAAAATAAATAAATAAATTAATAAATTTAAATTTTTTTTTATAAATATATTTAAATTAAAAATAAATCAATTTAAATCAAGTTTTTAATTTTTTTTATTTAATTGAATGAATTATACGGTCCCTCATTAGTTTAACACTAATCTACTTATTAACTCCACTCATGCGGCTTGCCTGCGCAGGCATAGTTATATAACTTGGGGCCGCCGTTGCTCTGGCAAGATTTGCGAAGCTATTCAAGGCCAAGACAGCGAGGTATATCTGTTCACTTTGGAGTTCAGGAGTTAAAGTACTCCCCCTGAGAAGAAACCGTCCTCTGAAAAAGGCTGTCTCCAAAGAAGATGATGAGAATCAGCAGGTCCTGTGATCAATGCAGGTCCCGAAAAGTCCGGTGCACCGGTATAATTCACTTACAGATTGGTTGCTAGGCATGGCTGGGGCTGATGCTGCCTGCCATATATAGTGCCTGAAACCCCCAGGCGACCTGGGGCGTTGTCCGCCTGTATCCACTGCATCGTATGCCTGTTCAACCTCCTGGTAGTACAAGATGACTTCTAACGATGCTTAACATATAGAACCGCAACGAGGCTTGTCAGTTTAGTCCTATCAGGCGTAAATTCCGGCACCAGAATACGCGTACGTACTGGACCTGACTCGGATGGTGTCAGATAATTAGTTACACTAATTGGTTGCTCACTAACTAGTTAACAACAACTAGAATCCACTCCACTGCCTGTCGAACCATCACTACCATGCGAGAGTGACCTTCCCATTGACCGTCTCTTGCGCTGTGAGCCTCAAAGAGCCGCTCTGTGTGACGTGTCCCTCGTTGTCAAGGTACGGGTACAGAAACATGCTCCATAAAAATCATATTGCTCACAGCATTGCATTTACAGGCTAGCAATGAGCGAGGTAAGCTTGGGTTTACCCATCCATGTGGCTACCACCTCACATATCTCTAGCAACCAGCTCGGGCATGGCCTATTTCTCGAAGCGGCGGATGACCGCATTGGTCAATCGAATAGGTACGGATGTACTCACAGAGCTTGTTGAGGATCTAGAAAACCTCATCGTGTCGCGAGTATGTTCGAAAAATGACTCTTCGCCGTTTACAATTGAGTTTCGGTCGCCCTTGGCCAGTGTGGCCGTGACAGCAAGCGAAGCTGAGGTGTATATTGACGGTCTATAGTCTATCCTTCCCTTGATTCGTTGTGGTCCGGGACCTAACTGGAAGAACTAGCCTACTTTGACCAGGTCCATCACGTTTATCCCTTCCTCGATAGAGGAGAGTTCACCTCGCATACTGCTAACTGCCAACGTACCGGAACTTCACAATGTAGCAAAGCATGTTCCGCACTATATCACGCTGTCCTAGCATTAGGCAGCCAATTCCACCAGGGTGACAGCTTCGTACCAGACTCCGGAAAGACGTGGACTAGCTTTCAATTATGTCTAGGTATGATTCCGGATATCTTGGTTCCTCCATACTCTTTGACAAAACTTCAGGTATTCCAATGCCTTCACCTTTTCTGTTTCATGCCATACTGACAAGGTTTCATAGGCTCTGACGGCCATGGTGAGGGTGCTGAATCCTTGGCTACCATTTTCACGGATCTAATGTTCGAATTGCAGTCCATATTTGCAATGACCGCTTGCTGTCTTCAGTTAGATCAGGCGTTGGTATACGAGGCGGCTAGGATGGCGCAAAGTCTGCGGTATCACAAATCTTCCAATGCTAATCCAGCTCACTTGAGAGCTTTTTGGACCATATACCATTTGGAAAAGGTTGCCTCCTTCTCTGATAACAATAGCTCAGTGCGTTCAAAGCTCTTGTCGAGGCGTGGTAGATATTTTGTTTTACTAATTGTCAACCAGGTAATTGCTGACGAAGATATCGGATGTGACATTCCTTCCGTCCCAGGGTCCATGTTTGGTGACTACAACTGGTTCCTGTCCGCCATACATCTGAGCAGGCTGACATCGATCACATACACCACTCTGTTTTCGACAAGATCTTCTTTGAAGTCTGCCGAGGATTGCTTAAGTTCTATCGAACAGGTACGACGTGGGATGGAAGAATGGCGCTTATCAGTGCCTGTGGCATTTCGGCCGAAGGAGCCACTTCAGCTAAGTGAAATTTCAAGTCCGAGGGCGAAAATGGTCGCTATACAGACGCATTACTTGTATTGCAACCTGGTTTTTGCTGTGGAGCGCCTATCCCTTCACGTCGACCCCGATGAAAAGTCCAGTCGCACGGATAGAAAGCAGGAGTTGATGGACGCTGCGCGCACTGTCATTGAGATTATTCGGTTCATCGAAATCGAGCCTCATATGCCTATCTTGTAAGTCCAGGTTCCTCGAGCTCTATGAGACACCGGATGACGGCCGTCATACTGATACTTTTAACTCAGTGTTGCCGCCATCATGCCATTGTCAGCAGTCTTCGTTCTTTTTGACTTGGTGATTCACAATCCCACTCATAGAGAGACCGAAAGTAATGCTGCCTTCCTTGATCAGGCTGCGACATACTTTAGTAAACTTGACAGCGCCTCTGATGGCGCGCTTCCTGGAAGCATCATCACAAGCTTTGCAGGAATCGCGCGACAATATATTCTCAGGCTGCGGGAAGGGGCACCCACACCTACCGCCTTGAAGACGCAGATGCTCCAGGGAATCCAACCAATATGGGATTATGCGCCAGATATTGATTTCAAAGATATAGATGTAGGGAAACCTTCCATGATGTTTAATGTCGCTAACTCCGTCAAAGTTTTCTTCGATGAGCTCACGACCAAACTATGCCGAGCAAATCCCCTGCAGCTCAACGTTTGACGCGCCGTCACCATTTGGAACCGAGATGCTCAATTATCCCCTATCCCAAGATATTCAAGCCTCGAACAACCAAATAGCGGACCTTAGGTCCATTTTTGGCTTCGTGTTTCCCGATTGGGCGGGTGATGTATAGACTACATCCTGTGGAATTGGAAGACCTTTCCATGTGAAAAGCTGAAGGTTTGTTCAGCATTGAGCAGCCTTATATGCATCTACTGTTGAAGGATAAAGGATTTGAGTTTTTAAAGCTTTCTCTGCATTTCTCCGTTTCTCCCTTTTTGGCTTCAAGAGGCCCGGCTGCTGATGACCTCAGAGGTTGCATTCGTAGAGATACAGCCGAGCTCGAAATCGGCTTCCATGTCCAGTATATACGAGTTTGATCTCAACCCTAACGACGTAAACTTTCTAGCCAAGGATGGCTAGCTGCAATATCATGGTTTCTTTTCAAAATATGTCGTACACGTACTGGAGAGGTAAATATAATATACTCATTATAGCCCCGCGTATGACCTTTACAGGTACTGCTAGAATATTCGGTGCAAACAATGTACTTCGTAAACATCGCGATTCCAGCAACTTCCAACAGGTCCTCCTCCCTCTCGACGAGGTTCGGAAATAGAGAAGTGCTTTTTATAAGCTTATGATACTCAAACACGGTAGGCAGGTACGGTATTTGTGCTGCCCATAGAGACCCTCCCGCTCGCCGTTTTATTCGGTACGCGGCTAGATTCCATAGGATGCAGGCTAATATCAACGTTCGTGCTAGCCACATCCTCTTGGAAACCATAACCAACAGCGCCTCTGGCGTTAATACTGCCTCTCAGGCCCAAGCTCTTGCTCCATGGAATGAAAGCTTGGACTATGTCACTATGACCCCACTCCGGGCTATTTTGGAACACCTTTAACCCTATATTCCCTCAGTCCCTCCCCGCACTGTACCTTATAGGAACCAAACCAGCTCGGCTTTCTCCTATTAGCTAAGTGGGACGGGGACGGCGAATACGAAAAGAGCCTACTAAGGTACATTTGCTATATAATCGCTTAGAATAGATATAAAGATGAACGTGTATAAATATATCTGTAGACTTTTTTTTGCATGATCCCTCACTAAAGCACAGTGTGGACTGTCTAGAAATGCCTCCCTGTCGATAGTGCATCCCAATCGCGCTCTTGCCTCTGCCTGATGTGACTCCACGTCCTCCCACCCGACCATCTGATCGGCCGTGGAGTACAGGTAGAGCCGTCTGGCCGTTGTCCCGAACACGGTAGGGTTATTAAGCTGCGCGCGCAGCTGCTGAACAGAACTCGTCCATCCGATCTGCTGGAGAACTGTAATAAGACCCACAGCGGGAAAGAGGAGAGTCTTGCCAATGGTTCGAGCTAAAGGCGGACTACAAGGCAACGAAAGTGCAGCCGCTTGATATGCGCGCGAGAAGGAAGGGTCTCCGGGGCAGCAATCGAAAATTATTCCACGGAGATGGGCCCCTAATTCCAGAGGGGAGTGACCGGGATCATTTCGCAGGGAGAGAGCGAGCTGGATCGCGGTGTTGCAGCCACCATGGGAGAAAATATGTAGTAAGATGGAACCGCTCTCTTCTCTCTCTGCGGCGGCAAAGATAACCTGACGGATGACATCGCGTGCAGGGGCCAAACGCGCATGGAGCACGCTAAAAGGGAGTACGGTAATCTCAAGGATATAAGTGGTGATGAGAAGGATACGGGAATTAGGGTAGAGGACTCGGTAGCCATCGATATATTTCTGGATACGCTGAGGAGTTGCGCCTCCTAGCCAGGTACAAAGAGTAACAAGCGCAGTGCTAGCGGGATTAGGAGGTTCGAAGAGATAGATATTGTTACCAACAGACTGGAACTGTTCAAAGGAGCCAACAGGTGCCATTATCGCTCCTTGACAAATATAAAGGCGGCGTACAAGGTGATGATAGATATTTGAGAAGGTGGCTAACCCGGCTTGGGTAGTAGGAAATTGGGGTTGGGTTGTAGTTAATAAATATCCGTTTGCCAGGCGCGTAAGTTAATTAATTAAAAGGGCGAAACCGCTAAGCCGTTACCTCGATAATGTAGTTGAGTTCATAATGCATATATATATTGGCATTGCTTTTAGCGTGGCTACCCCTACACAAGACAAGGGCTACGATGTGCATATAGAGTAGCGCCTGAGATAACTACCATGTACAGTCACATGACAAAACTCTACGGATAAAACGCGCTTGACGCGAATCACCAGTATTTTGTAAATTATCCCATCAATTATCCAACATGCCACGTACCCCCCTATAACAAATAAATGCCAATATTTAATACAGGAAGGAACTATCTTTATATTAACGCGGTTTAATATACGGCCGGAAGGCTTTAGGGTAATAAATAGTTAATATTTCTCGCGATATATAAATCCCTATCTAAGCTATAAATAATACTATCTAAAACTTATCTAAAAGGAATAATAGAAAAAGCCTCCCTCGCTTTAGCCGGTCTAAGAAGATAATAGATACTAATAGTTAATATATTTTACTCCTTATTAAATAGAACCCTTTTATTACTCTTTATTAATTAAGAGTTTAATATTATAAAGTTTAGATTAGAGTATCTACTTGTACCCTTATTTAATATATTAAGACCTCGAAATACGGCTACTAAAAAGTAAAAAAATAACCTTAATTAATACTAGAAGTAGCTGCTAAATAGCTTAGTTAGGCTTTAGGGTATAAGGATAACTTCTATAAGGAGTAGTCTAAAATAATATAGACGGATAAATATTCTATAGAATTAGGTAAGGGGAAGGTATTCTAATAGGTTTTCTATTAACACGGCCTAAATAAGAAGTAGAAAAAGGAATATATCTAGTCTAAAGTTAAGCTAAAGATGGTCTCTATTATGATTTTAGTAGGGGGCTATTTAGGGTAGAGGCTATTAAGATATTATAATAATAATCTAGGACCCTGACTTAAATATAGGGGGTTACTCTAGCTAGTTATATCTTAACCTCCTTAAGGATAATCTACCTATAATTTGGGAATCTAGCTTTATATTTATATAAGATAATACCCCTATATATATAGCTAAAAAGGTTATAGATTAGTTATAGAAGAATGGTATTTAGACTATAGAGTGGCCCCCCTATTTACCTAATATAAATTCTATTAAATATGCCTGGGCCAAGCTTAAAGAGACTCTCTATAGGATAGAACTAGATATAGAGAACTTTAAAGGCTCTAAAAGTGAGCTTAATTATAAATTTATAGAGCTAATAGAGAAGGTATAGGAGAATCTAGGTTAAGATTATTTTAATAGGTTGATACAGAGTATAGATAATTAAATTAATACTCTATTTAAGGCAAAAGGGTAGTATACGCGCTATTAAATATAGGATATTATATAGAGATTATAATTTAGTAAATAAATAATATATTATAGCAATCCTTACTCGTTTATCTCGATAATTGGTGGAATGGTTAATAAATTCAATTTCCCAGTGTTTTTGGTGGGTGGGTGGATCTGCAAAATATCCGGATACTTATGTCCTAGAACTGTAAACACCGAGTAACCAACATATAATTACCATGGCTCATCCATATACTAAGGCAGCCAGTTTATTGGCTATAGACAGGTCAAGGATGCTTGGAGGGCAGCGCGCTTTACTCTCGATATAGGCCATTTATATAAATTATGTGTGCTCTACTAGTTGGGCATGTATATGTTTATGAATATATTTAATAAGAGTCAGATCATATTAACGATAAAGATGCCTGTAGGGAGTATATTATATATCCTCGTGTCTTTGTTTGAGTCGGGCTCGAGACAGGAGCTCCAGAGTGAAGCCATGGATAGAGAGTGTGGCTCGTCCCTCAAAGCGAAGCCGGCAATGCAAGCCAGTTACTACTACAAAGCGATAGGAGAAAACATCGCCCGAGGGTGATACAGCGGCAAGCGGCCGCAGCCGTCAGTTCAAGTCATCATCCTCTGCGGAATCGATGGCCTGTCATGGACAGGATTGCACGCGTAGGTGAATCTATAGGCCGGTAATGGAGACGATACTCTGAGGTGACATGCTAACAGGATAGTAGCGGCGGCGTATACTCATGATCTTGATGGATTTGAGTCGATCCTCTCCTTGGACACTAATTTCATGGACTATCATATCCTCTTGCCACCAGTTGAAGATAGTATTGGCCCCGCTAGCTTTATCGATTATTATACCGTGCCAGCAAGAACAAGAGAACCTCCGTGGGCAGTCGGCGGCAGCAGTGGGCAAGGCCTGGTATCCAGCATCAAATCGACCTGATATCAAGCCTGATATCCACCACCCACCTGGCCTAATATCGAGCCTGATATCAACCATCACTTCGGCCACCATAGGGAGCTGGCTCTCTATGGGAGAAAGCTCTTGCTTTTGACATCAACCTAGTATCATCACAATCTATATCTCTGGCACTTCTAGAGTCTGGCTCTCGATAAAACTTATATAAAAAAATTTAAAAGTAGAACTTCCGATAAAGTAAATTAACCGGCCCTTAGTCTCGAAGGTTGTGAATTGCACCTTTGCAATATTTTGATAGCTTTATCAGCGATAGGCTACTTCAGCACATCTCGTCCACTCAATGGGCTCGTTGAGATTAGGCTCTAGAGAGGCAACCTATTATTTATCAGGGATATCTTTAGTGTATCTCCCTAAGCCAAGGGGTAATATAGGGCACGATGGATGCATTATTTTGGTCCCTCGAGCCTCTCTATAGAGTTAGTAGGCTCGGATCCTTGATTATTCTTGATCTGGATACATTTCACATTTAAAACTTAATCACATCACGAGAAATGTACGAGATATCAGCCCTTGCTTGGTAGAAACTATGCATATGAAATATAAGTTCTTCATAGTACTCTATATAGAGATAATTAAGTATAGATATTATCTAGCTAACCATGAAGCTCTCGTTCCTTTGGAATAGCTACCCCCTTGTCGAGTTATTCCGCTGAGCGTCAAGTTGTTCAAGCTCTTTCGCGGAAAGTGGTTTGCCCATCCAAGAGTAGTCAGGTACGGCCCTGCGGTTAGGCGTAGTCCTAATCCCCCTTAATCGTCTTGTAATCGCGTCGAGGTCTACACGGAGATACTTTGCCAGGAAGCTGCCAATCTCGGTATTTTCGTGGGTACCAGCAAGGGCCTTGGAATCCTGTGGAGAAGAGCTGTAAATATTGACATTGACGGCTAGAATTACGAACATATGTTAGCATTAATCGCACAGCACCACAGAGAATAGGAGTATGAGGGTGGTAACTGACGGGTATGGCCATGTGTTGACCATCCTACTTGAGCCCGCTGGCTGATGAGATCAGCGAAGCCGTCTGCCCCGTTACGAACAACAGCATTTATCTCACGGTCGGACGCATCGTGGATTCCTAGGCCGTCCTCCACAAGCTGGCGGGCAGTGTTGCTGTCACCGCCGTAACTCTGCAATATTTGCCCTAGGTATTCAGCCGAGTGTGCTGCATTACCGAGAATGTTTGACCGGGCGCGGCCCGCGGACAAGCCTCCCGTTTCATGATCAGATGTGCTGATGAGAATACCCGGAGTAGAGTCCTGCTCAAGAAATTCCAAGGCGGCCGCAAAGGCCTGGTCGAATGCAACCACTTCATGGACTTGGGCTGCAGGGTCGTTGCCATGACCAGCGTGGTCAATACGGGAGCCCTCAATCATAATGAAAAAGCCTTGGTCACTATCACGAGTGGCATCACTCAATGCCTTTAGAGCAGTGCGAGTCATCTCTTCGAGAGAGGGATACACGTTATTCTGGTATCGGCGATCAATCTCAAATGGAATGTTGTCATCAGCGAAAAGGCCGAGTAAGGGGAGTCTAGCAGCTTCTCCGCCCCTCAAACTATCGAATCCGCTGCGATCGCCAACATATGAGAAGCCCTTTGATCTGGCAAGCCTCACGATATCCTTGTTGTCATCACGGCAACCTCCTGCACTACCCGGAAGGAAATGGCATCTCCCTCCGCCAAGGAGAAGGTCAAGCTGTAGGCCTAGTGGGTGATGTTCTCCGATCTCCTGTTCTGCAATTAAATCCTCGTAGGAACGTGAATTGGCATGGGCAGCGAAAACGGCGGGGGTAGCATCCGTGATTCTTGTGGTAGCAACCAAGCCGGTCTTATAGCCAGCAGCCTTTGCACCCTCTAAGACAGTACCACATGGGGTGTGGTCGGGCAACACGGCAATGGCACCATTGTAGGTCTTCTTCCCGCAGGAAAATGCTGTAGCGCCCGCAGCAGAATCCGTGATCGGGCTGCTGGACGACCTTGTGCGTGACTGGCCGATAAGATGGCTATCCAACCAGAGTACATTTTTGGCACCTGTCTGCCACTGGCGGTAGCTTCGAGCCATATCGACACTTTGAGGGCCCATTCCATCAGACACCATGAAGATGACGTTTCTTTTTCCCGTCGGTATATCCCTACGCACCTGGGTCTCAGATGCTTCGGCCTGGGGCACTGCTGTCATAACGGTGACAATAGCGATGGCGGCTGCGGCAGCTGCCTGGGTCCACGAGAACAATCCGGCCTGGCGCCGGGAATGGTTGTTTGGAGCCATTCCGTGGAAGTACAGTTGACTAGACCCAAGGTATTAGGATTCTGAGGGGGCGCAGAGAGAATGGAGAAGGTAAAGAATCAGTGTAGCAAGGCAAGGTGTCCATGCAGTCGGGTTGTCTGTTTGCTGAACACGGCGAACATACCGGACGAGAAGTGTCAATATATATGTAATTCCTGGACTGCTGTGATAGCTATTTTCCGCTTTATAGAACCTCAAAAACCCCTCGAAAGCAAGTCTGCCTGCCCATGCCTCCACGTGCGGCAACGAATACTCGATTGTTGACTCTTCAGCATGAACAGGGATCGACTGCGCTGGCAAGACGAGGCAGACTCCCCAGCCTGCAGCGATGGCAGGTTGTTTGCAAGACAAGGGGATGCAGCAATGCAGTTTTGCATATTCATTCTCCGAGGCATTGGTTCTGCACTGTCCGCAATTGTGCCCTTTAGAGCTCTCCAAGCAATCTAGGATGGGGCCCCCTGGTAGCTCTACCGGACATCATTCCCTACTATGGCAGCATACACCCGCAGTCACCACCATGCTTCTAGGCGCCGAGTCTGTCAGTGTGAACTGCTGGCGCTGACTTGGACCTATAGGCGGGTTGCAGGCAGCCATGTACGCAGAAGGCTCTTTTTCTTTCGGCTTAAGTAGGCGTCCCATAACGACTTGATACTCCTCCCTTGGCTCTCCATCGTGTGGGGAACTCTCTTGGGAACTCTCTTGGGAATTCTCTTGGGGATCCTCTTGGGGGTAAATAGTAAATAGTACCGGTAAGTACTCCATTTGCACCGAGAGCAACTTCACCGCTGCATGGCGTCAATCCAAGTCAGGATACCGGGCGCTATGAGGAGATCTCCCGAATGCCGTGAGACATCCTTGCTGCTCACTGATCTCTCCGGATAGGCCCTAACATGGGGGTCAAAGAAGGCAGAGCAGAGGAACGGTTGATAGAGGGGCCAACTCATGGATGTTTGTAGATGGAACCAGCATATCTGATGCCTGAATCCATCTGAATATAGCCGTCGTCAAAAGAGAGACGACGATGTTGATATTGTTGGATGTTTTCTTTTTATGACGTAAAGATGTGATGCTTGGCACGGAGCTCCCGTTTTTGGTTCCAGCTTCAACTTCGAGGTCAATATCAACCATCTTTATTATCACTCTCCAGAGATATCCCCGACAAAGGAGAGACCCGCGGACGTCCTACAAGGCTATGGACCTAGTGCTTGAGTATGCCACAGACCTGCTCGCCCAATGGACGACCGTCTCGGTACAATGTGAGCTGAAGTAGCTAGTTATCTGCCCTTATCATGAGCTGACCTCTATCTAGCTACGACAAGCTACCTATATCGTACCTAGCACCGGTCAGCGTGTACACGGTGTTCCTAACCCTGCGGCCGAATTTGAAAACGACAATGAGCGCACACCTTTGCTGCAGCCAGACCGTTGCACTGAGGATGGCGGATGGTGGTACCCAGGCTGGCTGCAACGAGCCGCCGCTACCACCGACTCGGTACGCACTTTTATACAGTCCGAAACTGGAAAAGGGATTTTGAAATGTAGCCTCGCGTACTTGCTAGGCACAATGGCGACGTTTGTCCCAGTACTATCTCAGTTCCTTGGTCAGCAAGGCGGGAAACACACCGTTGCAACTGTTACTGTGTACTTCCACCCCGCTAGGACTAAGGGTAGCATGATCGAAGCACTCATGCTAGCTATGATTGCTTTTTGCTATGCCGCCTTCATTACTATCACCAGTATGAGCGTCTCGGTACTCTTTGAAGATGTATTCCACTTGCTCCCTCTTGGCCATGCAATCATACTGATTGTCTTTTGTGGAGGTGGACTCGGCTTCATTGGATGGGTGAAACAGCGGCGTGGCAACCCGTTGGTTAATGTGGCCTGCTCCCTTGCTTCGCTGGCCATAATCACAGTTCTCACCAAGGAGGGAGCTGTTCAGCGAGGAGATTTGTCCCTGGCCAAAATCTACCAGGTCTTCAAAATGATCATTATGGGAGTCATAGCTACAATGACAGTTTGTTTTGTAGTTTATCCGATCTCTGCAAAGCGAAAGCTACGTCAAACTATGGTTGAGATGACAGATTCCCTATCCGATATGCTGGAAATCATCACCGAGGGCTTTATATACGGCGGTTCGGGAACGGAGAGTAGGCTGGAGCAGGGGCCATTTCTTGACGCCTCAAATAGGAACAAAGCGGCATATTCGAAAATGGAAAAACTTCTGAGAGAAGCAAAACTTGAACATTACGTTGCTGGCACGGAGAAGGAATACCAACTTGAACAGAAACTTGTCCGTTGTATTCAGGATATTTCCCAAAGTATTGGTGGTCTACGAAGCGCGGCTGCGCTCCAGTCCGATATTCTGAAGCAATTCCAACAGCCACCTCGGGAGAGAAGTTCTTTCGATACCTTGCGATCACCTCGCAACCACTCTCCTCCCCCTAGCCTGAATAGGTCAGGTTTAACATCGAGCCGCTCTGATGATATACAATCACCGACAAATTTTGGAACAATTGCTGCTACTGACTATCCACGAACGGGTAATAATAGTACTGACTTTGTTCAAGCACCCGCTGAAATTTTTGAAAGATTCATTATCCATCTTGGGTTGTCAATGGTATTATTTTCCTGATCCCTATTACCTACTAAAATCTATTATATCTTTATTTTTATCCCTAAGAACGAGTGCTAACTTGCTGAGTATGGCAGAACTCACTAGCTTACACGCTGAGGGAGATTCTTCGTGAGCTCCCTTATGGGCCAGCTCCGGACTTTAAAGTCACGGTCAATAGCAAGTTTCGAACAAGCCTAGACCGTGCACTTGAACTATACCGAAGCTCCCGTAATGATGCACTAACGCTCATATACAACCAAAAGGATTTAATTATGACTGGTGGCAAACCTCTTGGAGTTGAAGCAGACCTAGAAGAGGTTGCTGCCAGCTGTGGTCACTTTAGTTTTTCCCTGCAAGAGTTCGGTGAACAGCTTAAAGAGTTTCTTGGTATACTTGACAAACTTCAACTCGAGGCAGAAGAGCGGCCGAATGGGCGATCATGGCGTTGGCTTATTCCGTGGGCCTCAGAATCAGGAGCAGATGATGATTTGGCCCCGTTAGATACAGGTATGGCCCTCGATTCCCCCTTTTTTTTTTTTTTTTTTGGAATGGTTACCGTCATTGACGCTTTGGCTTGCATTTAGAGGATCCTTTGCGTTCTACTACTAGCAAAGATAAAAAACCCAAAGATTTGCCGCTGTCAGCTCCTAGAATAACGCTTAGGTACAGATTTTGGAAAGGTCTTCGGGTTTTCCGACGCGATGACACAAAATTTGCTATCAAAGTTGGGGCAGGTGCGGCGATTTATGCCCTTCCCTCGTTTCTACCTGAAACGAGGCCGATATATTGCGCTTGGCGAGGAGAATGGGGGTTGTTATCTTACATGCTTGTGTGCTCAATGACTATCGGGGCATCGAATACAACTGGCTATGCTCGATTTCTTGGGACTTGCCTTGGGGCACTCTGTGCTCTGGCTTGCTGGTACATAGCCAAAGCAGACGTGGTCTCACTCGCCGTATTTGGATGGGCAATGTCCCTTTGGACAGCTTATATCATTTTAGCACAAGGGAAGGGGCCAATGGGAAGGTTTATTATGCTTACCTATAACCTCACGGTGCTCTACGCCTATTCATTATCTCAAGAGGGTGGTGACAATGACGTGGATGAAGGTGGAGAAAACCCAGTTATCGCTGATATCGCTCTACACCGTGTAGTAGCTGTATTTTCTGGTATTCTATGGGGAATTATCATCACAAGGATTATCTGGCCATCCAGTGCCAAAAGAAAACTCAAAGATGGTTTAAGTGTACTTTGGCTCCGTATGAGTGTCATCTGGAAACGCGACCCCTTGTCCACCATGATTCGTGGGGGACCGACGACTCTTTATTTCGATGTGCAGGAAAAGATACAACTACAGCTTTTCTTGAGCCACCTCGACTCTCTTCTAGTTTCGGCAAGATCCGAATTCTCGTTGAAACGGCCATTCCCAGATGCTGAATATGGCGCACTTGTTGCCAGGTCGAGACGGCTACTAGATGCCTTTCAAGCCATGAATCTTGAGATAATGAAGAACCTCACAGCTTCTGAAGGTGAAGCGGCTATGTTGAGATATACCTTGCGAGAAAGGATGCAACTATCCGCAAGAATAACTCATTTGTTGTCAGGTGTGTTTTACCGCTGCTTTGTCTAAAGCCGCCGTTGATATTCTTGGGACGACATTAACCTTTCTCAAAGTGCTGGCATCCTCGATGAAACTTGGATACGCTTTGAACGAAGTCCTCCCCGACACTGAGCACGCCAGGGATCGCCTGCTTGCCCGGCTTCACCACTTCCGGAGCGACAAACAGGCCTCCCAGCTGACCACGGATGAAGACTATGCTCTTCTGTATGCATACGGTGAGTCAAATTCTCCATATACACCTGGAGACATGGGTACCCCCAGTAGTCTCAAATACCTTCCTCCTCAACCAACTTTCTAACATTGGAATGATGGTAATAGCACTCGTTACTGCGCAGCTGTCTACCGAAATCGTGGTGTTGATGGAGGGTGTGAGGAACTTATTTGGCGCAATCGATGAGGATGCTATTACTCTGCAGTGACCCTATTATTCGTTATATGCTTTATTATACCCCTTGCTGCGCTTACGGTTCTTGTCAATAAAATCCATACTGCAAACCTTTGCTTGTCCTTTCTCATGTTAGAGCATAGTCTACTTCAGCGCTTCCTCTGGTAATATCAAGATATGACTGACAAACACCAACCTTTATTCATCCCTTTCAATTAACATTTCGCTGTATGGGCAGTTCACGTAGGATTAGGTAAGCGGATGGTGCTCCAACACCACGTCCATCGTCGACTTCATCATCCGCAACGTCAGGCCTGTTGACAGTAACAAAATCCATCCAGCGCATAACGTACAAATAACCGTACAAGATACCAGCTTCGATTTTATGATAAATGAGGGCCTGAGCCAGCCTAACCTGGCCTCGCGCAGCCCTCGCGCCCGGCCTCCGCGCTCTTCACCATGCAGATCGACCCTGCGGCGCTGACAGGGACAACTGACTTTGCTTCAGTGGTGTCAGCGTCCACAACCAAGGCTGCCTCAGTCGCTCCTCCGATAACACAGAAAACAACGAAGGCTCTTATATCTGTTCCGCGTCTCGATGTCGAACCCATTTATACTGAACTGAAGGGCGCAATTGGGGATGGCTGGACCGAATACAAGCAAGCGACAACACTATTCTTACTTGGTACGTCACAGCTTCTAGGGAAAGAACATTATCCTTTGCCCATAACTTTGGAGTCACAGTCTGCTCACTATCCCATATCCAACAGGTCACCTTAACCAAAATGAATTTACCGCTCGCGCCACCCCGTTGCTGTCTGTTGATCCGAAGCGCGAACGCCTTCACAATAACTTCGTCTGCGCGCTTTTAGGGAACTTATCCAGGGACCTGCCCGACCATGGAGTTGCGAGCTGGGTTTCAGCAAATGATAAACCTACGGTGGTATCGAAACCGGCCTCGGGGGATGCTGCTGAACAGCGCCTCAAGACCGAGGTGATGCAACTACCTCCGAGAGATAGACGGAGACTAAAGGCGATTCCAGAGGTAGATCTGCCCACAACTATATCTATGTCTACGGAAACTATACCTTTACTAACATTACCCTCATAGTCTGACTCGAACGTCATCCCAAATTCCCTTGAGGAATATCAGTTGGCAAAGCAGATCAGGTTACCAGATCAGGTTCCTGCAAGCGCGGGTGGATTGAACAAGACAAGTATGACTTTCTATAAACTAGCCCTCTAGCCGCTTAGGCTTTCACTCCCTGTGCGGACTAACACGGGGCAAAATGGACAGACTGGGAGCTTGAAATTAGGAAACGATATGCCCAACCCCTTGCCTCCGAGACCGGAGAATTTCCGGATTCTGAGTCTATATATGCACGTATGACCCCTATATGCTACGAAGAATCCATATCGAATGGAGCATCATTTCCATGTGCAGCCTACATGGCTATTGCGACAGAAAATTTCGTGAAAACCTTTCTCTCCAATGTCTTCGGCAGGACCAAGTCCAACGGTCCTTCCGGAACTATAAATGGAACAACGACAAGAAGATATCGTCGGCAGTTAGAGCGTGAAGAGATGGCATTTACCCGCGGAGAATTAGTGAGAAATACTACCAATGGCCTTCTTCCCATCGAAGCCAAGGAAGCTAGCATTCGTCAACCGCTAGGGTTACGTGACCTAAAACTGACCTTGGACCTTGCACCGGGTGCACTTGGCCATATGCCTCTTGTTATTAGCCAAATCATGGACGGATATCTCGAGGAGGAGCTTGAGGCGGAAAGCCAGTGTTACTTATTGGAGGCCAACGGTGGAGTTGACGCTTCGGACCAAGTGTCATCTGGAGATGAAATGGATGTCGACGAAGAGCCATGGGATTGGGAGGGTGCAACTGCTGCAGATCATAACCAGCTAAGCTCAATCCTGGATGAGTGCCTTTCCATGGCCGCCTGATGTGCATCTCATTTTACTTTGGCCTGGAGTTGAGAGGTGCATGGACTATTGGCGCAGTGGTTCTTGGCTTCTGGGTTCCATTTTGATATTATGGAGTATTGTTTGGAGGGATTTTTTTTCCCTACATTGGCATTGTCAGGCTAGGGGTGTTACGCTGGATTATATTCTGTTAATAAATTAAACAGACGCACAGAAGCAACTGTTGTTATTTTTGACATGCTCTACCTTAATTGCATATTTAATACTATGTCTGTAGTTCACATAAATATAATATTGGGCATATTAACTAAATTGGAACAAGGAAATGTGAACTGCGTCATAGTACCTATACATGCTATATAAGACGCTTGAGATAATCATTACCCCTATTATTAGATTATCATGGGTGAAATATATTTTGAAACCTAAGTATCTAAAAGTTACAACCCTGTGCTGTGCCCACCTATCCTCCTTAACTCGTTACTCCATATCCCTCCAGGTAGCGGACAACCCAATCGAATCTGCAAGAAAACATGGATACATATGTAAAACAGAGACCCTAAAAAACAAGGGCCTATTCTAAGCGGCTCAAGGTAATCTTTAGGATCTCCTCAGTGGTTTTATGGGCGTTGGCGGGATCCTTGCTCACTGTTTGCCAAATCTCGCCATGCTTCGGCTCGGTGGCAATGCACTTTGTCAGGACGTCTTCTCGTTTTTCCTATTGTATGCATATTGCATTAGAAAGAACCTCAAGAATGAAATGACCAAAAGGGTGATATCGAATGAACTCACATCTGTCCCATGTTGGAGAAGAAACTTATAATACCAGGCCCAGACATCACCGAGATCGCTATTCGCTACAATTGCCTTTTCAAACCACGTCATGGCCTTTTCTAGTCTTCGTTCGCCCCAAAATATTCGAGCGACAGTGACGAATAGAATAGGATCGTTGTCAACCTTTTTAATGGCTTCTAAACTTCGGGGTTTGCGGTGCGTTCGAGGCTCTAGATGCCATATACTCTCGCTCCATAATAACCCTGAGTTCGGAACTTCTTGGAGCGCTTTGGACATTAGAGCCTTTGCTTGGCTAATATTGTTGGCCCGGCGTTCTACCCTGACGCTTTCCGTCCAGAGTTCTGCGTTTTTAGGCACAGCAAGCCGAGCACGATCGAGGACAGATCGCGCCTTTACAACAACACCAGCTTTCTCCTCAAGTCTCGACGCAAGTAACCAAAGAGGCACTGATTTAGGACAGGCGCGGACCCCCGTACCATACGCTTCGCGGGCCTGCTGAAGTTGACCCACACTCTCATATATTTGTCCTTTCAGCATCCAGAGTTTATCGGCTTTGGGATATAACTGTAAACCCTGATTGACTAGGTCTAGTGCATGGTCCTTGTTGCCGAGCTGGCGTTCATAAGCAACGCTTTTAATCCAAACCCTGTCTGTCCCTGCCTCGCGTCGGGCTGTTGAAAGCAATTCCCTGGCCTGTTCAATCTGGTCGGTGTCGGCTTCTAGTTTCACAGCCGCAAGCCAGATATCTTCGTTATTAGGATTTTGGTTGAATGCCCGTCCAAGCACCCGCCTTGTGTTATCGATCTCGCCGGCTTGCCATTTCTCCTTGGCTAGCTGCATCCAGAGGTCTTCAGATTGAGGGCACGCCTCCACGCCCTTTTCAAGGAGCTGCCAAAGGCTTTCTTTAGTACCATGGTTGCGTTCTAAATCGGCAGCGGCAAGCCAGATCGACTTTTTGTTGACAAAGACACGGAGTGCATACGCGTATATAGCTCTCGCAGTTTCATATTTTCCCCGTGAAATACTCCCTTTGGCGTCCTCCATCCAGATATCCTTCCTATCATCGTCTTCGTCAAGGCCCCAACCCAGGGTTTCCCGAATAATGGCATTACAGGTGAGAACCGCATCTTCCTCCTCGCATTTTTCAGCCTCGACGATCCATTCCTCTCTTTTTGGCATAGCTGAATCTCTAGCAAGAGATTGGACTGCTCTTTTCATCACATTCACCTTGTGTGCGGTCCCCATTTGCTCCTGTAGTCGAGCAGCAGCGATCCAAATGTCACGGCTAGTAGGTACTGCTTTTCTAGCCGCGTTGAGAACCTTCTGCGCATTTTCTGGTGTTTCTAAACGTGCCAACGCCAGCCATAGCTCAACAGAGAGTGGAATCATCTCAGTCGCTTTGGCGAGTAGTAGTCGTGCATCGTCAGGGTTCTCTTCTAGGTTGACAGCTTCTTTCCAAATGGTAACGGACTGGGGAACGTGAAGGATGGCCTGCCTCAGAACGTTCTTTTTCGCTCGGGCGTCGGATTCGAGTTTCATAGCCTCAATCCAGAGCCGTGTTGATCGGTCGTTGTTTTTAATGGCATTGGCCGCAATGATTTTTGCATTATGGTTGTCGTTAAGCCGAATATTTTCTAACCAAACATCCTCGCTTTTTGGACAGAGTTCACAACCCCTGGCAATGTAATTCCTGGCAGCTCCAATCCTTCCTGCGATCTCCTCTAAACGAGCAATGGCTATCCATCCCGGGGAGTGCTTAGGGTTGGTTTTTGTCACAGATTCTAAAAGCGTGCGTACGCGTTTGATGTCCCCAATCTCTACTTCACCAGCCTTCATCTCGGACTTAGTCAAGCTCGTCAAGTAGCCTTTTGGGTCGATCGACGAGGCACTGCCAGAAGCAACATCTCCGCTCGACCCTTCGGCTGCTTGGTCCAACCTAACTTGAAGAACTTTATCCCTGGCAGCACCTATATCTGCAAAGTTGGTAATCGTGCCGTCAGCATTTTCACCCCGAGGAACGTGTGACTCTGCTCCATCGTCGCTGATAGTGGTATCAAATCCCGTCGAATCCCTCGCGTTTGCTATCACACTGTCTGGAACCGCGTAAAACCTTTGGCGTAGATTTTGCCGTGCTCGTCGGTTTTTGCCTGTAAGGTCCCCGACTTCAGGAATATTCGCCCAATCCTCATCAGAGACTGAGGCCAACGACCGCTTGAGATCTGCGAACTGCTGTTGGATTTTCGGGTTTTTACTCTCATATTCTTCCATTTCTTGACGTTCTCGAGCTTCCCTATAATAACACCACAAGGTTTATGTTGGCAATCGGTTCACAAAGGCGTCTAGGACAAGATAAACTATAGAGTTCTTGCAAAAGTTCAACAGGGAGTTAATAAAGCACGAGCTTACCTTCTTGCTTTGCGTCTTTTATCCATCTTCTCATCAACCGCCTGGTATACTTGATCCGCCTCATCGTCCTCTCTGTCGTACTGGCCGTAAGCGAAAAGACCAGTTTCATTTTCCGGGTCTTGATATCGATCGTCGTTATCGTCCTCCTCCTTTTCAGCCTTCCCTCCTTTCTCTCCTCGTGTTGAAGCACCATACGCAGTTGGGGGCGCAGTGCCTAGTAGTGCCGCGCGTTTTGCAAGAGCTTCCTGTATCTGCTCTGGCGTAGGGCCTTCTCGCGCTGGTCCAAGATCAGACCGAGTTGTGAAGCCGGTTGCACCACGACCCAACCCAGCAACATAGTTTTCAGGTGCCGGCTGGCTCAGGAAATCCTTGCGCCCTGACATCCCTTATATAGCAAGCCAGGTCGACATATAACGATGGTGTTGCATCGATGTCTCTTTAACTACCTAAAGCCAGGAATGGAGATAGGTCGGAAAATTATATTTCCACCGCCACAAAATCCCGCCCGGAAGTTTAATCTTTTTTTATTTTTTTTTATTTTTTTCTGGCACACATAATTACGTCGTCGGAACCATTTAGCGGAGACCAATATTGGGATATTGGGACAGCGAGATACCTTGATCCGTTAGATTCTTCTTGGATAAGATCAAGATGCCTAAAGCAAAGCACGGCAAGCGCAATAATGCTGCGCAGGCAAGCAGTCCTTATGCTCAGGCCGTCGCCAAAACGAAAGCAGCCCACAACATATTCCGCATGAACACAGATATAGGCCAGCACGTCCTGAAAAACCCCGGCGTTGCCCAGGCTATCGTGGACAAGGCTGATTTAAAGCAGAGTGATGTAAGCTCTCACCTATTGCCGGTTGTTGCTCCGTTCAAACTAATGTGATTCTTTGCGCAGACGGTATTGGAAGTTGGCCCTGGTTCTGGCAACCTTACGGTCAAAATTCTAGAAAAGGCTAAAAAAGTGATTGCGGTGGAATTAGATCCAAGAATGGCTGCAGAGCTTACAAAGCGTGTCCAGGGGAAGCCAGAACAAAAGAGGCTGGATGTACTGTTAGGGGATGTAATGAAGACGGAGGTTCCTTATTTCGATGTTTGCATAAGCAATACCCCATACCAGGTATGCTTCTAGCGTTCTAACCGCCTGAATTAGGGAATGACATTAGCTGACAGAAATAGATCTCGTCTCCGTTGACATTTAAACTACTCGCCACGACTCCAGCGCCCAGAGTATGCATCCTCATGTTTCAGCGTGAATTCGCAATGCGACTCTTCGCAAAGCCAGGCGACAAGTTATACAGCCGTCTCTCTGTGAATGCACAAATGTGGGCTAAGATAGACCACATCATGAAAGTGGGCAAAAATAACTTCAAGCCACCTCCCGCTGTCGAATCGAGTGTTGTTCGCATCGTCCCCAAAGTCCCGCGCCCGGATATTAGCTACGAAGAATGGGATGGTCTTCTTAGAATTGCGTTCGTGAGGAAGAACAAAACGTTGAGATCGAGTTTCCTCGGAACTACTAGCGTTGTGAGTATGTTAGAAGCTAACTACTGCACCTGGTGTGCCCAAAACAATATCCCCATTGATGCAAACACTCAAGACAACGATCAGCAAATGATAATCGAAGAGGGTAATCAAGAGGAAGAGGAGGTCGATGAAATTATGGAGCTCGATGACGAGGACGACGTTCCTGATTTCTTCAAGACTGAGAAAGATCAGACCGCACCCAAACAAGGATCCGCGAAACGTGGAAAAGTAACATCCTTGGTTCGAGAAAAGATCAGACAAGTCCTTGAAAACGACACTGGGCTTGCAGACAAACGCGCCAGAATGTGCGATGAAGGCGAATTTCTAAAGCTCCTCTGGGCCTTTAATCAGAAGGGAATCCACTTCAACTAGGCGGAAGGTGGCCGGATATGTGCAAGGACTCCTTATGGACACGCCCCAGAGCAAGCGTCTCGTATTAGGGCACAGCCGAATGTGACCTTTCTGTTGTGTCACTTCCAGATCGGAGATGTGCGCTTGAATCCTGAAACAAGCTCTGCCATATGAACGCCTCGCTCAACAGGAGCTCTATATCCTTCTCAGTCCAGCTGCGCGTTGGAAGAGCCTGGAGGAACATCATAATTTCCTGCCATTGGGTCAGCATACAATATGAGGCATTCTATCCGGGTGGTACAAACTTGGAAATCCATCTTGAGCAACTGCTCCGACCATTTAACTAGGAATGCGGCGCATACGTATAAGTGGAACCGCGAGAACCCCTGCTCCTCTGCCTATAATCAAGTTAGCACCATCTCCCGCATAAAAGTTCACTGGGTACGCTACCAGATATGTGTCCCACATCCTGATTGTGTTCTTGATACTGATCTCTCTCATTAGCAGACAGTTCATCCACCGAAAACTGAACTGCATGAACTCCACACTCTCACTCTCGAAGTGCTTTGTGAGTGCAGAATCAATACGCCGTGTGAGGTCATGCAGCGCACCCACCTGCCTGTGTATTCCAGGCTGTGCATAAGTATAATTGTCTTGGATGCCATCGAGGAGCTTAGTTAAACACCAAAAGGAGTCTGCTTCTACAGCGTTGATTACTGGCTGTGGCAGCTGCCCGGGATCCATTCCTTGTTCAATATCGGAATCTGTGATGTATGAACCAAGGAAAACCTGCCAGAACGGGGTGACAAGGTCGTTTATTCCCTGAACGTAACCACTTGCGGGATGCCGAATTGCCCAGACATATAAGATTCGTTCCAAAGACCGCTGGGTTGCCTCATAGGCATATAATGGGATGTGTGGATTAGTTCGAGGGATATCAATACTGATTTGGTGCCAAATTGCCTCATCGATACCCCTTCCATTGCCTAGATTAGGAGTCGATGACGTGGCCGGCACAGCCTTAGCTCCAATTGACGAGTTACGCTCAAAGGCTTGCCGTACACCATCGAGGTACTCCTTTCGTTTCCGTTCTAGAGTTGAGACCCGGCGATCGCTGTTTGCGGGTAAATATCCGAGTAGCAACTGCCATGTCATCGCCCTGACTTCTTCTGGGATGCCTGACCAAGCCAGATCACGGAGCTCGGGCAAAGATACAGTACTCGATTGGAGTATCCGTTTAAACTTATTTACCCGACTTATTCGGGTAGAATGAGCCTCGACTTCCTTTGCACTAGCGCCAGGGGATGGAGGTGAGTGGTTGATTAAGTTTAAAGAGTTTGCAGGATCTAGTAGTTTAGGAATTAGCCCCTTATGTTTTAACATTTAGTATGGAGATGGACACGAAATTTACCTTTTAATATATCTTTATACTGTGGCCGGAGTATCTTCCCCTCTGACTTGTTAGCTGTAGGATAAGTCAAACTTCCCCGTTCCTCGGCAATATCCGTACTGTTGGCTCGAAGACGCATACTGCTCATGCTAGGAGCCAAGCTTGCAGAGCCATTTACATGGCTACTTACGCCTGGATTGCCTTGGCCTCCCTTTGATTGAAGGTTGTAACCTAGTGGCTTGACCTTCTGCCTCCGTATGTTTGTAACACTAGGAAGCCCAAATTCATCCTCGTCATCTTCGTATCCGATTTCATCACCGTCATCCTCGTCATCCAGGTCGGGCGTCGAGTCGCCGGATACCTGAGAGAGGAAATTGCTATACGGGTGTTGTGACGAAAATGCCCTTCTGCCCGATTTCCCGGTATTCATATCACGCACACGGCTTGAGCTCGGAGATAGCGAAGGCCGTGACGGCGTAGACGCCCTCGAACTAGGAGGGACACCCCTATGGCCACGTCCAAGTCAGACTTGCGACTCTTTCCGTGATCGTTTGTGCTGGGATATTTGGAGGAAAGGGGGGGGCCGCACATTAACATATCTGTATGGGCGTATGAAGCCCCAACGACAGTGTTTTGGCCAAACGGCACGTGAGGACTCTGCGGTCGAGATGACGACGATATTGATCTCCAGAATGGGAGGCCTGCGCGTCTATGTATAGTCAACAGCTGCCATCGAAGCTAAAAGAGAAACCGGCGGGGGGTAGAAATGGAATAATAAAAAAACATACGAGGATGTAGGGTCTACAAGAGCACGTATCAACATATCAGCAAACACCCCGCTTCAAAGGAAGAATATAGAGCTATAGGTACGGGGCAAGGCATCTCGAATCACGGACCGACCTGTACCATCTCCTATTCGCAACTCATTAGCTTGAACGACGTCGATGGCGAAACGGGAAGCGATGCCATACCTGCGGCGCCTGTTGCTGCTCCTGTCGCCCCTTTTTACTCGTCATTGCGTCGGCTAACAAGAACGGCGGAATAAGGGGGAACTGCGGCGCGCCTAATTATGCAAGTCTACGTCGCTCTCAGTGTCTATCCTCCATCGACGGCAGCGATATGTGCTCGAATGCCATCTATCCCACTGCTTTTCGCGGGCGAACTTGCATGGGCGTTGAGGTTGCCGTTTCGGCTTAGTCACGCCAAGCCCGCGACCTCAACCTCGCCAGCTTCTCGAAGCACTTTTTCACAAACCAGACTCACCTCCACGACGTCGACAACTTCAGCCTGCAACGAGACAGCACCATCTACAGCTCAGTGACAGCTTGAGTTGGCGAGACTGACCTTATAGATCTAGCCGTCGACTGCAGACCGGGACTTTGTTCTCTTTTTTGTCCTTTTTTTCTCATTACCTAGCCAGCAACCATGACGGAACCCGAGGATCTCGAGGAGGATCTCTTTGCTGATTTGTGAGTAACTTGCGCTTGTCTCGCGCCATTGGACTGGAGATCATCCCGTTGCTGCCTTGCTCGGCCGCTGCGTGAATGGCTTATCTTCCTATGCTAACCTACTCGACAGGTATGATGCTGATACCACGACGACCACCGCTGCACCTACCGCACCGCAGGTACAAGCACCAGCCGAGCCTGCTTCTAACAAGGCAGAAGTAGCCGAAACATTCAATAGCACTCAATATGCTGCTAGTCAGCAGCCACAGCCCGTCGAGGAGCATAAATTTGAGCCGCCACCTGCCCAGAATGGGGGCCACGGAGGAATACAGGTAGTTGGGGATAGTCACAGTGGTGGCCAGGCTTCACATGAAACTGAAAATCAAGGAACAGGCATTAAAGAAGATGGGTGAGTTTTCATATTTGACAGTCTGTTTTTGTTTTGTTTTGTGCCTCCTTTTACCCCAAAGACCAATCGTGCCGTTGGATGTGGCCAGGAAGAAGCCAAAGACATTCGGGGTATCCTTTTGAATTCTGGTTACCCAAAGTGGAAAATGTTTGATGAGGGAAGATGGCAAAATCTCCACCGAGCCATCACACCAGCCCACTATTTCGAATCACCCCACTTTCTCGTCTCGACTACCCGTCGACTACCTCGTTGAACCATGGAGTCAATAGTTTATAAGAACGAATGTGTGGCGTACGCGGCGGGTTAAGGGGTCACACATAGTTTGGAGGGGACATACCTGGTTCTACCGGGGAGTTTCAACTGAGCTTGCATGATCCTGATATGGCTGCTGGGCGGTTCACTATATGGACATTTATGGAAAGGGTACCGGGGGCAAGAAGGGTGCTAGCCATATACGATGGGGTTTATCAGTTCAGTGACTCAAGAGATCGAGGGTATTTCATGCATTAAAGCCTCTGCACGATTCCGCTTTGGAGCGACTATAGTATATCAGATACTATATATCTTGTCGGTATATCTTGATAGAGCAGTGCAAGGAGCGGTTATTTGACTGTCTTCCATATGGAATATCGAACATTACCTAGCTTCGGACATAGAATCAGGCAGAGGATTATCGGAAGAAGAACATCGAAAAATTTCAAATTCTCACTTTCTTGAAGTTCGACGGGTGCAATTTCACATCCCAAGAAAATCCAAAACCCGCACCTAGTTTCCGATTTGATTGAGAGAGTCGGCATCAGATTTCCTTCGACTGTAAAGCGCCCAACATCATCGCACAGAAATCTTCACTTGCAAGGGTCATGACGGCCCCACATGGTTCCTGGTGGTCGTGTGCGAGAACGACCTCTGCCTAGCAAGGCCCCTGAAATGCTATATCTAGAACTCCTGGTACCGCTCGTCAGCCATCACGACACGAAGCCTGCCCGCTTTACAGCCACCGACGCGAAGGGTTTAATGGTGGAGCGCGGACGGAAACCACTGTCACCCTCAACAAGATATATGCCTTGTGGCGCGACCTTGATTTTCTTTTGCTACCTTCTGCGTCCAACACTTGCTATATTTACCATGCCAACTCAACTTAGCAAAAGTGGATGTGAGCTAATAATATATATTAAAATAGTAAAATGTTCATCGGCGGGTTGAACTGGGAGACTACAGACCGTACGTATATAGCGTCCCCAATGAATGAGACATTTGTCAAAGCATGAGTTTCTGATGGTATGCACTAGAGTCTCTCAAGGATTACTTTTCCCAGTTTGGAGAAGTCCATGAATGCACTGTCATGCGAGATGGTGCTTCTGGCCGATCAAGGGGGTTCGGCTTCCTTACATTCACCGACCCGAAGACGGTAAACACGGTTATGGTGAAGGAGCATTACTTGGATGGTAAAATTGTAAGATATCATTTCTCATCCACTATCTTTGTTATTCATTTCTTCTACTAACTCTACATGAAAGATCGACCCTAAACGTGCCATCCCTCGAGATGAGCAAGAACGGACGAGTAAAATTTTTGTTGGTGGAGTGAGTCAGGAGGCAACTGAGCAAGAGTTCAAACAGTTTTTTATGCAATTCGGCCGCGTTGTAGACGCGACTCTCATGATTGATAAGGATACTGGACGTCCTCGAGGATTTGGATTTGTGACCTTTGATAGCGAGGCTGCCGTGGAAGCAACACTTTCAGTGCCACTGGAAATACATGGCAAAGCAATTGAGGTGAAAAAGGCTCAACCTCGCGGGAACCTGAGGGACGATGAAGAGAGCCGCAGACTAGGCAAACGTGGCTTCCGTGATGATCGGTTTAAAGAAGGCGATCGTGGCAGTGGATCTGATTCAGGGCAGCAACAAAATACTCAGAATCAAGCCAACATGGCAGGTGGCATGACACCCCAAATGATGGCCCAGTATTGGCAGCGGATGCAACAATATTTTGCTTTGATGCAACAGCAAATGGCCTCAACCCAAGGCCAAGGGATGAACCCAGCAATGGGAGGTATGAACCCCGCTCTGTTGCAACAAATGCAGCAAATGCAACAAATGCAACAAATGAAGCAGCCAGGTCCCCAACAACAAGGTGGAATGAGCCCATCCTCTCAAACGCCCCCTAGCGCACAAGGAATGCAAGGAATGATGAACCCAGCGATGCAGCAGATGCAGCAGATGCAACAGATGCAACAGATGAACCAGATGCCCAATCAGGGTCAAGCAGGGCCAGGCTTCCCAGGTGGGATGGGCGGTCAGATGGCTGGAAACATGCCAGCGGCTGTTGCAGGAGGGCCTGGAGCAGCAGCTGGAGCGACGAACAACGCTGGCATGGGTGGAAATTTCGGTGGTAATAGAGGCGGTCCTGGGTACAACGCTCAGGAGCAACTAGCATTTGAGCAACAGAAGTACGAGCAACAACAGGCCCGACGGACAGTCGATCCTCGAGGCTACCCGGCATATCAACAAGGTAACCCAACCTCTTGGGAGGGAATGTATGACGATACACCGCAACCCAATTTGCCAACTGGTCCTCAGGGGATGGGCCGTGCCGGCAGTGCTGCCAGCTCTATGGGACGAGGGATGTCGCCAAATGTTGCAAATAAACCTCCTCAGCCCGTTACATCTCCACAACCGCAGAGTGCACCGCCTGCGAATGCTCCCACCGGTCCTCGAAATGCCGGAAGGCCAGGGGCTAATTATCGCGGGGGAGGTCGCGGAGCGCACCGAGGATTCCACCCTTACGCCCGCGGTTAACCAGGAGTTGTTACAATGGATAATGAAGACTGCGTCCTTGCTTTATTTCATGCAGCACACTAGCAAACCGGATCCATCTCAAATGCATAGCCCACGCCGAGTGAATAAAAGTATACCTTCCAGGTGAAACCATTCGACGCCTGCTCGTCCCAGAGGCGGATCTCCTAAAGGCTTTGACCACAGCTTGATTGATGATCGTGGGATTCTATCAATGGGGATCATCCTAACTCAAATGCCGTTTGTGTTCAAATTTTCGTTTCATCCTTGGTTTGTTGTTCTCCAACACAGAACTCTACACGAAATAATGAGGCGCAACTTTGCTCTAAGCACGGCCTCTTTGGAGGAAATCATTCTTCTACTTGTCCCAATCATTTCTTTTTCTTTTTTTTTTTTTTTTTTTTCTGAATTTCTCTTTGATTTGTGTGGTTTATATGGTGGCTTTCATTCAGTGTTCCCCGCTTGTTGTCTTTCTATGTTAACTATTTTAATACTAATGCCAAAAAAAAAATTACAATTACACGAGGTTTTTTTTTTTCGTTTTGCATATGCGTTTGGTCTACCACTATGATATGTACTATAATGGACTCATTGTTCACCAACTTATTCCTAAGGGCTTAAATTCAACGTGGAACTCTTCCCTCTAGCAGGAACGCTCCATAACATGTAGGACGCTCCCTAAAAACCACTCGATGGTAATTAAGATATAGTGTGTATGGAGTACCAAGGGATCTATATTGTAACAAAGTATAGCTGAATTTTCATGATTAAATCCACTCCCCACAATACCATTCCTATCTAAACATACTCTGGAAATCCGTCTGCGAGGCACAAATAATATATGACAAAAATGACGAAATGAACAAGTGACAAGAAGTCAGGCTCAGCCTTGCCCATTAGAAACCAGACTCCGTCCCCAGCGTAGGTCTCAACTCCGATATGTCAAAAACAAAGAAAAGAGGTCCTCAAACGCTTAGTTTGAAGGTCTGCTCCACCAAGTAACTCCCAAAGCTCCTAAAAAGTAAAACATGCGGACTCCGAATATACGGCACGGAATTTTCAAGCTTCGTGCAGAGAACATACTTATAAACAGTACAAAGGGGCGGTAGTAATATAACTGAGGAGTAGGAAAAAGGAGCAAAAAAAGAAAGTAAAAAGAAAACGAAAGAGGAGGTAGATGATTCACGGGTGAAAAGAAACTACATAACATAGAAAATAGAGATAGAAGAGTTCCCCTCGGGGTAGAAAAGGTAGTCATTTGCAAAAGGAACGAAAGATTTGAAAAAGAGAAATGAAGAGAGGAAAAACAAAAAGAAGAATGAAGGTTAGGGTTTTGATTTCGCTGCTCTCCTCCGAAGTCCGAAGTCTTCCTCTTGCAGTTGCCGAATGAGTTTTATACTATCTGGGTCAGCATCGACTTCTGCAAAACTGGTACGATCATGTGCTCTCCTGGCACTCGATGTTCCAGAGGCGCCGTCATTCGTATGGTGCGATGACCCCGGTCTAGACGACGCCTTTGATCGAACTGGAGAGGATGGGGACAGACCGGAGGTAGAGGCAGTAGCGAAGCTGCGATCTTTGGATGCGCGCTGTTTGGGGTTATCAACAGCAGCTGTATTGAGCGAGATAGGAGGATAGCGAGAGGGATGGTAAGACATAGAAGTTGGCGTATGAACCGATAAGGGTTTGTCGGTAGCTCGTTCACCGTCGATGGTTTTGCCCTTTTCACCGTCTAAAGAGCTTAGAATTCCGTCTATATCATCAACAAGTGATGTCGGGGGAGACACGAGGTTTCCAACGGGAAGTACTGATTCCGGAACTAGTGGATGTTCAGGTGCAGAATCTAACTCCGAAATTGCAGCCGGGGGAGAGGAATAAAGGGGACTTTCGCTGGGAAAATCAGGCTTGAGAACATGAGACTTGTCGGACCTCTCACGCGTATTGGCGACTTTGGGAGTTTGAGAATGACCTTTATCAGAGCCTGTAGCTCCAGGACGTGGTGATGATATGTCATCTGCGCGCTTTTGCTTTTTCAGTGGGCTCGATTTCTCATCGTCAGGGCGCGTACGCTTTGTTTTGGGTTGTTCTTGAATCTTTATCGGATCGATTCGACCAGCTTCATCGTGGATACAGCGACGCTGATACATATTAATCTAGGCTCTTCTAAATGATATAGGAAAGGGTATACTAACTTTACTCTTCCGACATTCTTCACAGGCTTTTATTCTGCCCTTCTTACCTGAACAGGACGAACTAGGGCTCGTTTCCTGGGGCCTTTTCAGTGTATTTCCATTCGTGTCCGATGGGTGGTGCGGGAGCGAAATGCCGCCTATCAGGGCAATATCATTATGATAAGGATGGGTATCCTCATTGACCTTGCCAGAGACATTGTCGGGCTCCAGTGTAACCAAGGGCGCCCCGGAGACACTAAATGCTGGATGACTGTTCGATTCCTTTGTCATATCTATTTGATCAGAGACGGCCTCGGCGCCTGTATCGCCCTTATGACGGCATTTAATACGGCGTTTTCGACAAGGGTCGCAGGCAACCCGTTTAGGACCAAGACTAGCAGCTTTAGGAGTCTGACGTGGGCTACTTTCCTGCCCCTTAACTTCGATGAGAGACGCTCTGCGAGTTTCTCGAGTAGGTGTTTCACTACTGGACGACGCGGAAACACTTCGTAGAGGCGTACCATTTGCGGCTTGCGAGCTGTGATCCGATGGTCTCTGGGATGTGCTTGGGGACGGCCTAGGCTTTTGAGAACCACTCATAGCACGCTCGGACTGTTTGCGTGGCCGCGTACTTCTGCGTTTATCAGACATATCAACCTTCACGTCCATGACAATCGCTCCAGGGCGTGTCCACTGGGGAGCAGGTTCGTTACCGCGTTTCCACGCGACCCAAACCCCGAATTTCTGCGCAATTTCAACCGGATCACCTTGACCTTTGGGAATGGACCTGCTGACTGCGTTCTTAGTTTCTTTCGTAACCCCATCGACCTTGTAGCCGCCCGCAATCAATGCGGTTCTCAGGATATATTTCGCCAACTCCGGCAGTCCATCAATTTCGCCTTGAGAATAGTACTTTGCATTGTAATGGTCTGACCCTGGCTCCTGCACTGCAACTGATCCGTCGACTGAGAGATGGTAGACTGGAGTCTCGCGGTGGAACTGGTAATTTTCATCTTGGAAAAAAGCGTCCAGAAGTCGTGGAGGTAACGGGTCGTCCGCCAGATATTTTAGGACAGTCAGCCACATAATTTTCTGGAAGAAAGGATATCGGAATTTTCTGGGGACTTTGGCGTCTTTCTCCATCTTGGTAATCTTGAGCTGCATAGCGTAATTCATCCTGGTCAGAAAGTTGCCGCCTATGACTAGGCTGTCCTCCGGCGTCCAAACGGCGTGAATCCAACCAGAGGGGATCAGCATGGTATCACCTTCGAAGAGGTCGACTCGATAGCATTCCTTCGACTCAGTACCTAGGAAAGTGGTATCCTGAGCTGGTGAATTACACCATTCGTCGTATTTTTTCAAATGTTTTTCCTTGGGTGGGATGAAGAAAAAGGTCTTCTTCCCTTTCAGAATATGGTAGTAAACCGACGATCCGCCAAAATCGATGTGGAAATCAGTGTAGCAGTCTGCAACGGACATCAAGCAGTAGAATTGAACCTTTGGATAGTCCCCTATGGCTTGCTGTTCGGGTGGCCACACTGAATCTTGGAGGTCTAGGTCGCGAACTACTCGGGGTCGTCGTAGCAGCCTTCCAATCGGAGATTGCGAGACTTCCAAGCTGATAACGTTCTTCACCACCTTAGACGAGCTAGTGTCGTAATAATAATCCACCCACCTTTGCATGTTCCATTTCTTCTCTTCGCCCTGCTGCGATTTAACGTCGATGACCTCTATCTTTTCCTCAAGTCCGTAGATCTCACCAACAGCCTTGACTGTAAGATCTTTTGGGATGACCATATCGAGGCGATCTTGGCCACAATCGATGGCCTCTTCGTAGCCGTCATCCTCGGGAATAGTTTTATCAAATTCTTCTTCCGTGGTAGCCTCGTGGAAATCGGCATTCGAGCATGGCGTACGCGGGTTCATGTGTGCGGGGATAACTATCGGCTCGATCATGCCAACGCCATGCTCGAAGTATGACGCAGTCACTAGATCTGGCGGCATCCTGGCGAAGTGGTCAGGTAGAAACGTTATCTTGCCCTGTTTTATTGATGTAAGATGTATATTCTCATGTTCTTCCGAAGGTGGTTTGACGAAACCCTGGTTTAGTCCTGCATAATCAATGGCTGTTCGTGGGCGAGTTGACTTGCGGACAAACGTTGTAGGCCCGTGTATGGGGCGGCACTGTGAGCAGATGAATTTGTCAACTGTGCGTATTTCGTGGTCACTCTTGAATCCGCAACAGACGATGTGGAACCACTGATCACATCCATCACAATTGACCCAAGTAACCTCCGTATCGTCTCCTCCGGCGTCCACTGGAATTCGATCCCGGTTACAGGCCGCGCAATTCGTTTGGCCAGATGTGCCGTTTTCAACATGTTCGTGCTTCATTTCTAGTTTAGATATGGTTGGCTGCTTGTCTTGGAGAGGGTTGGATGGCTGCAGAGCAGGTATGCTAGGGCCCCATGCAACGTTCTTTTTCGCTTTCCTGTCCTCCTCTTGCTCATCTTCTAGCACTGGCCCCATAGCGGAAGAATATAACGAAGAATCGGGCATAAAGCCATTCATCACGGGTCTGGAGAGAGCAGCGGCACCGTCTGATTGGGATCGTAGCCTAACCGGCGGCATTCCATTCATACCTCCGACTACAGACCAGGCCGAAGGACCCCTGTCGCGTGTCATATCGCTTTGGTCGTGATTTGAGGCCATCGAGGCATGGCCACGCCATGGTTCCGGGTTCCAGGAGTGGGCGGTATTGTCGATATTTCGGGCTAGCGCATCATGAGGCTGGAAATGGGGAGAGTTGGCAGGTCTGGCGAAGTTGAGCAGTAATTCAGCGTCCGTTTTCATGCTGTCAAGGGTGGAGACATGACTTGTTGCAGGTCTGTTACCGAACCTCTGCCAGCTGGGCGAGGGCGCCTTTTCAGACTTGGCTCGCTTTGACGGTCTCTCGTCTATATCAACGGAGCCGTTGCCAGCGAGTGGCGAGACGACTGGTCCGTCCGGGCCGTCATAGGTGAGGGGAGAAAAAGTAGGACTCGTAGCCAGGGCTATCGTAGCAAGAGTGTCGATGGTAGACCTAGATCTGGAGTGGCCTCCGGGCCTGCCCGGAGAATGGTGATGTTGTTGTTGGTTGTGAGAATGATGATGATGATGATGACTACTACGACTCTGATGCTGCTGTTCGGTGCCGGCAATGGACCGATGGCGAGCTTGTTTCCGCGCCTCGTCTATCGGGGCAGCTTCACCGTCTCGCCCGTAGCTGGTGATGCTTGATTTTCTCGAATGTTCACGGCGTGGGAGGGAAGCGGATGCCGGTGAAGGGGCGAAGGGGTTACGGGGAGAGAGAGGTTCGATCGCATGGCGCGGAGGGGACGGGGTGCGGTAGTGAGGGGGACGGTTGGTAGGATGAGCACCGAAGGAGGTAGAAGAAGCCATGATAGCAGCTCCTGATGAGGAAGACGTCGGCGTTGGATATCAGGTTAGGCGGAGGCGAGCATCGGCGCGTGGAAAGGTCAAAGGCGGGGGTGAGGGCTCTGGGAGACCGCGCTGGAGGCTATCGCGAGCGGCCGAGCAGGCAGATACGGCGCTGGATAGAGCTAGAAGAGCGAGTAAAGAGCTGCAGGTCAGCCGCTGCCATCGCTGGGCCGTAGATGCAGCGCCGGCCGAGGGGGATACCTGGCGGCGCGGACGGGAGATGGGAGAAATTGTGTACATACCTCGACTGGACGGCGGCGGTGATGCAGCGGGCGCAGCATCGACAAGGGGCCGAGCTGGCACTCTCAGCGGAATGAAGGGCCTCGAGCTAGAGACAAAAAGTTCCCATCTGCAGCGGATTGGCAGCGAGACGACGACGGCGCGGGTGGTGAGATGGCGGCCTGTTGATTTGACTTGAAGCTGCGATTTTGACTTGAAGAAGATGAAGTTGGTGTATCCAGATTACCGCGTTTCATAACATCCGTTACATACACCACCAAAACTTGGGCCTGTACTGTGTGACAATACATACGCTGCTGTATTTCCATGACGGCCCCATCATCAGCAGCTGTTCTTAGCCATTCATGTATAGTCATTCCCTTATTACCTATATATACTCTGTAGATATATATATATCTACCTACGTTTATAAATGTGTGTGTATGTTGTGTCTGATGTTGTGCTGATGTCGATGTTAGTGTATGTATCGATGACTGTGTATGGCCGTGTATGAGTATTGATGACCAAATGATGACTACTCATGATGACTAAAAGCTGACTAACATTACTCATCTCATGCCGCTTTTACCAGCCTGTGAGAGGTCACACCGCGCTCACGTGCGTCCTTCCGAGTTCGTCCATCGCCCGCGCAAAACCACCAAAAGGAAACGAGCAAAGAGAGAGAGAGAGAAAAGAAAGAAGTAAAAAGCCGAAGAAACACCAGGAACGAAGCGAAGCAGAAAACGAGCACTGAAGAAACACCTATCTCCCTTGCCCGGACGAACATACAACTGCAGAGATATGAGCCGTAGCGCCAAACTCGCCCCGGAAGCCAACAGGTAAGGCCTCCCTCCCTCCCTGACGGCGACAGCATCTCCAATCCAACTAGCCTGCGCGCTCCGTGGCAGGGCAGGGGAATGGCGATCGTCTTGGTTTGCAGCTTGAGGCTTGGTGCTGACATGCTCGTCGATAGGATCCTCTTTGTGAAGAATCTCAGGTATGCACGGCGTCCATATATACAGAGTATACCTCTCTAACCGCACAATTAGCTACAACGTTACTGCGGAGGAGCTCTTCGATCTCTTTGGCAAATTCGGCCCGATCCGGTGAGTCTTTTGGCCCTTGCGGTGGTACACGAAAGCTGCGGAGTGGTACTGACAGTGCTCCCAAGCCAAATACGCCAGGGCATCGCCGCAAACTCGAAAGGCACAGCATTCGTGGTATATGAGGACGTCTCGGATGCAAAGCAGGCTTGCGACAAGCTGAACGGGTTCAACTTCCAGAACCGCTATCTCGTCGGTCAGTGGATTCTCTCCCAGATGTAGGCCGGAGGTTAAGCTAACCCCCCCTCCGCAGTTCTCTATCACCAGCCAGAGAAGATGATCCGATCAAAAACAGACCTAGCCGCCCGCCAGGAAAACCTCGAACGCCTCAAGCTGCAGCACGGCATAGATTGACTACAAGCGCCCCAACACCAGGTGCTACACACTTCCTCGTCGACATGTCGAACCCGACCTTTTCCTTACCCGGCTCCGGCCAACAAGGCCAGCCTGTCCAGCTTGTGTATTCCACTTTCTGTCCCTGCTCCCGCTTCTCCCTCGGTTTCGGAGGAGACCAGGCGTAGGAGCCATGTTATTCCTTGTCATTCTTTGGCGGAGCGGTTTAGGGCGTTCGTTCGGTCGAGGCGTTTGGGAGTTACTTAGTGCGAGGGTTCTGGCATCGGGGATAGTTCTGCTCGCCGCGGCTTGACGGGACCGGGGGATGACGCTGGACTGGAGCCGATATATGTGCTATCACGGCCACTACATGCTTTTTATTTCACCCACGCTGAATTATACCATCTTTTCACGCCGAACCCTGCTCCTCCTATCGTAGACGCGTAGTACCATTCTCTTGTCACTTTTCCATCCCCTCTGCCTCTATGCCCTGGTCTATCCTACATCTATCCTTATAGACCTACCCTCTACCTACCTACATCTATCTCTATCTAGATCTATGCCAAGTATGCTGTCCAGGCCCAACTCGACCACACGTGACATTTCGGTTCTAATAGCTCGAAACTCTGAGTGTCAACATGATATAAAAACCACCACCTTCACGACCTCTCGCGGACGCCCGTCCGGCGGTTCAACCTTGCATCTTCGCATTCTGCAGAGTACGGAGTACATCGACTAGGCACTGCTACTGCAGGCCCTGTTACACGCTCTTTCAACGCATCCTTCATCCTCCGCCCAGTCACACACCTATGTAGACGGCAACCGCTTCAGCTTGCTCGTGAATTATTCACGTCCCTCCGTGCCGACAGCAGACAACCAGCCGGGCGAGAGGAATCCGCACAGGGAAAACTAACCATAGACTATCATACCCCATATCTGACGCAGCCATGGCAGCTGTAGCGGTTCCGGACAACTCTACACTTCTCCAGGCTACCACCACCATACTCGCCGCTACAATGGCTACGGGCACGAGCACGCCAACTGCATCGCCCACAGGAACGCCGCACTCCCCAGGTGATGGGGGAGAGGGGAAATGTGAACTACTCGGTCCCTTTGCCCTGGTCATTCAGGTAGCCCTGGGATCGTTGGCACTTCTGGTGCTGGTATATAAACGGTGGAAAGAGAGGCCGCAGCGACCCGTCAAAGTATGGGCATTCGATGTTTCAAAGCAAGTATTTGGCTCTTCGATGCTTCATCTGGTCAACCTACTTGCGTCGATGCTCTCGGCGGGCCAGATATCAACAGATGCCGCCCAAACAAATCCGTGCAGCTACTATCTACTCAACCTCGGGATAGACGTACGTAAATCCATCCCGGCCTCTTCTTATATATACTATATTTAAAGCTAACTTGACCCCGTCCAGACCACCCTCGGCATCCCGATTCTTATACTCATCCTCCGCGTCCTGAACCACGCTGCCTTGTACACTCCACTGGCCAACCCCCCGGAATCGATCGAGTCCGGCAACTACGGCCGTCCCCCAAACGTAGTATGGTGGTTCAAGCAATCCATGATCTACTTCTTTGGCCTCGTCATCATGAAAGCTTGCGTCCTATGCATCATCTACTGGCTTCCATTCATTGTTTTGGTCGGTGACTGGGCCTTACGCTGGACGGAAGGAAACACCGCCGTACAGATCTTCTTCGTCATGCTATTATTCCCCGTCATCATGAATGCGATACAATACTATATCATCGACATATTCATCAAAAAGCGCGCCTTTGAGCACGACGAATCCCTTCATCCTGACGAGCATGACCATGACTTCGACTCGGCTTCTATCAGCAGTGATAGGCACCGCCGTAGTGCACTTCTTGCTGGGCTGGATGATGACGATGATGACTATCCCGGTAGTGACGATGAGGCCAACGATGCGGCACATGTCATCTTTTCCGATGACGAGGACGATGCGAAGCCGACTAATGGTCAAATCACCACCCGTAAATCACCACCGTTACCACATATCTAGGCTCACTTTGTCTGGTTTTTCTTTTTTTTTTTTTTTTTGCTCTCCTTTATTACTTGTCATTCGTCTCAAGGCACCGGTGCAGGGGGCGTTGATTCATTGTTATACAGCAGTTTGTTAAATTACTTGCATATCTTGCATACCCATGTATAGTTTTGGTTCACTTGTAGTATCATCGTTATTTACTCGTTTATCACAACTCTACCAACCTTATATATAGGAACGAAGTATTGCTATTAGGACCGTCATCTCGGCTGAGAGTTTCTTCCAGACGACCCCTCTGATAAGATATCGTAACGTCAAACATGATGTCATATAAAATAGCTTGCGGTCTTTGGAGTAGAAAAAAAAAGTCTTGGCGTATAATACCAAAAACACAAAATTCGTGATAAAAGTCGAACCTTTTTGCGACAAGCACCCAGCTTTGTGAAAACAGGCTACACACCAAGATAATTTTTATTTCTAACGGGGTACCGGTGGCTGTCTCTCGTTTATAATCCCCTGTTATTCCCAATTCAATAACCATGGCCCCAGAGCGAAAATTTCGACCCCAGAAAGCAGCCAAAGTCGCATTCGCGGTTGCTGATGAAAATGATACCAATGGCAATGCGAAGGGCGACCTGCTTGAAAAGGATGAGACTGAAGAAGAGCTAGAAAGGCTGATATTCGGTGACTCTGAGGGGTTCCACAGTGCACTCAAGGAGCACGATGATTCAAGAGACCTGGTTCTTGCAGCTGGATCAGGGTCAGAAGATGAATTGGGAGACGGAAATGCGTCGGAGGATGATTTGGCAGGTGTAGCTGATGCCGATGTATGATTCCTTTTTCTTCTCCTCTTAGAAGATACTCCGTACTAACCTATGTCGTTACTTTTACAGCTATTCTATCTCGACGCTGGGGACTCCGTTCCTCTGGCTGTTATGCCAGAGGATGGACAGCCAGCCGGAGAATTAGACTCATTTGCAGAGTCAGGGATCCCTGCCGCATGGGAGGACAGCGACGACGACCGCATCCGGGTCTCCCTAGCTGATAACGAACGGCTGAGAAAATTACGACTTACGGAGGCTGAGGATGTGATAAGCGGGAGAGAATATATTGTCCGTCTTAGAAGACAGTTTGAACGACTCCAGCCGGCTCCAGAATGGGCTAACCCTGCGCCCAAGAGACGAAGGACGGATGCGGAAGACATGTCTGATCAGTCGATGGATTATGCGGACTCCGACGAAGAAGACTCCATGACAGCACAGCCCTTGGCAAAGTTGTTGCAGAATATAGGTGATTTGACTAGGGATGTCTCGACAGATGCAGCTACCGGGAAGCGGAAACTCCGTCAAGGTGTCTTGGACGTTCAGCGTTCGAAAGATGTTGGTGGAAACCAACCGGTATGTTTCCCACCATAATTATCCTATGCTACGTAGCATAGGGGACTATTGGATGCGTTTTACTAATATACTTACTTTAGTCCTCAATTGACTCGCTATCATTCCACCCCCATTACCCCCTCCTACTCTCTTCGGGGCCGGCTTCTACCCTTTTTCTGCACCATATATCACCCGAGGCTGCTTCTCCCAACCCACTTCTTACGTCCCTCCATATTCGCCGTACGCCTCTTAGGACTAGCGCCTTTGCTCCTCCAACAGGCAACCGTATCCTTTGTTCTGGCCGTCGACGATACTTTCACGTCTGGAACCTGGATACGGGCAAGATCGAGAAAATCAACGGCCCAGCTGATCGTAAACACGAACTAAGATCCATGGAACATTTCAAGGTGTCCCCATGTGGCCGCTGGATCGGATTCGAAGGCACCACCAAAAAGGGCGGTGGAGTTATCATCGTTCTTGACGCAACGACCATGCAATGGACAGCTCAAGTACGTATCGACAGTCGCGGAGGAGTTGCAGACTTCGCCTGGTGGAGGGATGGAGAAGGTATGTGTGTAGTCGGTAAGAATGGTGAAGTTAGCGAGTGGGACCGACGTGAGAAACGCATTATTTCCCGATGGGTTGACGAAGGTGCCGTTGGCACAACAATCTTGAGCCTGGGAGGACAAACGGGCCGACAAGAACTGGGAGGCGATAGATGGGTTGCCATTGGTAGTTCCAGCGGTATTGTAAACATCTATGACCGAAAGCCTTGGGCAGATGCTGCTGCGTTAGCCAGCAGAGGCAAGTCATCACAATCAGTCAAAGAAGCGGCGGATGTTCAGTTTGGAATCCCCCAAAGGCCGAAACCGACTCGTATGTTGGATCAATTGACAACCCCGACCAGTCATCTCGTATTTTCCAGCGACGGGCAGTTCCTCGTTATGGCCAGCCGTTGGAAGAGGGACGCATTGAGACTCAGTAATACTGCCCTTTCACCCTTAGCCCCTTATTCGCCATAAAGCTGACAATACTTTCTTGCTATAGTTCATCTACCATCATGTACTGTCTACTCGAACTGGCCAACATCCAATACACCTTTTGGCCGTATATCTGCGGTGGCCATATCTCCAACTTCGAATTCGCTAGCGGTTGCAAATGAACAAGGTAAAATCCGTCTTTGGGAAATTCACGGATAGTATATACTTTAGATTTAGAATTGGTATCGAGACTGGGATATATTCAAAGTTCATTTATATACCACCCGCCCGCCCCTTTACCTTGCAGTTTGTATACAAAGGCTTTTGGCGTTTGGTGGTAAAAAGGTCAGTGTACTGCTTGTGCTCTTTCTATATCCAGGAGGAAGAATTGAGAGCTTGAGATATCCAAAATATGAAATTTCTTCTAGATCCATAACATCCCCCAGCGCCTGTATTCGACGACATGTTGAAGTGAAGGGAGAGTTTTAACCAATAAAATCTGTCTATCGAGCCAGCATAAGATACCCAGTATACCTCCAAAGTTCATATATGAATTTTAGTACTATCCATACTTGCTACCTAGCTTTTGAGCATCTGGGTTATGTTCTCCTTGTTCCGGACACCAGCCAAGTTACCTGCCTTGACACGCTCCAGGGTCAACGCAGCGATAAGAGCTGCACCAACACCTGAACCATCTTCGGCAGAGCTCATAACAACCTTATCCGCTTCGTTATCAGCCCAGTCAAGGATCTCGCGAAGGGCCTTAGCACCTCTCTGCTTGAAGTGGGGATACTTGTTAAACACAGAGCCATCGGCACCAACGTGGCAGGATGTGATGTTCTTCTTCTTGCAGATTGCAGCAACCCCACAAGCGGAGATACGGGCAGCTCTGGTTCCGATAAGTTCGGCAAGACGTCTGCACAGCTCAAGCTCTGGTTTGGTAGGCTGGATCCCAAGGGTACGTTCAAAGAGGTCGCGAGATTCAGACAAGTTCTCAAACGGATCCTCTTCAATGGCCGAAAGGAAAGATGAGTCCAGGAAGTATGGTTTTCGGAGGTTATCGGTCTTTTGACCCTGGAAGATGATACCGCCTTTGTTATCAATGATGTCGACCAGAACGAGACGGAAGATTTCGCCGAGGTAGAGACCAGCGGTCATTTTCTCGAACGCCTGTTGCCCTGGACGAGGAGAGTCCCGGTCGATGATCTTGTCGTATGTGGTTAGGGGTAGGACGATGCGCTCGTTATCGAAGGCGCCGTACTCGCAATTTATCGCAACTGGGGTGTCCGGGGGCAGATTATAATGTGCGATTTTGGGTATTGAACCAGCATTTTCCATATATGCGGCATTGACACCGGTTCCGAAGATGCAGCCAATCCGCATTTCAGAGTCGGTATACGAGGAAGCGATCAACGTTCCGGTAGTATCGTTTATCAACGCGGCAACTTTAATGGGCAGCCCCTTGAATTGCGCAGGTTAGCATGGAACGATGGACAGTAGCATAGCGGCAGATGGTGGGGGTGTAGTTACCTTCTTTTCTAGTGCACTCTCCAACATGGGCACCACATCCTCTCCTTCAACTCCATCGATATCAAACCCTTTGGTCCATCGCTGTAGGACACCGTGGTCAATGTAATCTTGGGTTGCCGGGTAGGAGAAAGTGAAACCCAGAGGCAGATCAGGCAAGTTCTCTTCATCGTGGTGATATTCAATAAACTGCTGAACGCAGTCGGCGATGTACTCCCATAGCTCTTCCGAAGTACCAGATTTCAATTCCTCCGGTATGCGGTACTTTGATTGAGTAATGTCGAACTCCCCCTTTTCTTCTGACAGGACAATCTCGCAAACACGCAGGTTGGTGCCGCCCATATCTAGTGCAAGGAATGTACCCTGTTCGTGGCCCGTGGGGAATCCCAGAACCCAGGTAACGTTCATAGGCTATGCATTTATAGTCAGAACTCCCCCATATTGAGAACCTCACTGGGCGGGGTGGTGGGAGAGAAGACGTACAATATTTCCACCTTCTACGGTGAGGCCTGGTTTGTCTCTTGTTAGCTCCAATGTATCCATAGCATAGCTTATAGGCAAGCCGGCGACGTACCCTTTGTGAGCTCATTGATGAAATGCTCAACGATTTTCTTCAGCCTGGCCGTATCGACTGTGAAGGTCTCTTCCAATGCTTTGATCTCGTCAAGCAGGGCCTTGGGCATGTCGACCATGGATCCTACAGCATCCAGTATCAGCAGCGCCCTCCAGCCGGCCAGAGAAGCACTCACCCTTGCGGGACGGCCGCTTGCGAGGAACTGGAACCATTGTGTCTGCTGTATCGACTGTCTACCGAGCTATAAATCGTAACAAGGAGCTGTCAATTGTGTATAACGAGGGTGAGATAGGAGTTGGAGAGACGAAGGAATGGCGGGGTGGAGGGCGTTGGGGGCAACTTAAGTAGCTAAGAAAGTTAAGTTGGTTCGAGGCCAATAACAGCTTCATCTGCGCGCCGTCAGGGATCCCATTTGCTTAATATATCTCACCGCAGGATCTGGCCTCTGGTGATATCATCTGCTCTTGGCCGTATAAACTTGGTTGAACAGGGTGTCCTTGTCTCTGCAGCTACGGTGATAAGTTGGGGACAAAGGAAGTTCGGAGTACAGAGAAATTGAGATATATATCAAAGCTAGAACAAAGTCGACAATCCTCCTCTAACTATCCTCACTATGAGTAAATGAATTATATACCGCCTATCCTCAATCATTATGGTCATTACTCAGGTCTGGTTCTGAATCCAGTCTAAAATCATACTGAAAGTCGTCCATCGTTCATTCTCACGAAACAATACCGGTTAAAGCATCGATCTCGGCCTGTATCACTGTCGGCTCGTTTGCCTTGTTCACATTAGTGGTCCTTTGGGTCTACCGGCCTGAGCTTGTTATCTTCCCCCGGCGAAGATACCTCAAGGGTAGCCATTGATGCGGTTAACTGGTCTTCGGCTGGCCGTGTCTCTTCATTTTTGATAGGCTCGTCTAACTTCCTCTCACCTTCTTTCTCCTGAAGTGCTTCTAGCTGAGCCTTTGTCCGTGTTTCATGGTCCCGGGAGACCTTTAGGGCAGACTCTACTTCTGCCGAGAGACGGTCTACTTCGTTGTGAAGACGCTCATCCTGAGTTGCTGGTTCCTTCTGTTGCTCCTGACTCTGCTTGTCCTTCTCCGGACACGTCTTGGCCCAGAGCTCTTCCAGCTCCTCTAGCCATCCGAGAGCATCTGCCAGCCGTCTCACCCCCTTATCGCAGTCCCCCAGGATTAGTACATCGTCCGGCCGCGATCCCAGGGAGCCGGCCTGTTCAAGATTGATAAGAATACGGGGGGTCTCCTCCCGACATAGACTTGGTAAGCTAGCAAACGGCTGAACGCTGAGACTGGTGCCCATGACGATGCACAGATCCGCCTCAGCAGGCAGGTCACGGTTGGCGAAAAAGTGCGAGGGCAGAGCTTCCCCGAAGAACACTATGTCTGGCTTGACGAGTCCCATACACTCTGGACATAAGGGTATATCATTGGCCGCAATCGCCTTGATCATCAAATCGTCCGGGTAATCGGTCCTGCAGTCTATGCAGCTATGCGTGGCAAAACTCCCGTGTGCTTCGACAATTAGCTCTCCGGGGACACCAGCCTTTCTTTCCAGGCAATCGATATTCTGCGTAAAGAGCTTCAAAAGCAGCCCCTTATCGTAAAGCAGCCTTAGGAACGAGTGAGTGATGCTCGGCCTGAACTTGCCAGGGAACATCTCCCTCGCCAGTGCGTAGAACGGATGAGGATTCTGGCGAAAATAAGTTATATCAAAGACAGCTTCGGGATGCGGCAGGTTGAGGCGCGCGAGGTTGGCGTAGAGACCTGTGTCTGGGGAGCGGAAGTCGGGGATGCCTGCAGATGTACTGATGCCAGCACCAGTCTATACGCCGTGAGTGAGTGACGAGGGCTTCCTGGCCTGCGTTTGGAGAGGATAGACGTACCATGACCACGATCTTGCGGACTTTCTTCTCCTTGATATATTTAACGACGCCCTCGAGAGTGCGTTTCTCCAGTGTCGTCGGAGGGACGCTTTCGTCCACCATCTTCGAGGATTCTGCCCCCATTTCTGCTAGTCGCTATGTCTTCCTCTTTCAAAGGCAGTAAGAGTTGTATCCGACGGTATAGGGTGAGTCTGCTGGAATCCGGAGTTGATAGTTGATAACGCGAGAGCCTTCAAAGTGCGGGGAGCTGGAGATGAGGCTCTCGAGATAGTTACAAACCGCTTGGTGACATTCGCCAGCCACCAAAGATGTTAGAAGACGGAATGATCCTACGTTAGCCAACGAATATGCCAAAAGATACAGAGTACAAGACCTGCGATATACAAATCGACGCTCGTTAATGCGAATATAGCTGCCAGTGGAATATTATTGTCACGAACCCGGCCCCTCGACCCACTGGAAGTTCGTTCCTTTTGCTGGCCTGAAATATTTATATTTGTATATTTAACTACTCAACACAACCACATCCTCTGCCCAACTCCTGCCAGGCCATTGTATGGAACTGAGACATGACCAGCACCGCCAGAAGCCATCACGGCGGTGTTAACAGCCACAATGGCGATCTACCGTCACCGGAGAGATTAAACGGGCTGGATACACGCAAACCCTTGACCCTTCCACACGACCGCAACGACGACAACGACATCTTCAACGCCAGCTCCGTAGCAGATATCAAGGCCACCCTCTCCCAGCTACAAGACAAAGAGGCACTGGTGACCGCCCGCCTCGATGCACTCGTGGCATCCCAGAAAGACCTCTCGCGAGAACTGGGCCGTCTCGACCTGCTACGAGCTCATCTGGGGACGCAGGCCAGCACCACCCGCTCAATTAGCCATGACATGCTGTCCGGCGCTGCGTTGTCCGCCCACAGCCTCTCCAGCGCCGTGAAGAAACTAGACCTCGAACAGTCCCGCGTGAAGTCGATACTGGATATGGTGGGACAGGTTGCGGAGCTGAAGGCGTGTGTCCTTGGGGTTGCAGGGTCGATGGGAGCACCGCAGAACTGGGAAATGGCTGCGTCGTATATGCATCGGGCGTCAAAGATACCCAAGGACGTTATAAACGGCTCGTTCGCTGCAGAGATTGTACCGACTACTGAGGTGCCGGACACGCCTAATGTGACTCTCTCCAATGCTGCCGAGTCCCTGTGCGCTCTCTTTCTTCGTGAATTTGAATCTGCAGTCAAGGAAAACGACGGGGCAAAGATCACTCGGTTTTTCAAACTGTTTCCATTAATTGGCAAGTCTGACGTCGGGCTGGATGTTTATGGCCGATACGTATGCCAGGGGGTAGCCACAAGAGCCCGGTCAAACCTCAATGCGGGAACAGGAGGAGCACAGGCAAAGGATGACTTCTTCTACGCAAATGCGTTGTCGAGGCTATTTGAACATATTGCCCAGATCGTGGAAGCCCACGGAGCCCTGGTCGAGAGACACTATGGGCCCGGCAAAATGAGCCGCGTTGTTGAGAGGCTACAGGTCGAAGCAGATGTTCAAGGAGGGATCGTTTTGGAGTCGTGGGCTGAAGAACGACATGTAGATCGCAAGCTGACAGATATCAAGTCCTACGCGTTTACATTTTTGGTGCAAAGCTTTCTACCCGCTGCCAGAGGACCTGGCACCCCGCGCGCCAATTCCCCGGCCAGTTGGGATGCAGCACCGCAGCGCAACAGTGAAGATGAAGGTGTCGATATGAAGGAGATTGATGCTATTCTGAATGAGATATCAGTTATGTTGGGTAGATGGTCTCTTTACGGGAGGTTCCTGGCGAGTAAATGCAAAGTATGTTGCCCTAGTCTTCAACCGATATAATAGCAGGCAATACTAATAAACCAACGCAGGAAGTAGATGCAAGTGATGACGATGATCTCGAGCTACCGCCATTCCTAACAGAATCTCCGCTAGCCCAAAAGGTTACCGCGAAGCTGCTCTCGCCGTATAATGCGATGACGACCTTCTTCCTCCGTCGTTCTGTGGAAAAGGCCTTCCAGCTTGACGAAGCTCCCTCTGATCTATCATTGGACCTTCGGAGGCCGCTGGTCTCCAACCCACCGCACATCACATCCGTCGTTGACGATATTATGTATATCGTTAACAAAGTCATACAACAAACACTAGCCACATCTCAACGGCCAGCAGTAACTAACGTAGTGCCTACCATTGCTCGCGTGCTTGGTGGAGATTTCATTGGTATGGTCCACCGCAAGATGCGTGATGAGACGCATCCAAGGCCCGTCGTGCCGGGAGGTTCGCCTCCTGCTGCAACGGTCGTCTCGTTCCTCGTCCTCGTTAACAATCTCGACGTCGCCGTCGGCTACCTGGAGCGTATCGTGAAACGGCACATGGAATCGACAGATACTGGAGGCGACATTGCCAACGATGCTAACGCCCAATCACGGATAGCTACTCTTTTCCCCCTTGCGGATGACGCGCAGGTAGTGCTGAGCACATTGAGATCGCTCTCCGCAACGTTCACATCCAAAGCACAGGATCTTATCGGTGATGGGATACAGGTCATTTTTAATAACGTGCTGAAGTCACGACTCCGCCCTATCCTCGCTGACGCCTTCCGGGACATTGAGTATCAGCCACAAGATGGTGAGGGGGATGACGGAGGATATGGAGCAGCCGGAGGTGGAGAGGATGACGGACTGATGCCCCACGAAGCTGGACTTCCTGGCCTCGTCCGCCAGCGATTCGCGAGTGGGTGGCGCGACCTCATGCTTCCGATAGCACGTATACTGACGGAAAATACATTCGACCGTCTGCTTGGCGTGACGCTCACGTCGCTGGCCAGGCTGCTGGAGAAACGCCTGTGGTCTTACCACGGCCGCGTTAATGCATTGGGCACTACCAGGCTAGAGAGAGACGTCACAGGCATAATAACAGCTGCCGTAGACGTGGCTGAAGGTCACCACCATCACCACACTGCGTCCGGAGACAGAGGCGGCGGCAGCGGTGTCGGCGGCAGGGCGGGTCGCTACCGTCACCGCGAGACGTTTGCCCGCTGTGCCCAGATGGTGATGATCATGGGCATGGAGGAGGAGGAGTGGGAGGAGATCTCGCAGTCTGACGGGGACGTGGTGGACCGACTATCGGCGGAGGAGCGCTCCCGGGCCAGGGCCATGGTCGTGTAGCTACAGACAGACGTATGTATCTTATCCTTCTTGTTTATCTGCATTATCTATGTTACGTACATCCTCCAAAGCCTCCTCGAAACGGCATCTGGTCGTGCCTCGGCCGCTGCAATGTTGATCCGCCGTTCGGTCGATGTCCGCCCCTATCAGGATTTCTCGTCTCTTCGCTAAAGTCCTTCGTGTTATCAAATCTCTCACAAGCAAAAGCAAACCGATAAAGGAGAGTTTTCTGATAAGTGATTTTCCCGCCACCAAATCAAGCTTCCTCCCATGTCGCCCCGATTCTTGTTATCAGCCAATAGTGCGCCTGCAGGAGGATTAAACAAAGAAGCTTATCGGCCTCTAACGCTGGTCGTTCCAAGGGTCTCCTCCCTAGCCTCGCTCACAGGAACTCGGTCGGCTAGGCTGGTGGGCGGATTGGATAGAGGGAGGGAGGCAGAGGGAGTTCGTCCGTTCTTATCTTTGGTCTGGGGAACAGGCTGAAAAGTTTGCTTATCTGGGCTATCTCAGGTCTATCTTGAGCTACTCTACGCGCTACTGTGGCTAAATTTGACTCTCCTTCAGCCGCGCCTCCTGTGCATCCAGGCAAGGATATGATATCGTGTGCCTGAACAGCTCACGATGGTACCTACACGGCACATGTACCTCCACGGACAGACATCTATATGCATCTCCATCTGCATATATTCCATTCCATACCATGTTCAATGGCATGCCATGGAAGCGTGGTATATAAGCAGTGCTTTTATGTACTTCTATGTACCTGACTAAGCTCCTGGATCTTCCGGGCGTTGAAAAGCTCTTCCTAAACCTTCCGCGTTATCTATCAGGCCAACCGGGCGAATCAGCGGCCGGCTATCTGTGATATCTCTGAGCCTTTCTCTATCTTCACTGACGCTGGACGAACACCTCCACGTTATCGTCTTACTTCCCGCTCGCTCGCCTGCTGCGTTCCAGCTTTCGTGGCTGGGTCGGTCACCGCCTCCAGATGCGTCTTTTTCCCGGCCCGAGACCTGGGATGGAGGACGGAGTGATGTTTCCTCTGGCTCCTTTTAACCTAACCATGCTCCCCCCTGGATGAATTTATTTTCCCTATTCCACTTCTCTCTCCATCCGTCTTTCTTTACTCCTACCGGTAGATGATCTACAGGGTTCATACGTCTCCAAAAATCTACATACTCCTATCTGTAACTTCCCCCTTCGTTCCACCAAAAGGCCGCCTACAGGGTGGGTGAGCAGTAGGACCGAAAATGCCGGCTCCCTATGCCCCTGACTATGCTTCCTACAACTGGACTGGCTCCCCTTCGAACTTCAGCCTCTCCACAAATACCGATTTGGGTGGTGACTCGCGTGAGTACTCTTTGTCACTATTATGCGAGGGATACACGTATTAATTAAACTACTATAACAGGAGTCGAAAATGTCAACAAGTGGTTTCAACCTGGGGACCAGGCGTACATACTCGTCGCCTCGGCCATGGTCATGGTCATGGTCCCCGGCCTGGGTTTCCTCTACTCTGGTCTTGCCCGTCGAAAGTCGGCCCTGAGTATGATATGGGCTTGTATGGCCTCCATGTCCGTTATCAGCTTCCAGTGGTACTTCTGGGGTTACTCTCTAGCATTCTCGCCCACCGCTACCAACGGGTTCATTGGAAACCTACGAAACGTCGGCCTGATGAACGCTCTGGCTAACCCTAGCCCTGGTTCCCCCCTTCTCTCTGACCTGCTCTATGCCTTCTACCAGGTATGATACAACAACATGTTCCCATGTTTAGTTATATACTAATGCAATAAATGTAGTTACAATTCTGTGCTGTTACGGCTGCCATCGTCATGGGTGCCGTCGCCGAACGAGGACGTCTACTTCCTGCCCTGGTGTTCATTTTCTTCTGGGCTACCCTCGTCTACTGCCCGGTTACTTGCTGGGTTTGGAATCCTAATGGCTGGGCTTTCAAATACGGTGTCATGGATTATGCTGGTGGTGGCCCAGTTGAGATCGTCTCCGGCATGTCCGCCCTAGCATACTCGATGGTACTGGGCCGCCGCCATGAACGCATGATGATCAACTTCCGACCTCACAACGTCTCCTTGATATTGCTGGGCACGGTTTTCCTTTGGTTTGGTTGGCTGGGCTTCAACGGTGGTTCTGCTTTCGGTGCTAACCTCCGTGCTGTCATGGCATGCTGGAACTCCAACCTGACTGCCAGTTTTGCTGCTATGACTTGGGTACTTCTCGACTGGCGTCTTTCGAGGAAATGGTCCATGGTCGGATGGTGTTCTGGTACCATCTCGGGTCTTGTCGCCGCCACACCTGCCTCTGGTTTCATCCCACCGTGGGCGAGTGTGATACTCGGAATTGTTACCGGCTGTGTTTCCAACTACAGCACCAAGTGTATGTTGCCATTCATATATTCCCGTTTATACTCGTTCCGAAGCTAATCTTTATAGTGAAATACTGGATGGGTATCGATGATTCTATGGATGTATTCGCAGAGCACGGCGTTGCTGGTATCGTGGGCCTTTTATTCAACGCCCTCTTCGGAAGCGATGCCATCGTAGGCCTCGACGGAGTCAGCGTTGGCGCTAAAAACCCAACCACCGGCACTGCCGTTGGAGGTTGGATCATCCACAACTACCGCCAGCTGTACATTCAGCTAGCCTACATCGTCGCTGCGGCAGGCTACTCCTTCGTCGTTTCTGCTATAATCGCCTATGCTATCAACGTAATCCCTGGCCTCAAGCTGCGCGTCTCCGAACAAGCAGAGCTCCTAGGCATGGATGACGACCAGCTAGGTGAATTCGCATACGATTATGTCGAAGTACGACGTGACTATCTAGCCTGGACTCCCCAGAAGAACGACCAGGTGGGCCAGGACAGCAGTATCGTTCCTCGTGCCAACCTCTACGGGTGCGGCGAACACAGTGGGATGTTCTCCAGCCCGGGACAAGAAGTGAAATGCCAACACACTTCTCCATCAAAGTCTTCTTCGCAAACACACCTTCGAGACGTCACAGCTGTTCCTTCAGTTGTGGTTGCACCAGAATCTACCGGACGGACCAGTGAACATGTGGAAATGACTGAAAAGGCTTAATGAATGCCCAATGGAGTATTTGTGTCTTTCAATCTTATTTCGTAACGTGTCCACGGAGTTTCACGGTTTGTCTCGAAATACCCTACCTTGATTATTTTCGTTACCGATCTGATTTTCAGCGCGAGGTGTTACAGGCGTTTAGCAACAATGGGTTTTGTTTAGAGGGGATTCCCTCTTAATTGATTTTATCTATATTTAACTAGAGAATAACTAATTCAACCAATACTTTACTTATACATTTACTCGGGTTTAATCATAACTATAGCTATAATAAAGCCAGATAGACGGCTAGAAGAGAATAGCAACACTACAAATTGGTAGAAATAATTCCTTGGATGGGTCATAATTGCTCCCTTCGTCTGCTTTTAATATTTCAAGGTCGTCAGCGTCTCTCGCTGGTTTCCTTAAAGCCGTCTAGTTCGACAAGTACTCCAAGACGAGAATTGCCAATTACGTAGGGATCGAGACTGGGCGGGACAAGGACCCAGACGTGCAGTGCACGAAATGCTACAAGGGTTATTAACCAACAAGGCCTGCAACAAGCGGACATAATCTAGCTAGTAACCAGCTGCTTCCTCGCCAGGATTACTTACTAGTTGCGGCGCCGATAGTCGAGACTCGAACTCATATGTAGACAAGGGCAAGCCTCTCACGATAATTAAGCAAGGAGAAGCGTTGAAGCCTTTCTAGTATGTTGGTATTCCGGAATGATAATTTCAAAGATCCACCGCTCTATATGATACATGCCACTAGAACCAGGTATGCCCCCAACTAATAAACACAAGGAAGAACAAAAAATTGTAGTAAATAGGTGAATAAACATAAGCTTCCTCGTCTTTCGTCCGTTGGTCGCGCGACTCGTTTCCTTTCTATACATTGCCACTATACCCAATAACACTAGCCATCATTCCCCCAGGTGACGAAGCTGGAACTCCCATACCGCCTATCTTCTTCTTCCACAGCAGATATTTCCGGGCTTCGTCTGCCCAAAATACAGAACTAGAAATACACACTAAACAAACCAGATCCCAGAAACCCAGACCTTCTGTCTGGAAAATCCCTTGTAAAATAGGTAAATAGATAACACAGGCTTGACCGAATAGGGAGCCTAGAACAGCATAGTTAAACATCTTGTTACCCGTAAGGGTTAGTTCGCCGCGTAGCAATGATTTGGATTCAGATCGACAGGCAAGAGCATTAAACATGTCGAAGAGAACGAAGCAGGTGAAAGTCATGGTGGTGTCTCGGCGGGTGACAACACGGGAGCGTGCGCCTGAAACCTCGTCGGTGTGGTCGGCCATTTGGTGGATGTAGACGGCCAGAGTGCCTATCATGATAAAGCATGCGGAGGTTAAGACACGGCGGATGAGAGGTTTGGTGAGAACTCGTGCATGTTTGGAGCGAGGAGGCCGGACCATTATTGATGGATCAACTGGCTCGACACCGAGAGATTGGGCGGGTGGGCCGTCCATGAGGATATCTAATAAAAATATTAACAACGGAGTCCGTCATGGGTGATTGTGGGGATGACTTACTGATCCATAGTATTTGCATGGCATTTAGAGGATTCTTGAAGCCCAGTCCAGTGCTGACGAGGACTAAGCTCAGCGCCGCTACACTAGTACTCAATTGAAATGTGATGAAGTTTTGAATGTTGTAAAATATTCCCTTGCCTTGCTCAATTGCTCGTAAAATCGTCGAGAAATCGTCATCCGTTAAGATCATGTCAGCTGCCTCCTTTGCAACATCAGTGCCTAGTTTACCCATAGATATACCGATATCTGCCTTTTTCAGGGCGGGTGCGTCGTTGACTCCGTCGCCAGTCATGGCCACAACGTCGCCTCGTGATTGAAGTGCTTTCACGATCTTCATCTTATGGTCTGGACTGGTTCTTGCGAATATCGAGGTTCCGGCAATTGCCTGTGCCAACTCTTCGGTGGTCATGTGGTCGATTTCATCGCCCCGAAGGACTGGTCTTGCGGTGGAAGATGCATTTATTGGCATCCCAAGTTTCTTTGCAATGGCAACAGCAGTAGTTTCCGCATCGCCGGTAATCATAATAACCTTGACTCCCCCGGCCATGAGTCGCCGGATGGACTTGTGAACATCTTTCCTAGGCGGATCATTCATGCCGACTAGACCGGCAAAGATAAGCCCGGTGTAGCGCTTTTCATCATTACTTGCTGTGTGCTTCGAAGCGGCCATTTGACTTCTAATCGGCCCACTAGCGAATCCAAGAACCCGAAGACCTTCCTGGGCCATTGACTCGGCGGCCATTTTAGCAGCTTTTCTCCGCTGTTCGTCTAGGATAACCTCCCTTCCATCCTTGGTAAGGTAGGTATCGCATCTTTTCAAAACTTCCTCTAATGCGCCTTTGATATAAGCCATGTCTGAGCCGGTGTGGCTGATAGCATTATCAGTTGAAGATGCACTTGCCACAATAACGCCCATCCACTTTCGCTCCGAGCTAAAAGGGGTTTCTGAGACCCGGCCGCTGATCACGTCCCGGACATCGTCTTCTCCTAGGGTATCTAGCATATCAAGGATTGCAACATCGGTAGGCTGGCCAACCCAACGACTCTTAATGGCTCCCGAGGAACTATCCATCGTGGAAGATAGGACAGCAGCGGAAGCGGCCGTTGCTGGAGAGTTCGCATGGGCTCTTGATAGTCGACTATTGTTTGCAATGTTGCCTACTCGCATGATTGTCCGAGCAGCCGGAGTAAGGTTAAGTGGTGTATGCTCCTTGTTCACCTCGAATGGCTGCTCAATATCGAAATGCCACATTTTGGTCACAGTCATATGGTTCAAGGTCAACGTGCCGGTTTTGTCACTGCACACGACGTTGACTGAACCTAGCGTCTCTACACTAGGTAGCCGCCTTACAATTGCACCACGGTTCGCCATTCTTAGGACACCGAGCGCAAGTGTGACAGTTACAATGATCGGAAGACCCTCGGGAATGGCAGCAACAGCAAGGGAGACACCGATCGTGAACATTTCCAGCAATTTCCTGCCTTGTATTAACCCGACCACAACAATAATCCCAATCACGATGAACGACATGTAACTCAATTCTTGGCCGAGTCGATCCATGGATAGCTGTAATGGCGTCCTAGGGCTTTCAATATCCTGTAGAGAGGCAGATATGCTTCCAAACTCCGTGTTGGGTCCAGTGGCAATAACGATGCCCTGGCCATGGCCAGATCTGACCAATGTGCCCATAAACGCGATGTTATGTTGCTCATTTAACCGAAGGTCGGTCCCAACTGTCCCAGCAGCAGGTGAATCATAAAATGGGGAGTTTTTACCGTCTTGGAATTGCTTCTGAGGCTGGCCCAACGAGTTTGAAACCTTGCATACGGGCTCATTCTCTCCCGTTAAATTAGATTCGTCGATGGTGAGATGCGTTGCCGATGTGATTCGAATATCTGCTGGTATACGGTCTCCCGTAGAGAAAATAATCAGGTCACCGGGGACAAGGTTTGTGGCGGTCACCGTTGTCGATGCCTTTGCAGACGGTCCAACTGGATGTGTTGGTCCATTCGAAAGGTCGCCCATCTCATATTCTTCCTCGTCAGCGGCCGTCTTTGGTGTACCGAAGTTATTGGTAGGTACGTTCCGGATCAAATGGGCGAAATGGGGGACAAGTCGACTCAGCGCCTCGAGCGACTTTTCAGACCGGTATTCCTGGACGAATCCGACACTGACCACTATAGTCACCGCGAGAGTGATGCTTACAGCATCGTCATAATTCTGCATCAAGAAGGAAATGGCTGCGGAAGCAAGGAGCAATAAAATCAAGGGCTCCTTGAACTGTTTAAGAAATCGAAGCCAAAGCGGCTCGGGTTCGTCATGAGGGAGTTCGTTAGGCCCATGCTGGAGAAGCCGGGCATCGGCATCGGCGGGAGAAAGGCCGTGGGCGAGGGAGGTAGTCAAGCGGCTGGCGACTTCTTCTGGAGGGAGCTTGGAGTATGTAGATGTCGTCACGGACGAAACCGCTGTGGACCGGCGGGTTGGAGACGGCGAACGTCTACCGTTTTTCGGAGTAGCATTGTAGAATGGCAAGGACGGCGTAGATAGGCCGGACATGTCTAGAAACGTATGCGGTGCCAGCGGTGGAATCCGGCGGGCCCCCTTCTCATCCCGGCACGGCTCAGGGCCCAAATGAAGCCTTTATCCGAAATCAAGTGCTTAAAACGACATGGAGCGAGGGGGTATCGAAGGACGGATTCGCATGCAGTCGTAAATAATTATATCGTGCCGGTCAGGGGCGCTCGCTGATGAAGTTTGCCAGCAACTTTCAGCTCTCTCAGGCCGGTCAATGTTGGATTTCGGGAGGAACTGGCAAAGGCGGCGTCACGGTATTATGGTCTATCGCGGAGAAGCCAATTAACCACTGACTCGGACGTAGACGAAGGTATAGCGGCGGGCGTGGATGCGAGCAACTTTTTCTCGGTGTTGATACGTGAAGCTCTTGACAACATTTCAACTTGAGCCCTTAAACCTTCGAACTGTGATTATGTAATCCATCGTTCTTTTTGGGGAGAGCTCACGGACCCAGAGACCCACTATTTATTTCCTGATTGGGAGTGGTATGGAACTAAATTTATCCGGCTTCCGTATTAAATACCACTAGTAATGATGATACGGGGGCCTGGTATCATTACATGGCACGTGACCAGAAAGGGAAAAAAGGCCAAACTCCAGCCACCTGGTTTATTATTCCTCTTTCTTGCATCCAAGACCATCACAACGCGCTGCGACTCCTCTCCCACCCACCACCACCGACCACCCGCAGACCACAACCCGCCGTCGCCACCGCTCGCAGCTTCATATAGACCAAACTGTCCTGTCCGCAACCCTGCTGGCGATGGTATTTTGCAGTTCTCCGTGACTTCGAGTGTTCTGTCGCCCGGCGCGTTTCCGGGTTGTTGTTTGTACCCAAACCGCGCCCCCCATCAAACTACTTCCTCAATCGCATGACCTCTGATCTTGCTTCGCGAATAATACTGCGATAATATTGTAACGCCTGGGCTACTGTGGCATACTCTGCCAGAGCTGCACGATGTTTTACTCAGAGACGTTGCTGTCGAAAACGGGGCCGTTGGCTCGCGTATGGCTGTCCGCCAACCTTGAACGAAAACTCTCCAAATCCCATATCCTTCAATCCGACATCGAAAGCAGTGTCAATGCCATCGTCGACCAGGGACAGGCGCCCATGGCCTTGCGTCTGAGTGGCCAGCTTCTCTTGGGTGTCGTTCGAATATACAGTCGCAAAACTAGATATCTCTTAGACGACTGTAACGAAGCTTTAATGAAAATCAAGATGGTAAACACCTACACTACTACCAGCTGAGAATGTTCTTTTTATGCTAATCGTCTATGCACAGGCCTTCCGACTAACAAATAATAACGACCTTCCAACCACTGCGCCGCTGCCTGCAGGAGGCATCACCTTGCCGGATGTACTTACTGAATCAGATCTCTTTATGAACTTGGATCCTTCCATCCTATTCACTCAACCAGTGCAGATAGATCACGATCCTAAGAGACCTGCTTCATCTCTAGGCTGGTCTAGCCAATTGCTGCCTGATAGCACTCCCCAGACAATCAGGCCTATCGAAAGACCCCACCTCGAAGACGATACAGGCTTAATCCTCGATCTAGGCGAAGACGAAGACATCCCACTTGGCCACGACACCAGCATTGAAGTGGGTAGGGAGGCGCCTGCCCCGCGCCCAGTTGGAGAGGACTTATTCAGTGATGACCACCGCTTATTCGGTGACGACCCCAATCTCGACCTTGGTGAGGATGGTGCTCCGCTTGAGAAGCTAGGAGATGCCGACATGACCCATGATATCGACCATGCTGCCCATATGGATGACGACATGCCAATGGGTGGCATGGACGGAGAACTAGGCATGCCTATCGATGAGGACTCTACTATAATTCCTGGCCTTACGAGTGATTTTACTCGGAGATCAGCCTCCCCACTCTCGTCTGTTCGTTCTAGTGTCATCCGTGACATGGACGAAACGTTTGCGAATGAAGGAGCTATTCGACATCACCAGAGAGTAAAGCGAAGAAGACTTATCATGCCAGATGCCGATACAATCCTCTCCAGTGCCCAGATCAAAGAACAACAAGAAGACCGCTCAAATATTTTGATAGCCGAGTCCATCCTCCCACGAGACCCAGTCCTACTCACTCTTATGATGATGCAGAAGAATGGGACCTTTGTCTCCAGCGTAATGGGAGGCGCGAGCAGCTGCAACTGGGCACCTGAGCTTCGCGGAATGCTTTCGATCGAATCGGTCAGGAAGGCGGGAGACCTAAAGCGAAAACGAGACAGCGGTATTGCCGATATGGATATCGATTCTGGCGCCAAGGTTCCTCGACTTGAACTTGAGGGAGAAGAGACTCTATTGCAGCCCGATGAAGAACTGGCCGTCGGAGACGATACAGGCCTAAACCAACAGTCAGAGATCCAGGTTCCCGACGACGATGAACAAGCTCACCCCCGCTCTGGCGATGCCCACTTCAGCGAAGATGAAGGTCTTGGTCAGCATGCGGATGAATATGACGAGCTCAGCAGCCTGGTCGAAACCGGCCCAATTTCTCTTGGAACGAAACACGCTGTTCACGTTCTACGAGAGCAATTCGGCGAAGCCACATCCACCGACTCGCCAACCCAGTCAAAGGGCAAAGCTGTCGTCTTCCAAGACCTCCTCCCCGAACACCACACAAGCAAAGCTGATGCTACTAAGATGTTCTTTGAAGTCCTTGTGCTTGCAACAAAAGATGCTGTCAAGGTTGAGCAAAGTAGTAAAGACCTCGGCGCGCGACTAAGAATTAAAGCAAAACAAGGCCTCTGGGGCGACTGGGCCGAAACCGAAGCGGGCGGTGAAATTGCACCACAAGAGGTCGAGGCCGCAGCGTGAGTCCAGTGAGCTGTTGGATAATGTGTTAACAAATTTTGCTTGTCATTGGCTTTTTATATCTCTGGCCCAATCCTTTCTTTCCCAGCTTCGTCCACCTTCTTCCTTGATTACGATGAAAGAGTACCTTCGGGGTGCCATATTGTTACATAGTATTTTTTTTATCCGCCTTGGGTCTCTCGACTGTTTGGGTGTTCCGCTGCCATTTTGGATCCCTTTCTTTTCAAGAGATTTTTTTTATGAAGGCCTGGAACTGGCGTTTCGTGCTGCCTATGCGCGTACTATCCCCATCGGCGTATAGGAGTTTTATTCAAGCATGCAACGGCTAAGGTAAGGGGTTTATTTTGGGAGGCGGCTGAGAAACAATCACGGTCTTGGTTTTCTTTCTCTTTTTTGACTGCGGTTGCGATCAGTATTCTGTGATAACTATTATGTATCGAGTAGCAACTACCAATCTTATTAATTTTGTTGACAAGCACATCCCTCGTCTTGGAGTTCGTCATGTGTTGTGGTGAAGTCATTTATTCTCCGCATTCCGGCCGTGGCTCTCGATTGGAACCCCTGAGACGTGGACTCCAACCGCATCTTGCGTTTCAGGAGTGTTCCAGGGCTGCACCCCCGATATCCTACCATAGGCTCTCGCCCCGTTGCCCAATGCGAGCCATGAAACACTCGATCCACTTAACTCCGATGTATACTTCAACGACGCGCGAAGGTCGTGGTTTATACAAACGAAAAGGTTCGGGCAAGAGGCAATCTCTCGCCACACAACGCTCTTCAAGGCGCGCTCGATGAAGCAGTCGATATACATAGAACCTCGTATCACACAGCAGATCGACGTGAGGGACGCGCCGCGATGGATCCCGTTTCTGCAGGGAAGGAAAAGAGGGACACGAAGCGCCCTCTTCTCACACTTCCGTCTCCTTTTTATCATCATCCATCCCCCCAGGTGTGATGATGAATGTTTGTCTCTTCTCTCCGTCTTTCCTCTAACTTCTAGAATTCGCTTCTAAACGTGCTGGTCACTGTGGTTTTTTTTATTTTTCATATTTATATCCCACTGCATTTGATAGCTTTAGGAGCAGGACTTCACATCACTATCAATATTTAGAGACCCACGATGTCGGACTTTGCCCTTATCCGTCTTTTCAAGAGGCTGCACCCTCGATACCTCCAGGAACTGATTTTCCGGTCGTCCTGCGCGGTATTTTCATTGATTGCCGTGGGGTTTTTTTCCGGATGCTTGAGTATCAACGAAGGCATCCCTGTGCCATCGACGTCACCAGCGAAGGGGAGGTGGAAGGACGGGATACCTATCTTACCGGTATGATGGCACTTTTCATCCTCTCTCTTGTCCTGATAGACTCAGTAAAGTACTGACTACTCTTAGCTCGGGATCTCCATCTTGTCATCTGTTTATATTGCATACTATACCGTTTTACGGAAGCACTCCCCTCACCTTGGTGTGCAACTAGTGCTTGATGCATTAGTTTTGCTTGGGCTGGTCCCAACCATCATATTGTCTACTTTGGGAGCGGCGTTCTTGCTCTGGACGCCAATACCAGCAGACATGTTAGATATCGTATGCAACGAAGGAAACAAATATACCCGGCCCTGTTTTCCTGAATTATACAGGCTAGGCTCTTTGGAACTTGCTGCTATAATTTTTGCATGCACTTGTTGGTATGTTCACTTGTCCATTGAAATACTTTCCCGAAATTTTACTCACAATCTGGCCCCAGGCTGTATCACCTATTTTTCCTTCTCTACACGATATACGCTGTCCGAACCCACGGTTGGAAACCGCAACCCAAGAGACGACGCCACAGACATAGACGCCGTGGCACCAAAGAGCGCATATTTGTGCGTCTTGATGACCCCGAAGCCGAGAAGGATTATCTTGCACCTTACCTTCAAATCGTCAACGAGGTCTCGTACCCAGCAGCGACTGCTACGAAGGACAACCGAATTTGATTGTCGACGGCCTATTTATAAAAATTATACTGTCTCAGGAATACTATGACTATGAGAGCCACGAGCTACCGGCGATGCGATACTCGTTTGTCCCAGTAGATACCTTTCTGTGTCTCTCAATATGGAAAAAATGTGGTACGAATATGTGTTGTTCCTTCAATAAGACGCCGAGATAAATTGTTGTTTATGACTTATCATCATGAAAGTGGTATTTTTTGCTTTAAGACCTCGAGGCCATCTTGACCTGTGTGTGAATAACCACCGGTAACGACGTAAACCGTCTGTAGAAGCCAGAGATTGAACCCATACTTGGCAACAGCTATCCGGATGAGCCCAATAGCCCGGGACAATATCCTGAAGTTTATTGACACTTCAAGAGTTGTCTTTATAAAAGCAGTTGGTAACAGTCCTAAAGAGCAAATGTCACAAGTCTAGATAGTAAGACAACTATAAAGAAAAAACCAACTACCTAAAGCCATTTGTTTCTATCTATAGGGAAATTGCCCAATACTATCAGTATAGCAACAGATCATCTCTAAAATCTAAAGGTACATTTATTAAGGCCCTCAAGGCATTTAGAAACTTAGATTATAAATATGCAATGATGTAATTAGCATCATAATATATGTTGGCTTGGATATGTATAGTTTCTCGACTCAACTAGTACTTATTTATGCGAGGCCCGAGTAGTTAGCCTTAGATTACACTTAAATGCATCAAGTGACAATAACTATTGCCGCTTTTCTCCTTTTAACTATAAGAAATACAAAGAAGTTAGGTAACTACTTGATAAGATACGTGGAATTGTTCATCCTCCAAATCATTCAAGAATAATTGTGTCACAGTAAACTAGAAGTGTTTTGAATAGTTTTGAACCAATCATGTACCTATAGGATGACGTTAATGGTCAAGCCGAAGACATGACATCATAGCAAGTGCTTCCCCTTCAACTACTTAAGATAGGGAGAAACGTAATAATTTATCTATAAAGTCCAAAGATCTTCATTCAACAGCTAATAGTAACCACTCTGCGTACCTATAACTATCCCTGTGTTATTTACCGCCTACTTCCTCCGTCAGATTTTTTAGGATATCCCCTGCACCACACGCCAAAGCCTCCTTCGCTGTAATATAGGATATAAAACGATCTCGTCAACATGTCTGGTCCAGCCAAACCAGAGAACACGGGCGTGATAAATCAAGAAGGCGTTATTTCTAGACCTACGGCGGGGGTGGATACCAAGTCAAATCCAACCGATGACAACATCACCAAAACCGAAAGCAATGAGTCTATCGCTGACAGGATGCACCATGGACATAGCGAACAGTCGCAGTTCCAGTCTTTCACTAGCCTTTCAGACCAGAAAAAGGCGGGAGAGAAGGAATATGGTTATGACCAGGGACACCCAGCCCCAACCCAACGCTACAACGAGGATTATAGCTTTATGGGGAGGAAGCCAGGGAAAAAGTCATACTTTAGCGAATTCCTAGAGAAGTATAGGCAGGCCCCCTCTATATAATTTATATGTCATAATATATATGCTGACAGGTTTTATTCCACGATTTCAAGCTTCCGCTGAGTTCGATTACTGTAATTCGTCGCAACCCCAAAAAAGTACCTCTTCCAACTGGGTGTTCGAGTGGCTCGTATAGTATAAGTTAGCCAAACTGAGCTAATTGGGGAAATAAATTGTTTAAGAGTCTGCATGGTTGTCGAGCTGTTGGTCATTTGTCGTCTTTGTATATACTTGATACAAATTGAAGGCCGTAAGAGCCTTAAAGCTATAAGATCTTTCCACAGCTATCTTCAGTCATGTTCACTAGTAAGCATAACGGGGCGTTAATAATCAATGGCTATGGCATTCATATCCTTCCCTTATCCAGCTGAGGCGACTTACTCCTCGTGATAGTTCCTAAGTCCATGGATCTACTAGGATAGGTTGCGAAGTGATCCCTTGCAATCTGACCGTATCCGGGTCTGGAAATATCTATGAAGACATGCCTAGATGTTACCTTTATTTTCAACATAAAGAATCTTCCAGGAGTATAGATAGTAACGGATGGTATAAGGCCAGGAAACAGGTGGTATGAGCAGAAGTATGAGGCCCGGCCTCATACAACATTGAACCCACTGCCTACTGATATCGTTGGGTCTAACGATCACACACGGAATATAAATGATCTAGAGGTCTAGATACTGGCATATCCATTGGCTAAGGATATAGATAATACCAGGTTAACTCCCAAAATGCAAAGGTAGGGTCGGTGACGAAGGATAGGCTCATTTGATAGCCATAATCTTCACTTGGGACATGGCTTCGTCGACAAAGTGAGGAGTCATGTGATCAGCCACCTTTTTCTTCTGAAACAGCGCATCTCACGCCTCAAAAGTCCGTTAGATATCATTACTTCTTCCACATATGAGGCGACGACGTCGTACAAGGCTTTGTCGGCTGACGGTGCGCGTGGAGTCGACTTAAAATTAGCCCTTAAGCGATGATGTTTCAATTGGCGATCAAGCCAAAGTGTTGTTCACACCCCCCGTGGATGGTCTACCACCCATCTTTGATATCTTAGGGTCCTCCTCGTTGAAAGATACCCAGAGGCCCCCGCCAATCAACGAGGATATCTCAAGTTTCAGAGTCCAGGAAATCCAAGCTTTGTAACCGATGTTCACTGTCTATATTTTCCTTCTCCCACTAGAGTGTGCGATACGGAAACGCAGCCGATTCGCTTCAAAGGACACCTGGAGTCTAGATCATCTACACGTCCCTGATGGTGCCTCAGGTGACTCTAAAGATGAAGAGAAATCGCGATCTTCAGCCCGATTTTAGGAAACGGAAGATACATATTTAGGCGAGAGGGAGGCTTGATGTCTGGAACCAGGCTCTCTTGCGAGTTTCAGCGCCCCGGGGTTTCCGATAGAGATATCCAAGGTTGCTGCCATGCTTGGGTTCCTTTACAACCTAGTGTGCCTCCCGCGCTTTCTTACCTATGACGTATGATGCTTCGCTATACCAGATCGAACGGCTCTACAGTACTCGAAGCATAAACAGGAAATCCATTTGAATGATTTCCTGGAACGGATTGATCTCAAGGCACGGAACTACATTTGTGTGTCTGATCGCGGTCAGTTTGATTCGTTAGAGTGGGTGCGCTCTGACACTCTCCGACAGTTGCAATGCTCCTGCTCCATAAAATACCGATGATCGCATGCCAGTCAAATCTCAGAAGCCAGCAACCCCCATCTTCGCATGACATATGTGTGAGGCTGTTTGCTGCAAACCCTTGTGACGGTGGGGGGATTTACAACACTTTCTAGAAGACCATAGGGTCAAGGCAGCAAGGTCTCTCCAGCAAGCTGGGAGCTGGCCGGGCATGCTAGGGAATTCGCCCATACCCCAGACGGGCCGAGAATATATTTAGAGAGACAGCGCAGTACAAGCTTTGCCTGTGGATATCAAACCGGCATATATATATGCATGCGCGATTTTGACCAGTACATCCCAGACGATGCGATCGAGGATGTGGCGGTTGGATAGCTACGGCTAGAGGCGCGGCTGTCTCTTGTTGAAGACGCAGTGTCTAAGAGTAGATGAGTATATTGGCCTTTGAGATAGATGCGCTTTGCTAAAGTAAAAGAAGTACTCCCTATGCTTGCGGTTTTTTGTGCAGGGCATGCTTTAGCTTTTCCAGTGCGAAGCATAAACAATGAATGCAACAGTGTAGATACGCCAGCCACCATAATATACTCCGTATATATATATATATATATTAATTAATATCTTGGGAGTGCTATTTATGTTTGGGGATTCTATGAGGTAACCAATTGCCTCTTTGGGTAACTTCAACGACCAGCCAAAACTTCAACTTGAACATTGCCAACTTTCAATCCCGCCCATACAGAAGAAGAGAACAAGCATTAAGCTGTGCAACCAGCGCTTCCCTAGGATTCGGTATCTCGGGATGGCACAAGATCCGTGGCGATGCTACATGAAACAATCCGCACTTCTATCGCGTTCACGAAACACCCTGCAGGATGGACATTCGACCGCGAAAGGATGATCAAATGGCTACTACGACCTCTCTGCGTTGGTGCAGCTCGAGATCGGCCCTGCACCGGAACCTTGGAGTGATATTCCTGCGCTCAGTTTGACAAAGCCCGTCCGGTATAGGCAGGTCGACCAGCTTGCGCCGTTCTATATCTGGATTTTCACGAGGCCAGGGAGGGGTTCATCGTCTCCTTCCGATGCATGGCCCGATGCTAGCTAGGATTGTTTCGTGGGATGACAGGCAGATGCATGGGAAATGGCACTGTGTCGATCGGGCCGCATGGTTGAGCTGCGACTTGGGGATGTCTACGGAGCCAATCACCTAGGGGCCGTATACGAACTACGGTGCTCGAGCATGTCATATTCGCGCGACAAGAGGTTCGCGGCAGGCATCTTCGGCCATTGATAGCGTTGATAGCTCCTTCAACACAGCATTTTGATAACCGACGTTCGATATAGCGCTAGCAGCTTGTCCTTGAAATACGTGTCTCAACTGGCTGGCTAGTAAATGCGCCAGGGACGGGGGGCTGGCTTGCCGATAATTGGAGAGGACTCCCAGATGAAGCCGCTGCGAAACTCCAATAGAGTTACTGTTACTAAATGGGCGGGGAGTCTGCCTCTCCAGGCTCAAATCGGCTCATACCGGCGGCGGATTCAGCACCCAGATCACGTCCAGAAAACTCAATATAACATTGCTGGTGAAGGTGCAACGAGGGAGGGGGTAACCTTGGCCGATGGTTTATTTTATTATTAACGACATAGTACAGAGGTCCCCTGTCTCGCGAGCAGCCTAAAGGAAAGACTGGGAAAAAGAAAGCAATTACTTTGGCGAATCCGACCGTTCCAGCTTGGCGCCAGCGTCCCACGCCCTGCGACAAGACGAGCAGGAGAGGTGAGGCCTCCCATCCTCGAGCGGAGGAGACAAGCCCAGGGAGAAAAAGGTCGCGTGAGGGAGCCCGTTGGCCTGCTAACTACGAAGTAGCTAGAGTGTATTTGGCGCTGGGGGAGAGACGCTTCTGGTGGAGATGCCGCTGCCCGTCTGCCGACACGAGAGAGACAAGAAAAAGGCGCCTGGGAAAAAGGAAAAGAGGACCGCAGCAGCATAAAAAAGCGAATTGCTCCTTGGGCTGCTGCACAGGCTCGAGAGCTGGAAGCAATTGCTCGTGCCAGACCCACTGCCGCGAGGATACCGACAGGATAATCATAGTTAGCATGCCTGGCGTCTGGCTGCTGCGTTTTCTGCGTTTTCACAGGCAAGCCGGCGTTGCTGCTGCATCCAACCTCCCCCACCGAAAATATTGTACCTGAACTCGCCCTTTCCGCTTCTCCTTCGTCCTCAACCACCGACGACCATCACCACCACCGCCTCCCATTGAATCTCTACGTCGACCGCCGTCGCTCTCCTCTCTCTCGTTTCGATGTATCCTTGCGAAGGTCATCATACGCTACAGCTTGGCCCTCACTCACCAGACGCCACCGAGAACCCCAGCTTCCAGCTATTCTCCTGTCGAAGCCCCAGGCCTGGCCTACATCCGCGCTCCTGTGTACATCACATCATTCGGCCGCCAGCCTCGTCTCTGCATACGTGAAATACGACACGCAATAAGGGACGCCTTTGTCTGGTCGAAACGACCCCCGCGCCCAGTCTAGCTGCCCACGTCTCTCCTCTGGCCTGCTACGCTGACCTCCCCATTCCCGCGATCTGTGCGCTGCGTCAGCTCTGCGAGCTTCGCTCACGATCCCAATCGCTGCCGGGCCGGCACGAACATGCCATTGGCTCTTGAGTTCTGATCTCTGATTTGGATTTGAATACCTTCAATCAGCTTGCTGCATTCCTTCACCGTCGCACGACATCCAACTCGAGGAGCTATACTCGCCACGGCCGCGTGATCCATCGCAGCCCTTCTTCTCCTCCTCCTCCTTCCCCCCCAACAGGTGCTATTTTTCCCCTGCTGTGAAACCTCAGCTCGACCCTTCACTCGTGCATTAGCGAACCGGCCAAGCTTCGCCTGGGCCAGTTGAATCCGGGGCCGTCGCCGTGGTACCGCGATCCCACACCCTGAAACCTACATCTACAAAAGAACAATCACCATTTCTTACACCAGAGAGTCTACCACACTAGACGGGGAAAGTCGACGAGTCTTGGACCGCTGAACGTGGGCATCGATCGTCCCGAAAAAGCAAAATACCAGCACACAGACACTCGTTGCTGGATCGTGAAGCCTGCCTGCCCTCCATTGACGGCGCCACCACAAGCTCTGCGTCCCGTCACACACATAACACACTCACTCACTCACCGTTCGCTCTGATTACCCTCCTGCTACTTGCACGTAATCCCACGCCGACGTACAGACACGTTTTTTAGGTCCCGGAGTTGGCGGCGTTTCATCCACGTTCGTCTCGTTTTGGTTCCTGTTTTCTTCGGGGAGGAGGCGTCGCGCCGCACCATCCCCGATCAAGAGATCCGCTTTATATAAATAACTCTATCAGCGGGCTTTTATTATGACGACTAGCTCCGGCGAATACTCAGCTACCATGTCCCCGCATCAGACTACTGGTCAGGAATCCGACAACATGGCCGTCAATGATGAGAGCGCACAAGCTTCTTCCCAGTATCTACAAGTAGACAATGAGGATACTCCCGATACCCTAGCAAACGAGAAGAAGGCTGCTGCTGCAAAGGCCAAAGATCCTTCAAGGCCTAAGCGGAAAAAGGCAAAGCGAGCATGCTACGCTTGCCAGAGAGGTCATCTTACTTGTGGTATGTAAAACCTGTGTAGTCCCCATTATATGTAGCTAACCTTTCTGCTTTCCACTGTCTCCAGGCGATGAGAGGCCGTGTCAACGTTGTATCAAGCGCGGATTCCAAGATGCCTGCCACGACGGCGTGCGTAAGAAGGCGAAATATCTACACGATGCGCCGAACGAGGCATTGATGGCCGGAGTGGGAGCGAACCTCTACAACCAGAGAAACGCAACGCAAAACAACATCAATGGAGCAAACAACCCTTCCAGCGCTCCTCAGCAGATGACATCGCCCAATTTTTATACTGCGCAACAGTCACCCGATTACAATGGTTATTCGCAGGCGAAGACTGAATTGCAGGACAATACAGTAGGACCAGAAAACTTCGCTTCACAATCCCCCGTGTCGCCCACATACCCAATGGCCCAATCCGTGCCAAATCAGGCTCTTTCTCCATCCCTCCCTCAATCCGCGAGCGAAACACCGTCAGCGGCGAACCCGGCTCCAAGCCAATTCAATTCGGCATTCTTCGACCCCAGCGATCCTGCGCTGTTCAACTTTGACCTTGCCAGCATGAATTTTGGAAACCACTATGGTGCCTTGGAATTTGGAATGCTTGGGCATATGGCGACAGGGGTAGGTGACACACCACCCAGCGATAACGGAACCCAACGTGGGTCAATTGGTCAGAACAATTCCGGGACATTCGGGCTCGCTGGGTCCAACTTTTCTGAAAGCCCCAGCACCCAGGGCCCTTATTTGTTCGGCGATTCTGGTATGAATGACTGGACTCAGACTGCACCTGTCAATAGAAGGAATATGTATGGTTCAAATGCAAATATGGTGGCTGGTAACATGTCAGACAAACCGCATGCGTTTGCTATCGAGAGTGCGCCGGCCAATCTCGCCAGTCCCGCGTCCAACGAAAGCCCCATGATGACTACTACTTCGGCAACCTTCGATGACACCACCAATGCTGCGGCGTTCAACGCTCGACAGAACGCACCCTTACCTCAGCAGCAGCAGAGGCAACAACCGGTGGTATCTACTCCTCAACTTAAGCAGCAAAATTTAAATCTCGGCAGTAAGCGAAGACATAAAAATGCGTCATCTATTTATGACAGCGTCAAGGATCCATATTCTTACACAAGTGGTTTCCACTCCTTGACCGCATTCATTCAGCGTCGTTTCTCGCCACAGAAGACACTGCGAATTGCCAAAGCATTGGCATCAATCCGACCATCGTTTATCGCTACGACCAAGACCCTCAACAGAGATGACTTGATATTCATGGAGAAATGTTTCCAGCGCACTCTCTGGGAGTACGAAGACTTTATTAATGCTTGTGGCACACCTACCATTGTGTGTCGACGGACAGGTGAAATCGCCGCTGTTGGCAAAGAGTTCAGCATCCTCACCGGCTGGAGGAAAGAAGTTCTTTTAGGAAAGGAACCAAACCATAACGTCAACACTGGCGGCTCGTCTGGCCTACTAACCGGCTCGACATCACGAGGAAGTTATACACCTCGGCCTTACTCTGCTGACTTATACAACTCCAACTCACCAGCTGCCCCGCGAACGCAACCAGTCTTCCTGGCTGAACTCCTAGACGACGAGAGTGTCATCGAATTCTACGAGGACTTCGCTAAGCTGGCTTTTGGCGACTCCCGCGGTAGCGTGATGACTACATGTAAGCTGCTCAAGTACAAAACAAAAGCAGACACCGATATTATCACCGGCAGTAATGGTGATATTGACGCCGGGCAAAACGGTGACGTTGGTAATGGCGAGGCAAACAATGCCAACGGCAATAGCAATGGAGTCGCATCTAACGGCCAACATCGAGGCCAGCAGCGACGATGGGGTAAAGGCGAAATCGCTGGTGAAGCCGGTATGAACCAGCTCGGGTTCCGCGACGGGAAGGTCGAGTGCAGCTATTGTTGGACGGTTAAACGGGATGTCTTTGACATCCCCATGCTTATCGTCATGAATGTAAGTGGCTGCTTCGCTCACATGCATAGTCTAGACCACTCATCTAACGTATCTTCGTCTCTAGTTCTTGCCTTGCATATGAACACCTCTTCAACCTACGGGCTAGTTTGTTGTCATCGTTGTTCTGTTTAAATGCCTTTTTTGTTTTCGTCCTAGTTTCAATTAGCTTCAATTACGATGGCGAGGATGGGAAAATGGAGTGTGCGGAGGTGGGTATACATACAGCTGGGAAAAGGCGTCAGAATCATTTTGGGCTTTACAATCGGGCGAAACCGCCTCTTATTTCTATTTTTATATCCTGTCGTTAACAATATGCAGCGAGATGCAGAAAAAGGCCTCTCAAGGGAAATACCATTCTGATAGGAGGGGAGGGACTAGGGGATCTACATACGCATGGCTAGACGTCCATGCCATACCAAGCTTTTAGGGCCATATTTTTAAGAGAAACCACTACATAGAATCAAGCATTATCTCTAAAAACACCTGTCCCCTGTTGCTCGCTCGTATTTAGCCCTACTTTCCGACTTCCCCTGCGGTTGCATAAGGGAAACGACAACACCGATGAAGCCCGAAGTCGCCGACTATCATTTTATAGATGCCGTCGGCCACGACATTGACAACGATCGACCCCTAGAAGTAATATAAAAGCTCTTTGACCTCGCTCCTGAACGAATCCTAAAGCCTCAAAGATAGAGTTGGGACAAAGGTAAATGCTTACTTGCCTCGGTCCAACCTAATCTCTAGTTGATACATTAACTCACCAACTGGACGCACAGCATCAGCCCAAAATATAATCATCCAACCAACTCACCTCCTATCAAACCAGCAAAAATGTGTAGAGCAGCTACCTGCGGTGTCTGTGGTTTGTCCATCCCATCCAACTTCATCTCCCCTCCATCCCATCCATCCTCCAGATCCCTAAATTACGATGGCGGGGGCGGGGCATAGCCCTAGCTAACATTCTACCAGAACAAAAGACCTGGCGTGGATGCGGCCTCCATGTCCCCAGCGTCATGGACGATGTGCCAAAGAATGAATGGTGCACCTGTGTTCCAAAGAAGGCGGTTGACGACAAGGAGTATCCCCCGATGGTTGGCAAGGGGCACAAGGAGGGAGAAGAGCCACCGAAGACCGAATGACTATCCGGCCTAAAGGGGGCAATAACATACTTGAAGAGCATCTTTTAGATACCAATGTCACTACCGGCAGTTTGGCCAGTGGCTCCTAGCTATACAAACCATGGAGAAGGCTGAATATAGACTGATAACATCTCCTTCTCCTCGTCCCCCTTGTCGTATTGTAATTCTCGTGTCAAGAATGTGCTGGAAGGCATAAAAATCACATGACGGGGTTTGATATAAAATCTGCCATCGCAGAGGAAGTTCCATTACGAGACAACATAGAGCTGGCAACGGGGTGAAGAAGAGAATAGAAGGGCGTATCTTCACGCAGAGGACAGTCCGCGGTGACCCGAACAGATAAATCACCACATACACCGAAGAGACGCTACAAAATGCGACCAGAGGGGCCGAGAGACGACTACGCTGGTCCCGATGTTGGACCCGAGTCACCATTTCCCATTCGCATGTCTGGGCCAGTGATCAAGGGATTTGGAAGAGGGAGCAAAGAGGTAAGGCATTGAGCTTCATACCAGATTCTTTCCCGGATTTCTCTCTCTTTCTTTTAACATAAACACGCCCTTTTATATACCCTCTCCCCTCCATGGTTCTTCACACAACAGTGGCTCGCATATACAGAAGAGTCTAAAAGAGTCGATAAAACGCAAAGATACTTTTTAGGAGCTTCTATCATGCCATTACACACACCCAGTTTCATATATCTTTTTTCCGGTGGTAGAATGCTCACTAGATATTCCACAGCTTGGTATCCCAACCGCAAACATCCCCGCCGATACGTTATCAGAGTATCCAGACCTTCAACTAGGCGTATACTATGGCGTTGCGGCCCTTGATCCAGCGCAGTTCAAGCACACCCGTACAGAAGATGACGCTCCTTTAGACCAGCCGGGAAAGCCAGACACGACCATCTTCCCATGTGTATTGAGCATTGGCTATAACCCGTTCTATAAAAACACCGTCCGCTCCGTGGTATGTATTGATTATTCTTCAATCGCAGTTTATTATAGCCTATATCTATACTAATTACCTGACCAGGAAATCCACATTCTACCCCATTTATCAATGCAATCATCGCCATCTCCTGGTCCATCAACCCCTGTAGTATCTGCAGAGACCCCCGCTCAGCCGGAACATCGCCCACACTTCCACCATTTCCCGGACTTCTACGGAACTCCCCTTAACTTACTTATCCTCGGTTATATTCGACCCGAATATGACTATGTTAGTCGCGAGGCGTTGATTGATGATATTCGTATCGACTGCGATGTTGCGAGACGTAGTTTAAAGCGCAGCGCATATGCTGTCTTTTTGAACGACGAGGTTGCTGATGGTGCTGGCAATGAGAAAGCCAACGCGGCTAGAGAGTGGTTGAGGAAATTCTAGATCAAGGTGGCTTCAAACTATATCTTAGGTTCCAAAAATATAAGAATATACTACTACACCTGTTACTGTGATGGGGACTCCTAATCTAAATGGCCAATAGTAACAATCAGGGAAAATGTGTACAATTCCCCTCTCTATCCAGCGGGGAAAGTCAGACCTAGACTCTTGTGATTTTTTGAAATCTTTTTATATCTTTTTTTATTTAGGTACTGGGTATGGTCAGTTTTGGTGGTGATTCATAGGGGTACATGAACAACTAAAAATGAACGACTGCCTCCAGGAGAGAAGAAAAGGAATCATGACATTTTAGGTCTAGCATAGGAACAGGAATTGGAAAGGATAGCTATGCAAAGATGCGAAACGCTTAAGTACTGGATGATAAAAACAAAAGACCGCCTGCCATCAATCACAATCATAGCTGAATAAGGTCAACCTCGGAAAAGTCAGGAGGGCTTCGACTGAAAATAGCTCGACACTTGCCATCCAGCGCCTGATACTCGTTACTGATCCAAATATGCTTCGTCAGTCGTTGAGTGCGGAAGATTTCATCATCACTGACACCCATATCGTCTCGGGGTATCCAGATGACAGGACGCCTCATACGTAGCGCTTCGTGTTGGAATGCTCGTTGAACAAGCTGGTCACGTTCCTCTGGAGTTAGGTCTTCAAGCTCATCGTGGATGCCGGAGAATAAAGATTGGCCGATTGCGTGGGTAGCTGGGGCCTGAGATTCAGCATCCAGAGCTAGCTTTTGGCGTATAGTCCGAATAGTAGGCATGGTAGCATCGGAGCGGCCACCGAAAAACGGTGATCGGCTATTCGATGAGCGGTCAGCCCATGATTTCCGCCTCAGCTTTTTCGTAGATCCTACTACACGGTTGAGCCGGGAGCTAAGGAAGAGGGGCGATGATGGCTCGGCTCCCTGTTCTTTGCCCATCGCACCTAATTCGATAGACTCATCCTTCTCGCCGCCCTTTTGCTGATCATCCTTATCGGACCCTTCTTCATCCTCCTCCTCAATGCCTAGCCTGCGTCGTTGCGCACGTGCAAACTCTTCATCCCGCTGGGTGGCTTCGTCTTCAAGGGTAATAGGTAGGTAGAGTGATAGGGGGTTGAAGGCCTCGTTTAGGAAATATTGGAAAAGTGCGGTCAGAATCAAGATGATTATCATGCAGATAGCCTGCCCTTGACAGGCAACCTCTTGCTTTTCGTTCCTGACGAGGAAAAACATTCCAATCAGGCAAACCTCCATCACGTAAATCCCGGTGAAAAGTTGATTTATGGCGCGAGGAAACAAAAGGCCACCAGTATCAAAACGGAACTTAGTAACGTAGAGAGTGTTATACCGATATACGACCCAGAAGAGTCCAAAGGTGAGAACATTGAAGACCATGATGAGTGGCGAGATAATGCAGTAAATCAACCCTGCCGAGTGAGAACGTCGTTAGATGTGGGATTATGCGGATAGATATTGATTTTAGTATAGAAAACTTACCGATCGATGCGAGTGTGGTGTAAACGGGAAAGAAGGTCCCCCACTGCATTTGGTTGAGATTCGTTGCTCTAGCCCATTTCTTTCTCGCGGTATTATCCAGCATAGGTGCAAGCACAAACCAACTTATCAAAGCAAATATCTGAACCAAAGCACCTGCACTCACAGACATTGCCTGTAGGACCATATAAGAGAAGAAGTAGTTGCTAGCCTTAGGAATGTTTTGGGCTAAAAGGTCTGGCACGCTTAATACATCCCTAAACGAGTCGAGGATGATCGAAAAGCCAGAGGAGATCGAGACAACTAAGAAGATCTGGACAAAAAGGAAAGCAAAGTAGTAGTTCTGCACTGTTAGTTCAATGGCCATGCCCGTATGGACTCCTTGGTTCCTGGATAAAAACCGGAGGACAAGGGGTAGAAGGGCCATTAGTATCGAAAGGAATAGTGGAGGTAGAATTCCCTGAATAGCTGAGATTAACCATTTTGGGAGTTTACCAAGCCATTTCAACCAAGCAAAGTGTCCTTCCAGATACGATAATTGCGACAACAGGCCGGTAAAGGCCACGGGGAAGGCCCAGCCTATGACCATGGCTGCCACGATGACCATAATGCCGAATGTTCGGATATATCGCTCCCACCATCGAATCGACATATTGTCCCAGATAACATCATCTGGAGATATCTCTACCATGCGGGGCGTCATTTGCTTTGGTATATGATGGCTAACACTCTGGCAGGCCATGTGGGCAGCGACTTGGTGGTTAAACTGTACAAAGGCGGAATTCATAAGCGGGAATTTCTCCGGATGTTGCTGGTCAATCTCAATCTCCAGGTTTAGCCGCGCAACCTCCTTTCGACAATGATAGATCGTGTCAACCTTTTTGCCTAGGAGTGGGAGAGAAGGCATCCAGTCCCAGCCAAAGATTGGTAGACGCATAGTATCCCGGTCTTTTTCTCTGATGTACTTCTTCCAGGCAGGTTCCCCATAGTCACCCTCTTCATATTCTTCGTTGTACGCCACGGGGTATTCTCCGTCCACATCATATTCATCCTTCTTCTTGTCATTACCAGTTTGCTTCGTGTCTTGAGGCACATTAGACCCCACTTGAGGGCTCGGCATAGTCAATGGACGAGCATCATCGTGGTGGTCAAAAACAGTCCCATCCATGCCCATAGGTTGGTGAGTATTCGAGGACTCGGAGGTCCTTGCCTCTAAGTTCTCGGTATCATGTTCTCCGTTCCCGTGAGGTTCTAATGTCGTTGTCTCTGCATTTTGTTGACTAGCACCAGTTCCACCTGGGCGGTGGAAACGTCCCTCGACGCCACCGCCGATTTTCTTCAAGCTGCCCACAACACTATGACCAACCTTAGGAATTATGGAGCCGACATGTTGTACCTTTCCTCGCTTTGCGTGCAATAAATCCTGCACTGTATGGGCAACTTGATGTGGATCTCCAGAACTGATGCCTGCTCCTTCAACCAATTGAGTGGTCCTCCTGTCATTTTCTGCCTGGGTCCTTTCCTTGCTTTCTTTCGTCTGCTTTCCTGCTTTCTTTTCCTGGGCTTTCAATTGTTTCAGGTGAGCCCTTTTGCATTTCTTTATGAGTTCGGTCTGTGCAGACTCAAGTGTGAATGCCAGTTGATTCCGTAGCTTAATTTTGGCATTGAGTTGGTCGAGATCTCGATTCAGCCAGATATTACGAACACCGCCAGGGAAGACGTCAAACAATGTATCAAGTGCGTCGACAGATAGCCATCTGCTGGGGATAGAAGTGACCAGCACCGTGGTTGCCGAAGCGCGTAGTCGATGTTGGGGAGAGGTCAAATAAGACTGTCGCAAACGAATATAGCCTCTGAACTCATCAAAGAAGATGGCGCAGACGTAGATAACCACGATGACGGCGAGGACCAAGTGCGCCCAGTATCGATGGCTATCCTCCGGTCTCACGTTTCCCCAGGCCAACTGATCAAGACCGGAGACATTATACCGATCTATAAAATTCTCGTTCTTGAGACTCACCAAATTATTATCTCTGCCGCCAACTTTGTTCACGGGAATCAGCACCGGGAGGATGATGATCGAGAGAGGGATAAAGATCTTAAGGAGCATTCGTAGATATCGCAGAAAGAAGTAGGCATCCAGTCCGCATTTCTTGATAAACTCCGAGTTCGACGTTCGGAAGACAGGAATAATCCATCGAAACAGGCCTGCTGGAGATGCGGCAGTGCGTTCTCGTTCTGGTACAAGATATGTGCGAGGTTGGCTATAGAGAGGGCCGATATTAGCGGGCATCCACAACACAACCACAGGGTAAAGCAATTGACTTACTAGATTCTTGTGAGTTTACTTTTGAGGATCAGGAAGATGACGAATTCGACAGCGAAGATAATAATCGCCGTCGCCAACGACGCGAGAAAAGTTGAAACCGAGATACCAACAGCCCGCTGGCCGGTCCCGCTCTGCGAATCGATCGCATGTCCAGCCTCCGCCATTCTCGCTTTCCGTAGACACTAGAACTGCCGGACTCTGGTAGAGAAGACAATAATTGCCCTGCAAGGGATAGGTAAATCAACGAGATGGTGGTCGCTAGCTGCTGCGCATGATATAGGGCCGAGAAATAAAGATACAAAATGAGTGAAGGTCACAAAGCATTGGAAGTCACACGGGCAAGAGAATGACAGCCCGCGCTCTTCTTCTTCGTCTTCTCAATCGCTGCACAAAGGAGCGAGACAGTGAATGTCGTTTTATTGCGTTTGTTGTTTCTTTTGATTGCGATGGCGATGAAGGGCAAACATAAAACACGGTTCCGGGATCAGGGCAAGGAAATCACACCCCAGACAACCAGACAACAAGTCAATCCATTCTGCAGGACTGACCCCGGGATATACTGACAGATCTTATATCCAGGGCCGTGACGACGATGATGCTGTGGCAAGCTTGGTGGGACCGCCATCATCATCGTCCATCCATCCAGCATGGAGAAGCCGGTTCATTGGCCTGCAAGGAAGAAGCAGGAAAAAGCAATCATAAACGCCCGCCGGGATGACATCAAGGGGCGCCTGGTGAAACCTCGGCTGCTTCGTGTCGACAAAGCTGGCGGCCATCACGACGAGCTGAGAGGATGGCTATTTATATAGAGCCGCTGTTTGTTCCATGTCGGCGCTTACTTGTCGCCCTGGTCCTGCGAATAGGACTCGCAGAAACAGTTGGTAGACCGATTGTCAACGGTCGACTATTAAATGCTTACTTGCAGGGGCCTTGAGGGACCAGTCCAAGGCCTGATATGGTCTATCGGCGCTGGAATAATAAATAAAGGTCGATAACAACTTTCTCGGTCTTACAAGCCGTTCTATCTGAGCCGGATTTTGTGGCTTTGATAGCCATCTTGCCATACATCCTTGACTTTGGTACATCCAATGAGGACTTACTGCAATTAAGAAAGGTGTGTCCGTGATTGAGATACCTGCACAAACAACTCGTATGTGCTTCCATCTCTGCTGTCGCTTTGATTACCTGGAATCAAGTTACCGTCACAAATCAGGAGCCAATGGGATTACGCCCCAACGAAGACTACGAAGTTATGGCCTATTCTTCTGTTGATGCGTTAGAGCAGCAGATTCACTGTATCGACGGATTGACAAGATAAATGGTATATAAATGGTATATCATCTTCAACTTGTCCATCAATAGAGCCGTATTTTAGCGCCAACAGTTCCGCGGCTATTCTGAAGTTTAGTCAGCAAGTCAAACGGGCGTTCGTTAACTATTGGCTGGTTTAGCCGTCAACGCGCTCTCCATGGACAGATTTGATGCTACGACATGCACTGCGACCGGCTTTGTACCAATAATCACCCATCTAAGGCTGCTTCGACTCGTGGTTGCAGCCTTGTAGGACCTCTGAGCTTGGCCAAGGCTAAAATTGGGAGGACAGAGACGTGGCTGTGATGGTCTGTCGCCATTTATCGATTTATGATTACTGAATACTCGATATGATAACCTGCTTCCCCTTAACTTCAGCCCTAACCAACTATTTACTCTTTGAATAAACATCGCCTCCTTAAACGATGACGTTTTGGAGGAACTCTAAAATCCGTACATTAGGATGCCTTGACACCTGACAACTTGGAAAATTTACTATAGGACGATAACGAGAATGCAAAGGGCTCGTCAAGGGTTATAATGCTTCCGTTTCTCCAACTGCCTGACATCCGTGAATGGAATTACTTAACCACATCCTGTATCGTGACTATGAAGGCCCTTGCCGCGAAAGCCCTGCATCCGCGGCGACATTCGCTGCATGAGAATCCCTCCTCTCATTACAAACCAGTCAGAAATCGCAGTGAACTGCACTTTTCATGGGACGAGACCAATCCGAACATTGTCATCTCTGCAGACAAGGCCGACTTCGACCCCCTGATACTCGAGGGGTTTAAAGAAGAAGGGTTCGATATCGCATATCTACCGCATACAGACAACCCCAAGAAGTTTGACTCTCAACTTCAGAGTCTGCAGGACTCAATGGAGTTTGGGAACAAGTACGCGATAGTGGGTGAGTAATTTAGTTGTTTATTAGATTGAATAGTTACTGTATTGGCTTGTCTTTCAGGGCTCAACGGTTGCTGACAGGTTATATATCCAACGTGTCACAGCGTACGGCGAAGCAGCAGCTCTAGTTCTAGAGGCCTGCATGAAACCTATGCCTAGGTTATGTGCAGTCGTTGCATACTATCCTACCTATCTCCCTAACTTCGATACCAGGAGCATTTCTTCCCTCAGAGTGAAAATACACCTGGCAGGGTCGCAGGTGCTCGTTGGCAAAGAACATTGTTATGTTTATGCCAATTCCCAAGTTGGATTTGCTCAGCACGATTCAACACAGTATAATCCTGTCACTGCAAGGCTGGCGTGGACCCGAACAGTGGCCTGCCTCAGGGATGGGTTCGAGCTAAAACCAGACTTGGAGCCTATATGGGAGCGGCATCTTCTAATGAAGTATGCTTCCAAGGACCTTGAGAGGACTTTACATACGTTTGCAGAGGGATCACGCATTAACTATGTCCCTACTCGCACTGGAGGTTAGCCTGTGGATTTCTTCGCTGGTGCCCCCTTTATATCCTCCATAACCTTCAAGTTATCTAGTTTACATATGATTATTTTCTAGGCATCGGCTATGACGAAATCCGCCGTTTCTATGAGGAAGAATTTATCCCTCGGAACCCACCATCACTGCAGATTCAGCTTATCTCCCGTACCCAAGGGAGTAGCCATGTCGTTGACGAGATGTATCTCTCTTTCCAGCACACTCAGGAGGTTCCCTGGATCCTCCCGAGAATACCACCGACGAATGAGACGGTGGAGATAGCCATCGTTAGTGTGGTGAGCTTCCGAGGAGGGAAGCTCTGCCATGAGAACATTTACTGGGACCAGGCCAGCGTGTTAGTTCAAGTTGGTTTACTAGATCCAACGTATATACCCCCAAGCTTCAACCCTATTACGAATGGTATCAATGGCCTTCATGGTGTGAGAGAACTCCCTGTTAGCGATGGTGGAAGTGCTCGCAGTATCTTGCAGGAGTAGGCGCACAGGAATCTTATTGTCTACGACAACGTTCATATCAAGACCTTGGCTTTTGACTATCTTTTGCACTGTTGGATAGCGTGTATTTATGACTTGAAAAGTAGTTAGCTACTATTAACTATATGAATCCGAAATGAAAAATCACCTATCTCTCATATTATACACACGCTGAAACCCCCAACTCCATCCCCCGAAGGTTGGTTTATTAAATACAACCACCAAAAATGCTTCACAACGACGCTAATAATGGAGCAAGTTGGGAGATCTCTGGGCTTACAGCGTGCTTGCTCCTCATCGTCATAGCACTAGCCCTTTGTGCAATTGGGATAACATCTTCCACTCGTACTTCGCGACCTCGTCCACCTCTTCCAAGAGCAGCAACCACAACACCAAGCAGAGTATCACCCGCGCCATTCACGCTCACAACATCAGCGTCTGAAAATGTCTCTTCCGGCGGGAACAAACGCATATAAACTCCTCCTACAGGGCTATCATCCGCCAGTGACCGACCGAGAATATACGGTGCATATTCCGGCAAACTGAGTCGTGCGTCACCAGGCCATAATATCTGAGTTAACAGCACGCCTTGAGAACCTAACTTAGTTAAGATGCATGGTATCAGTGGTAGAAGTTGTATGCTCTGCTGAGGTACTCCTTCATTCACAATTTCCGCATTTGTAAGAGATACTAGCCGGACCCTTGAGCCACTACTAGGTAGCTGAAGGGCGTCTATTATACGCCACCATTCAGGGCTATCGAAGTGTCCAGTATCACGCGCTGCAGCATGCATAGCTGCAAGTTCGTATCTATTTGGAGTCGCAAGGTCAATAACATGGCTGTCCGGTGCCATATCTGTCGCCCTGATAACTGGAGGATGACCTGATGTATCGTTTTGTCGGTAAAACAGCCTCGATGCCTTGGGCGCAGATACCGGTTCAAGAGCGATTTTCATCCCCTGGCGTTTGCAAAGCTGTATCCATTCAGAAGTCCCTCCTGATCCCCAGTTTGCATCAACCACAGCCCACGAAGGCAGAACTGCTTGATTTTGGACCAACGGCTCCCAAAACGTGTCGAAATTTAATTTCCCTTCTGGCAGTTCGAGAATGCTCATATCTGCCATTGCGATCATCAAGTCCTTCTTCACATCGTTGACGGCAATATATTGAGCCGTCCTGGCTTCATGACTTGAAGGGAGTAGCTGTATTCCCTCTGGCTGGAAGGAGGAGTTATAGGTATCCTGGATAGTACCAAGAGCGCTGCGTCCACTGATATCATCTGCAACCACACTGCAGAACATCACGGAGCTGCCCATGTAACTTGCGGCCAAGGCTACATTGTGACCCACACCTCCAAGGGTTTGTGTGATGATAGAAGGATTGGAGGTCTGTAGTTTCGGTGATCCATCGCTATCCCGATTTGATAACGGCGCGTAATCACACGCTAGATCGACGGCAAGAGAGCCAGCCACTAATACATCTGAACCTTCACTAGGCCCTTGCGTTGTTGACAGACCGGCGGTATGTGCTGGGGCTTCAGGGCTACTCTGAGCTTCTTCAGTGCGAGCTTGATTTATTGGAATATTGACAGCTAAACTGCTATATCTAACAAGAAAGAACCCACAATCAGCTCGCCAATCCTTGTCACACAAAAGACCAAGGAGTGCTAGCTCACCGATTTGCGCCTTCATTGCCCTCCAATTCTAATTTCGCAAGCTCAATGGCAACTTTGGTGCCTACCTCGACATTGTATTCAACAAGTGCCTTGTTCGTTGCCACACTGCGGCCGCCACTGAGTTCTTCAATCTTCGCTAAGACGTAAGGCGTATTATCGCTCCCTTGAACTCCTTCGATATGAGCAAGTTCAACAGCCCGAGCAATTATGGCGTCCATTTCTGGTTTCGGGAACGAGTGCTCTTCTGGTACAGGGTTGGTAAAGAGCATTCCAGAAGAAAGTTGTAACTGTGATTGGGCATCTAGGAAATCGGTTAGAGTGGTGAATGGTGGAGTCCTGGCCAGAAGATAGAACCATATGCGTGGACAGGGAATGATATGACGTACAAATAATTGCAGCAGCGTCCTGTTCGTTTTGGATTACTCTGGGTGCCTTGATTCCACTATCTCGTGTGAAGAAAGCTGGGAACTCGACTTCTCCCTTGCGTCCGTCTGCAAAAGCTGCTACAACTACACCCTCAGTTTCTAGATATTCTAGAGTTCGCTGGATATCCAAGAAGCTTTTGCAGCCAGAGCTGACAACAGCGACGGGCGTGCGACCGAGTTCGGTAAGATCAGCTATATCATCGTTAGTATACCAGCGTATCTTCATTGTCAGAGAATTTGTTACCTGATATATCCATAGTGGTTTCTCCTCCTCGGTGAACGCCGCCTGAATTCCCCGTTAGAAATGAACTGAACAGTGATTTAACGGCAAAATTTTACCTAATCCACCCGTAGCAAAGACCTTAATTCCAGCAAGGTGTGCTAGAATCATAGTTCCTGCAATTGTAGTTCCGCCGTTCATCACGTTCCCTCGAATCCCCTGCATATAGATCAGTATAACCCCTAGAATTCCGTGGCAAGGACAGCAATTACCGCTCCGCAGATATAACCAAGATCCCGGCGGGATACTTTGTGCACCTTTGTCCTTTGGGAGGTTGATGCAAGCTCTGTCAGCTCGTTCTCATTCATCCCAACTCGCGCAACTCCATCGAGGACTCCAATTGTCGCAGGTACTCCGCCAGTTGACCTCACAATCGATTCAAGGCGCATTGCGAGATCCACATTATTGGGATAAGGGAAGCCTGTTGAGATATCACGGTCAGTGTTACGGGTCATTGGTATCAGTCTCCTGCTCAGGACGTACCATGCGTATAGATAGTGGTCTCCAGCGCAACAACCGGTTTCCCCGTGGCAATGGCATCTTCCACCTCTTCGGATACCTTCAGAAACCTATTCGAAGGCCTCAGAGAAGGGCGACTGTGGTAGAGAGCTCTGTACGCCGGAGACCTCAGCAAACCACGACTGGGCAACCTCCCAACTAGCGGAGCTCTGGCCCGCAAAACGATTGGAGACATGCTGTGCTCGGCGTAGAAACAGATAATAATCAACTGGTAACCATAATCAAGGGCTCAGAGGTTCCTATATCAAGTCCCCCGCAGCATGGCGTTCTTCCCCGGAAGCGAGTTTCTGGGCTGGCTTTTCGGCTGTTTGATGTTTTCGTGAAGCCGGAGTTTGCCCGTTGGCGCAGGTGGCCGCGTGGGTTGCCGTAGCTAGTGACCACCTTGTTTGTTCTAGATAGCTTCAACATCCAGCAGCAACGACAACAACGACGAGAAACGACCAGCAGCAGCCATTAACTTGATATCGCGGCTCGCTGGAAGCCTTCAGGTGGGCCATTGAGACTGGATAATACTCGCCACCATGAAGCTGCTCGCTGCGTTGTTCCTTTCGTGCGGCTTGCTCCAGTCTGCGACAGCTCTAAATACCACGTCTACAGAGCCAACGGTGCAGGTCCTACCGAAGAATTTCAAGCCGCCGCAGGTCTTTCAGAATAACAATCTCGTCAGGATCATCAATTTGGAGAAGAGTTATGCGCGGGAGTCGGTAAACGTGGTGATACAGAATGTCGACAAGAAGCCACAGTCAGAGTATTATGTGTCCTTCCCAACAGACACCATCAGCAAAGTCGGAGGTCTCGAAGGATGGCAGAAGGACTCGGCGGATAAGAAGAAATTCAGGGTGACGTCGACACAAGCGATCCCTTCAAGGTGAGTTATCGGTCTGGCCTGCAATTGGTGGTATATAGTTCTAACTCCATCCCCTTTGATAGCTCGCATCAGTATTATATCGTCCACCTCCATGAACCCCTCGAACCCTCTTCGAAACTCACCTTGACTCTATCATATCACCTACAATCCGCTCTCACCCCTGTTCCTGCCGCTGTCGAACAAGATGGCAAACAATATCTCTCATTTACCTTCCCTCAATTCGTCTCTTCGGCCTATACCACCCGCAAGCAGAAAACGACAGTTAAATTCCGCGGTACAGATATTCCAGACTACACCAAGACTTCTACGTTGAAATCCGAGGAGGATCCTAAACGTGAAGGCAGCACCTTTACGTATGGTCCTTATGACATGGAAGTCAAACCGGGTTCTAGTGCACCAATTACCGTTCGATATGAGTACACCAGACCTATTGTGACCTGCACCCGTCTCGAACGTGACATCGAAATATCACACTGGGGTGGTAACCTTGCGACCGAGGATCGATTCTGGTTTAGAAACGACGCAGCCAAACTAACCAAACAATTCTCACGGGTGGACTGGACAAAGAAGCAGTTTCATAACGCACCAAGTGTGGCCTTAAATCTGATCAGAGTACCGCTTGCTCCAGGTTCTGTAGACCCATACTTCATTGATGACATTGGAAACGTTTCAACCAGCCGTTTCCTTCCATCTACTGAGACGCGCCCTGGCCTTTTGGACCTGCGGCCACGTTACCCCATTTTCGGCGACTGGAAGTACAGTTTCAAGATTGGCTGGAATAACCCGCTCTCTAGCGTTTTGCGCAGGCAAAAATCCGGCAGCGGCGAGTCCTACGTTCTTAAAGTTCCATTCATCGACGGACCAAAGATGCCAGAAGGCGTGCAATACCAAGAAATTGAAATCCGTGTGATCCTCCCTGAAGGGGCTGAGAATGTGAAATACGAAATTACTGATGGAATGGGAATTCCTAATAACATTCGTTCCGAAATTTCCCTGTTCAAGACATTTTTAGACACCAAAGGAAGAACTGTTCTAAAGCTATCGGCCTCCAAGGGTGGCGATGAAGCAAAGGATGGAAATTTGATCGTAGGTCTACGGAATTTGCATATTTTTACCATTGAACAATTTGAACATCCCACGGCTAACCATATCTCTTAGGTAACATATGACTATCCCTTCTTTGCCTTATTCCGAAAACCACTAAGCATTTTCGGCGCCATGCTCGCTGTGTTCACTGCCGTATGGGTTCTTGGAAATATTGATGTTAGCATTAAAAAGAGGTAGAACCTGGATGTCATTTTATGTCTTCGGTTTATTTTTCATCGCCCATTTTGCTGGTTCAAACTAACTGTTATTATGATTTTTATATTGTAAAATACCTAAAACAAAAAATAATGGCCATACTTCCTATTAAACATAAAGAAACGCTTATATATACTTCAGTTGATAAATGAAAGGTTTTCTGGCCAAAATACGGACAGATATCAAGCTCGAAAAGCAGGCTATGTATACGGCACAGGTATCAAAAGCAAACAAAATAGACACATAAAGGAAAACATATAGACACAGAAAGACCCAATTAGGTCCCTTCCAGTAGAAGGTTGCTTGTGAAAGCGCGACTATACAAAAATCAAACCAAAAGAGGTACCTTCTCAACGTCAAAGAGGCGGAAGTGCGTAGGTATATATATACACATATATACACGGCACCTGAGTAAGGTGAACAACTTGCCACTATCATTACAAGCTACTCGCTATCACGAGAGTGCCAGTATTGTTAGCACTGCCGCCGGCTCCAAATAAGCCGCCAGCCTTGGCTCTCAGTGAAAAGTTTATGATAACAGAAACAACAACTCCGGCGCAAAGGATAGTAGGACCCCATTTTTCGTGATACACGTTTTTGACATCGCGCTGTTTGCGGATCTTATCGACTCGCCACATGTACAGTAGGAAGCTGTAGACGAGTAACAGACAAGCCATGACTGTGAACGCCCAGGCAGTAATAATGCTGATGCTATCATGGCCGAAGTTCAGGAGTGTGAGGGCGATAGTGCTGACATAGATGGAGAATTCGAGCCAGGAGAGGAATGTACGTTCGACAGCAAAGAAAACCTTTGGTTCAACACGGACTGGGACGTGGATTCCTGATATCATGTTAGTAAGGAGTTATATGTAAAAGGTGTTGGGAGGAAATAAACAAAAAGGATGAACAAAGTCGGGCAACTTACTCTTGCCTTTGGGAGCCTTGAACCTCTTGACCTGGATGTCATCTCCAAGAATACGACGGTTACGGCCACCGCCGGCCCCTTCTGGCAACTCTGTAGGCTGAGGGAATGGCTGAAGATAACTCAGATACTGGAGAGTGTTATTGCCCGCAGATTTGAGATTGTACCTGGCAAGCTTGTAGTAATACTGCCAGCCGCCAACATGCCTTGCCTCCTCAAGATCGTCCCGACTGTCGGACTCATCCTCAGAGTCATAGAGTGGATAGTCATCTCCGCCGAGTAGTCCGTCGGCTGCGATACGCTCTTCGATATCGAGTAGATTACGAGGAGCAGCGAGCATATTTTCGGTTCCATTCAGGGTATAGCCATTGGTCGCCTGGTCACGGTCGCCATGGTATTGCTGCATGCCATTAGCTGCCGTACCGCTAGCCTGCACAGATCCATTGGTGCCATCAACACGGATTCCGCCCTCATCATCAGACTCGTCGTCGTCTAGCATGTCATCGCTAGTCGATAGGTTGGACTGGGTAGGGCGTTCAATACCGAAGCCAGGGGTGACAGGCTTGCGAATGTCGACATCCATCTGAGGCATCCAGAACGGAAGGAGGTTAATGCGATCAGGGAGGAGTGCGGCAGTGCCGTGGATAAACTTGCTGAATTTCGGTACAGCTTCGACGAGATGACTCGCCGTGAGTTCTTTGATCCACTGGGGAGGTTCTTGACCTGCCTGAGTCTGGAGCTTAACTTCGAGAACAGCGTAAGGGAATCGCTCAACATCAGCAGCTGGGAGCTGTTTGAATGGGTAATCGATTCCAATGTCCATTCGGCGCCAGTTTTGACCGCAACGTTGACGGCCGTCGAGGTTATCTTCTCGGACCATAGTCAACTCCGTATCCAAAGAGACACGGACTCTCGCATCACCTGGAAGTTGGAAGGCAGTTCGGTGGTAGAATGATCTGTTGACAGGAACAAGCTCTCGGGTGATGACCCGATACTGAATCTCTCGCGCCAGCTGCTCCCAATCCGCGATCTGCTTCTCGCTCTTCTTACCATCCTTCCTCGCCTTTTCGAAGATCGACTCAACGGTCATCCGCCCTTCCAAATAGGCATTGACGTATTTCTCCTTGATCGGGAATCGAGCCTTGACGGACTTTTCTCCAGTCCAGTCTTCGCGATGAGTTTTCCGCTCGACGAAGATCTGATCGGTCTCCATACCACCATACCATCGTAGACGAATGGCTTCTGCTCCTTCTGTCTTCTTTAGACGTCCGGTGTACAGCTCCCAGGTGTCAGTATTATCATAATAGATCGAAGAGATAGCCGCATCACTCTCCTCGAACTCCTTTGACGCATTGAAGACAAGAACTGGAAGGTGCTTCAAGATGATAAGCTTCAGCTCTGTGATATTGTCGGGATGGACCCAGTACTTGGTGGTTTGGCGAACAAAGTTCTGTTGCGATCCACCAGCAGCGCTGTCTCCCTCGACGGGATGCCCTTTCGTTCTCACAAGGTCGTACAGCTTGGACAGCTTGACGACAAAGGCGTCGTAGTTATCCTTAAAGAACGGCTTTGCTCTCAGCCGAGTAGCGAAGACAGGCCTTAGACACCAGCTTGTTTGTTTCTACCATTGAACCTCAAATTAGCAAGGAAGTAAACGCTGATTTAGGATAAGAGCTACTCACATCATGCTTCTTAATGATCTTCTGGAAGCCGGTATAGTTCAATTGAGTGTATTTTGCCAGATCGTGCACATCGGCAATCACATCACTCAGGTCTTCCTCGAGCAACAGGAAGTCGTCGTCGGTGGGAGGAGGCTGTCGATTTCTCACCGACCCAGACGCACCAGATCGGTCCAACCGCCCGACCACCTCGCTCACCTCCTTGTCACTCGCCTTGATGCGGCGAACGATCTCATCGCTCTTCACCTTCTGAAAGGTAAAGACCTTATCGAGCTCGCTCTCAAGCAAGGCGACGAACCGCCTCTCGTCCTCTTCCGTCCATGGCTTGCGCTTCGGCGTAGGGTTCTCAGGCGTCGGCTGGGTCTCGAAGGACGTCTTCAGCGCATCCTTAAGGTCCTCATAAGCAATATAATGCCAGGCGTACTCCTTGATAAGCGACGAACGAAGCTGCTGCCCAAACCTATTTCGAGAAAACAAAACGCGGGTGTTTAGTATTTTTTCTTCTTCCTCGAGTTCACCTCAGGATACCGACCACCGACGACCACCAGGAACAAAGAAACGTTAAAAACACGGCAACTCGCGTAGCAGCGAGCTTAACGGACATACCTCATGATAGCTTCCAATTGACGGCTGCGAGCTCTCTCCGGGACGTGGCAGGACTGAGGCTGGGAGCGGTGATGCAGAGTGAGGAGGAAGAGGAGACAGAGATCCGAATTGCGAGGTCTTCGCTTTAGTTACACCGGCAATCCCTGCAGCGACTCGACTTGCACCAAGCTAACCTCGACCTCGCAGAAATCCCCACCACGGCCTCGCCACCAGCGGAAGAAACGCAGCTCGGCGTTCTGCGAAATTGAAACCGCGCGCGGGAAAGAAGCTGCGGTTTGGGCGCGTCATGTGACTCCCACCAATAGGGAAGGGAGCTGCAATCACGTGGGTACAAGGTTATTAGAGTGGCGGGCACGGACCATAGTTTATCCGAGTTTATTCTGACGTCACGCATTACTCTAAAGCCAGTTACTCTATACTATAGCCAGCATTCTATATTATAGCGTTACTACATGTGAGGCTCGATACACCGATCTAGATGGCTCCCAGGACGCGCCGGATGCTCCTCCTGGCGCCCTCGCCAACGACGTTGACCAGTCCCTCCGTCTCCAGCGACTTGACGGCCTCCGTAAACTCGGCTCCCTCGACGGGGACGTTGCCCTCGTTCAGCTTCCTCAGCACGTCGGCCCAGCGAGCACCCGTAGACCGCCCTCCAAGCTCGTCGACGATCCCCAGGATGGCCTTCTTCATGTCGTCTCGCATTCGTCGCTCTCGCGCAGTTGTGCCCTCGGTCAGTAGGCTCATGTCGATGAGACCGGTGCGCGCATCGGTGGCCGCCTGTTTCAGGGCAGATCGGATCAGCCTGACCGACTCCTCGACGTCTTCGACAGTGACTTCCTCAGACAGTCGCATGCGCGCGTGAGCTTCAGAGAGACGGATCATGGACTCCAGCTGACGGGTGGTAGCGGTGATACGGCGCTCGGCTGCGCGGATGTCGTCGCCTAACTTGCGCATGGCAACATATGCCTCTGTAAGTGCTGCGCCGGCCGCTGGTGTGAGTTTAGGCTGCAGGCGCGTCTTCGCGTAGGTAATGTAGCTGGTAAGGAACTCAATTGGCTACAACAGTCTGAGTTAGACCATATTTCACCACGTATGGCTCACGCTGAGGGGGAAGTCACTTACCAGGATCTCTTCGCTAGAGCCAGTCTCGGGCGCATCCTCCAGATACATCCCTACCATGTGCTTCGCCAGTCGACGGTCATTCTGCTCATCCACACGGTCCAGCACAAGGTACACCAGATCAAATCGTGAAAGGAGGGTGGGAGGCAGATCGATATTCTGCGGTACAGATAGGTTGGGGTTATATTTACTCCCAATCGGATTGGCAGAGGCGAGGATGCTGGTCCTCGCATTCAGAGTGGTAATAATACCAGCCTTTGCAATGGAGACTGTCTGCTGTTCCATGACCTCGTGGAGCACTGACCGCGTAGAGTCGTTCATCTTGTCGAATTCATCGATGCAGCAAACACCTCCGTCAGAAAGAACAAGGGCACCAGACTCCAGCACCAGTTGCTTAGATTCGGGGTCTCGCGTCACGTAGGCCGTCAGACCGACTGCAGAAGAACCCTTGCCGCTAGTATATATACCTCGTGGCGCGATCTTGTGCACATACTTCAGGAGCTGCGATTTAGACGTCGACGGGTCTCCGCAAAGCAAAACATTGATATCTCCTCGATACCTTGGATTTCCACCCTTTTCGAACGTCTTGTTCGTTCCACCGAAAAGCTGGAGTAGGATTCCCTTCTTAACATCCTCCATCTCGTAGATGCTAGGCGCTAGAGATCTAGCCAACAGTTCATACACATCTGGCCGGCTAGCCGTCGCTTTGATCTTCTCTTCTTCCTCTAGCGATATTTTCCGCACTTGATCAACTTCCCCCGAGACTTGCTCCGCAAGTTCCTGTTCAACGGTTGACGCATCAATGCCCAGTTTCTTCTTGTCGATTTTCTGCACATGCAAAACATCGACGTATGTTTTGAACAGCGCTTTCGTGCTTCGTTGTCGTGGGTTGACTCGAACAGGGTTAGCTCGGAAGATACCGGTGACTTCTACCCTGTCACCGGCTCTGCAGACGTCGACTAGTTCATCATATCCACAAAGCGATACGGAATGAGGTGTCTGTCCTTCTGGGATGGAATCCGGGGTCTCTTGGAGGCGGATGATTTGCTTATCGGCAAATGTACAGCGGTTGTGAATTAGCTGCATAGAGTTCTGGGAGTCACAGAGTTGACGTGGACAGCGTGTCGGTTCGGCAATTTTTCCACGGTCAATATCAACCTTCACGCAGTGGAAACATACATCACATCGGAAGAATGCTGTAAAATAAAGTTAATTTGAAGAGCTTCAAGGAATTGTACAGAAGTATATACGTACCTTCTTTCATATCTGGAATGATGGGAGTTGCCCGAATGACAAGTCCCTTTACGCTTATAAGCTTGTCCATATCTGGGAAAATAGTTAGACAATAATTTCATGTAGGCGTGGTAAGGGGAGGCGTGGTAAGGGGAGTTAAAGAGTTACCAACGTACCTCCTGGATCCAGATCTCTCATGTTCACGGACTTATCCATGCCAAACGGAAGAACCTTGTATGTCCTACTTTCCACGTCCGCAAGAATACTGGATATATCCTGTTGCGCAGGGGCATCGCCGTCTCCTCCAGCCTCGGAAGTGGGGAATGCAGGAACTGAGCTTGCGTCTCTTGTAGCTCGGCCCGGTCTGCGTTGGTTATTCTGTCTGGCTGCATCTACCTCCTTCTCCGCTAGACCAATCATTACATCTTTGGCACACTGATCCATGATTGGGATTATTTCTTGCGGATACGCCTGGACCTGATGCCAAAGCTTAATGGTAGGTGGGAATGCCTTCAAATTTCGAATATCAAGGTTCAACCCAGTAACACCGAGCTGTCGCATATCATTCAGCATTTTAATATATTCTTTCTCTTCGGCAGTAGGCCCCATGGCGTGAATCTCTGCTTCGGACATACCGTCACACGCCATACGATGTTTCCGGGAAAAGTTATATAGGAAGTTTTTAAACGAGGCCATGGCATCCTGGATCGAGATGTTGGTACCCCATATTATTCGTGTGGAATTGCCCCCCAGGGCTTCTGCTTCGGATGTATCAGGGTTGAGGTTAGAGAATGTCGCATCCGACTGTGGTTCGCCATTGCGCACTGGCATGCCACTTTCATCGACAAAGAGGGTCCTGCGTCTGGAACCTGTGGTAGAGAAGGCGTCCGAATGAATATCACCTCTCCTAGTGCCGATATCATTGGGATTAGGTGAACGAAGGAATAGGCCACTGCTACTCGTTGGAATATCATTTTGACGACGTTGGCTGGTATTAGCACGACCGGGGCTAGAACTTGGCATATATCTGATCGGGGAAGAGTCTATAAAATCAGTGAGTATGTGCAGATATATAGGTCCAATTACATCCCATACCTTCAACTGGTGGACGGGTAGGTCGCGGAGTAGTTTCACGGTCCCCCAATGGTGAAGATGGCATGGGAGAACTTCGATCTGGTCCGTTCGCCGCACCCCGCGCACCATCCATTGGTGATGACTGGAAGAACATCGGCGAAGACGAAGGGACTGCATTGTCTCCTCCTGTCCTCCTTGTGCGAGGCGTAGTTTGCGCAGCGTTCTGGGGCAGACGAGACGGGGCGGGGCTGTTGATAACGACCTGGGGCTGCGTGCCTGCTCTCGACGGAGTAGAATTAGCAGAACCCCTTGCAGGGCGTCCGCGACGGCGAGAAGACGACGGCGACAACATATTTAACTAAAACAAAAATGCGTTCAGGGCGTTGTCATTCCAGTCGTTGAATGCTGTTGTTGTGGTTGTCAAAGCTGAAGTTCGCTGGCAAAAGATCGTTTGATGCGTGTAGAAACTCGCGCCTTTTTGGGACGCGACAGCGCGTTAAGTGGTTTCATTACATAATCATAACTAGCCAATAAGAGTCCTTGAAACCACGCGAAACACACAAGCGATAAACGATAAAAAAAGATAAAAAAGATGAAAAAATAGACAAAAAGCGAGGGTAAAAGACATAAAATAAAAGAGCAAAAAAGAAAGCCCAACGCGGGGCTCGAACCCGCAGCCTTGTGATGACCAACTTGCTAGTAGTAAGAGTCACACGCTCTACCGATTGAGCTAGCCAGGCTTGTTGATGTATGATGGGGACTCGAGAATAGTTATAGCCTCCTCAAGGACACAGCGCACAGCTATGTTAGATTGAATATAGATGTGAGAAATTGTTACATTGTTAAATTGATGTATCTAATCCAAGTATGTACACATCGGCAGTCTGTAGTTATCGACAACCCAGTACTTCCTTCTGACACCGTCCCACTCGCTGTCCAACGAAGGTACAGCTATCTCCGTCCAGTCAACATCAAACCCGGCCTCCAGCATATCCATCTCAACCACCTTCTGATACACATCATAGCTGATCTGTCTATCGGCCCCCATACCATTAAAGAAACTCCATCGTCCCTCGGGCTCGAGAAGCGCGATAACATGCTCGGAGGCGAAGTCACGGAAGTCCGCGTAGGACTCGGCGAATGTGTCGTAGTAGATGGCATCAAACATCACCCCGTCTGCGGCCAACTTCGGTAGGATATCCTGCCATTTACCTTCGTGTATCGTGACCCCTGTCTTTTCATGCCATCCCTTGCTTTTCATGTCTGCGATAACTGCCGGGTGCGCCTCGATGATATGGTGGGCGCTGGGTTCTAGACTTTGGATGACGCCGTCCACGATACCCATGCCATGACCGATATTCAGCACTTTCAGACCAGGCTTAGGGAGGAGTCCCTTGGCTGATTTCTCCATTATATCGGTTTCCCACGCCATCATCACTCCGTTCTTGTCTGCGTCAAGCAGTCGGCTCTCCTGGAACGTCAGGCCAGAGCTCAAGTAATTATCGTTGCTAACACTTGGATCTTGAACATTGTGTTCTTCTGTTTCGCCGGTAGTGGTCTCCGGGCACCATGTCGTTGCTTCTACTTCTGTTTTCTCTGTTTCAGTGGCTTCTTCCTCCGTAGTAGTGTTGACCACATTCTCTTCACCCTCATCTTCTTCGTCCTCCAATTGCTCATACCCCTCAAGTCGGTTCAAGAGCAACTCAGCACGCACGCCGGCATCAACCATCAACTGATACAGCTCCTGTAGCCCCAATCGTCGCGCCAAACACCCAGGAGTATCGTCATTTGCATCTAAATCGTTCCATATAGCTCCTTCTTGCAGTAAAAATTTAACCGTCTTTACCCCTCCATCCACGGTTTCAGGACTGCTCTCTTGCTCATGTGTCGCAGGCTCAGTAGTATCACCATTTGTAACATTGTCCGTTTCAGGCTCACATGCTGCAATAGCCGCGTGTAGAGGGCTATACCCAGTCTCCGGATCTTTCACATTGGCGGGGTTCTCTTCTTTCTGGTTAGAACGGATCAGCTCGCGCAGCTTCGGGACGTCATGCTGCGACGCTGCTAGTAGTATCTCTTGGTTATCAAGGTCGACATCAATAGAGCCAATGCCAGCAGTATTTGGGTCTTCCATCTTTGAAGCTTCGTAAAAAGTTGGATTGTGACGAGTTGTGTAGATTTTTCGGATTTTGAAATCAAACTTCGAACATTTAGTAAATTATTTCACCACTTAACTAGAGTTAGAGAACATCACCACTCAATGAACATCCACCCTTACCTCTCTACTTCGTTGATTTAATTAAGTCTTTATTATTATTCATAATATTTAGACAAGACATTAGATAACCAGGACAACTACGATGGCTGAGAGTAAAAGAATGAAGGTGCTGCACCTATAGATGATTTTACCAAACCTACGCCCATATTTCCAGCCCTTGTAGAAAAGGGTATCACCTTCAAGTACGATATAGGGCCCAAAGGCTGTTAGTATCTCTCCGTGGGGTCAATCTATTGTATCTATATTTACCCCATATTTACTATACTACATTATCTATCTTCTAACTACTAACTAAAGCTTTATTGATATCTAGGACCGCCAATTTAGCGTGCATTTGAATAACCTAACGTGGTGGCAGGGTTACAGCTCTTGTTTCTAAGGAAGAAATATATATTGGAGATCTTAGATGAGTCAGTACCTGGACGTACGGAACGTCGGTTCTGATAATAGTCCCCGGCTTACTCCGTACAGACATTAATCTATATATAAAGGAACTTGAAAGTTAATGGAGGGCTCCTTGATGAGATCGTTTTCTTCGTGAAGACCGATTGGCAGCCAGACTTGGACTGGTGGTCCTGAGATAGGGTGATGGATGGGAAGCCAGCTGGGGCACTATATCAGGGCCTAATAACATCTACATCAAGATAGATGGCAACATTATACGGAGTATAAATTTTCTTGTTACAGTTAGCTAACCTCTAGGTGTAGGTCTCCATCGAGGACTCTGCAGCCCAAGCCGCTGTTACAAATGTTCTGGAGAACCGGCATTAGCTCACCATGTCTGTGAATGTTGTTGCAGCATCAATTTCTTGGGTGCATCACCGTTTACGACTTTGCAAGCCGTTCTGGCTTGTAAGTTGTGTGCCATCAAGGCCGTCGTTTTGCGTACTTTGGTACTTTGCATTTGCACATCAGAGACAGATGCGAGGGTAACAGCTTGACATGAACGGACATGCTGGGAAGATACCATGTATATGCTGAAGAGACGCGTCTAGCGAGCATGGTAGTCAACTAGGGACGTATCGCACTCGTTAACGGGATAAGATAGACAAAGACCATTTGTGCTTACAATTAAAGGAGACTTATGAGATTTCGAACATATGGTAGAGTAGAATAAAGTGGTACAAGTAGTTATACACAAGCTTAAAATGGAACCCGTCTCTCCTGTCATGTCTGGACCACGCTCCTGGCCAGGTATATAAGAAACCGGGGGATCACGCTCAAGAACTAATCAGATCCTTCTCCGCCCGAGTTGACATTCAAGCCCAATCCTTCGGAATCAAGGTACATCTTGTTCTTTCCACCAGCTTCCTGCAGAATATGGGCAATCTGTCTGGCGTTATCGATCTTCCGTAGCTCAACGTAACTTTTGCTCTTCTTGATAGCATCACCAATAAGTTGGGCAGAGCGGGCCTCACCCTGGGCTCTGACGACAGTGGCTTGTTTCTCTTGACGGGCCTTGTCAACAATGAAAGCGGCTCGCTGGGCTTCTTGCTGGGCAACCTGTTTGGCTTCGACGGCAGCAGTGAATTCGGGGGAGAACGCAAGGTGCTGTTAGAGGTAAAGCATGGTTAGAATATTAAACGGCACGGATCAAAAGACATCAGCTAGGTAAACCATACCGTTAGAGAGACATCGTCAAGCATTATGTTGAAGCGCGCAGCGCGTCTGGCTAGGTTATCCCGTACAAGACGAGCAACGCTCTCTCGCTGGGTGATAAGCTGACTGGCATTGAATTGGGCAACGACACTTTTCAAAACCTCGTTGACGATGGACGGTAGGACTCTCTCATCGAAATCCGTTCCGAGGGTACGGTAGATCTGTGGGAGGGCCTCAACGCGCGGTCGTGACAGTACACGGCAGGTTATGTTGACCATCTGCAAGTCCTTGGTACCGGTAAGGGAAGCGACATTGCGTGGCTTCGCTCGGACATCGTAAATTATAGGCGTCTCAAACCATGGAATTTGGAAATGTGTTCCTTTAATGGAAGATATTAGCACTGGAAGAAATTTAATTCGGAGAGGATATGCCTGTACCTTCGTTGTATATCTCTTTCTTCACACCACCTATCCTTGTGTACTTGATCGCTCGGTGACCACCGTCAACTATACGACACAAACAATCCCAGTTAGACTGATCTAGACAAGAAGTGACCGATCCAGGAGAGCATACCGTTGAAGAGAGAATTCGAAAGGACGTAACCTCCCACGCCCAGCGCAATCAGCAGTCCAGCACCGCCAAAAGCCTTTCCTCCGGCAGGGAAGCCGCCGAATCCTCCGCGTCCCTTTTGCTGGATGGCATTTTGCAGCTTTTGCCAGGTCTCGCGAGGGTCTGTCATGGTTATTATGTGGTGAAGGTCTTTGGCTGTTTTTCAATCCGTCTTTGCTAATTGCTTCGAAGGTCTGGAGAATTAAAGAAGTTTGGAGGTTGCGGCACTAGTCCGGATCGGGCACATCGAAGCTTGGGCAGTTCGAGAGCTGGATGAACTTCATCGAACAACCAACATCTCTTCACAAAGGAGCCTCGATACCAGCGACTCTTGTTTTAAGCAGCCTGTCTGGGCGGCGCACTGCAGAACGGCAAGAAAATGGCGCCAGAAAGGTCGGGAAAGAGCGTGTTCCTTGGAAATATTCCCTACAGTAAGTCCTGCCAACACCACGGCGATTCGAACATTTTTCGAACCTTTGATACTGACAGTTGCTACGAATTACTCTAGATCTAACAGAGGAGCAAGTGAAAGACATACTGAGTTCTGCAGGGACAGTAACGAAATTCAGGCTCATGATCAACCCCGAGACCGGAAAACCAAAGGGTTATGGATTTGCAGATTTCGCAGATGCAGATGCAGCCGCGTCCGCCATACGTAATTTAAACGATTATGAGGTTATGGGACGCAAGATTCGAGTCGATTGGCCTCACAACAACGAGAAAGATTCCGTACCCCCAGATTATTCCCAGCAGGCACAGCCAGGCATGCCAGGTGGGCCTGGACAAGATGGACAGAGCTCGCAGGCCCCTCTGCTACCAGCTCTGCCTCCTGGTGCCGACCTGCCTCCAAATCTGACATGCCCGAACGCTATATCACAGACTCTGTCCTCTCTGCCAGCCCCTCAACTCCTCGACGTTCTCTCTCAGATGAAATCACTGGTCATGGCCGACCCCGCTCGTGCCACAGAATTACTGAGACAAGCACCGCAGCTGGCGTATGCTATATTCCAGGCACTTCTTCTCATGAACCTTGTTGACTACAGCACGCTGGGTTCAGTGGTAGATCAAGCATCACAGGCCCAGGCAGCTCAACAAGCACCTCCCTCGATGCAGCAGAAATATCAGCAATTCCCGCCAGCACCAGGTCAGGTAGCAACTCCTCCTATCCACGGCACTCCCTTCGCGCCTCCACCACAGGCGCCGCCGCAACAACAAGCACCGCCACCAGCAGCCCAGGTTCCTGGTCAAGAGGAATTATTACAACAAGTCCTGAGCATGCCACAGGCGGCGATAGACGCACTACCGCCAACAGAAAGAAACCAAATCATGGTTTTGAGACAACAGCTCCTCCAGGGCGGTATGAGATGATTTGCAATTTGGTTAGGAAAAACATCGGACGGCTTGCAACGGTTAGTAGGCTGCTTTTTACTTGTTATCCATGTATAACTAGTCCATCTACGGTTCAATTTCTCTGGCGCAAGGGTCAAAATGGGGGGCTTTCTGTTTTGGTGTTGTCATAATGGTGTTTGGAGCGATTATCGAGGTTGATAGATATCCATAATGCCACCTAGATGAATTTTGTGCACCTATATGTTCCTAGTCAACAACCACAAATGTATCTCCGCCATGCCTTAACTCATATCTTCCTTGGGAAACTAAATGCATTTTCTTTAATAGGTTTAACATAAACACCTCTCACCTGTCTCGTCACCCTAATTATCATTGTTCTATCCTCTCATTTTGTGGAAGTAGTAACATCCACGTGACTGCTGGTTTTAACGTCCACCAAATTTTGTTCCTTGAATCTTGCAACCTCACACCAACAATAATCTTACATATCCTCTCCTTTTCCTGAACATATCAATAGACACAAATATTTCTCTACGATATGCATTGTTTATATCCTCTTACTGGTTTAATTTTACCCGCTCGCCCTCTATTCTTACGATTTGATTAATTAGCGGAATGAGAAGAAACATCTGGCGGGCTAAAGTAATGCTTCAAATATCGGTCCCTCGCATACTTGTGCTGGAAAATGAGCTGGCCTTAGGGCAATTGAGCTATAATGTAGCCTTATAGGGTCTGCATAGATACACTGAATCTTCAGTGCTATTCAAGATGAGGGATTCAATACCCAAAGAGGCTCGGTCTAAATGGAGGGCCTGAAATGGGCACATCACTCCAGGCTGCAGTACTCCCCTATATTGTCTAATATGGGTATCAGTTATGCTCTGAGAATATTTTTTTAGATTCTCAGACATGGCTTGATGGATATTTTTGAACCTATTAGCACATTTCCATGGACCCCAATGGGGATTTCCAGCTTAATACCAGGATGATCTAGTGCGTGGTGTCGTGAAACTCCATCAAACTGGCACTTTCAATACAAAATATGTGACTAACTATCCCCTTAACAGCAACCCCTCAGTTTTTCCCTCAGATCTCATCTTGCATTGTTCTACATTCCTTTCAGCTTTTCGCGTAGTCCTCGCTCATTTTGACGCGTCAATTTGATCTTCTACGTGGCCCGAGGCTCTGAGCCTCTGGATAGCCAAATCTCCCCTTACATTACGCGATTTTTTGTCCTCACGATCATTTTACGAAATTCAACTACTCAAATTGAAGATGGATTGCGTTCAAGATAGCCCTTCCCCTAGCGAGACGGTAGTCTCGAATGCGATGTCGTCCGTGGCAGACAGCAGCACCCTGTCTACCGACACGCGTGATACGGATGTTGATTCGTGTGTCGACGTGCCAATGGAGGTTCCTGATGAATATATTGAAGTGGAGAATCCCCCTGCGGTACGCGAAGCGATAACCGAGGAAATTCGGTCTATGTTAACCTCATTGCCCCCTGAGATCCTGAGAGGAAAGTACACGACTTTGCCCGGTGAACGGCCTAAGCCTGGCCTCGATAGATCACTCCCTCCCATCAGTAAGATCGAGGACATTTTCGAGGATCTTACATCCCGAGCCTTGCAAAATGGCCTTGGTTCTTTCCTGGACCATATTGGCCCTCGGAAACTACGCGTTGCCACGATGTGTTCTGGCACCGAATCTCCTCTACTTGCTTTGGAAATGATACAGGATAGTATGTTCAACTTTTCTAATTGGCGTGCTGTGGCTAATTCTACAAAGGTTTACGGCGGCTCGTTGGCAGAACATTTCGCTTGCATCATCTATTTAGCGCAGAAATAGATGCATTCAAGCAGTCTTATATACAAAGAAATTTTGCCCCAGACATCATTTTCAGAGATGTCAATGAGCTTGTTGCAGAGGAAGCGTACGAACCACTCTACCACTATACTATAATACCACCTACTGACATCTCGAATAGAACCACCGCGTTCGGATCAGTGAGAAAAGTGCCTACAAATCCCGACTTGCTGGTGGTCGGCTTCTCTTGTGTTGATTTCTCAGCCTTAAATTTCTACCGCAAGACCCTTGAGGAAATGGGAGAATCGGGGCATACGTTTTATGGGGTTCTACGGTATATCCAACGATGTCGGCCTCCCTTGGTCGTTTTGGAAAACGTGTGCTCTGCTCCTTGGGAGAAAATCAAGATCATAATGCAGGAAGCCGACTACAATGGCTATCACATGAAGCTAGACTCTAAGAACTACTATCTTCCACAGACACGGGAGAGAGGCTACATGATTTGTGTTGATCAAAGAAAGCTGATTACGGAACCTGTGGGCGAGATGAAGACCAAAAAGCTATCGTCATTCGCCCAGATGATGAAGAAATTAGAGCGACCGGCAAGCTCTCCAGTCACGCAATTTCTTTTAAGCAACGATGATACTCGCCTCCAGGACGCAGTTAGTGACATATCAATCAATTCGACCAAGGACCGTCAAGCCGTTGACTGGACAAGATATAAAGCCAGGCATCTTGGATATCGAATGCGAGAGGGACTTGGGGATAAGCGGCCTTTGACTAAATGGCAGGACAACGGCACCTGCCAGATGCCTGATTTTTATTGGCATGGATGGAGCAGAACGCAAACAGAACGTGTCTGGGATACCCTAGATGTTAATTACCTGAGAACTATGGCGCGTGGGTATGACATCGGGTTTAAATCGCGCGTCATCGACCTCTCTCAAGGTTTGGATAGAGAATTGGACCAAAGAGCGTCAGGGATTGCAGGCTGCCTTACACCCCGAGGACAGCATTTCATTACTTCCCGAGGGGGCCCTCTACTAGGCATTGAAGCTCTGGCCTTGCAAGGGATTCCTATCGATAGGCTCCTTATCAGCAACGACAGCCAGCGCGACTTACACGATCTGGCAGGAAACGCGATGACTTCAACAGTAGTTGGGGCAGTGATTGCAAGTGCTTTGATTCTTGGATACCAGGCACTACCACGCTACTCTGCTCTGTTCGAACTCGAGGCTTCAGAGGAAGTGATACCTCCAGTTACTGTCACACAAAACGACCAAATGACACCAATGGAGACGAACGTGATAGTCGAAAATACTCTTTCAACTACAGAGATATACCAACTAGCACTCCGTACTTCCCGGTTGTGTTACTGTGACGGTCAAATAGGGACAAGAACTGAGAAAATTCTGGTCTGCACACTTTGTAACCATACAGCTTGCTCGAAGTGTGGCAAGAACCCTACACATTTATACAAACGTGTAGACGCTGACGACTTAAAGCAGCGACTATCTCCAATAGATTTCCAAACCCAGATCAAAACGAAGCTACCCATGCGTCTCCAAGTTAGCGGTATAGCTGCTGACATGTTTGATCAATTTCGAGAGTCTACTGAATCGCCAGATGTTGTAAGCGCTTGGGACGCCTTCTTAGAAGCAGTTAAGCTTACTTTTGGAGAAGTTCTCAAATTTCGGGGCATAACTAGACAATGTGGATGGACAATTACCTATGAAGGTGCCAACTCTTTGCTAAAGCTGAGTTGTACTTCAATTGGTCTCCAATGGTCGCTGTATGCTACTCCGAGTAAAAAGGAGCCGAGCAGCTCCCCACTCCGCCAGATCCTTTCTCATCCTATTGCCAAAATGTCGCCTACTAGCGATAACATACTGGACGGAACGTGGCTTGTGGGATCCCCAGTGAGCTCAGAGTTTGATATGAGTGTAACAGGCTGTGGTCCATTGGTTGACTCCCTTCCCGCCAGATCTGGCCTCCAGCACCCAAAATTTCGAAATCTAAAAACGTGGTCTGTTCTTCGTATAGATGCGAAAGACGAGGATATCGAGAACTTGGAGGCTGATATCCGTGGAGACTATGAGCTGCTTCCAGATTGTGGTTCTGCCAGTGGAAGTTTGCGCAAACGGTTATTTTCTGCAGGTGCCCCCATTTATTTATTTCTGGACCCAACCGAAATTGGCCCTCATCAGCTAGATTCTTGGGTATTTGCAGTTGAGCATGGAAGACTCGATTTTGGACAATCGCGAGACACAATAGCTGAGATTCGCCCAAATTGGAACCCTTGGTACCTTGATAAGGAACAAGATAGTGTTCAGTGTTGGTACCGGAAATGGCGGAAATCTCATATCGTTTCACTGAACATCTACCGGCAATTAGGACCCCCGAGATACGGAATACCAAACCCTGAGGCGGTTCCGGCATTGTGTAGCCTCACTTGTGATAATTCGTACGCTACTATGCTTCATTGTTCAATCCCAGCTGGCTGTTCTGAGCTGGAAATGGTACCAGGAGTATGGGAACAGGAGAACCTGTTAGAATCCACCGTTATGCTCCAAAAATTTGCATGGCTACTGCAGAAGGCAACTGGTATCACTCAATTTGAAAACTGGATGGACATTGAAACATCTAAAACTGGCTTTATTCTCGGGTGTTCAACATGTGCTCCTCAGAAACCTCGTTTGGCTTGGGCACTAGATGATAGAGACCGTGTATACGCCTACGAAAACCCTGAAGACGCAGCCGCTTATGAGAGAAGCATAAAGAATCGACCTGCGCCTTTTTTGGGATTTTCAGTTCTTGACGAGCATTTTGATTTTCACCTTCGAATTTGTCTAAACGTCATGAGTCTTCTTCATCGAGCTGCTGGAAATTTGGCGAGCAAGGATAATATTTTGTTACAATGGCGTCTATGTATAGACACAACAGGGTTCATCCAACGGCCATTGCCAAAGCTTCTGGAAAGAAACAATAAATTGGACACCGCGTACTCTCAACCTCCAGGCTTCAGGCATTATCACCTACGACCAGAGCAGCTGCGTTCTCTCCAGTGGATGTGCAATCAAGAAAGCGATAAAGCCCCTCCGTTCGAAGAGCAGGAAGTCGTCGAGGCCCTCTTACCCACCATCAACTGGCGGGCAGAGGGGAAGGCTTCGATTAAGAAAACGGTGCTTGGAGGTATCCTAGGGGATGAAGTTGGATATGGTAAGACAGCAGTATCTCTTGGGCTGATTGATGTACAATTCAAGAAGGATTGTACAACTGTTCCAAGGTTTGTAAAAGGAAGAATTCCTATTAAAGCAACTTTGATATTGATCCCAAGTCATCTCTTTGACCAATGGAAGCGAGAGATACATAAATTCTTGGGAAATACATACAACGTTTTGGAAATTAAAACGGCCTCCTCATATGGTTCAACTACCATATATGACTTCGAGTCAGCTGATATTATATTAGCATCTACATCGTTACTCAAAGGAGCAGCTTACTATACTATGATGGAAAATTTCGTGGCCGCCCCTGAGCTGCCCAAGGGGGAGGGTCGTATTTTTGTGGAATGGCTTCAGGACGTCCTTAGCGCTTTATCAGATCAAGTCGACCGGCTGGTCAATTCTGGTGCCTCGAAAGTCCTGGATCATGTGCATGATAGAAGGGAGGAGCTTCGACGGGGAAATGGGCTTTCGAAATATAAACCATCGAGGAGGTTGAAAGGGCAAAAGTTCCAAGAGCATCTCTTGAAGATTCGACAACTAGCCGCAGGGGATGAGCATGAAAAGGATACACCAGTTCAGACTACAGATGGAGAGCATGCAGTGGGGTTTACCGATGGACTGGGTAAAAGAAAAAGAACAGAGCCAGCAATCGCTTCCTCCACGGAGGGTGTTAGCGAAACTCGTGACCTAAAGAAACAAAAGAAGGGTTCTAATGGCGCACGTAAGGACGGAGGAGCCGATCAAATTGATATATTCAACCTTCAGGATTCGGGAGAGGACTGGAAAAGTGTCCGTTCACCATTACTGCACATGTTTGAGTTCAGCCGAGTTATAATCGATGAATTTACCTATTCAAAGGATAGAAACTATGCTGCGGCTCTTGCAATCTCTTCTCGAAAGAAATGGATACTATCAGGAACACCTCCACTAAACAATTTTGGAGATGTCAAGTCGTTCTCTCCGTTCCTCGGAATCAACTTAGGTATTGATGAGGACGATGGCAGGAAAGTGGATAACGAGAGACTGAAAACAATTCAGCGTGAAAAGACGGGTATGCCAGACCCGTTGTTCTCTGTGTCATTACTATTGCTAACTTGAATAGAGGTTGAACAATTTCAGCCTCTAGTAACTCGTCGAAGTGCTGTATGGCACCAAAGACGACATGAGGTAGCCCAAGGGTTCTTGGACCAGTTCATGAGAAAAGTAAGCCTCACCGCGCCTAACTAGCTAGTGGTTAAATAAAAGCACTAACCGGTATAGAATATGCCCGATATAGATGATATTCCATGGACCGAGCACGTTATTGGAGTAGCTCTATCCGCTGCCGAACGAGCAGTCTATCTTGAGCTTTTCATGCAACTTATGTCTCAAAATTTGAGGTTGAGGAAGCATGGTCGAGGAATATATGACTCCGATGAAATCGCCCGTCTAGATGAAATCATTGGAAATAGCAGCGGTCCAGAAGAAGCACTATCCAAGCGCTGCTCTTTGTTTACTCTCGCTGATGTTACACATTCTCCTACTACTACGTCTCGGGAGAATCCAAATAAGTCGTTCGAGGACGATAACCCTCTTGTGGTTATACGACACAAGCAGCTTATAGGTCTTGGGGCTGATATTGGATCCAGGCTGAGCAGAGGGCTGTGGCTACGTGGGCAGCTAGATGAAGGAACGACTCATTTCGATAGGCTCTTGGAAAGCATAGAGGAGGACAGGTTTGGAGATCTACTGGTTACTATTGGCATTAAAAATCTCCTCCGCGGGGTAAGAAATAGATCGAAGCCAGCTGATGGTAGTATCTTTTATCAGACAGTACAGGAGGTGAGCAAATTCATACCCCCTAATCCTGAATTTAGTATCGGTGCTGACTTTAAGGAGAAGAAGAAGAACCCCGATGATCCTAGACCCGAATTCCCCAAAACACAAACGGAACTAATCAGTGATCTGAACTACTGTACCGACAGTTTACGCCGGCTTGTTTATGAAACAGTATCGCATGCACGCGCCCTGAGGTTATACCATGCAGTACGATGCTTCCAAAACCCTCCAGATGGCGCCATTTTCATCTGCCATAGCTGTGGCATACAAAGGGGTGACCCTCGACAGTTATCTATTCTAGGGGAGTGCGGTCACAGTGTGTGCAAATCATGCCTAGAACGTTGCAAGCTCCACGAAAGGTGTTTACTATCCGGTTGCAGCGGAGCTGTTCATGGGTATCGTATCATCAAATGGACTGATCTCTGTCACTCTGAATCCAATGTACAGGACGATAAACTCGCCAACTATGGCGGCTCAAAACTTGCGGAAGTTATCAACCTACTTCAAGACACCAAGAGAATCCCAAGTGATGACCAGGCCCTTCTCTTCATACAGTTCCCTGAATTGATGGACGCCGCGGCTCATGCGCTACAATTAGCCAACATACTTCACACCGTTGTCCAGCCAGGAGATCGGACGCCAGCTAGTAAGATATCCGAATTTCAGAATGGAAAAGACGTCATGAAGAGTAAGGTTCTGATACTGAACCTTGGAGATGTAACCGCATCAGGGCTGTAAGTCTTGTTCTATACCCCCCGAACGTATAGCCTATGCCTAACCCTATTATAGGAACTTACAAAATGCCAATCACATCATTTTCTTTGGCCCACTGATTTCTGGATCACAGTACGATTATAACTCCGGAATGGCGCAAGCAATTGGACGCTCAAGACGTTACGGTCAACTAAAACACGTTCACATTTACCACATTTTGGCTCTGAGAACTGTTGAAGTGAATATTTTTGAGCAACGACGGCGACAGTATCTCGCAAAGAGAGGCGATCTATTTGTGATAGTTCAGAAGGGCGAGATTCTTGACACTGACGAAGTTGATTGGCGAGGTTTTCCGTTGGAGGGATCAAATGCAGACTGCTATGAGGACGATTTTGAGGATGAGAAATAGGTGCTGTTTGATTATCACGAGAGTTTCCTGAGCCCATGTAATATTTGATAGCCCTTGTCATGAGTCTATACTATTGGGTCATGTAATTGAATTTAGTTTCTGTTTTACTCGATCCATCGTAAGTTACTTTTCACTGCCGTGGTTACTGGCCTTATAAAAGTACAAATACAACCCAAATAAAGGGAGAATGCGCTGTATAGCCAGCAGATTAAATTGCTTGATAGAACATGTGGTGGCTTTGGCAGATCTTGTCAATTAAGTCTCACGCCTATTTTCGAGGCTCGAACTGAAAGAAAGGAACAAGGTGGATGACCGCATAACTGCCCGGTACAAGTTACTGTACAAAAAAAAAAACACAAGAATATAGTAAAAGTAGCAAGATAAGAATCACCTTCACTTCCGGTTCTAGGGAAGATTCTTTTCCGTATCATGCTCATTTCGACGAACCTCCGTTCCACGATGACCACGTTCCAATTTACAATTCTCCATCTTTCCTTAACGTTTCATTTCCCCATAGAGGCTCAGTCAAATTTGTCAAACCGGCGCTGTTCTCACAAGTATCTCTGCCGCTTAACGGACCTGGTGGTGGGACCTTGACCGTGGATTGTGTGCCTTTCTCCGCAGCCAAGGCACTGGCCTTGAGGGCATCGAGTAGCTGCACTGTTGATTCGGGAGTGAGATCTTCGTAGTAATCGTCATTGATTTGGACCATTGGCGCGTTCACGCAGGCGCCGAGGCATTCGACTTCGAGGACGGTGAAGATCTTGTCTGGGGTAGTTGCGCCGTGGGATGATACGCCGAGATGTTCCGTTATGGCCTTGACAATCTTATCACTTCCGCAGCCACCGAGTTGGCAGGGTGTCTAATCAGGAAAAGATGAAGGTTAGAAAAATGAAACGTTCGTAGCAAGCCAGGCACTCGGCATAATTCCGGAAGGCCAACGCAAACAACGAAACTGGGGACATACGGTGGTACATATTTGAACAAAGTATTTCCCGACTGGTTCGCGATTGTACATGGTATAAAAGGTGGCCACCTCGTATACTCGCATGGGTGGCATCTCCAGCATGCGCGCAACCTCGTTCATCACGCTGATGCTGGTGTATCCATGCTGGCGCTGCCCAAGATCCAGTAGCGGCATAACCGCAGCCTTCTTATATTGGGGGGGATAGCGTTTAAGGATCTCATCGATAACGGTGAGGTTTTCCTGGGAGAATTTGAAGGGGATGGTAGGGTTGTTGGCGGGAGTGTTTCGGTGCTAGATGGTTTACGAATATCCAGTATCAGCTTCCATTGAGCTCTGTCAAAGCCTCCTACCATTTGCATAAAGGTATTGAGGCCATCTGTGACGCCAGACGAGTACTTACAACGTGGAGGACATCGCTCATGAGAGGTGATGCGGTTGTGAATGTTCGACATTGCCGGGACGAGAACTGTGGGAGGCACTGTCGGCCGGCCTGCCGGAGGCTGAAGGGAAGGAGTTTTGAAGCCATCCCAGCAGATGCAAAGGGACACTCGAGAGCTGCTGGGGAGTAGAGGCGCAGTGCAATGGCTCGTCGCTGGTGCTGGGCTCGTCGTGGATGGCGGAGTTGATATGTTGATGCTGGACGAAGTTGAAGAAACGCTGATGTTGCGGCCCAAAGCAGCCAATCAGCGTGCGTAGAATTACAATCCACCACAGACGCATTCTCTATATTCATTCTTCATTTTTATATTCTTTCATTCTTTTCTCACTAATGTCTAGATTGTTATTCTACGGCATGTAGTCCCTGCCAACATATCTACGATATCGGCGATTGATTCATCGAAGACAAATAATTATAATTTGGTGCACTACTATAAGGGTTCGATGCCTGCACTAACACTTGATCATCCTATCTTGAAATTCGTGAAAATAAAGAACAAAAGCAGTGTTTCCCGAATCCCCCTTTCGTTAAATCCTTATCATAACATCCCCTTTAACAGTCGTAGCATTTATCATTCAAAACCCGACGACTTCCTGGCCGCTGGGAATTTTTGCTTCATATTGCAGTACCAGCCTGATATCAACCGCCCTCGCCAGGGAAATCACCCATTTGATTTCCCCATCTCTGTTCATATACACGGCACCCTTACCCCAGTCCTTGGATTTCTTGGGATCAATGCAAATATCCGCTCCTACCCTAGCAGAATCTCCCTCCTTATCAAGTCCCTTTGGCTCGATCAGGCGGATGCGCACCCTTTCATCTTCGCTCACCGGTACCTGGTCGAAGACCACTAGCGATACCGGTGAGGACTTTGTGTTGTTAATCCGGCATACACGGGTAAAGATTGCGCAGTCTTCTTTGTTGAAGTAGCCTGTCGTTGCTCGCCTGATTTTCGGTTTCGAGTATGTCACCTGTATTGCTGGGTCGACTCCTAGATTAAGGTTGAAGGGAACCCCTGGGTTGCAGTTCGGGATAGTCGCCTTTCCAAGGAATGCATCATCGATCGTTAGACCAGCCTTGCCTCGAAGGAGAGGGGTGTTGGACGTGTTCACGACCCTTCCTCTAAGGAACGCTGCCTGCTTCAATTTCGGAATGATGACGTGTGAGAAGGTAATGGAGGAGAGTTCTATCTCCGCGATGATATGGCGCCTGACGTGCGAGGAGGGCTGCAGCGTACGCGATCCGGGGACGTTGTAGGTTGTGGTAAGCCCATAGTCATGCCGAGATGATTGCTTGAACGCAAGTACATTTGGTGAGCCATAGATAGTCGATGCGTCATCTTCCAAACCATCGTCGTCCTCATCGGACCCGGAACCTTCGCCTTCATATGCACCGGGGGGAGGAGGGGGAGGCAGCGGTGTCGTATATTCTTGCTGCACCGAGCCAAACCCTAGCCCTTGCGGCATAGAATCGTGCGCTTGAACGTTTATCGCTGATTGTTGTGTATTTCCGCCCCCTGTTCCTACGGATGCTCCGAATAGCCCCCCTTGGCTTAACTGGGTACACTTAGCCCTTTGATGGAAATTTTGTTGCGCGGCCATTGTATTCTGTTGTCTACTTAGAAACAGGGAAGAAGAAGGGAGGGGAGGAGGAGGCGGCGGAGAGCTAAATAGTCCGCCTGGAGGCCATGCGGGTTGAGGAGGCTGTGGAGGAGCGGAGGAGGAACTTACCATCTCCGGATGGGCTATTCTTTGCCTGTTCTGCTGTCTAACCTTCCATTCCGGAGTAGCTTCTGCACTGGCCTTGTATGCACCGTTCCAGTGGCTCATTTTCAATGATGCCAGCTTATCCATTGCGACCTCCGCCTGCGCTTCATGTTTACGAAGCTTAATGTTCCATGGCAAAAGGGAAGGGATGTTCTCGTCAACACCAGAGAAGCTCGTTTGGGATGTCGAGAGGATAACGGCTGTATCTTTCCAGGTCTCAAAGCTCCTGTTATAGTATTCGGCTCGGTAAATCAACTTCCCAGAGGACGTGGGGGTATGAAGCATCAGATCGTAGCGTGGCGTCCAACGGGCACCCGCAGTGACGTATGTTAGCGATAGGGTAATGGTCTCATCTAGCGCTGGCTTCTTAGCTGACATGACCGAGTCTCGGCGGCTTGCATTTGTGCTTTCATCACCAAGTCCGTCGAGGTGAAGGATGACACGGCCAACCAGGGGGGACCAAAACTTCCGGAGTTCAGCGCGTGGCTCTTCTTTCTTTTTTTGTTTAAGCTGCCTGGCCTTCCGCTTTGCCTCCCTTTCCTTGCGCGCTGGCTTTGCAGCCCGGTATCTGGCCTCGTCAAACTTGTCCGTGAGACGCTGTTCCTTTCGCTCTAGCTTTTCTCGTTCCTTCGTCAAGCTAGTTATCTCTGTCTGGGCCTTCTCAAAGGTATCCCGAAGCCCTGTGCGTTCCTTCTGATACATGTGAATGTATTCTGCCACCTCGTTCACATCAACATCCTTGGCTGCCATGCTCTGGCCGTAGGTGTCGAGGAATGCCAGGGACTGGGTAGATGTGACTTTTTCATTTTCAAGGAAGGCAATCTTGTTATTCAATTCCTTGATCTCAGCAATAACTCCATCCAACTCTGATCTATCGACACCGAAATCATCGTCTGGGTCTTCAGATTCGATGGCCTCGTCATCACTCTCGTCTCCATCGGACGGATAAACGTCCTCGAATAGTTCATCACGGTAGGCCACTACGGTCTGGATATCAGTGATGGTCGCGGGACCGTGGCCGGTGACACGAAGTGAGTCAAAGTCGATATTGGCATCAAATCCCACGATGGTGATCTTGTTAGGGCCGGCCTATGATTTCATTAGCATAATACAAACTAAGTATACACTGGATACGAGGAATGTATACATACCTTGATCGACACGTCTGCAATTTCACGAACGACGGTCGCTCTCTCAGGTGCCAGTGTAACCGTCTTTGTAGGCGTCCCCGTCAACGAGAGCTCAGCCGTATACACCTCGTCAGACGTCATATTGTCCCTTTCTAGTTTCAATACGATCTAGTATGAGGATACAGCTTTCTATGGCCTCGAATGATTGAATAAACACGTAGCTTAATGTGACAAAAGGTATTCTTAAGGGTAAGACTGCTGATAGCTAGCTGGACAATGGTAGGACCGAAGAGCTGAACTGCTGGCCTGATGGTTGACGAAGTGGGAGCAAGCATCCTTTTATAGCCGGCGCTGGCTTCAGCCCCCTTGAGGCTCAACACATTGTTGCCTAGAGTGTGGAGTATGAAGCCACCGCCAACGCTCGCTCCGCCCATCGACGGGATATCAGCATTCTTAGCCTCTTGCAGCGGTACAACCGAGGTAACTTCCTGTGTACCGTTTCACTACATCTATATCATGGACAGCAGTGAACTTGCTTGCATATTCCTTGTTGTCAAAGAGGAGAGAAAAAGAAGAAGTATCACCAAAGATTAGATAAGCAAGATAACATGGTATAATATTCTGGTCACGTGGTAGCTAGATGGGCCAAAGGAGAAACAAACCTCAGACTCTTCGCTTAAGATGCCGTGTAGTTGTACTTCTCGCTTGACCATGGCCAGGGCTGTCGACCAATGAACCTGTGAACTGGCTCCGGGGTGTTTTATTATGCGTCTTAACATGCAATCTAGAGACTCACAAGAGCGAGGCTGAGGCTTGACTGACCGAACGAAGAGAGCTACTCCAAATAACATATCCCATCATTCTATTCCTTGTCGAGACAACAAGATAGTCGCTTGGGTGACACAAAATCCGTCTCCACCGAGTTCAGGGCTTCCATAGAACGAGATCCCTGAGACTTAGGGACTATATTCTATATAGATGGCTACACGTCATGTATGGCTGTAGCATAAGCTCCGAGGACACGCTAGCATCTGCATTCCCACATGGAAGCTCGTTATACTTACCAGTTCTCTTTAAGCGCAGCATTATCAGCCAGTGGTTTGGGCACTGGACGCTCAGCGAAGATGCCTGTTGCCTAGGTATCATGGAGGTCAGCTCTTGGTATCATGATTTGGAGTCTGGCCTAACTTCATAGCTATCTTTAAATAAAGGACAGCTCGCAACCTATCCGCGCTATCCACTAACCATAATACTACTTTGAAATAAGCATGCATCGTAAATAATTCTACAACTTACTGAACCAAGTCGGAGCTTGATATCTCCAGCGAAGTCGCTCTGCAAACTCCTGATGACGTGTGATTAGTAAGACGGAATCACGTGCCTTGGGGTATCAAAATGGTGCAGGCTTATCAGAAATAATTTTTATAAAAACATATTGTGTTGCATCTGATATTCCCATCCTCCTTTTTTTGAACTAGAATAGTTATATCTTAATCTTGAATATACCTGTCAATAAGGCTGTTTTATGTCCCGAGGTAGACATCTTGAAAACATACCTTGAATATCGCTAAATGAGATAAGTGTGACTCAGTCGGGATACCATCAACATACCCTTCACCCGCATTGTTCTGGATCTCAGCGGTTAAAAGGATAGCTTATTTGCTAGCCACATCCGTATTTCTGGCGGACAATTTGATTTCAGCCACGGCTACCACCAGCACTTCTCGTACCCTTTGCTCTTATCTTGGGCGTTATAGGGATTTCGCAACAAGAGTGTTCAGTGCCGTCACTCTCCCCTTTCCCGGAAATGATTCTCCAAGCAAAATGCCTGAAAAGATAGATCAAGCGGGCATTGGACGGGCTACTAGAATATTACCTGTTCACAGATTCAGTGACTGCCCACCAGACCAGGATATTTTCAAGAAATGGACAGCAGAACTTGAACAGGGAGGCCCTGATGTCACAGCTCTTCTGGAGGCTGCAGAGGCAATCCGCACCAGTGATATCCCGGTGGCCTTTCCAACAGAAACTGTTTATGGATTAGGTGCTGATGCAACGCGCAGCGGGGCTGTCCAAGGGATATATAAGGCGAAACAACGGCCATCGGACAACCCGCTTATAGTTCATATAAGCTCGAGAGAACAGCTCGAACGTCTTCTTCAGGCCCCCAAAACATCAAACGGAGCTGTCAAGGACCACAATACACCGCTTATTCCAAAAATATATGAACCATTAATGGAAAGATTTTGGCCCGGACCTCTAAGCATTATCCTGCCAAATCCCTCTCATTTACCGTTGGCGCCAGAGGTTACTGCTAATCTCTCAACGTTTGCCGTGAGAATGCCCTCATCCCCCCTGGCTCGGCTTCTCATCGCATTAGCCGACCGACCAGTAGCTGCACCGTCAGCTAATGCTTCAACTAAACCCTCGCCGACGACAGCACAACACGTGCATACGGATCTTCAAGGACGAATAGATATTATTCTAGACGGCGGGCCGTGCGGAGTCGGTGTCGAAAGTACGGTTGTCGATGGATTAAGTTCCCCCCCTGCAATCCTCCGGCCTGGAGGAGTCGGGATTGACGAACTGCGAACATGTCCTGGCTGGGAAAATGTACAAATTGGCTACAAGGATGGCGCCTTGCAAGGCAAAGCCACTCCCCGAGCGCCAGGGATGAAATATAAACATTATTCGCCAAAGGCAAAGGTTGTCCTTTTTGAAGCTGGGCAGGATAACGCTTCTGTTGTGAATCGCGTAATCTCTGACATTAATAAAAGGCCCGAGTCTGAAAAGGACCGAAATCTGCCCCTGTCCATAGGGGTTGTTCGAACCAAGGCTTGGAAAAAGGGGCTTGGGATGCTGGGCATTCCTCACCTACCACTAGACGATGCTACAAATGGAGAGACCACAACTTCATCCATAAACTGTCCCACCAATATTCAAATAGAATCTCAACAAATTACTTCATCCGCACCCGCTATCAACATGCTTGACATATCCTTGGGAGATGATACATCGTCAATTGCACGTGGTTTATTCTCCGCTCTACGCAGCCTTGACGAGGAGGATGTTTCTATTATCTACGTTGAGGGAATATCGGACACCGAAGGCGACCTGGCGGCCGCCGTGATGAACCGATTGCGAAAGGCAGCGGAGGAAGAAGTCAAGGTTACTCAATGAGCTCATCAATAGAAGGATTATAACTACAACAATAAGAAAATCATGGTCGCGAAGGAATGACGAAAGATTTACGAGGGAAAAAAGCATACTTTTAAATTAGCATTTGGTCTGGCAGGTTAGCATCTGGGGATATAGACTTAAGAGACGGTGATAAGTACGGATCATCGGATGAGAAACAAAGATTTTACGAATGGCATCAAGCTCGTTTCGTTCCTGTGGAACTATGTACATGCAAGAAGCCGTTGTCTCACCGGACACAAGACACATTTATTTCTTTTTCCCTCCTTTACCACCCTTACCGCCTCCAGATTTCTTACCTTTGCCTTTTCCCTTGCTGTCCGCGCCTTTGGGCCCAACGCCCCCCGAACTTGACCCTCCAGCACCAGCTACAGAAACGATGGTGAATCCACCAACAGGTAACGTATTCATAACTTCAACCTCTCTCCATGCTTTGATGCAATCTAGCTCCATAGAAAGTATATGGTTTGCATCCTCAGTATTTTCCGCAGCCTCCTCAGTTGCATCCTCTACTGATTCGGAATTATCCGTAGGCGCAGGTTTCTTTCCGGTAGAGCGAGTCTGTAACACGGTGGCATCGTGAATCCACTTGCCCAGTATATCCTTGACTGCTTTTCCCTTTTTTATCTTTCCGGGTTGTAGCTTGGCTCGGTACTTATACTGTCCAAGTGCTGACCATGGAGCACATACAGGGATCGCAGCTTCGATATCATCGCCTTCCACGGGTGTTCCCACAAGAGTAGGCAGTAATGACAAGTCAATTTTATGGTCTTCCCCAGAGCCATCCTCTGTAGGATGCCGTGCAAAGGCCTCTTGTTGTCGTTTGACAGCCTGCAATGCACGCTCATGCTGTGCTCTACGCCTTTCCTTTTGCGCCTCGCGCTCGGCTTCAATATCGGCTTTCGTTTTCGTTTTGTTGGCTGTGGAAGTCTCGGGGGCGGAACCCAATAAACGAAGAGCAAGCTTGCGATCTTCCTCGTCCTGATCTTTATATTTAGTGGCTAGTTTTTTTGCCTTCCCTCGTTTGCCGCGAATGGGAGGCTTAGATTTCTGAGTCCCTGCTGAGCTAATTAGGGATGGTGTCGATAACGGTGAATCTTGGGCCGGCGAGGGCGTTGATGGCTGGGTTTCATCCTCAGACTGGTCAGAAGGATCTTCCACTTCGTCTTCGTTCAAAGTGATTTTTGAGGCAGCCTGTTTCTCGACCTGCGGGGCGGCTTGTTCCCCGCCTTCTTGTGACTCCTCCTGCCTCACGTTGGCATCGTACTTTTCGCCAAGTTGCACAGCCCTTGTACTCTCTTCCACAGATATATCTTCCATCCCATTCTCTTCCTCTTCCCCCTCAGATAGATTAGATGCCAACGTATCTGCACGTTCTTGAGTAACATCATCCTGGTGATCCGACTGGTCAGGATCTACCTGGGGTACGCCGGAAGTGTTGGAAGTAGATTGATCATTTGTCTCCAACCCCTCCGACGTAGCCAGCTGGAACTTTGTATGGTTCTGAACACTTCGAGTAGAAATTTCGAACAGTACCGCAAACCCTAGCACAGTCTGGCCAGGGGGTAGATGATTTTTCTCACCCTTTATCATAAAATGGCCAGCTTTAAGAATGTCCCCCGTAGAAGTCATCTTTGACACCTGAGCTGCATGAACCCACCATCCACCCATTGCCGCTTTTGTGTCCCAAGCTTTCGATGAGGCAACAGAGTATGTGCTCGCTTGTGAGATCGTATTTGGAGGAATAGGATCATCTGGGGTCTCAGGCTTATTCTTTACAATCAAAGGAACCCCACCCTCTAGATCCGTATGGACGTATATGTCTCCTTTCCTTAGATAGCGCTGAAATAGTATCTCACCTTGCTGTGGATCTCTCCCGCTATTTTACATATCAGTACTGATTGAATATCGAACGAACGGGACTCACTTACCCTATAACAAGATAACCATCTGAGGAAATGAAAAAGAAGAACTTTTCGAACCATGCTGGAGTTCTTGTTCGGCGAAGAACTGGTTTCTCCTGCTTCAATGCATGTTTGAGATTGGCATTCACCTTTTTCTCGGTGCTCTTGATAGCCTTTGTAGAAGCCTGCAGAGTTTTCTCCTCTTTAACTGCGGCGATTTTCTTTTCATCGTAGTACTGTCTAGCATTAGCCCATGGAGAAATTCCGAGGTCAATATCAATGCTAATTCGGTTGTCCTTTTTGTCCTTTTGAGATTTTGCCTTTCCTTTCTTGTGCCTGGGTCGCTCATATTCGTCGTCACCGTAGCCATCATCCTCATCATCTTCGTCATCCTCCTCATCATCTTCGTCATCCTCCTCTGAATTACTGGATTCCTCGTCTTCATCGTCATCTTCAGTCGCATCTTCATTTAGGAGGAGTGTAACTGTATTCTCATAAAGTTTGAGGGGTAATTTTATAGAGAGAGCAACGGGATTATTCTTTCCCTGTTCCATCTCAATTAACCTAGCGATCTCAACCCAGTCCATACCCTGTGCCACCAGGCCATTGACGGCATTGATCGCCTCCTCTACCTGTGAAAGATTGGCTTCAATAGCATGGGCCTTCCGAACATGGAATTCTTGCTTTTCTTGCAGAGCAGTGACTCGTTTTTCATGGTCTCGTTTCGTGGCTTCCAGTTTCTTCCTCGCCGTATCTTCGCGCTCTGTCAGACGCGACTCTAGTTTTCGAGCTTCTATCGAAGAGAAGTATTTATCAACCGCACTGTTAAAGTTCTCAAAATGTAGCGTAGTGGTATTGGGGACGTCCTTCGATTGACTAGGCTCAAAAGGGTGGAACTCCCTAAATTCGATCACAGGGGCTGACTTTGATCCATTTGCACCATCTGAAGAGCCGGGCGCGGTATTCTTAGCTATGATATAGCCGGGGTGCTGGCGGTCAGAGGACAAGGCATTGTTCACCCGATCAGCCTCGTGGAGAACATCCATCAGGCGATTTATCAAGGTGGTCTCAGTCAGGATCTGAGCAGGTTGGAGTTTCGAGTCGAAGCCAACTACATGAAAAGCATGATCTAACAGCGTAGGCGGGTATTCTGGGAATCCAAAATATAAACTCCGCTTCAAGACCTTTGACCCGTTATCCTTCCCCAGCGCGACCTTAAGCCTGTCCACGGTAAGCGGGGGGATGCCATTATAATTCATCTTGCTTTCCAACCTATACGACATGCCGACTTTAACCTCCTCGATGTCACTTCCAGGAGCGACATGTCGTAAAAGTGCAACAATCTCATATTTGGCATCTGTCAAGATGAGATTCCCAGCTGCAAAGAATTCCAGGTATAAACGGAATAGCCCATCACTGATCTCAAACTCAAGTATTCGGTCGGTGCCTATCTGTCGTACCCCGGTGATGCGTCTCGTTTTCAGGAACTTTCGGAGCCGACTGACAAAATGAGACGGCGCATCTGCTGTTGTGCGGGATGACTCTGTGAGGTGGCAGTGAAAACCAGCATTGATGATGAGCTGCTTCTTTATATCGGGAAGGGCGAGTTTGAACAGAAACGTGCGCTATATAACCACTTGACCATTAGAATAAAATCATATATAGCAAGACGTATAGGTTTGCAAATTCCATGCAGAACATACTGGCGACAGATCGTAGATATTGGCTATTCGCAGGCCAAGGATGCTGGCAGAGAGCTCGCGGCTTATGACCTAAAAACAATTAGCTACCGGCATGGAATAGCTTCACAACGGTCGGCGACACGTACCTTTACGTCTAAAGAAGAATATCTCTGCTTCATTTTTGAAAACCCCGTCTCTCTGCTTTGCTAGAGGTATGAGTAACTTGAATAAAATAACCTTGGAAGTGACGTAGGCGGGGCTGACAAAGCCCACACGACACAAATATTTATGCCAGGAACACGTCTATAGCTCTCTTGCGATGTTATCCTACTGGATGATGTATAATACTGCTATCTAGAATATACCAACAGCCAAAAAATGATACTGGTCTCAGTCTATCATACCAGATCGAGGGACCCTTCATTCCGAAATACAATGAATCGAGGATGATAAGTGTACTGTTTGGTATAACTTCTTGACCTAGCAATGTATGCTGGGCATCAATCTTCTGGAGTGGCAGTGCCACGAGGGTAAATTGGAGCTACATTCAAAATGTCTGTCAAAATGTCTGAGACACTTCTGTCGTAGGCGTTATTAGAATTATAACCACCGATAAATGGACACCTTCATATCCGGGGTACCCTATAGGTAAAATAGAAGAAAAGACATTCATTCAGTCAGCCGTTACGCCATAATGCTCACTAAAAGTGAGGACGTCAAAAGAAACGTAAAAAGGTCTGTGCCAAACCTCTCAAGTCGTAGAACATGGAGATAAAAAGAGAAAGAAGAAAAAAAAAAAACAGCATCCCGTAGAAACCAGTTTTATAGACCCTGTCGTAGCTGCTCTGCAAGCCTCCGCTTTCCGAACTCCCATGCATTGAGCAGTCCCTGCTCAGACAGATCTATGTTCTTCATATTTGGCGCATCCTGGGCGGGTGCCTTGCTAACGCGGGAGGCAATGAGCACAGGGTCTGTCTCCAGGATGATACCGTCGTCGATAACCTCGTCAACTGCAAGGGAGACAAGGTCGTAGTTCTCGATGATGGTGCGTTTATCCGTAGATCCCCTGAGAAAGTATCAGTATACACAAGCCCATACGCAAAAGGGAATAAGGAGAATGTTAATGCATACCCTAGCAATATACTCAATGAATCCCGAAGCGATACAACGACGTTATAAAGCAACACTTCATTTTCCTCGGCCCCTCCAACAACATAGATCATGACGTCGCCTTCGGACTTGAAAACCACCACGCGATTGTCGTAGAGTATTATGTCGCTTGACTGCTTGTTTGTCTTCTCCAGCAACCCCTTCTCAAACGACTTTTGGTCCTTCACTGTCGGGTAAGGGTTCGCACCAGGGTAGTCTGTCGAGTCGGCAGCTATGCCAGCTGGAGGGTGTGGAGCAGAGTAGTACTTTGCGAATATCCGGGACGAGTCGTCCGTCGACATTATAAGGACCGCATTGACGGAGAACAGGGAGAGAGGAGCGAGCATCGTGGCTGTTGATGTTGCCTTTGTCGAGCGTATCGTCTTGTATAATTGCTATATTGTGTCCTGATAGATCGTTGCTTCGAGTTTCCTTAACTATCCTTGCTGGCTTCATCGTGGACATAGTCACGTGATATCAACTTCAGCCAGCGGACCTCCTTTTCTACTTCTATGAAAGCAACGGACACTATATACTCAAAGTAAACAGCATATATGGCCTGGATAAAGATAATATATGCTATTACATGTCTAATAAGTAGGAAATCTTGCGTGAGACGCTTAATTATACCTATCCGGCCAATATTGGCGCGTCAAAAATACTCTGATACAATGAAATGTTTCTCACCTCATTACAAAAAGATGAACTGGATATATATATAAAGAATTAATAGCTGGGGCAAAAAGGTTCACATGCGGTCCTGCAGAACCGCATGCTACGTCCTTGCCCCCTCTGTCCAGCTGGCGAGCGAGGAGCGTCCCCCTTGGCCGTCGAGCTGGACTGCCGAGCAAATGGCCCAAGGCTAAATGGGCGGCAGTGAGGTTCGAACCCCAGGCAAAGGATGGTGCTGCAGCTGGCCCGTCGGCCAGGTACAAAGGGCTAAGCCCTTCGACCATCCTCCCCTGGGTGTTATATATCCTCCTACTTCGGGGCCCTTTGTGTCCTCTCTTGATAGCTGGATGCCACTTGGGATATATCCAGACAGAGGCCCTTGATATAAAATACCCATGGATATCACTATAACAATCACTTTAGCACCTCGATATTGAGTTAATCCTTCAGCCAGACAGCTCATCCATGCTCGTCTACCTTTCTAGATACTCTCTAAGCAACAATTACATGCCTTAGAACATTCAAGGACAGCACTCAACACAGCCTTTGCAGCCTCCTCCTCCTCCATATTGAAGTACATATTCAGCCTCTTTAGCCTATCTGGATGCCATCTTAGCTTCTCCTGCACCAGCTGTGTTTTTAGCGCGTTCAGCTTCTCCCTCGACGCCCCCTGAACCCGAATATCAAACACCATCACGTCACGAACATCTTCAGCGGCCACTGAATCAGACCTAGAGGAGCCAACATGCGTGTACCTTGGATGCAACCCAAACGCTTGTACGAAGAAGCTAAAGGCATTCCACGTCCTAAGTTGAAATATATCTTCGCTAATCTGTTTTGGTAGTCGGCTGTGTCTTGATAAACCGCGTCGTGGCTGTCGTGGATGATGCGTTAACGCGTTAACTTGCAGGTTGGCAGTTGGCCATGGTATCACTGGACGGTTTCCTGCCGTATCCTTGTTCTCATACACTACCTTCCACGCGGCGTTATACTCCCCGATCGATTTTGCAGCCTTGGGAGGGATGGTGCCAGTGTTCGAGCTTGGGTCTCTGTCGGTGTACCCTCTATATGCTTGACGGTGAGGCCTTCCATACCGGCCAAAGCTATGGAAGGCCTGCTCTTGTTCATGTGAATCATTGCGGCGATCCCTATACTGCCAGTTCCTGTGTTCTTCATTTCTCAGATACTGCAGCATCTCCTCCACTCCACTGCCTAGACGTTCAAACCTGAGACGCTCGCGCCGCATCTTCAGCTTCAACTCTTCCACATCCGCACGGAGACTCTTCACTGTTTCGTATAGCGGAAGGTCTGCACAATATCCTTCCATATCCTCTCCTTCGTCGTTGTCTAGATCCTCTGACGATGTTCCTGGATCCTGACTTTGTGGATCATCCATAACCGTTTCGGTATCATGCATAGCATCCGTCATCGTTCCTTCTTCGCTTTCCTCCATACATGCATCTTTTTCTTCGCCTTCGATAGGCGTGTCGTCACTGGTCGCCGAGTAAGCCCAATCCTCCATATTGCGGTTGATCGAAGGCTCTGTCTCTCTCCCAAATACCCCAAATGCCGGAGGAGATTCGAATCCAGATGGCGCCGATCTCTGTGTCCCTCCGTCCAGGTTAAGGAATATGAGAGGCTCTCTAGCATACCCGCGTTCCCAGGACGTGGTATTCAGGGGCGGCGGCGGCGGCGGTTCATGATCTGGTAGTGGGTGGACCTGCACAGGCGGAGCTGGAGGCCAGTTGATGGTAGGATCTTCCCAGCGCACAGCAAGGGGTATACGCTTATCAGAGTAGAATCCGGTCTGGTGTTTATGTTGATGCTGGTAGTAGAATGAGGGTGGATATTGAGTGGAGATATGTCCCCCTAGAGGTGAGAAGCCATTCCAAACTCTTCGTCTTTCTTCCATTCCAACTGCTTTCGCCTTACTGCTAACTCAAGGATAGCCAACGACTGACGCTCAATTTTAAGCGCTATTCCGTTTTCTTTGCGTTTCCGTAGCTGTCTAATTGAACAGATACAGCATTTTCTATCATGTCGAATATATCATGGTATAGTCAAAGATGGGTATATCGTTTCAAGCTACACTTCAAATTCCTTTATGAAAAACAACCCTCGAGACGATAGCGTTCTCCATTGTTTGCTCGCGCATCACACACATGGGGCGACTCGTACAACAAACAACACCCGCTCTGGCTCAACGTTTTGATAATGCGCCTTGCATATATGTTATAAGTTGGATTAAAGTGAAACCCTATGCTGTGCTCTTAAAGCATAGCTATGAAACTATACAATACATTGCGTGAATCCATTCCGGTGACCCTCGGGTAAATTGTTTGATAACAAAGCTTGCTATCCTGTTTTCGCATGTGATTTGGAATATTAAGCCCATAAAAAATGAACAAAGAAGCCAAGAATATAACTGTGGTACGAAGTAATAAAATAGGTAAATATATCATAGCCGCAAGGGACACGAGGCGGTGCAAGGCGAGGAGCCGACGAGAAGAGACATGGGTATATAGACAAATTTGCAACGGGGTTTGCATTTCACAATTCAAGGATTAGACAAAGATGTATATATTTTAGAATGACATGGCATGAGAGGGCATGGATAGGCAAGTAAAAGTTACAAAAGAATAAAAGACATAGATAGTAATATGGGGAATAATACATTATTTTGAAATAGATTTTCTTAAAAAAAAAGGCGTCAAACTGGCTGGAGGAGACATCGTTCGTTTGTTTGTTTGGATGGTATCATGATGACGGCCGTGGCTGTCCGGAATCGGGAAGTGCGAAGCTACCCCGATTAAACCATCCTGCCCAGCTACCTCTATTGGCTTTCTTTCGTGCGGCATCATCATCAGCTAGTGGATCACTGTCCATCTCCTGGTTTTCCTGAACTAAACGTAAGGGGCGGAGTTTATTCTGCTGCATCACTGCGCCGGTATAGTTGTTCATACCAGGACTAGAGCGTGGTGGACTAGCAGAAGCACCGCCATCAGTAGATCCAACTTCTCCGCTCCGGTCGCTAGTAAGACTAGCAGCGCTGCTGAATCTACGGTCTGCACTCCTGGTCGAGATGGAAGTTCCCATGCCGCCAGGGGCGGTGGCAACAGAAGCGCGTTTAGAACTCAAGCTAGGACCGAAGAACGGGCCATTATTTGACAATGTTGGGCTAATACCCGGGCTCATTGGGCCGGTAGATGGGGAGCGTCCGCTGGGTGGACCACGATACATTTGGCCAACAACATTTGCAGCACCGGGGGGTGCGGTGCCATCCATTTGGTCTGATCTTGTTCGACGGTGTTGAACGGTTCTGGAGCGTCCGAGTGGGATTCTAGGGGCAGTGTTGGGGTCTTCGTGAGCTGACGGGGTGGGTGCCTCGCGAGGTGACATTTGTGGAGGAGATTGGGTGGAGGTAGATTGTGTAAGGGTGCTGCTTGGTCTGGGTTTGGGACGAGTTGTTTGTCCGGCTACGACGGACTTTGCACGTTGTAGGAAAGATTGACCGGCGGGTTCGTTTTTCTCGATTGGTGGTGGAGGAGGGAGCTCCTTATCTTTATTACCATTCTTCGAACCTGTAGTGTCGGCGTCGCTCTTGTCAAGAATATGTTCGAACCCTTCATGTTGCAAAAGTCTACCGATTATTCTTTCGATATATAGGGTCAGGGCTTTATTCTGGTCCTTGGAAGTCTTGAGTTCGCTCTCAAGTCGACGTCTCTCGTTATCATCCCCCCCTTCGCCGATGGACTCCAGCTCATCAGCCAGAGAGCCACTGGCTCCGTTCGATGCAGGTGCTGCGTTAGAGTCGTGCATGAAATCACCCTTGGTGAAGTCGCCGTTCAAAGTCCGCTCGCTGAGTAGAAGTTGGTAGCTTTCGTTATCCTCCATCAAGCGAGCATTCGCCATGCGGGCTTCTAGAAGCTCTCTTTCAAGATCCTGCTGACGGCCACCGCCTAGGTTCTCCATTTCCACAAGTTTGATCTGTGCTTCCGCTAACTCGAGCCTTAACGATTCTATCAGTTTATCCTTTTGTAGTATCAACTTGGAGTTGTTCCTTGAAGGGCTTCGTTGAAGCTGAGATGTCGATGGCGCAAACTGTCCATTTTCAATATCTGGGGATGAACGGTTGCGGAAGCTCGCTATAATTGCAATATGTTAGTCTCTGAGGAACAAAGTGTATGAGTGAGAATACTGACGTGAACGTGACATGTTGCGTTCTCCATCCACACCCATCCGGAAATCTTTCTGGGCGATAGTCTCCTTCAATCGTTGAATGGTAGATTCCAGCTCTTCCTCTCTCTTTGCCTGGTTCTCTTTATCCGTAAGCATCGCTCCGCGCTCGGTCTCGTGCTTCTGCTCAAGATCTCGAAATTGCTTTTGAAGTTCCTTGATCTCGTCGCGTAGCGGATTGATCTGACTGTCCTTCTCATGTGCCTGTTCTTCCAACCGCCCTTGCTCACTGACAGCATCGTCGAGCCTCATTTGAAGCACACCGAGTTGTTTGCAATATTGATCTGAGAGGGTTTCGGCCTTTTGTACCTGCTCCTTTAGGTCGTCTATGAGTGCAGCATTTGCCGCTCTGGTGTCGTCGTCGTCGTTATTATTAGAGAAGCTTCGCGGGACACTGCTCATGCTGAGGTTCGACCGACCCAGCCCAGCCCTCCTCGCTGCTGCGGCACGGGCTGACACGGGACCTGGTGACCCTTTGGTAGAGGGCGAGCGACCAACGCCATTTGTCGTGGCATTTGAGGATTGCGAGGCCTTTCGTGGTGGATTTGGGCTCGTTTGAGCGTCAGTCGACGGGGTCTTGCGGCCACCTGGCGTAGGAGACGACGGTTTTCTAGGCGTGCTCGCCATTGCGCATACGGAGGTCTCGAGAGATACTTTGTAAATGAAGTTGACAAGCAAATTACTCTAAGACACGTAGGATAGCAGCTCAAAGCCTGCCAGAGTCTCTTGGAAGCGAACCGTGAATCGTGACTTGTGAGGGTCGAGTGAAGAATCAAAATAGAAGAGCGATATAATAGTGTTTACACCTGAATAGAAGTGTACTCGTTTGAAGCAGCTATTTGCCCTGGTGAAAGAACAATGGGATGCCCGGACTAGAATGCGCCTCGCTGTATAATGGTGAAATCTAAGCTATGCAGCCATCTCGAACGACCGCTCATGATGTGTTTCTGGCCCGTGGATGCTGCTGATTTATCCACCTCCTGGATGCGTGTCCCGTAATTAAACCCATGGAGACCGCAGATTAACGACCCAAAGTTGCTAAACTTGCTGCACTCGGCCGTCGCGCCAATCAACGGCTGCGGAGCTGCGGATCTCTGACTAAGCGCTAAAAATAGGAGATCTGAGACGCGAGAGAGGGAAAAGAAAAGCATTGAAGGCCGAAGCAAGGCTGTGAATGCAGCTGAAGGGTGAATATCTGGTTGTAGGAGCGATGGAGGCTGACGCTTACGGCCAGCTGGAGGCGCGGAGAGGAGATCGATCTCTGTGACACGACGGAGAGGAGGACAAGGGTGAGATACTCGAACGAGCCACGATCGCCCTGATGGCCGATATACATGGTGCCTGCAGCCGGATGACTATAAATACTCACTAATCACCGAGTTATATTGTGCCTGCTGGTCATATTCTCATCCGTGTTGGCGATGATGCCGTCTCTCCTTGGACTGCCTGGTCATAAGGTAACTAAGTATATCGTTAGTCGAGTCATCCAGTCCACCAGCATCGAGTACCAATACAACAGCAAGACATCACTGCGCCACGAGGATCCCATACGTCCCTCTAGTCCATTAGTCCTACCCTAGAGTCACGGAGCCATGGAGTAGATAGGACTTAGAGGCTGGTCTGTAGTTCGCCTCCCTGTACATGTCCCGGCGTTCCGCCGGCCTGCCTGTCGAATACAGCAGCATAATCACGGCCGCAACCCGCCGGAGATTATAAATCACCTGTAAGCAACAGATATCAAGAGCAAGAGTCGTGAGAATGAAGTCGAAGTCGTCTTGAGGACGAGGTTGGATATTGCCTCTTTGGGCGAAAAGTTAGGGCTTAGGGCTTGCTTGGAAATCAACCCGCTTATTAATTATCTTGTGTGTGCTTGTTCGCCCCAGAAGGAAATTCTTCCTACCTCGTCGACATATAAACCATCACCACCGACCTCTTCCACCTCGAAAACAGCCTTATCGTTCGCAGGAAGTGCGCGTTATACACACCTGAACCGATAAGATGGCGCGTCGTCCCGCAAGATGTTACCGCTACTGCAAGAACAAGGTGGGTTGATCTGCTACGCTTCGCTCGAGGACTCCTACCGCGATTGCATATGGAAGAGACGGGAAATGAATGTCTGATGAGAATGCGCTGGAATTCGTTGCTGGAAAACGGGCCGATCGTGGAAAGTCGCTGCCGAGAAGCGAGAAGCAATCGCGGGGGGGGGGGGGGGGGTTCAAGGGCTATACAAGGTGGAATGATAGCTAACTTAACAACTCTCTAGCCATACCCCAAGTCCCGTTTCAACCGTGGTGTCCCAGACCCTAAGATCCGAATCTTCGATCTTGGACGTAAGAAGGCCAATGTCGACGACTTCCCTCTCTGCGTGCACATGGTCTCCAACGAATATGAACAGCTGAGTGCCGAGGCTCTCGAAGCTGCTCGTATCTGTGCCAACAAGTGAGAACCGCCACCGTTCAAATCTAGACTCGACTCTTTACCCAGGACTAACATGAAAAAACCAGGTACCTCGTCAAGATTGCCGGAAAGGAAGGTTTCCACATGCGCATCCGTGCCCATCCCTTCCACGTTGTCCGTATCAACAAGATGTTGTCGTGCGCTGGTGCCGATAGATTGCAGACTGGTATGCGTGGTGCCTTCGGTAAACCCAACGGCTCCGTTGCCCGTGTCAACATCGGCCAAATTCTCCTTTCCGTCCGCACCCGTGACGCCCACCGCGCCACTGCCGTCGAGGCCCTCCGCCGTTCCATGTACAAGTTCCCAGGTCGCCAAAAGATCATTGTCTCTAAGAACTGGGGCTTCACCCCTCTACGACGAGAGGAATATGTCAGACTCCGACAGGAGGGACGTGTTAAGATCGATGGTGCTTACGTGCAATTCTTGAGAAACAAGGGACCAGTCGAGAAGAACATGCAGCGATTCCCAGAGGCTTATGAGAATGTTTCCCAGGAGGCATAGAGCATGAGGTTTAGCGGGGTTTGGGTTTGAGGTTGAATTTGTTTTGCTTGTTTGATCGAGGCAATCAACAGCAGATATCTCACAAGGAATAAATGAATCAAAAGAATGACAAAAAAATGAGCATAATACCATTATCTTTTTTCTCATGGAATAATTGCGGATTGTGAGATGAAACTTGTTTTTAGTTTTAAATTAAATCCAGGTCATTTCTGCGAAAACTGTCTCATTGATTGATTGATGTTTATGATGGCTGGCAGGAGTTTGAGTTAATTTATTCCAGTCATTCAGTGACTGAACCTCTTCCCAAGAAGCTACCATACTTACGACTTTAATACGAGTTCCCTGGGTATCCAGCTCTTCATGCTGCTTGTATATCAATGATTAATGTTTCCCACATAATGCGTATGGTGTATATTTAAGAAGCCGAATGACAATGTCCAAATAATATCAGCATCTATCTATCCAACCATAGGATATATATAGACAAGGTAAGTATGACTAAATAAATACCCCGTAAAATCACCGACTGCAGAGCTAATACTGCAAATAGACAGAAATAGATAGAAATATATGAGATGAGAGGCACCCATCCAACTCACCCGCCTATCTAAAGCGATGATCCACGCCTCACATCAACATTACACACACAGCTCATGTCCAGAAACGCCAGCCACCACCCCCCAGCCATACCTAGCCTCATATATGCGATTCAATGCAATCAATAAACGAACAGCTCCTCGGGTATAAGTACCAGCCTAAACATCACCCCAGCTGCCCATGCCGCCGCCCACAGCTAATGGCGCACTGCTACTTCCAGCACTACCTCCGATATCCCAGTAATGCCTACTAGAACCACTGCCACCCGCGATGGTACGTTTAGTTGACACAGACTTGCGCGTACTCTGACTTTGGCTTGCACAGCTTGAGCTAGCAGCGCCACGCATATGGCTGTGATGTCGGTAGATACGTGGGGACTGATGATGATGGAAGCGAGAGTTTGCTTCTGCGCGGGCGACTAAGGGGTGATGCTGGCGGATGATTGCAGCGCGGATGGGATCATGTTGTCGCTGTCGTTGGGTTTTATGTTGCGGAGAGGTTGGGTCAGTGTTAGTGTTGTTTATGCTGGTATTTCCAGTTGCTGACGCAGCGAAGCGGCTGCGTAGGTACCGGAAAACCATTTTAATGTTTAGTTCTCGTTCCCAATATTCACGATCTCGTTCGCGGCGTTCAGACTCTGATAGATCGTTGATGGTCCCTGTCCCTTTTTGGGCCCCGTTAAACGAATGGGGTGCATCTTCTTCGATGCCCCAGAGAGCAGCGTGCTTGGACGCAGCGGTGTCTTGCAATGTTGGGATGAAAGTGGGCGAGAGTATAGATGTTCCATTTTCGTGGCTGATATATGAAGGGCGCCGCGAGGCGGTGGCTGACACATTGGGCGTCGTCGTGGGTTGAGAGATGGGTATACCAGCATACTCTGCAGATGGATCGATATTAGTCCGCATGTAAGCAGTAAATGCGCGGGGATGCTCGTATATCTGATGGACGAGGATGCCTAATTCCCGTGCAATGCGTTCGAGCAGGCGTTCCTGCCACCAATCAGCCCTCGTGGACGAGCTCATGACATTTCTCATAGCTTCATCCACATTCTCTGAGTCATCAGACTCAAACGTGGTAAATCGTTTGTATTTGTTGTTAACCAACGACCCGTCCATCTGGGTTTGAGATGAAGCGTTCTCATCCTGTTCTTTGGTATCTGATACAAGAGCCTCTCCAAATATGACGGCGAGAAGGGAGTCATCGATCCCAATAAGGCCATTGATCACTCTACGAGTGATTCGTTGCCAGAAAGATTCATCTGAGTCTGTATCATCATTGGGGGCCGTGTCTAACGTAGCATTAAGCTCCGCTTCATTATCTGTAAAAGGCGAGTCCGCTTTCGACGAACTCTCCATAGTATCATTTGATGTTGTAGGCTGTGGATGTTGTAAAGTGCCAGGCCCCTTGGCCTTTGACCTTCGTTTCCTTTGCTTGCGTCGTCTGGTCTCCTTCTCAATCTCCTGCAACAGAACTCTACTCTGTTCCATGCGCCACTGTTCGATTCTCTGCCACCGTTCCTGTTCCATTCCTAGACCCTGGGCCTCGTTGACGTTATCAAGATGTCTCTGCACGCTCGACCTGCTCCTCTGCCTCGTTTCTCCAACTCTCCTAGGATTAAACTGTTCATGTTGCCATAACCGTTCTTGAACGTTCAACCCAGACGGCTCAAACGTCCCCAGCCCATCATGAGTAGGTAATAGGGCCGGACCACCACTTTGATCTAGCTGTGGTTCACGAAAGGCGTGAAGTCCATCGTCCAGGCTATCCAGCTCTGTGACGTCATCATCCTGCACACCTTCCTGCGGCCGCTCTTGATCTGCTTCTACATCACTTCTCTCACTTTGAAGTGGTCCTGATGATTGAGCGGCGGTATCTAGAGACCCAAAATCACTCAGCCGCGACAGGCCGGCTGTGCGAGGTGTTCGTTCCGTAGAGGTGGTATGGCTGTGAGTAACGGTAGATTGTGCCTCGACGGGAGAGAAGAGCACCCATTCCTGCGAGTCTTCCTCCTCTGCCTTGACGCTGGACTGAGGTACATTCGGTGGTGTGGTGGTAGAAGAACGGCTAGTCTTGGGGAAAGGACGTTGTCTCTGTGGTGTCTGGTCTGGCAGACGAAAAGCCATGATGAAAGATGTGCCCGACAATAGCTATGGCCTATACCTATATCATGTAGGACTCTCCTTCTGCCGGCGTGACACAGCAGCGATATAGGTCCTTGTACTCTGGCTTCGTACTTTGGTAGGCGAGCCGTCGTATCAGACGGTTAAACGGCAAAACGACGAACAAAGAAAGGAATACGTTAGGGAACTGTATCCTCCATGCTTTCAGATAACAGTGAGCGAAGATAAGATAAGTGTCGTGGGTAGTCAAGGGCTCCAGATAGCGAGCCCAGGGCATGAAGTTGAAGAAGCATCAATTGGCCGGGATGCTCGATGTTCCCCGTACTCTTGATGCGATGCTGCCGGGTGGACTCGCGGCGTGACGTGACCTGCATCACTCGGCTTAATCAGCGGGTCGCTTAGTCATCCCCAACGTCCTTCGTGCGGAAGTAACGTTAACTTGTGGCATCTATGTATATACTCAGGCAGGTTAAGATATACGCCCTCACTATCCAGTTGCCGATATGGAATCCTGAATGAATCTGTAAGGGCAACAAGAGAGGTACAATCCAGACTTTCATGCATTTGCTTCATCGATTGCTTCCTCCATTTCGCCTTCTCTACCTAGTTTGATCGCTGCTACACTGAGATATCGCCCATTTTCGACTTTTCTTCCTCCGGGATTTCCTCTCTTGCCTATCCTGATGTCGATGCATATGAGTTGTGACCCCAGGAAGAGTTTGTAATCTGCCAGTGCATAGTAATTATACCTACCAAGTACTCTGTACGGATTCATTACTTGAGCATAATGCATAGATAGGGATTTATACCCTGGGGCTCCAAGGTATTTCTTTTGTTCCCACCGTTACATCAAAACATGGCTCTAGGTAAGTAATGTTAAGGTTAGCCCTAGCGGCTATGAATATGAGGAGGAAGGCTAACATGCATGCTAACCCGGGTTACAGCTAGGCCGCCAAATCCCCCACCCTCCCTATCTATCGGCAGATGTTCGAAAGCGCGAGCAGGCATGTATGATTACCCATGCCTAGTTAGTCACCTGGTTCCAACATTTAATCCTCAGCTCGGACTGGGACGGAAATACGACCAGGTACAAATATGTCTGCTCCTTCCACTATATCATCGAATGCCTCCAGCGAATCACCCTGAATGCGGTACATTATAGCCCGAGCTCTGCAGGTCCGTAGCTGGAGCTGGTAACAGGATTCGCTCGTATAATGTGGGGTTGAGAATGCCTCACTCTTATTTGTGATGCTGACCTTCGACAAGGTGTGCAATATCACTATAAATGGTGTGGATGTCTTGTGCTATTTCTGCTATGATGAGCGAATGGAAGTTCTTCGTACGCCCTGAGGCCCTGGATATAGTATGAGATATGAAACTAAGCGCTCCGATCATACGATCAATTCACATCGTACGCGATGGCTAGACTAGCTGCCTCCGCAGCCGGTCCTCGTCCACCGGCCCTCTCCTCAACATAAGTGCAAGTACAATCAACCCTGCGTGAATAATACCCCTGTAGGCCGACAATTGTCGGCATGCTCCAGAACCCCCAGACGTCGTATAGGGCCCACGTCAACCATTGAGAAGTCTCGCATTGTCACGCATCGTACGGAGTAGAACTGATGGATATAGAACATGCCGAGAGCGAGAGACCGACGCGACGGGAGCTTCCCAAAGAGGACTAGACCCCGATTGTAGCGTCCGCCTTGGCATCTGCACGTCTTGCGGAGTCTAGTCCTAATCGGGAACTGTATATAAAGTACATACAGCCAGCTCTTTCATGGGGTTCATGGAGTAAATGAGTTCCGGAGTGAGATTGAGGCCGGAGTTGGGGCCGATCCCGCGGCCTCATTTTGCCCTAAGAAGGTCCGGAGTACAGCTGAAGGGGTATAAGAGAGACATGATGCCCGGCCACTTATCTGCCAGAAGTTGCCCGACCATGACCCCCAGTATGGCTGCTCAGATCCTCCACGCCCACGCCAACGCTTCTAGTATTCAGCCTGAGCTGGTGCAGGCGTATCTCGCCTCCCAGTTCTTTGATTTCCTGGCCGGTTGGTCTGCCTGGCACTATGTCGTGGCTTTCTTGCTCGGCGTGGTGTTCTATGACCAACGTGAGTCCCATCCCAGTAAGAATATCCGGTTCATTGAACGAGGCTAATACCGTTCCAGTCATGTACATCATAAATAAGGGCACCTTAGCCGGACCTGCGTTTAAGATCCCTCTCATGGGCCCGTTCATCCAGGCACTTCATCCAAAGTTTGAATCGTACCTGGTACAGTGGGCGAGTGGACCGCTCAGCTGTGTATCAATCTTCCATAAGTATGTACTATCGCCCTAGTATCTGTTAGGAGTCAATACTTATTCTGTAGATTCGTCGTTCTCGCCTCTGACCGAGATTTAGCCCACAAAGTCTTCAAGTCGCCCGCATACGCTGAGCCGTGCTTAGTCCCCGTCGCAAAGGACATCATCGGCCAGAAAGCATGGGTGTTTCTCCAGGGTAAGGAACACATTGAGTACAGACGTGGACTGACTCCCCTCTTCGCCAACAAGGCCATAGCCACATATCTACCTGCTCAGGGGAAGGTGTTGGCCGACTACTTCGACAAGTTCGTTGCCGCCAGCAAGGCGAATCAAGGGAAGCCCATGGCCTTCATGACCCTGTTTCGCGAGATCAACTGCGCCCTTTCTTGTCGCACATTCGTCGGCAATTATATCTCACAGGACGGGATCAAGAAGATCGCGGACGACTACTACCTTGCCACTGCCGCCCTTGAGTTGGTCAATGTTCCCTTCTCGATGTATATTCCCTTCACCAAGGTCTGGCGAGGAAAACGCGTAGCCAACGCTGTCCACGTCGAGTTTGCGAAATGCGCAGCCGCATGCAAGGCAAACATGGCCACCGGTGCTCCACCCACCTGTATCATAGATCATTGGGTCCTCCACATGATGGCATCCAACAAATACCGTGAGAAAATCGCTGCAGGTATATCAGACGCAGAAAAGCCATCGAATCTGATCCGTGAATTCACAAACTCGGAAATTGGAGAGACATTATTCACCTTCCTCTTCGCATCTCAGGACGCATCCAGCAGCGCCACAACATGGCTATTCCAAGTCCTCGCTCAACGACCTGATGTACTAGATAGGCTGCGAGAAGAGAACCTAGCTGCACGAGGCGGCGATAGAAGCAAACCCTTTGACCTACCCATGTTGGAATCACTTACCTACACCAAGGCAGTCATCAAAGAGCTCCTCCGCTACAGACCGCCAGTCATTTTCGTTCCATATCTTGCAACTAAGAACTTCCCCATAACTCCCCAATACACGGTTCCCAAAGGCTCGATGATCATTCCATCATGTTACCCGGCCTTGCATAACCCGGACGTGTACCCGAACCCAGACGTCTTCGACCCTGACCGCTGGATAACGGGAGACGCTGAATCCGAGATCAAGAACTGGCTTGTCTTTGGCACCGGGCCGCATGAGTGTCTCGCAAGAAGATATGTGCCACTGGCTATGGCGGGTATGATTGGAAAAGCAGCGCTTGAGCTTGACTGGACACATCATGCCACAGACAAGTCGGAGGAGATCAAGGTGTTTGCTACCTTGTTCCCGATGGTAAGTCCTGACATCATTCCCCGTCGAGATGTGTTTTTGTCATACTATTCTCCGGTTCGCGGGCTGTGCTAATTTTTTTTTTTCGCTATAGGATGGCGCACAGTTGGTTTTCAGGAAGCGAAATTGGTAGTTAACTTCCTAGGCCGTTAGCTACCTGTTTATGGCGATTAGACGCCGCTTGATGTACTCCATAGCAAATAGACAGATATTTAACAAATAATGTTAATGATGGCATCCACGGCGAAAAGAGTGAGAAGTCTCCGGGCATCGGTTGTTCGGGCTGCTAGTTTTCCACAGCGCCAAGATGAACGTCCTGGCCTCGGAGCCATGCGATGTGGCCGGGAGTTGACCACTTTGCTGCGATCCAGGGCTTCAAGCGACATCAGCGAATAGCTTTGCGGGGATTTATCTGATCTATGGCTCAGTGAGGGAGCTTGAGGGTACAGGACGTGCCGTCGAGGATGTCTTGGTCGATTTTCCTTGCGGGTTTTAGCCAATCGGTATAACTTATTCCGTTCTTCAGGATTTCAACACCCTGGTATATGCATATTGCTTTCTAGGATTTCTCGGAGCGGAACGCCTGAACCCGATGTGGCACATTGTGGAAGCTTCGGCTGGTCCTATCCTACAAACCGGGCATGCAATGTGAGAGCGGCGTTGGCGGAATAAACCGCCGACCTCAGGGCACTGCAACTCTAATCCCAATCCCTGTGCATTGCAGCTCATCTCACGGACCGGAAGTGCTCTGTGGTTATCGTGAATTCTGATGAGGAGGCCATGGACTTGTCTGTGGATATAAAATACGGTGTAGGCTGTTCATCAGTTGGAAGAATACATTCAATGACAACAATCACTTCTTCCAACAGCCAATATATTTTATACTAGCTCCCACCAGCACACAATGCTCGTTACATCGCTATCAATCTGGCTACTATATGTAGTAGCCAACGTCACCGGAGCTGTTACCGCCTACAAGGACCCTCAGGAGGTTGCATCGAAACGTATTGAGAAACTGCAAAGACAGTACCAGGAGTACATTCTAGCAACGGTCAAGGCTCGCGAATCAGGCTGTACCCCGAAGAATATGATATATCGTCAAGAATGGTATCGGATTCCATTGGATTCTCGGGCGTTTCACATAGCTACGTACTGATTTGGTGGGCAGGGGATCCCTCTCCAAGCGTTCCCGCCTCGAATACATCAACGCAGTCAAATGTCTTCAGCGCAAGGATCCCATAACCCCGAAAGAAGCTGCTCCTGGTGTAAAAAGCCGCTATGACGACTTCAGCGCCACCCATATCATGCAAACCCCCTTTATTCACTTCAGTGTATGTGTTTTCTTCCATCTGGTAGCAATTGATATCCGGAAAATCGGTGACTGACCAGGACTTACCTCGCAAGGGTATCTTCCTGCACTTCCATCGCTACTTTATCTGGCTTTATGAAAAGGCTCTGCGCGAAGAGTGCGGCTACAGAGGGGCGCAACCGTACTGGGACTGGACCATCTCGTGGGAAGATCCGCGAAAGTCCAAGGTCTTCGATGGCTCCCCCTATTCCATGGGTAGCAACGGTATGCCAACACCTCACGGCCCAACCACCATATCAGCGTTTGGTTTTAGTCTTGATATACCTCCAGGCACCGGTGGTGGATGTGTCTACGCCGGGCCCTTTCGGGACTATAACGTGAGCCTAGGCCCGGTTGCTTTTGAGCCCAAAGGTGAGATGGGCGGGCTTGCTTACAACCCGCGTTGCCTCACTCGAGACCTCTCTCCACTGTGGACCAACAATACCAAGCCGTCGGATATAGCAGCCCTACTCACCGACTGTGACGACATCGGCTGCTTCGACGGGCAGCTCGAGGCCCCTGATGGCGGGCATAGTGGCGGACATTTTGGTATAGGTGGCCTCTGTATAGACGCCTATGCCAGCGCCGGCGACCCAGCATTCTGGCTCCATCATGCACAAGTTGACCGCATGTGGACTATCTGGCAGAATTTGAAGCCGAAAACTAGAACCCACCAAGTTTGGGGGACAGGAACGGCATTCAACAGTGGGTTAACCTTTCCTTTGCGGTTTGATCTGCAGTCCTGTTTACCTTACCACATGGGCTTCACGTATTAACGGGGTCTCACGTTTTAGACCCGCCGAGTGCAAATGTGACTTTGGACACGATTCTCGATTATAAGGTGCTTGCGCCTAAGCAGAAAGTGGGTAGTATAGGATCGACCATTGACGGCCCGTTCTGTTACATGTATATTTAGCTACATTGCAGATATAGTTACCGTCATGTCCACTCCTTTCCGCGCTTTAGAATTAAAAATCTAGCTAACATATTTACCCACTCAACCCGTGATTCCCACTTCGTTCAGCTACTTGACCCCCAATAGCTCAGTATCGAGCTCCGTGTCCTTCACCCCGAATAAATAGCTTGACAAAATCAAATGCAAAATAAGCTGGCTAGGTTTCACTTTCTTTACCCCCAGCTACTCCATCAAGAAACACAATGTTTCCATTGTGTCCAACAACCTTCTTGCCCTTCTCGATCAATTGTTTTCATATAATAGCAGTGTAAAGACTTGCCATCTGGATAGCTTTAGATATCCATCTTAGGGTTGGTTCCAGGGCCGTGGAACCCTTGCCGCTATTTATTAATAACTCGCCTTGGCGTGGCTCTAAATTTACCCTGTCTCTATTTTCCTCCGTCTCTGAGGCGGACATTTCGTCCCTCAGGATATCGTTCCTCTTCCCTTCGTTGATTTGACTTATACAAAATGCGCCAGACTCTTCGTCGGTCCTGTACTGCCTGTGCCAAAGTAAAACATAGCTGTGACCTGCGCACGCCACGGTGCTCTCGCTGCATCAAGCGCCAAGTGCTATGTGTCTATGCGAACGAACCGTTGACGGCGGCACCACCGGCTGCTTCCACGCGGGGGGATAGCGCATCAGGAAGACATCCAGATGGGTGCGGAGTTGGTGCTTTAACTAATTATAGGTTCGGTTCGCTTGATCCCTTCGAATCGTATCCCCAGACGAGACTGCCTCGGGAACATGTCCAACGCCTCATCCATAGCTGTAAGTGTCTCGAACTCGACTAACTCAAGCTTAGCTTACCGATTCAGTCCTTAGCAAGATTGCATTCCAGTATTACCCTCTTGACCTGAACGCAACTTCAAATCCATTTCTCATCTCCTGGTGGCCGCTTGCTCTGGGCGACCCGGCGTTGTTTCACGTCTCGCTACAGACAGCATGTCTTGACGAGGAGCTGCTGGCCCAGAAGGGGTTTCAGACTTCTGACCTTCTCATGGCCGACTCTGTGGCATTGCTCCGACGAAAGGTTGAAGATACGACACTTGCTGTCCAGGATGGGACTATCAACTCTGTGATTACCTTGGCAGCTATCGAAGTGAGATCCCATATTTTCTTCCTCCTGTATGCTGAACTTGCAGCTGATACCTTACAACCTTCAGTTTGGAAAGGGAAACACCAAGGTATGCGAAATGCATGTCGAGGGAGTGAAAAGACTGATAAACATGAGAGGTGGCATAAATTCGGTGAGACAAACTAGCCCTCTCACCGCGAGAATGGTCAGCTGGTAAGTAATTCCTTAATTTCCCAGATGATATACTATTATTGACACTTTCTATAGGGTATCAATGATCGTCATGGGCCATCCACAGTTTGAGACCCAAGATGACGTTGGCGTTGGGGATGGCATACCCCTCATTCCGGAATGGCAGTTGGACTTAGCTGGCCTTCATGATGATCTACCCTCGAAACTGAGTTACATAGAGATTAGCTACACTGTGTGGAATGTCTTCATTCGACTCCGCAATGCCTTCAAGCGGGCGAAACGGGTACCACTCCCTGCCACTCAACTCCATGACCTCACCTGTTTTGTTATACACCGACTTCTACTCCCAGTTGCAGAAATACCGATTCCTCGGGAGTCACCGATTACGGAGTGCATTCGCTATTCAACCGTTTTATACATGTTTATCGTTCAGGGTCCAACTTATTTCTCGCACGCCGTCATATTTAATACGATTCTCACCCGATTCATGGAATACGTCGTGAAATTAGAGTCAGAATCTCGCTCATATGACTCGCTTGATGTATGGTTCTTACAGTCGGAATGGTGGCATCGGCTGGCACAACCCACTATCAGTGGCTTACGGAAAAAGTAAAGGCTGTGGCCGCTTCTCTACACTTGGGTAGTTGGGGCGATGTCCTCATCCACATCAATAGTGTCCTGTGGTTGGAGACGCTACGGGACGGAGATACCTTTCGTCCTCACTGGGATGCAATCTTCACTGCGGCTAACCCACCAGTGCAGCTAGATTTTAGAGTATGTACCCCACCAACTGTTACTGATATGAGGTTTCTATGAGTACATCCAGAGCCGCTGGTTTTGGTGGTACTTACCAGGCCAGGATTTATCGCAACGTGAGAGGGATCGTCACCAAGTTCTCGCTATTATAACAACAACCTATAGAAAATCCTATGATCAACAAGAAAGAGAGGACGCGGGCTACTTAAGTTGCAAGCCATACCCTGGTGCATCTTGTCCTGATCTGAACCTGACGCAAGGATCAAAATTAGGAATCAACCCGTTTTTTAGATCGCTATCTCGATCCTGACGCAGAGGCGATTAGGGTCTTGCCATGGTGCCCGTGATTCACAGGCAGTGACATGAAATCAACTGTAATGACTCGTGCGAATCGGATGAGCTCACTTCGCTGAGACATATAGTGGCCAACAAATCTCCTAGGACCATTTAAAGAAGGTATCGGGATAAGACCTACCGGCAATTTATTCCACGTTTTATCCAATTATTACGTGCAAGCTGCAATGTGTGAGGCTGCACCGGATTATCACTATCTTACGGTACAGGAGAAACCTATGGACATAATTGCTACAACAGGCGTATTTCTTAAATATGTCAGAGTTTCTGGTACGCACTTCCATGCTTATCCCAAGATGCCTCTACCCACTGGTTGCAGGTTATTGAATTTATGTCCTTCGTTTTTTAACCCCTACTTTTAAGCTAGACGGTTTCCTAATAAACCCCTCCCTGTAGTCCATGCGGATATCTTGCTCCAGTTTGAATTCGAAATTTCGAAATACTGCGGCAACGATACATTTTAGTTCCATCTCAGCTAGGTTTCGGCCTATACATGCTCTGGGTCCGACGCCAAAGGGCATGAATGCATCTTTCTGATGGGTTGTGAGTCGTGTTGTTGGATCCCAGCGTTCAGGAATAAAGGCCTCAGCATCGGGCCCCCAAATATCCGTGGAGTGGTGGAGAGTATACGTGGGCACTGAAAGAACATCACCAGGGTAAAATGTCTGCTCACAAATATCGACTGGTGCATTTCCTTTGGGGATCTGCCTGGGAAGACCTAATGAGAATGCGCTGTGGACGCGAAATGTCTCCCAGATTACCCATTGGAGACTATTTGGCAATGCACACAATTAGTCTGGATATGTCTCATAACATAAGAGATCAATGGTGGGCTTACTATGAAACGTGCTTGACCATATCAAAGCTTGGTATATCCGCTCCAGGAGAAACTGCCTCGTCAATAGCACCCTGAAGCCGTTCTAGGACTCCAGGAGTACTTACTACGAAATACAGCACGGAGCACAGCGTGACTGCGGTGGTATTGCTGCCAGCAACAAGAAATGTTAGAGACTCAGTGATCAATTCGTCACGGCTTAACTTGTCACCATGTTCATCTCTACTTTCCATTAACTTGGCAAGCATGTCAACCCGAGTGTTCTTGGTCAACACGTCAGGGTTGAGACGCCGCTTGACACGCTCAATAGCAATTCCTGCCATGTTGTCGATGGCTTCTACGCCATATTGGAAGAAAGTATCAGGAAAATACTTGCTGAATGGCTTGAGTTGGGGATAACACCCCAAGGTTGCAGATACTTCGCCTTGGCGATTCAGAACTTCTATGGCTGCCACACAGGTCGGTGCAGCGTCAACTGTCTTGCACGCATCCGCCAGGTCATCTTCACTAGATAACATTCCGAACGGAGCGCCAAACGCTAGGTCGCCAATGATATCAAAGGAAAGGTAGCTGAACCAAGGTAAGGCATCAATCTGAGCGTAGGTAGCCTCTACTTCGGTTTGCTGGCGGTCACACAGGCCATTCCATTTCCCAACAAAAATTCTAATATTATTGCAGATATACTGCTCGAATTGTCCAACGGATTTTGCTGAGAAGATATGTGAGACGGCCCTACGCTTCCGGCTGTGTTCATCTCTATCACGAGTGTTGAAGATGCTACGGTGCTTAGGTCCCGCGAACGCGTCGTAGTAGTCGCTACGCACATCTGTCAGAAAATATGCCAATTATCAATGCAAACGGACAGGGCACGTCTTACGATTTCAGAAAGCCATTCCCGTGTCCATATATTGCCTGAATAGCGTCGACGGCAGCAATAGAAATATGATTTGGTTGGATGCGTACGAATTTCCCGTATTTTTTATGTGCCAGTTCAACTGCCAGGGAACGTTTTTTGCGGCGGCATTGATAAAATAGCCAGAAATTAGTGAATGTAGCTAGAAACGGGCCCGGAATGTCTCGACGTCGCCGAGATGCCAGCACCGGAAGTGTATAATACACTACTAGTGCGGCAAGCATGGTACAAAAAATAGCGAATAGAGCCATCGTTGACTGCGCACTTAGAATGGATTCTCAATAGTTATAACACTGAAGAGTTGGTGAATGCAATAAAAAACACTGCGGGAAAATTGACGAACGACCCCGCGGTCTGCGTAGATTTGAGATGCTCCCAAAGAGCCAAAACAAGGAGTTATATTACGCATGTGAAGTTTATTGCGAACAAAAAGCAAGTATAACTAGTCACTTGTGCCAACTCACTCGTTCGACTAGGCCAGTTATATGCCTGGTTAACTTTGGCGATCTAGATCTTATGTTACCCAGTGTGTTGGCACGGAATATAAAGTTATTATTTAAATAGTTACCTAGATAAGTGGAATATACGAGCCATGCAGAACTGCCCCTCCACCTAACTATATATTGAGGAGGCGGTAACCTTTTTACAATTTTCTCTTCGTATACGTTTTCGGAATTTCATGCGTTACGATCAGTCTCCTGCCATTATCCGCTCACCCCAGCTAACTACCCAATTATGTCCCGCTTTAGCAAATCAATTACTATCCCTACTTCTACCGATCCATTGAGATTGATAACAAGTTTACTGATAGGCCATCAAGACAATGATTACTATGCATACGAACATGGAGACACATGGTGCATTGGTTTATATAACCATGCGTCTCTTGTGATTGACGCGGACGGCACCATGGCAACTAGGATCAATCAAGAGGGCAAGAAAGAATCTCATATAGTCGATAAACCTTTAGACGACATTGCGAGGGCGTTCATGTCAGAATATTCTGTCCACGGCAAGATATTTGGCCAGGTCGGATTCAATTATTCAGCCCACACGTCGGGTCAGGCATACAACCCTGGAAAATGGCCAATACTTAGCCTGATGGTTCCTTGTGTCCAAGTGGCCGTTTCCCACGACAGCATCACTGTAGCGGGGTATACGGAGGACAATACAATGGCCATTTTCGACTTCATTAAGGCTCATTTGACTCTTGACACCGCCGGCTCTATTCCAAGCTGTTATCTACCGGTAGATCTCAAAGCTGACGGCACCGATTACGAGAATCGAGTGGAGAGAGCAATATCCGATATCAAAAACGGCAAATATATCAAGGCCATTCCATCGCGCATGGTGAGCCTCCCGGAGCGAGTAGATATGCTAGCCACTTTGTTTCATGGACGTCAGGCAAACACTCCGGCACGGACTTTCACATTCAACCATATTGGCACTCAAGCCACCGGCTTTAGCCCCGAGGTGTTACTCTCTATAAATGGACGGACCGTCTTCACCGAGGCACTAGCTGGGACCCAGCTAGCTTGTGAAGCTGACACCGAGCCCACTCGAAATAAACTGCTGAATGATCCAAAGGAAGTCATGGAACATTGTATTGCAATTCAAGGTTCAATCAGGAGGTTGAGTCAAGTTTGTCCGCCTGAAAGTATTGCCGTCAAGAATTTCATGTCGATTATGCCTCGAGGGAATGTACACCATCTATTCTCACATGTAACAGGCAACCTATTGTCTGGTAAAGACGGCTGGGACGCTCTTCCAGGTTTGGTGGCAAATATAACAGTACCTGGTCTTCCGAGCCAGGGCAACATGGGCGCTATCCGAGCCTTTGAGCCATATCCTCGAGACCTTTACTGTGGGGCAGTTCTGATGCTTGATAATGGCGCACAACTTTTCGAGGCAACCCTAGTTCTTCGCACGGTATTCCAGGATAAGGACCGGCAGTGGCTTCAGGCTGGTGCAGGAGTAACCGCACTTTCTAGCCCGGAGCGTGAGTTTGCAGAGACATGTGAGAAATTGGGTAGCGTTGCTCCTTACGTTGTGGTGGCAACAGGAAGTTCGTAAATAAAACCTCTAGAGTTGCATTCTCTTGCATGGACCATATATATACGCCTAGTCGTGGTTCAATTTAAACTAGCATCAACTTGAATAAAATACCGTTCTTCAAACGACAATCCTATATCTGTCCTGCACAATTGGCGCAGGAAACGGGTCACTTCCTTGCCCGTATAGCGATAGTAACCAATACAGTTGCGTGGATCACAGAAAAATAAAAGTAGTATTCTATTGGCATCATTATTATCAAGAAGCATGTCTGGGTGAGCGTGATACAGGTCTAGCCAGGTGCTTTCTATCTTGTTGTTCGATGTAAGACTGATGCAAACCTCGGTTATGGAAGGTATATAGCGAAATGGTGGCACTCTAAATAAATGAGATACGGGGAGTTAAATAGTCCGAAAATAGTTAACGACCAGCAGAGAGCCTCAAAAATATAGCCTGTGATATATGCTAGCTAGCTTAGAACATACTTATATGTAGTTAAGTGGCCAAGGGAAAGGTACCCCGAATTTCATCAACAGCGCACCTCAGTGTTGAATTTTAAGAGGTGGAGTGACTTTATGATTGATGACTTTTTCCTGGGAATGGAGTTGACATCAATTTGGAAGTTGGTTCCTGTCGGTTCATCCTGATTTTCAATAGTCTGGCGCTGCCACTCGGCCTAGAGAGTTTCATATCCGTGGCGGAGGATCAAAACACTATTCTCCCTAGATAGCTATAGTTGAAATATTCCCTAGTCTGACACTCTCTTTGGCTGGCTCGTTCCGGCTCACGCTGTGAGAAAATGGTGCGTGGTCCGCCATTGTCATTGAACCTGTCGAAAAGGGGTTCTTTTTTTTTTGGATTCAGGAGTGGAAAGTATCAACGTTGCCAACCATCCTCGTTTGTACAACAAGGTTAATTTAAGCTATGTTAATTATGGGGCTTTACGGCCCGGATCGAGCTCCGCTTCCCCTTTTTAGTTAGCGTGGCAAAGACAGACTTCGCTGAATAATATGCTTAGTCAGGAGTTCCGCAACTCAGACACGAAACAAACACCTCGATAACAAACGTCTTTTATTATTATTTTCTAGACAACAGGAATCACTTGTTTCAGCTCACGGAAATATATCGGCTGAACGAAATCTGGGAGAGACTGCAAACTACCCGGCTGTATAATACTCTTCGGCCTTTTATACGTTCGCGTGCCTTCCTTGAGCTCGCCTTGGTTCTTCGTCTCTCCCTCGCCATTCGGCCCCAACGCAACGTCATATCTCCTTAGGATCTCTATCATTATGATTTTTACAATGGCGCCAGCAAAGAAGCGCCCGGGACACGAGCCTGGGCCATGACCAAAGTTCATATTGTCGGGAGAAGTCATCACGAATTGGTGGGCGCCTTCTTCCCCTGGCAAGGACCGGATCTCCGACGATCGGAAAGGGTAAAACTCCGATAATGGTGGCTGATTCGGGAAGTAATCAAGGGGAGTACGAATACTGGGCGCTGGATGAACATAGGGTGCGAGCGAGTGAAGGAAGCCGATACTCGAACCGCATGGAATTAAGTGGCCGGTTGAGAGGTGTAGCCCTTTTTTGGCTGTTATACGGCGCGTGATGGCAGCTAATAACGCAGGTTAGCTTTAGGTACTTTTTTCCGTTGGCTTTATCTAGAGGACTCACTAAAGTTACCTATTGAAAGATGTTAGCGTTAGCTCATTTATTGTCAAAGGTACACTAGAGATGGAGTCTCATACCCGGGTTCATTCGATGAGATTCGCGAAGGAAGCTATCAAGCTTCCGAAATTTTGGCAAGCTTGACTTGCGCACAATTTGGTTTGGTTCTTCTTTCAAAATCTCACCTATTTCCACTCGCAGTTCGGGGATATATTCAGGATGGGAGGCAAGATCATGCAGAAGGTTTGTAATTGTGATACAAACAGCATAAATGCTCCCAAAACCTGCAGAATGTTAGCCTCTTTTCATCAGACGGATCAATTGGCACATGTCCAGATGATCTTTTGAGCCCTTACTTACCGCCAAAGAGTTGTTCGCTCGCCAAAAGATTGTAGTCCACCCTCTTACTGGTGTCCATTTGATTTAACATCCATGAGATGAGATTATATTGATCTTTTGGAAGGCGTGTTGCTGAGCCATTGAGGTTACGGAACTCCACAGCTGAATCAATGTGCGGCTTCAAAAGTGCCGCTGCCCTTTTTTTGTCTGTCGCCAAGTTGCGCACCGTTGAAGTCCATGGGGCAATTATTGAACGCAGCCAGGGGTTAATTTCCTGAATTCCTCGAATCGCGGAGATAACATGCAGTGTATATGCTAGAGACAGATCTATCCAGCTCTGGTCCCTACATAACGGAAGACCAACAAACATACGCCCATTTGTTCTTGCACTAAGCTGCAAAAGCTTGTTGTAAAGCGGAATCTGCGTCCACTGGGGGCAGCGTCCAATTTCATCTTCCAGGGAGCTTATCGCTTCCTGTTGCAGCTCCGGAAGCATTCGACCGATATTGTTGGTCAGATCGGTTTTGATTGCTCCAATTCCAACAGGGTGGTCTTTCCCCATATCGGTGTATTTCCCATGCATTTTGATATAGGCTTCCTGTCTTAGGGAGACCTGGTCATTCGGGAGGAAGCGAACTTCATCCATGACATGCGGGGGCAGGATGACCAAACGCCGGGGTGTAGCGAGGACAAATGGTGTTTCGGGATACTATTCCATCGACCTCCAGTTCAGCATATATACTGGGCATTCCACAGGATAACTTTATACCTTCTTTGTTGCCTCGTGTACAACATCCTTTATGTTACGGCTCCCGACATTGATCATCGGCAGTGAATCTAACCCCTGCCTCCCACGTCCCATAAAGCGAGTGGTAAGGAGGTATAGAGCACCGAAAATGAAAGCCAGCAGAGGTAAGCCAAGTGCTGGCTGGGACATATCCCATTCTGCCACGACGCTCATCTTGCAGGTCTCAGCCCCAGAAGCAATGCAAAGCGATTTGAGGTTAATCCGGCTCTAGAAATGTAATATCATTAGGTCCAAGCAGAATATCGTCCTCTTTTGGTCTAGCAAAATAATATAGTGGCGGAGCGCAGCTAGAGCCTGAATTCTTGGGGTCTACATAAATATATCTATAAATTCGCCGGTCAGCCGAGAGGAGTTCGAATTTCGCCGGTCCACCTCTATCTCACTTGCTCACGAGCAATGGAAAATAATCAAATACCATCTTGAGAGCAATTTCACCATTACTGGGAGACCATTTAGACCTCAAACAATATCATGTCAAGCAAAAACCAGTTACCCCGTGTTCTCTGCCTGCATGGCGCAGGATCATCTGGAGCTATCTACCGAGTCCAGGGTCGAAAATTATTCCATCCACTTCGTCGGGAGTTTCAATTTGTTTTTGTCGATGCTCCATTCCCCTCCACTGCTGGCCCGGGCATGTATCCTGCCTATGCGGACTCTGGGCCATTCTTTCGATGGCAGTGTGATATGTCCGCCGCTTCGTCATTCGACATAACTGAAGAAGAAGTCAACGCTGAAACAGAGAAAGTATGGAAACACTTGGAAGTTCAACTGCGTTCCTCGAACGGTGGCCCCTTTGTCGGACTAATGGCCTTCTCACAAGGCGCTCGAGTGGCCACTGGGTTGTTGTTGCATCTCGAGGAGAAACGTCGTAACGAGTGTTCCGATTTGCCCGAGATCAAGTTCATCATTCTAAACAATGCGACTTATCCGCCTCTTTTCTTCGACCTTGAATCTTGGGCTACCGACTCCGCAGATGGGAGCTGGGCGGATGATTCGTCAGACAGATCCACGGATGGTCGCTCATCGGGTGAAAGAAGGGTTGCCATTCCATCTATCCATACTCAGGGATTAAACGATCCCTGGCGTCCTGAGTCGGAAAAGATGAGAGTTACTTACTTTGAGGAAGACTGTTCCATTGTCATGCCGTTTACCGGGGGCCATCAGATGCCAGCGTTGGACAGGGAGGCGAACACAATTGTAGATGCGATACGGAAAGTGGCCTCTCAGACACTGCTATCTTAAGAGGCTACCTTCTTTCTGAGTTTTTTTTTTTTTTTTTTTTTTTTTCGCAAGATACTTCTCTTATGGGCGGACCGTGGAACGAGAGGCTAGACTTCCGAAATACTCTAATAAGGAGAGTAAATAGCACTGCTGTTTATTTCTCTCCAAGGGTGCCTATCGCGATTTAACTCTTGTGTGGAATTGGGCCCTGATATATTGGTACGCTATTTGTTGTATTTGGAGCCTTGTATATCATTATATATCACTTCATTCTCGTTACTCTAAGTACTAGGCAAGAATCTAGCCACCAAAATCCTTGACATGAAGTTAATACGCTATTTCGGTCTCCCATTCACAGAAAATTTGAACTTAGAAAACGTAGTCATCAGCCTGTCCGGCCCAAAGAGGATATGCTTATCACGCTGCCACTCTGGATGATTTAGTGCATCTGGCCAGTCCATCATCTGCATGGAAATGGCGGCATTCTTTTGAACAGGTTTTCCGCCTTGCCCTTCCTTGAGGGTAAGATTTGCTGCGGGTTCCACGTCAGGACCGGATCCTAATAATAAAGGAGTAATTGACTTACAGTTTGGGCCACCATCCCAAGTCACCAACCGGACGGCCTCTTGGTCGGTGTATAACTCAACCGTGATCCCTGAACGTGCAGAGGAAAGCGAAGCGACCGGTTTGCTCTCTACTTCCCAAGGCTGAGGACGAGTTACTAGGAACAGGTCATCGTAGGTGGCTTTGCGCGCCAGGCCTGCCGCCAGAAGCCGCGCAGAAGACCAAAAGTCGTATGGGGAGCGCATTTTATTGCCCTTGATGTCACCAGTTGGGATCTTGTGCTCATCTTCCTCGAGTCGAAGGCCCGAGAAAGGGAGATGTAGACGGTGTTCCTCAATTGTTTCCGAACCAGGTCGAAATCCATCTAGGTTCCAGTACGTCTTATGGCTAAGATTGATAGGAACGGGTTTGCTCGTTCTCGTGGGCGTCACCCCGTATGAGATGCGCCATTCATACGGGTACAGAGAATGCGCGAGACTTGAGCCAGAGTTTCCAGGAAACCCGTTTCCGCCAGCCCGATCAAATACAACGAAAGTAATGCTGTTCGACGTAAGGGAGCCGACATCGAGGGTCATTCTCTCCCAGCCCTTCTCGCCGCCGTTGTATGTGGTTGTGCCATTGTTGCCGTTTGCAGAGGTGAAATATGTTTCGCCGTCGTACTGGAAAGACGCATTACTGATATGTCCAGCAACTCGGCCTAAGAAGCGATTCTTCAGAACATTTCTAGCTGCAGATGAAAGATGGAAGAACTGCAACTTTGAGCTCACCAATTGTTCCACCCAGGTAGCCGAGGTAGTTATCATAATCCTCCACCTTGTCTAGGCCAAGGATGATATCGACTTCGTTGCCATTCGTGTCGTTAATCCAGACATTAGTCGGTGCTCCGCCGTTGCGGTTCGTGAAGGCCATTCGAATGCCTTCCGCTTGAATTATATATTTGCCATCGCTGTTGGTGGGCCATAGGGCCGTGAAGCCTGCGAAGGGACTGCCTCCAGAGATGAGTGACTTGATCGTTGCCGTGACGCTTGCAATGACCGTCAGCACCTTCACCATGGTGGCTGGAATATGACACACAAAGATTTCCGTGGAATCCAGATAGAAGGATCTCGTTCTTTGACAGTCATCTTTTTGTCTAGCTTGCTCGTTTGCTGCTGGTCGTCTGGCGGCGGTTTTTTGATTGGTGGCTCACAGCACGGCGATTTCAGGTCAAAATGGCCGGTCGACCAGAGACAGCTGTAAACACGATTGTGGGCTACTGCCAGGAGCTGTTTCGAGAAATAAGCCGTTACCATTCTGGAATGTCCAGTTAATATTGCGGAATTTCCCATACGATGGCGGTTTTTATGAGCATGGGCTGAATTGCTCCATCCTCTAGACTTACCAGCATCTACGATGGGATCGGTGGGCCAGAAACCAGCATTCTGCGTTCTAATTGTTGGTGGAGGGATAGGAGGTCTCACGTTGGCGAATGCGCTACAACATGCTGGCATAGATTTCCTTCTCCTCGAAGCAAGGCCAGAAATCGCTCCTCAGGAGGGTGCCTCGATTGGAATTGGACCTAATGGAGGCCGTATCCTCGATCAGTTAGGATGTTACGAAGATATTATGCAGTTAACGGAACCTCTCGATTACACTGGCAATCACCGTGCCAATGGAGAGTATATTTGTCCGAGAACAGACGGCTTTCGACTGATACAATCTCGGTTAGTCCATAGAAACCTATTATGTTCTGGGTGACCGCTGACCTCTTCATGAAATTTTAGAACCAACTATAGCATGTCCTTCCTGGACCGGCAATCAGTTCTTCAAATTCTTGCGGCGCATATCCTGGACAAGAGTAAGATTCTTCTCCAAAAGCGCCTCATAAAGGCTGAATACCACCCAGACGGAGTCACGGCAATATGTACCGACGGATCCCGCTACGTTGGTGACATCCTCGTCGGTGCAGATGGAATTTACAGTACGACTCGCCGAGAGATGTGGCAGGCCGCTACGGTTGAATCACCTGGAGAAATCGGGGAGGAAGAAAGGCAGAGTATGACCGCGGAATACAAATGTCTCTTTGGTATCTCGGCGCCAAACTCGAGCTTACCGGCGCACTCCTTTGATGTTACGTTCAATAAGGACATCTCTGTCATTGTAGTGACGAGTAACCCCAAGCGAGTGTACTGGTTCCTGATAGCACGAATGCCACAGGTTTACAAGTCTGGCCGCATCCCTCGGTTCTCCCAGGAGGATGGTCGCGCGTTTGCAGAAGAGAATCTCGGTCTTCCACTTATGCCTGCGGCAAAGGTGACCTTTGGAGATCTTTGGGCAACAAAGGATACCTATAATTTGGTGGCTCTCGAGGAGGCCTTCTTCGAGCACTGGACTTATGGTCGGTTTGCATTGCTAGGTGACAGTGCCCATAAAATGACTCCGAACATGGGTGCAGGCGGGAATTGCGCAATCGAAAGTGCTGCATCATTAGCCAATGCATTGCTCGAGTTGACGTCTCGATCACATTGTCATGGCACTGATAATCATCCATCTATTGATAGCATTCGGCATGCTTTGAAGAAATACCAGAAGGCTAGAAGACTCAGGGCTATCATTACTGTCAAAGCTTCAGGTTTTGTCACCAGGCTTAATGCATTGCGTGGGACTGTGGAACGCATCATTTCTCACTACTTTTTGCCCATATCGGGCGACATGCTGATTGACTGGGCTTCAGATACGTGGATTGGAGCAGAAAAGCTCAATTTCCTACCACTACCTAAGCGATCTCTCCGTGGTACCATGCCGTTCAATCCTGAACAGGGAATGGGCAAATATGAGAGCATACCGAAGAGAGCCTTTGCTGCTATGCCATTTCTTGGTTTACTCGGACTCCATTCGGCGATATTTAAAGGTAGCCTTTTGCAACTACCATCCTACAATGCCACTAGATCGTGGCCACTACCCGTTCCTCTAGCGGACTTTGGAGTTATTTATAACATACTTTTGATTGAATCTGCCAGACAAACTAATCGTCTGAGTCCCATGCAACTGTGAGCTTTCTATCGTACGATATTTTGTTTCTTTGGCTGATCAAAAAGCAGGGTCCTATTCTTTGGCACGGCGTCGCAATTTGTCGGAGCTGGTGCTATGTTGTCGTTATACTTCTTTATATATTCAACTTCTGTGCCGATTGCCAGGTTCAAAGCCAGGGATATGCGACTGACTGATCTGAGCTATACTCGTTCTATTCTCCCGGTTATGATTCTTGCATACTATGTGCCTTATTTACTGGCCTTTACGGGTCCTACCACGAAATCCCGTGAAGTTGCCCGATGGGTATTCCGAATGTTCCCGCTAGTGGTCTCCCTTGGTCAATGGCTCATTAAGCAGGCCATCCTTCCATCCACTATAGAACAAGATCGACACAGTGATTTTAATCGAGATATTGGAACCATTCGAGTCACTGTTGGTGTTGCAGCTGTTTGGTCTACCATATCTTGGCTTAATTCGGTTCTGAGAACAACGTGTCTCCTAAAAGATGCATTCTCCTCGCCCGGAAAGGGCTTAGCACCACTATTTGGGAACAACGCCGAGAGTGGTTTGCCATACGATTACCTCTTCACAATAGGATCTTCTCTCCTTTGGGTCTCTTACCTTTACTGGGATCTCAAAAAGGCCAGGATGGTTGAACATAGCTGGCTTACTCTGCTATCATTTCCTGTTATTGGAGGTTTGTGCGTTGGACCGGGAGCAACAACTGCAATTGCATGGCTCTATCGAGAGAATATCCTTGCCACCAAGCGACACAAGGGGGCACTGGTTTGACTATGCCTGGATAAGTAGTCTATGAAACATGTCTACTTTGTGTTCTTCCCTTGAGGAGTCGAATACTCCTTTAGATCAGACTATACTTATACTGCTATACTGCCAGGATTGAAGTATACCCAATTGAAGAAATTGGAATACTGCTTTGCTTAGGGGTAGAATATCTCTGGCTGGTAATTCCGGGGTAAAGATGGACACCATGAATTAAATCTGCCCCTGTCACAGGTATCTGTTAAGTTTGTTTGCTATTGCGACTTTATAAAACTTGGGATTCAAAGTGCCTCCATTGTGATTAACATTGCTGGAGAAGGTATTGCCCTCATTTACTAAAGGCTTAGCTTTCTAATATCATGGAAATAGGTGGGAACTCCATACGTTTAGGGTCTCTTTCGACTATCTGAGGCCATCAAGCTGGTTTCGTGTCAATAGCTAAGTTTATGGACTTAGTTTACTAGTATTATGGCAATCATAATCGGTATATCAACTTCTGCCCTGACACCTGTTTCGTTTTCAGCAACTCCAACCCATCAAGTATAGCTGGAAATCCGCCATCCATCACTCTAAGCGGATGGGTTTTCAGCTTTCCCTGATCCAAAAGTTCCTGCACGGTTGTAAACCATGACTTTGCAAACTCCTTCAGCTCCGGCGCTGGTTCTCTTGTCATCGGTTCTGGCCATCCAATTGCCTTTCCATGCAGCGCTGGGCCCAGCACCCAGTCTGTCTTAATTGTTTTCGGCCTGCTGTTCAAGTACTTTGGTGGAGGTTCGAGGGTGACCAGTTTTCCACCTGATCGGCCCATACACTGGTAGCAGAATTCCATAGTTTCGGGCTCAGACACGCAGTCGATGACATATTTGAGCGAGTTCCTTGTGTGTTTCTTGATCTGTTCCACGCAGTTTTTGGAGCGGTAATCAAAAGTTTCAGCCGCACCATAGGATTTCACCAGCTCAAAATTGGAGGGCGAACAGGTTGTGATTGGTTTCAAGCCAGACCTTTTTCGTTTTATATCAGCTATTGCTCATGCGCCCTTCTCGTACTCCAGCGATACATATACCTAGGAATGGGGGACGAGTCTGACGTACAGTTTTAGCAGCTGCAAGGCAAGCGTCCCACTCGCCGTACTACCGCCGTATACAAGCACGGTCTTTTCCATGGCGGCCGGCTTGGTAGGGTATCCTGGAACACCCAGGTTATGGAACAATGCTAGTCCCATAGTCCCAATTCCAGTCCCTAGCGACGCAGCTTGCTCGAAGGACAAGGAGTCCGGGACCTTCATCAGCACGACGTCTGTGGCGCCAACGTACTCTGCATAGGCCCCGACCCGAGGGGAGAGATTATGGAGTCCCTATAAAGAATCCCAACCATGAGTTGTGAGTAATATTCTGCCATTAAGTACATGGGGTTCGTCGTGGGTATCTTTACCTGGACTGCACCACAAACCCGATCTCCAATACTGATATTCGCCGCCGTCCAAACATTCTTTCCCATGGCGACGACTGTTCCTGCAAAGTCATGGCCCGCAACCGCTCCAGGGGTGACCAAATGAGGTGCAGCCATCTTAGTGTCCACTGGATTTATCGCAATGGCTACATTTTTGACGAGAACCATGTCATCCTCTAACTCAGGGAGGGGGACATCATTCGTTAAAATAAGGCCGCCGCCTTCGCGCCCGACAATAGCGGTTTGGAGCTTCGGGAGAGTGTCCATGTTGGCCTTATATGCACGTGTACGTAAATATATAGGTAACTAGATAGGGTTTTATCTGGTCTTTATAATCTAGATAATTCAGCCTAAGAAAGAAGCACTTCAAAATAAGAGGATAAATATTAAAAAGCAGAGATGGGAAAGGATGTAGGAATTGGGGATGATATTTGCTTTCTTCTGATAGTCCTCCGTATTTTTACCTTTAGGCAAAAGCGTATGTGCATCTTGAAGGCCAGATGTCTCATCGGCGAATACTTTCCTCATGTAATGTGGTCCTGCTGCATGAAGAAAATACCCCTACTGCCATATTGCGAGTTGTGCGTGTAGAATATCGTCCGGCGATTTTCTTTTTGGCCACTCTTCGGGGGAGAACTGAAACCGCCGGTTGGTCGATTTTCTCAAGGTTTGGTATTGGAACTGCCATACAGCAGAGAATGCACCGTTCAGATGAGCTGTTTTTAGACTTGGTGTAGATATCAATAGCCAGGCGTAGATAGATAGATAAATCCTATATCCATCTCCTATAGCTTCCTAATAATTGAGAACTTCCATTCAACATAGATTTCTTGACTTATATAAGCCGAGAAGTGCTTCATACATATAGCCCCTCAACATATTTGTATTACTTTGATTGAAGTTCAGGATGGGAATCCCTTTGAACTCGGATGCTCCAAGTCCGAGATCCACTCCGGAGCCGATTGCTATCGTTGGAGTTGGCTGTCGATTCCCTGGAAATGCGAATACTCCATCGAAGTTATGGGATCTTTTGAATGAGCCGTACGAGACGGGCAAAGATATCCCGATAAACCGTTTCAACTTGAACAAGTTCTATCATCCTGATGGATCCCACCATGGTACATGTAATGTCAAGAGAACATACTTCTTGGATGAAGATGTACGGGTATTTGACGCAGGATTCTTTGGAATCCCTCCTGGAGGTAAGGATCGAGTGTTTTCTTTAGTTTCAAGAAGTAAACTGACAATCAATTTAGAGGCCGCTGCGATGGATCCCCAGCATCGACTTCTGATGGAGACTGTCTATGAGGCAATGGAGACAGCGGGTATGACAATTTCTAGCCTTCAAGGATCCGATACAGCAGTATATGTCGGAATCATGTGCAGTGATTATTATATCTTGGGCGCGCAAGACTACCGGGAGGTCCCAACTTATAACTCCACCGGTATTGCAAACAGTAATGCCTCTGCTCGACTCTCCTACTTCTTTGATTGGCATGGTCCGTGTATGACACTGGACACTGCGTGTTCGTCAAGCTTGGTGGCCCTTCACCAAGCCGTTCAATCTCTCCGGGCAGGTACCTCTCGGGTGGCCGTAGCCGCTGGGACGAACCTCTTACTTTCGCCTATGGGATATATCTCAGAAAGCAAGCTAGGCATGCTGTCTCCTTCGGGACGCTGCCAGATGTGGGATGCCAATGCTGATGGTTATGCTCGTGGCGAAGGGGTTGCGGCAGTTATGTTGAAGAAACTGAGCGATGCAATTGCAGATGGAGATGATATCCAATGCATTGTTCGCGAAACTGGAGTCAATCAAGACGGCAAAACCAAAGGAATTACTATGCCAAGTGCCATTACGCAGGCTGCTTTAATTCGCGAAACTTATGCCCGAGCCGGTCTTGATTTGAATGCAAAATGGGATCGACCGCAGTATTTTGAAGCTCACGGGACAGGCACCCCAGCTGGCGACCCCCAAGAGGCTGAGGCTTTGCATACTGCGTTTTTTTCTGGCGAATCTTATGAACCGGATGAAGTGTTACATGTCGGGTCAATTAAGACTGTTATAGGTAAGTAAATCTCCAGATACGGATAACATTAACGGCGGGTGATGATATTAACCTTCTATCCCTAGGGCATACGGAGGGCACTGCAGGCTTAGCAGGGATTATCAAGGCCTACCTGGCAATGAAGCATGGAGTAATTCCACCTAACTTGCATTTCAACAATCTGAGTCCGGCGGTATCACCTTTCTATGACCACCTCAACCTTGTCACTGTCCAACAACCATGGCCTATTTTGCCCACAGATGTACCACGGCGAGCTAGTGTCAACAGCTTTGGTATGTGCACGCGTTCCCCTTTTCAATACCCTGGATTTCTTTCCACTGAACTAACACCAAGCTTCCCCTTCATAGGATTTGGAGGAACCAACGCTCATGCCATTCTCGAGAGCTATGGGCAGCTAGACCGGGGCACGCCGTTAACAGCAGCCCCATCAGAACCAGTATCTCCTTTCCTTCCGTACCTTTTTTCAGCCGCTTCCGAGAAATCGCTTCGCATATTGGTAGAGTCGTATGGCGAATATTTAAACAACAACCCTGGTATAGATGTCCGCAAACTTGCCTATACACTGGCCTGCCACCGGTCGGCATTTGCATACAAAATTTCCTACCCTGCAGCAGGCCAGGAGGAGCTGTCCAAAGCAATAGAAACAAGCCTGTCTGCCGAATCCAGTCCCTTCACATCGCGCTCTTCTGTCAAAGAACCATCGATTCTTGGCATATTCACCGGTCAAGGTGCACAATGGCCGCAGATGGGTGCCCAGCTAATCCAATCATCCCTGTACGCTGAAAATATCATTACCGAACTGGACATGGCCTTGACTGCTCTACCAGAATCAGATCGCCCCAGCTGGACGCTACGGGACGAGCTGCTTGCAAACGCTGATACGAGTCGACTTGGGGAGGCCGCAGTAGCGCAGCCAGTGACTTGTGCCGTCCAGATCATGCTGGTAGGCTTGCTGAGACGCGCTGGTGTTAGATTTCAATCCGTTGTCGGTCATAGCTCCGGTGAAATAGCTGCGGCTTACGCTGCCGGGTTTATCAGCAGCACCGATGCTATTCGCATTGCGTACTACCGTGGCTTCCATTCCAAACTAGCCAAAGGGCCCTCTGGCCAGTTGGGAGGCATGTTAGCTGTGGGGACATCATACGAGGATGCCCAGGAGCTTTGTGCTCTAGAGGACTTCGAAGGCAGAATTGTAGTTGCCGCTTCAAACTCTGCCACAAGTGTAACGATCTCTGGTGACCTTGATGCAATCGAAGAAGTAAAGGTCATTTTAGAAGAAGAGGAGAAGTTCGTGCGGTCTTTAAGAGTGGACAAAGCATATCACTCCCACCATATGAAGTCGGTTGCACAAAGTTTCATAGACAGTCTCAGGGCCTGCAGCATCACACTGTTGACACCTCCGGCTGACGCTCCCACTTGGCACTCGAGCGTCTATCAAGATACGGTCATTGATGCAAACACTGCCCTAGACGGGCAGTACTGGACAGATAACCTCAACCGCCCAGTATTGTTTTCGCAGGCACTTGAAACTGCTTCGAAATCGGTTGAGCTATTCAATGCAGCACTCGAGGTTGGTCCTCACCCTACTCTGAAAGGGCCCGCCTTGGATACAATCCAACAGGCAACAAACGGTAAATTGGAATATATTGGCTGCTTGTCGCGTGGCAAGAATGATATTCAGTCCTTCAGTGGCGCTCTGGGAGCCATCTGGTCTGCAGCTGGCCCTTCCGCGGTTGATTTCAGCGCTTTCCAAGCAGCCGTTTTCGAGGATGCGAGTACAATTACCGCTTTTGATGACCTGCCTAGATACCCTTGGAGTCATGATAGGGTGCTATGGGCAGAATCACGATCGACTAAGTTAATGAGGCAGCAAGATGACCACTGGCATGACATCCTGGGTACTCGTGAAGCGGATGGGACAGAGGAGGAATGGAGATGGCGCAATATCCTCACTCCCAAAGAACTTCCGTGGTTAACTGATCATGCCTTGCAGGGCCAAACTGTATTCCCTGCAACGGGTTACTTCTGTCTTGCCATGGAAGCTATAATGCAAGTCGCGGGTAAACGTCCGGTGCAGCTCCTTGAGCTAACCGACCTCAAAATCCGGAAGGCGATCGCAATTGACGAAAGGGATGGTACTGAAACAATAGTCTCGTTAACCAAGATCCAGCAGGATGAACAGGAGATCACGGCCTACTTTGCATGCTTCTCGACCATTAGCAGAGACTCTCTTCAACTTGCGTTGAACTCGACAGGTAACGTGCGCGTTATACTGGGGGAGCCAGCTCCTGATATCCTGGCGCCTCGTTCTCCACCAATTCATGGAATGCAGCCAGTCGACAGTGAACATTTCTATGAAGAAGTGGCCAAGATAGGCTACAACTATGGCCCGACTTTCCGTGGAATCCAGTCTTTAGAACGAAAACTAGGACATTCCCGTGGTAAGATCGTTGGTCCCCCGAATAATGAAACTGGAACGGCCCTCCTCTTCCACCCAGGAATGCTTGACGCAGCATTACAAGGCATGCTTTGTGGATTTAGTTCTCCTGGTGATGGGCGTTTGTGGTCTCTCCATGCACCTTCCACCATCCGCCGAGTGACCCTAGTCCCCAGTCTATGTGGTATGGACATGACCAAAGAAGTGCACTTCGATTGCGCAGTCACGGACGTGGAATTCAACCGGCTCACAGGTGACGTCGAAGTTTTCCAGAGTGACACTGGCTACAAATCTATTTCAGTGGAAGGGACGAGTTTCATCCCCTTCACAGCTGCCACTCATATCCACGATCGCCAACTTTTCGCATATGACGGTTGGGGGTTGGAGGCTCCAAATGGTGCGTTGGCTTTGGGGTCATACCGAGCAACGGCTGATGAAATCCAGAAGGGATTGGATGCAGAGAGAGTCGCCTTTTACTACCTGAGGGCGTTGCATGAGACAGTACCGCAGGATGAGCGGACTGCGCTTCAGCTTCCATCGCATCATGAAGCGCTTTTCGACTATGCCCAGCATATCTATGATATTGTACAAAAGGATGAGCATGCGTATGTGAAACGAGAATGGATGAATGACACTTACGAGGAGATATGTGCTATAATGGAAAGGTAAGAATAGGCCGATAAATGCTGATATGCAACACATATTGACCGATCTTCTAGATACGGCCCTAAGGACCCTGACTTTTTATTAATCGCCGCATCTGGAGAAAACTTACCTGCTGTTGTCCGCGGCGAAACAACAATTCTCGAACATATGACGAAGGGAAACAAGCTCAACAATTATTACCAGAATGCGTTAGGATTCCACAAGCTTAACGAGCTGATTTCTATCACAGCTGCTCAAATTGCGCACCGATATCCAAACATGAATATCTGTGAAATCGGTGCTGGCACAGGTGGTTCATCCCGGGCAATTTTTGGAAAGCTCGGCGCAGCATACACATCCTATACTTACACTGATATCTCGGCTGGTTTCTTCGAAAAAGCCCAGGAAGAATTTGCACCGTACCGTAACCGAATGATTTACAAAACCCTTGACATCACGTCGAGTCCAGTTGATCAGGGCTTTGTTGAAGGCGCATACGATCTTGTAGTGGCCGCAAATGTGCTTCACGCTACCCCAGACCTCGAAGAGACGTTGCGCAGCACACGTCGCCTTTTAAAGCCTGGCGGTTATTTAGTGATGATGGAATTTATTGACGAGAGCGTAATGCGACTCGGTGTCATTATCGGTGGTCTGCCCGGATGGTGGGTTGGGCGGGAGACTGGACGGAGGTATTCTCCAAATGTGCCCTTGGAACAATGGAATGAGCTTCTACTGAAGTCTGGATTCGGTGGCATCGATACCCATACGCCTGTTTATGATCCTGTGGTTATGCCTGCGTCTATTATCACAGCCCGAGCCATTGACGACCAGATAACCATGTTGAAAAGCCCACTGTCGATTGCCGAAGGCAGCCTTCCATCATCAAAACGCACTGACCTCATCATTCTTGGTGGCAGTAAGAACACGACGATGGCTCTTGTTGATGGAGTTTCCAGCTATTTAAAGCCTCACTATAAAAGTGTGATCCAAATCAACGCACTGGAAGACCTCAATGTGACATCAATTCCGGAAAAATGCAGTGTCATAAACCTCAGTGACTTTGACGGTCCCTTCTGGACGGACATAACAACAGATCGTTTCGAGAAACTCAAGGCACTTCTCATGGTATCTGTCAACTTATTATGGGTTACCTGGGGCTCTAGCCGGGACAACGGCGATGGCGCCATGACTGTGGGCTTTTTTCGCTCCCTGTTCTATGAACTTCCGGAGTCGCAGTTGCAAATTCTCACTTTGGAGAGCCCTGCTCCGGAATCCGGAACAGCTTCTTTGATTGCCGAGAGGATTCTTCGCCTAGAAATTACCACAGGATGGCAGCGGACCCCATCCGGGAATGGCAAGCTGTGGTCCATCGAGCCCGAGTATAGGATGGAGCAGGGAGAAATCTTAGTTCCACGTGTGATACCCGAAAGACATCAAAACGATAGGTATAATTCCGCAAAACGTAAGATAATCACGGAGGTCAATCTCAAGCAGGCCATCGTGACTCTCGGTTGGGGTAACAACGAATACAATCTACGAGAGCAAGAGACTTCAAGTTTTCCGACTCTCCCAGGTTACCGACGAGTTCGGGTCGATACGTCGATATTATCTTCACTTCTAACGCCTGCTGGGCGACTCTTCGTCAGTCTTGGAACGGACCTCGATAATGGTGGCCGAGTCCTTTCTGTATCCCCGAAAAATGCGTCCACGATACAGGTTTCGGAGCAGTGGTCTGTCCCTGTTGACGTTGGCAGAGGAATTGATGTTCAGTATCTCTCATTCCTCCTAGGCTACCTGTCGAGCCGCAATATCGCTGCACTTTTGCCCTGTGGCGGTACTCTTGTGGCCCATGAACCGGATCCAGGACTTGCATCCATGCTTTCTCGTCACCCAGCTATGTCTGGTTCGCGCGTGGTTTTCACCACCTCAAATCCTCAGCTGGTCAGGAGGAACTGGGTGCTTCTACACCCACGCACCCCCAGTCGCCAACTGAAAGCAGCACTTCCTAGAGATGTATCGATGTATCTGGACCTCTCTAGTGACTGGTCAACAGTGCCATGCACAGAATCGTTGGGCAGCAGAATCTCCGCCTGTCTTCCCCCTCTTTGTGAAAAGTTTGACGGAGCTGTTTTGGGTGCTCGCGAATCATCCCAGCGGCCTGGTTCTCATGATGAGAGTATTCATCAGCTGCTTATGGATGTCAATGCGTTTGCTGTGGCCCAGCTAAATGGTGTTCCAGACGGAATGCCAATGCGATTGTATCCGTTGAGTTATATTGTGAGCAATACTGAACCCTTAGGACCTATGAGCCTCGTCAATTGGCATTCTGAATCCGAGGTCCCTGTCCAAGTCGAACCCATCTTCAACCGAAATGACTTATTTCAGCCAGATAAGACTTATTGGCTCCTCGGTCTAGCGGGAGATCTAGGCCGTTCACTATGCGATTTCATGGTCACTCGCGGTGCTCAACATGTTGTTCTCAGCAGTCGAAACCCGGTAGCTGACACACAATGGATCGAGGACCATGCGCTTCAAGGGGTGACTGTCAGCTACCTGAAGGCAGATATTACCGACCGAGCTGACCTTGAACGAGCCCGTGAGGAGCTGCTTCAAACCGCACCTCCGATCGCAGGTGTGGCCAATGGTGCGCTCGTCTTGCGCGACAAAGGTCTGATTAACATGGACCTGGATACATTCCATGCCAACACTCGATGCAAGGTCGAGGGTACGACATACCTTGATGAAATGTTCCCTGACAACACGCTAGACTTCTTTATCGCGTTCTCCTCCATCAGCGCCACGGTCGGGAACATGGGCCAAATGGCATACACTGCAGCCAACATGTTCATGAAAGCGCTTATTTCACAACGGCGACATCGCAATGTGGCAGGGTCCGTCATTGACATCTCTCAAGTTTTTGGCGTTGGCTACGTTGAGCGTGAGATGAAGCTTCGGAACGCGATGAGCCGTGAACAAGCAATCCGACTGATGGATAAATCTGGCACAATCATCATGTCGGAACCTGATCTGCATCAGCTGTTTGCCGAAGCCGTGATTTCCGGGCGCCCAGACTCCCAGCTCGATCCCAACATCATCACGGGAGTCAAGACAATGACTACTGCGGAGTCCAAGGACGCCATTTGGCGTAGCAATCCCCGATTCGGCCATTTCATCCAGGATGTCGGCGCCGTTAAAGCGCCCAGTGCGACAAAGGCAGCGACAATCCCTGTGAAAACACAGCTCGAAGGCGCAAAGGACGCGGAGGAGATGTCAACGATTCTCAAAGGTAAGTGAAAAAAAAAAAAAAAATTCCCACTCCACGGGCAGATTAGTGGAATAAGCTATTGACTTCGTGCTCTCTCAGCCGCCTTGACCGCGAAATTGAAGAGCAGCCTGTTGATGAATGATGAGACAATCGCCGAGACGACTCCTCTCATCGACCTGGGCGTTGATTCACTCGTTGCAGTCGAGATCCGAACATGGTTTGCACAAGAAGTGTCCATGGACGTGGCAGTGCTCAAGATCCTAGGTGGCCCATCGATCCAAGAACTGGTCGACGACACTTTGGCGAAGCTGCTCCCAACTGTCGCTTGAGGAGTTATCTAGCATGGCGACTCAGCCAGAATCCCACTGTATTCTCATTGGAAACCAGCCGTGTTGAGGGGAACAAAGACTTGAGCGATGCCGTACAGCCGAGACCAGAATCTGCTCGACTGCGGTATATGAGGCCGGGGCGGATCTAGATAGCCTGCAATGTTTATTCTGTAGATAAATAACCGATATATCAGTATTTAAGCCAGTATCCAGCGTTGAATCGCACTGTGGTTGATGGTTCGACGTTGAGCGACCGCAGTCTCGTAGTCCCAAACGGGGAAAAGTGTGATGGTTTGAACTAAAATTAGACACTTTAATATGCACTAAATATGCACTAAATGTGCACTCAATATGCACTAAAAGTATGCGTCGACGACCAAACACGATCAAAAAACACCCTCCATGGGAACGTAAATATGAATCGAACTGACCTGCGGCGTTTCGGAATGGTCCAACTAGCTGATATACCCTCGCAACTTCCAGCCTCAACGACTGTGGACGGCTCAGCGTCGTCGAACAAATCTGCGAATTGAAGGTGTTTGGAGCTGGCCTGCGATTGGCTCATGCAGCATATCCAGGGGCGTCATACACATCAAGGCTCGGGTTTGGGCGTAACGAGGGATAACGAGCCTGTCCGGTTTATATATAAAAAGGGCCTGGGGGCCTCTCCTTTCACCATGGCGCCCCGTCTCTGGCTCTCTCTTCATTGCCATCTTCTCCCAGGGCCTTCGTCCTCCACATCTTTCCCTATCGAACAACAGTTGATACAAAGAGACAGAGACACTTCAGCCTGTCATGTCAGCTTCCTGCTCTCCTGAAGGCGCCGTCGAGGCTGGACACCCGCTGGACGCTGAGAAAGCTTCTGGAGGTCAAGATCATGCATCTTCTGGCGTACCAGCACTGATCGTTGATCCTGATGAATCGGGTCCTCGATACCCCTACCTCAAGGGGATCCCTCTGTACAACCTCACCACAGCTCTGATTGTCGGGATGCTACTTCTGGGCCTGGATATTAATGTCGTTGCAACAGTATGACCCCATAAATGACCGGTCTTCGCTGTGGTATGGCTACTAAACATTGTTGTTATATCTAGGCCGTTCCCACAATCTCGAACTACTTTGACAGTTTCAAGGACGTGAACTGGTATGGTTCGGCCTTCCTCCTGGCCTTGTAAGATACTACTCCTACTTCCTATGTTTATATTTATGGATATCTTGGATGCTGACCGGTCAGATGTGCTACGCAACCGCTTGCTGGCAAGATGTATACCCTACTTCCTTCAAAGGTACGTTCATTTCTCCCACAACCCCAATACCTAAACACCTCAACTAACTAGTCTCCTTCATCAGTATCTTTACGTCGGTTGTATGGCCGTCTTTGAGCTTGGAAACCTCGTCGGTGCACTCTCAACGTCAAGCAGTATGGTCATCGCTGGCCGGACAATTGCCGGACTAGGGGCTTCGGGTCTTTTCAATGGAGCCGTCGTTATTCTAACAGCGTCTTCCCCCCCTAAGATCCGACCTCTCGTCACAGCTTTTGGAATTTCCATGATCGCAATAGGAGGCATCGTTGGTCCACTGGTGGGGGGTGCCTTTACCCAACACGTCAGCTGGCGTTGGTGTGAGTTCTTTATTTTTTCCCTAAATTCCTTCTTGAGGGCTACTGGCATTGGATTCCTTCAATGCCCGCCCTATTGCTTATATGTCATTAAAGACTGACTCGATGGTTAGGCTTTTGGATTTTTCTCCCATTCGGCGGCATCACCATGGTCATCATGCTAATCCTCCGTGTCCCCGAGCAAACTACTAAGCCGCCCATGAAGTCCCTTCTCGTCAAACTTCCCAGAAGCCTCGATTTTGTGGGCTTCGCCCTCTTCGCCTCTTCTTGCAGCCTGTTTCTGACCGCCATCAACTGGGGCGGGACAACCTACTCTTGGGGCTCGGCAAAAGTGATCGGTCTGCTTTGTGGAAGCGGTGGTATATTGGCACTTTTTGTCGGGTGGGCTATCTACATGGGTGATGAAGCACTAATCCCACCTCGCATTCTTCGAGAGCGAAATCTTTTCTTTGGCTGCTGGATCTCCGGTCTACAAGGTGGTGCCACCATCATGGTGGGATACTACCTGCCTTTGTGGTTTCAGGCCGTCAAGGGAGCCTCGCCAACCGACAGCGGGGTCATGCTGCTGCCTACAGCTATAAGTCAGATTGTTGGTACAATAACTTCAGGCGCACTAGGTAAGGTGACACTTATCTTAAATCACGGATTTCTGATACTAATTTATTTCTGCAGTTCGCAAGCTCCATTACGTTCCCCCCTGGGCAATCCTTGGCAGTGTGATGACAGCAATAGGAACTGGGCTTATAACCACCTTCACCGCTGATACGAACAGGGCAAGACTAATCGGTTATCAAATCATCGCAGGATTTGGACGCGGTGCGGCGTTGAGCATGGTTAGTAGTGCTAAGGGGTTGTCGCCTGGGCGAAACGTATAATAACGCAAAAATTAACGACATCCTTCTAGCCCATCGTTGCAAGCCAAGAATACCTAAGCGCAGATTCCATTGCTATTGCCAGTTCTGCCATTGCCCTGTGTCAATATCTGACTGGATCTGTTGCCATCTCCATAGCCCAGGCTATCTTCCAGAATGGCTTGACGCCAGCTCTGCAAAAGTGGGCGCCCGACGTTGATCCATCAACAATTTTGGGCGCTGGCGCTACAGGGTATGCCAACATATTACCTCCTGACCAGCTCCCTGCTGTTCGAGCGGCGTATAATGAAGCTTTAATCAAGGTCTTTGTGAGTTGCTATTGTTTCTTGATTACCCGAAATCCTGAATTATTCAAAGCTGACCGACCGACTGCTACAGTTTCTACCCACAGCCACTGCTGCTGTGGCTGCTTTGCTGAGCTTCGGCTTTTCTTGGAAAAAGATTGGTGTAGAGGACAAGAAAATATCCACAAGTGAGTCAGATGAGACCCAGAGTGAGTAGGTATGGTGAGATCACTATTTCCACCAACCACACAAATTACCTAGTTAGCTCTTTTCATTTCATTACCAGTTTCTATGAGAGTTTACCTTCAATTATTCGTATGTGAGAAAGGATTAGGGTATAGACTAGATACAAGCATTCACTAACTTGCTAATATATTTTCAAAATACTACGATGTAACCTTAGGTTAAACATGTTCATTAGTTAGTTGAGCGGATGTTATATTCATAGACTAGATACTGCTCATAAACTAAATTCCAAAATAAGTGTTTCCAGAACTAAGGCCTAGGAAGCCTTCTTTCCCAGAATCATCTTCAGCGGCAAGCTGGGCACAACACCTCCATCAATCTCCGCCGCATAAGCTTCCCAGAGTTCAGCAGACTCGCTCCGCGCTTCTTCTTCATTCCTGACAGTTTGGCCCCTTAGTATAGCATAAAATAGAGCAGCTTTTGCACCAGCCTTCGTCCACTCTGCCACGCCACTGGTAAGGTCTGGCCTTCTGTTGGAGTTATAATCTTCTACAATGACGTCTACCAGTCCTAACTCTTTGAAGGCCCGCTCAATTTCTATCGATGGAGTATTTGTAAGTCCGGATGCCATGGATAAGTCACGCATGATCCCCTTGACTTTGCTCGTAATTTCCGAGGGAGGGCTAAAGGAGAGATCTCGCGTCTCGATTTCTTCCCATTGGAAAAAACCACCGGGCTCTTAAGGAGACCAAATCAGATAAATAGCTATAAATCACCAGGCAATCGTCTATCGTAAGAAGTAAAGAGCGGGGAGGTGGTAGATACGGGATCATAATTGCATAAAAACTTACTCAACAATGCAGCAACATTCGCAGCCGCCGTCTGGATATCATCTTTCTTGAGTGCCAGCACCATCAGCCTGATATGGACCACGTCATACAAGTTATGGAACTCGGATGGAAACGGCTCCAAAATATCATGCACAATGTACTGTGTATCAGGTCTTAAATTCGCAGGGAAATGCACAGCAGATATGTCGAATCCTGCATATTCTCTTTTCATTGAAAATGACTCAATGTCAGATCCAAGTACTGTGGCGATGTCATCTAACCAGATTCTGGTTATATTTTAATTAACGTGAATCCACTTTTCCGGATGGAATTGTCCACTTACCCTGATCCCGTTCCGACCTCTGCAAGTTTACCAATGGCATCTTTTGGAATACTTGGGTGAAGCAGGTTCCCGTCGCAGAGGCTCACAAGCAATTCATGTTGCTTATTCAATCTTAAAATTCGAATATGTAAATTTCCAACAAAAAGAGTTCAGTTAGGGTATAAAAGGAAGAGCCCAAACCTTTGCTTTTCAAAATCATTGCGGTTGAACAGGTACACCTCCTCTGTATTTTCCTGAGTAGATTCCATGGTGACGATGTATCCAGTAAATCTGAATGTTGTATAGGACACCTCAAATAGTGCTCACAGTTTCAATCTTAATATTCCTGCTAGCCTTGGTAAGCTTGGCCGTTTTGATGATGATACATCTGTCTTAATGTAAGGCAAGGGTTATTAGCATACCTATCCGTGATTTACTCCAGCTCGGGAACGGGGAAATGCACAGTCGGCAAGGGCCTGCAATCCGCCGGTGCACGTCCGGCGGTTTTTTGTGCAAATGCTTATAGACGGCGGAGTCATGAGAAATCGCCGGTTGACCGGTTCTATGCACAACCCCATGCACTGGATTTAGCAACATAGAGTGTTGGCTTATAGAGTATCCAGAGCGTGGTATGATACGATCTATACTAGGATGCTCAGATATCCCTAAAAGTAGATTGAGAGAAGAGTTCTCATAACCGAAGACAACAGCTTAGGTTAGCATCCAAGTATGATATCTGCATACTCGCTCTTCTTGCAGTTGGCAGGACTTTTCCTTGCCTACAGCATCTGTCTTATTATATATCGGGCCTACTTCAGTCCCCTATCGAAGATTCCGGGCCCGAAACTTGCTGCAATAACCTGGTGGTAAGTCCATTATCATTGTCATTCGGCGTAGGGAATTGTTCACATTACCAGAATCAAAGCCCTTTCAGAGATTCTAACATCCTTTTTCAGGTACCAGTTCTATTATGATGTCGTTCATAAAGGACAATACATCTGGGCCGTACGGTCGATGCATGAGAAATACGGGCCCATAGTGCGGATTAACCCCTGTGAGATCCATATCTGCGAATCCGACTTTTACGACACCCTCTATGCTTCAGGAGGGCCCAACCGAAAACGAAATAAATGGACATGGGATACAATCGGGGCCGCTGGGGTGACAGACTCGGCACTTTCAACAGTCAACCATGACCACCACCGTATGAGAAGAACTGCCCTTGCCCCGTTCTTTTCGATGCAGAATGTGAAGAAACTGCAGCCCATTATTCAGGAGAAGGTGAATATATTGAGGAGGAGAATCTTGGATAAAAGAGGGAAAATAGGGGCCATTAATATATCGTATGCTTTCTCGGCTTTGACAAATGGTATGGTTTCAATGCGACTGGCTCTGTGATGACGAGACGCTAATAATAGGCTCCTCAAAGATGTTATCATGGAATATTGTTTCGCTCGGTCATATAACAGATTAGAAGCATCCGACTTCGACCCCAGTTATAGGATCGCGAGTCGGAGAGGAGTGCGGCTAGCTCAAATCGCAAAACATTTGAAGTTTCTTAGCGGAATAGCCAGCGTGGTGACGCTCCTGCCAGAGAGCATTGTGACAAAACTAGGCTCATCCTTCGATATGTTTTTGTCTGAAAGAAAGGTATGGACGGGAATCCTTCATGAGATCAGAAACAACTGAGAACTGACAGTGTGCTTTTTCTCGTAACTATCAAATAGCGGCTCTTGGCCCAAATCGAAGCTCTGAAATTGGAATCCTCCACCATCAGCAAGGAGTCAACCCATCGGACAATATTTCGAGAACTCCTGAGTAGCAAGCTGCCGTCTGAAGAGAAGGCCCCCGCACGCTTAGCTGGCGAAGCACAGGTCCTAGTTAGTGCTGGTAGTGAAACTACCGCCAGGGCGCTGACCAACGCTTGCTTCTATCTCCTAACATCGCCGGATGTCCTCGCGACTCTCAAAACGGAACTTGAGAGTGCAATCCCAGCAACTAACTTCAAGAACGGCGTAGCCCTAGAATGCGTCCAGCAGCTACCGTACCTCACCGCAGTCATTAAGGAGTCTCTACGCCTCTCGTATGGTGTAGTCGGTCGACTCCAACGCGTCTTTCCAAACGAAGATTTGCATTTTCACGAATGGGTAATTCCCAAGGGCACACCAGTAAGTATGTCAACTTATGACATGCATCATGACGAGACCATATTTGCGGACTCGTACCAGTTCAGACCCGAACGGTGGCTTCAGAATGCCGTCCTCGATAGGTATCTCGTCTCGTTTGGTAAGGGCAGTCGGCAGTGCCTGGGGATGAATTTGGCCATGGCAGAGATGTATCTCACTCTATCCAGTTTGTTTCGGTGGTTTGGCTCGGGCGATGTAAGGAGGCCACACGATGTGGGACAATTGGAACTGTTCGAGACAGATGAAAGCGATATCAAAATGATCGGGGAGGTACTAGTTCCCATGGTGAAGGAAGGTACCCAGGGCGTTCGGATTATGTTAGCATAGATAAGGGCAGTCTCAATTTGTATATTTGTTAATTTTTCATGCTCATTTATCATTCAAATATCGTATCTCACTTCAGAGATTGTTATCAAGGCCCGAACTTTTGATACTTCACACAACTGCATCTAACATAGTTCGTAACAGTCAACCATACCCAGGACGGGAACTAGATTTCCCTTTCAAAAGACCCTTCAAGTCGTTTAGGTTTCCAGTCAACTCTTTTTCATGCATTTCAATATCAGATAAGATACCGTCGAACATCGACGACCTCCCATCCACGTCTCTAGTGAAGGGTACATCCGCGCCGTACCAAGAGCTCGAGGCTTTTCTGCCTGTATGACGTAGCCCATCCGTGATTCCGTGCTGAGGCATGGAGGCACAGGTCTGGATTGCCGTCTGCATACGGTCGACCGTCTCCTGGATAAAATGTAACAGGAGCCCAAGATTCATCCTAGGTGACGCGGCCAGGCTGAACTGGCCGATGTTCAGAACGGGGATATCGATTGGAGAACTATCCAATGGCCGGAAATTCGCCGAAGTCGAGTTCTGTTGCAAGAACGAGAACCGGCTGGCTTCATGTTGGGATGCCGAACGTTGGACATTCGCAGAAAGCGATGCGACTAGAAGCTCGTATACGCTTAAGAGATGGAGATAACAACTGTAAATAAGGAGGACCGTTGCGTAGCCACGCAGTCCTGATAGCCTTGGGCTGTTCTCTTTTGGAGACATCGGGCCTCCAAGGATATTGAGTTCATGAAAGGTATTGATGATATCAACCAGGGTTTCAGTCGCAGTAAATGTTTCTTCGATACCGCTAGTGTACAATGCCTCGCTCCTAGGATCTTGGAACTCTCGCTGAAATGATCCTGACAGGATATGAAGCTTGCGTTGTAGATCCGGCAGCCTACTCGAAAGCGAGTCATCATCCTTACCCTTGACCTGGGACAATTGGGAGCCGTTAAATTGTGTCGGCGGACAGAGCGATGCGTCTGCGCCTGCAATGTTGTTTAAAAGGCCCATCTCGTCCTCGCTTTGGTTGCTATCCATAAGACTAGAGATATCTGGCAGCGAATTTATGCGACTGCCCATCCCCGCTTCTTCCTCCATCGGGGTGGGTAGCGCCTCTGGGCCAATATTTCCCTGCCATTGTTGCAGCTGGGGATCAATTGACGCACAGAGGTCCTGCCGTGCTTCTGGGTAGTTTGCCAGATCTAGATCTAGTGGAAGGAATAAGACGGTAAGCCGGAAGGGCCTTCAAGTAAGGGGATACATCAACAAAACGACTGACCAAGATCTAGTTCAAAACTCGCCCAAGATTCATCTTGCTCTCTTTGTTCATCCTGGGATGGCATATCAGCTTCCGGAAGTTCGGCGGCCCTATCATTATCCTTTTTCTTTTTCTTCTCCTGTCTGGCAGGTGATTCCCCAGATCCACCCCTTTTCGGTCTCCCACGACGCAGTGGTGCGCTGTAGGTACAACTGAACCTAAATTTTTCGCATCTCTTACAAATATCAGCGTTCGGGGCTCTCGTGCATCGAGACTTAATGTTATGGCACCTATCGCACGCTTCTCTTTTGGTTGCAGTTGTTGTTGAGTTCGACGTTTGAGATAGGCTGTTATCCATTGTCGTCGACAGTGCCCGGGTCCAGCCAGATCCAGGGGATGGAAGGTAAGCAATATATCTCTGGAATGGACATATTCTACCCGCTTGCAAACCATATCTGCCGATACTAGGTATAAGCCGAACCCCTCCATGTTACGTACTCCGGATGGCGAGATTAGAGCTTGCCTCACGAAGGATTCCACGAAGCTCTGCATGCTATATATCTCATCTCCCTGGTCTTGCGATTTCATAACGGGCTGATTGTAGGATCCGGATCTTATCAGCTGATATAAACTGCAATCGCTACTGGCTTACCAGGAACCAGGATTTAGGCTATCAAGGTTAGTAATTCATTTTTGTATCCATTAGTCAGTCAAGATGTAGAGGTGTCCGCATGTAAACTGTAGTCGGCTCTTCCTGAGAGTGTTTACGCGGTCGTAATCCCGTACGTACCTTGCCTTTTACTTGTTGTGTAGTGGTAGGTTCTCAGCCGCACGCCACAAGATTTATACCTCTGCTCAAATCCTTCCTATTGCTTACTTCCATCAATCAACCTTCCCGCACCGGGTATATTGCTCGCCAGTTTTAGCTTATTTCTCCACGCGGCGAGAGAAGGGGGGAGGCGTCTGGTCTGCAGATTCCGCACGGAATGCGCGCGATGCCCTTGTGATCTCGGGATACACAATCGGCAGGGCATACAGGCTTTGGGGTCCGAACTCTTCGAGTTAAGAAACACGGTCTACGCCGCAATAAATAGAGAGGTAGGTAACATCAGTAGCTCTAATAAATTCGGTTAATTATACTCCGTACGGGGGTGTGTGTAACATACGGAGTACCATAAGAGTATTTGATATTAGAGCGCCCATCATACTGGATTTCGTGCCGTCTTGAATCTCTGACAGGATAGAAGACACCGAGCTCCTGTGTAACTAGTAGCTAGCTAACCAGTAATATTTTGTCGTTTCATGCTTTATAACGTCGTAGTGATGGCCGGGTTAATATCAATTGCATAAGCAGTCAATCTATATGACTATTAGATACGGCGTATTCTCTTGATAGATTTCAGGTTCAAGCAAACAATGTAGTTCTGTATAAGGAGGGTATACAATCTACTTACCGTGAGCCTAGTGATGAAACACCCACAATTGGAGTCCATTAGCTAGATCTCCCCAGCGCCCCCGATCCCCGCCCCCCGCCCCCGACCCCTGCTTCCCTGGTGAACGGTTCTTGTAAGCGCTAGAGGCCTAGGCTAGGCGCTCCTTGGAAGCTAGCTCTAGCCTAGATGCCTACCATGCAATCCTTACCCGAGGTAGTTCCCCTGCTTGCCCGTAATGTGTGCAACCATGATGCAGTATCCCATCTTGGGCAATGCCCGTGGTGGCTGCTGCAGTGTGGGAGCGCACCGCACCGAGAATTATCCGTTCCTGTATTTTTTCGTTCCTTATTCGTTAACGTTTTGCATGAGCATCCGTAGTATATAGCGTAGAGCGGGTAATCAACATATTCTGTAAGTAGTCAATGTGCTCTCGGGGTATCGTCCAGCGATAGTCAGCGTTAAGATAGAGGATCCGATCCGAACCCCGCCGGCGAAGGAATTCGAGTTGCAAGTACCCCAGCTAGATACCAAAATAAACACTTGGCACACAGCATCCATCCATTCTCGAGTCATGCGCCCTATGGTGTTATGCTGTCGGTTCTTGGCCGATAGAGCGTACTTCTTCTTTATCAAACGATGAGATAGAAGTACGATGTTGTACTTGTTCGCTTGATCACTACGGAGTAAACAGAACTTTGTCCATTAGTATAAGAATAGGCCATATATACCATTGGCTAACGAAAATAGTAGCTTGACCCACGTGGTAAATCCTTGACCAATCATATTATAATAATCGTTGAAATAAGGAAATGGGGCCTTACTTAAAGTATATTAAGCCAATCAAAACCTGCATTATGCTCCACTAATTAACAAAGAAACTTGATTCTATTGGTTAATATGAACTCTATATAATAACCTTATTTAACCGATCGTGTCACATGACTGATCGTATTCGGAATAACTATAGTCCATATATACGTGATTTATGAATTCATTACGTAATATATGTGTTCCTGAGGTTGCTTTCTGCTTCTTTTTCTCACTGCTTCCTTTAAACTACTTGTATTAGAAGTAATTATTGCTAGCTAACCTCCGTTTATCTTTGGAATTTCCGAGGATACTCTCCCATAGGTTATTTCTCTGGTACGGCACAGAAAGTAGGCCATGTTGACCTACAACTTGACAACGCGATAACAGGTTCCACCACCACCCTTCCAAGTATAGGCTACGGCGTACTCCCTAACAGTTTAGCTGTCCTAGACATAGATGGGTACAGCTGAGAAATTGTCTGTTTGGACAGGGCTAGGGCTTGCGGCATTCCCAGCAACGTTAAGGACTCATGAGACGCAGATGACTCCATGAGAATCTTGTACCTTCAAAGACTAGGCTATTTCAAAAAGTTACCATACTAATCTCGAGCAGGAGAGTACATATGTCTTAACATAATGGATAAGCTATCTACGAGCGACTTCTTTTGAGCCTCTTACGCTCTCTTCCTCTTGCCGGGCGTATTTCAATCAAGTATACTCCGTAATGGTTTGATGGTGCGGCTATCTCCATTTGATGGGACCTGGCCGCCGATATTCTCCTTATCCACGATAGAACCTGGGATACGTGGCAGTGGAATGTCGGTGTCGACGCTATTGGCTGGCCAATTCTAGTTACCTTTCGATGCATCTGTCGACCTAGATTGGCTCTCAACGGGAGCTGGATGTCGACACTAAGGAAGATGAGCCACATAGCGGGAATGATAGAGCAGCCTGAGAGGCATTTCATGTGTGATTCTGTATTCTTATGCTAGTTCTCTTCGTTTTCTCTATTCGCGCTGTACTTTACACACTATCTTTTGCTAGATTTGGTCTGCGGCTCTTTTCCATCTGTGGGACTTGGCTGATTTTGACAATTCTACTGGGGCTGAAACAAGGATTTTTGATAGCACAAGAAGGCCGTCAAAGTAGCTACTATCAAGGCACGATCCGATATCCAAGGCTACCACCAAGCCCCCCTGACGCTGTCAACTCTTCACTAGCCAACTCAGCCTCCTGTTGCCTGCGATTAGCGAAAAGATCACCACTGTCAAAAGTTGAGGCTCGCTGCTCCAACGGCGAGGCCAGGCTCGGATACACATCGAAACTAACACGCCATTGACTGGGTTCATGCATGAAAAGCTCGCATACCAGCAGCAATCACGGCGAAGGATTCGCTAATCACAACACGCTAGTTTGCAGGCTAAGTGAGTTGGCGCAGGAGCTCTGGTGGCTGATGCTCAAGCTCTCCCTGGCCTGAATGCTGGCCGAAACCCTGGCTGCTTCGCCCAACTGTCAAGCTCAACCTCGCAGGCAACCTCGTCAGCAATCTTGTTAATGCAGGGTGAATCCGGGGCAGATGTAGGCCGAGCCCTCTTGTACGCTGCCTTGTCGCTGCCCTAGCTTTATGTCTTACATGCAGAGTATAAAGCTGCCTGTTGTGCCCGGCGGATGATGACACGAAGACAGCAAGGCAGCAGCAATTTAATACATAAGAATAGGGCCAATTCACTACTATTATACTGAGATATCTCACACTAGTCTTTCTTTGTTGCAAGTGTCCCTCATTCTAACTATCATTCCGATCCCCTTTGCTCCTCTACTAACACTGATACTAGACACCACCATCCGACGCCCTACCTCAACGGTATTATTTATCCACAGGTACCAGCATGGGATTCAACGTCTCAGAGGCTATCTGGAGGTGGAGATGTAAGACGTTTGGCACCGGTGATAGACCCCCGCCTCGCGCCTCAGCCCGCAAAGCACCCGCTGGAGCCTCCAAGAGCTCCAAGGCGCCAGCTTCCGAAGAGCAAACCCAGGGAGCCGATGCTCTCATCAAAATCCTCTACGAAGCCAAAGATAGCCGCGAAGACCGCCGGACGTGGGTCGACTATCCCCCCAAACAGCTCAGCAAGAGCGTCTCCAAAGCCCAGGGCCGAGCCGCAATCAAGGTGTATAAGATAACCGACAAGGATAAGCCGGTCATCAGTGGTCGTCCTACGTTGAAATACTTCAAAGTCGCCATTCAAAGCCCTCTTCTCGTCGCTGCACTCAAAGATATCGTGGAAAAGGATGAGATATACCTCGAACCAACCGAGGTTGCAGAGTTCACCACACCCTTTGCTCCTCTATACTTCCACGCAGATGAGATCGCCGGGCTCCTGAAAGATGCGGAGCAAGGAAGTGCCTTCCGGGAACATCTTGAACTCCTACTGGATCTCATGGATGACATGTTCGAAGAAACGCGCAGTCGCATCAAACCGTTACAGGCCAGCGGCCTTGCCTCCTTTAACCTACTCTGGGCATATTTCCCCCCAGAATCGCCGGTTTACATATGGGAGGGAGAATGCGAGTCCCTAGGCAAGATAGTCGGTACTGAAATCATCAAGAATGACCTCTGTTCATTGATTCAACTACGTTGCAAGATCATGGCTTTTGACGGCGAAACCTACGTGTGGGAAGACTATAAGACTGAGATCTATTCTTTTCCTGGGAACATTCCTATTACGGATCTTAATCACTACCCGCTGAGCTTTCATGAGAATCCAGAGGAGGTTAAATTGCGATTGATGAAAAGGGCGAAGAAGGCTCTTGACTACCAAGGGCTGACTTACTCATCCTACACGGGAGTTGCTCTTTACAGGTGCAAAGAAGGATGCAAAAAATATAATGTATGGCTAGAAGTCTTGTTTTTGGTCACTTATCGTGAACTGTGAACCGTTGCTAATCATATATATGATATGTAGGTGGATGGTAGGGTCCTAATTGATATTGTAGGATACAACAAACACCACGACACCAAAAGAACTACCGGCTCAGGGGCAGAAAATCCGCAGAGACAGAAACGACGCGTTCTTCCCGTTGACAATGACGATAAGGATGAGAAATTTACTCTTCACATAACTGGACCTAACAGGGTGAAAGTAACTGGTGGCAGAACAAAAAAACACATTTCCAAAGAAGATCAAGAGAAGAACAAGAAGGGGATGCTGGAATTGGGAGAGGACCTCGTTTTCATGTCTCCTTTTCTCGAGGGATATGCTCTAACAAACAAAGAATGGCGTGAGTACCCACCATACCGTGCCAGGGATTCGTCAACAGGACTAACCAACAATAGTCAATTTCTATGTTGAAGACATTGAGCATGTCCAGTGGAATGATGAAGCATACGACCATCTGGTGTACGACGAGCAGCAGAAGGATTTAATCTTATCCTTCGTAGAGAATCATTATCAATCGAAGAAGGTGTCGGATGATGTCATAACAGGGAAAGGTTGGCTGAAGCACTTATTCTATCCACCAAATATATTTACCTACTAACGTCTCGGCTTCACTATCCAGGTCAAGGGTTAAATATTCTCCTAAGTGGACCACCCGGGACAGGGAAAACGCTGACGGCGGAAGCTGGTAAGGACACGAAGAATGCCATTGGGAAGGGTATACATAGCTAACGAGGTTCCCATGTAGTTGCCGATAGATGTCGCAAACCACTATTCTACCTCCAAGCTGAAGACCTAGGCATCCAAGCCGCAGAGCTCGGCGCAAATATCAAGAAAGCCTTCGAGCTAGCTCTAGAATGGAATGCCGTCATCCTCCTCGACGAAGCCGATGTCTTCATGGCTGAGCGCAACCCGAACGACATCCACCGTAATGAACTAGTCTCGATCTTCCTACGAGAACTTGAGTACTACCGTGGAGTCATCTTCTTAACCACCAACCTCTACGACACCATCGACACGGCGTTTAGATCCCGCATCAATCTCCATCTACTGTTCAAAACACTATCGCCAAGCGCCAGGATGCTGGTATGGAGGAAGTTCTTGGAACGGCTGCCACCTATGCCCGCAACGGCAGGACGAAAGGAAGAGAAGAGCGCGCTGCAGGACCTGGACGAGGACGACTTCAAGGAGCTTTCTATGTGGCAGCTGAACGGACGAGAGATCAAGAATGCAGTCAAGATGGTGAAGTCATGGTGTGATCAAAAGGGTTATGACATGACCCTGTCCCGCATGGAGAGTGGGATCAAAGTGTCGGCCCCTCAGGCCATGAAGCGCGACTACACCAAGCCCGTGGACTTGTACGATTGAAGCCAACGGTAAGCTCTATCATAGGCCCATGAGCTGTTCCCCTGAGCCACACCGAGGATGCTACAGGGACATGTTTATGCATGGGGAAATGGTCTATCCGTCAAGTCCCAGGGTAGAGCTTTCGGGCAGTAAAAACTCAAAAAATACATGCTAGTTCCTCCGGCCATGAAGCCATCATAATAGAAATAGCGATAATAATGAAGTCTTGAGGCTGATAAGTTCAACTTTGGTGGAGATTCAACTTTAGCTAATTGATACCGAGCTACCGAGGTTGAAGCACATGTCTACGGCCAAGTCTTTAAATATATTAACGACTCTCGATATTAAATCATGATGACATTTCGAGATATCCTATCCTATACTTAACCAGTCTCTCGTGGGTGTGATAAGTTCTGCCGCATATGGCCATGATTTATAGCAAGATAGAGGCCGGCTGGGCTTCCATGGTCTCGACATATTCGCCCACGACGATAGAATTCGTTGGAACTTGTCTCGTCCAGCTCATCGCCTTCTGGATCCCGTCAGCAATCTATCTCAGTCTCGAGAAAATTGCGCCTGCGTTCTCAGAGCGACATAAAATCCAGCCAGCTCCGAAACAGCCGACTGTCAAGGAAATAACACACTGCTTCTTCTACGTGCTCAAGAACCAGCTGCTGTCTACATCACTACACATCCTACTGCTCACGCTTATTCATAAAAACATCATCCCGCCGTCCTACCAGGTCCTACCGACACTGCCGCCACTGGCGATTCTGGCGCGAGACTTCGTCCTCTCCATCCTACTCCGCGAGGCCCTCTTCTACTACGCCCATCGCCTCCTCCATTATCCATACCTCTACGTCCGCATTCACAAGCGTCATCACAAATTCACAGCGCCCGTGGCCCTATCGGCGCAATATGCCCATCCACTCGAGCAGATAGGTGCAAACGTCCTGCCGATAACCCTTCCGCCACAGCTATTGAAGAGCCATATCATCACTTTTTGGATCTTCATGGGCTACGAGCTGTTTAATACAGCAACTGTGCATAGCGGATATGACTTCTTGGGAGGGAAAGCAAAGATGCATGATTTGCATCATGAAAAGTTCAATATGAACTATGGCTCTATTGGGTTTCTGGACTGGTTCCATGGGACGGATAAGCTGAAGAGCAGGGAGAAGAAGAGCAATTAGACAGGCTAGAATTTTCGACATGGGGTGTGCTCTATATAGGGTATGCCGCAGGTTAATGGTCTAAAATATAACGATAAACGGTTTCTTTTTTGCTGATCAAGTATTTGGCGGTATGTGATGTTGGGTATATACTATGCTATTCTACATAATAATGAAGTCTATGAAGAATCAGCCAACACCTCTCCGATCCAGTTCATCTGCACTGCGCTCACGCCCCTCGCATAACTTCGACTCGTAAAAACATATTCATTATACATGATAGCTTCAACCTTTCTGCCAAACAGCACACTCGACGGATGGATTGCGACGGTTTGATTTCCCACCATCGTACGGTAACTACCATCGGGGAAGAGCCGTGCAGTGTTAGTTGCGAATCCCGTAAGGAAACTGGTTAATATCGGGACTGGATCCTCGTTTCCTAGCGGCGATGAGTCGTCATCTTTGAATGATGCATTGCCAAACAGTTTAGCTTGTTTACATTGAGTAAGCAGTTGCTTTCGAACATCCTAATGGTGAGGGACATATTAGTTGCCTGCAAAGATATCGAAACACAGGGATATAAAAGGACATACCATAACTGCCTGCATGGCTCGATGGGAGACAAGATGCCGTTCCGCCCAGACTTTTCGATCAGCATGCTCGGCCGCATATGCTCGTACAGTAGCTAGCATAGTCAAGTGGTCTCCTTCTCGCCTATAAAGGTCCCGTCTCGCCAGATCTGCCTGTTCCTTCTTCTCTTCCGACGCCGTGTTTAGAAATATATTCTCCACACTTAGACAGGAAATGATGTCAATGACGTCTCTTAGACAACGAGGACCATTCTCTGCTCCAGCAAGGAGTACCCGGCCCAACGGCGCTGTAAGTGGGAGCTTTGCTATTCGGCTACCAATAGGACTTATTTTCCCCGTTTCATCCAACGCATTTATATTGAAAAGCTGCAATAATGCTTTCTCAATCGCATCTCTAGGAGGAGGCGTGAGGAAAGGAAACCCCACAATATCATCCACGCCTCTGGCTTTCATCGTTAATATGGCCTGGCTCACATCACATCGGAGTATCTCGGGCGTATTAGTCTCCGGTAAGGCAAGATATTCCTTCTCAGGGTACAACCTGTAGCATTGTCCAGCTGCTTCTCGCCCCGCTCGACCTTTCCTTTGTATCGCAGCAGATTTCGATATGGGTTTCACAAGTAGGGAGTCCAATCCGAGACGCGTTCGGAACTGTTTCGTCTTCGCTTTACCACAGTCAACCACATACCGTACCCCAGGAACAGTCACGGAAGTTTCGGCAATGTTTGTGGCTAATATGATCTTTCTCGTTCTTGGAGGTGTTGGTAGGAAGAATCTCTGCTGCGCTGCCTGGGGGAGCGCTGCAAATAGAGGCACGGCCAATACCTTCGGTAGCTCTTTGTCCATGGTACTAGCATAGTCGTTGACCAGATACTCCAGGGACTCAACGGTTTCTTGTCCGGTCAAGAAGACCAAAATATCGCCCGGTAAAGGCTCCTTGTAATGAATTTGAAATATTGTTTTGAGTGCTGCATCCACAAAATCCGGGACTGGTCCTGGTGAATATATAGTTGTAACTGGGAATTGACGGCCTTTGATATGGCAGACGGAAATTCGGTCTGATGGTATTAGACTAGATTCCTCCTTCTTGGATGGCTTTATCTTCATCTTTTTTTCGAGCTCTGCATCTGCACCATTTTCCCTTGACGAGGATCTGCTCTCTTCTTTTGAAGCCTGGCTGAATCCCTCACGAAAGAAATCCATCAAGCTTTCCATATCCGCAGTCGCACTCATCACAACTATTTTCAGCGGAATTTCTCCCCTCCCTTCCTGCGATCCAGTAGCGATATTCCTCAAGAATCCAAGTAGCAAGTCAACGTTAATACCTCGCTCGTGAACCTCATCCACCACCACAGCACTATACTTTGTCAACCACGGATCATTTAGCATCTCCTGTAGCAGCATTCCGTCCGTCATGAATTTTATTCGCGTGCTTGGAGAAACAGACGTATCGAAACGCACCGCGTAACCAACCTTGCTCGCAGGAGAGGCAGAACCAAGCGGACAACCCACCTCATCTGCTACTCTTCGCGCAAGGGAGACAGCTGCAACACGTCTAGGCTGGGTTATGGCTATACAGCCGCCCACAATGCTCGTCTTTCCGTTATTCGAGGATGATATCTTAGTTGATTTCGGACGACACCAATCCTCGTCGACCAGAAACTGCGGTACTTGTGTACTCTTACCGCTACCCGTTTCACCAACAAGTAACATAACATCGGTCCGTCGAAGATGGGCGCGGATTTCATCTGCGTGTCCAAATATAGGCAGCTTTTTCCTTCCTTCATACAAGACTTTGGCCTTGTCTCGTAGATTAGCCGTGACGCCGTTCGAAGCTGGTTTAGCCGTCACATTCTTTGAGTGGCTCCTCGAGCCGGATATATTATTTCCATGGAGCGTAATGTCACTTTTGATCATCGCTTCAGAAGATGAACCAGATTCCTTGTCATTTTCGATGATGCGAGTCTTTTTACTCTCGTTTTCGCCCTTGTTGGATCGGCTACCGCGTTTTCGTTTTCTATTCCTTCTAGATTTCGATACTTCTTCACCTTCTCTTCTATCCCCGCTTGAATCTAAAAAATCCATCTCCGTGTCTGACGTGTGTGGTTTTGTTGTCCTCTTTTCCAGCATTCTTCATAAAAGATTTCGAGCAACTTTTTTATATGTATTGTAACGATGTGTATCTTGAAATTTAACAGCCAATAGAATCTTACAAAACCCATAAAAATACATGACTCTAACCAATCCGTGAATACAGAACACGTATTGGTATGATTAGTAATGTTCGCACCCTAAAAAAAAAAAAAACCTCACGATGAAAAAAACATTCAATCAACTATCAACTGGACGATAATGTTATAATCTGATTCAAAACACATTTCTAAGCTATCAGTGATATTTATCTACAGGGAGGATACCCCCGAGGTAAACCTTCACGCGCAGCTATCCTAACGCCACCCATGAACATAGCATCCTGAGCGACCCTGAGGAGCACTTCCTAAGTCAGTTCATCTCTACTTCCTATATACAGTGAGAGGAGTAATAAGTATTCAGTCAACTTTTGCCTAAGACACATCCAGGTCTAGGAGGCGTAACTGACGAGACACCTTCTCAATCTTCGGCGTCAGCATCACCGCCTGCCCTGGCGCATAGTCCGCCTCGTACTCCTTCAGCGCGGCTTCGAGAGTTTTCCGTGTTGCAACATCCCCGGTACCTACCCAAGCCATCATTAGACATAAAGGCACAAAACTAGCCCCTAGCGGCCTATAAATCGTCGCAGAGCCAGCAATTTCCAAGATCTCGTCAACATAGCGAGTTGACTCTGCGCTGAACTCTGGGTTTTCGCAGTCAATTCCAGCCACCACGCAGTTTAAGATCATGGCAACTGTAAGACTCAGCCCAAATGAGCGCTGGTAGAACGAGTGGGCCATGACGATGGGGTCTTTAAATGAAAATTCACCCTCGGTGGGCAGCTGCGCCTTTTTATATTTCGCACGTAATTCTTCGGCAGCGTCCTTTGCGTCCTTGTAGCTAGCCATGGCATCGGCTAAAAGGGTTGGATCTTCTACTCCGTCTCTGCGAAGCTTTCTTGCCCGCTGCAGGAGGCTAGGTACCTGAGCAACGCAACGCATCATTTTACCCTCAGGGGCCGCTCCGTCGAGATGGTTTTCCACCAGGGTCTTCCACTCTTCGGCAGTAAATTGGATCTTATTGTTGAGGAGGCCTTCGAAAATCTAGGGTGCTCAGGTTAGTGATCGAGCATGGAGCCGGTAGTGATATACATAGAATACAGTACCACTGGCCCGCGTAGTGAAAGAACCAATTTGCTTTCAAACTCGTCATTTGGATCGTAATATCTTCTTGCTTTTAACATCTGCGCCGCGCCCTCGCAGTGGCCCGTAAAATCACCTTCCGCGACGCCGATGAAACGCTATAGAACGTCAACAGCCATTGTCTACCTGGGGAGCTCGCCTTCATATATGTCTTCTCACCTGGCACATCAAAAGCACCATCACCGAGCAGAGGGTTTCGGACGCCCGCGCCCTGACTGGATCATCCAGATAAGATCTGAGCACCCTAAGGGCACGAGAATAGCTCATCAAAGCCTCAGGCGTGACCCCTTTTCCGGCACAGAAGCTTGTATGCGAGTCGACAAGCGCCTGCACTGACGAATCCAATGCTTCGTTTATCCCGAGACGCTGTGGTATATCAACCAGGAAACCGCCAAAGGACCACGCCAGGTTGTATCTCAGATCGGTCGTAGGTTTCATCGTCTCAATAAAGCCATTGAGCAGTTTCGTCAGGCTATTAATCGGGATGCGAGGAATCTCTTCGACAAAGGTGGTTGCTGCAAACTTCGGAAACTGTCTAGAGACGGCCTTCTTTTTGGCGGCCATCCTCTTCGTCTCGCCGTCTCGAAACACATTCTGCTCTTTGAACTTGTATCTCTGCTGTCCCGCACCGATACATGGTATATTCAGCCGGCTACATCGTGCGCATGCGGGCTGTACTTGATCACACTATATGTCGGTGTTAGAAGCGGCCGTATCTACTCCGTTGATGATATCTGCCTACCTTTTTCTTCTGCTTCCGACAAGCATCGCATCCACGCCCAGACGGTACTCCTGGCATGGTGATAGATAGTCATTCAACACCCGAACGACTTAACCATCAAGAACCTCGAACGCATCTTTAAAGAGAAAAACCCAGCGACATTGAAGAAGCCTTGAAGAAGCCCGATCGACGCCTGGCTGAGAGAAGCTGAAGGAATAGGCCTTGGCGAGGCTAGCAAAGCCTCAGCCTCCAGTTAAAGCCAGGATCTCGCAGTTAAAGGCCGACCAACTGACGGCGGAACAAGGGACGACGGGCATGACGACGGGGAGACGATGAGCAATGCTGTATGCCTTATGAGTTCCAGTTGAGGCTCAAGGCTCACCGGCCATCGAGCGGGTGGTGACCGCCGTGTCTGTCAGATACTCCATGCTGGAACTGATGACGATTCATGACGAGAACGAACGACTCCAGACAGAAAGCTGGAAGCACTGCCACGAGGAGGAGGGCGATGTATATATGCTGGCAAAGGAGATCACCATGAAGATGTGGAGCAGCCTTTCTATCAATACATCTATCGCACCGCCGGACAAGCAATTATAGATCTACGACGCCTTCAAGGGATGACCGTGGTTAAATGCACGCATCGCTCAGCCCGATGCTCTATTACATTGCTATTCTCTGGATGTATAGCGCGCCATGATGCCGCGTTGAGATGTGATAGCAGCCCTATCGATCTCCGTTTCATATACGAAGAATCAACTTTGACCAGGACTAGCCGCTTCTGGTGCTATCCAGCGCTCCCTTCTCCACCTCGAATCCTACGGCCGGCCACGAAGGAAAAAGAAAACATCTTCCCGCAGCGCACCAAGACGACCAACTGGGAGAAACACAGCGCTTGCCTTGGGTCCGTCACCTGTTCGACAGCGGGGGGAAGGCCAGCGGCCGACCTCTAACCACTCTTGGTCTCATGAAGCGCCGCTTATCCATCATGATGATGATGAAGGCGGTGCAAGAATTGATGGCCGACTCCCTGAGTGAGGCTAGAACGAGGGAGGTGAGAGATCTATATAAGCAATGACGATGATCCTGCTGTCAGGGCTTTCAACAATACAAACAGCCTTCAATTCATTTTACAATCGTCTATCATGGCTACATCTAGTTTTACCTACTACCCTTACGGGCCCAGCCGTGCCCTTGCGGCCGTCTTTGCGGTCCTAGTTGGCATATCGCTAGGCATACATATATGGCAGAACTTGTTAGCCACTCTTCACTCCTCATCTAACAAAGTCTCAATTGCTAATACCCTCTTTGCAGCCGCTACAAATATTGGCGTGTCATGTTTTTCATGTGCTGGGGAGGCCTCATCTTTACATCCGGTTGGGTCATGCGATCCGTCTCGAGTTACTATCCTGAGAACAGAAACTTCTACATCGCGGAATCAATTCTCATTCTATGCGGACCGCCAGTCTACTCTGCAGCTGAATACAATATTCTCGGCCGCCTCATGCACTACCTCCCCATGCATGCTCCCCTCAACCCAAGCAGACTCATCTACTTCTTCATCTACCTTGGAGCTCTGGTCGAAGGCTTGACAGCCGCCGGCGCAGCCCGCCTATCTACAGCAGGGGAAGACAAGGACCTACAGCGCAGCGGCGGTACCCTCGTTGCCGTCGGCTCGGTACTCCAGGGCGTGGTGGAATGTATCTTCATCGGCATGATCGCCCACCTCCACCACCGCTGTGTTCGTGCAAACATGCTCACAAGCAAAGTGCGAACGGTCTTCATCATGCTTTACGGCACATCCTCCCTCGTCCTGCTCCGCTCTATCTTCCGTGCTATCGAAAAGTTCAGCACCCTTAACGTCATATCTACTGGCCAATGCGACGGGGTCTGTGACGCGGTGCTAAGACACGAATGGTACCTTTATGCCTTCGAGGCCGCGCCCATGGTCCTCTACACGTACTGGCTCAATATCATCCACCCTGGCAGATTCCTACCAAACAAGACCACCACTTACCTTGGTTTTGACAAGGAGGAATATGAGGGTCCCGGCTGGACTGACAAGCGCTCCAAGTGGGAGACTTTTGCCGATCCTTTCGACCTCAAGGGGGCTATTAACGGGCAAAAGGAGCATGAGAAATTCTGGCTACTCCCTCAACAAGGTGTCGCTTCTAAATATAATAACGAACTACAAGCATAATTTATTTATGAGGCATAGTTGCATGAGTTTTATATTATTATTGGGCTTTCTGTCATAGATCTAGCGTTTTTGGGATGCACCTTTTTTCTCCTGTACCATATACACCTTTTAGCTTAGAATTATGATGCTTTCATCTTACCACAGTCTTGAGACAGTTCTATCTGACCTTCTAAACATATTTGACCCATCCAAACCGGCCCCTTAACATAACAACTCCAGGCATATGATTGGGAATTTCCGGTGTAGTTCAACCATAAAAACTGGGTTGCAATTGAAGTATCCCTCTGTATAACCTTTGGGATGCCATGTTTCAACCCACTGCAAATGTAGAATTCTATGTAAAGAAGCCGTTATTCGCCAGTGACTTGCTCAGATCTTGCACTGACATGGGCCTATTGACTGCGATTAGCACCCAGAGAATCGTGGCGCCTTTGGAAAGTTCCGTATGAGCGTCAAGTTGAGGTTGACTATTGAACGATTTGGTGATTGTAGTGGAGCGGAGGACGCGGTTCTCAACAAGATAGCCTACGGAAACACTTCGATGATAATTTTCACGGCTCAAGAACGAAACTCCTTAAATATGAGGTTAGCTGAAATTATTTGGCTTTTGTGACTCCGTGCAAAGAGATAATTGGCTGGTCTCTGCGAAATTTAACCGCGACTAATGTTTCAGCCCTTCAAGGACGCTCAAACATCAGGGCAGAAGGGAGAAAAAACATCTCCACGTCAATCATGGACTCAGCAACGCGTTCTTCAGACCAAAGCAGAGTAGGTGAAACATCTGCTACAGTTTTCAGCTTTGGGGCTCCAAATGATGCTCCTCCCAGCTCTGGTTCCGGCGATCTAGAAATCCTTGAAGTCACCAGGATCCTTGAAAACGCGAACATTCCCTGCTGCATATTTGGCATCCCGGCGTTGAAGTATTATAATGTTGGGAGGCTCCGAGTTGTAAGTTTTCCTTTCCATAGTCAAGCCACCTTCTGACTCGCTAGATATTCACAGGACTGGGAGATATGCGTTCCCTCAGAAATGGCTGACGAAGTCGCGTCCCTTTTAAAGTCGGGACCTCATAATCAGGTTTATGAGCTAATTCAAGGGGCTCCATCTCGCTTTCACTCCATCATTCATTTATACCCGAGGTTCAAGCTTAGGGGGGTTGATTGCTCCTTCGTCATTCTCCCATCTAACGACTACCACTTTGAATGCCAACCAGCGAATATCGAACGAAGCTACAGAGGTCTCCCTTACCCAAAATTAGCACCGTTTGCTCAATCTCTATTAGATTCACATAATCTACTCTCCCTAACCGACTTGATTGACGGTATAAACCTAACGGAAGAATGGGGCCAGCAAAATCTAGATCTTAGTGGCCCTCAGGATATCAACTGGGCGAAACGCAAGAATGAAGAAATTCGGCGTTTGATACCAGGTTCAGACTCATGTTGGTTTGAACATGTGGAAAAGGGGTTTGACAAGAAAGAAACCTGGCACGATATCGTGTCAACGAAGGAGCGTCGAATTGGCGATGAGTGTCCAAAGGAGCTTTATGCTACTCGATTTTGTGGGGGCGGCGACGAGGACCCCAGGTCAAAATTTATGCATCTATTCTAGTGTCTTTATCTTAAGGGTATAGCAAAATTGCTCGCATAAGAGAAGTTTACTAAGTTTAGATGGAATCTCTAACGCACTCTCAGTGCGACTGGCAAAGTACATCCAGAGCTATGTATTGGTTTGGCTGCACTATCATTCTACAGCCCTAACTTGACATTGCTCGCCGTGCGCTTATAACTCGGAACAATGCCAATGCCCTATAAGCCGATCATCTTTTTCTCACGTACGAGATAGGGGAGTCGGTGCCTCTGCGCCATATCTCAGGGATAAATGCTAGCCTGCTTCCGGTGATTAAGGCCAATAGATATCCAGATACACAGCTGGCCATTTGCGCTAAGTCGAGCCTCATTTCATATCCACTGCATCGATGTGACAGAGACCTCGAACTTCTGCTCCTCAGTTAGGGACTTACCATGACATTCAAACTCGGTGCCCATTGCAACAGGGGAAAGGATATAAACGATATCTTGTTCCTCATCCGGAGCTTTCCCAGCAGATGCTTACCACCAGAGCCCAACTAGACCGGGGGCATGGTAAGTAATGATCAGTTTTGACTCAACGACCTTCGTTAAGAAATACAAGCTAACCACCGGCGCCATTTAATCATTATAGATGGCTCTCTATGATTTTCTTAACAAGATGGCACGGAAGAGGGTATTCTGATGCTGCTCACTTGGTGCAAAAAAGCTGCAAGTTCCAACTTCATCTTTGTCAAAAGCTGCCGATATGTCGATATAATCTATCCAATTCATCGCTATCTCTGTGTATGGGACACATCGACTGCATGGATACTTCCTGTCGCTTCCTGAACGTACTATGTCTCTGACAAGCGTGATACATCCCTCGGTGGACTTGACAACACCCCGCAGTGGCTGCTTGCATCGTGTTAGTATGCTCTATCTTTCTGATTGATAACCAGGCCATTTCTACACTGAGCGGAGAGGTTGTGACACGCTACCTTGTTTTCTAGGCACTACGGTGGCCCTGCCGGGTAACTGGTATTTGCTGTTACTCCGTCTTAGGATATGGTATACAACTGGAGCGGGGAATATCGAGTAACGCCGCTTGTCTCTTCAGACGATAATGAGGCGCTGATTAACGCCGTGGACAAAGATCGTCAACTAGGCCAGTCTCGATTGAATGTTGCAAAAACTAGGACGACTTATCGCGCTGGTCGGGAATAAAATAATGGCTTGCGCTGACCTCCGCTGGGCCTATTCGAACACTCCAAAACTACCAAAGGCAACCCGAGGCGTCAACCGTGGCCGTGTCTATCGTCATCCAAGACGCGATATGCGTAGCGTATGGACTTATCAATATACAAGTAAACGGATGTTTCATTACTCATGACCTCCGTGGGCACCAAACCATCCCCTCATGTGAGGCTTGTGAAACCTTTCGGGCCTGTGTTTACCACGAAGTTGTCTACAGAAGTACGACTTCTCAATCGTTCTCGTGAGCATGAATTATGGCAGATCTATGGACCTTGTCCAACACCTTTTGTTGTCACTCAGCGGGGCTTACCACCTGCTATGGCACATCGTCTTGTGAGGCCATCTATCCGTAATGCATGGCTGTCTACACCGCCCCCGCTCGGTAGGCAACACGGCACCGGATGGATAGCTATACACCTATGGTGAAGAAACTCCTCCGTTCAAATTCTTCCTGTGTCTGTTTGGGGGTGGGACGAGCCAGGTCACTATGGCATCTCAAGACAGAGATACCCTCTCCGCAACGACACAAGTCAATTGCCGGGCAACATATAAGTCGGGGCATGAACCCCATTTCCTATGCTCTCGGCTGCTCGTGCCAAGTCTAGAGAGATACATGGATATCTGGTCTATCTTATCATACCACTAAAGCCAAGCAACGATCACCATGAACTTGCTTCACTTCGCTCTTCTTCTCAAGATCATCTTCCTTCCGGTGGGCTCTGTGGCACAAAATGGCGGGAACAGCACGGATCTTGAAGTCCAGCACACCATCCCCGGTTGGTTTTTTCGTCTTCCTCCTCCCCGCCGCTAGATAATCCGCTTGGCAGGTTGAAGATCATGAGAAATTATGCCAAGATATAACTCTGATTCTTATCTATGTAGGTACCGGGATTGCTGCTGTCAACTCTGTAAACTTGTTACGAATCTATAGCCAAGATACATCGGGTGGTATCCGCGAGGCCAGATTTGAAGGACAGTGGAGTGGGGGTCTACAAAATGACACTATTGCAACAGCCAAGATCAACTCGTCGATTGCTGCTGCGTCTGATGATCTGGATTTGGTGAGTAGCGAATTTGCTGCATAAGGACGGACTCAGGTTTTGACATTATTTGTTAGACTCGTGTCTACTATATCACACCTAACAACAGCCTAGGCGAAGTGGCATCGGACCTTCAGGGTAAATGGTACACCGGCTCATTGAATCGCTACAGTTTTCGAGTTGCACCTCATTCGAAGCTGGCCGCTATTTTCCTTCCCAGAAATCGGAGTCCGAGCTTACGCGTATATGCTCAACTCCAAGATGATACCATACAAGAGTTTGGTTATGACGGTAAGAAGTCACCATGATTTTCAGGCTCCACTGAATTGTCCCACCAATCCCTATATTTTGGTAAAAAAACGTTCGGTGGCTAACAAATATCGAAAGCTGGGCGCGGATGGAGATACCTTGATAATTTTGGCCCTGCTATGCCTGGTACAGCTATAGCGGCTGCAACTTACCTCGCCAGACTACGGAGATCAAACATTCGGTACATTTCACCTTTCTCGACTTTTACCCTTCCTTCACGCGAATTTATTCTTGCTCAATATTCCATACATCTTCCCTTCACTGCGTCGTTAGCTAACCCTCGGAATCAACCCCCTTAGTATCTACTTCCAAGCCACAAACAGCCACGTCGTCGAAAGGATCCATGACGGTCAATCTTGGAGTGATGGAGGCATAGTTATTCGAGCCGCCAAGCCACGCACCCCTCTAGCAGCCACCAGCTTCTTACTTCAGCCTGGCGATCCCCGGAGTGTTCGAGTTTATTATGGTACCGAAGACAACCGCATACTTGAGAAGGGAACTGATGGCGAAAACCAATGGTACGATGGCGCATTTACGCATTCGAGCATCCCCGGGTCCCAGGTAGCTGCTGTGGATTGGGGGAACGGCGGTGTGTTTAACATCAGAGTCTATATCCAGGATGGTGCTTTTAAGACCGGGATAAGTGAGTGGGCTTGGTTCCGCCGTTCCTGGCGTCGGGGAGTCCTTGCTATTCCCCCCGCATAACCTTGTGCAAATAGCTCTTCCAGAAACAAATGATAACTATATATGGAGTACTGCACCCTCAAGAGATTTCAAAGCCCACGGTAGAAACCTGCATTGTCACAGAAATAGCATAAACATAATATACCGCCGCATTAGCAAATACACATCCACGGCTGAATTTCTCATGTTACTTGCACGAAGAGACGTACAAAATGGCCAATATAGCCCCATTTTATAGTTATATATCATCTTTTTGTTTCAGGTATCTGATCCTTGCTCTATAAACCATGCAGATATCAATATGTTAATGAAAATATATAGATGGTATGTTACGTATTAGGCTTTTAATTAGGAATAAGCTACAAGGTACGGGATATAAGGTTCTCCGTTAAAAATATAAGTACCCAGGTTGATTGGACTGATGTCTGCAAACATATTCAAGGATGGGCTGTAGAAACGCCGGGACGGAGCTTACGCTTCCTGTTGCATAATCATTCTAAACACGACCGGAAAGCACGCGAATTTCTCGGCTTGCCAGCAGTTCGTCGAATCATACCTGGATACGGCATCTGATTGATGCTCTGGCCCGCTCCGCTCCGTATAGTTCGTTCTTATGGTTGAGAAACATTCATCAAGAGAAAATTGGAATGTGGTGGCCATAAAGGTTTCAAATATGTAATGTTAAACCTCCAAACTTTCGGACAGTCCCATCTTAGACATAGACCACATCTACTCTGCCCAAGTTGCAAATAGTATAAGTAGAATCTGCTCATTTGCGGAACATTCTTTTTAACATATACGACCCTGGGCGTACAAGCCAAGCTATTTAAGACCAGATAGACATTTTTGGACTTTAACAAGATGACGCTGGTATTATTGATTATTGAGGATCATTTGCACTTCATTCTTTGTTTCCTTTTTTTTAACCTCCTCTTGTTTAAAGGTGGAGGTATGGCTATCTATCAAATTGCCACAGATTTATCATGCCGATGAATTCATCTTTATTTTAACAAATATGGCTCGACAGTCATAGATCTGACTGCTGGTTACGGTTAACTAAGTGGAGTAGGACACATTTGTTAATATTGCTGTTAAAGTGACTTCATTGATTTCGTCAAGTACATCCGTTGATAATCCCAGATTTTTAGCAGTCGCAGTATAAGCAGGTAGGTATATGAGACAAAAGATAAGAAAAGGAATAGAACAAAAGAAAAGAGAGGAAAAACATAGGAAAAAAAGAAATCCAGAAAAAAGGAAATAATATGGTAACAGGAGACCGAATTTGCAGCAGTCAGGGTATCTATCAGTGTTTTGCGCTGCGATAGCGTCAATTATCGAGTGACTTAGTCGGCATCCAAGTTGGCAACGGGAGCGGTATCGTTGACCTGGATACCACCTCGCTTCTTCTCGTTGGTGTCCCAGAATGGGATGTTCCAGCCACCCTCATCCTCAGGGGTAGAGAGCCAAAGTCTCATCAAGTGTCTGCGAGGAGCTGGTGGTGGGAAGTCCTTGTAGGCAGTACGGGCATGGAAGACTTGCGAGTTGGAGAGGAACTGGATGTCGCCGACATCGAGGACCATGTGGAGGGAGAGTCTGAGACAAGTGGCTTCGAGGACTTCCATGGCCTCGACTTGCTCGGGAGAGAGTGGGGGGATGATCCCGGCATCGGAGAAACGGCTAAGAGATTGAACGTAGTAGGGGTCCCATCTGGAGAAAAAGCAAACATGTTAATCGGCATGATCTTCAAAGGAAAAAAAGACGTTGAGTCATGGACATGAGTAACTTACTTGGTGTAAACACGGCCACCCTGAGGCTCCAGGTACATGATGGCAGCCCTGATGTACTCTTCCTCACCGACGCTGACTTCACCTTTCCTGTCAACATACCAGTTAGGGGTGACGAGGGTCTTGAGGACGTCTGGGCGCTCTTCGGCAAGGACGTTGTAGACGTGGTGAGAGGAGACGATATCAGACTCGCCACCTTCGAAGGCCTTTGCGATGCAGAGCAATCCGACGATGTCACAGTCGTCGGTGTGGAAGAATTGTCTGTTCCACTATGTTAGTTCACCCTGATCTCCGGAAGATTTGAAACGAAACCGGGTAAATTACCTAGCGTTTGTCCTATAGATGCGGACTTTGTCGATCTTTCCGGAATCTTCGCCAAGATCCTTTACGTGTCCCAAGGCGTGGCCACGGCCGTTCTGGCTGACGAAGTATCCAAGATAGGTTCCAAGACCCATATAGGCGATTGCGGACTTGTGGTTGCCCCATTCGGCAACTGGGAACCCCTTGAAGAGGATGAATCCCTTGCCATCGATGATATCCTTCCTCAAAACATCAAGGAAGCGGGAGAATTTGGGGAGTCGGAAGTTTTCCTATAATGTCACAGTAAAGTTAGGACACCTTCCCATCTATAGCGATAAGCTTCAGTTTTAAAAGGTAATACCACTTACCTTGGAGATAGCAGTCAGGGGGATGCCGGAAGCAACGAAATCATCGGCGGCAGCGCTCATCTCAGCACATTCTTCCGCTGTGAATCGATGGGTCCATTTCTCTGGGTTGTTTGAGAAGTCTTCGGCCTTCCATACGGTTGGTCCGGTAATGTGCTTGGGGAATTCAGAGAAGGGCTTGATCTGGTCGTAAAGGGGGGGCTGCTGGCCAGTGGTCTTCAGTCCATCGGGAAAGATATCCCGAGAGATAGTAGACTTCTGGGGAGTGTCGACCTGGGAGACAGGCAAGTCGTAGGTAACGGGGGCCATTGTGATGGATGGAGGAGTTGAGGAGGGAAAATCAAAGGGCAAACGAAGGCCTGGGGTATCTTATCAGATAGTTCGGGAGTCAATTCTTAGACTAAAGGCGGGAGAGTCTGATCACTAGCTTTCTTGCTTGCTTTAGAAGAGAAGTGATGAGCTTGTGAGTTCTGGTTGAAGAAAAGTCTAGACGAGATGGATTCTTCCATATGCCTTATATAGCTTTGTCTTCGGCGTCATCAACAATGGTGACGGAAAAAGATCGGCTTTGCCCAGCTCTGCCGAGCCCGTTGGATGTGTTTCGAGAACTATCCCCCGTTACCAGGGGTCTTAGGCTGCAACACGCCAGGAAAAGATTGCACCACAACGGGCCGCAAGTAGGTGTACCAACGCAAGGATGATGCACACAAAGGACCTTGTTATCGCAAGATCGCCTATCAGATTCCGACATCTCGGCGATAGAGGACAAATGAGGGCGGAGCCAATCCGCACCTCTAGAAACGCTGAGTGGGTATGGATTCCCGCCGCGTCGGCGATTGGCAAACACAACTTAGCTAAGTCGGGCCTTGAAGTCTATGATCAGACTATGATCAGACAGTGGACATGGGGGTTGCACTTTGCGACACCCCAGCTTGGGAGCAAACGTTTCCCCAGCGGTTGGTTGGCATTGAAGTTAATTCACAGCTCTACCTTTTCCGCGTCATGATTCGGCTGCAGCAGCTGCTGCAGCCGGGGGGCCGGACGGCGAACCAAAAAAACAAAAAGGAAGGGAAGATGGCTAATGGCGCAATTCGGCTCGCCAGTGTTGCCATGGTATATGTGCTCCGTGGAATGAGATCCGGGGAAACACATCGGATCTCACATCTGGTCTCAGTCGTAGACTGTGGAGAATGACACAGGAGGCCCCTTGGCGAATGATTGTTACGGCTTCTAGTCGAGGCCGTGGTCGAGGACTTCAGGCCAGCTGGCTGCCAGCGCCGAGGGGAGACCCGTCATGCCGAAGAAAAGGTCGTATATACGGGACTGGAGCCTGAGACCACACTACTGCATGATGTGCGGCTTCTTGAAACAAGCTTCTTCTCGGTGAGTCGCGGCGGCAACATCTCATCTTGCGCCGAGTGCCCAGACGTCTTCTTGTTCTTGTCGCAGAACCAGCTGGTTCATGAGCAGAGGTTGCGATAGAAAACAGTGGATAGCTCGTATTTTCCCACGCTCTGCAAGCCTAGTGGAGTGGCTGGGCACCTTAGCCGCTGGTAGCCTCTAACACGATATAATTAAAACAAGGATCCAGACCTGCCGAGTTTTGACACAGTTTGCCTTCAATCGGCGCAGGGGTGCTGGCAGCTGGGGGACTTGTATATATACTTGCGGCCTCCGTGTCGCCTGCCCTTGAACCGTTTTTCCTTGCCGTCGGCGATGGCTCCAGGGCAAGACACCCATGGCTTGAATCCAAACACCCGAGATATTGACTGGTCCAAGGAATACGACGTACTCCGTAGTATATTGCTGGTTTGATTATCAGCTTGCTCCAGTACTCCTAAAACAACCAAAAGTCAAATATAGATTCGTGTTGTGTTATCTAGAGTGTCGTTTTCATGCAAGGCAGTCTAGTCCGGGCTGTGCCTTGTCCTTTACGATTCGAACCAGCAGCGTGTCGAGAGCTATACGGAGCTTATGCCGTAAACATTCAAAACTTTAGGTACAAAAAATTCGGCGATGGTCGAAAATGCCGAACGCTCGGCCGTTTCTCCAAAGGAAATTTGCCAAGAAGTGCAGGAATGGTGATCTTGCTCCGACATCAAACGGCACGGAGAACCCTTGACGGCGGCTCCCGTGGATCGTTGGGCACCTCAGTCTACATTATGACACAGCCGTGGTCGACGTACACTGTCTTCTTCCCAGTCACCTTTCTCCCAGCCCGTCGGTATCTATAATTGTCCGACTCGACAAGCCGAATCAGGTTTCGATCGTATTTTCCCTTGAGGTGGCAGGTTGGGCAGGTCTTTTCAGCGGCCATTATGGGACCTCCAACATCAAAGGGGAGCACACCACTAGTCTTGAAAACTTTGCATTTAATAAATCCCGAGTCTTTGGCGCACGGTTGGCCGATAACTATCCAGCGATGCTTGCAGGTGGCAGACTTGAAGTAAACCGTTCGACACATGTCTCGGCGTTATAGGAACGGTTGTTTGGAATTATTTACTCCGTACTGCGAGGCGGTTTCGTTGTCCTATCGCCTGTCGGATTCGATCGGAACCTTTTTTTGTTTAGCGAGGCAGTCAGCTGTTGTATCGTTCTTAATTTAGCACTCTCAGGCATACGTAAAGGGACTTAAGGCCTCGCTGTGTCACCGTAGAGTAAGATCGTAGACAAGGATGGCGGAATATGATTGGCACCTGGGAAGCGTCTAGGGGTGTATAAGTATACTCCATTTGACGCAGACAGTGCTGAAGGGTTTCATTCACACCTTCTCATTCTCTCTTCGAGCAGGGAAGTCGCGAAAATGGAGGCATTTATCCCGTCCGCGTCACTAGGTTGCGAGGGTGACATCGGGAAATGCATCTACTCATGACAGTGATCATGAGTCTTCTTTACCACCCTCCCCACCGTCCTGCTTTATTGCCTGCATAAGTTCGTATAATTGACCAATTTGCTGATCTGTTTAGAGTCCGTCACTGTCAGCCACTAGCTCGTCAAATAGGAAGTAAACGACCTACCACTCATTTTGTCAATCTTCGCCTTATCCAGCTTGCCATCTGTCCAGGAATCGCCCTCGAGCTGCTGCGCATAAAGTTGCCATTCCGTCAAAAATCCGATCTAAGACATGATTTTGATAGTCAGTAAAGCGTCCATAGATAGCGAGTAGTATCCTTGTTTCCAGCGGAGGCAACCGCAAGATATAAACCAGCTTACAATGTGAATGGGGTTCTCCACGCTCCGGTGAGCCCGGAATTCACTCTTGACGTAAGAATCTCCCAGGAATCTCAGGTCAGTCGGAAGCTTCTTCCTATGGGCACGTAGCAGACGACGATAAAGCGGAATCGGTGGGAGGAGAGCCATTGGCGTCTGTCTCAGTCCCAATCCGGCGGAAATTGACGAGGAGCTCGCCATCCGAAATGGTAGAGTGGCCCTCATGTCTGTAGTCCTTTATTGTCGCGTATCAAACGAAGTTGTAGTCGTGAAGTTGAAGCTCGTTTTTTTTTCCACGTTGAAATCACTAAACACGCCAAGCGAGTCACATGGTCGATTCGATCAGATCCTAAAAATAAAAAAGCCCAACTTCAAATGTCAAATCGAGGATGATGAAGAGGATAAAAATACCATTCCATCCACCGGAGTCTTTTAGCATGGTATTAAGAGGCAGGCGGGCCTTACCTAGTCGAATTCGAAATGCTCCCAACTCCGTCTACTTCGCATGTGGCCTTCGACACGATATATGAGCCTGCAGAAGACAGCTATCTCTTTCTCGATACCCTATCAGACTCCAAGGAAACCTCATGGCTATCCAGCAGATTTCATACTGGAGCCATATCCAAGGGGGCAGGATATCCTTCATCCGGTGCCAGCTCTCCGCCACCAATAATCCTCGAAGTTGGGACAGGATCTGGTGTCGTCCTCGGATTTATCGCTGCCAATTGCAAGTCAATCCTGGGCAGATCAGATATACTAACTCTAGGCACTGATGTGAACAGGAATGCCTGCAGTGCAGCGCGGCAGACTGTCAAGGTTGCTGTAACGGAGAAACATGCGGAGGAACAGCAAAAGCAAAAGCCAGTAACCCACGATGAAAATGAGAGTGAATTATCCAAAACAGCAAAGGCTCCAAACACTTTACAGCCCTTGGCTGTGATATTGGGGGATCTCTGCTCTCCATTACGACCGGGGACTGTGGATATTCTACTATTCAATCCCCCTTACGTACCGACACCAGAACTTCCACAACTTCCATCTTCGTCAGATATGGCTTCTGATACGAGCAAAATGTCAAAATTTGAGATGGAGTCATACTTTCTATCCCTCACATATGCCGGAGGAGAGCTGGGCATGGAAACTACAAATCGCCTATTGGACTCAATCCCACATGTTTTAAACCCTAAGCGAGGGGTGGCGTATGTCCTGCTATGCGCGCAGAATAAACCCCACGAAGTCATGGAGCGGATTAAGGGATGGGGAGACGGCTGGAAAACAGAAATAGCTGGAAGAAGTGGTGTGAAGGCGGGCTGGGAACGACTAGTGATAATAAGAATATGGAAGAGCTAATATCATTTGATAGTGGGCGTATTGTCGATTACGACCGAGATAAACGGAATTTACGACTACAAATACAAGGTAGACAGACCGGCAGTGAAGATACTGGAAAGGCGTAGTCCAAGTAGAAATTCGTTGTTATTGCATAGCGCCACCAGCTTTTATCCGCTAAGTTCGCCGTCAGGTTGTAGACGATTAAAGACCATATGAAGCTCATCCAGCCAGATATAAAGGTGAACAATCATAGGAGCAGTGACACAAAGCGAGGAGGATGGGATGACTGAAGTCGGAAGACTTGGGTTCCTATCCTCTCACGCGAGCGCGTGGGTATTCATATTTTTGTTTTCCGTGCTTTCTCTGCCGAGGGGTAGGTACCATTTAATGGCATCTGGATCAAACACCAAACGCGTAACAGGACGTAGCAAATTTCAATACCCGCGCAGAACACTAGAATCCACGGCCCCGTCCACGACCTCTGCCACCACCTCGTCCACCACGCCCTCTTGGACCTCCAGGGCCACCTCTTGGACCACCGCGACCGCCACGATCACTCTCTTTTCGCGCCTTGTTCTTTGGCTTAGGCTGGTCGTCTACAAGGAGGGTATCAAGAGGGAGACTGTCGGGTAGGATATAGTATCGAATTGTGGAGCCGCGGATGTTGATCGAGTCGAGTGAGATAGGATCGCGGCCTTTGGGGGTCATCTTGACTGTGCGTAGAGCGGTGTTCATTTGTGGAGAAACCGAGGCTATCGTTCCATGGAGAATGGTTCCTAAATTGATGGATACAGGTTAGAAAGCTCAAAACTCTCATATAGCAGCTTGTTGATTTGTAAAATCCATTTCTAGAGGAGTATGTGCCTCCGCTTTGGGGCAATATCAAGTAGCGCATGCTCGCGCAGGGTAGGATATATCATAGTAGTAGCATGTCAAGCACCCACCATTCTTAAGTTCAATTGTAACAGTCTCATTCGCACACTTCATAAGGAACCTAGACAAGTAAATAGAATGTTAGCTGGCAACTTCTAGCTGTTTAGGCCTCTTATTCCTTTCTCCAGCCCGTCGCGCACATACCTAACAAGCTTCATGGTGGAAAATGTGAGTGCTAAACCGCACGCGTAGCTAGACAGAAAGGTATATCACAGAAAGGATAGATGGACAATAAAATATCAGAGGATATCCCTCCTAGCTGGTATGATGTGGGATTCAGTCCTCTGTGTTGATATTGTCCTGCTGCTTTCACCTTTTGGCTGGTTGAAGCTTTAAGATTTGGAAGTTCTTATCAGCGATCACCACGTGACCTGCAGTTATCTTGCACCAACTTCTACACCACTTCAATACCAACATCAACATCAACATCAATATCTTTAGGAGAAGGATAGTAGACTATGTCTACTATATGCTAGGTATAGTGGTGTCCTTGTTGAGAAACAAGTTATAATTTCCAGTGAATAAGCGTATTCCATAACAATATCAGTATTGTTTATCAATTGTCCCCTCTTTTGCCTTTGATCAAGCATTAATATATGAAGCTGATTTATATACTCTATATGGAGGTACCTAATATAAAACCTTAAGGTTTCTATTATTTTATTCTTTTTCTGAGAAACGCATTCAAGGCAACACCTAAAGTTAAATTTAAGAATAATTCTAAGGATATGTGTTTGGACATGTCCAAGAAATCATTCAATGATAAACCTAGGGACAGTTTTTAAGGATATCCCCAAAGTATATTTGAAAACAAGCACATGGACAAGTATAAGGATACATATAACGATAAGCCCAAGGACAAGAATTGACGATATCTAACATTATGGCATAAGGGTTCCTGCTCTGCCAACCCTAACTCAGGCCCTGTTTCGCCGACTAAGCACAATAAATTGATCACACAATATAAAATCTTTATTTTATATTTCTTTGCCTTTGCTCATGGCATGCCAGGCCAGGTTGCTTTATTCGGCCTGCCTCGTCTTGAGCCGTACGGCTTTATTTTTACTTCTTTCATTTATTACTACTTTTGGATAGTACCTTGGATAGTTCAATTTTGGATATTACACTATGAGCGTTATAGACCCGATTCCAGTTCAAATGCTGGGGGTACCTATACCTCCACCAGGGCCTAAGTTTGCCTTTCTTGCTGCTGAGCTCCTTGATAATATCTTTGCGAATTTGGGGCCAGACGATATCAGCAACGTACGCCTAGCTTGCAAGCCGTTCGCCAATGCCTGCGTTAAATATACGTCAAAAATGTGCGTTGTCAGTTGCACCAACGACGGCCTCGAGAAACTAGAGCACCTTTCAAACCATCCGCTATTCTCTCAGCACATACAGTCTCTTGCATTGGATTGCAGCGTATTCTGGACACTGTCCCCAGGAAAGCCCAACCAACGGTGGGATTACGTGGCGGAACCTGATCCACGGCCATTTCCATGGTGCGAACCGTACAAGGCTCTATGGCAACAACAGAGGGACATCAGGGACGGGAAGAAGGATGCGGAGATCATTTCCAAGGCCATTCCACGGCTCCAGCATCTTAAAAACATCCATATCTATATGGATTCTTTTCGCCGATGTGGCCGTTTAATTCGGGAGACTTACGATTCCGCATTTGAACTCTTCAGCTTCGCCCACGATAAACCCGTTTCCTGCTCTGTTAATCAATATCTGATGGTAATGAGACCCCTTCGAGATGCGGGAATCAAGATCGAATCTCTCGAGCTACGCGATGTGTCATACTCTATCTTCTACCCTCAAGATGAGATCGTGGATGGCATGGAGAAGAATTTTCAACACCTGACAAGCTTGTATATTCGAGTACAGGCCCATCCTGACAAGCCAATGAGTGAGATGAGGCCGACACCTGAATTGGGCGAGGTCCTTTCGATGGGCGTTATGGCACGATATCTCGAGGCAGCTGCCGGCTTACGTTCTCTAACCCTCGCATCAAAGGACGACCACGGCAACAGAATTATGGCTGTAGACTACGCATTCTCTCCTAATTTCACTTGGGAGCATTTGCACACTTTGGAACTGGACAATGTTTGGATCAGGGAGGAAGTTTTGAACGGGTTGGCTGCTCGCCATTCCAACACACTCAGGAGCCTGACACTGCATAATATCGTAATCAGGGGATCTTGGTTCACTTCTCTGCCAACTATTCGCGATGTGACCTCACTTGAAAAAGCAACTGTCTACGGCTGGCTTTCCAACCCGGCAGGTGAATATCCAAGACGTGAATACTGGAGACTCGGCGTCTATCCAGATAGAGAGCACGACACGCCTTGGGGTGACGACGAAAAGCAGCATAAGCTTGGGCTGCAGGTTGGATCGTACCTGTGCAAGGTACCGACCGTTCCCCGGCTGCCATTGGCGTATTCAAACATGACTAGATAGATTCGAGGCAACGGAGGGCGGGGCTGTGAGGTGTGCCTCTATTTTGGATATTTCCATTAAATTTTGTTTATTCACCGAGACAACCTGTGACCCATGTACGACGATGGACGATGCCTGTTTACCATCTAGCCAAAAGGAGGAAGAAGAGCCCTGTTCGATGCACGATACGGATGCCTTGATGAACAAAGGGGCAATCCCTGTTGACCAAACTATTCTCAAGCTCATCCCGGTCGGCGGTCAGCTCATATCGATAAGGGAGAGAGCAAAGAACGACTAGGGAGATAGGAAGAAAAAAACAATTAAAGATCGTCGCAGTAATTTGTCATTGTCGAAAGTCAAGCCTTAGAGCCTCCATCTCGCCCTGACAAATAACCCCGATAACTCCGCTAGCGAATAATAATGGATGTGTCATGTTTATAAAAGTTCAAAACTCCTATCACATCACCGCGAGCTAAATCTACCCAAGCCGTTCAGCGGAAACTTACAAAAATACCAACTAAACTATCAGTAATCATTCAACCCGCCGCTTAAATTTACCATCTGCTAGCCTTACCATAGTCGCACAGCCTTCCCATGTCTTTTGTAGTTCTTGAAACCCATCAATCATATCCAGAGCCGGCCGGCGGGCAGATGGGGATTACCCCCTGATCACGTTTTATAGGTGGTATGGGGTTAAACCACGCGCGCTAGCTGCATCATCTGTGACCCCCTATTTCTAGGCGGAGCCCTGGACATGGTGTGCTGCTCGTTCCCAAAACGGTCGGAGCAATTGAGGAAATTAGCTAAGCACATATATACTTGCATCCTTGATATGTGTCTGGGTCAGGATATAGCTGTTGAGTTCGTCACCGCATGGCATCCCCCATCCCATACCATGGCACCGTGGCACCATGGGCTGTCAGCTAGTTTTTGGAGAAGAGCAGTGGAGCCGCACCGCAGCATCCGCTCCACACCGCTCAACCGCTCAACCCAAGACCAGACCATGCATGCATTTGCATTGCGTTTCGTTGCGTTGCTCTCCCCATGTCTGTGTTTACCTCCCGAATTTCTTGGTACCTACCTCCGGAGTGCGCATGCAACGGCTGACGAAAATAAGGAAAGCCACTGCAAACCCCCAAATGTAGGCGAGAGAACGGACCCCCTCGGATATGGACTTTTTTGGAACGAGCCGGCCGCTGGTTGAGGCTTGCAGGCGTGCGTCACTCGGCCTCATAAGCTAAGTTAATAAGTCGTCTGTAAGCAGATCAGATCTCCAGAGCAGGTATGCGTGGCGGGCCGAGTTGGCGGTTAGCAAATTCTGTCCCGTGGGGTGTTGATGTAGTGGACAGAAATACGAGCAGAGGGGGCCAAAAGGAAAGTATAGTTCTAGATCTGTACCAAGTCATTTAGAGATGCGACACGACGCCCTTTTTTTTCTCTCCCCAGCGGAGGTAAAGAAAAATAAGTCCGGTACCAGGCTGGCTAACCCTGATAGGGGAAAATCCGCCGCTCTAGTGGTTGGACGGGGGTTTATTGGGATAACTATGGCGGAAAGAAGAGAACGGTAGGACAGGAAGTTAAGACATGCTTCCAGAACCAGAATCGAAAAACCAATACATTGCACCTCAGCTCACGAGACTATTTGTCTTGTCCTTGCCATTAGCGAAGAAGAAAGTAATAATATCATCCGCATACCGGGGACAACAGATCACTCTTGGCAGGAGAGCAGGCAGGAGAGGCAGGCAACGTGACGAGCAACTCTACCAGACACGAAACAGCCGCCGAGACAATGGCGCTCGTATTAATGTACGGCCCCTTGGTTGGAGGTGAAGGCAGTACACACAACAGGCACACACGCAGCAGGCCACACAGCTTGGGCGGTACACAGCATCATGCAGGCTATCGGAAAACAAATTGGCCATGCGGAGTGGTTCGGACATAGATCGGAGCAGCATCGTAGCAGTAGATCGTAGCATCGGGCTGATTCGTGATCCAAACCGTCCTCCAATGGACGGACTAGGGTGGTTTCCGCCTGGCAGTGCTTCTGGCGACTTGAGCTTCGACGGACGGAAATAGCAACAGGTCTGCGGGCGGGCGATCAGGCAGGCAAGGCAGGTCGGGGAGTCGGCATTCCGGGGGCCTGCAAGAGATCGTCGCTCGGTCGAACTGCGGCCGCTGGTGGTGCTTTTCCTTTTTGCGTGCTGCTTGGTGCGAGTTATGCCTGTTGATGTCTGTGTCGTCTTCCCTTTTTTTCGTCCGTCCAGATCCGTCAAGTCCGCATAGCCTATCACGGGACCCAGAATGGTGACTAAGAAGTGACTAATACGGATGACTAAGTAGATGACTAATACATACTAGTCCATTTTGGGTATTTGTAGGAAATATCGTGATGACATAAGCAGCGGGGCACGGTGCAGGGGCCAAGCTTTGGGGTGGCCCGCGATCCTTGCCGCTTTGGGACGGGCCCACCCGCTCCAACTTCAACTTCGCAACATCTTTAACACTACGAGATGGAGATAAGGATGGAGACAGACAGAGAGACAGAAGAGAGAGAGAGAGAGAGAGACAGAGACAGGAGAAGTGCTAGATGAGGATGAGACAGGGGGCCGGGATCGTCGCCTAGGCTGAGCTTCGACGCAGCGCGATGGGAGATGCGCCTAGCAAACCTACCCCTACTGCAGCTTCTTCTCGTCTTTGATATCAGATTACTCACCAGCGCACGACGAGCGCCGGCAGCCAATAGAATGCAGGAACTGGCAGTTCAGGTACGCCTGGAGAGTCCGCGGACGGGTCAGCCTGGCCCCCGGGCCCCTTTGCAGCTCGCTCGCTGCTAAGCAAAGTCACTTAAGTTAATTATACAGCGGCAGACGAGAGCAACCCCATAGGGCTGAGAAAAAGGAAACCCAGAATGCAACACCACATATTACCGCCCATGTATACACATAGGGTTTGGCTTGGACCTGCTAGTCCCATGCGGCTGTGCTGTGCTGTCTCAACCCAGATACATGCATGCCCTGCTGCTTTGCTTGACTCGAAGGATTGTTCAGAGCCACATGGGACCCCGGCCTTGGGTCGTTAAGCCGTCGTCGTGGTCATGGTCGTGGTCGTGGTCGTGGCCGTCGTCGTGGTGCTGCTGGTCGCCCGTCGTGGCCGTCTGGTTCATTGTCCAGGTTCCCGGTCACCATCGTTATCGTGCAGGTCGCCCGCTCATCTCGGCCCTCGACCACTGGCACTGCGTTAATCTCCCTCTTTCCTTCTACCTGCCAAACCTTCCTCTCCATACCTCGCAACCCTTTCCGTTCGGCCGTTTTTGTAATTATTTGGAATTTGAAAAAAAGAAAGCAAAACAGAGCAAAGGAAAGCTGGTTGGTAACTTGGCTTGCTCTATACTTATATTGCTCTTCTTGACCCTCTTCAATTATTCAACCAAACCAGCAAACTAAATCACCACCACATTGCTCTTGCCAGTCCGCCATACAATATCATACACACACACACACACACACACATACACATACATACATCAACGTCCTGACTGCCTACCTCATGCTCCAACACAGCAGGCCCCAAACTCCAGGCTCCCGCCGACGACGAGCAAGAAGCGCATGCGCAAACATTGGCCTGCTTCCGTCGCCGTCACCATCACCCTCGCCCTCACCATCAACACCTTCAAACACCTCGTACGGGCCAGACTCCTTCACCATGGCCACGCAAACATGCGAAGCCTTGCTAGGCATAGCCATCCACGATTTGTCATCCACTACCGCCATTTTCCCGGACTCGACGGGTGCCATGCAGATGCAGGCATCATCTGCATGCGCATCGTCGTCTCAGCCTTTCGAAATAGGCCTCTCTCTTCGGGGCGTTACTACTCCCTCCTCCACCAATTCCTCAACCTCATCCACCTCTCTCGGCCACCACTCCGACGCCGCTGAGGGATATAAGTATGGCATCCATGCCCACGTCAACACTAGTGCCGGTTCACACGGACAATCTTCAGGGTTAGTTCAACTTCATCCAACTTATATATACTTACTTGGAGCTCCAACAATTACATACATACCACCTTGACTCCCAACTAACCTTTTCTCTTTTTACGTCAAAGACCGTTTGTTTGCCAGGTGTCGCCTCCCACGCCCTTGTCAGACTTCATGCACGATTCTCAGCCCATCTCGGTACTAGATTATCCCAACATGTTCGGTATGTATCATCAGCGCTTAAATTCAGCTCCTTCCCCCATCTTCCGAACTCTTCCTAACAACCACATAGTCCCTGACTACACCATCGACAGCACTTCTGCTTTCGACTCTCTCCAGTTTACCAACACCGACACCCCCGTCAGTGTTAGCACTGCTTCATTATCAATGTCTCCACCACTTGGCAATACTCCAGCCCGCCCTTCCAGCGTGCCGGACTCTTTTGCTCTATACGACCAACCACAGCAGCACCACCAGCAGCATCCATCCTCAGCGCTCCAATTCAGTCGCGAACAGTGGTACATGGCTCTTCCAATCCCTCGTTCATCTGTATACCAAGACCAGCAAAAAATGAATAGGACAGCTGGCGACAACAGACCCATGTCCTCTGTGCAGGCATACTCTGACCTCTCAAAACCAATGGACATCCACCTCCAGGGCCTGGATGGCTCGATACCTACCTCCCAGGGCCAGTATGGCCTGTCCACACCCTCATACCCTCAGTAAGCATTATCATACACTCTTTTTCTATTGGATTATGTCTAACATGACCTAGAGCACCATACTATACACCTGTCTCTTCATTACCCACCACTCCCCCATCAACATCCTCTCCCACTTTCCCACGCTCCCACGCCAACACTCACACCCACTCACACCATCGCACGCCCTCATCCAACTCTCCCTCCCCAACAGCTCTAAGCGAAGCCGACCTCCGCTCTAAACCCCAATGCTGGGACCATGGCTGCAACGGGCGCTCGTTCTCGACCTTCAGTAACCTTCTGCGCCATCAGAGGGAAAAGGCCGGTCTCTCCGTTAAAGCCGAATGTCCGTACTGTGGGGCCGCTTTTACCAGGTCGACAGCGCGAAACGGCCACTTGGAACGGGGCCGATGCAAGGCTATGAGGGAGGAGTGATGGGCCGCCTAATGATACGATAACGACACTCTTCTCTACTCTATACGCTATGATTAATGTCCAACCCCCTTGAATGCCATGCATTTTCTACATTACCTTCTTTCGTCGAAATGCGCAGCATAAGGGAGGATTATACTTTTGTGCTATCTATCGTTCGGACATGGGGAGTCAACATGGATAGGGGACATGGGATATCGCACATGGACGGAACCCATGATTCAATGTTTCAGCCTAGCGTCCACGTAACTACTCAGCGTGAACGAAGCAGCAAAGAAAAAAGAAAGGGCGCAAAAAGAGCCCCATCTCAAACTCCGATTCAGTCCGGTACTGCATCTGGTTTCTGTGCTTGGGGAAAAACTATTCGGATCCGAACGCACCCATGACCCCCGACCCATGGTATGGATGGGGCGGACCGTTTCTCAGCTTTCGCTGATTTCAGCTAGTTTTTTCTTTTAGGTGACGTTTTCCCCTTGACGTGCAGGGGGTAGGGATCGGACAGGGGATGATTGTCTCGGTGGGGGAGGTTAATTCTTTTTCTTTTTTTTTTCTTTCACTTCTCAACGTATATATATTTTTCTATCTTGCTTGTGCTTCCTTATTTATAGCGATGCAACGCAAGGGAAGGAAAGGGCAAGGAGTCGAGACGGCAGACGGACAGGAGTTAGTGGCTGGGATTAATATGCTATGTTGATATTTTCCATAGAGCGAGCGCATTTACTTTCGATGCAATCTTATTATTTTTAGCCTTTTCATGCACGCATGTTGTGATTCACACGTGACTTTGCAGCTTCATTTTCGCATCTACGGAAACATCGCAGCCTCAACATCGCAGCCTCAACATCGCCGATTTCGACGTCGACTTCGACTTCAAGTTCGACTTCACCCTTGAACCGTGGCTGAGAGCATAGGCCGAAGGAGATGGACTTCCACGGGACGAGGGAAATCCTCAGCCCTACATGGTGCAACCTGAACTTCAGATGAACGCCTTCCAGCCAACCACCAGCAAGCCATCTCCAGCTCCTGCACAATCCCTGTCGACCAGGTCACAAATCTCCCCTCCAGCGGCTCAAACTTCCACCGCTTTATCTCCTAACTCCAACCTGGCAAACTAGCCCAGCACAGCAAGCTTAGAGCGGTGACAGATGGACACCGGGGGCATAAGGTAGCCGTACTATAAGCATCAAATCAACCACTCCCCGCCTGTCTGATATTAGCGTTCATCGCTGCAGATATTTGCCTACTTGGGTACGCCAGATCGCTGGTCACTAGAGTCCAGTTCAGCCCAGCTCGGTTTCTGTGCAACTGTGCCCGTACTCCTACTTGCGCCGTCGCGAGTTTCATAACACCGAGGCCCGAAGTTCCGAGACCAAGAAGTCGAGAGATGCCCCCCCCGATGTGTGATTTGCACGATTGCATCACCCATCTTCCTGGGGCCGGGACTCTGAGCTCAGATTATTGCGAAGTAGCCTGATTCAAGTGGAGTGTCCTATTTACCTTTGGGTATGCCCCGGGGCGTGGGTTAGCTCTCTCCGACGTTCCTTGTCTTGGTACATACACCCAAAACTCGAAGTAGACCGTCACCAATGCTGCGTTGCATGCGTGCTTGCGTACATCGTATGAACGGACTTCGCATGCATTGAAGTCTCAGAGAAGCTTACGGAGTGCTATGTTCTGGGTAAAGCGCATATTCATCATGCATGGACTGCGTGGCTACCAGGATTCATCGACCACGCAGTCAGGCTGCGTATATATGTATATCTAATATATGCATATCTGCCATGTCTCCGAGCAAGCAACAAGCCTTCTGACCCCCAGAAACGGAAAATGCTGAATAAAACTTCATCCCTCCCTGTCTGCCATACCTGCTTGACCAGTCACAGTGCAAGAACAATAGGCCCCCAAGTGCAAGAGAAGATGAAACATTATCTAACTCTCTCTCCCTAGCAAGTCTAGTGCAGCCCAGTCCACGCGACTGAGCCAGCTTAATGGTCAACAATGGCCCCATTTCATCTATTTTATTCTTATTTCACTTACCCACGACCCAGGATCCACGATCCATGGCACGACCATGTCGTACCACGCTACCCACGCCCATGACCATGGCCATAAACCACGATGTATATCAGTTCTTTATACATTCTATTTTCATCCGTATTTCGACGGAGCGGATTCCTTCGACACGTGGACAGCGTGGCTGCCATGGTTGTACCCCCAACCCCCTGCCCCTGTCGTCACTGCAAGGCTATGAGAGTACCCTCCCTCTGCGATATCCAGCGTTCATTCGCCTACTCAACTCTTAATCCAGGACAAGGGGCATCTTCCAAGCCAGCCGTCCAGTTTAGAATGCTCAAGCATCAATCCTTCATCCGCCAATCCATCCGCCGTTGCTCCGTATGTTAAGTTGCTCTAGAACGCACATGGAATCCCCACCACCATCCTTTGGTCCCCAAACTATACTCCGTACGAATATGTTAAACTTCGGATATACTTTGCTATATCATTTCAACTCCGTATGGGCCAAAAGGTTCAAGCGCCGCCTCCCTTTGTTCCCCATGCCGATCGGACGGGGCGTGATTCTTAACTTAAAACCACTCAAACCAAAACGAAATCTAGATGACCAGAACCTGGTCGATTAGCTAGGATATTTATATCAAGAAAAACCGCTTTCGGCATGGTCTTAGGATCTGGTCTCAGTTTATTTACGTCAAGGAGCTGCGGCTCGTTGGTAGATCGTGGGTCTGCACCATGAGATCATCGCCAACCCCATACGGAAATAGCTTGCCGGATATTTGAATTTGAGCTTACTCAACAAAATAGCCGTATAATAAGTGAGTTATTATTAATAGGGAAGGGATTTCCATCACCATTTAGCGTAGCATTAGGCTTCTGTTAATCTTATCAATCTTCTGGTGAAGGATGGATACGGGTTTCTCTACCACAGCCATAACAAGTCCATTATTAACCAGCAGTAACGAAGACAATCTTCAGACTATTGCCTACTAATAAGAATATCACCGTTAGATCCCCTAGCAAGGGCTTTTAATTTAATTTAATTTTTAGTACTCTGTACCAAGCATGACTTAGTTAATCTATAACTCTTGTAAGCGTGGGATCCAAAAGGGGCATATGGTAGAGACCCCTACGGTTTCGTTATCCTCAAGAACGTGCCCAACGATTCCCAAAATTTGCTTAGACTCACAATTCATCAAGGATGTATGATGCTGGGGTTGTTTCCGTCCGGCAGGTTCCTTCATTGACCGACCAAGGATCCGGGGTTATGTTTTGATGGTCGGTTATCCTACCGTGTATTAGAAATATTGCGGCCCCTTAATAATGGAAGCGGATGGGATAGTTATTTATAATTAGAGTAAAGGTGAGAAGTTCGATATGAAAGCAGGGGAAAGACGTTATCTCGTTAACCCTACTGCCTGTAGAGGGATATATTCTCCTTGGCCAATATAATTTCATTCACTTCGAGTTTTTGTTAGTTGAATTTTCCTTGGTTAAACTCGGAATTTATCTTTGGTGGCGCTCAAGAGTCCTACGGTAAATCAATGAAAATATGCTTGATAATTAGAAATCTCTGAACTAGAATGAAACTAGAATATAGGGCCCTTATTGTTCCAAGGTGATAATATCGATAGCCAGTGCCATGGCAGTTGAACACTCCTTGGTAATATATTGGCAACGCAAAGGCCAAGGGAGGAATGGAGCAATGACACCGACATTCAATGCCATGAAATAGCGAGTCGATAAACAACACTGGAAGTTGATAGTGATTTTGTCAAAATCGAATAAGCCGGCGCGGAGTATCAATGATACCATTCAACGGCTGGCCTTTTTGCGCTTTCTACATTTTGGAATTCTCGTAGGTGGATAGTTAGAACTGCAGACGGAGATCAATAAAATCCACAGAAATGTCTGTATGGCTAAAATATGATAAAAAAGCAACCCAAGTAAATTAGGCGCTGGAAGTTAGCCAGCCCTCACGGAGACTTTACTTCAATACCATCATTTTTTCCAGTGGGAGTGTGAAAGGGTATATGGCCGGTCAGAATTTTACATAGGAATTAAAACAATGGTACAAGGACCTCGCAGAATGGAACTACCTATTTGAAAGGTGGGTGAGGGTAATTTTAGTAAAATGCCCATAGATGGTGAGGTGCCTCGCTTCGTCTACAACTCTCCGTCTGCTATTCCTAGCAGCGGGTATATAGTTGTCAAGACATGGAGTACTTGATACCTTATCAATTTCAATTTATTCGTGCATTTGGTGGGGTCCAGTATACCAGCTATGTGGAAGAGACCAAGACGCGTTATCTGCTGCATAACAGCCTTGACAAATGCAAAGAATCAAGAATAGAGTGATACCTAGGGGGAGCCTCACATGATTCAACAGCCTCATCTTTAAATGCCTGCAAACCCATTTTTCGTAGATGGGGTGCATAAGTGGTGGGGATATATTTTACTCTCCCTGAAATTTGCAAGGGGTGAAATTTTGGGGAATCTTTGCAACAGCCATCAGGGATCGGGTAGCTCAGCTGAATGGGGGGAAATCCTCCATCATGTTCATGCCCGTATTGATTGACAGTAGGGAACGGCTCGTGGACGTTCTTGTGTATCCGAATTATTCTCCTCATGGCTGTATGGATGGTCCTACCAAAAGTCTTCAAGGATCTTTATATCCAATCACTTTCCCACAAATAGGCTTAAAGGTAGGCTAAAGAATAGGCTAAACAATAAGCCTAGGGGTAGGCCAAGGGGTTAGCCTAGGGGTGAGTGTGAAAACAAGCTTAAGCATAGGCTAAGGGATAGGCTTAAGGATAAATTCACGGGTATGCGTGAGTAAGGATAGGCCCAGGATAGGTCCAGGATAGACCCAGGATATGCCCAAGGATATTCCCAAGGATAGCATCAAGGATAGCGTCAAGGATAGACGTAAGGATAGGCATAAGGATTGGGATAAGGATTGTAAAATAAGGTCAATCAGGAGGTTCCTTTACTGAATGCTTTGATAGAGATTCGGGACCCTTGAAAGAGGTCTTTTGGTGACTACCTCTGTATGAAAGACTGTTCCATGTATCCCCTATATTCTGAACCAGGCCTCTCCGTCAAAGTAAGGGTTTGGACAGCGGTAAACAAGGGGTTGTTCCTGTTCAAAACATGAATGGAGAGAAACCGCGAACCAACGAAACGGAAGGTCATGTGATACCGGACAGGTAATAACATAATACCGAAGGCTAATTATTAAGCAAAAAGAATATAGTGCAAACTATATAAGCAGAACAAACAGTGCAAACAGTCCATAATCGGAAAAGATAAATATTAAACCGGATGTTAATTACTAAGCCGAATAAATTATATGCAAATAGTGTAAACATGCCAAACAATACAAACATATACCCCATGTGGATCGAGTCATTGGATCGCGGAGTCAGCGATGACATCGAGGTTTAAAAACGGCTTTGCTGGCAAGATACAGCTACTTCACGTCGTCAAAGCTATCAGTATACTACGATATTATCACTCCAGGTTCAACATGAACTCCTCCTTTTGAGCAAATTTAGGAGCTGGCTGTGCTCGTCTGATTACCTGCTACAGTTGCCTCCTTCCTTGCATCTCTCCACCCCAACACTCCCGGAACTTCATAACGTACCCGCTTCAAGACATTTCAACTTCAAAATGATCCAGTTACTCTGCCGGCCTTTACGATCCTACTATTTCTATACTAGCATTCAGTATCTTGGTTTATTACATTACCACTCGAGGAACATACGAATAGGAGAGAGGTGGTGAATGAGCCTCAACCCACGCGCATATCCTATATTTTTTTCTTGCAGATCTAAGAAGATAAAACCAAAACAAACAGACCAAGTTCGAAGGGCATTAATTCAGTTTATAAATTGAATTTGAGAGGAGAACTGGAAGCAACTTCCACCATAAACTGCTGCTTATGGCGTCGGTGTTTACATTCGACCCTGACCTTCCCCGGGTTTCGTCACCATGGTCAAGCTCGGGGACGACAACGCCCCGCCACCAAAAGGGCCAGGGTAGCTCAACTCGCGGGCCAAGCCCAGTTGATACAAGTGACCCGGGCTTTCTTGAGGCGTGTGGGATCAAGAAACTGGATCCTGAGCCTCAAGATGGACCTACCGAGTATAAATTGCACTTACTTCTTCGCCCTAGGCGCCCTTTTGTGTCCTTGACTTCAGGGAACCTAGTGTCCGGATCACATCATTCAAAGCTCCATAGCACCAGCAATGTAGAGCCTGATGCTTCAGAGACTCCAGAGACAGCCTCAAGGCCTGCCCAATCGTCGTCAAGCTCACCAAGGCAGGCTCGACTATGCCAGCTTACCACCCAACTTCTCTGGAGACTACAGCAGTCGTCCCCTTTCCATTCATCTTCGACCGCGAATTTGGTACTGCCTGTTCTTCCAGAGGCCACCGAGACGCTAGATGTCCCAAAAACGCTCTCTCCACTACTCTCGGGCCTGGAAGAAAGTCAGGGAGCATTGTATGAAATTGGCGTCACTGATGACGGCACTTTTGCAGGATTGGCCGAGGATGAATTGGATGAGAGTCTTGTGAATCTCCAGGCAATGGCTGCCAGTCTCGGGTGTAGAGTCGAAGTCCTTCGCCGTGTTGCGGTGGGGTATTGTGAATGGGCGGAGAAGGATGGATCTACCCGATCTGAGAAGCTTTGGGTTGCAGAGGCGCTAGTGCGTCCTGATCTCAAGCAATGTCGTTCGCAAGCATTGGCGGGTGGTGGTCCGACCGATCGCTGGAAAGAAAATGAGCACGCAGGCAAATTTTCAATGGCAGAGCGACCTCTGCTCACGGAACAGCTCAATGTTGCCATCGCAGGAGCATCAGGAGCGGGAAAATCTTCTCTCCTTGGAATTTTGTCTACCTCCGCGTTCGATAATGGACGTGGTAAAAGCAGACTTAGCCTTCTCAGGCACCGACACGAAATCGTGTCTGGTGTTACCAGCTCCATTGCCCAAGAACTGATTGGATACTCGTCAAACGAGAATAAAACTTCGAACAACTCTACAGATGTAATCAATTATGCATCTGGGAACGTCACCTCCTGGGACGACATCCATGTCTCTGCTGGTACCGATGGACGGGTTATCTTTCTATCCGATCTCCCAGGGTCGCTGAGATACGTTAAATCAACGCTTAGAGGGCTAATAAGTCTCGGACCACATTACGTTCTTCTTTGCGTGCCGGCAAACAACGAGGACCCAGCAAGCGCCATACCACCTGAAGTTAGCATGTCACTGGCCTACCTCGAACTATGCGTCAAGCTAGAAATCCCTGTCGTCGTGGTAGTCACCAAACTTGATGCCGCGACAAGACCTAGTATTAGACAGACGCTGACACAGGTTCTATCTGCGATCAAGTCAACCGGGCGTAAACCTGTGATGCTTCCTGTCCCTGGAGAGGTGAATGAGCAAGACATGGACCTTCACAATATCTCACCCACCGATCGACGGGATGCCAACGCTGCCATTCCCTCAATGGGCCGCGATTGTCTAGACAGTATCCCCATAATCATCACCAGCGCCGTTACAGGGGCAGGAATTGGGAAACTCCATGCTCTACTTCAATCACTCCCCTTGCCTCCTTCAGAACCGAGCACACAGCTCATCGAAAGGTCTAAAGATGACAACCAGGATCACCCAATATCCCTCTTCGATATCAGTGAAGTCTTCGAAATGCCCCTTTTCAAAGTGTATTCCCTTTCAAACGAAAATAAGCGCCAAAACGATCGAGGTATAGTTCTCTGTGGCCGTGTTCGTCGCGGTACCATCGCTATCGGCGACCGTCTTGTCGTCGGCCCAATAATTCCAGAACCTCGTTCTCACGAGCCAGCCAACACTCCTCCCCGGGCTAAGGCAACATATAGCAAGTCTCTTCCAGATTCACTGCCTTCTACACGCTTTAGAAAATTCACGGGCGACAGCCTGGATGCGCAGTCACAAACACATGCAGTTTGGAAACAAGTTCGTGTCGTCAGTGTGCGGAACCTCCGACTCCCTGTCAAAGCCCTTTTCGAGCATCAGATAGGCACTATTGGGGTGGATTTTGTCGATTCTTCATCACCCTCGGCATCTCTGGGGCGAATGCGCAAGGGCATGGTGCTCGCGGACTTTAATCGTGGATACTCATCCAATTCGCTACTTTCTTCGCGCCCACTCTCTACCTCCGCTCCGTTCTTTCACGCTGGGTTCATTGCTAGGTTCCCTGCCTCGGATTTCACGACCTCGTCTCCCATACTGGTCTCCGGGGGTACTGCAATGGTATATATTGAAAGTATTCGGGCCGCCGCTCGAATAATCCTGATTGAACATGCTAAATCGCACGTCGCTCCATCCTGTGGTATGGAGCCGGAGATATTCATGCTTGATTCTGCAGAGCATAGCCGTGCTGATCACGGACATTCTCCCGCCGCCGATGATGACCACGAAGTGGAAGAAGTGAATGTGACATTTTCTCTTACTGCGTCTGTGGAGTGGGTTGAAGTAGGATCACTTATCCTCGCTGTCCCAGGAACAGGTATGGGTGTACCGGCCACGCCTCCGCCTTCCTCGTCGTGTCTCCCATCAGTTGCTCGAGGTTCAGGCTCCACGAGCTCGTCAGGCTTGAAGGGTGTTGTTGGCAGAGTCTATGAAGTTCTGCATGCATAATGTTACTTCCCCTGTCATTCTCAGCGTTTGTGAGGTTTATTGCTGGCTACCCCCAACACAGGCTACAGCGATGAAGACAAAGAACGAGCGACGAGTGTATCGGTATTATTTCAAGCGGATTTCATTTCATTACATCTATTTTATCCTTGTTTCGGGTTTTCCTTTTCTTTTACTCCCTTTGTTCTCTAGTATAGGATCTATAATTCATAGCGTCGATCGAGTATATTTGTCTTCAACGCTGGAGTTCCGACTCGTAGATCTACCAGCCAGTAAACTACGGACACCTAATCAACCTCTTCGATATATATCTCTGCCTAACTGTAGAGTACAGCCTGTCCTGTTGTGACGTAGGCCAGAAGACGCTCGCAGGCTGATTTATTTTTATATAAGCAAGGGAGAACAAGTGGGGAACGCTATTTAAATATCCTCCGCAGCAAAAGGACCACCCGCAGTAAACAAATGACCGACCCCTCTAGTCACAGGAACGCAGCAAGCTACCAGCAACGGTGCATCGTAAGAGCACATCCATATATCATCGGGCCTGAAGAGACTGCCCGTGCAATCCTGTTTAGAAGCTGACACTGACACCGCTGCTGCTCCCTTGACCTCGCGACTGCGGGTATTTCAATAACGGAGCCTAACTGAAGGGACCCCGACTACCCAACTCCTCTCCGAAGCGTCGACGCCTTCGCCTTGCAGTGTCCGATAATCTATCTCAAACTCACCGATCTATCCAAGCTAAGCGAAGAAGCTATCGTCTTCTGCGCAATCTCCATGGCGGCGTTTTTCGAGGAGCTGTTTTCAAGCATCTTCACCCCCGGAGCAACGCCCACCCTCCTAATCGCGACCAACGCTACTTTCGCCGCTCTCCAGGTCGTCTTCTTCGCTCTCCTCCTCGCAACATACAGCATACACTTTGTGGTCCTCTCTTGTATCAGTGGCGCACTATGGTATTCGATAAATTGGTTTGCCGCGGAGATAAAGGCAGAAAGTGAACGCCAGAGGAAGCTTGAGGAGAGCAAGGAGAAGGATGACAAGGGATCGTCGACGGATCTTGCTAGTCTACGCGCGAAGAAAGAGGCTTCTCCTGTCGCTCGCTTGTCGGGGGCTACCTCTGATTCAGCCGAGAGCGGGACCGAGACAGAAAGCATTCGCGCCGGAACTGTTGGAACCCCGAAAATATCGAGTTCCTCCCCGTTAAGCGGTGGTGCTGCTGCGAGGCGGTCTACGCCATCAGCATCGGGTGCACAGGTAACCCTTACACCTGAGAGTAGCACAGACGAGCTCAAGCATCGGAAGCCGTCTGGGGATAGCTCAGGATATATCAGCACCGACAGCGAATGGGAAAAGGTCGACGATAAGGATCGATAAACCCTCTTTGGAATGAACGTGTTTATGAAATGATACTGATGTTTGATTTCCTTGGGAGTAGATTGAGATTTCTTGTTGGATTGTCCCCGCTCTCACTCATGTTTTGCACGTTATGTATGTCTGTATGTCTTGAGTATATCTGGAATAACCCTACTACTTGCCCCATCCTATACAGTATGCTAATATACCCAACCCGGCCTTCTTTTACCTCTACTATTTTGATATTCAGGTTTGCATGTTTGAGGAGCTCTTGTTCGTCTTCGACGTTCACCTAGTTGGATGGTTTGTCTGGTTCGCAACCAAGCCCGTACATAGAAACAGAACCAGTCATAGAATGCCACTCATGATATACGATTGGATCATGCATAAATTATCCCCGTCATCGAACTATTCAATATCAACCCGCGCTTGTCGCTTGTCATCAAAATAGCCGCCAGTCGCGATAAGAGATCACGTGGTGTTGTTTATTTAGATAAGGGAAGTTCGAGGAGACGAAGAAACGAAGAAACAACAAGCCCAAAACATCTAACGAAGACGGTGGGATTTACAGTGGTGGGATAGCGGATCGGATCCTGCTTGAACTGCCATACTCTGGGCTACAAACAATGTTCCAGCACGTCCCGTCTACAATTGGCCACAAACGTGTTTTCGACTCCGTCTTCCCTCCCTCCTTGCTAAGTGGCATATCACCCACCCCCGACGTCACACCCGTCCTAGGATTCACCCCTCCAGGAGAACCATTCGGCGGCATACAGACCTCTATTAAAGCGAATAAACCGGCGCCATCTTCAGAAGAGCCCGTACCGGAACAAGTCACATGGGATCGAGCGTGGCATACCGCAACTGCGTTTCTTACCATTCCTGACAAAGGATTCAACGTCAATAGTGACGGCAATAGTGATGATAAGATAGGGGATAGAACGTTGTTGAAAAGATGGGCTCGAGATCCACCGTCGACAGCCATCAGGGATAGCCTATTTTACGTAGGTGCGGATGCGTCAGGCGGGAAGGGGTCGAGGAAAGGGATGAAGGAGTGCGACTTGAAGCTATGGTATATGAGCGAAACGCGGCGACACTTCCTAACTAACTTTAAAGACACTCTTGTCAAGGTAGGCGGCTCTATTAACTAACCCTTCTTGTGAAGACTATGCTGACTGTCACAGATATTAGAACACGCTGAGAGGAAGGACGTTCTGGCCAGGCTGGTTCGCTACCTTCGCCTAGTGCAGAATATTTATTATACCCCATTTTTAAAATTCATATTACCATTATCAGACCCAACGGCGCGGGATACAGGGTTCACAGCCTTACGGGAGAGTATACACGCTGTGACCACATTCTCGCTTCCGGCTGATAAATTTTCAGTGATTCTTGCCACAGAACTTACCGCGGCATGCTCTTTAATCTTAGGAACCAAAAGAGGTCGGGATCAACCTGATGTTTCCCCCACGGAGGCTGGCGACGAAATGGACATTGATTCAAAACCCAGCATGTCCTATAATAACTGGAAGAGAGAACCATCTCGCGAAAAAAGGATTGTATTGATGACTGAAGGCGAACTACCCGGCAGCACAGAGGCAAGACATACATTGATGCGTCTGCTAGAAGGGCTTCAGGATATTGGCCTTGGCGGCAGCAAATCCCAGGTCATATTTGCCAATGTGATGAACAACATGATCACTGAGTTTGTAATATCCTCATACTCGGGGGAATGGGAAGCTCCCTCTCTCGCTGTTGAACATTTACGGCTATGGATCGGAAATATCTTCGGACGGCTGGCCGTCCAAGTTTTGCACTGTCTTAAACCAGGCGAGCACCGAGTTCAGTCAACCGAAGACCACCTTGACGTGACGTTGCGTGATGTAGAGAAATGGCAAGAAATTGCTATTACCCGGCTTGCCTCCCTGCGAATTAGCGAGCTATTTGATATAATTGTCGAATGGGACATAAGCAGTGGAGCGATTGAAGATCTCAAGAGCTATACTACAAACCCTACCACACGGTTCTACCTTTCGAGCACATTTAATACTGCTATATTTCAACGACTTCTCCACCCAGGGGCGTCCACAGTTGAAATATTGCAGCTTTACATTGCCATCATCCGGGCACTTACACAGCTAGATCCAAGAGGAGTGCTACTGGATAGAGTTGCGAGACCTATTCGCAGGTATCTACGTGAACGAGACGATTCCGTCAAAGTGATAGTAAATGGGTTATTAGCTGATGTCAGTGATGGGAAGGATCATGATAGCTCCAATCCAGAGACACTCACGGAGTTAGCAATTGAGTTAACCAGTGCTCGTCAAGCGTCTCTCCGCAATGATTCCGGGGAGCTTGACTGGGACGATATGAACTGGGTGCCAGATCCAATCGATGCAGCTGTCGATTATAAAAAGTCGAAACAGTCAGATGTCATAGGCAGCTTGATAACCCTCTTTGACTCTAAGGAGGTCTTTGTAAAGGAACTGCAGGAATCGTTGAGTGAGCGATTACTAAACAAGAGCGGTAATTATGATCAGGAGGTCTCGGTTCTTGAGTTGCTGAAAGTTCGCTTTGGCGACTCGGCTCTACAGGCGTGTGAGGTTATGCTACGAGACGCGCTTGATTCCAAGAGGATTGATACCGTTATACGAGCAGACAAAGGTTTGGATGACGACCCTACTGCTGATATCCATGCCAAGATCCTATCTCGTCTGTACTGGCCTGAGTTGCAAGAACAGGCCTTTAAAATGCCCGACGAAATCACTTCGCTACAAGAGAGGTACTCCGCAGGCTTCGAGTCTTTAAAACCATCTAGGAAATTGACCTGGTTGAACAGCTTGGGAACTGCAACGGTTGAGTTAGATCTCGAAGATCGTATATTCAAGGATGAGGTGACAACATGGCAAGCAGCCGTTATACACGCTTTCCATTCTGCTGAGCCATCTGCGGTGTCGAAAACCGTTATAGAAATATCTCAAGAGTTAGATATGCCAGCATCCCTTGTCCGCAGCGCCTGTCTATTCTGGCAAAGCAAACGTATCCTCACCCAACCACAACCCGACACATTCTCTGTCCTCGAAACACTGCCCGACGAAGAAGAAACGCGTGCCTCATCACAGCAGCAAAAACAAGCCCAGCCAAACTTGGAAGCCAATGCTGCTGCGGCGGCGGCAGCAGCAGCAGCAAAAGAATCCGCGGAAGCTGCCACTATGGCAAAAATGGATCTATACTGGCAGTTCATCAGGGGAATGCTTAGGAACCAAGGGGCGATGCCTTTACAGCGTATCATCATGATGTTGAAAATAGCTGTTCCTGGTGGATTCCCGTTTAGCAGCGAGGAGCTTAAGCAATTCATGGGCAAGATGGTTTCTGGCGGCAAGCTTGAGATGGTCAGTGGAGGTAACTATAAGATTATTTAATAGTGATAGTTTTATTATTATCATTATTATACAATATCAACACCTGTATTCAACTGGCCTATTCCTGCTAGCCTTGTAGGCTCGTATGAGCTAGATGCGCGTAGGTGACCGTCCATACACACAAAAATAATGGTATATCCATTAACTATTCAATAGCAAAAAGTAATGCATTTGCAGATGGGAGTAAATGTGACGGCACTGGATTCGTTGATTGAAAATAGACTGTTTTACAGTAGCTCATAATCAACTCCGTCGCCTTGCTTATCTACCTCTCATGCATCATTGCCCGCTCGCCCAGCCGACCACTAGGGTCGCGTGCAGCCAGGATCCCGTCATCGAATTACTTTCTCTTCCCCGCCAAGCAGGTACTAACAATCAAGGACAGCGGAAGGTTATTTAAGCTTATATTGGCAGTTGGTCCATTATACTTTATTTTTACGTTGTTCTCCACACATTGTGATTCTATGCTTCCTTCTTTCTCAGACTTCTCCTAGTGACGAGTCCAACGAAAGAGGAATACCTTGTAGCCCCTGAGGTTCAAGCTCTAAGCTCTGGCATGGTGGTGTATGATTAAACGGAGGGTCTCCAAAGTAAGGACGTGAATCGATAACCTGCAGTTGAGAGTAGTTTCAACATTGGTACCTAGGTATGTATTATGATAGGGCCTCTTGCAGGGATCTAGCAGCCTCCAGGTCACAGGAAGTAAGAACGGATATTTATATTGTACGCTCTTTGTCCGTTAGGAAGCCTTCCGTCCCTGCTGTAAATTCAGAATGTGAAGAAGCAATTCGTCTGCCTCTAGAATGGGTAGACAAAGACTGAAAACTGACGGGTCATCAGCTTTAACAAGCCGCCCCTCATAGATCACCCACTGACCCATTGGAACATCGTCCGAGTCGGCTTCTTTTCCAAAAACCTCCATGTTTAGCTGAACCATCAGCCCTGGAATTGCCTGCCGGATGTACTTCATATTTTGCTGTGTGCAGAAGGTATCTTCGATGAATAACCGAAAGAGACGTATAGTCTTCGTTGCTCCAACTCTTTTCAATCTTCCGAGCGCCTGCTGCTCGACAGAAATCGGAGCCGAGTCCCAGAATACCAAGTTACGGCAGTGCCCATGGAGATTTAAACCTGAGCAACATACCCAGAACGAAGTTATTAGAATGCTGCATTTGGTTGGAGATTTATGAAACGCTTCGGCCAACATATGTCGATCTTTTAGATTTAAGTCTGCTCGATACGAGTGCGCGTCTAGCTGAAGAAGTCTTAGAACCTAAAACTTGTTATTAGCTATCGAAGGTCCAGGTGTTCAAGCAAGCTGGGGTTCATAAATACACTCTCTAGCCACAGGACTTGCGCTGGCAAAGTGACAAATATCAACAGCTTTTCTTCGCGTAAGACCACAAGCTCTGCCACTAATTGCAAAAGATATCTTAGTTTTGGGGAGCCTTGACGGTAACATCGTAATATTCCGTTAATATCATCTGGTGGAGGAATAGGGTAGATGGGTATTTCAGGGACTTGATCCCCAGCTTCCCGGAGAGTATTCCTCTTAGACTTTTTATGTTTCCCCCGGTTAAGATCCTCCAAAATTCGAAGTGCAGATACGCCACTTTTTCGAAGTTCTTTTAGCTTCTTCGCCGTATAGTTGAGTAAATATTCAAACTCGGTCCAGGAAGTCACTAGGCATAGCCTCCTAAACGTCGGGGTATTCTAGATTGTGTCGTTATTGTCATCATCATTATCGTCATCCTGTTTCCTCCTATGGCATTCTTCCAGTACCTGGCTGTAAGCCACCTGTTCTTCGGGGGTGAATTTGAGGTGAATAGATATATTTTGCACCGCTGGCAAAGCTTTTCCCACGACCCGACCATCTACTAATGATCCGTATGATCTTTTGATCATACACGCCTTCAAAACTTCCCTCATTCTCCAAGCCCTCGCTGCAAAATCCAATTTCCCTTTTATGATATGGTGCTTGATAGACTCCGATGTGTATCGTAGGGCAGCTGCAGGCTGATTGGATGGAATGTCCCAGGGATCGAAGTTTTCTATAATATCTTCATCATCATATACCCCAAGATCATTCAACGAGTCTTTGGACCAAGGATCTTTGTGTGGCTCTAGTTGGTAAAGAAGTCCAATCATATCGGAGAGCCCATTCCATATAGGGGTTGAGTAGTAAAACAGCCGGTGCCTGCAACCAGCGCAAAGTTGTTGCCGTAAGGGTGTTTTTATTCCGGATTTCATGGGCTTCGTCCACGATGAGCCTCTTAAAGAGACCGTTAAGCCTATACTCCCATTCATCTGGAGGGCTTGTGAGCTCCGCCATCTCTGACTCCGCGATCGTCGCTGCCTCTGACGTACTTCTAGTAGAGCCCTCGCGCTCTGAACTGGTATCTAGTATCCACTTTTTTAGGGATGTTGGACCGTGGCGAGAATTTAGAGTGCGAAATGAAGTAATGATCACAGTTCGTGCGGTTTCCTCCGTTTCAGCAAATACTTCGTGGTTTCTGGAGAGAATACCACCCAGGTACTCTACCTCATTCGCTTCCTCCTTTTGTTTTTTCCCGTAATATATTTTGACAATTAGATCTGTTGACACTGCTTTGATTGTGGATGACCACTGTGGGATCAAATTTGGTGGCACAACGACAAGAGTCGGTTTGGGGGCCTCTACCTCGGCCTTCGATTCAATGGCTGCCTTCCTCAGATTCCAGTCCTATACTTTGGTTAATCAAAATTGAGGTGTGATACCAATGTATATTCTTACGTATTGCTCGAGGCCGATGGCTTCAAAAGTCTTCCCTATTCCGACTTCATCTGCTAGAATGCCACCCCGGAGATACCCGCGTTCAAATTCTTTGAGTGCTTTCACCGCCAGGGGTTGCCAAAATTCAAACTTTGCACTTACTGGCATGCCTGGCAAACGTGGTATACTTGGGTTTGGAATCCCAAGGACTTTGCACGCCTCATCATGGCCCTGACGCTGCAAGTCTTGATTATCCAGCCACTTTTCTTGCTCTCGATACTGCAGCATATCATTGTCGGTTAAATCATGAAGCAACAACTCATTCTTTGTTTCTTCCCCGACCTCATCTGAGTCTTTGGGTTTGAATAGCCACTAAAATATATTAGCTGAACCTACCATATGTTAAGATCGGATAGACGCACCCTTATACATTCTTCTGCTGGATTTAGTGCCTCGTGGGTAACCTCGCAGTCACTTTTAACAGGTGACTCTCGAGAATCCGACGCTTGTTGGAGTGCAACCCAAAGCCAGAATCTATCTGTCAAGTCGGGTTTTTCTTTTGACACCCTTTCGGCTGCCATAAGTTCGTATAACAGCTGTCTCGACGTATGCTCATTTTGGATATCGGGAATTTGCGACTCAGCAAGGGCCTTAGCTGTGGTTAGGCTAACTGATAGTCTTTGTTTGGACGTTGCTGCATGCTGATGGAATTCCTTGAACGTGTCTCTGGATATGGGATTCTCGGAAAGTCCTAGCTGAAAACTTAACCGATCAATTCGAAATCCATGCTTTCTCAGCTCTAACTCGACATCAATCTTTTCCAGGAAACTTTCGTAGGAGTAAGTGACTAAATCAGTTAGAATGATTTTTATTTTTGCACCTTGATCCTCAAGCTCTTCCGGTACATTTCTCCAAAAGATGCGAGCGGCTCCGTTCTCAGAATTGGTGGGAATGGTCTGCTTGTCTTCATTTTGCCAATCCCCAAACATGCCAGCAACCTTTGCCCTTTTATTCCGTCTTGGTGCATGAGGTTCGTCCAACGTAAGTCTTAGTATCACCTGCCACGTTCTAGAAGCTTTCTCAACCTCGCCTAAATTCTTGCCATAGAAAGGTCCGTGTCGGTCGGCATTGTTTACTGATAGAAGTTTCCATAACAGCCTTGCTTGCCAATCAATCGCCTTCCATCGTGACGTATTTGGAAAGTCTTCAGAAAATTTCCGTCTTCCGCCAGATTCGCCATCAGTGAGGTGCCTGAACACATGGCGCCATTCATCTAATTTGACCATTCTTCCCTTTGATTGCTCGGGTTCCACCCACCCACGCACATATTCATCCCAGTAAGGCTTACATAGTCTGCCTCCAATCCATGCCTGGAGCGCGTTGACTGTATCGAATTCAAGAAGGCAAGCCAGTTTATTCAGCGATTGGTATGCTCTGCTAGTGTTATCCATTTTTAACACCGCAGGGGAAAATTGTAAATTGAGAGCCTGTGCATAAGAAGACGATCAGCGCCTTGGCTATATAATATGAGAATCTTTGCCCTTACCCTTTAGTAGATAGGGTTCTTAGAGAAGTGAGCAAGCTAGGTTGCCTAAGAAGTGAGGGAAAGGGTAAAGATTTGGTGCCTCATCTTTTTTCTAGTATGGTAAAGGGCTGATTATAAGATTAGAGGTTACCGGGAAGAGAGACAACGGAGGTGATAACCTTCTATCTTGCATGTTAGCTAAATGATGTAGAGTGAAGACATGGAACCGATAGAGAGGGCAGTGGAAGGGGAGGAGGAGAAGGAAAAAAGATCTCACAAGGTATAGATGAGTCTAAAATAGGAGGATGAGAGACGGTGCCTAAAGTGATCTAAACGATACTGTTAAACTCACTTTAGTAAAAGGCACGGTCAAGTAAGAAGCATCCTCGTGCACAAACTTGTGGTATAACTGGCGTTGTCCTTCAGATAGTTGTTTAGCAACAACTGAACTGACTTGGTGTAAGATTGAAACCAATGAGATTCTTTTGTATTCTGAATGTTCTTAAAAAGTTAGCAAGCAAATACCTTGGAATTGTAGACAACGCTGGTTCCAAAGGATGGTATTTCGCTTTGGGTCTGTTAGAGAATGAGTTAGGCCTGTGAACGAGAATCGAAACCTCAATGCTGAAAAGTATGCACGGCCAAAAATGATTGAATCTCGTGCATTGACGTGAAACTGGATAGTATATAGAAGATATCTAGCCAGCTCCATATATATATGCATATAATGAATGCCAAGCCCAAATATATAGAGTCTACCATAGGTAGCGTCCAAACACCCGTCTGATACTATGTACTTACGTCTACCCAGGCAATCCCCAGCCTCTGACCCTCCTAAAGACAAAGGACCGATCATTCTTGAGGCCAAACTCAGCCCAATCGTCGGTCAGCCGATTATAGCTCCAGAACCCCTTCCATTCGAGTTTAGTGTTTTTAGATTTATGCGAGCCCACGGACCGGAGAGATAGATGCATCGTATACATATACTTCTCACCCACGCCCTCAGTCTCGATGAATAGATCGCGTGGGTCAGGCGTGGAAGAAGCAGCGGGGTCTTTATCAGTTCTTTGGTGGTTGGTAGGTGGTGGAGGCGAGGCTGAGCTTGAGCTTGGATTTGCGGAGGACGATGTAGATAATGGCGGAGTGAGCCTCCACCGGCCTCGAAGGGTATGCTTCAACGTCGCTGCGGCAGTTGGCGACATCGGGTTGGCCGTCGATGTTGTCTGAGGTACAGGAGCAGGGGTATCTGAGATGTGTCTTGCATGTTTCTTCGTGGCAGCGCTGGCGGTAAGCACATCGACATTCTCCCTGGTGATGTGGGGTACAACCTCGATGGGTTCCGTGGTAGTAACCAAGGACAAGACAGTGCCATCAGGATAGAAGTGTAGGTATCGGTAATACGTCACAATATGGATGGGCGTGTTCCACGAGACGCTGTGCATGGCCGAGTTTGCGCCAGGTCGTGTATAGTTGACCGTACTTATGTAGATACCCGTGAAGCGCAGCCGAGGGAAGGCCTGGAAGACATGCGACCAGCTGGTAAGCGGCTTGGGTATACTGGCCGTTATCTGCGCCGTAAACGGATGAGAATGGACAATCTGTGGATCTGAATCTGAATCGAGGGCGGGTGCAGGGCACAAAGGCGTCCCATCGATCTCACAGGCAAAGGAGTAATGCATGGATGCGAGTCCGAACTCATGGCCCTGGCAGAGTCGACGCCATATCTTCTGTTCATGGGCAACATGGTATGCCAGGCGCTTACAGACGAGAGACAGACGAGCAAACAGGGCAGGATCAAGCAGGGCGACGTCTTTGAGTATCTCTATCAGCACCTCTGACGGCAGATGGGAGATCGGACATGGTGGAGGCGGGGTGTTTTCTATTATAGGCTCAGCAGGGGGGATGGGCAGGTTAGCGAATGAAGATATTACTATTTTTTCTCCCGTTGATGCATTTGATGTAGATGTAGATGTAGCTGCTGCTGCTGCCGGTGCATGAGGCTTGGATGCATGATGTTTCTTGCTGTATGCCTGGTCGACTTTTGCATCAAGCTACGCCCGTCAGCTTGATGCTTATAATTAGAAACGAGTGAATACGCACCCTATAGGCCTTCCGGTATAGATTGAGACTATCACCCAGCCTACCCTGATCCTCCTTCTCGATGGCCTTCTCAAAATGCTCCAACGCTGACTGGGGGGCCTTCTCCTCGACACCCAGGTCCAACGCCCGGAACTCCCCGTCTAGCTCGGACGTGTCGACCTTGACATGACTATCCTCGTCTATCTCATCTGCCGCCTCCTGAGGTAGCTGGACCTGTGGCTGTGGCGGCAACGACTTCTTCCTCTCTGCTCGTCCTGGTCCTGGTCCTGGAGCCTGTTGAGCTGGCTGCGCAGACGGGTGTCTGGTCCTGACCTCCTCCAGCCACTGGCGGCGGAAGGACTCCAGCTCGTCTTCCTCTTTCTTGTCCATCTCTTTTCTTATTATCTTCTTCTCTATCTCTTAAGTATCTTCTCTTCTTTTCTTCTTTTATGTATGTTCTTCTCTTCTTCTCTTCTCTTTCTATGACGATGTCGGTGCTTACATAACAAGATCTGATAAGGGCTGACTAATTTCTCCGAACTCCGGCCGAGCTTATCAATCGCGGACTCTTTTTTCTCTCCATGACGGATTCTTCTATCTCTATCGTCACTTTCATCTTCATCTTGTCTTCGTCTTCTCGTCTTCTCTTCTATAATACTGGTATACGTACTAGGCACACTGATAGGTCACATCTATCTACCCTCAGTGGATGAATGCCTACACATGACGCTGCGTCCGCGGGTGCCTTGAGCACCGGCAAGAGTACCAGCACCAGCACCAGCAACACCGTTCAGCAGACAGCGCATGATACCAGCACAGATACCCGTACAATGGCATCCGGATCCGCCAGCAGCACCGGCGGCAGCACCGCCAGCAGCGAAAGCGACCGCTCAGCGCAATACAGCAGCATCTCGACGAGCCAGAAGATGATATCCGCCACCTGGGGCAGTCTCCTCACATCTCTCCTAGGTATGTCTTGCCCTCTCATTCTTCTATGACATCTCTTCTAACGAGAGTAGTAACACCACTCGACGTCGTCCGAGTCCGTCTACAATCTCAAACACCCGTGATCCGGGCCTCTCTACCGTCACCATCGACCCTACCGACACCCTCGCCACCACCGACGACTCTCACATCCGTAACGCCATCACCGCTCACATTCTTCAGACACCTTCCTCCAAACCTCGGGGTGACAGCATGCTGCCGCGAGGTCTTCTGGATCGGCGAGAACGCGCAGACGCAGTTCTGTCTCGTCAACCAGCCGGCTCCCTCGGCATCGATTACCACTCCATCCCCGTCTGCGCCCTGCGTCGTCGAGCAGCGCAAGTCATACACATCCACCCTCGACGGACTGCGGAAGATAGCCCGCCACGAGGGCCCGCTGTCACTCTGGCGCGGCCTGTCTCCTACCCTGGTGATGGCCATACCGGCCAACGTCATCTATTTCACCGGCTACGACTGGCTGCGGTACGACGGCGCCAGTCCCGTGGCGAGCTATGTGCCAGCCAGCGTGGCTCCCTTGGTAGCAGGCAGCGTGGCCCGTATAGCCGCCGCGTCTGCCATCAGTCCCATTGAGATGTTCCGGACTCGACTACAGGCGATGCCGGTGGGCAGCGGAGTGCACGGATCGGGCCACTTCAAGGCCACCCTGCGAGATCTGGGCGGCCTGGTGCGCAGAGAAGGGTATACCTCCTTATGGCGAGGGCTGACACTCACCATGTGGCGAGACGTGCCCTTCTCCGGCCTATACTGGTGGGGATACGAGCGCATCAAGCGGCAACTAGAGTCGATGCGAGGCCACGCCTTTCCCCATACCTACTCAGACCCGGTCCTGGCATCGTCTCCTCCTTCTTCATCTACTTCTACAGCTGTATCATCGCCCAGCTCGTCGGTGGTGTTTGTGGAGAGCTTCACGGCCGGCGCGGTGTCGGGAGCTCTGTCGGCGCTGGTGACGACGCCGTTCGACGTGGGCAAGACGAGACAGCAGGTGTCCGCGGGCGCGTCCTCGTCGATACCGCGGTTCCTGCTGAAGATCGTGCAGGACGAGGGCATCGCTGGGCTGTTTCGCGGGTGGGCGGCGCGCTGTCTCAAGGTAGCGCCTGCATGTGCGATCATGATCTCCAGCTACGAGGTCGGCAAGCAGCTCGCCAGCGACTCTCATAAGTCTATAACATAGATATCTACATAATATATCTATAAACATATCTATAATATATCTACATAATATATCTATCTATATACATCTATAAACAGATCTATGGCCGTCGCTAACCATGGCCTATGCCCACGTCCTGCTGCTATGTCCACGCCGTTCTAGCCTGTAACCAGTTACTTATATATAAGAAGCTAGTGCGTGGCGATAGGAAAACGCGGTGGCCAGGGAAGCTCCCCCAGCTCGGGCTGTCCCCGCCCTTGCCCACTTGCTTCTTCTTCTTCCTTACTTCAACTTCAACTTCATCTTCTCGACATCACGACTTCACCTCACCTCGACATCCTCGCCATCTCGACCTCGACATCAGCTCACGCACAGAGCTAATGCTGATGCTGCGGCCATGCCCCGTCCGTCTCTTACAAGCTCCTTCTCGGTCTCAGACGCCACCAACGAGGTCGTCTGCCCGCTAGCCAACAACGACGGGTCCAACTGCCGCAAGCGATGTCTAGGCGTAGCTCTCCCTCTGTCCCAATTCCCTGCGTTGACGGTGCTGATGATGTCGTAGGAGAAGAGATACCGCTCAATGCAGGAGCACATCCGCCGTGCGCACCCGAACCACTACATCCCAAAGCTGCCGGCCACGGAGGAGAGCTTCCAGCTCATGGTCAACACCCCGCCGCAGCAGCAGCAGCAGACACAGCAACAGACACAGGTCCAGGCGAGGGAGAAGGATGTCGAGCATCCAGCAGCCACGACGGCCGCGGTTGCGTTGGCTCAGCTGCAGCAGCATCATCGGCTGGACTGGGACTCGGAACCGGTACATCAACTCACTCTGGCCATGGCAATGGCAGGCCAAATGCAGGCCGTAGTCAGTGCAGCAATGCTAATTGTGTAGGACGACACCGATATCCGCTCCGTCGAGCTGCCGCCCATCCGTGACCTACGAGACTCCTTCCATCCACGGCAGCGAGAGCTCCTCCCGTCCATCCTCCACCCGCACCAGCACCAGCAGCAACACCAGCAACACCAACACCAGCAGCACTCGCACTCGCACCACACCCACTCGCCGCCAGGTCGCTCGTCGACCCTCCCGCCCATCCACCGCAGCCAGAAGATCCAGCGCTCGCGTAAGGGGTCTCTCACCCACTCACAGTCCGCCCGCAAGGCGAAACACGACCGCAACAGGTCAAAGGACTTCAAGGACTTTAGAGACATCACCCGGCGTCGATCGCTCAACGAACGCAAAGCCCTCTCTGCCGAGCCCCAGACGGCTGCCGCTTGGGTCCAGGGCAAGCGATGGGAGGACCTGATCGAAGCTGCCACCTCGGCTACAGAGGTCGACGATCGAGACATCACTCCCGTGCCCCAGTCGCCGCCGCCTACTTCTTCCTCCTCCTTTCAGCCTCTCTCGCCCTCGTTTCGGTCATTGGCAAGTCTCAAACATCGCTCTTCCGTCCCGCCGGCTTTTCAGTCCCCGACGAGCACCAACCCGAACTCTACTTCCATCACCTCCCAGCCAACCGTGACTTCTCACCCTCTACAGCCACCGTACACCGCCTCGCCTTTGCAAAAGTCTCTCACCCCTCCACCGTTTCACCGTGAGCGAGATACCGACCTCGAACCTTTCCCGTCCATCGAATCAAGCATGGATGTGACGAAGCCGTATCTCTCCCCTCCCAGGCCAGTCACCTCCTACCCGCAGCAGCAGCAACAGCAGCAGCACATCTACCAGCATCCCCACCCGCACCCGCACGCTCACCATCCCTTACACCCTCTCCATCCCCGCCATCGCCTCTCAAACCCTACCCCTTTCACCTCTACCTCAGCCTCCACCTCCTCCTCCAGCGTATCCGTATCAAGGGATAAAGACCTGCACATCCACATCTATTGTGCCTCGTGCTCTCGTCCCCGAGCCGTCCGGGACTGCTTTGCATGCACGGAATGCATCTGCGGCGTCTGCAGGGACTGTATACCCTCCTTATCCCTGTCCATGCATTCAGCATCCACCTCCGCATCCACGGTGGGTGCAATGGGTATCTCCGTACTCAACCTTGGCCCGACCAGCAGTCCACGTGCCGGCGGGGGCGGCAGTCCCGGCGGTGTGAACAGGCTGGCCAGGAGTAATAGCACGAACACCACCATGTCGAACCACTCGAGCGTCAATGCCAATGGTAAGAGTGACGGTAGGCAGGGCCGAGGATGTCCACGATGCGGCATCGTTGGCGGCAAGTGGAGAGCATTCCAGTTAGATTTCCGATGACGCCCAACCCTATACGCTTTAACGACCTAATGCCATGCTATACCATGCTGCGGATGCCACACATATCATACAGTACCTTACCAGTTGGTTGGTGGTTCGTTTTTCTTTCACTTATACACTTACATTTATAGTTACAGCTGCTCCCTCTTTGCGTACTGCTTGCTTACCTGCGTCTGCTTACCTGCTACAGCCCTGCTACAGCTTCTCGGATTACCTCCCGTCTCGTCTACTTTCCCTATGTCCACGTTCATGTTCATGTTCATGTTTAACGCCCCTGTACCAGTTTCATCCGTCCCCCTTGCTCGTTGCTCTGTTTCCCCTTTCTTGTCTATGCGTTATATGTATTCCGGTTGATCGGTTGGTCGGCTGGCGGGTGGTTGGTTTGGTTGAAACAAAAAAAGATTTCCCTGCCCGCTTACGCTACCTACCTACCTACCTCCGCGCTACCCTTGCCATTGTTACTGCTATTCCTGTTTTGCCCCATTTTCATTTGTTATATTTTGGTTCTGGCCTGCTCCTGGTACTCATGCGGCCTGGTCTGCTGTAAGACCGAAACTAGTACCGCACTCTCGTCGTGTCGTTTCTTTTGCCTACTTCATAGCCTGCCTTGCCTGGCTGACTTGGCTGGCCCGTGGCCTTGGCCCTTCAATAGGATGGCTTTTTTTTTGGATGTACATATGTTTTGAGCGAGAAATATACACTATTACACTATTGCACTACTATGGTACTATGGTACAGGGCATACAGCACGACGGGCCCATCCGCTAGATATGGTGGCGCAATATCGAACAAACGTCTAAGCACGCAAGCAGGCTAACTAAGGATGTGCCGATGGGTATTGGGTAATATCAAATACATTGGAGAAGGGAATAAAACAAGATAACATCAGACTCGACTCGACTCGGACTCAATTTGACCAATCGACCAACCTACCAATTGGTCAACGAGGTAGGGATATAGACAAACAGACAGGTTGACAAGCAAATAGGAGGTAGGTAGGAGGCAGGTAGGTAAAATATTTTGCAGAAAGGAGACAATCGAAAAGAATAAAATAATAAATATAGGAGGGAAAATAAAACACTCTGAAAGAAGATAAGATATCAAATCGGAAAAGAAAAGAATCAATCAAATCAAACTATTACACCTTTCCAGTCCAGCCAGCCTCACGCTCACCTTCACCTAGGTTACTCATCGCATACACGTTGCATGCTTACCTCCACGGCGGTCTATCATCCTTTTTACCACCAGCAACGCCGTCCATTCCTAATCTGCCTGCCGCTCCTGTCCTGGGTAGTGGAAGCATACTGCTCCGTCGATTAGAGTGGCCCAATGCCGTTCCCGGTCGAGCAGCGGGCGGTGGAGCAGATTTCTTTGCACCGCCATCGTTCGAGGTAGAGATGGACGATGATCGTGCGCTGGGGATACCGGCATAGCTTTGTCTGCTTCTTGGTGCTGAGGGTAGGGCCGGTTTTGATACAGGAGCAGCAGGGGCAGGTGTAGGTGCTGCCTTGGGTGTTGGAGCAGCAGGTAATGGCGTCCTTGACCTCATACGTATGGGGGCGGGAGGCGTTAGCTTTGAAGCCGTGGCTCTCGGCGCCGTGGATGTGATGGCGGAATTGGAGTTGGCGGCAGCAGCTTGTTTGCGTAACTTGCTGTATGGAGGAGGGTCAAACATGGATGATGGCCTGGGTGATGGAGATGGAGAAGGGGAGTGGCCGTGGCCGTGGCTGGAGCCAGGATCCAGCATGCCACGGTCCGTTACGCCGCGGTGTAGTCGGCTAGACGATCTGCCTGGGGCAGGGGAAGCGGATGACTCGCGGCTGAGTGGACTGCGCAGGCCAAACGAATAAGAGGAATGCTGCTGAGCCGGGCGCGGCGAACGAGAAGAGATAGGGACAGGCAGGTTCCTGTTCGATGATGGAGATGGGGTGTGGGTTTGTTTGTAGACGTGGCCTACTACGAGATCTTTGGTGTTGTATGTTGCGTTCCATCGCGGTCGGCCGTCAGGGACGTAGTTGGAGTATGTCAGGGCAGTCAGAGGGTCGACGGCTCCTATCCGTGATACCGGCCTTCCATTGGTATTGGTGGTTGTTATTTTAGGGGTTGTGACTGCGCGAGGTATCGACGGCTTGCGAGGAGTATGTCCAATGCCACAGGAACTGGGCTGTGGGAGAGCAGAGTGACGCTTTAGTTTTGCGGAAGTTCCTCGAGAGGTAGTGGTACCGCCGCCTGCGACGCTGCTTCGTCGACTGGTATCCTTGATCATGGTATGGTTGTTGCTGTTGTTCATGTTGTTGCCGTTTGACATTATTATAGACGAAGCAGGCGAGCTTCCGGGGGTACCGATACTTCGAGCAGCAGGGCTCTCGAGCGTGAGTATACTCGATACAGAGTCTCGGAGCTGTCGACTGTTGAGATCGTCCAGCAATGCATCCATAGAATGTACCGCGCTCTGAAGCGCATCGAACCTCGCCGTCAGATCCGCGAGAAGTCGAATAATCTCGCCATTAACAGTGAGTCTATCGTTGATTCCCTTCTGGATGATAGACAGCACTCGCTCAATTGCTGACCCATAGTGTACTTTCTTTGCTTCAAAGTTCTCTGCCCGTTTAGCTAATGCTGTGGGATTATTATGTTGTATGCCTCCCTCGATGGCCTCCTGTAGCTTGCCGACACTCCTCTCGACAGATTCACACATCTTGTGTGCCTGTTTGCCTGCATTTCTAAACACAATCACCCATCTATCCTCTCCCAGTTCTCTTCTGAGGGCCTCGGAGTCTGTTTCAAGCTTCTTGTATCCTTGTTCAAGTCGGAGCCGTCGGTCTTCTAGCTCTTCACACGCACTGGGAAAGATATCTTTCGCCCTTGTCTGGAACATTGACAGTCTCATGGGTAAAAAGTCAAGGGATGCTCGGAGAGGCTGCATGCGCGCAAACAGTGCCAGCAAGCTAGATTCGTCCTGCTGGTTCTCCGAGCCCGGTGTCTGCGAGCCAGAAGGCAGGATAGGGGCAAAGTTGAGGCGTGGGTTCGAAGGCACGTTTGACGGCGTCTCTTCGACAATCGTCTCCAGCTCGTTAATGTCAAGGCCCGTGGTTGGCTCATTATCTGCATCCGAGACCATGACGGCCTTGTGTCTCTTTTCTTCCATTTCAAAAATCATCCTTGACAGGTTATCGATCTCGAGTCCTACGTCACCCAGCACGGCGTTCCACAGCTCTTCCCACTCCATGGCCAGCTCGACCTGTTCCTTGACTCCGTGCAGCAGTGATCCGACTTTCCCCCAGTTCCTAATAGTCTGCTCCATCTGGGTGACGATGTTGTTTAGGGATTCGGACCCGACCTCTGCGATATCGTCGCGTACCTGCACCTCCTCGATCGCCTTGACGTAGACATTAATCAGAGATTCAAACTTGGTGACTGCCTTGTCGACATCGTCGAGTCCCTCCCGGCCCCCTGCGGCAGCCCATTCGACATCGTCTTCCGCCTCCAGCCCGCCGAGCACCTCGGATGCTTTGTTTGTCCATTTCTGAATCTGTTCTGCTGCGCCGCTCAGGGCCCGTACGGCGGCCGGAGCACTGGAAATGGAGGCGATGCTCTCTTCCAGGGTTGACGGTTGCGGCAGGCTGATGGAGGTGAGCTGGGATAGCTGGTTGCTGAAGGAAGCTCTGGAGAAGGAGTAGATGGAGTCCGTCCGGCTCAGGCCGAGCGGGTTGAAGTACGACTCTGACGCGTTCGAGCCGCTGCTCGAGTGATGAGGTATCGGCGGTGTATCTTTGGGCGGCGGCGGCGGAGGGAGGTCGATGTCGGTATTATCTGTATATGCTCCTGACGGCCCATGGCTCGCTCCCGTCGCCGTCGCCGTTACCATGGTCTGAAAACTCGTAGATGTATCGGTAGCCCCTTGCTTCGGTATAGACAGCTCTTCGTCCTCTCCGTCGTCCACTCGATGGTCTTCTTCTTCTTCTTCTTCTTCTTCTTCCTCGTCCACCGCTCTACGGACAGTGAAGGAGTCGGAGTCCGGCTCCTGAGCCCCCTGCGGCGCGACAAGTCCACCACTCCACGCCCGACCTCGCCTCTGCACCTGTATCGACTGGTGTCTATTCTGTCGTTCCAGCTCCTGCAGCTGCGAGGCAGGTATCTTCCCCACTGGGCTCTTCGAGTGACTTCGAACGGAGGCCGTTTCAGACTTGCTCGACGCACCGTCCAGCAACCTCACGCGCGCCGCGAGACTGGGCGAGAGCCGTCGAAAGATCGACTGTCGGCCCTTGTGCCCCAGAGCCGTCTCTCTCTCTATCTTGGTAGACGACGTCGTGGCTGCTGGTGTTGTTGTTGATGTTGTTGTAGGAGCCGGCGTCGTGCTGCCTCTGAAGCTGCTGGGGAAGGACGAGGGCGACCACGAAGCGATGCGTTGGGCAGCACTGTGAACAGACGAGCGTTTGGGAGTGATCAGGTCGACGGCGACGGGCGACGGAGTGCTTGGAGGGCTGGTCGACTGCGAAACAGCGACGCCAGATCTCTTGCCAGGCCCAGCGGTCCCTGGGGGCATTGATACGTTGGCCCGTCCAGCAGCTGGCGTCGGTAGCGGCTGAACTATTGGTGTCGGGTTGCTGTTCTTCCTCGTCCAGCTGTGCCAGTTCTTCACGGTGCCATCGCCCAGCACTTGCACGGCCGCGAGGATGTGTCTGGTCGTCTTGTCGCTGCTCTTGTTCGTGTTGGCGAGTTCGCGCCGGCGTTCACCTCTGGAACATTTGCGGACCCCTGGAAATTGCACGACAGAAGTTGAACTTGACCATGAACTTGACCATGAACATGAACATGAACCTGGACCAGGTGAGGGCGCGATGGAGGCCTGTTGCTCGTATGCCATCTTACTGACTCTTACTGATACTCTTACTCGACATCTACATCCATCGGTGGTATACGGATACATCTATATTGACTGCGTGTCTACCCAACTGACAGCATCGGTTACCCTCATCCATGTGGAAGGCTTTCCAGCAGTTCCAGGGTTCCTGTGCGAGTCTGCAGTGTAATATGCGTCTGCAGTCCAAGTCCGATGCAAGGCAGGGAGATGCCGACGTGGTACCAATGATGCCAGGTCTGATATCTATAGCAGAGTACTAAGGACAAGAAGTATCCTTGAGACTCTCTGATATGCTCTAACCTATCTTTTATAGACGGAGTAGCATAGTAGAATTGATAGAGGTTGATCTCTATATAGAGGTTGAATAAATGACTGGCCAGGACTCGCGCTTCGATATGACGGTCTCCTTGTTCTTCATATACTGCTCGTCTGCATCGACAAGGCCCTGTTCCTCTAACTTCTCCAAGACGTCAAGGACCAAATCCTGGCAGCTATAGTCTGACACCTCGTTGCGGACAGGCGTATTCCACCCGATATTCTTTATAGCATCGATCTTAGCTGGGTCGATTTGGCAGAGCTCACATAGCTCGAGGACAGAGCTTGTAACTCGGGCGTCTGAGGGCGTTCGAACGTTGATGAAGTAACGATGTCGAGCACCGAGGAGATGGATGATGGTCTTGAGGTTTGCTTCGGCGTCGATGAACAGCTTCCAGTGTTTGATGCCTGGGTTGTCGTCGATGGCGACCATGAGAGGAACAGTAGCCATCCTGGTTGAGAAGACACTATCAACAATATATTCTGTAAGGTGGCATCCATAAAGGCATGTTATATGCAAAGGTCGGATATTTACCTTGGCGTGTTAAAATCTCCTATCAAATGCAAGTACGGAGTTACAAGTATTAGTTAGTATAGGTATCCGAGGACATAAACAAGATGGGCATTATCATATGTACTGGAGCCTGCTTCCTGCCTACTCCATACATTACTCCCCTATTATATATTATATACATGCATAGACATGTCCCATATGCTCCCATAGCTCGTATCATCCATACGGCGAGAGCGTCGACGAGGGAGCCTTTACAGACTCAGCATCGCGCGAGCTCCAATCACGCAGCAACTCCTCCCTCACCCCCTGGCACCACTGCAGGACGGCGGCATCAAATCCCTTCCAGGCCTCCGGCTTGTCCCCGGTGACGACGCCCATCACGTCGACCTCGAGCCGGATCTCCCAGCGTATCTCGGCGGCCTTGACCCAGTAGCGGAGGTTGTCGGCCATCCGGTACGGCTTGCCAATGTCGTCGTGGAAGGTCTTGATCTCCTCAAACTGGCGATAGGACAGCTTGACGGCCTCGTTGTGGAAGCGTACCAGATCCCGGCCGTCCCGTAGACGGGCGAGAAAGGCAGACGGCGCCTCTCGGTCCTCCTCAACGGGTTCCCAGGCCGGGAGCGGGTTGCTGATGGCGGACGGCAGGTTTTGGAGGAACTGGTACTCCCTGTCTCGCTCCTTGCCGGACCAGTCGCCGCTCGTCCACGTCCAGCTCTTCCGCTTGTGCTTCTCGCCTTCTTCCATCTTGCGCTCCTGGTCCAGCATCGAGCCTACCCCGTCGATCCAGTCGAGGATGGCGCTGCGTTCCTTGTCCTTGAGCCCGCCTGCAAACGACCGTGACGCCCACCGCTTCAGCACCTCCAGCACCGACAGCAGCTCGCCCCGGATCTCCTTCTCGCTCTTGATCAGGGACAGCCGCTCGGGGTGTTCGTGGGCGGTATAGTAGATCCTCGCCGCGCGGATGGCCAGCGTGACCAGGTCCAGGATGTGCATGCCTTCGATCTCGTCCCAGCCCTTCGGATGCTTCTTCGACGGCGTCTGCTTCTGCTGCTGCTGCTGCTGTTGCTGCTCGTCGTCCTCTATCTCGGCATCTGCCTCTGTCTCTGACAGTCCCTCCGCCGTATTCAGCTCGCTAGCTGCCTTCTTCTGCGCTGCCAACTCGTCCTTGCTCGCCGTCAGAACATGTCTCGCCTTCTCCAGCGCGGTCTGCAAATCATGTCTGAGCGCGTTCAGGTCCGGCGGCGGCGGTATGTAGTGTGTCCGGATGCTATACGTGCTCACCGTCGGCGGCAGCATGAGCGGTTCATGCTCTTCGTCCTCCTCCCACCCTGCTGCCTCGTCCCCAAACTCCGCAAACCCTTCGATCGGGCTCTCCACCAGATCACCGCCCAGATGCACTTGCTGGCTCAGCGTAAGCTTGGGTATATCTGTCTCTGTAGTGCTTTTCCTCGCCTTCGCCATCTGCGCCCCTTTCCCGTCCAGTAGACCCGTCCGGGCAAAGTAGTACTGTAGATGTGCGATGCTGCCCAGACTCATCACGCTCTCGCGGTTCTTCGCTGACTCGGCGAACGTAGCGCCCTGGGGACGGATGTAGCCTCTCCTCCGCGTGCCCGCCGACGCTGAGACGGCTGAGACGGACGACCTGGCATCGCCTGAGAAATTCGAGATGGACGAGACGGTCGAAAAGGTGCGGTCGGGCGAGGGACAGGACGAGATGGCCGGCGTAGGCGAGAGAGACGGAGACCGAGATAGATCGCGGGGCTCGATGCTGCTGCCGTGTGCATCTACGGTTGGTATATCAATAGCATCGCTTCTGGTCGTCATCGTATATCCAGCGTAGTCAACAATAAACCACCACAGTGATGATGATGATGATGATGATGATGACAACAGTGAACAGTCTGAATATGAACAGTGTGAAGACAGTGACAATGATGCAGGATCAAAACAAACCACCTAAAGGAGTAAAGCGACGAGGAACGGGAGACGGCCAATTTCCATCCATGCCTTTATCCGGACAGATCTCAAACGCGATCCTTGTCACGCCCACCAGAGGAAAAGAAAAGGTCTCCAGGGCCGGTGGTTTCAGGGGCTGCAGCTAGTCAATTTGGCCTTCGGCGCCGGCCACAGTCCACTCTATTGGCCGCGGATGATCTCCACTGGCGTGAATGTCTAAGTCGACGGAGAAGAGAGAATCACTTTGACGGCATCGGGAAGTATCGAGAAAAGGGAGCCCGTACGGCGTATGCTCGAACAAGCCCGTATACTCGAGCAAGCCGCCCGTATACACGGAGACTGTTGCCACTGGCGGTTTGATCTGATATTGTTGAACGGAGATTCGGTGTAATACTGCCTGATCGTACGAAACACGTTAGTCAACTACGCCGTTTCATTAAATATCAGTGTCAGCTCTCCATCATCGAACAAATGCTACGCCCGGCGTTTTAACGCCTGTTTCAGCTGTAGCTGGCATCTCCGCAATGGCAAGATACATGGCCGTATAAGGAACATAAATAGGAGCTCAATATCGTGTATTTAGATGATCAGTGCTTAATAGATTGAAATCTCATAGATTACTCTAGACCTACCTAACCAATCAAATCAATTAAATATCTCGTATCTCAGAGATATGTATAGCTGTTGCCCCTATCATCGTCTACTCCATCATCTTTAACCTAATAGCCACCTTACTCTAAGTAGTTGAGTAGCTAAGTAGCTTAAGATAATTAAATAAGTCTGGCATTAGCGGCTTGCTGAACCATAGAAGCATATTAGGCAGGTTAGCTAGTGCTTCAAAACAGCAGTTAATGGCCATATCTGGGTTTATCAGTACGCTATCTGCTCCCAGTTCTCATCTTATATAGAAACTCCCACTACTTTGGGTATGGCTCTCTCCGCATTAATTCCCCCCAGTATAATCACCACGTCGCAGTAGCTGGGCTAGTATCTGAGTGTCAGCGTGGAACGTATAAAGCCATGGTCGTTAAGCAGCATTATTACATTCAGGTACTCCCAGTACTCTACATTAAGGTTCTTATCCACCTAGTAGGGCTTGCTATTACTCAAGATCTGCTGGATCAATTATTCAGTCAGACATATAATCAGGTACTAAAGGAAATCCTAGGCAGTGTTAGTTATATATAAATATATATAATAATTAAAGATAGTACGATCTTACCAGGCAGATAGCAAAGGGCCCCAGCAAGCGCAATATCTAGAACCACAATCATCTTATAAGCCTAATCTTTTATGTCATGTTCTAGAAGAAATCAAACAGTTCCCATACGGCCTATTCTAGTAGTGTATGCCAGTGTCAACATTAGAGTAATATCAACAAGTTTAGAATGACCAGGCGCGCAGTCCTTGTCCAGTGCCAAATTATAGTCCACAAGAAACCAAAGATGAAATAGTGAGCTAACTATACCTAAGGGGAGTATAATATATAGATCTGATACACTTTATAGAAGATTTTGAATGCCAATAGCTTTCTCTATTTGATTTCCTAACAATTAACGTGGTCATAAGTCTGAATCTCTCCATAACTATCTACATGTCCGTCCTTGATATTGACAGAAATATATATATATGTGTGTGGGCTATCACTAGGTTCCTCACCGCGGGGATTACTAAATACTACTAATAACAAATATTAATAACTTCAAAGTCAAGTATATAAATAAAGAGAAATTAAAGAGAACATTTATATTCTTTAAAATATCACCCAAGAGGTAATATAGATATACGGGACATCGTACGAGTTTTTCTAACCAGTATCATTAAGCCATAAGCCAAACATGGCCAATAATAAAATATGATTTAAATAGTAGGATTATAAAACCTTAACTTGACTAATACATCCGCATCCTAGCTATCCCACAATAGAGCTAGATAGTCTTGCTAGCTCCTCTCTAGTCAGGATTATACTCAGTAAGAAATAGGCCTTGTCTCCCGCTATCTCAAGCCTTAACTCCCTCTATAAGTTCCTAGCTAGCACAAGCCTAAGTAATCTGCAAAACTCGGTACCGTACTAGGATAGCTGGCTGTTGGCATCAAAGCCTTGTGGCGGCTCATATCTGCGGGTGTCCTTATGTGCTTGAAAACTGAATCTATTATATATAGCACTAGGGATATACAGAATATTCTCAAGTATAAGCATGTGGACGTCTGGTTGATCTAGTGCCTTAGGTACTTGAAGTTCCACCGTTCCAATACTAATAATATTAGTGCCAGAAGAAAGCGTTATCCCATATATACACTGGTATATTTTGAATAAGGACTAATTCTTCACATAATGGAGGCCGCTGGTTACCACCCAGTCGTAGCATTGACGCTGTGGTTACTTCTTTTCCTGCTCCTCCTTCACCCCCTTTTCCCCTTCCTGCTCCTCCTTTATATGCTTTCTCTTTTTATGCTTCTCCTTTTCACGCTTATTGTGTGCCTTAACGTCACGCTAGTATTTACTGATTTCACCTATTATAAGATTCTTATCCTATGATATTACCTCTTATAACTAATTTATAACTGGCTCAATATTTATCTAGATTACTTTAGATATATTGGTACTTTAAGGGTTTAGTTATCTAGCTCTTATAAGTATTATTGTTAGGTGAAAGTCGAGGTGGCAGAAATAGGAGGCCAGTATATATGCGGGTAGTTGGCATATATATCTTTCACTAAACCTAATATATACCTTGCTATTATATAAATGTACTCTTCTTTAAAAAGTAATATATCTAGAAGTTAGATTACTATACTACTTTAGCTAAGCTAGAGAGTATAAAGATGACTTCTTAATGTCAAAGCACAGCCATTTAACTATACTTGATAATAAGTTTTTCAATATTATTAAAAGGGTATCTATTTGATCTTAGGCAGAGAAATCACTTAATCTAATACCATATATCGAGCAACAGTGCGTTGAGCATTAAAGGGTCAATATAACACTACATTGGCGTATATATATAATACCCTTAGCTTAATAAAGAGGCATTCTAGCCAACGCACGTTACAGCTTATAAGATAAGTATCCATACTAAGTACTTCTGGCCCTTTCTATCTTATAGCTCTAATAATTGAATATTTAGTCTTTAATCTATTGTTTATAAACGATCTAGAAGTTATATATATCACATAATATCGCATCTATAACTTCTAATTGGCAAGAAGGAAGAAATAAGAGCTTCGCAAGAAGACGGCCAGGGTTGATTATTCAACCTTTTTATGTTTGTGATAAGCTAGACATATAAATAGTCACGCCATAGCGAAGTGGGTAAATATGGTCAACTTCAAGCATTCCCACCACCACTAACAACGCCTTGATGAACTATAGGTTGCGTTTAAAGTATATAGACTTATCTAAGGCATATCTAACTAGTGTTAAATATAATATCCTTAACTAGCTAATAAGTATATAAGAGTCTATTTCTAGTATGATCTAACTAATCAAGCTAGCAGATGTATCACATCTAATAGTTTATATTCTAGCAACTTTACTCAAAAGCGTGTAAATAGCTATAACCTAATAGGCTAGTATAGAAACACTATTAACAGATCTATATGTGCCTAGCTCAGCTCGTGTATATCTAAATGCTAGTACTAGAGTTCTGACTAGACTATAGGTCTAAGGCAAGGCCTAAGGAGAAGAAAAACTACTTAGCAAGCTACTTAATAATATCGCCTCGGGACCAAGCCACACCTAGGTAGATAGAGTAGACAAAATCAATATTAAGCTTAAGCACAGTGAGACAAAGTTCCAAGTAATCTAATAAAGGAGGACCCGGGCCCAAGGTGGGATCCTATATTTTATCTAAACCCCATAGGCGCCGCCATAGCTATTGCCATAGGCTTCACTTTTATAAAAGTTAATATTATATCTACATACGTAATAATAAGTTGTATTTTGATATAGCTAGTAGGAAGCAATGAAAGTACTATATGAACCCATGGTTTGGTCTAGGGGCCGGCCAATAGGGCTATGAGCAAATAATGCCCAATAAATCATCTAGAGTAGCAGAAATTTTCTAAAGCCTAAGAAGTTATCAATCTGATCCTATTACACATCTCGCCAGGTGTTGAATAGAGATTTGGTATAATACTGCCTGATTATATAAAACATGTTAGTTAACTATACCGTTTCATTAAATATCAGTGTTAGCTCTCTATCATCAAACAAATACTACGCCTGGCGTTTTAACACCTGTTTTAGCTATAGCTGGCATCTCCGCAATAGCAAGATACATGGCCGTATAAGGAATATAAATAGGAGCTCAATATCGTGTATTTAGATGATCAGTACTTAATAGATTAAAATCTTATAGATTACTCTAGACCTATCTGACCAATCAAATCAATTAAATATCTCGTATCTCAGAGATATGTATGGCTGTTGCCCCTATTATTATCTACTCTATCATCTTTGACCTAATAGCTACCTCGCTCTAAATAGTTGAGTAGCTAAGTAGCTTAAGATAATTAAATAAGTCCAGCATCAGCGGCTTACTAAACCATAGAAGCATATTGGGCAGGTTAGCCAGCGCTTTAAAACAGTAGTTAATGGCCATATCTGGGTTTATTAATACACTATCTGCTCCCAGTTCTCATCTTATATAGAAACTCCCACTACTTTGGGTACAGCTCTCTCCGCGTTAATTCCCCCTAGTATGATCACCGCATTACAGTAGCTGGGCTAGTATCTGAGTGTTAGCGTGGAATATATAAAGCCATGGTCATTAAGTAGCGTTATTATATTTGGGTACTCCTAGTACTCTATATTGAGGTTCTTATCCACCTAGTAGGGCTTGCTATTACTTAAGATCTACTAAATCAATTGTTTAGTTGGATATATAATCAGGTGCTAGAGGAAATCCTAGGCAGTATTAGTTATATATAAATATATATAATAATTAAAGATAGTATGATCTTACCAGGCGGGCAGCAAAGGGCCCCAGCAAGCGCAATATCTAGGACCGCAATCATCTTATAAGCCCAATCTTTTATATCATGTTCTAGAAGAAATCGAACAGTTCCTATATGGCCTATTCTAGTAGTATATACCAGTGTCAATATTAGAGTAATGTCAATAAGTTTAGAATAATCAAGCGCGCAGTTCTTGTCCAGTGCTAAGTTATAGTCCACAAGAAACCAAAGATGAAATAGTGAGCTAACTATACCTAAGGGGAGTATAATATATAGATCTGATATACTTTATAGAAGATTTCAAATGCTAATAGCTTTCTCTATTTGATTTCCTAACGATTAACATGGTTATAAGTCTGAATCTCTCTATAACTATCTACATGTCCGTCCTTGATATTGACAGAAATATATATATATATATGTGGGCTATCACTAGGTTCCTCACCGCGGGGATTACTAAATACTACTAATAATAAATATCAACAACTTTAAAGTCAAGTATATAAATAAAGAGAAATTAAAGAGAACATTTATATTCTTTAAAATATTACCCAAGAGGTAATATAGATATATAGGATATCATGTGAGTTTTTCTAATCAGTATCATTAAGCCATAAGCCAAACATGGCCAATAATAAAATATGATTTAAATAATAGGATTATAAAACCTTAACTTAACTAATACATCCATATCCCAGCTATCCCACAATAGAGCTAGATAGTCTTGCTAGCTCCTCTCTAGTTAGGATTATACTTAGCGAGAAACAGGCCTCGTCTCCCGCCATCTCAAGCCTTGACTCCCCCTACGGGTTCCTAGCTAGCACAAGCCTAAGTAATCCGCAGAACTCGGTACTATACTAGGATAGCTAGCCATTGGCATTAAAGCCTTGTGGTAGCTTATATCTGCGGGTGTCCTTATGCGCTTAAAAACTAAATCTATTATATATAGTACTAAGGATATGCAGAATATTCTCAAGTATAAGCGTGTGGACGTCTGGTTGATCTAATGCCTTGGGTACTTAAAGTTCCACTATTTTAATACTAATAATATTAGTGCCAGAAGAAAGCGTTATCCTACGTATACGCTGGTATATTTTGAATAAGGACTGATTCTTTACATAATGGAGGCTGCTGGTTACCACCTAGTTGTAGTATTGACGCTATGGTTGCTTCTTTTCCTGCTCCTCCTTTACCCCCTTTTCCCCTTCCTGCTCCTCTTTTATACGCTTTCTCTTTTTACGCTTCTCCTTTTCACACTTATTGTGTGCCTTAACGTCACGCCAGTATTTGCCAATTTCGCCTATTATAAGATTCTTATCCTATGATGTTACCTCTTATAACTAATTTATAACTGGCTTGATATTTACCTAGATTACTTTAGGTATATTAGTACTTTAAGGGTTCAGTTGTCTGGCTCTTGTGAGTATTATTGTTAGGTAAAAGTCAAGGTAGCAGGAATAGGAGGCCAGTATATATGCGGGTAGTTGGCATATATATCTTTTACTAAACCTAATATATACCTTGCTATCATATAAATATACTCTTCTTTAAAAAGTAATATACCTAGAAGTTAGATTGCTATACTACTTTAGCCAAGCTAAAGAGTATAAAGATGACTTCTTAATGTCAAAGCACAGCCATTTAACTATACTTGATAATAAGTTTTTCAACGTTATCAAAAGGGTATCTATTTGGTCTTAGGTAGGGAAATCGCTTAATCTAATGCCACATATCGAGCAATAGTGTGTTGAGTATTAAAGGGTCAATATAACACTGCATTAGCGTATATATATGATACCCTTAGCTTAATAAAGAGGCATTCTAGCCAACGCGTATTATAGCTTATAAAATGAGCATCCGTACTAAGTACTTCTGGCCCTTTCTGTCTTGTGGCTCTAATAATTGAATATTTAGTCTTTAATCTATTATTCATAAATAATCTGGAAGTTATATATATCATGTGATATCACACCTATGACTTCTAGCTAACAAGAAGGAAGAAATAAGAGCTTCGCAAGAAGACGGCTAGGGTTAATTATTCGACCTTTTTATATTTATAACAAGCTAGACATACAAACAGTCACGCCATGGTGAAGTGGGTGAGTATGGTCAACTTCAAGTATTCCCACCACCACTAATAACGCCTTAATGAACTATAGGTTGCATTTAAAGTATATAGACTTGTCTAAGGCATATTTAACCAGTGTTGAATATAATATCCTTAACTAGCTAATAAGTATATAAGAGTCTGTTTCTAATATGATCTAACTAATTAAGCTAGTAGATGTATCACATCTGATAGTTTATATTCTAGTAACTTTACTCAAAAGTGTGTAAATAGCTATAGCCTAATAGGCTAGTATAGAAACACTATTAACGGATCTGTGTGTGCCTAGCTCAGCTCGTGTATATCTAAATGCCAGCACCAGAGTTCTAACTAGACTATAGGTCTAAGGCGAGGCCCAGGGAGAAGAAGAACCACTCAGCAAGCTACTTAATAATATCACCTTAAGACTAAGCCACACCTGGGTAGACAGAGTAAACAAGACTAATATCAAGCTCAAGCATAGTAAGACAAAGTTCCAGATAATCCAATAAAGGAGGACCCGGGCCTAAGGTAGGATCCTATACTTCGTCTAAACCCCGTAGGCGCCGCCATAGCTATTACCATAGGCTTCACTTTTATAAAAGTTAGTATTATATCTGCATGCGCAATAATGAGTTATATTTTGATATGGCTAGTAGGAAGCAATAAAAGTACTATATGAACCCATGGTTTGGTCTAGGGGCCGGCCGATGAGGCTATGAGTAGATAATGCCCAATGAATCATCTAGAGTAGTAGAAATTTTCTGAAGCCTGAGAAGTTATCGACCTAATCCTATTGCACATCTCGCCAGGTGTTGAATAGAGATTTGGTGTAATACTGCCTGATTATACGAAACACGTTAGTCAACTACGCCGTTTCATTAAATATCAGTGTCAGCTCTCTATCATTGAACAAATGCTACGCCTGGCGTTTTAACGCCTGTTTCAGCTATAGCTAGCATCTCCGCGATGGCAAGATACATGGCCGTATGAGGAACATAAATAGGAGCTCAATATCGTGTATTTAGATGATCAGTGCTTGATAGATTGAAATCTCATAGATTGCTCCAGACCCACCTGACCAATCAAATCAATCAAATATCTCGTATCTCAGACCAGGCGATGATTCATAAGGCTGAGACCAACTAGTTGGCCATTTAGGCGATGATCCGGGATCTTCCGGAAGGGACTGATGAAGAGCAACATGATGAAAATTCTGCAGGAAAGTAAACCCGAAACTGCGTGGCCGACTCTCTCAGTATCTGTATGCTCCATGTCTTAACCGCCGTGCCTGACGCCGTGCCGTGGCCTGCTATATCGCTGGTCTGCTATAGTTCCTTATGTTCTTCCAGGGAGTTGAGGCTGGCCCCGGCTCCTTCCGACGCGCTTAATAAAGTACGCCAAGAAACGCGGGTCTTTTCGGAGCAGGGGCTAGCTTACCTAAGCTGTCCACCTATGACCTCATTTGTTACTTTTGTTTGCTCTGGAAGTAAGAAAGCTGAAGACGATTTGGATTCTTATATCAAGGCACCCGGTTCCTGGAGGAAGTCAATTTGATATCTCTTCAGCATCCCAAGAACTCTACAGTCTTCACTATTACCTTTGCTATTACACACACACTATCTCCTGTCTACTTTCTAATCCAATGCACCCACCATCACCAGCTCCGTTTAGAGTCCTCGTCCATGGCTCCGGCCCTGCAAGACTCCTTTCGCAGCAATGCCTGAAAGGCGGCTTCAGAGCGTCCCCCAGCCTGGTCATTGGCCTTCGAGGCAACTCGGCTTCGCTCTACTACAGTGGCAGCCATGACTCGCCATGTCGTGGCCAGGGAAGACACTTCTCCACCACCTCTCCAGCAAGGATGAAGGAGTTCTTTGCTGCGCCAAAGCAGACAAAGCGCATAGTCGAGACAGAATCAGCGTTTGAACACCCTGTGTACGTCAGATACATCTTATCCAACGACAGTAAACACAGCTAACATCCCACCTAGCTTCACCGAAAAGCAGATGAAAGACATCGTAGTCGCCCACCGCGAAACAAAAAATTGGTCAGATTGGGTCGCACTGGGGACAGTCCGTTTCCTTCGCTGGAGCACCGATCTAGCCACGGGCTACAAACATACAAAACCCGGCGAACCCGCACCCCCCAAGCACTTCCAGATGACCGAACGAAAATGGCTTATCCGCTTCGTATTCCTCGAAACCGTCGCGGGCGTCCCCGGAATGGTCGGTGGCATGCTCAGACATCTCCACAGCCTGCGTAAGATGAAGCGTGATAACGGCTGGATCGAAACGCTGCTTGAGGAAGCCTACAATGAACGCATGCATCTACTCACCTTCCTGAAGCTCGCTGAGCCAGGCTGGTTTATGCGTCTGATGGTGCTAGGTGCCCAGGGCGTATTCTTCAACGGCTTCTTCCTCTCCTACCTCATCTCCCCGCGAACATGTCATCGTTTCGTCGGATACCTAGAGGAAGAGGCAGTCATGACTTATACCCACGCCATCAAGGATTTGGAGGATGGCAAACTACCTGCCTGGTCGGAGCTCCCAGCGCCCGATATTGCGATTAAATACTGGAACATGCCAGAGGGACATAGGAAGATGCTCGACCTGCTCTACTATGTTAGGGCTGATGAGGCGAAACATCGCGAGGTTAACCATACCCTGGCCAATTTGGATCAGAAGATAGATCCTAATCCCTACGCGGCCAAATACGAAAATCCAGAAAAACCACATCCCACAAAGTCGGCTGAGGTCGTTAAGCCCACTGGCTGGGACAGAAATGATATCATCTAGACAATCCTTCACCAACTCCGAGCCGTCAGCTTTTCATCCTTTTTGTTATTTCTTTTGTTATTCAATTCTTCCGTCAACGGTAACGGCGCTTTGCGGAATTACATCTCTGGGTAAACTGCAGGGCAGCATGGTATGGGGTTTATGGAAATTCTCCTTTCTTAAAACGAGTCTGAGAGCTAGTGGTGTCCTGGCAGGCGTTTAACCGTTGATTTTAGCGCGATGATTGTTTTTAATTCATACTCTCCTTTCCTATTAACATTAAAGAAACAATAATAACTCATACTTCCGACCAATGTATACCAATACATGCCCACTTTTTTGTTTAACTTACCCCTAATCCCCAAGAGGATATGGGTGCAGAATTTGGCCGTCTACAAATTGCTGTCAGTCAGGCTTCGACTTAATGAGTATAGAATATTGAACTTACAGTATAGAGACGCCTCCTTACTTGCCAAAAAGATAAAGCTCGGGGCGATCTCACTTGGCTGACCGGGCCGTCCGAGCTTAGAGCCAGACCCGAACCCTTCCATCTGCTCCGCTGGTCGTGAGGCAGGCTGAATAGGGGTATGAACCGGACCCGGACTAGATGTGATATATGTTAGTGTTATATTCCTCGCCATAAACACCAACGAATAATAAATGACATAAATGGGGTGAAGAGGAAACTAACGCAACTGCATTCACCCTTATGCCCTTTGAAATCAGACTCTGAGATAGCGCTCTGGTGAAGCTAACAATGGCTCCTTTAGTAGAGGAGTAGTCGACGAGAGACCCCGAGCCGCGGAATGCGGTTACAGAAGTGGTGTTGATAATACTTTGAGAAAGAGTCAGTTAACCACCATATAACTTGGGCCAGACTGAGGCGTGAAACATACGAGCTACCCTTCTGCATATGTGGAACAGAATATTTCGACATGGCGATCATCTGTAGGATGTTGCTCTGAAAAGTACTCTGCACGGAATCCAGATCAATCTCCGAGAACTCCTTGCACATTATCTGCTTCGACGCATTGTTGACAAGGACATCAATGCGGCCATATTTCTTGATATGTGCAGCCACTGCGTTCTCGCATGTTTTGTTGTCCATAAGGTTTCCAGGGAATAGGAGACAGTCTCTTCCTTCTTTCTTGACCGCTTGAGCAGTCGCTTCTGCGTCGTCTTGTTCTTCCGGTAGATAGACGATGGTAACGTCAGCGCCTTCTCGGGCCATTAGGATGGCTACCGATCGACCAATCCCGGAGCTGTCAGAGCCAGTCAGTCAGTGCATCTTTATGTTGATGACGACGGGAACGACAAGACGCACTCTCCCCCAGTAATGATGACCTTCTTGTCCTTCAACTTGTTACAGCCGACATACTCGACGAAGCCTCCGCTGGACTCAAGCTTCGTCGATTCACTCGTCGGTGCCATATGCTTCTCTAGTCTAGAGACGAAGTCTTAGCACTGTTCCCCGATACGTCGTACGAAGAGGCTCCCATTGAATACCCAGGCTGTTTCTGCGCCTGTTTCTCCTTCACCGGCTCAAAGGCGCCACCCGAACCTGCACCGGAAGATGCCATTCTGATGTTGAAAGTAGCTGGATAACGGAGAGCTCTTGTGCCCAATCGATGAATTCCGGCAGTATAAAGTGCGAGTTGACTCAATTTCGAGGAGAAATTGCGAGAAAACATTTGCAGGAATGCATAGGATGTAGCAGAGGAGGGGCATCTCGCCTCCTAGATATAGTGAACGGATATAACGTGGGTAAACAATGACATCAACATCGATGAGATCATATCCTCCCACACATCCGATCAACTTGGTTCATGGAACCTTAAGGGTGGCTGACTGGACTGGGACCATCACTGTATGCCTGCACGCCTCGTCAAGCAGGATGTCGACCTGGATATGATGGATATGATGGATATCAAGACGGACACACGATGAGATTCTTCTTCTGGCGGTAGAAATAGCGAGTTGCCAGATCGGGACTAACCCCGACCAATCACGGGACTCGCTTTTCTGTCCGAACTTCGAGATGGATTTCGCGGCTTCACGATAAAAAAAGGGGACGACGAAGAACACTCGCTGTCTTCTCATGCCGGCGCTGTTATGGGTTTAATCTACTGGCTGCGGAGGCTGTACTCCCTGGATACCCTCGACACTCGTTTCACCGTCTCCTCCACGACTCCTCTCAAGGCCGTCACCACACCCTCGTATGCTCCTGGCGCGAGTGCTACCGATGTCGATGGCAAGAGATCGGACTCGGCGAGAGCTGGCGCGCCTCCTTCGAGATGGAATACAGTTGAATTCTATGTCTACTACCTGGTTTTCCTTACTGTAGTGCCGCTGATGTTCAAGGCAGTAATCGATATCTCACAGCGTGAGCATTTCTCGGAGTCCTGGATTAAAAAAGGGGGGGATAGGAGAAGAGTCAATGCTAACGATTTGTCCCGGTGGATTGATGTGTAGCCTCTCATTCAACCTATGCGAGTTACTCTGAACTGCTAGATCCGGGCTGGATACCAGGGCGTAGAGTGGTTAGTAGCTGTACACCAGTCCTATATAACAAATCCTCTGACACACTCCATCGTATAATAGGATAACTCAGACTCGCAATACTCGACCTTCCGTGATAACATTCCCTACATGACCATACTGCTGGTGCTCCATCCATGCCTTCGTCGAGCCTACGATCATTTCTTTCCTGCAAAAGTGTCAACAGCCCGTCCGATAGGCGGGAAGGCCAAGGACGATGATAAACCCCAAGGTGCTGCTGTTAACGCAGACGCTCGATTGAGACAGCGGGTAGTCTTTGATTACGCCTTTGGGATAATACTTATTTTGGCCCTTCACGGGATATCCGCACTCAAAGTCCTTACCATCCTCTGGATCAATTATATGATTGCGACCAGGCTCCCCCGAGCGCGGATACCTCTCGCCACATGGGTGTTCAACATTGGCATACTATTTGCAAACGAGCTACTCGAAGGATATCGTTTTGCAGATCTTGCGTTGCTCCTATCCTCGTTTAACCCTGGTTCTCCCCTCGTAGCGTGGGCTAAATCGATTGATGGGATCGGAGGGCTCGTACCGAGGTGGGAAGTTCTATTCAAAATCACTGTTCTCAGACTCATCAGTTTCAACATGGACTATTACTGGAGTCTGGATTATCGGCCTGGAAGCCCTGTAGAGGTACGTTCCATTCCCCGGCCCCATACTTTTCATTGTACATCTAAAGATATCTGACTTCCTAAAGAAGAAACAAATCGATCCCTCTGCATTATCAGAGCGTGATCGTGTCTCTACACCTGCGCCGCCATCTGCATACAGCCCGGAAAACTACCTGGCTTACATTCTTTATTCGCCGCTCTACCTTGCTGGTCCAATTCTCACCTTCAACGACTACATAAACCAACAACACTACACCCCTGCTTCTCTTACCCGAACCCGCACCATCCTTTATGGAATACGCTTCCTCCTCACGCTCCTGTCGATGGAGCTGATTCTACATTTTATCTACGTTGTTGCAATTTCCAAATCCTCTCCAGACTGGTCGGCCTATTCGCCCTTCCAGCTCAGTATGCTGGGATACTTCAACCTCCACATCATCTGGCTAAAGCTACTAATACCCTGGCGGTTTTTCCGTCTCTGGGCGTTAATTGACGGCATCGACCCTCCCGAAAACATGGTCAGGTGTATGTCCAATAATTACTCTGCCCTCGCTTTCTGGCGTGGCTGGCATCGGTCATTCAACAGGTGGGTTGTTCGCTACATGTATATCCCACTTGGCGGTGGTGGGCGAGGTAGATCTAGCACCAGCAACCCCGGTGATAGTAGTAAACCGTCTTTACTCGCCAAAGCTCGGGGTGTCATGAACTTTCTCGCCGTCTTCACCTTCGTTGCAATCTGGCATGACATCAACCTCCGACTGCTCATGTGGGGGTGGCTCATTACCCTCTTCGTCTTACCAGAAGTCATTTGCACCATTCTTTTCCCGGCAAAGAAATGGCAGTCACGCCCAAACACATACCGCGTGTTATGTGGAATTGGAGCGGTGGGGAACGTCCTTGCAATGATGGCCGCGAATCTCGTCGGGTTTGCTGTCGGGCTGGACGGCCTGCAGGGGCTGGTACAGGGTATCGTTGGCTCTTATTCTGGACTTGGGTTCCTCGCTGCCGCGTGCGCAGCGCTGTTCGTTGGAGTCCAGGTGATGTTTGAAGTAAGGGGAGCGGAGTTACGGGCCGGTGTCAGGCTGAAATGTTAGGATAAAATCATAGTAATATAAATAGATTTCATTAGGTGCATGGTTGATCTTCCTTCCCTCCCTCATTCTCCACCCGAAGGATCACAGTTAAGCTTATCCTGCGAGACAGGTTCGCCGGAAGCTGGCGGAAGCTGGCGGAAAAGCCGTCCGCATCGCCAGAGCATCGGTGGGGGGGCCACGAGGCGCAAGGTTTCACTAACGAATAAGCTTATCGAGCGGGCGGGAAGAAGATGCGAGGTACCACCAGACCGAAACTCGGATCTGGTCGGATGCGGTGCACCACGGGCTTCGAACCATGGCTCCAACCTTGATGATCGTGTAAATAAAGATGTAACAAAGTAACTATCTAAAACGGAAGTAAATATATACATTGCAAAGCTGCGTAAAAGGACGGACTTGACATTTATAATGAAACGTTTCACAACTCAAGGGAGAAAAAGAAGAGAATCTGAACTAGAGAAGGTATTGGAAAGAAATGCAGTCTTTTTCAAAGAACGTATTAGCACGACTCAATGGAGCCCGCTCTCGCCGGTCGCAGCCATGTGTTTCTGACATTTAACAAGCATTTCTACCTGCTTAGAAACCTCGCCCAGACGTCCGATCACCTTACGGTTACCGTCTGCGAAGCCATAGATCTTATATTCAATTCCAACTTCTTCAGAGAACTTCTTGACCCAGCCCTGGAGCTTTCGCAGATTATGTCTTGGCACACGAGGGAACAAGTGGTGGATGGCCTGGAACTGGAGTCCACCGTGGACCCAATCGAGCCAGGCAGGGCAGTCGACATCCATGGTGGTGCGTAGCTGGCGCTGAGCGAAGCATTCGGCCACACTCACGTCAGAGGTGGACATGGCGAAGTGGGAAAGTGTGATTTGCACATGTAGACCCATGGTGATGATGTAGGAGACGAGGACGAAGGCGATGCGTAGGGGCCAGGTGGGGATTGTGCACCAGACAAGGCAGTAGCCGAAGAGGTACCAATGGGCACACATGAAGACAATTTCAGTTGGTTTGGTCCAGGCGACTGCACCGAAGCTGGCAGAGCGGGGGGAGAGTAGATGGAGCCACGAGAGGAGGTGGAGGTTGAATCGTGCTATGCCCATGATGGGGTAGTAAGAGATATGCTGGTATTGGCCGACGATGTTGGCTGCTGCGTCCCAGACGTAGACGAAATCATAGTAGGTGGAGCGAAGGGACTTGAAGAAAGAAGGAGAGGTGGCGAAGAATGGGATGTTTTGGATATCTGGGTCATGTTCCTAGAGAAGAGGATTAGTCCTGGTATGCAACAGATAAACGGCAGAAGTGCAATATGTAAACGGCAGAAGGAATGCTTACAGGATGGTTAGGAACGAGGTGATGAACGTTGTGGCTGGATTTCCACCAGCCAATTGATAGTCCACAGCAGAAATCTGCGATGAACATGGCGATTATCGTGTCAATGGCAAAGTTATGGGTGATAGCTAGATGACCACCGTCATGCGCAGTGAACATGATCTGGTGCCAGAACAGGCCAAGGAAAACTGCAGAGGGGATGTACCACCCAGCCCTGAGAGTAACGATGAAGAGTCCGAAGAGGATGGAGTATCGTATCAGTTCCTTTCCGTACTCGCTATAAGGGCAGTTGTATAACCCGGCATCCTTGATTCTCTGGTGCAGCTCCTTGTATTTGGACGCAATGTGACGCTGTGTCTCGGGATCCAGGGAGGGGTAATCACGGTGGTCATCGTCGAGCTCCTTCTGCACCATCTTCTCCGTGTATTCTTCCGGGGTAAGGTGGTGGTCCTCGATGTTACGACTCTGTATATCAGCCTTTCGCGCGGCTGCACGTTTCCTAATCTCCACCTTGAGCTCCTCTTGAGTCTCCATGATATCTTCAACGGTGGTTTCACTCGTGTCAGATCCACGCGAATCATCCTCTGAAGCACTTGTGCTATCATCTGCCAGGGTCAAGAATATACCACCTCGGATTGGAGGCGTCATGCTTATCCAGGGACCTTCGACGCGACCAATTCGATACTTGTCCATGGTTGCGAGGGTCTTCTCGGAGTGGTAGCTATATCATAGAAGGATCGAAGAAATTAGCTATAAGCTCAGCAGTACCCCCCACTCCCACTGCCAACACTTCGTACCAAGAAAAAGCGTACAGTATTGCGCAATAACTCACCCTGTCTGGAAACAGCTAAAGGTAGGCCAACTGGGTGCAGCATAAAGGTAGGAGGGAATTCTTTACATATTGATCTCATCAGTGGCGTCTCTGCCAACCATGTGTCTAACCGCCAAACGTCCTCCAGGATGGCGTTGGAGCCATCCGTCAAGTCGAAGGACTCTGTTGTCCGCTATCACGATGGTCTGACCTCGAGCTATGCGGTCCTCGACCTCCCGTGCGGAGAAGATACGATTGCGGTCCATGGCGAAATGAAAGAGTGCGTTGTATGGAAGCGATGCAGTGCAATGCAATGTAAATCGAAGAAAATAAATTTATGCCTCTGTCAACATCCCAAAAACGAATGAATTGTAATAAAGTAAAAAAAATTAAAAAACGTGTAAAACGAATGAGCTAGCGAGCGGATGGCCGTTGTGTTCGAGGAAAAGTTGAACCTCGAAGAAGGGCTGTTTTATTGAAGAGAAAATAAGCTCAATTGATGGGCGTTCCCTCTCAACGAGTTTATTCCAGGAGAAGCTTTAACTGGAAAAGGAGCGTAGTGGCGGGCCCCAGCAACTAAATATCAATCACTAGTCAACGGCTAGCAGATTCAAAAGGGCGAGTGATTGACTAGGAAGAAGAAAAAAAGTCCCGTTGTGCAGATGCAGCAGCCGGGGCATGCATGTTGGACAAAGCAGGCACTGTTAATATTAAGTTGGCTTTTTAACGAGCCAGGCAACGAGGTTCCTTTCCGCGAGAAGGGAAAAAAAAACCAAACCCAAACCCAAACGATGCACAGAGACAAGAGTCAGGGGGGCGACAGCAAGAAAACGGGCTATGCCAGCTTGTGGTTGGCTTGTGCCGCGCGGCAAGGGGGAAAGGGGGAGTGGAAAAAGCCAGACAGCAACCTCGAGCGCGGGCGAGCGAGCAATCTTACTGGTGTTACGCCGCCAAGCAGGAGAAAGCCGCCAAGCAGAAGCATGAGTGATAGGGGACATGGACATGGACATCCACAGGCTAGTGTTGTTCGAATGACCATCAGGCGTTGCTCCAGCGAACGGCATCCTGCATCTCAGCAGCGGTGTGATAGACATATATGGAGTGCTGACATCACCCACCAACCCTATATATGTATTCCCCTCGTCGTCGTCACGCTGGAGTAGTCACGGCAAAGAAAGATCGGGGAGCCCTTCAATCCACAGTGGAATCGATCCCCTTGGCGCCTGATCAGTAACCCAAGCAGAGCCGGGCAGGTTTTCGGTTTTGTGGGTTCAGTCTTGCCTCAGGTAGAGTTTCCCAGGATCTCGCCGTGGCATGTCTGATATTATATCTTGTCTTGTCTCCTTTGAGAACCGGGATCTTGGGGCGATGGGGATGCGATGTTGCTTCGTAGGAAGATTATACGCACTGTCCGCCGCCGCCAGCCGTCCGAGAAAGGTTGCATCTGCCTCCTACCGGACGCAGGTCTCTTCCGCTGGTCTGGTTGTACGGAGGGGGACGAGAGAGTCGCACCCATTTCGCCCCAGGTTACGTGGGTTTTGCGCAGTTCTGGCCGTCGAGTAAAAGTCCCGAGTCGCCTCCTCTCCGTTTTTTTGACTTCTCATGGCTTCTCCCCCTTTCCTGTCAGTTTTGTCGTCGTTAGTTAGTGGTGGCTGATTCGCGATGCCGGAGTTGTTTCTTCCTTGGACGTCGTTTATTTCTTGTTCTGGAGAGTGTCTTATGTAAGACGTTCTGCGGCAGAATCTTTTTTTTTCTCCATCCTCCTTTGCAATCTCCATCAACACATCAAGAGCCAATTCGTTTCAACACTCGTTAAACGTGTCTTTTTCCTTACTTTTTCGGAGACAAAGCAGTTGCAGCGTTGTTCCTTTACCTCTTTGTACGTACATCTCGCCCGCTATCAATCGGCACGGTCGTTAACAGCCGACTTCAGATATTTCTTCGTACTCCATATTAGACTTGGATATGGCTTCCAGGATGCTACTGACGGCGTTCCGTGCGAATAAGCCATCGATTCTCTCCAATGTCCAGAGATCCGCTCACTTTTCTTCGTCGAGGCAGCTTCTGAACGCTACCGAGGCCGTCGTCCCAGGTCAAGGCCTCGGCGCCTTTCGTGGAGGGTAAGGATCATGCTTTTCTACCACCGAACAGCCTCGCTTGCGTATTAACAGCCACTTTGCAATGTCTTAGGCTACTTGGATTCTTTGCTGGCTCAACCGTTGCTGGTGCATCCATCTACTACTACATCCTGGAGGAGTTCCGCATGTCCAACGAAGCGCTGACGGGGGACATCTACGTACGTTACTGCATCTAAAACCTCGCATTATCACCAAGCACCAGCAGCAGCACCACCACCAGGGCCGTGGACTCGTTCTCATCTCCTGCTGCTATTTTCATTCACCCCTGTTCAAACGCCGCATGCAAGGGCTTGCATTTGAGTTGGTTTTTTTTTTTGGGGAAATTTCTCCACTTCTCGCCGAGCCCACAGCCCGCTGATTCGCACCCTTAAACCGAGCTTTTTCTTTTCTTCTTCGCTGCGTCCCGCTAGCAAATCTGCCTGCGTTAGATTTCTTTTCCCCTGATGATCCTAGACGAGTAATGATAGATTTTTAGATGTATGTTATGAGATGAGCGCTGATTGAGTTTCTCCCTTCTACCTGTAGGCCTTGCGAGCTGCCACCCAACGCCTGGGTTCCTATATCGCTGAGCTGGAAGAGAAAGTAGACCGGGTCCAGAGAAAGATCTGATCCAGAAGTACTCCGTAATGCCGCGGTGATATCGCTCGACCATGGATGTTCCTCCTTTCTAGCTAGCCATTGGGCCACTCTGTCCTCTTCCGGCGCTCACTCCCTTGTCGACGTCGCATTTCCCCCTCTTTGTCGCAGCTCGGCATTGCGAATTGCGTTCAAAGCCCTCCTGCTCTTCTCTTTCTTCTATCTCCCAAAGCGTAAAATTTAGCGACGCCATGAAATTCTCCAAGATATACACGTGACTTGACTATTACATAACGTTAATTACATAATCCCATGTATATTACTTAAGCATATTAGCAAACAGGACAAACATGAAAGTTGATATCAGAAAGTTGACCGTGAGGATGGTGTTTCTTTTGCTCAGACGTCCAGAGCCATGTCTTCCTTGATCGAAGTTGTGTCGACGCGGGCTTCCAAGTCTCCAGGATGGGCATACGTCCCCGCTACCCGGTTCGATGCCCCCGCCAACAGCCGCAGAGAGACCGGTGGCCGGAAACGAGCAGCGCGAGAGATTGGCGGCGACACCAGCGGCGCGAGATCCGATCTTAATTCAAGACAACGCAGCGCTATCGCCAAACATTTAGAAGCCCTGGAGAAGGAGAATCATACGGAAACATCGATTCCCGTACCGCAAAGACGTCAGAGGGAGCACACGCTCAAAGGTTCGCTCCCACACCTGTTACATGGCGAGGGATGTTGTGGATAGATTGCTAACAGAAGCTATATAGGTGTGAGAAGTAAGACCTCCTCCAACACTCGGAAGATCATTACCTCTGGGAAACAGTTCAAAAACTACCTTGCTGCGGAAGAACCGGCGACTCTCGCACTATCAGCTTCAACAATAACAACCGCAACAACTTTGAGCCAGCGTTCAAACGTTATAAAACCATCAGACACACCAGCTCCTCAAGCGGATACCAATGCCAACCGCCCTCTTCCCAAATCAGCCAACCAGCCCTCCGAGTTGATCGCATCTGACTCTGATAACGACCCCCTCATACGATCTTACATTCCATCAGCGCCCTCTGAACGCATTATGATGGCCCTCGTCTCGGAGCCGCCATTGTCATATCAGGCCTCTCGTGCCACATTGCCGGCTAACAGTAAGCCGGCACGACAGTTTTGCGGTATATGTGGCTATTGGGGAAAGGTTAAATGCATCAAGTGTCATGCACGAATCTGCGGGTTAGAATGCTCTAGGATCCACCAAGAAACTAGATGTGATCGATTCTACTCATGAAATCATTGCCAATGCCTGCAAAGCTCTTTTGGGACTTACTGCTCAAATTATATGAGGCTCAGAGGTAGTTGTCACTTATACCGTTGGGGTATACGCATATGACCAAATCACCTGGACAGAGCATCTAAAAGCCATCCAAGGCCATGTTGACCCAAGTTTAACAATCTGGTCAGCGATATGTGTATACCTGGCATGATTTCAAACTCGCCAAGTGAATTGGTTCGTCAAAGCCGTACACGGCCAAGTGCCGCGGAGGTAAATTGTGCGGATGGACGCTGATATATTATCATACTAAGTCCGACGTGAAATGGGGGTATAAAGCTGATACATTGAGCTGGGTAATCGAAGATGTTTGATGGCATCGTGGAAGGACGAGCGCTAGAGAGCTGCGACCTGTGAAATGTGAGAAGAGTATGGCATCCAGCCATTGTCATTATTCTCAATGCTCTAAGATACCCCTGAAGCTCCGCCTACGTGGAGTATAATGGCTTGTAAAGACGAGTAATGTCTATATTTACGGATCAGGAAACGGTGGTGGAATGGATAAGGGATATATTCAACGTCTACTGAAGAGGAGTATAAAATGCAACGCGAAGTGACGCTGTTTCTTACTTTATAGAGGGTATAAAATGAGTAAAATTAGCTACTAGTTAGCTAACTATAGTAAACTCGTTGAGTAAATCCGCTAGAAGATCATCCGTGCAGGCTGTCATATCCGGGACGCCCATACTATACATAGTCTCAAAAGAGTGTATACTCAACCGATCAAAGAAAGGCCGTAGCAACTTTTCTATAATCTCGTCCTTGGCAGTCTCTCTGCTGAGATCGGAATTTAACCACGCCCGCTTAAACCCATTTTTATGGTCAGAATCTGCATCGGCACTCTCCCCGTCACCTTCGCCCTCGTAGCCATTCATATCTCTGGCTGCGGTCCAATGTTCACTGTGCGGACTTTTTGTCTTACCTAGTGAACGGGAAAGTTCGTCAGCCAGAGCCACTGACTCCCATCGATTTGGTGGGTAGACCACGTCTATAGTATCCGTAACAAAAAGCCACTCCTGTAATTGGAAATCATCCGGTGAAACAAGGAGCAGAGTCTCTAAAAGTTTTGATGCCTGGAGAAGTGAATAAGGATTATACGTTTCACTCTCCTGTTCTGGGGTGATTGCGGATATCGCATCTTGGAGCTCAGTATTTATCATTGGCCAGAATGGAGCGAGGCTGATGGAGCCTGTCTTGAGAATTAGGGATCGAAGAACCATGTATATCTCTGCTCTGGTCACGGAAGATGGAGATGAGACATGAGTAGCCGCAAGGAGGTCCTCTAATTTCTGCTGAAGCTCCGATAGTTCAGCGCTGAAGTGGTCTTCATCCGATGCAATGATCAATAGGGCAATCCTCCGTAGGTTCAGTTGTGCTTTACGATCCGCTTCTAGTCGGGCAGCGCTCGCACCCACGCCAAACATTATACCCGCAGATGCAGGAGGTGTAAGACGGGAGAGCAGCTCGGTAAGACGCTCCGTATCAGTCAAAACCCACTGACGGAACAGGCGTACCCAATGGCTTTTGACGAGGCTGAGCTTAAATCCAAAGAATTTACTGTCGTTGAATGCATCGCCAACGTCTTTCTTCCAAATCTTTGCTGCGCCCTGTACCTTTGACATTTGCTGTAGAAGGTCAAGAGTGTTCTTGTCCACATTCGCAGGGAATAGCCGAGAATGGAACGTGGGTGACATAACACTTGTTGATATGCTTGATATCGCACTAGATACTCTATCGGGTTCGCCAAGGGTAGCCGTTAACGCTGGGAGGGTTACGGAAAGAATGCCTATAACATCGTCCGGCCCAATTCGTTGTAACAGAGAAGAGGGATTTGATTGGTCCGATTCTTGATTATTTTTGGGGATTGTCGATGATTCATGGGTACCTGATAAAGGCTTGCTTGTAAAAATAGCCGGCAGTAGTCGTAATATCAAATCCTATGAAAACTGTTAGTTCTTGCGGAAATAAGTAGGTTCAGATATCCAGACTAACCCCTAGCTCCTTTCTAGTTCGTCGGTCATCTCCAAATGTAGTGTTCTCCATCTTGCCACCAAGGGCCACAGCAAACTCCAACAGGCGAGGTAAGATCTGGCGATGTGGAAATGGATTTGTCAGAACGTCTCTTAAGAATGTGATGCAGTCATTCCAGATGTCGTCTAAGAAGTCATCATCCAATGACTTGGCATACATGACCAGGAAAGCTGCTAGATCGGTCTCCGATAATTCTGAGGCCATCGCTGATTTGCGGCTTGGATCCAAAGCAGCTGGGTTGGTACGGCTATATATAGCATTGAAAATGGCAGGAATGGTGACTTTAGGTTTCGATCCGTCTAAGGTGTGCAATAGGCTGAATATAGCTCTGCTCTTTGCAGGCTCGTCCAAAGCTATTGATGTACGCCATAGTTGAATCAATGTTTCCAGGCATTCAAGCGCTTCCGCGGCGAATAAATGTTCCAGTATTCTTCGAGCCCTATTCCTCATCCTCAAAGAGGTGTATTGGAATGAGGCAACTGATTCGTTATCTCTGGAGGATTTGCCTCGCCCGCTTGCACCCCATGACCAAATTGAGTAACATAACTGCACAGCATCTTGAAAGCACAGAAGGACTGTAAGTCTCGTATTGTTGCCACTGGTAGGCTGAGCTTGGCTGCCTTCCGTTGCAAAGATGTTGCCAAAGAATCCTTGGGGTTGATCTGGTGTTTTCACGCTAGCTGTGTTCACCTCTTCCACTTGAAGCCGGTCGTGGGCAGTTGCAATGCAGTTTTCGAGGCCACTCAAAAGCGCAATAGTAGTTTGCTCGGGTGAACAATCGGAAGTTCCATCTGATGCCTTTTGAAACATAATTTGAAGCTCATTGAAGGATGTACTTATCTCCTTACAGAAGCATTCCACAAGTGTAAGGAGAACCTTAAAGATCGACGCGTAGTAAATTGGCAGGCATTCCGCGAGGAAATTTACCCATTTATCGATAATGGGGCGAGAAGACTTTGAACTAATTCCCTTGAGTAAACAGTCCAAGAGCTTTGAAGGTGGCTGGGGTAGAGCTGGGCTAGCCTGGACTTTGTCAGTTCTTTCAGTGCTGAATGATAGTCGGGCCATGTCAAAAGACCCCTTTCTTTGATGTCTCTGAGATGCACTTGCCAAACCCCCTGAAAGGTGATGTGCATATCGAGTTTTAAGGACTGGGATTAGAGCATCTATAATAGAGGACTGGTGCTCGACCTTGCACTCATCTAATGCAAGAGATAGATTGTCAAGAAGATAAGAATCGATATCCAAGGAAAGCAGTTTCTCTGCTCCAGTACTTGACAAGAGCAGGCGTAGAAGAGATAGGGCTTCTTTTCGAAGTTGGGCTTGTTGGGTGCTGAGACTTTCTGGTACATTTTGGACGCTGTGAAGCGCGTGAAAGCATATTTGTGAAATCTCATTCTGGATTGTCAGGTCCCCCTTATTTTCTAATATGTCATTAGCTTTATTCAAGAGCCCAACATATCATGGAGCAATGTACCTTCTACATCGAATGGAACGGATTTACTCCTACTTGGTTGAGAAACGGTGTTTGACAATATCAATGACCATCCGGCGGGACTCAGTACCGATATTACATTAATTGCTAGTCGAAGCATATAGCTGCACTGATTGGCGTCATTAAGGATGATTGTTTCTCTGAATTCGCCCGTCTCCTCTGATAACGTTTCACGTAGTAGCTCAAACCCGTGGAATTTCAGTAAAATGATGCGAAATAGCCTGCGGCGATTGTCAGTGCGCACTATTACCAACAGGAACAGATATAGACATACTCATATATAGATGGGAGATCACGAAGCCAGTCTTTGACTATGGGGGAAACAGCTTCGGGCCCAGAGGAGAGTAGATCAAGTACAGTAAATAGTGGTTGACTAAGTAAATTTGCGCGGTATACTGATTTGATATTGGGACCATCATCATTGGGGATACGCAATGCAAACGAATCTGTGTTAGAGTGGTGGCTATGATTCCAGAAAACGAAGAATTTCTCCGCCTGGCGAAGGGTGGCGCGATGAGAGGAGCTGGACGAGGATGAAATCATCAGTGAGGTTATGGCGGCCTCTACAAGGTGATCCCGCCAGCTAACTGAATGCAGAAGCCATAGGCCTGCTGCGGCTTCCACATGGAATCTTAGGTTCGCTGGCTCCAGAAATTCCCAGAGCTGCTGGACTAAAGCTGGAATGAGATCACCGATTTGTTCGTAGCTGATATAGCGGCCGGCCTTCTTATTGGAATATAGAGAAGTTAGGGCAAATACAACTGCGTTTATGGTGGACATCGGAAGAGTCGTATGTTCCTCGTTTGCGGCGGTGATTTTCCGTTCGATAGCTTCATATAACTTTTCTTGTTGTGGAGGCTGTGTCTTTTGTGCCTTGTTAAGTAGCGCAACGAGCAGGTTTATTCTTTCCCTAAGAAATATAGCCTGGGTATCAGACTCTAGGGCAAATAATACCAGAGATTGGGCTTCGCGGAGAATTAGGCCTGCAACTCCAGTTGGTGAGAATGGCGGTTCTGGAAGCCGCAACATATCTTTACTCCTCGAATAGAAGCCCAAAATTGTGTTGGTTATCTGGTCCTGGTTCATTGACGTAGAGGAGACATCTGCGTCAAAACCCTGGCCTTTATCCAGTCGAGGTCCAAAGGCTCTTTCGGGGACGAGGCGAAGTAGCAGATTGACAATTGAAGTGATTTCATCTAGGGCAGTGTTTGCTATGTTGGAGTAGCCCGGTTCATTCCATGCACCAGATCCACAAAGTGTTTTCGTTTTAAGGAGTAGTGACAAGATCAGCAAAGGGATGTGGATGGTTAGCATTTCCTCTTCTTTCATGTTGAAGTACGATAAAATGAACGTTGCCAAACGCAAGTCGTCAATCATACGATTTGGTCGAGCTGTGCTCGAACGAGGAGAAAGGACTAGGCCAACGATCTCAGAGAAGATCAAATTACTTTCAACCCCGTCGAAAAATGCACTGGCACTGCGAAATACTTCATCGAAATTCGCCTTCGATGTGGCTACCTGCTTGTATTTCTGGGCATTGCGAATGACGGGGAGGAAAACCTCGGGCACTACCAGCCCACCAACCTCCCATCGATCCATGAGTGATAGTGATATGCGGTAAGGCCTCGCCCTCTCGTTTGGGCTCAAAGAATTCCTTGCAAGCATGGCTTTAATACTACCAACAAGGGGCCTCAGGCCGAAGCGTTCAAAGTATTGAGACTTTGAAGCATCATTATCGAAAGTGGCCATCGCTGCTGGACTTGACGATACGGAATTTTTATCGACGGTATCATTCACTTGGGAGGATTTATCAAAATCAGGCCCCAGAAGCCAAGCCCATAATCGACGATTGAGACTCATGTCCCTCCGGATGACAACTCCAACGGCAGCACCAACAAGAAGCTGTAGATCTCCAGAGGTTATTCGCTGTTGTAGAACAGGGGAATGTAGCGGGAGATGGGTAACTAGTAGATCCAAGAAGTTTCGTTGTATTAGAACTTGTTCATCGGCCAGCCCAGTCGCAAAACACCGAATAAGAAGGCCAGGTTCTGGAGATGTAATGCTTTTGATGGCATTCGACAAATCAGCGTTCCTATCGCCTCCAACATCAGTATCATCTTGGCCTTTTAACAGGCCCTCCGGCGGTATTGTGCCGCCGAGCTTTGGTAGATGACGATTTAAATATGCAAGGGCTCCTACTCTCCGAGATGGGTTTGTAACGGATGCAAGAAAAAAGCATTGCCAGAAGTATTGGCTACCAGTCGCCGCGCCAGAATTATCTCCAGCGGTACTCGAGACATGGCGAAGCTGATCTACTAGTTTGACTGTCTCTTCGAAATCTTCACTGGTCTCATCTTCAAGGCCGGGCAGAAGAGCAAGGATTATAGATTTAATGGCGGAACGTAGCGCGGCGGGGTTAAGCTGTAGGATATGTTTTTCAACGAGCGAAAGAAAAAGCGGTCGGACTGAGAGCGATGCGAACGATAAAGTGGGCGCAATTCCAGGAAGGTATATTGCAAGATCTCGGGCTAAGCCGTCAGACTAAATAGCGGATAAGCATCCAAAGGTTGTGTAGGCTGAATTGAAGACCTTCTTACTCTAAGAAGCCCAAATATATACCCGTACACCTCCAGGGCCTTTTGATGAACTCCAGACGGTAGCGACGGGTTTAGGCATTGAGCAAGCCTCTTTGCAACAAGGACTTTATTCGGGACAAGGTATAGGGTGGGAGGGTGTGTTTGAAGCGCCTAGTACCCTGAAATCAGCTGGTTGTTCTGTATATAAAAAGGCCGATAGGTAGTGAATTCACCTTCAACAGGCGGCTCAAGAACGAGATGTAATCCGCCCATTCTTGCAAAGCCGTATCGAAAAGAGAGAGGGCGCGGTCGACATTCGCAGCATAGCGACGGTAGCTTTTATCCTTCTTCAGGCCGCCTACATCTAGTACACTGGTCAGTAATTATGTTCCATGATCTCGCCAGGCTACATTGCGCACCTTCGTTAGGACGGCCTGGAGGCTTCGGTAAGGATGCTTCGGAGCTGGCGGGCGAGGAAGATCTTTGAAGTCCGCTGGGTTCAAGGCTCATTGTATTTAACGGATAGGAGACCTTTGCGTTGCAATCTGGCCATCATCAATTATATCATCTCGCGATACAAAAGGTGGCTTTTCGTGTTTGGAGTTGCTAGACGGTTTGACATGTGAGCAGTTGTTTGCCTGATCTGGCCACAACAAAGTATGACCTCACCACCACCATCACTACGACACTGTGAATATAAAACGCCAACGACGAACATGATACGAATAGGGAGACAGCGTGTCTGCCGCTATGTATAGCTCTACCTGATGATATTTATGCATAAATATATTGAAGAGCTAAGCATTCCCTGGAGAGAGTGGTCGGCGATGAACATGAGCTGCGTACAATGGCTTCAACTACGACACCATCGCAGAAGAGAGACTCGGAAAACCAGCCTATAAGTCCAGAGCAGGCCACAGGCGAGAGCAGCGAGAATCCCAAAGATGAAATATCAGAAGATGAACGCCCACCGCTCCCACCACGCCCGCAGAAGCTGCCCCAAGGACAGCCCACTGCGCACTCGGATTCCGGTCTAAATCCTTACTCGACAGCCCATAAACTGCAGTCAGGACCGACAACCGCTCTGTCATTGGCAAATGTCAATGTCCAGGCTCTAGACGATGTCAATCGAGAGAACTATGTGTCACTGGCTGGAGATGGAGGCCTTGAAAAGACTGTGAGACCGTCTACCTCAGCCACTAATAGACGAGGGAGCAGGTTTTGGACCGAGACAGGAGACTCTGCTAGCATTCGAAGTTTTATGCCTGGGAGTGAAACCCCGATAGAAGCTGGGAGCTTATTTGGCGATTTCCCTGGATTTGGAACCGAAATTCCATTCAGGAATACTTCAGCGAGGTTTGAGGAAAATTATTCTATATTTAATGCACAAAGTCAAGAAGACGATGCCGCTGCCATTGAATTCGAAGAAGAGTTTGATTCAGTGGGTGAGTCAAGCGAGGATGAGAATGAAGGTATGGATCGAATATTACTACCGGGGTGATTCTTCAAAATTTCATGCGCAAAGAGTTAACATCATTTAGAGCAGAAACTCGAGAGGTGGAGGAGAAAAAAGAAGCAATTCTTCATTCTCTCTTCGGCTGGGAAGCCTATATATACGCGCCATGGAGACGGGGGGCTGATATCCCCATATATCGGTATCATTCAAACGATAATTTCGTTCTATCAGGAATCTGGAGGCCCCTTGAAGAGCTTCTCAGCCGGAAAGACCAAGATCGTGATTCTAGCTCAGGGCCCGCTGTATCTTGTGGCCATCAGCTCAATTCTTGAAAGTCAGGCCCATCTCAGGGCACAACTTGAAGCACTATATATGCAGATACTCTCAACATTGACTCTTCCAGCACTTGACCATATTTTCACTGTTCGACCGAGCTCGGACTTGCGACGGCCGCTCCAGGGAACTGAATCTCTCTTATCGTCCCTCGCTGATAGCTTCACAAAGGGCTCGCCTTCGACGCTTCTGAGCGCGTTAGAGTCGTTGAAAATCCGAAAATCGCACCGCCAAGTTATTAGCAATACCTTTCTAAAGACTAGAGTTGAACCATTACTATATGGTTTACTAGTCGCAGGTGGAAGGCTTGTGAGCGTCGTTAGGCCAAAAAAGCACTCACTGCATCCAGGGGATCTCCAGCTGATTTTCAACATGATCTTTGAAGCCGACGGAATAAAAGCCGGAGGCGGTGAAAGCTGGATCCCCATTTGCCTACCGGGATTTAACAATAGAGGCTATCTCTATATGTACGTGAGCTTCCTTGACGTTCATAAAGGGAGGACAGCCGGTCAAGGTGTCGAGGAGGTGAACAAGGACGACATCGTGGCCATCATCCTAATTAGCCCTAATAAGGAGAGTTTTTATGCTTTGCATGAGATGCGGGACTCTCTTGTGGAGGTGAGTTTCAATAAAATGATGAGAATATCTCTCGTGAACCATAAAAATCCATTATGGAAACTGATGATACCTCTAGCAAATGGAAAAAAATGGAAGCATGGATGTTCTAAAGGTAGCCCTTGAAAAGGGTCGACCAGCACCAACGGATATCGTTCCCGGAACAGTGGTTCGGCACTTCTTGTACAAGTCGAAAGCCAACGTTCAGTTTACGATGTCATCCTACTCCCCCCAATTCATGACAGTACTTGATCGGCGAAGGTAAGCCACCAACCAGGCATTATACATTATCCATACTGTCTGTATATTATCCGTCAACGTTTCCGAGAAGCTAACAGCTTTAATTTAATCCACAGGCTTATGTCCGCATATCATTCATTGCATCTCAGTGTTCATGAAAAGCCCTCACATGTCAAAGTACAATATTGTGTCTCGTCTGCTGCAAACTCACTTGCCTGGGTTACCCCAACGTTTGAACTGTATTGTGTGGCATCTCCCCTTTCCAATCGAAATGCATTATCCCAAGGTGCAAATAAAATCGCCCTTTGGGTTCAAAGAGAACAGGAACGGCTCTTTATCATTGGCGGAGCAGTGAGTGTGACCCTATCCCTGCTGGATCTCTTGCGTAGAATTACTTATAAACTAATCGCCGCGTTAGGTTTTCTAAAAACAAGAGAATCCATTTGTCCGATGTTGTTGTGCAGCCCGGGATCAAACCTTAGAAAAAACTGTAAGTCTAGGTGTGTCATATCAAACCTGTATGTATGTTTTGTCTATAACATTCCTGATGTTTTACCGCCTGATGTGTCGCGGAGTCACGGAGGAAGGTAGAAGAAAAGTAAGGCAGAGGAACGCGTACGATATAACACAGAGTATATGATATCTAAGTTACGTCTAACTTGCTCTTGCTTCAATTAATGATACGCACGGGGTATTACGCGGCGCCGAGCCAACAATGCTGGGTATTATAAATCGTAAAAAGATGAGGCTAAACAAAACATGAGAGGAAGTGAGGATGTTCATGTAGGCATCATTCCAATAGAGGGTGTACGTGGGTTGGTGCTCTTTGACTTATTTCGGGGTCGCGAAGTTGTGGGAGAAGACCTTCTCCTCGCTGGCCTAGGACCTTGAGACTTCTTGTTCGCCTTGCTATTTGGGAGTTTACTTCCACGGGTTGATTTTCCAGGGCGTGAACGCTTAGAGTTAGTGTATTGTGACCTCGAATTTTGCCTTGAATGACTTGTTTGACGTGACGGAGGTTCAGTATTTTCGGAGAACTGGAATTGGGAAACTTTAAACCAAGGTAAGCATATGGGTTGTAGATATGGTAGGGGAGAGGGAGCAAACCTGTTGTCTTGAATGACGGGGTAGCATCATCGGGTGGAAAATACGGGCTCTCTTTTTGAACCGCCTCAGCACAGTTTAGCTCATTCTCACTCCAGTCACCATACATCTCGTCATCACTACTTATGGTAACGACGTTTTCATGGTTTGGATCGTGAATAGCTTCATTCTGTTCGTTACTCGTAGAACATCCCGCCATCTCTTCATAGCGCCTTTTTGAATTGGCGATAAGGGTCAAGAATCTTGAACCATACCGCCTGACCTTGTCACGGTCGATATTACGAATGCGACAAAGTTCGTCCAGCGCTGAATTTGTCATGTTAGCAAGGTTGAAGGATCTTATTATGAAATTAGGAAGCTTACTTGAAGGAAACCGAATCCCCATTTCTCGGAGAATTGCGTCTGGGAATGGCTGGTCTCGGAGATGTTTGTCCATTTTGATCTGAGACATCAAAGTTAGTTAATGAGCCTTTCGTTTTCGTCTGTATGTTCAACTTACCTTATCACATTCGTCCTTTGCCAACAATAAGAATTCATCTAAAATTATCACGCGAAGGTCACTTAGGCCGGACCGGCTTCCGTCATCAGTGATTCGGGGGCCAAGTTGTGAACGACGTGCCGGCGGTGGCTTTCCCACGTCGCGAATCGGAGCGAAGCCATCACTATCGTCATCCGCTTCGACTTCTTCGATATTGCTTCTTCGGTTCCGTACGCGGCGACGCGATTCATCTTGAATGGGGGAAGAGACATTGGTTGATTCTGGATACTCTTCTCTTGCGGCTCGGACACCAGTATAGCCTGGTTCCCGTCTCGTAACGGTTGTACTAGTTGTCGTATTAGGAGTGATTCGAATTGGAAGAACCGTTTTGTGGCGGCGGCTCTTAAAGTGCTCTGCTTTGGGTCCCGCTTTAACATGCTGAACTGCGAACCCCCGCCGATTAGGAGTATTTTCCTCTTCGATGGCATCCTCATAAAGCAGCAATCGAAACAGCCGTTCAACATCGCCTCGTTCAAGGTTGGATCCATGGCCATATTCTGGTATATGTGAATACTCTGAGTTGCGTGGATAGCCTCTAAAGGCATCAACGCAGAATAGAACTGTGACCTTGGCATCCGCAAGTTGTTCAACAAGCCTGACGGCGGCAGCAGCGTGGTCTGTGAAATCGCGTCTCTCGAATGTGAAGTCTGACTTGCAGTTATCACATGTCCGATTGCAATCCTCACGCTTGAATTTTTCATCAAAATACGCCAGAATTTGAGCACGTCTGCAGTCTGTGATGTTTTCACAGAACTGAGTGACATGCCGCAGCATCTGGCGTTGGCGGTGCTTTTGCTCCTCGGTGGTGTCCTCGTTTTTCTTAATCATATAACGTATCGTGTTCGAATCGTAGTAAGCGTAATAGAGATAACATTCGGACCGCTTGCCATCTCTGCCGGCCCTTCCAGTCTCTTGATAATAGCCTTCTAAACTCTGTGGCATGGAGTGGTGAATAACAAAGCGCACGTCAGGTTTATCTATACCCATCCCAAATGCAATCGTGGCAACAATAACGGTATGTTTGCCTGATTGCCAATCCCGCTGGACCAAGAACCTTGCCTTGGAGGTCATCCCTGCGTGGTAGTGCATCGCTTTGACGCCAAATTCAGTGCAAAGCTGCGTTGCAACTTTTTCGCATGCTTTTCTGGAGAGACAGTAGATTATTCCACATTTTCCTGCGTAATCAGTCGTGATAAGATCGGCAATATCTTTAAGGGCATCTTGTGTTCTTCCCTTCTTTCGTACTTCGTAAGTGAGATTGGGGCGGTTGAATGATTGAGTGAAAACATCGCAACCTTTCATCCGGAGGTTGTGTATAACGTCGACTTGCACGTTCGGGGTTGCCGTGGCAGTCAGAGCCATAACAGGGACACCCGAGTATTTCCCTCTGATTTTCCCAAGTGCTGTGTAGTCTGGCCGAAAATCATGGCCCCATTGACTGACACAATGTGCTTCATCGATAACGATACGGGCCAATTTGTTATTACTATGAAGTTGAAGTAGAGCACTTTCCATAGCACCACTTTTAGCCAACATTTCAGGGGTAATATAGAGTAACTGTATAAGTGACTCGGCCCTAAGACTCCGAAGATTGCTCATTATACTCGCTCTTTCCTCTTTAGAGACATCCCCATTGATTAGATATGCTTTGACATGAAGCTTTTGGAGATGTGCGACTTGATCTTGCATCAAGCTGAGGAGCGGAGAAATCACTATGGTAACCCCTTTTGTTCTTCCCGTTTTGATGATGGAGGGTAGTTGGTAACAAAGGGACTTTCCTCCTCCAGTTGGCATTAATACAAACGTATCCCTTCCGCTAAGGGTGGAGTTGATAGATTCAAGTTGGTTGGGGCGAAATCCACGGAGGTGAAAGGTTTCTCTCATGGCTACCTTAACTTCTTTGCTCCAAGGATGGCCCTCTATTGAATTCATCGTGCCCACCTCCTTCGTGTTACCGTGATCTGTTGACAGTGGTCTTGATTGATTTCCAGAAGTTTCACGGAATACCTCTCGGTTTGAAAACTGGTGTTCCCGGGGAGCAGGGGGCGCTTCCCTAGGGGTAGGGGGACCAAAAAAATCCTCAAAGTCATCATCAAAAGGGTTCGATAGGGCATGATCATCGAAGTCAGAATCGAATGTCGCCGCCGCGGTTTCAGGGGCTGGGCAGGGTCCCATAATTCTAGAAAAAGGTGCCTCCGTCGCTCTGGAGTATGATGGTTCGTCGCCCAACATATCGACGAAGTCTTCCGCATCATCGAATTCTTCCGGATCACAGCTGCTCGAGGCATTCTTTAACTTAGGGGCCCCGGAAGGCAGCTCTTGTGACCAGTGTGGCACAGGTATTGGAGGGCGTAAGCTTGTTTCACGCTTTGCTGCACTGATATTTCGATCTCTGAAGGAGGTTGTAGCTGTGGGAGTTGACCCCGATGGCGTATAAACGTTACTAGAATTTTCCGCGAACATGGACTGCCGTCCTTTGTCCCTGGAGTCAGACCGCGGAGTGTTGGCCCAATTATCTGCACGGTTCGTTTCCCGATTCAAGCTCAGAGGGCTGGGAGAAGCGGTTATGCTCTCCTCGCTGAATATATCGGCCTCCTTGATTAGACCGATGATCTTAGTTTCGCGTTCTTGTAGCTGTTGTGATAATTTTCTGATCTCGGCGACCTTAGCGATGTCAGGGACATCCCCTTCCTGCTCAATGCATTGGATTAGGGCTGATTTTAATGCATTATGTTTTCGCTTGGCGGCAGAGAAATCCGAATGTATGTGTTGAAGCTCTTCTACCGCTTTTATTCTCAAAGCGAGAACCCTAACCTCACGCATCATCTCCGGGTTCTCGATCCCTTCCATGATGAGATCATATGCATATTTCGCCTTATCCGTCCTCTCAATATTGAGTTTATCCACAAGCGAGCTCAAGGAGATTGGGGAGAGGTTAAGATACCTCATAATCAGGGAACTAGCACCTTCACTAGAAATCGGGTTAACAGACGGGGATATTTGGTCATCACTAGCTCGAATCGTCCGTTGGGAATTTGAGACTGATGGTAGAGGTGATATTCTTGCTCTTGATTCCAAGTTTGGCCGAGGCAACTCTGTTACCCTGGGAGTTTCGGCCACGGGTAGATCATCCTGCCTCTGGGATAGGTCTGGATATATCTTATCATCGTCCATTAGATCAAGGTAAACGCCATCATCTTCAGAATCGTTAATAACCCGTGGCGTTACAAGTTTATTCGCGCGGCTGGAATTTTCCGATAAGCCTTCTTTTTCCAAGGAACGCCTTGGGGAAGAATGGCCTTGGGGAGTTGGGGAGGACAGCTTCTTTGGAGGGTGAAGATCCGCTTCATAATCATTGCTTTTCCGTTTCTTCCCGTGACCCTTGATCTGTGGTTCGGCGCGAGATGCAAAGTCCTCTCTCCATAGCCGGCGAGGTTCTCCAAATGTCGACGTAGAGCTGGAAGAAGACAGATGACGCTCAATGTCCTTCGTAAGGTCGATGGATTCGATATCTTCATGCTTGAGCCCCGAGCCAAAGATACCATGTTTTCTTGGCCGTTCTGAGCTGCGGCTACTCCTCGGGGGTGTTATACTCGTCACGCTTCGTTTCTTTACTATAGACCGTGTAAGCTAAGTATATGGTATAACGGAGTTGGGCTCTTAATAACGAACATCTCGGCTTGGGAGTTTCTGACTCGGGCTTGTACAGCTCTCGTTTTCTTGGAGCCTTGTTCGCTGGAGTCCCCGGTACATCCACTGAGCTGCCAGCGTCTAGTATGCTGTACAGCCGATTCCGAGGTGGGGGAGATGCGAGTTGGAGTATAGCCATCGTATCATCCGCCGAGGCATCGTCACTAACAGGTACCGCAGCTCGCGGAGCGTAGGGGATCGTCTCGGTAGGGCGCCTGTCGGAGGTAGATTGGCCAAAATTCGCTTCAAGAGGCGTGGGAAGTGGTGCGGTCACTGGGCCAGTGGAGGCAGGTTGCGCCTCCGGGGGAACCTCTGGGATTACAAAATCATCTAGAGGATCAGGACGTTCCAGAAGCCAGGCCAGATGAGCCCGCAAGTTGTTCTTGGTCATAGATGCCTGTCATATCTGAAAAACCTCCAATGCTACCATGCCTGCGGTTGAATCTCCGAGTGTTTTCATCTATTACATCAACAATTTTGATGTCGCGACGAACGACGCGACTCTCACGTGATGACCACTTAATGAGATCATGTGATAAAGATTATGTCGTCCGGATAAAATATTAGCCGGAATACGCCAAGAGCAATGACTCAGCGCGGAGTATTATATAAGCTGGAATGAGTAAGCAAGCCCCTTCTTTTCTCTAGCCAATGAGATCAGCCCGTTTGGGACTGAGATGCACACTGACATATTTTATATCAGAGAACTCGTACACTTTTCTCTCTACCAGGCGGGGGAGTTCCTGATACTTGGATCCTTTTCAGCAGTTAGAGAAGGACACGGGTGTCCATTCAGCTATCTTGCATCAAACAGACATCCTATTAGCATGGCAAAGGATAAAAAGGCCAAGAAGGCTGAACAAAAAGCGCGAGTTGCTGCGAAGCAGTCCAAAAAGGCGTCACAGAAGGAGAAGAAAGCTAAAGCCAAGGGCTTAAATGATGACAGCGATGCAGAAGATGTTGATCTTGATGCTGTCCTTGCTGCATATGCTGAAGAGCAAGCCAAATTCTTGAAAGTCACTGAGGTTGCGAGCGGCACGCCAACCCCGCGCTCTTCATCAACCATTCTTGCCTCGCCCTCGAATAGGGGTGAGATTTTTTTGTTTGGTGGGGAGTACTTCGATGGGTCTCTCGCAACGTTTTACAACAATTTATATGTATACCTAATTGAGAAGAACGAATGGAGGGTGATCACCAGTCCGAATAGCCCACTGCCTAGAAGTGGCCACGCCTGGTGTCGTGGAGGGAATTCTGGAGGGATATACCTCTTTGGAGGTAGGGACACTGATACCAGCCTGATAGTTATCATCGTACCGTTTATATCTAACGATTTGCCTTTATGGAAATTTGCATGTTTAAACAGGGGAATTCTCATCGCCTAAACAAGGGACTTTCTATCATTATAATGACTTCTGGCATCTGGATCCATCCACGAGAGAATGGAGCCGGATAGAGACCAAGAGTAAAGGCCCCCCGGCAAGAAGTGGGCATAGGATGACATATTATAAGGCAAGACATGCCATTGCACCCCTGGTTCACTTGCTTTTCATTATCAAGTTTTTCATAGACTAACCTTCTGGGTTAGAATTATATAATTCTCTTTGGCGGCTTTCAAGATACGTCTCAGCAGACAAAATACCTACAGGACGTCTGGCTTTATGACTGCCAGAAGTTCACCTGGTATAATCCTGCTCTACCACCAGCAACTCAAAAGCCTGATCCTCGATCGTCGTTCTCCTTTCTTCCCCATGAATCGGGGGCTGTTCTTTTTGGAGGCTACTCGCGTGTAAAAGCCGCGACCCAAGTTAATAAGAGGCAAAAAGGCGGAAGTGGAGCTCAGCGCACAGTCCTTAAGCCGGTTATCCATCAGGATTCCTGGTTCCTACGTATAACTCCACCTGCAGCAGATGCTCCATCAACTACCGCCCCTACCGTTCGATGGGAAAAGAGAAAACGGCCTGTTAATGCCCCAAACCCCCCGCGAGCTGGAGTAACCATGGCCTTCCATAAAGGTCGAGGAATTCTATTTGGTGGTGTTCATGATGTCGAAGCTACGGAAGAAGGTATAGAGAGCGAATTCTTTGATAATCTCTTCGCCTGGAACATTGAGCGAAACCGTTTTTTTCCGCTTCCACTCCGAGCCCCGAAGTCAGCAGGCAAAAAACAGGCCGCTGAAAGGGCTATGAAATCACGAAATAAAGGAAAGGCAGATGAAGAAGAATTGCTCCGCAATCTAGCTCTTTTGGAATCGAAATTTAACCCATCAAAGGTTGAAACTGAACTGCCGGTTGGTGCCGATAACCAGGGCGAGGATGAGCCAGAGTCAGGTGGCAAGAAATCGTTAACAGTTCGGTTTGAGATGCCTCATCGCCGCTTTAATACACAGCTTACAGTCCAAGACGATACGTTGTTTATGTTCGGCGGTACGTTTGAGAGAGGGGATCAAGAGTTTACGCTTTGTGATATGTATTCCATCGACCTGCTCAAGATGGATGGGGCAAGGGAAATATTCTACGAGGAGCCTGAGCATTGGAATGATGCAGTTGCCCCTGATAGCGACGAAGAGGATGAAGAGGATGAAGAGGATGAGGACGATGAGGACGAGGATGAAGACATGGATGATGCGTCATCCATGGCAGCCCCCTCCACGGCTCCGACTGAAGCTACAGAGCCTGTCCTGATGGAGGCTGATGCGGAGGCGGAGAAAGAGGAAGAACAAGAGCCAGCCATGCCTGACTCCCGACCCCATCCAAGACCGTTTGAAAGTTTACGTGAATTCTATAGTAGAAGTTCTACCGAGTGGCAGGATATTGTACTTGCGAACCTAAGGCAACGGGATAGCGGCGCGGAAATGTTAGTTAAAGAGCTCCGGAAAGTAGCGTTTGATTTTGCGGAAGAGAAATGGTGGGATTGTCGTGAAGAGATCACGGCACTGGAAGACGAGCAAGCTGAAGCTGGTATAGGGGAAGTTGTCAGTATCGCTAGTAGAGGAGGTGACTCTGGACTAAGGCGGCGATGATGATCATAGTTACCTAGAATCCCATATTTACATTTTGACACATAACTAGTTATTTGACTATTTACAATTTAACATAGAAAAATGTGCTCTAGCTAAGCCTCCTGTTCTATCACCTCCACCCCACCAGCGATTGTTCGGTTATCACTAAGAAAATTTCAAGGAGTATAATCATTGAACAAGGCCATCAAGAACTTCCTTGACGACCATAAAGTCCCTTTCTACTTGAACTTTCCAGTTTGAGATCGCGATTCTGCATGCTGCCTCCCCGGCCCACATTGTCCCAGATACAAACATCTTGCCTGTAGCGTTTATTGCGTTCGTCAATTCTAGATTGAACTTCTCGTCCTTAGCCCTGAGGAGCACAATAACATAGGTGGAATCTAACAGCTCCTCTTTAGATCCAGCACCTCCAAGGACGGTGTATTTTGGGTGGTCATATAGCCAGCCAGTTATCAGCCTAGCAAGCCTAATCTGTCTCTCCACCATAGTACGATAGCCATCTTTGCCGTATGCAATAAGGGTTGAATAAACAGGCAATGCCCTAAATCGTCTTGAGTTCTCAACCCCTATACTTAGCGGTGATGGGATAGAGTCTCCGCCCGAAGAAGAGAGGTAGGCAGCATTAGGATTCCGGAATACATTCTCTGCCACGTCTCCATGACGAGAAAAGAAAAATCCACAGTCGTATGGCACGTTCAACAGTTTATGACCATCGCCGGTAATTGAGTCTGCAAGCTCGATTCCCTCTCCACCTTTCTTAATCACATCGAACTCTGGATCATCGTTTAGAATTCTTCCGAACATTCCAAAAGCAGCATCAACATGTAACCATGCGTCGTATTTATCACATAGTGCACGTATGCGTTTGAATTCCTCTAGTCCCTTGGTTGCAAAGCGTCCCGTATTCACTTCGCCGCAAGAAACAGACACGATGCTGGCGAAGTCGTCCCTTGCCAATTCTTTTTCAAGTAACTCGAAGTCGAACTTCAGAGGCTGACCATCAGCGTCGGCGGTTTGGGAGATTATGGACTTGACATTCGCCCTGCCAATGCCCAGTATCCCAGCAGCCTTTCCGACTGATGCATGTGGTAGAGTAGAGAGAACCTGCAGGCCCTTTAAACCCGCTGCCTCAAGAACTGCCATAAGGCCGTACTCTCCCACGCTATCTGTGATGGACTTTGATCCTATAACACCATTCCCCCTTTTTTTCTGAACAGCCTTTCGCAAAACATACTCCCTTCCACATGCCAGTCCAACCACGTTACTGCCAGTAGCACCAGTAGTAAATGTTCCGTGAGGCCATTCCTTTTTCTCCAGCCCGAATAAGTCCTTCAGTAAACCCAGCGCGGCATACTCTACATCAGTTGCAACAGAGTGATCCACGAGGTGAACACACACGTTCTGGTCGTAGACAGAAACGACGTTGTCGGCTAGCAAAGCAGCTGGTGTGACTCCGCCGGTCACAAAACCGTAGTAAGCTGGATTAGTTGCGCTGTCGTTTAAACCTGGAACGATATCTTGGAACAAATGGTCCTTTGTGTGCGTATATCCTTGCCCGCTAAGTGGAAGCTGGGTGATGATAGAAGCGCGAGCGTGAGAAAGGGCCGCTGCGGAAGGAAGAACACTCCGGCTTGGAGTATTTAAAGATGTCTCCCATAGAGGTTTTGAGTGATCATCTGTCACTTTAATAGCAACATTGTCTTGCAGATGATTCTGTTCCATCTTTCCAAGAGCGAGATTGAATATTTTTGAACACAATATCGACTTGATGGTTGATAATGGAAGACACAACGCGGGGGATTTTTGGTTTCCAGGATTCCCCCGCGCTTCCACGCCCTATCCATCGGTCCGCTCCAGCTTTATCCCCGATGGCTAATTTACGTAAAGCCGACACTACGATTTTCCGCGTTAGGACCTTAGAAATGACTAGGAGATCATTTTATATCTGCTATGGCATATTGTATAGAAGAACCGCACAAGCACGTTACACCGAGGGACTTAGTAAAATTTCCGTAGTGACAGCAATATATACATCAAGTAACCCTTTCAAAACAGGTTTAAACGTCATAAACGAGCATATGTAGAAACAAACAAACAAAACGAGTGTGTGAGTGATAGGAAAAGAGAGCGTATGAAACAAGTCCCTACCAGAGGGATTTTTGTCGAAATCAAATAGCGTCGTTCCGTCGTTGTCGTAATATGCAGTATCCGTAGGCTAGCAGATTTAGAGAATAAAGAAGTGTCCCATGAGAAGGAATCTCTCTATGCTCTGAATTTTGCTGAGCGTATTCCACCACAGTTCTCGGATCGCTTTGCGTTGCTGCCGCATTTCGGAGATATTTCGGTCTGCGCAGTAACTCCATCTCCATATTGCACTTTCTCGCCAGGGTTCTTAAAGACGATCTCCTTTCCTTCGATAGTGCTGCATCCATTGCCAACATTGGCAACAAACATATCAGGGAGTGCGTTGAACTTGGTCTTGGAGTCACTACCGCCGTTGACAGTAACATGGGCACAGTTCATGTACATCTCACGGTTGCCCACAAGGTTGAACCAAGACCAGGCAAGAAGGGCTTGACCGTCGGGAGCGGAGGTTGGGATGTTGAAGTTATAGGTGTCTTTCATGGGACAGCCACCAAGGTAGGAGTTGATGACCTTGAACGTCTTGCCGTTGTCGTAGCTAAGGGAGACCTGGCAAGATCCTCCTTGGTGACGGGTGTTACCAGCCAGAGTCAAGTTGTACTCGCCACCGGCCTCGTAGCTAGCAACGGACTGGAATGGAGCCTTATGGTAGCCCTTGCAGGGGAAGTCGGCACCTGCCCAGAGCATGTTTTAGTATTTCGTACTTTTTAAGTATGAGAGTGGGCAGACATAGGAGCAACTAACCAGAAGGGTTGAGAGGGCCAGTCATGGACCAGTCAGGGTTGGTGTTTTGCTTGTTGAACTTGCTTCGGAGGGCATATGGCCATTGCATTTCCATATGAGCCATGGCAGTACCAGCTGCACAAAGGGCGAAAAGAATGGAAGTAGTGGCGCGCATATTGGATAACGTGGAATGTCGATTTGAAATGTAAGGAATGTATAGAATTGAAAGGAAGATGGAAAATATGAAAGGAACTTGAAAGTGTGCTGGAAGAACGGAAGAACTGTCTATGCTGTATGAGAAAAAGTAGAGGAGTTACTGAAGGAAGTACAGTCCTTTTATGTTTGACAGAATACATCTTTCGGTGAGCACTACGCGCCCGCATCCACATCTCATACAGGAATCCATTCAGTAACCGCCGTCTTGACTTCTCGATGTAGTTGCAATCGACATTGCATGATGACGATTTGCCATCCACTTCCCCAGGTGTATCAAAGATCCCATACCAGCTACGTAGAAGCCAATATGATAGGCAACCGCCCCCGGAATCCTGGCTACCAGCGAAGATCGGGCGCTTCGGGAGATGTTTCTGCTGCAAAGTTTTGGGCCACTCTACACCAAGACAACTCGGCGGAACGAGCCGTCCTGGAACTCAAAAGGTCCAGTCGAAAAGCCCGGAGCCTATAGAGTGGCACGTTCAATGGAATACCTTGCATCCATTGAGCGGTTATCAATGTTTGAAACAAAAATAGAAAGGAACTTAGTTATATCTAAGTTTGGATGTGTAAGGACATTAAATCCTTCGGTCCCTCGGGGTCATGGATGTTGGCAGAGCTCCGTGATATGACTGGCCATACTAAGAGGACAAAACTCCATGGCCCTTGTTTGTGAACAGGGGAGATCTCGCAAGTGCAGGACGGTATCATAAGATGATCCAGTTAGGCTCTGAATATTGCGTGGTGGATATGGTGTTTAAAACGAGGATGGGCGAAGGAAGGGAACAAAATACGAGGTGTCCAAGAATCCAATTGTGTGTGCCGAAGAGCAGAACCCAATCGGAGATTGGGATAGTGATATCCCCGGACTCTGCGGAGATGAAGATTTGAGATGTGCATATCAGCTGGGATCGCTGAAGATGGACGATTGGTTGTTGTTGCGTGTTTGATGTCGAAGTTGAGGCAAAAGCCAGAAAGATGAAACAGGAATGACTAAGCCAACCCCTCTCACGTGATATGATACACGTGACGTCGTAGGTTTACGGCTTCAACGTCGAAGTCTCGCTCCTTACGAGGTTGATATACACCTAACTGCTTAGACAGCTTCATCTGTTGATATGTTTCTGTCAGGATGTGCAACAGTCCCATCTCAAACTCTGCTGTGTGCACAGTGTCTCTATTAGATCCGCGTGGATGAGCCTGTTACGCGTAATCTGATCAGGGAAGATAAAGTCCGATCCTTTGCCAAATAGCTAGTTAACGGTGTTATGTGTTTCAATACGGAGCCTAGCTGCATCGACACGACCAACAAGTTACCTATCGCATTCAAATTCATCCGTGCGGCTAGTGGTATCCGTCCTTCGTTCTGATCTACGCTGTTTGGTGGAATGTGAGATATCACCACTTCTCCCTTAGACGCCCACCGGGTGTTGACTATGAACCCATCAACCGCATTAGTGGCATGGATCAGGTGGCTACCCCAATAGTGTCTTCGACACGGGACCTGAGCGCTAACTGGAGTGGTAGAAGGCGTAAAAATTGCCCTCCTACGAAGGATAATTCGAGTTGTTCTATTATTCGGTTGCTATCACGTCTATTAATGAAGATATAAACGGCTACATGTGGATCCGGGGTACCTAAGCCCTAGGATAAATTATCTCTTCATGGCCAGACACTAGCCTGTAGCTACCAATTATTCAAATATTCAAAACAGTTCCATTAAGAAAGTGGCCATCGTCGATGAACCCCAATATATTAGGCGCAGGTGAAATTTCTCAGAACCAGGCTAGTGAACACGAGAGTGATATCGAGCACCTGGGGGAAAACGAAGGGGGAACTAAGGAGGAAATTTCAAGTGATGAGAGGAAGAAGAAAGCACGAGGAGGCGACTATTTCGAGGGGACGGACCATATGCTTGTTCAGAGGACTATTCTTTTGCTGATCTATTTGTTTCAATCTCAAATACCCCCGGTGGAACAAACCTGGATCTACAGGCAATCATTCCCGACAACTCCACCATTGGCAGTTGGCCCATTAATTCCATCATCTGCATATGGGCACCAACCTGCGTGATAATCCAATTTCGGAGCTCAACGGCAATGAGGGAGTCCACTCCATAGCTTGTCACAGACCGTTCGGCGTGGATTTCGGGCTTTGGAATAGCAAGAAGCTCAGACATCTTATTCTGTAACGCAGAGAGAGTCACCTGCACTGCCGTTTTGGCGTTTGGAACGGCCCGAAGAGCATGCTGAACACGTAGCTGGGGCCCCTCCGTATCCTTCAGCTCGTCCTGAACAGGGTTGGTCCAGATATGAGAGAACCTGGCATCTGGACGATGATGTGCGGTGTTACCAGAGTCCGACTGTGGATTGTACCTCTGAACACCACAGACGATTTGCGCTCTACTTGGAATTTTTCCTTTGAACGGATTTTGAAGCGTGTAGTTGAGCAAGGAAAAGAGCTCCTGTATGGTGTTACTCATAACGCCTTGCTTCGAAATATTTTTGACAATGCCGTCATCTTTTTCTGCAACAACACCCTCGCCGGGAATCATTCCAAGATTAATAACCCCTACGGGGAGCCCTCGAGATGCATGGTGACGGGCAAAGGCGTCCTGGAATGTGTTTCCAGCACAATATCCACCGGCCCCCTGCGTGCCAATGATACCCGCGACACTACTGACAAGAATAAAAAAGTCAAGCGAGGGTCCAAAAACGTCGTACATCTTTATAGTTCCTGAGACCTTAGCCTCAGTGTCTTGAATCCATTGCTCGTGTGACATTTGGCTGACGGTTGAGTCCTAAGAATAAATGTTAGACAAGGGGTCAAGATTATTTTGGGCTATCACCTTACTTTAGAAGCGGTTGCTGCTTGAATAATTCCTCTCACGGGACGGTCCCCCGTCAAAGCTTCGATTTTTCGCATAGTCTCCGAACTATTGACATTGCCCTTAATGGCAGTTACTTCGACCCCCATATTCCACATTTCTTCCACAAAGTCGGCAACATGTTTTGCATCGGCGCCTGAACGAGATACAGTCACAACATGCCGAGCACCTAGCGCTGCAAGGAACCGTATAATAGCCATACCGATGCTACCTGTGCCTCCTGCAATCAAATAGGAGCAATCTGCCCTTAAACTTGCTTGTTTGGGTCGAGATGGTTGAACCTGAGAGGTTAGCATTATGACGGTAGATCTTTGGAAAGGCTAAACTCACCATCATCATGCGTGCAGGCAACATCTTCAATAAGAGCTTGCCTTTGTGCTTACCTGCCTGCATGGCCCGAAAATGTTCCCCTACCCCTGCAACTGGCTTGGTTGTAATTGGTGTCAAGCCCTCCACTTCAAATTGATGGACTAGCTCTAAGCAGGTACGAACAAGCTCTTGAACGATATTTGGCCGCTGTTCCACGAGGAATGCCAGGTCGACTACTGAAAACGTAATATTTTTCTCAAAGTATTGCATTTCAAGTCTTCCGTTGGCCTGAATATCCTTCTTGCCAATCTCAACAAATCGCCCAAACGGAGCTAGGACACTGCAGCTCTCGCGAATGGTATCCCCTGAAAGAGAGTTCAACACAACATCGACTCCTTTTCCATTCGTCCGTTTTAGAATTGCTCTGCCAAAGCTCATGTCGCGAGAGGAGAAGATATTTGTCTCTGGAATCGAATACTTTTCCTGAAGGAATTCACTTTTTTCTAAGCTTCCAACGGTGACGAAGATATCGCCGGCACCCAAGTAATATGCCAACGAAATTGCCGCCTGACCAACCGCACCTGCCCCTGAGTGGATAAGAACCGATTCCCCAGGTTGAATATTTGCGGCATTTCGTAAGCCGTACAGTGCTGTGGCGTATGCAACAGGTATGGCAGCCGCCAATTCCTCACTCATGCCTTTGGGTACTGGATACACGCGAGCCACATCGAGGATGCTTGTGGTCGCCAAACCGGGTGGGTGAAAGACGCATACAGTATCGCCTACTGAATATTGCGTGACTTCATCCCCAAGCTCGATTACTGTGCCGCTACCTTCGAATAGTAATGAGGGGGCGCCGCTTATTTGACCCATTGCAAGCATGAGGTCTTTGAAATTCAACGCTGCATATTGAATCTCAACACGCACTTGATTAGCTCCGAGACTTGAAGAGTGAGCACAGGCATCTTTCCAGTATAATGTATCTAGGAGGCCAGGGGAACCGATATCAAGGCATATGGCGCGATCTGGCTCCACTTCTGCCTCAAGCTGCGGATGATATGTGGAAACAGTGTTTTGCACATATGCCATGACCTCCTGGTCTCGGACCAGACGAGGGACTAATATGTCGTTTCCTCTTACCGCAAGCTCCCACTCTATCATTGCAGTGCCTTCTGGGGCCTTATGACCAATTGTGTGCTCGTAAACGTGCCAAATCATGTTTGCCATCTGGTGGGTAGAGGCTATATCGGGATCAAGGTCAAGGATGAGAAACTTCATCTTGTAATCTTCGGACCTCAGGCTACGCGCTAACCCGGAGATCAAGCCCTGGCCCGGTTCGGCACAGTCGATCATGGCGCCTCTTGTTACCCAGATAATTGCGTCAGCACGGTTTATGATGCCTAGTAAATGTGTCCATTCTTCTAGGGAAGGGTTGAGCAAGAACGTGCTTTCTAGCTCCAAGAGAAATATGAATATGCCACCTGATTCATGGATCCCCGATAGGTTTGACGAAGTCACAATGCATGGGGATTGCCATGACTGTATGATCCTGGATATTGAACTAGATATTCCTTGGTTATTGTCGGGTAGTATGACCTGCACCTTTCCATATGAATTAGTGTCTTCCTCGCGGACAACGTCAGATATGATCAGACTGAATTCGTGCTCAGCCTCAGATTCATAGTCTTTCATCTCTAGGCGAGCTCCAGAGAATCCGGTATTCTTGAGCATCCTATCCCACCCTACAGCACTTAGAAGAGGTGCAAGATCACGATCATCATCAACCCCACGGAACCATCCTGGCAAACACCCCCAAAAACCAAACCGGAGCGAGGGGGCAACAATCTCTACCAAGGCAATTTTCCCATGGGGCTTTAAAAGACTTCGGACGTTAAGAAGGGTTCTCCGCATATCCTGAGTCGCATGGAGTACGTTAGAGGCCACAATTAAGTCAAATGAACCAAGCTCAAAGCCCTGCTGCTCCGGAGGCACCTCGATATCTAGTCTCTTATATTCGAACAAGCCCTTGAACTTTCCGAGTTTTGCACGAGCTCTTTGAAAATAGCTTGTCGATATATCTGTGAAGAAGTACCTTGAATCTTGCCGAGTTCCAACACCATCGAAGAGAGCCTCGGCCAGTGGTAGCGTCGTGCCACCAGTACCACCACCAATTTCCAAAATACGCATGCCAGGCAGTTTGAATTTCATCAATCTGATGTATTTTACAAGCTGTGAGTGGCACCGAGATAGGGCGATGTCATCAAGGTAGAACCTGTCCACTAGATCGTCCTGAAATAGCACTGATAACCCATCGGTATCTCCTTGCAGAATCCCAGGCAGGTGTGTATAAAGTCGGCGGAGCATTTCACCTTGCACGCTGGATGCAACGATTCCTTCGCTTATTTGGTTCGAATGGTGCAAGGGCTCTGTGTTGTTACAACGCATCCAGTTCAGTAACCGAAGACAGTCGCCTGTCACACGTCCTTCGTCCTCTGCAGATAGATTGCCTAATGTGTCACGAATGATTTTTTGACAATACTGGTCGAATTCGTACCTCCTACTTCCGGCGATAGTTGAGATTTCTCGCTGGCAGTGGCTGAGAATCGCTTCAGCGTCAGAAAGAAACGGGTCTAATCCCCATACAACTTGATGAAATGGTGATGGTCCCTGTGTTGTCGCGGTCTCCGTGTCCTGGTAGGCTAAAGAAGTGTAGGTGACTCCCTTTGCCTGGAGGACAATTCCGCCTCCCTGACTGGTAGGATTCTCAACAACGATGTCAGCACCAGCATGGGACGTACCATGCTCACTGACTTTTGTCTCCACGGATAGCACATTGTTTGGTTCCGAGACAATGTTGGATGACAATTGTAGATCCTCAATTGCAGTGACAACATATGTTGTCCTGAGCTTATTGGCTTTGTGCAAAGCAGGAAAAGCAGTCTGGAAGCATGAATCAAGCGTAGACGGGTGGATTACGTGGGGCTTCTGATGTAAAGAAGGCATACTCGAGCTCGTATCTGGGATCTCAACTGTACATTGCGCTTCAAGATGCCGTGCAATGGCGCTCTTCATGGAGGCGAATGGTCCCGAATATGCAAGGCCTACGCGACCTAGTCGTTTGTAGAAATTGCCTATCTCCAAAGTCGACCAGGCCAGCGCTTCTAGGCCAGTTATTGTATTCGGGTATCTGCCGGCCATTGTAGGACGCGGAAAATCTTCGATTTGCGTTGACTCATGAGGAAACATTGCCACGAGTCCTCTGCAATGTTCTGTTGATTCACTGCCTGAAAAGGAAAACACTCGAAATTCCTTCCAAATGACTGAGCTTCCTTTTGCAGAGTATAGACATGGTCGAATTTGAACCAACGTCTCTATTCCTGGGGAGCTTTCGGGAATTTCAATTGGCGACTGAACACTAATTTGTCTAAAGTGAATACGTGTATTCCGGAATGGCTGGTTCGTCGCCTGAGCTTGCTGCCTCAGCCCTTCGATGACCATGCATATGTAACCGGATGCTGGGTACACAATTTGTCCTTGAACCCGATGGCCCTTAAGCCAAGGTAGCTCAGAGTGCCTTAGGTAGTTGCGCCATGATGGTTCAATGTCAATGCTGTCCGCGGCTAAAACACCTAGGAGGTCATGTCGTGGGAATCTACGGCGTTGATAGGATTCGCTCCTGCGAGAAACAGCCCAGTGTCGTACTTCATGATGCCATTGGTATGGGGGCAGATCTGGTAACGGTTGCTTTGAACCAGTGGCATCTGGGTCGTTGACAGCATCGAATTTGATGCAAACTCCATTCGAGAACAGTTTTCCCGCTAATTTCATAACTTCTACAACACCGTCTGTGTTTCTTGACAACGTTGGGAGGTAGCTTACCGAATGTAACGCGACAGACGAATCGACAATGTTCAGTATCGGCCTATGGAGCGCTGGATGTGGACCGACTTCAATTACCAAAGTCGGACTTCTTGCGTTTTCGGGTTGCTGCTCAAGCATTTCTTTGAGTGCATCAGAGAATCGAACAGGAGATACCAGGTTTTGCCTCCAGTATTCAGCCCCGAGATTGTTTCCTAAGACCCTTTTCCCTGTGACAGAAGATATCATCATCAAACCATCGTTAGCTGGCCTGGGATTGATATCTTGAATATCCATTTGGTAACCCTCGCCAATCGGCACCATATGGTGGGAGTGATAGGCAACGTCTACATTCAGGAAGCGATTGAAGACGTCATCTTTATCCAGGTCTCCCTGAAGCGTTTCCAATGGTGCTGCATCTCCCGACAATGTAACGCTTGACGGGCTATTAACACAAGCAATGACAATCTGCCCTGTATAGGAAGATAAATACTTCTGGGCGCCTAGTTCCGAAAGGCCCACGGCCAACATTCTGCCGGCCGATATTCTTGCCCTGGGAGACATCGTAGCCTTTCCACGGAAGTACGCAATCTTTATTGCATCACGCGCTGTGAGGAATCCCGCAGCGTACGCTGCAGCCATTTCTCCACTCGAATGGCCACAGACAAAGTCTGGACGCACCCCCCAGTGGTTAAGAAGGTCGACCAAAGCAATCTGAATTGCTGTGCAGCAGGGCTGAGAGAACATGGCCTCGTGCATTCTTGATATACCCTTATCCTTTCTAATCTCCTCGGTAAGGGACCAAGACGCCCCCATGCCATTAATCTCCGCTTCGCATGCTTGAATTGAACGCGCAAAAACCGGGTACCTGGAAATTAACTCCTGCCCCATGCCGGCCCATTGCGCTCCCTGACCCGTAAAAGCAAAACAAACTTTTGGTCGAGTGGTAGCCTTCACTGGACGCTCGATTCCGACACTAATGTCATCTAAGCGGCCACGGAGTTCACTAATATTCGACGCAACGATGCTCACTCGGTACTGGTAGTTTGTCCGTTTGACCCCAAGAGTGAAAGCAAGTCGACCAATAATCGACTCCTTTTCGGTTGGATCCAACGCAGATATAAAACGCCTCAATATCCTAGCAGCCTGTGCTAATCCCCCGTCACGCTTGTGGCTCAAGACAAAAACGTGAGGATGGCTTATCATTACCTTATTAGACATTCCATTGGGATGAGGCGAGGGCAATATGGAATGGCAGTTTGAATCAACTTCGACGATCAAATGCGCCGGCGTCCCTCCATACCCATTGCTGTTGACCGATGCTCGGCGTGGGATGTCTGCTGGCCATGACAGTAACTCAGTCGGGACCAATATTCCAGACTCCTTCAATTTCAGTTCTTCCCTAGGCTGGTCAAAGGTCGGGGTCGGAGGAATCAGCCCTCTTTGCAACATTAGAACACTCTTTATCACACCAGCAAGGCCAGAAACAACTTCAGTATGCCCGATATTTGCCTTCACGCTGCTCATTATGAGCTGCGTTTTACCACCTTTACCATCGCAAAACATAGTAGTTAAGGCAGCCGCCTCCACTTTATCTCCAACTCCAGTTCCAGATCCTACCACATGTCAACATCCAATAATATTGTGTGAAACAATGGATAAAACCGGTGGGGGGCTATAGTTACCATGAGCTTCAACAAAGAGTGTATCCTTTGGATCCAATCCAGCTTGTCCGTAAGCACCTCGGATATTTTTCAGGTAGGCATCAAGAGAGGGTGATGTTATTCCTGGTGTCTTTCCGTCTGCACTAACAGAACTACCGCGGATCACAGCATGAACCAGGTCACCATCTCGCTGGGCAGCCTTCAAAGGTTTCAGCATTATTGCAGCCACGCCTTCTCCTCTGCCATATCCTGTTGCTTTCTCATCAAATATATAACATCTCCCATGGTCAGAGGTAACTCTTAAAACGGCATGATTAGTAAGATTATTCAAAGCTACACCATATTTATAGCCGTAATACACTCGGACCCAAGGGACTCACTTCATTGACGATATTGCGCTGATCTTGTCTGGGTCCAGTATCATATTTGCTCCGCCAACCAAGGCTTGATCGACATCGCCATCTCGGAGTGCTCGGCAGGCGTTATGGATTGCATAATGAGAGCTGGCACAAGCTGTGTCTATTGCCATGCTTGGTCCTTTCAAATCAAATACATATGAGATCCTGTTGGCGATGAAGGAAGGGCCGGTTCCAGTAAACCGATATCTGCCGATTTCCATCAAGTTAGCATCAGGGGCGGTTTAACCATATGATTTCGTATATGTGTCTCGAAGGAGAGATAAAATGCGTTCCATTACCTTGGAGAAGCTTCTGGGTCTCTTCCCAACATAATATCATAGTCATGTGGGCCTGGTGCACAGTATACACCAGTGTTAGACCCTTCCAGCTGTTCGAGGGTAAGTCCCGCATTCTCAAAGGTTTCGTATGCGACCTCGAGCAGTAGTCGGTGCTGGGGGTCCATTGCCATGGCTTCTAATCCGTTGATACCAAAGAAATCGTTATCGAAGTGCCCAGGGTCCTGTTGAATAAGGTGGATACCCTGACAATTAAACTAGTCAAATGAAAGCGTATATAAGCAGCTGGTCAAAGTGGTTTGATAATATGGCGGTAACTCACTGAACCACTGGTTTCTGCCTGGGGATGCCAAAATGCATTCATTTTAAATCGGTCCCCGGCATTATTTGTCCATCCTGTACGGCCCCTTGAAAGAAGGTGCCATAGGTCCGTGGGGCTCTTTACGTTCCCCGAGAAGCGGCAGGCCATTCCAATGATGGCGATGGGCTCATAGCTGCCACCCTCTTCTTTATCTCCAACGCCATTTTCAGTATGATGCATGGTGGTTCGTGGTTGACTGTCTATCTGTGGTAGATGTAGTATTGATAACAATGTTGAAGAATAAGGGAAACCTACATTGATACTGGTAGTTACTGGATATCGAGCCACTCTTAAATGAATATAATCATTCCAATTTTAATAGCGGTGTAGTGTTGTCGCACACACACACCATATCGAACGCAGTAATCTTCTAAGTATTAAGTATTATTTATCAAATCACTATTAAATGTTAATTTTGTCGAGGTACTCGTGGTATCCACATCTAGATTAAGGTTACTCAATATAGTTAAGGTTGTTCGTCTAGTCTGTTATAAACTTTGTCCCACTAACTTTAATTTAGGTTCATATATGAGCATTAGGGTGTCGAAAATAACTACCATATTCTGAACAAATTTGAAAATGAGTGTATTGTTATCAAGTATTCTTAATCATAGCGTATACACTAATACGATTAGCTTAAGGCATAATATCCTAAAGAGCTAGATAATTTTTTAAGTGATGTCTAAGTAATATTCTTAGATATGTACTGGCTGAAGACGGTAAACGTCAAAAGTTCCACGAGATAGGTGGCGTACCCATTCAGTCGGGCGATAAATGAGACTGGTGGTGACAGAGTGTAATCAGCCTAGTCGCCGAAGGTCGTCAGTCGGGCATCCATACAAGCGGTGAGACTACCTTATAATCCACCTACTATTTATGAATTGCTACGTGACCCACTTCTAACGGTAGTTCAATCTTAACAGCCATTATACCAAGGTGCTAGAGGTGAACCTTACCCCAAAATGAAGGGTGCCAAGGCTTCTGTGCAAGTATGCAGGTGTGAGTATATGAAAATGATATTTTGTATTGGTGTACCATAATTTTTTATAAGGCCGAGTGCATATACTGCAATTATCTATGTGTATACGACTACCCATTGCCACATATCTAGCGTAATCAATTTCCTCTAAAGATGCATTGGTAGTCTAGAACATCAAATTGAACCATCGAGTAAATTAGATTTTGCATTAGCAGTAAGAACTTAAATTGTAGCTCAACCCAAGAATTCTGCCCAACGTATCCATTCAGAGTCTGCTTGAAGTCGTTGTAATGCGTCTTTTGTTGTCCACAGCATAATTTCCTGTCCTCCACGCGCCGTTGGCAACACAAGAGCAATGCCATCAAAGTAGCCTATGGCGGCAGATCGTAATTCCTTGACCTGGCCGACCTCACTTCCCCAAAATGATTTCCAAATGAGGTCACCCAGTCTAGAAGGAATGGTAACAAATAGATCCTGGTCCATAGATGGAAAGGCTTGCGCGCTAGTCTTTGACCAGGATTCAATAGAGCTGGTAAAATCCCAGATCCGCTCAGAAGTCCACCAATCAATTCCTTCCCCAATCGATCTGGCAAGAGGATAAATTGCATCTGATAGAGGAGCTTCTAACTGAGGCGTACTAGCAGCTGCCTTTCCGAGAACTACTGCATTCCGTAGGAATCCCGCGGGTAATGGTGGATCCATTCGACGCCGCAAGTTTACTGTTGTAAACAAAGAACTGGAAGAAACTTGGTGCATTGATAACTGCCGTGCGAAAGAGACTCTATGCCAGATGAAGGCTGACAGAATTGAATTTTCTGTTACCGTTGGGAGGTCAACAGATTTTGGTGCAGCTACTCTCTTAAGCTCGTTAATGGCGTCTGCGGATAAAGACCAATGAGAGAGTTTCACCACGGTACTTAGCTCTTCTCGACGACCCGCAAGAGCTGCTTGCATAACCTTCTCCTGACTTTTCTCGTAACCTCGAATGGGCTGGGGAAAGTAAGGATGAAAATCCGACCTTGGAATTTGAGTACGTCCCCAAGAGAGACTATATGAATCCATACAATCGCGAGATGGTCTCTCATTGTCTGGCAAAATTCGCCCTTCGGACTCGGCCACGGTATGCTTGGACCACAACTCAATAACTGTGGCAGCCCCCTGCGCATCAACAAGACTATGATGGAGGCTGATCGTAAGCACAAGCCCGCCATTGATAAACGTGGCTTGGGCTGTCAGCACCGGACAAGGCTCCAAATGGACGTGCGGCTTAGGAACAAATGTATCCGCAAATTCATCAGAAAAGAGGAAGTGTGAATCCACTAAGTCCTTGTAATTGATTTCTTCCAAAGTTTGATGATAGAACCATACACCGGCACCTTGTTCATCGTATTTTAGTTGTATATAATCGTTCTCCGGAGACTCTCGCACAATGGTGCCGGCTAGGAAGTTCACATCCTCAATGGTGTTAGCAAGTCCTGATTGTAGATTGCGAAGGATCGTAGGGCGAAGCGTTGGTGAATCAATCTGGAAGAGACATGACAATGGCATGTACATGCGCACTGTAAATTGATCGAGCGGAGTGAGCTTTTCAATTCCGGGTGCAATAGGATAATCGGGCCGCACGAGAACTTTCACTAAAGTCATTTCTGGAGCTGCTCAATAAATGAATTTCTTGGGATGGGAAAAATTTAGGAATAGCGAGGAGCGTCCTGGTATGCTGCTTAAGCGGAGTAAGGGATTTAATGGCTTATTGAACGGGAGCTTATACGAATATATAAATTAGAGTAGCATGAGCCAACAATACATACATCTATATCTACCTGTCAAGGAAATGTATTCTTCCGCGCCATATAACTAATGGATATTGTTTTATAATGCCGCTACCACCCCACGGTATCTCCAAATAGTCATACCGCTGGTTTCTGGTAGTTCCAGATGCAGCAGGGTAGTCCAAGTCGCAATACTATGTGGGGTAGCTGAGATAGCGACATTGCGACGGTAATCAAGATTTAAGTACATTCTGAATATCATGGTGCCTTGGGATGTGAAACCGTAGAGATGAAAGAAGAAACAGGGTTAGAGTGTGGTGCAGCGACTAAGACTGCTCCATGAATAATGGGCGGATATAGTTGAATCGGTGAGTGACGGCTAAGCAACCGGCGATTGATTTCAAGGGCTATAATTTAAGTGGACACTAAGTCTGCATATACTGACTTTGTGCTACTCGGCGGATCGCTGAAATAGGTATATGTCGGGTATTAATTAATCTAGCAGTCAATATCGCGAGCTAGAAATGGCTAGTTAGAGAGAATTTCTAAGTAGTAGGTTAGGCAGAGTAACGGCTGCCTTTCAAAATTCCCCAACATTCATGGCTGTGAGAATTCGAGGGATCGGTAATGGACACCATCTTGAGTAAAATCACACCATCCGTAGTTATGTGTAATAATTAGACACGTGCGATAACGAAGTATAATTATATACTAATAAGAGCTTGAGTCGGAATGTTTTGGGTAGCCGAATGGATAATTATCTCTTTATATGGCGCTTTTATTGGCCCAGCCCCAGTGACCAGTGACCTGTCCAAGCTACTCCAAGCCAGATTGATGGGCCAGCGGACATGGCTTTTTTTATCCAATGAATAACTAACATAGATTCTGATACCTACGATAGGACTTCCTCACTCACTGGCCTACACGCGCTTGTTGTCTGGCTCATGTTCGCTCGGTGACCCTTTTAAGATTCTGTCAGCATATCAAACTCTTACTTTGCCGCTCAAGAAGCGGCGTCGCTTTTTGGCTCAATAGTTATGAGCCCGGATATCGCACCTGGTTATCCGCTGCCAACACCTGAGTCCCTGGTTCGAATCTTACCCTGTACAAGTCCCATTTTCTGGCCACTAAGGCTACCAATTAACAATGGCCCTTTTGGGCCCACCAATCACAAGGCGATATAGGCTATAACAGCCGTCGCCCATCACCAATCAAGGCCCGTAGCGGCCACCCCCATCAATCAATGACTGTACAGGACCATTCAACCAGCCTCCACACAACGTGCTCCGCCAAGTTGGGGGGGGGTGTCAGCATATCAAACTCTTACTTTGCCGCTCAAGAAGCGGCGTCGCTTTTTGGCTCAACAGATTCCCACAATGTGATTGCATTAGAATTAATTTCTTTTTCATAAAAGGAATATCAAGCGATCCGTTGGACAAAAAAGTCAAGCACCCTTTACATTACTGGTACGGTACTATATCCCGAAGATGGCATTGAGACTCGCTACTGGTTAGTAAAATCATCTCCTGATACGGAAGTTGTCGGCAAATCTACTGGATAAACGATTATCTACGACGCATAGCAGTGCTGATACTCTAGCTTTATTTCAAAATAGCTACAAAAACTACCTCAATTTTATGATGTTCTTCAACGTTTACCTTTGCCCTTGGCCCATTAAATTTCTTTGCTCCTGACTTACTGTTGTGGATCCAACCCACAATTGCGGGCCGCTGCGGGATCCATAACTATAATCTCCACCTCTGTTATTGGCTTCTACTTTGCCAGAGCCAACTTTACGCCATTTTCTTTGATAATTTTATCAGCAGTGACTTTACGTCTGAGCCATTGGGCCGCTATCAGAGTATAGGCTGAAATAATATCACAACCACGTCATCCCAAGCTGGGAACGCCCGTGGTTAACCACTATAGAAATAGCCACTATGCTATCCAATATATTGCTCCTGGTTTTCAAAGTGAAATGACATCCCAACTATGACCATGCCTAAATTATAACTTCTTCTGCCAGTGTATTCCTTTGTGTGCTTGGGCCATAGTTGGTTCCATCTCAATGGCAAGCTTGTTTATAGTCCCCTCCGGGCTAAGGATAAATTTTGCTTTCGTGGCAGAGGATGCACCGTACATCAATGTACCAACCATCCAGAAATCACCCGTAACGTGCCGTAGTTCCAGTATTAACGCTGAGCCACTGAAGGCGCTCTGGGAAAGTTTGCCACAGAGGCGGTCACCTCCTAGTTTATGTTTGCCGGACAGTGGCGGGAAAAGAGAGTGATCAGGGCAATCGCTTGTTATTTTGAGGGTTGGATAAGCCGGGTGGATATAGATACCCTCGTATGCGGAAAGTTTGAGAGGTGGTGGGAGTGGAGGATTGGGGATACGTGGGTAGAGATCCTGTAGGACTCTAGGAGAGATTTTGGTGTTCTCCAGGGTTTCTTCCGCCCTAAAATTTGACATTATTCGTGAATAAAAGATGGCCTTATGCTAGTAGAGTGGTAAAAATACTGCTATGAGGGTACTCAATGCGTGAGAACATACCTTTTTCGCCAATTTTGACGGTCTTTTTGCGAAACCCCAAGAATATCGTCAATCAAGTGATTTCCAAGTAAAGTGACCGCTGCGTTTGTTCCAATCATGTTATTTCCCAGGATAACAAATCCAATTTTCCTCTTTGGCAGGAAACAAACTAAGGTTCCAAATCCTTCAATTCCCCCAGGATGTTGTATTATTACTTCGCCAGCATAAGTTCGCAAAAACCAGCCAAGTCCGTACAATGTTGGCGATGTGTCTGGTGGCATTGCTTTTGGTGAAATAATAGTATGGCCACCCATAATCGCTGCATAGCCAGCAGGAGATATTGGTAGGCGACGATGTATCATCGCTTGAACCCATTTTGCATAATCGGCTGCCGAGGTGATGATGTTACCAGCCCCTCGGATGCTGTCATGGAATGATAGCTCTGTATCTTGTAGTTGCCCTGTTGTATTCAAGAAGTATCCACGTGCAATTTCCTTTCCAGCTGCCTGAGCGTCAGGTAAGGAAAGGTATGTTTCATCCATGCCCAATGGTTCTAGAATTCGTTCACGTAAAATGTCCTTGAGTGGTCGTCCAGTCACAGTCTCTATGAGATGAGCAGCTGCCATGTACATGAGGTTACAATAGTAAAACTTCGTACGGATGGTCGAGGTAAGTGGTAGATGCCTCATTTTGTGTACAGCCTGCTGCAGCGTCATGTTCGCGAACCAGACCCAGTCATGGCGCGGCATCCCTGAGCGGTGGGACAACATGTCTTCTATCGTAACTTGCGTTGTGAACCATGGATCGTTGAGAATAAAGTCATTTGGGATAATACTATGGACTGGAGCCTCCCATTGAATGTTAGGAAAGTTCTCATTATCGTCAACAAGAAGTGAAATTAACGCCGCTGTGAAGGCTTTTGTTGTACTGCCTCCAAAGAAAAGGGTGTTTTTTGATACCGGTCGCGATGTCGAAAGATCGGAAACGCCATATCCCTATGATTTTATCAGCATGTCAACAACTTGTATGACTGAAAGGTGCAGCAAAGCAGGGCTCAATTCATATGGAATTAAAAGAGAACCAGCCGACCTTTGTGACCACCTCACTGCCATTTATAAATGAGATGGCAAGCCCAGGTACTTTGAAGCGTTCTAGTGACCAGTTGACTTTCTGTTCAAAGGCATTGCTTGGATCGTATAGAACATGGGAGTCGAAGCTCAAGGGAGCCTGTTGAGGGTTGCATCCCTGGGAAACCCAGGAACACAGCAGGAGGATTGACTGATAGATCGACATCGGAGATCCTAAGCGGAGATCACTATAGGTAATTGACCTCTACCATTTAGGGTACAGAGATAAGTTTCTGGCTCAGGTAGGAGGGCAAGAGGATAACGAAGGGAGCCACCGGTCGTTTGTAATTTAGAAGACACCCAGGTCCTCATATTTAAGACGGTCTGGAACGGAATAATGCGCTCGAGTAGTTAGCCAACACGTGACCTGACGCCTGAACGCCTCACTATCAAAGCATCCATGGCATGTTTCACACTGTTCGGGGCTGAGTTGCATCCGTAATCTGGATGGGTTGGCCTAGAGCCCCCTTTCTTGTGTGGATGGAGTAGCGAGGTACCTTGCCTCTTTCTGAGTAAGCATGTCTGCTCAGGCTGAAGGTGTTGCATAGAACTTTTACAATGCGATGCCATTATAATGCCGGAACCAACGAGAACAGTTTTCTATCAACTTTTTTATTTCACACGGAAAACTGTCGCCGCTAGTTATTTATACGGTCTCGCGGGATTGCCGCGCGTTTATGGATTACCTAATGGACATTAAATAAACGCGCGTTATAGTCATGTGATAACTAGCTACTTTCCAATCGCCCAAAAGTCTTCGACATCAGCTCGTAAAGCTCCATCATCACACCAAAGTTCCCTCCCTCCGATGGGTATCATCTTCAGGCCCCAAGCATCAAACTTAATAGCTGAAACGTTAAGTAAGCTGATGGACAGAGAGCCGGTATTTTATGCTGATGCCACGGCCGAGGGGCAGCAGACAGGAGGTTGATTGAGTTCAACGGCAGTGCACTATCGCCTGAAAGAATCGTTATAGAATTTTCGAACATTGTTAGAATTGCGGTTGCAGCATCCTTACTGAACACATGACTGTCGCCGGTAATCGTTATTTCAAGATGCTTACCCTTGGGACGGGCAGATATCTCAATGTTGGTTGGTACAGCGTATGGCTTTCTGAACCAGTCAAGGCTTGCAACGCTAGATTTCGAATCGGCGGAAAGCGTAACGTTCGGAGTCTCGTCAATATCGTGATACTGCAACAACGAGTCGAGCTTGGTGTCGCTTGGCCACTGGGTGCAATTTTCCACGATGTCTTGAAGACCTAAGGAATCAGCTTCCCCCATGGAGAGATACTGGTCCATGACATGGTTTAGAAGGTCAACCGTTGTCCATGTAGGGCCAAAGCGGACTCGAACTGGGATCGTGTTCATGCAGGGGCCCACTACCGTCTGGATCTGTGGTATGTTTGCATTACGCCCCGCTACGATGAACCCATATGTAACGTCCATCTTTTCAGTAATTTGTCTAAGGACAAATGACCATGCAGAACTCACAAGCGATGCAACGGTGGTACCCTTTGGCGGCACCGGCAACATCAGGGTCTTCCCAACGTGAATTTTAGACATACCATGTTGTGGGCCGTCTACCGCGAATTTTGTAGATATTCGGGTCATGGCTGATCCTTGAAGCAACTTTGCCCAGTATTTGCGCGACTCTGAGGCTCGCCCAAACGTATACGAAGCGAAATTAGCGAAGCTCAAAGTTGGGCTTAGGGGGGTGCCGATATATGCCTCCTGAAGGCACCTGAGGATTAGTGGCCACGACATCCCGTCATACTGCGCATGGGACATGCGGAAGATAAGCCGGGAACCAAAGTGCAGGTGTCGAATAAGTGTGAGGGCTAAAAATAAGGACCCAGGTTTGATCTCTTTTTCCAGATCGCGGAGGCAAAAGTTATCGCTTGTTTGGTCTAAATCTGCGCCTGTGTCAATCACCTCGAATGGTGCTTCGATCTTACGGATGATCACTTGATAGGTCTTTCCGTGAGATGGGATAAATATGGTGCGCAATATGGAGAAATGATCAATAACGTCTTGACAGGCTTTACGCAACTGGGTCAAGTCAAGATTACCGTTGAAGGTAAGGTAAAAATAGTTCAAAGCGTCCTGGGATGATTTGGCTGCACGAGACACATAAAATGCCTGCACATCGGTTGCTGGAAGGACATCCTCAACGTTGCTAGCATCCTTTGCATACGGTCCAAGTCCAGCTAGGGATAAGACACGCTCCAGGTCTTTCCGTTGAACATATACGAACGGTTTAGCGGTTAAAGTTTTCAATATCGTGTTGGATGATGATAACGAGATTGTGGCCTGCTCGTCAATATGAGGGTGACGGAATATATCTGCCACAGTCAACATGATGCCTGATTTCCGCGCTGCCGTGACCAACCGCATGGCCGAAACTGAATCTCCGCCGAGGCGGAAGAAGCTGTCGTCTAGGCTAATCCGGCTGCTATCAACCTTTAGGACCGAACTCCATAGTTGTTGTAACTTCAGCTCTCTCGCATCTAAAGGTGCACGCCCGTCGTGGTTCGTTTGATTATTTGCTTGTGCAAGCTGTTCGCTAGTGAAACGTGAGCCTGCATCACGTAGGCGTTGTCGATCAGTTTTCCCACTTATGGTAATTGGCATTTCACTCATTGTGAAAAAGACAGCAGGGACCATATAACATGGCAATCGGTCTTCTAGTTGCTCGATTAGACTCTTTGGCATCGAGATCGGGAACGCTTCAGGACCAGCCCCTTCGCTGCTATGTCTCTTATTTATGGATATACTATCCAGCCCCGTTTTGGTGCATACGAACGCAGCCAATATCATGCTATCTTTTCCCGAAGGTTGAATGGCCTCTGCTACCACTGCTAGTGCATCGGGCAAGCATTGGTTCACATGGTGTTCAACCTCACTCAACTCTACGCGCTGCCCGCGTATTTTGACTTGGGTATCTTTGCGCCCACAATAGTTCAGGCTTCCGTCAGTGTTCCATCGTACCAAGTCTCCAGTCTTATATACTCTCCCACCAGGCAGCCACGCAGGTTTAATAAATCCAGCGGCTGTCCTCTCGGCGTCGTCCAGATAACCTTGGCTAACCTGACGGGATTCAACGGCCAACTGCCCTATGCAACCTGTGGGTGCAAGCCGGTTATCGTCCGCAACCTCTGTAACCCAAAGACGGGTGCCTCTTACAGCATACCCGATATTTGTAGTGTCATCGGTTTCTGTTAGGGGGCCGCTGACAGAGACGCAGATTGTGGTTTCAGCTGGCCCGTATCCATTATATAACGCAACTGAACTGGCCCACGTTTCCAGGTCTTGTCGGGACATAGGCTCACCGCACAAAATCATAGTCTTTAAGCAGGGTACGTCTTGAGGCTTTATCAGCCTGGCGACAGTTGGTGTGAACAATGCCAAATTCACCTGCATCTGATTGATGCATCCGGGAAGGTTTGACAACCGCTCATCTTCCGAGGGGACACATACGCAGCCGCCATGAGATAAAACCGTGGCTATCTCTTGCAAACATGCATCAAAAGTGAAGGCTGCAAATTGCAAAGCTCGAGTTCCTCGGTCAAATTTATAACTCTTTCCGTGCCCAAGCAGTACACTTGTTGCGAGGGAGCCATGATCAATCAAGATCCCTTTAGGTATCCCTGTGGTTCCGGAGGTGTATACAATAGTCGCCGTATCAGTCCCATTGATTATGGGTATCACAATATTGGGAAGCGTTGCCTCAATAGCTGCCTTATCAATGGAAATGGCCGGCGTGCCAACGGTCTCAAAGAGCGAGATATACCTAGAATCAGCAATGATGAGTTTCGCGTGACAGTGCTCTACAATGCCCGTGAGCCGCTGTTGGGAATGAAGAGGGTTCGTGGCCACGAAAGTAGCACCAGATCTTAGGACGGCCAATATTGCGATAATTGACCAACACGACTTGTCCAGGCATATGACGATATTATCTCCGCGGTTTACGCCTCGACCGATGAGATGTTTCGCAAATTTGGTATAAGTCATTACCAATTCGCTATAGGTGCATTCCCCATCCCAGGATAGTACTGCTTGGGCATCTGGTTGCGACATAACCCGTTCCTCTATCGCTTCGAAAATACCTGTTTCCACGTAATCCAGAGGTAAATGGTTAAGGGAGTTCATTAAATGAACCTCACTATCACTGAGCAGCGGTACAGATTCAATTGGAACGTCACCGCACTCTAGTAGGCAATTCAGGGCCTTGGCAAATGTGTTTGACATATTCATCACGTCGGTTTCAGTAAGTGACGGCCAATATAGGAACCCAAGTTTCATATTATCCTCAATAATATCAACGTTGGCCACTATATCATACTTGAAGTCCGTCAGCAACACCTCGGGAACTATGTAACTGGAAACTTACCTCAGTTGGATCGTCTTGCTCTCTGATTTCCTCAAACGATATGGATGATCCAGCATATGGATCTGTTCTAGCCGTCCACTCCATCGATACAGCCGTGTTAAACATTGCTTCACTGCCCTGTGGATAAAGCCTAGCCTTTAATTCCGTCAAAGGGTAGTGCTGATATGGCATACTTTCAATATACTCGTGTTGCATTTCTTCCGCTAGCGATAGGAAAGTAGCGTTGGAGGCCAGTCTAGCACGACATGGCTGGATACTCAAACATAGCCCAACCATTTTATCAACATCCTTGAGAGGAACATCTCGTCCAGCAGCAACATACGTGAAACAAACGTCATGGGAGCCCGTGTATGCCCTGAGGACCATTGCCCAAGCCACCCTAACGGCGGATGCCACAGTTATATGCATTTCCTTGCACCTTGCTAGAAAAGCACGACTTCTTTCATAAGTAAAATCCCGCCGCAAGAAGCGAGCTGGCAAATCGTCAAATGTTACCTGTTTGCTCACTGGGATCATGCATGGCGGGCAGCCTTGAAGATACGACGTCCAATACTCGGCACTAGCCTCTGTATTTTGTGCAGCCACGTACTCCACAAAATCGCGATAAGGTTGGGGTTGATGAAGCAACGGACTATCGTCGCAGGCAGTGGCAAAGTCTCTCATTAGATTCTCCATTGCAGCCCCGTCTACCAACGCATGGGAAATTTCAAGCATGAAATATATGGCCTTGTCACCACACGCGCATATAGTCATTCGATGGAACGGTGAACCTTTGGCAAATGGCTTCACCGATTTCGTGAAAACTTCCATAGCCTCAGATGGCAAAATTCCCGTTGGCACTTCGAGAACGCAGACCTCGACTCGTGGCTGCCGTAGCACAATTGAGTGATATCCAGCACCGACGCCTAGATCGTCCACAAAGACCGTACGAAGCGAAGGATGGTGACCCACAACCCTATTCCAGGCATCTTTGACTCTTGTCAATTCAGGCAGGTTTCCGGTTCTCATGACGGCTTTGTAGAAGAACCGAAGATGATATGACCCTGGTTTACGGATCTGGCCAATGAACATGCCCACTTGCATAGGAGTACACGGGTATATATCCTCGACGTCATCGAGGTGTGAAATTCCTAGGCGAGACAAATCGTACTTCTCTCGGAGAGTCCTCCAAGCTAATCTAGTGGTATGAAGAGACAAGCCATTTGTGGATTTCTGTTTCCCCAGAGGAGTAGTTAAGGAGGCAGCTCCCGCAACGCCATCACATGTCAATATATCAGTCATGGTTAAGCCAATGCCATTTTTTCGGCATTTAGCAACAACTTCCTGAGCAAGTATGGAATTTCCGCCTAACTGGATGAACGAGTGATGGAGGCCAACCTGCTGTGGTGGCACATCGAGAGCATTGCTCCAAACTTCTTGGATAACCTGCTCCATGTGCGTTGTGGGGCTTAAATTACCGATTGGCTCAGAGTTTCCTCTAGTTATCTCAAAGAACGTCGTTTCTGGCATTCCCTCAGCCCATTTGCGTACCCTAATACGGTCAATCTTCCCTGAAGCTGACATAGGCATGAAATTGATGAATGCCCATATCGTCGGCACCATATATCTTGGCAATGCATTCTGCAACTCCTTCCGGAGAGAGTGCATAATTTTATCGACCGAATGGTCCCGAATTGTTGAAATATCGTATTTCATCCCAGGGTTGTCCGGTCTTGACTTTAGAGATATGATTGCCATCAAGTTGTCTTTGCATCGGTTGGATTTTGGTACTATCGCCACTGCATGGCGAACGTCGTTATGAAGCGTTAAGTGGTATTCGACTTCTCCTAACTCGAGCCTTTGGCCATTAAGTTTTACCTGGGTATCTACTCGTCCACAAAATGTGAGTGTTCCGTCTGAGTTCCATCGTACTAAGTCACCGGTCTTGTAGCAGTGCCAGCCCCGGTACTGAGGGTCACCTTGGAGGAAGGCGACATCATTCAGGAATGCCAGCGACGTCTTGACAGGGTTATTGAGATACCCTAGCCCAACAATAGGACCGGATACCAAGAGCTCGCCAATTGCACCAACAGGTACCAGCTTATTATAGTCTCCTGGCGAAACGACCCAGCAAGCTGCATTATTAGGGACTCCAATATTCAGCGGGTCGGTGTTCCTATGGGTAATAGCCCTAGTCGATGAATTAATCGAGCATTCGCTTGGGCCATAAAACTGAAAGAGATTAATTTTCTCCGACCACAAGGTCACAAGCTCTTTGGGAAATGATTCTCCTCCGAGGCAGAGAACCCGTAGCCCAGGTACAGCTTCCGGTTTCAATTTCCGGGCAAGTGATGGAGTCATAATTGCCAATGTAACGTTGTACTTATTGATAGTACTGGCAAGGCTTTCTTCAATCTCCTCCGTCCGGGGAACGCATACGCAGGCCCCTGAACCCAAACTAGTACAAATTTCTAGAAGGCTCATGTCGAATGTGTGGCTTAGCATTTGAAGGACGCGACAATCTGGCCCAAATTTCCATTCAGGTGCCTTCCTAAGCGCCCCATTCAGGAAGGATGAATGTGAGACCATACACCCCTTTGGAATACCCGTTGAACCACTGGTGAAGATAATGTAAAATAAGTCCGTTGGCTTAACGCCCGAGTTTGGTGCACCATCACAATTTGGCAAACAATCAATACGGTTTCCCTCTATCGAAACCAACTTTAGCCCGGTAGGCCAGAGGTGACCGAAATCTGACGTCGTTAACAGGACGGAAGGGGAGATCATCTGAATCATTGACTCCCTTCTGCCAGGCGGGAGGTACGGCGGGATGCTCACAAAGGCCCCGCCCGCTTTCGAGACGCCCAGCATGGCTACTATCGCCCAAGCTGAACGTTCGAAACAAATTGGAACGATCACACCTGGACCTATGCCATGGTTCTGAAGATACTTGGCGAGCCTGTTTGCCAGTCTGTTCAATTCATAATAAGTGAACTTGGCGTCATATGCGTCAATGGCCTGGGCTGATGGACATTCCACAGCACGTTCTTCCACCACATTATGGAAACACTCCATCCAAGGCTGTTCCGGTATTTTGCTATTGAATTTCCACAGTTGGTCTAAGTGAGATTTGCTCATGTACTCAAGGTCCCTAAGAGAGGTATTGGGCTTTTGTTTGAAATTCGAAAAGATTTTTTCAAAAGTTGTGCCAACGTTGGCTGCCTGGCCATCCGACAGCATGCAGCTTGGGTAGCGAACATAATAGCTCACTCCACCTTCCGCGTCTGATATGTTGAGGCTAATAATATTCTTCTATAGTAACTGTCAGGCTCCATTACTAAATAGTTAAGGGCTTGATGTAAATACCTGAAAGATTTGATCGACCGCAGGAACAGAACTGTTGGAAGATTTATAGCGAAATACAATCGCTGTATTCGCTGATTGGCTGCATAATGCAGATTGCTGGTTGTTGGTTCCGAAGGGCGTACTTTGGGCTTTAGCACCATGGAGTAAGTGTTGCGCTTGCTGAATGAGCTGCCCCTGGGTTTGGGATTCGTGGGTATTTAAGTGAAAAATCGAAGCTCGCCATTGCGTTCTATCAAGTAAAATATAGAGTGAGGTTTTGTCTACCCCTATATACTTGGAAAGAGTCAGAGCCCATGCAGCAATAATAGTCGACTCCAGCAAAGGGCTGTCCGAGACTGGGTTAATCCCCAGAATAACTCTGTGAGTGTTCCCCTCGGTTCCAGGTCTGGTACAATCGATAATGTTCCCGTCAGCCAAGGATGGAAACATTCCTGTTGAACCATTTGGCCCCTCAATTGGCAGGTGTTTTGGAATCGCTTTCTGTATCGAGTCCATAATGAGGTTCAAATGCAATGTTTAAAGGCTGATAATCCTGATATTAGATTGATGGGGGACTTAGGTATGATCGGCTCTCAATTATGGTAGCAAATGGTGCATAACAACAAACTGCAATGGGGTGAAAATTAATGGGAAAAGCATTGTTACTTTAGGTCAACGTTTAGGCCCTGTTAAAGTCACCAATCGCTTCTCTGATCACAGCGTCAGCTGCAATGGTTGTTCATGTGGGATTCACAGGGGGGAGAAAGTCGGCACCCCCGCCTGAGGGGTCATGATCCTTCATGAATTCAGCTATTGTTGACAAAATAATAGCATATTTCATGCATTATCAGCCAGCCATTGTTCGGTGGAACCCCCATTGATGTTTCTTGTAGCGAGCCAAGATCGAATCTACTTCCTCTATGACCTATTCTTGTGCTTCGAGCTGTGTCCGGGGGCCTAGGACCCTCCCTAGAGAGGTTACATTGACATGGCGTTATGGTTCATAGGATTACATGGACTACGTCCTCCCTGGCCTACTATGTAGTTCATAAGGGTAACTTGATAGTTATAAGTATCCAGACTTGGGTATAAATATCTAGACGTTGTCCTCCGTCAGGCGAACTTCAACCTGCATCATCAACAAAGCAATAGCACTTCCCATCATTATCTTATCAAGCCCCTTTTTATCTATCCATACATAGCCTCACCACCATCTTCAAAAATGGTCTACCCAACCAACGACGAGATCAAGAAGCTCTTGGAGGCTCAGTTCCACTCGAAAATTCAAAAATCTGACCTCAACGATGACTCCGAGAGCCTTTTTCAGTTCGGCCACCTGGATGAACTCTTCTCGGACGATGTCGAAGTCCACATCTCTGGGCACGAATTCCACCTCAATGGAAAACATCGGGGTTTGGATTCCTTCAAAGCGCACTTGGAATCCGATGATATGCCGTCCTTGAACTCAATCATCGACGTGACCAAGCCAATCAAGGGCCAGGTCCTCCATGTCATTGGCGGTGACCGTGACGAGTGGAAGGCTGCTGTGCTCCACAGCACTGCAACGACCCAGAACAGTGAGATACTTCATCGGCCCATATTTACCATGTAAGACGTTTTGCAGCTAACACATCTCAACAGACACCCCATGGAACCACGAAATGGCAGTCTTGATGCGCTTCAACCATGACGGAAAGATTACCGAATTGAGAGCCTACGCAGACACCCAGCACGTTCACAACCATATCCAGGCTCACAAGTGAATAGCTCACTCGCGATTAGGCCGGCTTCAGAGGGAATCTAGCGACGGTCCGGTGTATGCACTGTTCGGAACTAGTTAGCCTGATATGTTTGATATAAGTCATACGAGCCTAAGAATCATAACCGTTACTTCATGCAATGCGCCGCCTTTTACGAGCTTTCCTAAATTGGCATTATACTTGCCTTGTAGACCTTAAAATACATTCAGTACAACATTCTCCCTATAAAGTTAGTTATGGACAGCAAATCGTTTTCAAATGTTCTTCGATGTGGAGATATCCTTGTAAAGGCTCAGATATTGACAGCTGGCCTATCAGCATCCCTAGATGAGCCAAATAGCCGCTAGCGAGGGTGGCTAGCATGGTTCACACACAGCTAGTATGTGATGTTGCATATAGCCGATATCACACCGTTCTGCGGGGCGGGGGCCGCATATTCCGTCTCATAGACGATGCGCGAGGCCGCGATTCAGAGGTACTGTTATTTCTACGCAAGGTATAATAGGATAGCTCATCGTTATACGGGGTACGATTAGATGTACTTCCACAGCAATATTATTGTCCCCGATTAACTAGGCACACCCTCTCAAAACACAGCACCCTCAATGTATATATCTCTCCACAGCTTTTTACAAAGTGCTTCTCTACTAGAAATGCGCGAACATAGTATCTAGATGATGTAGACGGTGGGGTCGTTGCATTGAAGTCAGGGAAAGATTATTTAAAGTTAACTAGCTTACGGGCGTGCCCGCAACTCCACTCTAAGCCTAAAGACGTGAACGCCCCACAAGGCTGGACTTTCGTATATGTATGTGACTTCAACCAAGTCCTCGGCAGACTCGGTGTACGCAACACCCAGTTGAATCGAGTACTGCGTGCATGGGATAAGAGCTGAAGAATATCTAAAGGTACGGCAAGCCTCGGAACCTAAGGAGAGATTATAGCTGAACTACCCTGGTGTGTGGTAAAGGGAGGTGGTCTACTTGTTACTCGGGCGGCTGGCCCCTGCTGAGCTGACCATATTTGGATCACTCATCATCCTTACTATTAGCCAACCAGTCGATATCATAGCGGTTGACGAACGCCTTATAGATACCCCTGGCAGCAGGCATCATTTTGCCCCGCCATATTCTATGAGTAACAGGGGTAGTCAGCTGAATTGAAAGTTCCAGACCACTCCAAGAAGCACTGACGGAGCGAACCTGTCCAGGGAATTTTATTCTACAATCGGCAAGGTGTAAGTCTCTGTATGCAGTGACTGATTGTTGCAGCTGGGGATATTATGACTTATCCAACAGTTCGCTCCGCCACATCCGGACGCGGGGATATGAACCAGCATCCAAACTCGTAGGGTTTATTTGATAACTCTAGGGTGGGAATAATACGAGGTCGCTACCGTGTCACTTTCTGTCTAACCTAATTTTCTCGGTTATGAGAATTGTCTCTTGTCTCCCATACTCTGTGCCTCTTGTCTGTGTTTCCTTGGTCAAACACATCAATTTCTTCCTCTTCCTGCAGAGAAAATGAGGCCAGACACACAAACTAGCTCTGTCGAGCCAAACGGCACTGAGGATATATGGAACGACCCAAAGATTGTTGAGGATTATCGTTCCGCGGAGAAGGTGACGGTAGTTTTTGCTAGGTCTCTTATAGAGCAATCAGGCATTTTATCCATCCAGAGAGAAGGGAAACCGTTGTCCATTCTTGATCATGCTTGCGGGACAGGGGCTGTTTCGGCCGTTCTGCATGAAATGCTTCCTGATTGGAAGATTGATGATGGATGGAAGTTGACCTGTGCAGACTTGTCTGGCGCAATGATTGATGCTGTCAAGGCGAAAATAGACGCTGAGGAATGGGGAAACACCGATACTGCAATCGCAGATTTACACAGGACGGGATTGTATACTGGTCATTACACTCATGTCTTTGTCTCCTTTGGTTAGTGAAAGATGAAAAGAAAGTTCTTGTTCGAAGGGGTAAGTACATACTGACATTGCGAAAATGGCTTCCAGCAATAATGGCTGTTCCAAAACCTGAAGAATGCCTCGATGGTAAGTCATTATATTGCATACATTTTTGTACATGCACACACGCTTTTTAAGGGTGTATTCTAGTTTTTGTAAAGGCAACGCTAATGATTTGTGGCAGAATGTCTTCGTATTCTAAAGCCAGGCGGAACGCTTGCATTCACTACATGGGAAAAATGTATGTATGCCACGTATCAGCTATATCCAGCCGAGTTGAAAGGCATTCGCTATTCTGAAGGCTTTACTAATCACATGGTTCTATACCAGGTGGGTGGAGCGACGACGTCAACGCTGCCATTGCTACCATGCCCGGAAATCTCCCCAAACCGACCCCAAAGGAGTTTCTCATGTCACTAGGAAACGGCGATGAATGGCACAATCCCGATTGGGTTGAAGCTCAGCTTTCTAAACGAGGCCTTAAAGATATACAAGTTAAACTTGCTCCGAAGACAATTGCGACGAGCACGCTGACTGAAATATTGCCCTCCCTCGCCCCTATCATTACCCATATACCCGCTAAATTTTGGAATAGCGAACAAAGGGAGCAACATGGGGATAACTTGGCATCTGCAGTCTCAAGCTATCTAGAAAAAAATTATAGCGTCGACCAGCTTATCCCGATGAATTGGGTTGCGGTGGTAGCAACAGCGCAGAAACCTGCCAATTAAGCAAGCCTCCGTTCCGTCAGTTAATGGAGCGTAGGGGAGAACAAAGGCTGACTTCAAAACGGTTAACTTCAAAGTTGTGTAAAACGGATGCTCGACTTTGGACAAAGTTAGATATATAGGGGCTCGGTTCACAATAGATCAAATCACAGCTCTACTATTAGTCTAATATGTTCTTTCTAAGTGTGAAAATGTAACTAATCTAGATCGAATCTATAACGATGCCTGGTAATCCTATCTATCAAACTCCCTAGGTAGTTGTACCCTCCCATCTGCAAGCTGGTTCGAATAACAGCCTTCTCGCCCACTCATGTAAATACTTTAATTTGTGTGTCTGGCATTGAAAATGAATGGGTTGGTAAACACAAATATTCAAACTTAATGTAACTGTCAATTACTATGAGAAAGTTGGGCAATGTGGGAAATAAATGTGCTTGGAGACGTTGAGATGCCCAAATTCGCCTTTGACAAATTGATATCAATAATTAAGATTATAGGGTGTCATATGAATTACCAGAATTAGAACGCATCTTATTCAAGCAAGCTATAACTATATATGCTGACTTTGTTGACTACTTCCACTCCGTCATATCTGACCCCAACGGCTTAGGCATTTCTCGCCAACCAACGTCACAGCCTTGGATGGTTGCACTGTGTTTGACGGCGGTCATAAGACCAAATCCTGTTTCTCGAGTTTCAAGATACTCTCCAGGCAAATCATCCTGGGACTTATAATCTCGACAGTCAAACCCGGTTGTGCCTGGATATTGGCCTAGGCTCCTCAAATACTGCATCGCTCTGGCTAAAGAGACGTCAACCTTCCAAGCACCGCCTTCCATATCACGATGATACAAAGCGGCCATGATGCCGCTAGCGAGTAGATATCCGCTTGCATGATCAAGCGCTTGACAGGGCGTCGCTCGGGTGAATTCACCTGTGTTTGCGTGTTCAGCTTCAGACAAATTCATACCGGAGCAAGTTTGTACCAGTGAATCAAAACCTCGACGGCCTGACCAAGGACCTTTGGGGCCGAAAGCTGACAGGTTGGCGCAGATGATGTTGGGATTCAGCCGAACGAGTTCTTCTGGACCAAGTCCATAAGCTGCCAGGCTTCCTGGACGAAAGCTCTGTATAAAAACATCGCAGGTGCGCAAAAGGTCCATCAGACGCTGCTTGTCTACTTCGTTGTGAATATCTAGCTGTATGGTTCGCTTGCCGCGAGCCAAGTCTCGATCAAGGTCAGGTAGGTCGGGTAGGTTGGGAGAGGTCACCCATAAGACATCGGCATTGTGAGCAGCAAGGGCCTTCCCAGCGACTGGTGCTGCAATGACTCGACTCATTTCCAAAACCCGAACGCCTTCCAGACATGTTTTACTGCTTGTACCGGAAATCTGCCTACGGGGGGTAGTTTTTGATATGGGAAGTTCCTGGAGTCGTTCTAACAGAACTGGTTTATTTCCTATTTCCTTGGATTGGGGAAGCTCGTCCCATTGTGCATATGACCGGAGGGCGTAGGCTGCAGCTCTGTCATGCGCTGTTGCTTTATCCTCTAAGTCGACGCTTGCCCAGTTGGCGATTTTGGTGGCGACCTGCTCACGGGTAGTATCGCTGGGCAGCCGAAGAATGTTGAGCATACTAGATACATGATTAGGGAAGACGTCGTGGACCCGGATGAAGCCGTCAGCAGTCTTGTGCAGTCCTCCGATAGCTCCCCACGACGATAAAGGTGGCTGGTTGTTCAAAGTGTATAGACGCTCAGACTTAAATTCGATGGCTGCATGCTTTATCGGCACACTAACACGGGCTAGAGAAGATAGTTGATTGCGACGACAGTAGAGAAGTGACGCAGCGAGAGCTGACGTTGCAATGGTGCTCTGGGCAAAGATACCGATCCTGTAAGACGAAGGGAGAACAGGCCCATCATGGTCCAAAATATCCAACGCTACTAGGGATTCTGATGGTAGCTTTAGGCTGTTGACCCATATATCTTGCACAATCTCGCGAGCAGAAAGATGTCTTCGATCCGTGATAAAAGGAGGAAGATAGTCGCCCGTGGTGTTCCCCGAAGAGGGCTGTTTTGCAGTTTTATAGGTGGACGTACACATTGTACAACAACAGCGCTAATCCAGATGGCGATCTATTCATTCCCTTCATTGAAACAAAATGGAGGCCACTGTCGATTCTTAATGGTTCATTACTCCGTACTTGATGGCTTTTTATTAGCGAGGTAGCGAGATACGGCGAACACGGATGGTTCGGCTTAGCGGGAGTTGGTTCCCTCGGCTTCACCACGAATGATCCATTTCAACGTATCATTTGGTAGTCAACAGACGTGACATTATATCTCAAAGATGGATTCCCGAACGTCTAACGTCAATGCAAACTTGGTCTCCCCATAGAAGAGCGTCACCTTCGGTGGCTGAAGTACTTTGCTGAATACGTCCCCATCGTATAAATCTTATGGTTGGGCCGATTCCATAACCAGACTCCAATGTCAAATCAGACTATCTCAAGTCCCAGGGCCAGTTCGTTTATCAGACACTACCGGGACTTGGTAGCATAACTGAGTGGTAGAACAATTGAGTATGGTTGATATAGTATCTGTGGTGTTGTTTATTTATGCATCGAGGGGAAGTTTAGGAGGGAGTGACTTTCCTGCCAAGACCTGCAAACGGCTTCCGACCTCCCACCAGAAGAAGAGAAAGACGACAGAAGTAGAGAGAGACCAACATTTGGCCATATCACGGCAAGCAGCTTACCCTCATTGTTTACAAACCAGCAGGCTGAAGGTAGATAACCGTCAAACACAGACAATGAGCGATATGAACGCTGCAAAACTGATCAGCAGGTGCTGGAACAATTTACCCGGTTAGTCCAGCGAATTTGAGTCACCACGTATGTATAGAACACATACATCGGATGTTAAACAATTCTTTCCCCAGGCTGAGGAGCCATACAAAGTATCATAAGCCAGGGCCATCGCTAATCACCGAAACAGGGAGACTGAGAGTGTCAGAACTCGCTTTCGACGTTCCTCTGGACTATTCAAACCCAGCCTCTGCCTCGCTTCGGCTATTCGCCCGGGGCGTGCAGCGGCGAGTGCCAGGTGCTGCGGTTGACGATAAAGAGAGACAGCTACCTTGGATCGTCTTCCTGCAGGGCGGACCAGGAGGAGCCAGTCCACAGCCGCAGGAGGTGGGCTGGGTTGGTCCCTTGTTGGATCGCGGATATCAGGCGAGTCTCCAGAGCAAGGTAACCTCGGAAACATCATTAATCCAAAAAATTAGATCCTCCTTCTTGACCAGCGAGGCACGGGTCTTTCAACCCCTATTACTGCTGCTACCCTGGCACTTCAGGGAAATGCCATCAAGCAGGCCGAGTATCTGAGATTGTTTCGTGCAGACAATATCGTTCGAGACTGCGAAGCGGTTCGCAAAGTCTTGACAGCCTACTATCCTGGCGATAGACAGAAATGGAGCGTCCTAGGCCAGAGCTTTGGTGGCTTTTGTGCTGTAACATATCTTTCCAAACAGTAAGCTTTCTTTTTGCGTGAATCATTAACCACTGCTAGCGGGCAGTATAGGTTTCTATTTCTGTCGATGCAGCTGCTAATATTCTACAGTCCCAAGGGATTGAAGGAAGTTTTCACGACGGGTGGACTTCCACCGCTGGTGTCCAAACCAGACCCTGTTTACGAGCGAACTTATGGTACATTGGACCGTTGAGATCATTGATTGAGGAAGAACTGACTCCTTCATAGACAAGGTTCAAATGCGGAATAAGGCTTATTACTCCAAATTCCCAGAAGATGAGCAGCGAGTGCGAATTATACTCCGCTACTTGACAGAAAACACCATCACATTCCCCGACGGCGGGGTTCTGACGCCAGAACGCTTCCTCCAATTAGGAATACATTTTGGCATGAAAGGTATATTACCCGATTCAACCATTTGAAGAATTTAAACTAACTTCCTCTCTCTGTAGGTGGTCTTGACTTGGTCCACGGTAATATTCTATAGAATAAACTCCCAGCACTAACCCATCCCACTAACGTGTGTTAAACATAGGCATTATATTGAAATGTACCAACGACTTGGACACTTTCGGCTTCTTTACCCGGCCCACCATTGCTTTGATTGAAAGTGACACTGGCGCAGACAACGGTATTCTATATGCAATTATGCACGAAGCTATCTATTGTCAAGGGTAAGATGCCGCTTCACACCTGGCCGTCAGATGTCAAACAAAACTTCTAACAACTTCTACTAGGGAGCCATCGAATTGGGCGGCCGAAAGGTTGTTACCACGATTCCCAGAGTTCCGAGGCGCTCATAATCCTCATGGAATATTCTTCACGGGAGAAATGGTAGGGAACACATTTATTGCGGAAATGCAAAGGGTCCCAGTTGCTAAAAAGGTCTATTTACAGGTATACAAGCACTGGTTCGAGTCGTCCCAGGAACTCGGTCAGCTCAAAGAAGTAGCCGATATCGTTGCTTCATACAATGACTGGCCTCAATTGTATGATATCGAGCAACTCGCACGCAACGAAGTGCCAGTTTACTCTGCCACGTACGTCGAGGACATGTACGTGCATTTCAGCTATGCGACCGAAACAGCTGCCGTGATTCGCAACTGTAAACCGTTCGTTACCAACACCATGTATCACAACGGGCTTCGTTCAGACTCTGCAGAGCTAATTGCACAGTTGTTTGCTCTCCGTGATGATACGATCGACTAGGAAAGTAGTTTCACAGTGAGTACATGGGTATTTGATGGTGCTGCTCGTTGTTTGTCACGGGATGACACTCCTATTGCTATGTCCATAGAGTAAACATGTGTATACGTCTAGTCGGCTATCTCTCTTGCAACATCGATCAATCGAAGCTTTCGTGAGTCTCGGGGATGAAACTGTGCAATCTTGGCCTTGACCAAAAACCTCGAGGCGGCTGAGTCCTGGTCTAGTTCAATGTACGATGACGTAGCCGCGATGTTTAGTAAGGATTCTATAAGGGAGTGCATTTCTTCAGCAGCGGCTTCCCTTGGGTTGGTAATCCTTGTTTCATCCCCATCCTCGTCGTTTTCTTCCTCGTGCCCGCCATCACGTCCTTGGGCACCACTCCTTCTCCTACCCCGACGAAGGAGCTCGTCTATGCGTTGTTGCTGCTTCTTACTCCCAGTACTCTGGCCATTACCGGCCTTGGATGCCTTTCTTTCCTTCCCTCGTGCTGTATATCCAATTTCAAGCGTGGAGTCAGAAACTTCGATCTGATCACCAACGACCGGCCCACCCATGTCCTCTGCAGCGAGCATAGGCGCAAGATGCTCATCAACGAACTCCCTTAGCGCCTCTTTCAGCTCGACGGTTTTCTCTTCTATCTCACGGCCCTTGCGCCGTTGCTCTCTGATCAGCTCCTTGGCAATCCTGTTCGATTCCTGCTTCGACTTCTTGCCTCCATGCTTTGCCCCAGACTCGTCGTTATCCCGTCTCTGTTGACGCAATTCCTTGATTCTTCGCTGGAGTTCGGCCGTGATCCCGTTTGCGTCGCGTAAATTAGCCTCTTCAACCTTCAGCCTCTCGCGATCTCGAACAAGCTCCTGGGCCGTTAGTGGTATGGTACTTTTGAGTTCTCGGACGAGCCGATTGGCTTCTCGTAGAGCTAGAAGCCCGTTCAGCGGCGAGTCAGGCGCGGGCAGCTGTGGCTTGCTATCGGAGAGGAGAGACTTGTATGCTTGTATGGCCCTGCGAGTTTGTGCCAGCCGTTCATGGGGCTGTAGGTCTGGACGTGGAAGCTCCAGCGGGCCAGCACTCGCGCGAAGCTATACCGATTGATTAGTCGAACAGCACGTAATTGTAGACAGCAGCCTGGCCTACCTCGCGAAGGGCATCTTCTTGCCGCTGGACCTGTTCACGTAGACCGCGGAGGGTCTTTTCTATCTGGCGGCTGTGCTCTTCGTAGTTTGCAGCCGTCAGTGGCACGCTGCGTTCTTTCTCGACCTCCCGACACGACGCGTCGTAGGACCGTATCCTCTCGACCACCTCTCCAGACACGCTCATCTCTTCTCTTTCTCTTTCTCTTTCCCTTCCTCTATTGTCCTATGTCATGTCCTGTCCTATGTGTATGTCTATGTGTATGTCTGTCGTGGATGTCACGTGATACCCCAGACCCGAAGCGGCCTAGCGCCCTCCTTAACTGGGAACTTCTTCATCCTTGTTTCGACTTCAACTTCAACTTGCATCGCGAGCTTCACCTTCACCTTCACTTTCACCGTTGCCCGTCGCCCGTCGCCTCTCGCCTCGTCGCCGCGTCCATCGCCGTCGCCGTTAACGCTGTCGAGTGACCCCGTTGAGCGACTCCTCTGGCGTTTCTCTCTTGGTTCCGTCGTGTTGCCCGCGTTCCACGATTGTTTGGCTTCTTGGAGTATCTGCGCTCAGCCGTTCAACGCCAAACCACCGCGTTCGCCAGCTTCACATCGTAGGCAAACAGGCTAGGAGCTAATTTTCTAGCCATACGCCCTCTTCACCCGCGTTTTAAAGTCAACCGTCCTCACTACTGCCATCATCCTTTGTTTTCTGCTCGCTGGTGGTGACGTTCTCGTTAATTCACCTACTTCAACATCACCTTGCCTACCGCACCTTCTATCGCCTCCTATCCCAACACATTGTCCGCTATTCAGAGCTTCTCCGCTCGAACAGCTTCACTCTTCAACCCAAGCTCGCATTTTCACACCACCAGTCAACGTCGATCCCACATAATTCAACACGCATTGCACCTTCACTCAAATCTATTCACACCACTTCCGCTCCAAGTCAAAATCTCCCATCACCTTCCTCTCAAGTCCGACACCTGCACCAGCAAGTTTTCCTTGGGAACTCCTGGTGTACATAAAAAAAATCGATTTGAAGAAAAAGAGAAAGAAAGAAGAGGAAAAAAGAAATTTAAACAAAGTTCCAGCTTCACTCCGGCTTCTGTCTTGCTCCCTGTCTTCCTCTTTCTCAAACGTAGGTGCTCGATAATCCGAAAACCGCAATCACAGAAAACTACGCACATTTCATCATGTCTGCGTCACCAACTTCCGCTGGTCCATCGACCAAACGTCCCCTAGAGGACCCGTCGTCCCCGTCTGGACCTACCGATCAACCAGAGGCCAAGCGTCAAGCTTTGGATAAGGTAGTAAAGGGGGAAGATGACGATGAACCAAAGGGCCAGGAAGGTGACAAGCCTGCCAACGAAAAGGGTGCAAACGGTGCTGAAACTACTGGTGAAAATGGCGTCAAGGATGGTCAAGGTGATTTGCTTGTTCCTGATGCCCCTAATAATGGCAAACCTGCTCCAGTCCCCGCTCTCGAGACGCAGCCCATACAGTCCACAGCTTCCCACAACGACCGGGCCACATCAAACCCTCCCGCTGCCAGCCAACCCGCCCAGGACGAGACTGGTTGGGTGCACATCAGAGCAGTCATCTCCAGCGCGGAGGCTGCCACTGTTATTGGTAAAGGTGGAGAAAACGTCTCCCAAATCAGACGTCTTTCTGGTGCCAAATGTACTGTCAGCGACTACTCTCGCGGCGCGGTAGAGAGAATCTTGACTGTTAGCGGTATGCAAGATGCAGTTGCAAAGGTATGTGCTCACACTATCCCGCGTGAGGCTCGATCAATTTTGTTTTTAACCCCCATTCACAGGCTTTTGGTTTGATCATCCGTACCCTCAACAACGAACCACTTGAAGCACCATCCACTGCCCAGTCCAAAACCTATCCTCTTCGTCTCCTCATCCCTCACATTCTCATTGGCTCCATCATTGGCAAATCGGGTGTTCGCATCCGTGAGATCCAGGAGGCATCTGGTGCTCGTCTCAATGCTTCCGACTCCTGCCTACCCCTTTCCACCGAACGATCACTTGTTATTCTTGGTGTTGCTGACGCCGTGCACATTGCAACCTACTATGTTGCTGTCACCCTGGTTGAGCAGTTGACCGAGAGATTTGGTGGCCCGGCCGCATCCGCCTATGCCACTCGAAGTGGCGGGCCAGCTGGAGTTGTTCCTGGCGGCATGCAGGTCGTTCCTTACGTTCCCCAGCCAGCCGGAGGACAGTACGGCCACCCTGATAACCTTCGCAGAAACAACCCACAGGCCAACCGCGCCGCCCCAGGAGGGTATGGTGTTCCATACATGCAGCAGCCCGCTCCTCACCCTCACGCGCCGCAACCAAGTCTCCATTACGGTGCCTCTCCCAGACAAGGATATACCGGTGCAGGCCCTCACCAGCCAGCTCCATATGGTGCTCCTCAACCTCCACACGGTGGTCACGTCCCTCCAGCCGGCCCACCAATGGGTGCGGCCGTCCCTGGTCAGCCATTGACACAACAAATTTACATTCCCAACGATATGGTAGGTGCTATTATCGGTAAGGGAGGAGCAAAGATCAACGAAATCCGACATCTCAGTGGAAGTGTCATAAAAATCAATGAACCTCAAGATAACAGCAATGAACGACTGGTCACTATAACCGGAACCCAAGAGTGTAACCAAATGGCGTTGTACATGCTCTACTCGAGACTCGGTAAGCTATTCCCCTCCCCGCCCTGTTGGATAAATACATGTTAGGCTAACCTACTCGTCAACAGAGAGCGAAAAACACCGCGTCTAATTGGTATGAAGTTACGTCACCCCATATGTCTTCCAATAGTATTTCGGGCGGTCGGTGTCCTTCAGGGCCAACTTGTCCTTGATTTTCCTGCCAAAAAATTATTCCTCTTCTCTTCTACCAAACTATTTTTAACTCTTGCAATCTTCTCCTAACTTCTTATTTTGATTTCTTTTTGTGGCTTTTTTTAATTATCGTGGGGTTTCCTGGATGTAATTCCTTCACCGGTGTATTTCTATTCCGCAAGTTGTTATGAAATTGCTCATGGTGCCGCCTTAAAAACAAAACAAAATCTTTGCCTTCACCATGTTAACCTAACCTGCATCATAATTGCCCTCCTTGCCTCGCCCTTACGCTTTGGATATTAAGACCCACCCCATCCCTTGAAATGCCTAGCGTGACGCCCGTGTGAGCCTAAACAAGATTGTAGCACTTGCACCATATACAAGCCTCAGGGGTTGCATACAGTCAGCCCTGCCTAATTTACGTCAAGGGCTATGAAGAGGGCTATGACGGCTGATAAACAAATTGCCAACGAATGGCCAAGGTCAATACTAATATCTATAAAAAGGCAATAACTGAAATTAACAACCCAGAAATAATTATGCTGTGGGCAAATCCACATCTTAACCATTCTTGAGGTAGGTCAAGCCATTCGTTCATGTTACATTGCGACCTTTGAGTGCATCTACTTAGGTATTTATGCAGGCTAGCTGACCAAGCATGAACGAGCAATCTAGAATGTATGTCCGCGAGATCAGTTCATAGCCAGGTGGGAGAAATACTTTTATGACATTAACGTTCTGACTTCATAAACTATAGACATGAATACTCGATGGTGGGTATATATTTCAGTGCACGGAGTACAATGTACTCTGCATAACATGAAGTGCAAAAGGATAAATCCTATACAAGAAAGGCGCCTACTAAATATTAAAGCAGGCCAAAGGAAATCAGGCGCTTTTCCTCACGTATTCGACAGGCCCAACATACGTATGTCTTCCACGAAGGACAAAGTAAACCAGACTGAACATCAATACGCCAAAGTAGATCACAACACTCCAGTTCATCGCGTCGAGAGCTGGTTTTGGGGCTGGCGGGAAAAAACAGAACACATACGCCAACAACAGAAATCCAATAGAGAGCAGGTTGATGGGTAGGCCAAGCGCTCCCATGCGGAAATGCGAGGGCAACAAAGGCTCACCGCGTATTCTTTTGAGAGCTATACAGGATATCGAGACGATATAGCTGGATAGCAGCGCACAGAGACCAAGTGAGGTGATTTGATTGAACGCAATCACACTGCCGATATTGATGAGGGAGAGCAACGAGCTCACTATGACAGTGAAAAATATCGCATTAAGAGGGATGTCCCATCCAAGCGGAACCTAAATTAATACAGGTAAATAACTTTCTATATCGGGGGTTGATTGAACATCCTTACTCTTTGGAAGTGTCGGCTGAAAGGCACACCATTATCTCGCGCAAATGCGAAGAGCTGTCGCGAGGCGGTGGCCATGTTGGTCATACCGCAGAAGATAGAAAGGGAGGTCATAATGGATGTCATGGCAGTAGCGCCTGCTTTGGACATGGTAGCATTATAAAAAACCTGGATGAAAGGATAGCCGGTTGGTGTTGCTAAGACACTATCGATATCACCGATGGTATAGCAGAAAGTACTATCATGACGGTCAGTGCTTTATCCCTTGGACCAGCTTAGCAAAGAGGGGATCACATACATCACCATTATGATGCCTAGAGAGCCATTAAATACTCCAGTTGCAAGCATCGCCTTGGGGAGTGTTTTTGACGCATTCTTCAACTCCTCGGACATATGGGTTGCAGCATCAGCTCCAAGGAGTGATACAACAGGTGTGATTATTCCAACTAGACTTGCGACTCCCTTATTCCCCCACCCCTGTGCATCTTCAACTTTAGTCCATACCTCCGTCGATGTTGATCGTGGAGCTAGAATCCACAGTGGAATCAAAATAGCAAAGAAACCAGCAACATGCAAAACAAGCACAACACCCTCGATCAACGGGAGTCGCTTTGCGAGAAGAGTATTGAAAATTGCGCACAATGCAATGACGGCAATTGTCAGCAGGGTCCCATGCCATCGCTGAGGGGAATAGTTGTCGTAATTTAGGATAACGAGGCCCTGGATCTCAGTACCTGCCAGAAAGCATGAGGCTGCGGTGCCAGCCTGCCATCCCAGGACACAGAGCCAGCCGATGAAGTAAGACAAGAACTTCTGGGAGCTGCGAGGCGCAAATTCGGATATCCAGTGATATTGTCCGCCGGCAGTTGGTGCCATTGAGGCCATCTCAGCCATTGACGCGATCACTAACGAGAAGCCAACGACAGTACCGAGATAGACATATATCAATCCGGCGGTTCCTCCATTTCCAAAACCAAAAGCCGCAGTTCTATCACCCTGTCAGCATTGGTAAATAAAAAGCTGCTTCAACAGGCAATCGCCGTGGGATCTCATTTCTAGTATACTAACCCGAGAGTACTCTCCCATGTGCTCATCAAGATCATGGAGAAGCCAAATATAGATAGGAAGCTGAAATTACGCTAGAAGTGAAACAACATCATATCAGAAGGGAACAAGTATGGACTTTTCACTGAGTGTGAAGCAATTTTGTTCATCCATCCAGTCATTCATTCACTCACCTGAAGCTGCTGCTGTTTGCCCATCCGCCGCATATCCTGGACATCATTTGCGGTTCCATCTCTCAGGCCAACATAGGCATCCCCAGAAGCATCAGCGCCCGCGTCATTTACCTCCACGTCAGGTACTCTACCCATCTTGAAACCCAATGTCTTGCTTATCGATCACCACCTTTATCGGCCGCCTGGCGTTGTATATATAAGGGCACCACGGACTTTACCGACAGGTGTGGCTCCCGCGATCAATTCGTGATATGTCGATCGTACAAAAACCCAACCACAAGAGGTTTAATGAGGGGAGGTTGCACAAACAGAAGCACAGGGGAGGAGGCAAGGTTACAACGATATATAACAGAAAAGCAATATGCTATTCCCGAGTAAACAACGGAGGCCCCGAGGCACTTGATAAATGAACGAGCAAAATTGACGAATTAATTGTCAAGGTAAACAAGGCCCCTCCTCGCCCGAAGCTATCCATTTGACAGGCCGTGGCTCCTAAAGTACCATTACGCCGGCTCACCTGTTCGACATGCAAGCTCTACTTTGACGGACCAAGGCATTCTTGACCCGCCACAAGGCAAGCTCGACATCCGTTGCCTCGGAAAAGCTTCCCCCTGTATTCATCTGTGCATACACGACGGAAGGGACCTGCCTTCGTTTTCGTCTTTAACTTGACCCCTTTGGACGAAGGATATTGGCCCCTTAGCTAGGAACGTGAGTGAAACTCATTCGGCTGTGAGCATCCGTCTTCCGTGGCAAGGGGGGACGGGGCGTCGCCCAATTACGTGATAGCAGACATGACTAGTCGCTCCACTGAGATGCTATACAAAATTCCGGTCCGTTCTCCCCGACTGCCGCCATATGCGTAAATTATCCTCTCCAAGCCCGTCAATCATCCAGGTCATTTGTCCAGCATTGCACATTGAGACCTTACGCCGTACCTCGAACCAATTATCTCTGCGGCGTATGCGGTTTTTAGTTCGCATATTGAAAGACAATGCAATTTTAGCGACAAGATGGGAGCCCTTACGCTCATGTTTGAAAATGCCTTCCATCGCTAGATACCGCACGGAAATTACTTGCATCACGACGGAGCATTTGACGCAATGAAAATGGAGCCGGATATGTGGGGACCATTGCCAATTCTTCCAAGCAACTGGCACGACCCGACATCCGCAAAGTGGATGAATTGCTTGTTCAAGGGGCCATATATGGAGACCTTTCATATAAGGCACCTACGTATAACGCCGTACACGTTTTCAGGCTCCCTTAGCGGGCCAACGGTGATGATCACCTTGCAAATATGATTCCCTCGTTTGTTTTTTGGAGAAGGGTGTGACTATGCACCTATCCGGCCCCATTAAGGTCCTCACGTAAATAGCAGTTATTCCCAGCCATGCTTCAACCGCCCATTTGGCCACTTGCCTAAAGGTTAGCCCCATGGCTTTACACTTACCTCGTCATAGATAAGCATTTTAATCTACAAATATTGCGTTTCTTGTGGGTAAAAACCCTTGACCTCCTCTATTCGGAGTACCAGGGTGAGGAGGCTATGCTACTGTACGTACCTGAAGGGTTTCAACCTCTTGCTTCTTTACATACAGGTCCAAAGCATTTTTCCAGCCAGAAACCCCTGGTACGCGGCGCTCAATAAAAGGGAATCACCGAACCAGCTTCCCAGCGACAAGTTATTAAGAATATAGGTATGACGGGACGCACCTAGGGCCCCGGGTTCTCGAACATTGTGGGATTTTCAGAATCTTCAAGCTATCCTCTGGCCTTCAGATATGTCCAGTCCTAGTATCCAGGTTTTCACAGGAGGGGATCGATTTGCAACTATCACGCCCGATGATCATGGGGGAATCCTCTGGGTTGCTTCTACTGTTTGCGCAATCTACGTACTCCTCTGCCTGGGGCTGCGCATGTACGTTAAGCGAGAGTTTTACGGTCTTGACGACCTACTAGCTCTTTTAGCCACGGTGAGAACACCTTTCGATTTTAATTCTGCCAGTCAAAGATGTAAATGGCAATTTTGCATACGCTAACAATACCCTTCCTCCTTTCGAGGTTATCCATTTACCTCCAGGTTGTCGCTGAAGCTCAATATATTGCTATTTTCTTCGGGCTATCCGACGGATTAGGGAGAAATGATGCCAACTTCAGCACTTTCCAAATTGAGAAGATTGGGAGGTCAATACTTTTCAGCGAGGTCTTCTTTCTTCTCGGATTGCTCCTTGCGAAAGTGTCGGTTATTCTGTTAATACGCCGCCTGTTCAGCCCTGATATGCGACCACATATTGTCGCCTGTGATACAACTTTAGTTGTATGTATACTATGGGGCGTCGGATCTATCCTCGGTGCATTGGTCAACTGCTCCCCGGTAGCGAGGATGGGCTTCACGCGAGGATCGTGTAGAGATATTGTGAGTGAAGACTTTTGCCCCTTCCTAAAGGAGAGCATAGAGGCCTAACCGTTAAACTAGGTCATACGGTGGCAGGCAATTGGGGCCCTCGACGCCTTCACCGAGTTCCTTATTTTTGGAATGGCCGTATTAGTCGTTTGGCGCGTTCAAATGAAGCATTCACGGAAGGCCCGTGTAGTGATGGCCTTCATACCCAGACTCCCGTACGTTTTGCTCACCTATTCCAAGCAAAATACTCAGCAGTCTATGCTAATACAAGATTCCTGTAGGGTGATTGTATTTGCAGTTCTCCATATTCAACGCACTATGGACTTTACCACCAAACCAAAACCCAGCGTTAGCATCGTGGCGCCCTTGGTCTATCAACAAATCGAGCTGTGTTATTCTCTTATATCATGCACCATCCCTAACCTTGGGGGATACCTACTCAAATTCAATACTGGGATGGGCATCACCCTCGGATATGTATCGGAGCCATACGGCTCGTCCAGAGAGGCTGGAGGTTCTGAGAGTTTGCAACTATCGTCTCTAAAGAGTAACTTGAAAAATGACAGGGCTCAGGCCAGAGTTCCCAGCCAGCAAAGTAAGTATGGCTTCCTTCGACCGGAGCAGTATGAATACCGAGCCTACGTCCGAAGCACTATTAACAGCCTAGAGGTTAACTCTGTTGAAAATGAGATCGACGACCGATCGGTCAGCTCTGATGGTGAGCGGCCAGTGCAGAGCATACACAGCCATGACATGATCATACGGAGGGATATCCGGTACAGTGTTCAACGTGAGTAAGATTGGACGGATTCACGGTTAACACAGCCATTCTCTACCTGCATATCGGCGTTCTTTTCTTGCGTTCCGGCATTTGAAATGTATGTTCCCCTGGGCCGAGTAGTAATACCTGGCAATCGTTTTGCGCTTCTTTTTATTTTATGTATTGATGCCATGATATTTATGAATGTATATAATCCATTTAATCTCCGTTTGCATTTCTGTCGTTTATCTTTAGGGCTTTCGCACCCAGTGGTCAGGAATAACCAGGGACATGGATGTTCCAGCCTTGGTACGCGCCCTACGCGCTCGAGACAAGATAGTTAGCATTTATTTACGGAATAATAACTACTTTATACGCTATTATATTCCGGCAAAACTCCGGAGCGGCTCAACCCCTGAGATTCAAATTTTCTTTTACACATGGCTCTCTACTCGGTGGTTGATGTCGCGATCTCCCGAAAGCCCGTACTCAAATTGGGCTACTCCGTATATCCATGTCAAAAAGCTAACTAACTTCTCTGGATTACTCTATTCATATTTATTCTGCCTCCTATACGAACCGTTCGTTCAGCTTATATCTTTTGTGTCACTCGACACTTGTTGAGCTCATATATACTGGCGTATATATATAACCGACGAGCCCCTATACATTACAACTCCTAAATCGCCGCTTCATTGCCTATAAATATTGTGATACTAAAATATACTCAGGCTGCCTGTATTGTGGAAATCGAACAAAATGCCGATCCGTCTTGCTCGCTACTCAGACTTGGATGCAATCTCGTCTACTCTTGCAGAGGGATTTCATAGCGAGGAAGTTATGGGACCGATCCTACATCCATATCGTCAGGAGTATCCAGATGACTACTTGAATTACTGGCGCCGCCAATGCCTGGAGAAATGGTGGGATTACTCGTACATATTCGTTGTGAGCTATTTAGAGGAGCACTTTGAAGACCCAGACAAGAGGGATAGAGATGGTGACAACCCTAACACGCAAGAAGATGTCGAGAAAGAAACGAGAGAGGATATGACAAATAGAAAACCACCCCAAGCTAAAAGAGAGGTCATAACCGGCGTTGCGCAGTGGCATCGCATGGGGCCTGGCTGGGAAGCCATTTGGAAGCCAGCTGGGAAGTGGGATCCAAGTGAGTCTTTTACTGCCCAAAAAAGAATGAAAACGATACTATTCCTTGATAACAGTATAAATACTCACACTATCAACCGCAGGAGTATATATAACGTCTCTTATATCCCTATATCACAAGTACTTTCTGAACGTCATGTTTCCCAACCGCGCCGCTTCCAAGCCACCGCAAATCACGGAACCACTGCTTCGTAAAGCCCTCATCAAAGCCATTGGAAGCTTCTATACATCTCCTCCACACCGTCAGACGAACTGGGCATTGAGCGTCCTCGCCGTGCGGCCCGGGTACCAGAAGCATGGCCACGGTCGAGAGCTGGTGGCCTGGGGGCTTGACAAGGCACGAGAGGATTGTATCCCTGCCAGTGTCCTATCAGCTAAGGGGAAGGATACGTTTTACCGTAGATGTGGATTTACCGAATTGGTCGGATGGGCAACGGACGGGGAAGACAATCCGTTGAAGGGGCTTATTGAAGGTGGTGCTGTCATGTTTACGCGAGTAAAGGAGGATGATGCATGACTGAAGTTTATATATTACTGTGTCCTTTTTACAACAATTATAAGCATTAAATTTAAGTCAAAGCATATAAAGACTTTTTCTAATAGTATAAGTTACGGTATGTAGTTAAAAGTTTGGTTCAGGACAAACTGAATAGTTAAATAAGTAAGTTATTCTTCGTCACCAAGCTAACTATTTTCACATTTCCTACGTCGAGGCCAATTTTGTCAGAACCACGGAATATTCAACCTAAAGGCATCCAAGATGGCAACTGACCCCAAGTTATCGATCTTGCTACCCATTCTCCTTGTTGTAGCCTATGCTCTCGGAATTGCGTCTACACTGTGGCTGTTTCCATGGATCAAAAAGGCCTCAATATATCTTTTTACGCGAGCTGATGATAGCGACAACAATAATGAAACAAGGCAAAAGGATGTCACACAAGACGCATCATTGTATGGACTAGATCATGCAGTCTTGAATATCCAACTCCCGCCAATGACTATGTGGATGAATATGGGTTACTGGAAGGTTAGTCTACTGCTATTGGGCTCTCGAGACAATTGCTCTCTAATGGCCCTGTTTTATGTCCCTTTCGCACATATAATCCAATTGTTCTCCGTTGTATGCTGAGCCCGTTGAACACACAATCTAATAAGCGTGCGTTGATACTGGCTTGTCCTAATCTCCGCTTTTACCTCGCTCTGGCATGCATTGCGGCGAATACTATACTAACATGGCTGCAATATTCATATTTATCTTATATTTTAGAATATAAATGGTGCTCAACTCCCAGAAGCCTGTGAGGCACTACTTGAGAAGGTCCTGGACTCCTCTGGCCTTGGTTCAGGGGCTCAGGATGGGAATGGAACAATGCTTGACATAGCAGGGACTCAAGATACTAGGCCTACAAGGAGAAAGAGAGTACTGCTGGATCTTGGATTTGGATGCGGGGAGCAAACTATGCATTTGATGATGAATTCCTCAGTTTCACCGCCTCGATTTGACGAATATATCGGCGTGACACTTAACAAAGTACAATATGGATTCGCTCAAAAGAGGCTAGATGAGAAGAAGATGGAACAGGAAAAACGATCGGTTGGCAGCAGCGGAGTTTCAGAGGCAGATAGAAATATTAATCTCTTCTGCGCTGATGCAGCTCAGCCATTAACATGGTCAGGGAGCTTAAGGGAGACGGTTTCCGCTGCATTCCTCGGGAATGGTCCCAACAATACCGCAGAGCGATATGTTCTCGGCCTGGACGTGTTGTATCACTTCCACCCATCACGACGGGAGATATTCGAATACACTCATTCAACCCTGCGTGCGAACCTACTGGCATTCGACCTGTTCCTTGCTTCACCAAACTGTCCTAGCCTACAGCGGGCCTTGAATACAGTTTTCCTTCGGTTATTGGCACCGGCTCTCGGAGCCCCATTCGAAAACTTCGTTACCCTAGAAGCCTATAAAGCTCAATTGGAGGAGGCTGGGTACTTGGCTAAGAATATCACGATAGAAGATATCACCGATGACGTGTTTGCAGGGCTAGCTAAATTTCTAGATACAAGGCACCGGGAAATGGCTGGTATGGGGTTGAGCGGGTTTACCAAGTGGCAGGTCGCTGGGTGGTTATTTAGGTGGCTGAGCAGCGGGAGGGTTTTGAGAGCAGGCATCGTTATTGCAAAATGGGAGTAATGTGATAAATCGTTGAGAGGTTAAGAGGATGGAAAGCTATTTTGGGATATAGAGTACTCAAGGTAGATTTAAAGTTAGATTTGTATGACAAGCGTGCTAGTTGTTCGAATAAGGATATGGCGGATAGTTTGGATTTGTTGTTGCAGGTAGCGAAGACATGTCTTCTAGCGAAGTCGCAGTATCCGTGGGACCCAACATGGGTGATAAAGGTGGGAGATTAAGGTCACCATTATTGATATCGGGAGGAAACAATTTATCCCATTCATTCTAAATTGTAGATCAAACGATTTAGCCAACAAAACCTTAGACAAATAAAAAGGTACAAAACTTACCCAGTCAATATCTAGCATCGGAAGGTCTTCTTCTGTATTGCTTAGCTTTGCCCTTATGGCCGACGGTCCTTGTGGCGCAGGTTTCAACGGTGGTGCAAGGCCGGCGCTAGCATTTGCGTTATCAGCTCCAGCTGCAAACCAAAGATTTCCTGGGCCAGATTCCTCTGATCCAGTCCCTGAGTCTAAGCTTTCTCTGCCGGGACCTCGAGCTGGATAACCTGGCACATAACCGGTTTGCTGTAAGTTGTTGTTATATCCTGGGTTAGGTGAATATGGGGACGATGAAGAATGTTGTGGGTTGTGGTAACTGGGTTGGCCATGTTGGTATTGTTCCATACGGGAGGCTGGTGATAATCGCCGCCCTTGCTGTGATTGAAGCTGATACTGTTCATGGCTAAACATACGTGGAGGTGAGACATGAGATGGGTGGAAAGACGGGGCAGATGTCGCTGGTATTGATTGGCTCTCTTCGAATGGCTGAGAGGTATATTGAGGCCCCCATAACTGAGTACTACCTCCAGTAGTTTGATCAGTTGTATGTGGTGGAGTTGGCTCCCGAGATGTCACAGCGTCAGGCGTCATTCTTAGGACTTTGGTGTCAGCCATGCTTATGGGTACTCTTAACTTTCTCATTTCACGGTATGCCTCCATCCTGTCTCTGAGTTGCTCGAGAATCAAACGAGCCTTGTTATCTCGTTGCATTATTAGCTGATGTCGGGCACTTTTACCCGCGCTTCCAAGGGGAGCCGGAGTCGACGGTGTTTCAAAAACGTAGTCCAAGCATCTCCAAATTCGGTCTGCCTCTTTTCGCATAGGGTAGGCCCAGACCTCCACTAGGATTAGAAAAGCGACATGGTATTGATTGAAGGCACCGCAGTACCAAACCCAAGGCTGTAAATCCGGTGCCGTCTCAAGCTCAATGGCATCCTCAAGAATCTGCGTGCAAGCGGTAATGATGATCTGGCGTAGACGATCTGGAATCCTCACTGAAACACTATTGTGGTATCGATGTAGCACAGCAGTATAGCTGCGGCATATAAGGATGGATAATACTAATTGAGCTGCACGTTGGATTGGTCTGGGGTTGGGCACATAGATTAGCGGTCCATATTTTGCATAAGTGGCTCGTCTAAATGCTTCAATCTTCCCCAGCACGCGTGTCAAACTAATGCTATTCGTCTCTAGCTTTATTCGATCAACGTAGACAAGTCGATGTAGTTCATGGCACTCAAACCGTAAGCGGGTGAACGTCATATCCGTGAATTTGGGCATATCAGTCAGACGGCCATCGTGGTGTAACGCAAAATCGGCATCATTGACATTGAGTGGGAATTTAGTTGAGAAATCTTCTCGTCTGATAGTTTGACGGGGCCCTTGGGATTCGCTTGTTCGAAGGTCCAGGAAGCAAAGCTGATACCAGATCATCCGACGGATATGAGTTTCTACAGGGCCATGCCCATACTCCTCAGGGTCACGGTGAATACCCATACACTCGGCCAGACGAATAGCAGTTCCAACAAGCGCAGAGTGCGTACGGGAAACCTCGTTTCGACACATGGGAATCTGGAAGTTGATAGTTAGCAACTGCACAAGAAAGATTGAAATACCATCTAACGTACCATGTACATGACCAGGGCTTGTAAGGTCTGTGTCTTTGTGGTCTTAAGGAAATGTGCTTTTCCAAGAGCCATCTCGGTTCCCAGCTGAAAATTTTCAATGAGTTTCTTTTGGGCTACTCCAAATGTGCTCAGCACCAGATGTTCCTGCATACCGGCTACCGCTGTGAACAGAACTGCGAATACAACAGCCTGGAGGGAGTAGGGAGGTTCAAGGCTCCTGGTGACATCAGACCAAAAGTCTCGATACTGCCTTTCAAAAGTCGGTCGGTGGAGGATTTTGGCCACAGGGTCGACGGATACCCAGTACTGTTCCAGCAGTCTATCCGATGCAGTTTTGGTTGGTAGGAAATCGGCCAGTGAGGTCTTTCGACCACTGCCAAAGAAGAAATCGGAGTGAGGAGCTATATATGTAGGCCCCGGATGGAAGAAGGATTCCTGGCCTTCGGGCATCAAATCTCGCAGCCGCGGCGGCTTCATATCTGGGACTTTGACGGGCGTGTTCAAGGACGTATCCGTGATTCCATTGCTAACTTTTGGCTCCTTTAGCACGACGGATATCTCGTCTGCGATCCTGGGTCTAAAGAAGCCGCCGAGTCGATCTGTCATCCTCATCTTGCCTAACCTGAAGCCGATATCAAAGGTATCGTCATCAGCATCATCGTCATATGCTGCGTCCATGACAGCCAACGGTGTAGGCCGTAGGAACTTCTCATCATCTAGAACAGAACCTCTATCTTGTTCCACATTGTCTAGAATCTCCAACGTGTTCGAATCAAAGTTTTCCTCGCTCTTTCGATCATTATGTGTCTGTTCCAGTACCCCCGAAACAAATCCAGATAGAGGCGCGGTAGACGTAGTGGCACCGGTACCTGGATCACCAGCGTTCATCCGCCCTGTCTGTCTGGCGGCGACATCCTGCTCGAGGACAAGTTCGAGAGACCCCATCTTCTCCTTCAGCTCCATCAGTTTCATACGTGACAGCGCATCTGTAGTCGGGGATAGGAAGAGACAGTGACGCTTGAACTTCGAGCAGTTGGTGCAGGGATGAAGCCTATCGCATTTGAGCTTTCGACGTCGACATTCCAGACAGGAAGTTATCATTCGATTCCGCCGACGGATCTTCGTCGTCGTCGACGGCTGGGCCGTCTTCTTCGATCCCGTTGTGCTCGCAGCAGCCACAGGAGCTGTCTCCTGGACATCGGGGTGATATTGATAGCTGCTCCCATCACCACCGAGGGTTCCGCCAGCGCCTTCATCTTGCCCTCCACCCCACGTCGCAGGGCCACTCGAGTACTGCTGATATTGCTGTGAGCTATCGCCCGCATCATCGCCGCCAGCGGCAGCACCGTCCTGGTCAAACCCGGGGTGAGAGAGACGTATCGACGGAGCGGGAGCTGGAGTATGCGCCGTGGAGCTCGCCGTAGCTGAGGCGGGATGCGGATGAAGACGACTAGAACTGTACCCCAGTGGATCCATGGAGAAAGCGTATCAAGCTGATCATATAAATCACCCGATAGGCGCCTTTCTTCTAGGATCCGAAGGGATCGATACTGCTTATGGTGATATGTGCCGGCTGAAGCTCCGCGAGGCTTGATAAGTCCGTCAACCTGGGGTCCGTTACGCCCGTTAACAGATGGATATATATATCCGTATCAAGGTCGGGCGCAGTCGATTCGCCTATTAGCTGGCTGGCTGTCGATATATATATATATGTGCTTTTTCTCCCTCCGTCGGACGCTTGAGGATCTCGTTTACCGTTTAGCTTTCGTTTCTGGGCTTCTTCTAGAGCGAGCAAGGCGGGAATTGGAAGATAAATAGGAGGAATGGAAAAGCAGAGCGTCTCCAAACGCCCGTCGTCCGTTATCAGGCTACGGAAAGAATGTCCAACAAGTGGCTGACCGTCCAAGGGGATACGAGACAGCTCCAAGAAAACTAGACAGGGGTTCTTCCTCTTAAATGAGCCCGATCCCACCATTTGTCGGTCGTAAATGCACCGGTTTATGCATTTGACAGGCTGAATGCAAGTTGCCAATTAGCTTTCTTTGTTACGTGATTCGATTGTTAATGGCTAATGTCGATGGTCCGCGATATATAATCGTGGCATCGCATCGCCAAGGGCCAACAAAGTCCAGCGCCTAGAGGAACGAACGCCATGGATCAAAGTCAGTAATATGGAGAAGAAGAGAGCCAGTCAATTTACTTGGGCCATTTTAGATATCCGCTAAGTTACAAGAATCCCATCGACAACTCCTCACAAACATTTCGTACAGGTATGGCCAAAGCAGATGGCATATCATCATCCCATCCTTCACTCATCGAGGGATCGTATCTTGACGCTGCGGTTACTCAGCGCAGATCGTAAATGCCCAACAACCTCCTTTCTCCGGGCAGTTTTGGCTCTCCAGTTTTGCAGGTCGTCTGCAACGATCAAGTCGCCGGCATTACCCTGCGCACTACGCCCCAGCAGGCTTGACCGGAATCGTTGCGACCCCGCCGTCCCGGACTCTGGCGTCTGGTACACACTGCGGCCATAGCCGTCCTGGGAGCTCTGAGAACCGGGAGTGGCGGGGAACCGGCCGGCGGACACTCGTTTAGAATGAGGTGTGAGGAAAGGTGACACTTCCCTACTTCGTCCGGGAGCTGGAGAGCCCGAGACATCGATTCCCATTCGTCTCAGCTGGGCTTCAATGACATCGACATCGCCGCTCTTTCGCTCGGCCATGTTGGTCATGGTAGAAATCGTAGACGTCACCGCTTCAACAGTCGGTCGTGCCATTTTGCGGTCCCCATCAGCGCCAGCCGCCCTTGAGGCATCGGCGATCTTGGCCCGGAAAATCGAGATATCTCGCTCCAGGTCAGCAACTTTGGAACGTGTTTCCGTTGCCGCCTTTCGGAGATCCTGCTGGAGCGCAGCTTGTTCTGCCGACAGTGGCGCAGACGCGATGGCAATCGAGTCGGTATGCGCATCGAGAGTTCTCTGCAGGTTCGCAAACTGGCCACGCAGTGTCACCAGATCCTTGCTGATTAGCTGTTGACAATGATCGAACTTTTCTTGAACCCCCTCGACTCTGCCTTTCTGAAGGGCTGCATCTAGAGCTTCAACTCCTAACTGCAACTTCTCCATTTCTGACAGTAGGTGTCTTTCGTTGAGCACGTCGGAGCATCTATCGCTCTGTAGGATTCTCAACCATCGCTTGTAGTCGTTTTCTTTCGCGGACTCTTCGTAAAGTAGGAATGACGATAATGACCGAGAGTTAATCCCTAGTGTATCTATCATCGTATTAATATCCCGGAATAACAGCTCTACCTGTCCCGGTATGCCTGGTTTCATGCTCTCGCCAGTATAGCCTTGATGTGGCAGGAATGGGTCCAAAGCCGGGGAAGGGGAAATTGGTCGAGCTAGATCTGCGCGCAACTGCTCGTCTTCGTCATCTTCGCTCAGTGGTTGGGTCTCAGCAGCTAGCTTCTCAGCTTCCCGTTGAGCCCTTGCCTGGTCTTCCGTTTGATCCCGTGAGGGTGATACTTGTCTCGCGAGCATGGAGCCTTCAAGCGTGGCCTTTCGTCGAGTAATCGCTCGATCAGGGGCGCTAGGAGCACTGGTTGATCGGAAACCGTCTGCTCTCGCAAGCATTTGCCCTGACCTTCTGCGAACAGGGCTTGGTGATCGGGGACTCAACCGATGTCGAGGCTCTGGCAGGTTAGGGGGTGGGAATATGGGTTTCGGTATCTCCCCAAATAACGGTTTCGCTCCTCCGGTTTTCAACTCGGAGGTGCTACCCTTTGTGAACAAATCACACATAGGGCTCTTATCCACAGCTCCGCCAAATGAGCTCTCAGGCGATGTCTTTAGACTTCGAACACGGTGATCGGCTGCCTCATCCGTGGGGCTGAGATCATGTCCGACTTCCTCTCCGCTGTCTTCAAAGTCCGCATCGCCCTCATCGGATTCTCCTGGTAATGAAATAACTGTAGCCTCCTTTACAAGTTCAGGTTGTTTTGGTTTCACAAAGTCCGGAGGCAACGGCGCCTCTTCAATTGATGCGCCCGAGACACCACCGGAAGAAGACACAGACGTATCTCCAGGAGCATAGCTAAGCTTGCTAGTAGATTCAGGTGGAAGCGGCGGTTCAACAGCTTTCGCTAGGGGGGTTGGAGGGGCTTCCTTGGGTGTTTCGGCTTTGACTGTTGATGGCGAACGGATGGATTCTTTCGGAGGTGATAGTGGAGTGGATGGTGGCTCTTTTGACATGGGGCCCATACCAAAGGAGCTTGTAGGGGTTGTGAATTGCGGGTTAGTTTGCGGCTTCGGTTGCTGCTGCGGTGGATTAAATAAGCTCGGGAAGGACGGCAGCTTCTGTTCTTCGAGTGAAGACTGCTTTTCAGGGGAGGATAGGGGAATAGGCCGCGCAGATACAGGGGTTGAGCTAACGGCGGGCTCAGCTGGCTTTGCGGTGTCGGTTTTTATGCTACCAAGCATATCACCAAAGGCAGGGCCCATTGACAAGGCCCCGCTGGGCGGTTCTGGTTTATCCTCGTCCATTTCACTCGCGATATCGGGTTTCGCTGGAGAGCCAATAGTGAAACCACCACCAGAGGTACCAAAGCCAGTCTTTGGCTTTTCCGGCTGTCCAAATGGCGGAGTCGTTGTGGTAGGCGTACTAGATGAGCTGAATAATGGTTGACCGGCCTTTGCGAATGGATTATCATTGGGAGAAGCTTTCGCAAATGGACTTTCATTAGCAGTCGTCTGCTTTCCAAATGGATTATTGTTGGGAGCTGGCTTTCCAAATGGGCTATCGCTAGAGGCAGGCTTTCCAAATGGACTATCATTTGAAGCGGGCTTTGCAAAGGGACTAGCCCCTAACGCAGCTGTCTGAGCAGCACTGGCAAAACCACCACCCGAAGACGCGAATGAACCGAATCCACCACCAGACCCAAGATTAGCAAACCCAGATCCAGCAGTCGATCCAGCAACACCCATGGAAGGCTGTCCGAACAAAGATCTTCCAGCTCCCAACGGAGCTGTCTGGCCGAACGCCGGGCTACCAAATGAAATGCCACCGCCTGTTTGTGGCGTTGTTGAACCGAGCGCAGAGGATGAACCACTGCCGCCTGGGGTCTGGGAGAATGATCCAAGAGGGGAAGGTGAACCAAAGCTAGGCTTGCTCTGCATGCCTAAAGGTGAACTTGTGCCAAAGCTAGGCGCCGCTGGTTTACCGAATGAAGGCTGGCCGAAGGCAGGTTGTCCAAATGGTGATTTAGCGGGCGTTGCCGTCATAGCTGGTGCTGGTGCTGGGGTAACCTGTTGCTGGCCTTGCTGGCCACCGGCCTTCACAGCGGCTAGCCCACTATAGGGCTTCTGTTGTCTTATCGACTCTGAATGTACAAACCACCACGACGAAAGCATTCCATCATTAGTCAAAACTAGGAGGGCAGGAAGCGGGGAAGACGATTCTTTGATATCTTCGTCTCCAGGGATGGGAGATAGTACACTATCCCTACTCGACAAGTCAAGGCACATGCCAATAGGTGACGTATCGTTCATATCCTCAGTCATAGGCAGCACTGCTCTTCGAGAATCATCAGCCATTGTAACGGTTGCGAAAGTTGGTGTGCCATCCGCGGTCGACTGTGTAATCAGACCAATGTCTGTAGATGCAGTAGAGGCAACAATCAGGGCCTCCTTTAGATTTGGCTCGAAATCTCTCATGCGGGCCGTAAATTGGTATGCAGGGTGTCTCGCCAGGCCAAAGGGTGCGCTGACTTCAGGCAGTTTTCTAAATTCATATTGATCTGGAGGTTTTCTGGTGGCTATGTAGTAATTAGACGCAGGCGGGGGTCCATTAGGTACGCTCGTTGGAGTATAGACGATGAAAAATAAATGGTTGGTCAACCATAGGATAGAAGAGACTTAAAAGATGGGTTAGTCAACGTTCGATAGGAAGGAAGAGAGTAAGGGTTATAACTGACCATGGTGATCGCCTCCAATCTCGGGAGCTCTTGGAATCTCGGCCTGTCCTTCTCCATCAGGCTTCAACTGGAAGGCAGTCCCATCTCCCAAACCAGCTACAAGCTGTGTACCCTTGTTACTCCAGCAAACAGAGCTGACCCCGGATTTCAACACTGGACCAGCTGGACCGGAAGAGAGCTGATTTGTCTTCAAATTAGCCACCAATAGCTCTCCGTTGTTCGTTACTGCTGCAAACAGTTCAGATGTATCGGGGTTGGGGTTCGGGGACAGTGCTCGTAGCGTTGCGCCATTCATATTAAGTGTAGATGTAGGTTGCGTCTTTCCCTGTAATAGCCCGGCGACGTCAAAGAGGGCCAGCCCGTCCCCACCCTCAACTGCAACCGCCAAAACGTTCCCATCTGCAGAAAAGGCGAGATGGGATACCCTCGCTGACAGAGGTATCTGTAACTCTGGTTGAAATGGCCTAATATCACTATCGCCCGAAGGTTCGCTCGCGTACGCTTTTCTGACGGAGTCTGTGCGGGCAATCGCTATCCCCTCTGGCCCAGCAGCCGCAAGCAGGCCCTTTACTGACGTTACGCTTAAAAGTGAGGAGGTCGTCGAGGGTAGAGAGTCCTCCGGCCATGGTGTAGGAAGCAGTCGAACTTTTGCATTTCCTCCGATGGACAGAAACCCGATTTGCTATTTTTTATTCATTAGCTACCTCATACCAGGCATCGGGCTGCAATAGAAAATCACCTGTGTTTCGACCTCTTGAAGCTCTGGTCCCACCACCACCTTACCGCCGCCAGCTTGCGACTGGCCTGACCCAAACGAGAAGGCCATCCTAAATGAAGATTCGAAGTCCGCTGAGAGAGAACGTGGCCCGCTGTCTAAATATGCACGCGCCTTGGGAACATTGAGCGAGAGCGATCCCTGGTTCAGAGTTGCGAATGAGCGGCGCAGGACGACGCGAGGTCTCCGATTAAAAAGGCTGAGCGTAGGCCCGAAAATCTTGACCGTCGCTCCTAGTCGAAGCGGGAAACTGCCGTCACGGGCACGAGGCAGACACTGAGCGCGTACTGCGACAAGCAAGAGGGCACGCAGAAGAAGTCCGACGGCTGTCAAGGACGCGGTGCTTTTGCTCTTTTGATATTACTGAAAAGGGAAGAAGTCGGAATTTAGCTGGCGGTTTGGGCAGAACGAGGGCGGTGAGCTGTGATTGGCTCTGGAGCTTCCATTCCAGGCAGCTCGAGCTTCATCATCAACATCACGAACATCTACACATCTACACACATCTACAGGACAGCCACAAGACAACCATACGCATTCTCTCTCCTAGACGATAGACGGTAGACGACGGACGACAGACGACAGACGGTTACGACGGATCTCGGAACAGCCAGACCAGCACCATGCCGGGCTTCGACTTCTCCAACTACAACCGTAACCGGGCCCTCCACGCGAAGGGAGTGCCGCTGCCCAAGGCTACGAGCACCGGTACAACCATTGTGGGATGCATATTCGACGGAGGTGTTGTGGTGCGTTGTTTCCGGGCTGAACCCTTTATCTACAGACGCATAGACATGGCTAACACTCACTCAGATCGCTGCTGATACCAGAGCTACCAGTGGACCAATCGTGGCAGACAAGGTACTTAATACCCTGATACGGCCTCATATTCAGTCCTATTCTCCCATCCTGCGCATGTCTTAATCTTCTCGGCTACGGGACACGCTCCTAACCCGTTTACCCGCCTAGAACTGTGAAAAAATCCATTACATAGCGCCCTCAATATGGTGTGCCGGAGCCGGTACCGCAGCAGACACTGAATTTACCACCAACCTCATCAGCTCCAACATCGAACTTCACGCACTCTCCACCGGCCGCCCTCCCCGCGTCGCCACCTGCATGACCATGCTCAAGCAGCACCTATTCCGTTACCAGGGCCACATAGGCGCATATCTAGTCGTTGCCGGCGTCGACCCAACCGGCACCCACCTCTTTACCGTCCACGCCCACGGATCCACCGATAAGCTCCCATACGTGACCATGGGCTCCGGTTCGCTCGCCGCCATGTCCGTCTTCGAATCGACGTGGAAGCCATCCCTAACCAAGGAGGAGGCCATCAAGCTTACATCTGATGCTATCCAGGCTGGTATCTGGAACGATTTAGGATCTGGAAGTAACGTCGATGTCTGTGTGATCGAGAAGGATAAGCCTACTCAGATGATGAGGAACTTCCTCACGCCAAACGAGCGAGTTGAGAAGGAGAGAAGCTATAAGTTCAAGAGGGGCACAACTGCGTACTTAGACCAGCAAGTAATCACCAAGGCTGACCTAGCACGATATGTAACCGTCGAGGAGTTAAGTGGAGAGGAGGCTGTGGCAGAGAAGATGGACGTTGATGTCTAGAGGGTGGTCACTAGTCTTTAGATCTTATTCAGTCTATATCCCTTGTAATGACATGCCGCTACCTTGGTGACTATTAAAAAATAAAAATAAAAACTCGGCTTTTAGATCAAGTTTGGCTTTGATATAATCTATTCTATGTCTATGCCTATATACATCTCCCATAAATAACGTACAATGTCCAGCCGCGAGTAGGTCAGTTTAAATTATTAGCCACATTTTTCCCCTCAGCTTCCGCTACAACATCCATAATGAATTTTCGCCGTTCTTTTGGAACCGGATTGCCAGATTCATAGTTCCTCCGTATCCCAGCATGATACAGAGCTCGACTCATAGCAGGCAATATAGGGGCTCTTTCAGATGAAAGAAGCGAATAGCACCAGTACGTGCACCTCCACGATGTGCGATCAGAAATAGAGGGCGAACTGGCAAAACTTAATGCGAGGAAATTAATCGTGTTGAGGCAGGCTTGTGGATCGAGGACTGGCAGTCCTTCATCTAGGTATTGTGTAGCTTGCACGGTCCCTTCGCCAGGCAATGAGTCTTGTAACCGGCCCAAGGCATATCTGAGTGGCTTGTGTTCAGACAGGAGGTGCATGAGCATTCCTCGGTAGTGGGATTTCCCTGTTTCGATGTAAATCAGCATTCGACGCACGAAATCTGGATCAGTGATATCCGTCTCCCGTGCAGTCTGCCTGAAGAGCGCTTCACCCAACGTCTTCACCGACATATCTCTATCGTAGTCCCATATTGCCTCTGGTTTTTGTAAGGGGCCACACTCCAGTACATTCAGCTCCTTTATCATCGATTCCGGTGTAGAGTCTGTGATCCCCAGCCGCTTCTGATATTTCGATCTAGCCGCAGCTACGAGGACATGGTCTGTGAATGGAAGGCCCCTATCTTGAAATGCTGTCATAAGGGTTTGCATTTCATCCAACATGCCACCCTTTTCGTTGATCCCCGAGAGACCTTTTAGGTGATCAAGATATCTCTCAAAAAGACTCATTCGCTCTTTATCAACACTGTAGTAGAATTTTGTGCGTTGGCCTAGGGTTCTCAGCATCCACATATACAGAAAGCACCTTTCCCGCAGGCCAAGGTCTAGTTTGAACTTAGACTGGAATTGCGAACGCGGTACATCCCTGAGAGTGAGAAAGTCCGTCCACGGCTTTCCGGAAATAATATTACGGACTTGGATCATGCGCTGCAACATCCACGCCCAAAGTAGTAGCACCTGGGGTCGATTCTCATCGTATTGCTGTGTCGATACCAAGAATTCTGTGGTGTGGATTATAGTTTGACAAGCAATATCATTATCTTGGTACCGCAGTATAGCCCATACGTCGCGAAGACGATTGCGTAGCCTTCTGCTTTTCGACTTGGCGGATTCATCCTGGATTGAAGATGATTGATCCAAGATAATAAAGTTGAGTATGTGAAGTATAACGTTAGACATGGTTTGCCAATCTGATATCCCCTTAAATCTGAGAGCGTGGATAATGTTTTCGCAAAGTGATATCGAGTCTTCGCTTCCTGGAATAGCCATCACTTGCTCCAACCACAGGTTCAGGGTCGGTATCTCGAGATCCGACGGCTTTAATACGGAGGAAGATATCATGCCACTCCAAAAATCGATGTAGCTCGCTATCAGCAGCTCAGGGTTCGATGCGGCGAATGTGCCCTCAGAGGTTGTAAGATATGGCAGGTTGATAATGATTTCTTCAAACTCGGCTGAAGCTATCGATCCAAGAGCGAGGTTCTGTTTTAAATGGTCGATGTGTTCAATAATTGTTGGTAGAACGAGTTCCCCTAGCGTCAAACGCCGGATCAAGTCTGTGAAATTGCGCGAGCCTAGGGGATTCAATGACGGATCCTCGAGAAATTCATAGATTTCAGCAGTTGTCCATCCAGAGTCAAGCCGTGTTTCTAAAACGTGCTTGAATATCAGGTTGCTGAGATCTGGCCGCATGCGGAGGTTGATCTCAAGGTCTTCGACGATGTGACGGATCTCGGTCAACGAAATATTTTTGTGCAAAAGGCATGTCAGGTCTGCGACGACATCTTGCTCCTCCACAGAGCTAGACCCCGGTATGTCCGATACTGGAAGGACTGGGTTCATGGAAAGCTCGGTCGGAGCTGAAGTATTACCTGAATATACTCAATTGTCTTGTTAGCTCATGCAGCCAAAGACAAATCACAAGGCATGCAAAGTCAACCCCGAAGAGGTCGATATCACTCACCAGTAGCAGCTTGAAAAATTGGCGATGAAGTAATCAATGGTTCCCGTCGCGCCCGTCTCTCCATGCCCGAAAAGCCGAAGATGAGCGAAGCATCCAGCCCAGGAGGCGGGCCAGCTGCATTGGCCAAATTCATATTCCGTCGTTTCGCAAGGCGTTCCCTAGCTTCACAGGGACCAGGTATACTGCTGCCATACCTCCGTTGGCGCTGCACGAAGCTGGCAAATGTTGAAGCAACAAGCTCATCGCTAACCCAAACATGCTCGATGGCAGGGCTCCCATACTTCTGGGCCGCCGTTCGGCAAGCATGCCTGCAGAACGACATCCGGCACCGGCCCAATGCTCGTAGTTCCAGCAATTGCGCCCTTCTGCGGCCCTTAATTGAGGCCTGTCTCCCTCGTGTGCTCGCTCAGCCAAACATCGCATCGAAGTCGCCAAAATTGAACAATTATATCTGACTAAGCATTGAATTATATCACGTGATATACATTTTTCTATACAAAACTTCCAGCAAGACGACGCGAGCGAACTACAGAATCCGGATACAACAACGCTGTCTTGTCTCTACTTACTGTGTTGCAGCGTGATCCATTGGTAGTGCTAGGGGGTTTTCCTGCCTTTACAGATTGCTTTTACGGCCGCAATTAGCCTGACCCGTGGAGAGTTTAAATCGTAACGGCGAGCGAGGCACGGCTGGCTTGTCTATACCGACAATTCCAGATTCCAGCCACAGCTTCATTACTTACAGAAAAGCTCTAGATACATAGCGTCCTTTCCAATAATACAGCATCTCCAGAAGCAACAGAGTTTGCCTGACGTTCCCGGGACGCAAGGGGAGCATGGGGAACAAGTCGGGGAGCATCAGGGCTCTCAGGCCTTTCGTCAAGCCCGCAGGACGACGAAGCAACTTTATACGTATAACTAGGAGTGTCTAGGAATCACAACGGAATATTTGTCCAACCAATTCTCCTCTTTCCCTGTGCCGTCTCGCCTTTCTTTTTCTTTTTCTACCTTAACGTGTGTAGTGAGATCCCGCGTGGCTGATACGCTAACAGTGCGACTAAAGAACAAGAATCGGGTAGTGCAAAGGGGAACGTGCAAAACCACTGATCACCTTCTGATTCCTCAGCTCTCAATCGATCTTTATACATACAACCTTGCTCCATTCTTCAGGGTGCTATGCATGACATCAGGAACGGGACGACGTACGAAGTACGGAGTAGTTGGCCGTGGTTAGTGTGCAGCTGGTGATCTTCTTCTGCGGCCCGTACATACATACAGCGGCCCCTCAACGCTGAGACCGCATAACCAATTGTCATGCTTCGTTATATCTCCGAGCGAGAGAATACAATTCTGCAACACAACATGGGGATTTATAAATGAACCGGCAGCCCGCTGGACAAGCTCTTAGATGGTGCCATGTGACAACTCACCTATCGATACGACGTCTGGGCGCTGGTGTGCAACTCTATATAGCTGACGTATTATTACAACGAAGAGCCGGGGCTCGGTCGATCGCCAAAAAGACAGGTCTCATTCGACTACGATATACTGTCTAAACTCAGTATAAACATTTACGCTCCACGCTCACTGGATGAGCTCAAAAAGGTCATCGTGAACATGGGCCATCAGCTTTGCAAACTTTCCAGTTCCATGGGTTTGATATACGTCGAGGCTCGTTAAAAGGCGCCACTTGTCGCCGTTCATCATCCACCAAAGTTATCCCATTTTCGTGTTGGATCCAGCGAAGCAAAATAGCAGTCGCCTCCTTCTATTTTCAATCTGGCGTGGGGTGTGCAAGCCTGATAAACGACCAAGGCGAGTACTAAGGATGTTTTTGAGGGGCAAAAAAATAAAAAGGCTACCTGCGAGGATCCTGTCGGCTGGAAACCGCCTTAGTGGGTGACCTATTACCGGGGCGTGGCTGACCCAAAGACCAGCTAGGGTTCGATCTTTGTTTCCAGCTGTACGGAGCAGCATGGGAGGAATGCATTAGCGGGCGTTGGACTGCAGAAAACACCCACTGTCAAAGGAATACCATGATTCTGGTCCCTGCAGAAATGCTTCGTTGTTCAAATTCGGATAGTCAATAACCGGGCAAAAGGGATACAGGATGCACAAGACGTGATGGGCTAATACTAGCCTCGACACTAACAAACCTTCCGTTCCCCGCCAGCTGGTGGTCGCAGAGTCTGTTGTTTAGGGGTGGCCACGACAAACATCTCTCTCTCTTGGTCGATCGCTCTTCCGACCATAAATACGTTAATTACGACCTGCTGGTACAACCCGGTATCAGGGCCTCTCGGGGCCCAGCACGCAGGTTCAACCTTCATCCCTGGCCGTATCTCCTCCTCTCACAGAGAAAATTTTGTATAGGCTTGATAGGACCGAAAGCAAAGGTTAATTACAAATTAAGCTTCTGAGAGCCCATTTCTGCGTGGTCGCTGGCCCCCGGATGTTTGGTAGTTCGGGAAACGTATATAATTTCCTCCACATCCCCATCCACTTCCCTGGATTTTCCAGCCCCAAAGGATCAGGAGTATTTTGATTTTGTTACTTCTCGAATGCTAGAGAAAAGCTTCCGGGCTACAACCCTCATCCCATCTGATTGTCTCCTGAGACTCCTGATATGAAAACTCAGGGGGCGCCTCTTGCACAAAGAAGCCCCTTTGAACATCGACATTGCCATCATGACGACGAATACAGCAAGGGTTCCCGATGAAAGGGCCGACCAACCGCTCCCTGCCGCACCTGCTACTGAACCTCGTGCTATAACGCCTGATGTACGTTCGTTCAATTTTAAGTCTGAACACCGTGAAAATTCCAGGGCAAATCCTAATTTATTTTCCTTCAATGATATAGTCCAGCGAGTACGAGAAGGATTACAACCCCGAGTATGTTCTAATGATAGCCCCGAATGAGTAAATAATTACTGTCGTCGAAGGACCGAAACTGACATATGTCCACCTCAGCAGCTCCATATCGCTTACTTCGAGTGTTACCGACTATCCCATGGAGAATGGTAGGAGATATCACCGATATCATGAAGGAAGTACGTCTATTGGATCGTTGAATATTTTCTTCTCTATCCGTTCCCTCGAGCTAACATCAGCATAATAGCATACCTCTATCCCAATGACGAAAAAGAACTAGACCGATTGGATATGCAATATGAATTAATAAGATTGATAAACGGAGGGAGGATATTCTTCGCGCCTTTAACCAAACCAGAGAGACTTCTTGATGTTGGCACAGGCTCAGGTATCTGGCCAATTGAAATGGGTAATTTCCCCTTTTTGCTTGTTTCCGTTTCAAACCCAACCAGTGCTCGAAAAAATAGAGATACTAAACATAAATGATTTATAGCCGAAATATTTCCAGATGCTGAGATCATTGGCACCGATTTATCCCCCGTACAACCTGGCCAGGTACCACCAAACGTTCAATTCTACGTCGACGACGCCACAGAATCGGACTGGCTCTGGCCTAAAGACCACTTCGATTATATCCGCTCCTCCATGCTCATCGGCGCTCTAGATTCCTACCCCTCCCTCCTCAAAACGGCATTCGGCTACATAAAACCAGGTGGCTACATAGAGTGCCATGAATGGGACATAGCCTGTTACTGTGACGACGGTACACTACCACCTCCTCGAGCTGATTTTCAGGGCCCATATGCATTCCAAAATTGGCTCCAATATTGTCGCCTATCCACGGGCAATTTGGATAGGCCCGTCTTTGTTGCACATGAGATTTCCACCTGGATGAAGGAGGCCGGATTTGTGGATGTTCAAGAACGAATTACAAAAGTTCCGTTGAACCCCTGGCCCAAGGATCCACACTTGAAGCGTCTCGGTGCCTGGAGCGAAAGGAATTGGCTTGACGGCCTTGCTGCGTTTTCATATGCACCCTTTGGCTCAAGAGGATTAGGATGGACCCAAGAGGAAATTGAAGTTTTCTTGGTGGATGTTAGGAAAAGCATCCAGGACCGAAAAGTGCATACCTACCAACAATTTCACGTTGTGACTGGAAGAAAGCCTTCATCTTAAGGCCTTCTCGGCGTTCCTATTTCTCCTGTCTATGTGACTATCTGCAGAAAAACTCAACCTTTTGATATTTCTGTTTTTTATTTTTTTTTATATTTTTTTCTTTTTAAATTTTACCGTCATGCACGTTCACACGGATAATTGATGATAATAACGGCCAGGGACTGCGAATCTATGGAGGGAAAAGTGTTCACTGTTCTACATTGTTTATCTTGGTTTCTTTATCTCTCTCTTCTTCTTCTTCCTCTTTGATTCCATATATATTCCCGTTACAGGCGCCTTGGCGTTGAGCCCAAGCAATTTTTTATACTACAGTCAATGTGTATACCCCTACCAATTCCAATTTCTGATCAATCGAAATATTGGTCTTTCACGTTACAACTTATCACTTCACCGCCTCACTTGTGGAAGGCTAATAGTTACGAAGAAATCTTTAATCCCGTCACAGCCTCAGCTCTGCCGCCCATTCTCCATTCTCGGGCAATGCTGATGCATGTTACCCGACACTCCAACGAGAGCAGCCCCGATGAATCGAACGGATGTAAGATCACCATGAACCCGGACACGCCATTGTCGTACCGTCCTCTCAATAATGGCTACGGTGGCTTCCTAACATGAAGACACCAACCGTCGAATGGCTAGTAGTGCACGTCAAAGTCACACGATCATGGAGCCTTAGAAGTCATATTCTGTTAGGTTGACAACTTCATGGAAAGCAAGCTGTTTCTCAAAAATTCGCAGCCGCTACGGCACGAACCGCGAGTATGCCAACACGAAAGGTCAACGACCCGCAGCGAGAACCCTGATCACTAAAGCAATAGTCGAATCCGTACAGAGTGTCGAGTAGAGGAAAACTGCTGCAGGACACGTAACCTCCTGTTCGTAACTCTCCTTGTCGGAGATTTATATAAGGCTCGCACCACCAAAGATCCCAGGCCACCAGCCGGAGAACGGTCTAACCGAGACCTCGGCCTGACATATGGCATTTGTGGTACAGAGTGCTGTCAATTACACCATCTCTCGGCTGCAAATGAGAGTCTTTACCCCCACGGAACTGGAGAGTGGGATATTCTTTTGAGAGAAATGGAACAAAAATGAGCGATGACCAATTCGAGAGATGATGTTCAAGGTGTTGTAAAGTCGGCCACGATTTAAAACTCGCCTGGGCCCCCGACTTTGATATCCAATACCTACCCCCATTGTGGCTGTATTCAAACTCCTACTAAATACCCCATTAGGCTGGTGGATGTGGAGCGACCGGAAATCGCCCGTTATTCACATCTATTCGTGGGAATAGGTGAGCCTCAACAGGCCGGGCTTCTCTAGATAGGCCTTGAGCATTTCAGCAAGCATTAGACAGTTCCAAACCTACTTCTTTGTTCCAAAACATAGGACGCATGGCGTGACGTGTATGGAACGGTAATAAGAAGAACGGCTTCCAGACGGGCTGGGACACGGAACACTATCAGCCATATATGCTTCAAATCTTGAGGTTGAAGCCATTCAAGTGGACAAACTGATATCGACATGGTTGTTCCTTGCAACAGGGGATCTAGCCCCATGTTTTTTTTTTTTTCTTTTTTACATTCTAGGCCCTGTATCAACTAAGAATGCATATAGGGAAGACGGCACGCTATGGAGTAAGAGTTAGCCAGTAAGGACGTGGTATAGGGGAGGGGTTCGATATTCAGCGAGGAACGCCCGTAGCCCTGTTAATTGACACCATGGGCGGTTCCAGATATGGCCTACTGTGGCTTACCTTTATGGGCCGCTCCATGCGTATGACAACAATGAATAGAGAGGGCGACCAGAGAGAAGAGATCCAGCTAAGGAAACGATATTCGTCTAATATATATCCAATTTATATTGTATATCCATCTAAATGCCCCTTCAATAATCCGTAATGCAGTAAGTATCCAGCCTGTTTATATATTAGTCAGTTCTCTCCCACCCAAATGTATCCCAGGGAGGATGTATATGTTGTAATGGTGTATCCGGAAACTCAAGGGGAAAAATGTTTATATCCCAATCATGGTTCGGCGCTGCCCGTCTTACCGAGCCCCCAACGCCCAACCTCGCGCATGGCCTCTTCACCACCTTCAGCCAGCCTTCCATTGGCATTTGCAGCGTTGTTGTCACCGAGCACGCCAGCAACGCAGCTCCAACCATCTCGTCCACCACCCCATCTCAGTACCTCATTCTTGAATCTTTCACCGGCGTTCCTGTCAACAGAAAGCTCACCACCCTGGAATACATCAGACCACACCTTATTAGCTATGGCGCGATCGAATAAGTAGCTGTAGTATGTCGCTCCGTAGCCAAAGAGGTGGGTAAAATAGCCTTGCCATGCGGTCTTCGAATCGGCAGGGTCAGGTAAACTACTGTACTTGGAAGACACGTCGTGGAAAATTGCCGTGCTATCGATGTTCGACCTAGGGTCCGTGGTATGGTAAGCTTGATCCATTAGTGCCATAATGATTTGCGCTTCGTTATCCATGCCGCCGTGCATGCTATCACGGTTCTGACGGTTGAGATCTATGTTTTGTATCATATCTTCCGGCAGCGGGTCGTCAGTCGCCCAATGCCGGGCGTACAGGCGAAGAACCTGAGGATCCATTGCAAAGCTCTCCATTAATACGGACGGTAACTCTGCAAAGTCGGTAACGCAACGAGTGCCGGAAATTGATTGGAGATCCGTACGACCAAGAACGGAATGTATAGCATGTCCCATCTCATGGAAGAGTGTTCGAACGCTATGTTCGGAGAGAAGAGAGGGCGGCGATCCAGGACTATACGAGGTCGGCTCATCAAAGTCGCATATAAGGGCTATCGTAGGCAGCTGATAGAGCCGGTTAGTGCCTTGCCTTACGGCGGCTGCCATCCCATCATTGGGGTGCGGGGAGTCCGGCAACGATGCACACTCTGCTATCTCAGCTCGGGAAATCTCCCTAGAGCCTCTAAGGGTGAAGTGCGCTGGGTTGGGACTCTTTCCTGGCCGTGAAAAGAGGTCACAATAAATAACAGCGATGTGGTTATCTTCCTCATCCCACACGTCTAGTTTGCGAACATCTGGGTTCCACGTCTCGCCAGACAGCGTCTCACTCGGAACAAGCCTTACGCCATACAGGTGGGTAAAAAGCCTCGAGAGTCCCTGCATGACTGTTCCAAGGGAGAAGAACGAAGGAAGCAGATCAGAATCCCGCGATCTTCTTGCCCGGCCATGTTTAGTATAATATTTCTCCATGTAATACAAGTGGTCCCAGGGCTGAAGGTTCGTTGCGGATGGGTTCTCAATCTGCTTCAGCGCGAGCAGTTTTGAGAGCTCGTCATCTACTTGGCCACGATTGCTTGCGTTAAGGGACGATAGGAAATTAACCACGGCCTCTGGGGTTTTGGCCATTTTATCACTCAAAGTCATCTGGGCATAACTGGAGTACCCAGATAGCTTGGCCAGTTCTGCTCTCTTCTGGAGGAGCCCCTCCAGACGTCCTATCTGTTGCTTTGAGGAAGTTCGATATGCAAGGTGTATTTTCCTCCGGGTCTCCGCATCCTGAACTGTGCTCAAGGCAGTCCTGGGAACGGATCCAAACATTGGAATGACCACCTTGGACCATCGTTTTAGTTTCCGGATGAGTGATGGGTCCATTCCTAGCAGCTCGTTTTTGCCGAAGCTGAGCTGAGATGTTTCAGGGTTCATGTTGTTCACGAACGTAGGACCAAGCTGGCTGATTTCGTTTGACAACGCCACAAACCTCTGTCTATCCCCAGGAGGTAGATGTATGGCAGATTTCGCAAAGTCTCTCAGCAAACCACGGGCGGCAACTTTTTCTTCCTCGCTCCAGTGTGATGTAACTTCGGGATTGTCGACAGCTCGAGTTAGCTGTTCGTTTAGGCCGGGCGTCGTGTTGAGGATATTCATGTACTCGAAGATAAACGCAAAGGCTTCCGTAGCAGCTTCTTTTATCGCAGGATCAGGGTGATTCGTCTTCATAAACTCCGCCATGTCTATTACCCGGCACAGGAGGTCACTCAACCTGTCGAGGTCTCTGGACATGGCCCGGTAGTCTTCCAGCGTCGAAGCCGCCAAAACCTTCCCGACTATCTTCTGGCATTTCTGGAGTGAGATATGGGCGAATTTCCGAAAGCCTTCCGGGTTGGTGAGATACTGGTTCTGCAGCAAGCCCGTACGCTTCGAGTTTCCGGATCGACGCTGGGAGAATTCGCGCCAGAAGGAGTTTGAGTCGAAAACAAGCCGTAGGTTGGTATCATCATGTCGCTTGGCCGCCGACAGGCCTGACGCAGCGTGATCCTGTCCCGTAGACTGAGGTGCAGCGACGGAGGAGAGATTGCGACTCGGTATATAGGAGGCCCTGCCGGCTTTTATGCGCTGGAGACATGCTCGACAGGTCCACGGCCGTTGCTGGAGGGCCCGTAGCATTTTCCGCTGCACTCGAACGGCCGACTCGAAGACATCCAATACCGTAACACCGTAGCAGCAGTCCGTTGAAGCAATTGAAGGCGCACAAGGGTCGACGTTTGGTGTTTGGCGTTTGATGTTTGATGCTGGAGGTGCGATGTTCGTCCCCCGGTCTGCAAAAGCTTGCCGAGACACCAAGAAACTTCCGTCACCAACGCAACTTCAACAACCTCAACTTTTGTCCATCAGATAACGTCGATTGATCGCGGGACTCTCCTCAACCCACGATCATGCTCGGTTCAATGCTCCAGCGGGTAAGTCAGCCGGCCCTTGTGTACTGATTGAGACTCATATCTAATGCTTTGCAACCTCCAGAGGCTGGCGGCCACAGGCGCAGCCATTGCCATGGGCGTGGCCATCAACCCAGTCCAAACCGCCTATGCGGAAGCTCCTCCACACAACTCGGTAGGTGATCTATGTGGGCGTGAAGATGTGGACTGTCCAGGCTCTGACACCGCGTTTCCAGTACGTCTCGAAGAAGCCGATGTACGATGTTGACGAGGAGGACAACAGCATCCGCCGCAAGATTGAAAAGTCGCCCTCAAAACCCGCGCCCTCTCAGCCGGATACTCTATCACCACAGTCCCCCCTTGTCCGATCTAGATCCCCCGGCCCAACCGATCAACTGGCCGAGCAAGTCCGACATGTCCGGCTCTTCCTGTACCGCCATTCCCTCGTTGCGGAAAACAGCTTCAACGACACTGTTTCCCGCGTCCTCCACGCAGAATCACAATTCACAAGCACCATAGCTTCGTTGGCGCCACCGCGTGAATCTGGTGAACGGCTTCTACCCGGAGGTATCTACGTACTTGTGTCCGCGATGGCCGGATCGATCGTTTCGCGAAACCGCGGGATACTCCTCCGAACCGCATCTCCAATTGCTGTGGGAACCATTGCCGCCTGGAGTCTGCTCCCTATTACAATGAGGAACGTCTCCGATTTGGTGTGGAAGTATGAGCAGAAGGTTCCTGCTCTTGCGGAGAACCACGTCAAGGCTCAGTTTATGGTAGAGCACTCCGTACAACAGGCCATCAGGCTCAGTGGTGAAGCCCGAATTTGGATGGAAAGCAAAATTGGTCAAGGCAGAGAGACCATTGAGAAATTGATCAGTAAAGGAGTGTGAAATGACGTCTCACTGAAAAGAAAAGATAAAAGAGGAGGTATATAAACTTGCCTCAGGCCGGGATTGCACTCCTTCATATTTATTTTTCTAACTGTCTTTGTATAAATGTACTTTACCAGCAGCGTTTAGAGGCGCCAAAATTCATGCTAGATGTTGAAATATATCTAAGAAAGCAACATGTTTTAGAAAGGTTCTACATGCAGAATTTGATCTCTATTGGGATCAACACCTCTACCAATTCGATTCACCACAATATAATTATCTTAAGCAAAAAGCTATATGAAGCTACTCGTCCGGTGGTCCCTCAACTGTCTCCTTAACAGCTGTTGTCGCCGGTGGTGGCGGGACCTGCCCACCTGCCCTTGGGGGTGGCGCAACTGGCCCGGTATTTGTCGAGGGTATATAGTCCTCTTTCTGACTTCGCTGCTCGCCTTCCTTGAAGTAGTCATCAAATGAGGGCGCCTCGGCATGGGCATGGCGGTTCTTTCTTCCATGCCTAGTGCCAGGAGAAACAGTTTTCTTTGGCGCATTCGCAGGAGGGGAAACGATGTTGGCTGGGACAAGGAAATGGGGTTCCGGCGGTGGTATCGGTGGGTTGCTAGACTCAGCATCATGGCCATCTTCCTTTGTCGCAAACACTACCTCTCCGGGTCCTTCCACTTCCTCTCCCAAACCCAAAGGTAGCCTGTGCAAAGCACCATATCCCAAAACCGCGCCTAACGCTCCTTCACCTCCCCAATTTCTGTTGGGAACTATTTCCACCTCTCTGACAACGTCGAATTCATTGTTATACACCCATAGAGTGAGGCTTCTGTTTAAATGATCTTCAACAAGCTCGCCAAGCGCAGTCTCCCCGCGAAGTGTCCCGCTTGGTGTTCCAAGGATGTAATCCGAATGGGGTAGTAGGCCGGCAAGGTAGGCTGGGCTTTGCGGAGAGGGTATAGAAAGGACATGCCATATGTTTTGTGTTAGGGAGAGCGGCGCAAGCTGAAGGGTGACGCCGAGAGTTGGGTTCGATGGAGATATTGGGACGATGGCTCGATGCGTTCGTTGGCCCTGAATGAACAGTTTAGCTGATGGTAGACTTCAACCGGCTGTATGACGAGATACACTGCGTACTTTCGCACTCCACAGCTCCAGGGATACGTTTGATCCCGCGCAATTGCGCACCTCTGTTGTGAAAAGATTCGGGTCTGCTTCATCCTGTATGTACATTAGTTCATGGCTGTAGAACCACCGCCCAGGAGAACCACATACTATAAGATGGCCGTTGATTCCAATGATAAAATCAAACCAAGGCTCTAATGGCAAGTCTGGATTCTTATTCCGAAGCACCTGGAACCCGTATGCGTTGTCTCTGCTATGCGACTGGGCTGACGATGTATCTGCATCCAGCCCACTGATAAGGCGATTTAAAGCTCCAAACATGGCGAAAGTGGGATGTGATCTTTGCGGCCTAGAGGCGACTTCCTACCTAACCTGTCGCTGGTCTCAATAGTGAGATCAGCCTAGAAAAGAGCTCTTAAACGTGAATGCGATATTGTCTGTCTTGATGCTTCAAGTTCCCAAGATGTTGTCCATATCGAGATGCAAACAAAACAAACAAAGCTGTAAAAATATAACGTCACTACAGTAAAAAGAGAGAGAAGAAGAAACAAATCCTCGAGCTGTTCAGCCTTTTTACAACTAAGCATGCGACACTCTGGCGTCTCATAATCATGGCTAGCGAGGTTGAGAAGCCTCTGCCGGAGCACTATCATTACTCTACTAGAGCTGAAGTTCCGTGGGATATCCAGAAGTAAGAAGCTCAGCCTTAGTCTATTGAGTGGACGACTAACTATCTTCAATAGCTATTGGGCTCAACGATACAAGATATTTTCCAAGTACGATGATGGTGTTTGGTTAACAGATGATGCATGGTTTGGGGTAACCCCTGAACCTGTAGCAAAGTAGGTTATCCTTCTGGTTCACTATGATCTAGTGCTGTCGGGTTAACCAAGACTATAGCAAGATAGCCCAGCATATGGCGCAGTCAGCTCCCGACAACAAGAGCATTCTCATAGATACGTTTGCGGGAGCGGGTGGGAACACCATCGCCTTCGCAAAATCTAACAGATGGAAGCGTGTGTACGCTATTGAAAAGGACCCCGAGACCTTGAAATGCGCAAAGCACAATGCCGAGCTGTACGGCGTTGGCCATAAGATCACTTGGTTTTTAGGAGACTGTTTTGAAATTCTCCGAAACCAGCTGAAAGACCTGGCTCCGTACAGTGTCATCTTCGGCAGTCCTCCATGGGGCGGTAAGCTGCCCACTCACCAATCTACTCAGGCTGGGGCCTAACTTGCTAACTCGTTTCCAGGGCCGGGGTACCGTTCAGACGAAGTGTTCAATCTCTCGACCATGGAACCGTATTCTCTGGAGGTCCTTCACGCGGAGTTTTCCAGATTCACTAACGACGTGGTACTCTTCCTCCCGCGAACCTCAGATCTGAGGCAGTTAGCTTCTGTGGTTAAGCATAACAGGAAGTCGCTTGTTATGCACTACTGCTCAGAGGGTGCTAGCAAGGCTTTATGTATTTATATTGGAGACTTTAAGCCCATTGAATGAATGAATGAATGAATGAATGAATGAATGAATGATTATGCGTGTCCTATTGACCCCCACAACACTCACACCACACTCTCAATAGAGGTACCTAGACTCTAGATGACCTCACCCAGCCTATCAATAATATCAAGCACAGTTATATCAGCTGCAAGATATTATAACCGCCCCCTTTGGTTTGCTGAGAAAAAAACGTCCGTAGGTGTTGATCACGTGACCGAGCCGTAAGTGGAAGTTCGAGCTTCTTCCTTCATCGCAAAACATCAAACTGCGACTCCTCTAGCTCACCTGGAACACAACTTCGCTTTCTGCGGCGGAGCGCGCGTCTCTATAATGCTCTGTGAAGCCGTTCGCATTCCCTGAGCAAGCTCGCCTCGAACGTCACCTTAGGTTCCAGTGCTCCCCGGCGACATCATGTCCGCATCACCCTCTATGTCTCCTGCTCCGGAGTCATCAAGCAGGGACGCTCGACAGACAGCAAACATGGACGAAGCCGACGAACAAGGGTTCGAGCCCATGCTGGATGACCCTGACTGGGACAAGGTCATGGAGAGCATCCACGACCCGGAAAAAGCGAATGGCGTAATGGACTTCCTGAACAGAGAGCTTGAGACCGGAGAGAAGGCAGACGACGCGGTGGACTACGAGGATTTCGACGACGATGAGCTTCCGGATGAAGAAGATGCTGTTACAAACGCGCCACCAGCTGCACCTTTACCGCCGCAGGATGATAACCTGGGAGACCTATTTGGCGGAGATGATGAATTTCCAGATGGTGGAGGGGATGAGCTGGATGATCTGTTTGGCGATGTACCATCGTCTCCGGTGAACAAGGAGGCGTCAGTTGGACTTTCGCTCCCTACAATGGACCACGCGGCAGGCGGGTTTGGTGACGCAGCCATAAGCCACGAGACGGTTGAAGCAGACGATGATGCCTACGATGAAGCTATGGAAAGCGATAAAGAGGCACCTCAGTCGCCTACCCTCGATATGGACCCTGCGACACTTCGAGACTACCAGCTCCAGCAAGCTCTTTTCGCGATGTCCGCGTATGGGCCAGATAATCCTCCAGCACCACCGGAGAATAGTGAAGAATTGCTGGCTTCTCTATGGCCCAAGTTTGATAAAGATTGTCTTCCACGCTTCTTGGAGCTGTTACCACCGAAGAAAGCGCGTTTCGTGGGCAAGGGACCCCTCAAACCCCCGAAACGAATTAACCCTACAAAAATCAACATTGAACTCGCCCCCGACCAAGAACGCGCCTTTCTATTTTCCGGGCATTCACAAAAACGACCCATAGAGTCCGATCAGTTTATCACGGTCATAACCCCGCCATCTACATCGGAGGAGACTAGTGATGTTGAGGAGGGCGATGACTCCGACGAAGAGCTCCCAGGTGGCATTACTATGGAAGATTTACAGTTTATCTGCGCTGATTGGGACGTTAAAAGTGTTCAGCCTGAGGAGGAGAAGGAACCGACTCCGGAGCCGCCACGAAACGAGGAAGATGACTGGTTATATGAAGTGGCCCAGCCTACAAAGAAGCGCAAACTTGGGAAAGAACCTGCAGATTACCTCTCGTACTCTCATATTGATCTACCTAGTTTAGACGACCCAGCTGAAACTACCGCGATGCTTGCCAGGAAGATTCGGATAGATATGAACGATCCCCATTTGTTACTTGACGATTCTGTGATTGATGGACCTGCGAAGCAAATGAAACCTAGCAAGCTACAAAATATCGGAGAAATGTCCAGTGGCTTGACAAAACGGTTAATGCAACGATACAATGTTTCAAATGATACTGCCTACGATATGCTGAAAGAAAACCACCAGAACAAAGTGCGTAGCACACTGGGTAATATCACGCTTGAGCATAGCATGCCAGCAATCCGACTACAATGGCCATATTATAAGACGAAACTTGCCAGACAAGAAGCGCGATCTTTCCATCGTCCGGTTTTGAATTTTTTCCCGAATCTCCCGATAACATTCAAGAAGCCAGCATATATCAAACGGAAACATCAAAAGGGAAAAGATGCGAAAACCCTCTACGACACTACGAAATCATTATCCATGGGTGATAATTCAAATGTTCTTCTAATCGAACACTCAGAGGAATATCCAACGATGTTAGCCAACTTTGGCATGGGAAGTCGCTTGATAAACTATTATCGCAAGAAGAACGCAGAGGATCCATCAAGACCGAAGACGGAAATTGGAGAGACGGCAGTCTTACTCCCACAAGACAAGAGCCCATTTTCCAGCTTTGGTCATGTCGACCCTGGAGAGACGACGCCCGCCATCACCACCGGCCTATATCGTGCCCCTGTTTTCCGTCAAGAAGCTAGAAACACCGACTTTCTAGTGATACGGAACAGCACGGGTGTAGAAGGTGCCAGCTATTACATAAGAAACATTGATCATTTATATGTAGCTGGACAGCAATTTCCATCTGTGGACGTTCCAGGACCTCATTCCAGAAAAGTTACGACTGCTGCGAAGAACCGGCTGAAAATGGTCTGCTACCGTCGTATAAAACGGAATGGAAACAACAGAGTTAGCGTGGCAGAGATAACTGAGCATTTCCCAGAATCAACAGATATGCAAAATCGACAAAAGATGAAGGAATTCCTCCAGTTCAACAAAGACCATAAGGAGTGGGAAACGAAGAGCGGCGAGCCAGTACCCAATGAGGACGTTATGCGTAGTTACGTGAAGCCCGAAGACGTTTGCCTCCTCGAGGCTATGCAAGTTGGACAACAGCATCTCCATGATGCTGGATACGACCGCGAATCTGACGACGGTGATGATTACGAAGGCAAAGAAGGAGAGAGTTTGGAACAACAACTGGCCCCATGGAAAACAACAAGAAGCTTCTTACTTGCCTCTCAAGGAAAGGCGATGTTGCAACTTCACGGAGATGGTGATCCCACGGGCCGCGGTGAAGGGTTTAGTTTCATCAAGACATCCATGAAGGGAGGCTTCAGAGCGGTTGGAGAGAGTGTCGAAGACAAACTCGATGCCCAACGGCAGAAGGAGCTAGGTGGCCATAGCTATAATGTTGCCAGACAACAAAAGTCTTATGAAGACTCTATCCGCCGAATCTGGGAAGGCCAGAAGTCTAGCTTATCGTCAACTATTCAGCATTCAGATGCAGAAAGTGACGTTGACATGGAAGAAGCTGACGAACTTTTCGGAAAACCCACACCGAGGTCGGATCGCCCAACTCCGTCCTTCAGCCGCCGTGACGATGAGACAACCAGTCAGTTCAGCCGATTTAGTACCTCGAGTCAGTCGGGTAAGGTCATGGTAATCACTCGACAAATACGGAATAATAAAGGCAAGATCGAAAACGTAAAGGAAGTCATTAGGGATGCCAGAGTGATCAAGCAATACCAGAAACAGCGCCATGAAGCCGAGCTTGCAAACTTAGCGTATGTCCTTTTCTATCTAATTTACCGCATGCCTGTGGATTCCAGCTAATATCCTCTTTTTGCAGGCTTATCGACCTTGAACCAACGGGAGACCCAGAAGTTGATGCTCGAAACATGAAGCAGTATGTACTTTCTTGCCCAGCAAACTAAGGATTTTATAACCTGTGATTAGATGTCTAACCTTAGTGCTTTTCAAATATAGTCTACAAGATGAACTACGCCGTCTTCAGCGAAACAAAGAGCGGCGTCACGCTCGAGAAAAGCAGAAGAGTCTCATCGCGGAGGGAAATCGCGAAATGTCTCCGGGTACGGCAGCAGGTTCCCCTGCTCCTACGGGGCCTGGCACCTCCAAGACTGGAGGCACATTGAGGAAATGTGCCAATTGTGGTCAAGTTGGCCATATCAAGACCAACAAAAAGTGCGTCTCTCATTTCATATTATTTTCCTTTGCCATCAATCCCAGATTATTCTACCCCCTCGGCGATTACAGTATGCTAACAGCGATATGAATTTTAATTAAACACTTTAGGCTCTGCCCACTTCTCAATGGAACGATGAAGCCAGACGATGGGTCCAACATGTCGGCATTTACAATGGGCGTGCCACCAATCTAATCGCCTTAAGTCTTCGCGGAAGTAAAACACGCCCACTCACCAAATCGGCCAGCGGTAACTCACTCGGTCTGATGCATTCCCCACATTTAAAACATATTTTTCTTATAATATAATCAAACGGTTACGGCACATGGTGGGCACATTTATGGGTTGGAACGGACAGGAAAACAAATTCAACACGACGCATGGTGGTGTCTTGGGAGTCAAGGAACTTTTGAGCTAAGTTTTAATGCTTTTTAATATTTTTCCTTCGTATCTTTTAATGGCTAAAGCATCAATTATTACATCGCCCTGGAGGCTAAGCCCTGTCTTTTTTACCTTGCAAATCTTGTACTTTAAATAATAATTTAACGTGGCACCTAACCCTGGACAAGTGGGCTGCAGGCAGGTACTAGGAGTGTCCGCAGGATTTGAATCTATTCGTTTTATACCCTCATACTTATCTAGCCTTACCTGAACTAACAGTGGAAGAAAGGAACTCAAGTCTAAAGTAGGCTGACGGAGTAAAAATAGTATTCATCGCTAGCGAATGAGTTCTCTTCATACTTTTAATAAGGATAATCGTCAAGAATGCTCTATGACAACCATGACTCAAAACACAAATGCTTGGGGTGATCTTCTATGCCACCTATCATGGTCGAAGAGTAGAGAGTGCAGCCCTGCCACTTGGACAAATGGAAGGAATCCGTCAATCCAAGTCACAAATACACACGCATCATATTACCAAAGGAAGTAGGATCCTATAATCAGATCACTCTATAGAATCAACCAACGGTCTCCCTCTTTCTTGTGCAAAAGCAGCAATAACATCTTTCGGGCGTTTATAAGCATAACCCAAAAATGCCCCTTGTTTGCGAATGTTCAGTGCGATTTTCCCTACGGACTCATCACGTAGGATTTTATCCCGAGCTTTCCGCTTGCCCTTCTTTTTCGCTGGTTTCAATTTCACGTTTGAGGTATTTTCGACAGTACCATTTCCCTGTTTATTTCCATTCAGAGCAGGTCCTGCACCGTTATCAGCGTCGTTTGGATTTTCGGCGTCGGGCTCATTTGGAGGAGTATCTTCTGACGAGCCGTCATTCCGATCTGCAACTGAAGCATCGAAATATTTCGTGTCTTCCCAGCTCTTGACCTTAGGTACGAACGGAGGCTTTGTGAAATATATTTCGTCCCATTTGATGTCCCTAAAGAAAGGATGATCCTTGATATCCGCTGCATCATCTGGGTATACATAGTAGCCTTGGTAATTCCTACTTGCCCCGTTGGCTGCCTTATTGAGTAGCTCGCCAGGTACTCGTTTTGAATGTATATAGTCGTTTAACAGATACTTCCGAGAGGAAAGGCGGTATTCTTTCTCTTGAAGAATTTGTCCAATCAGCTGGATTGCCTCTTCAGAAACCAATCTGTCCGATGGTCGGTCTGCAGGGAATATTAAGTGTTCGTGATGGTTCTAAACGTACGTCAGTTTGAATAACGTTGGTTCGAGGGAGCCTTTCTATATATCTGCTAGCGCTTACCATGATTCTATTCTTGGTATCATCACGGCAATCCCCTGAAAAAGGGGTATATCCAAATATACACTGCATATCAGCTTAGTTTAGTTCTGGTTTTAGTAGTAAAGCGAAGGGAGTAAGATCCAGGGCTGTTGCAAATACCTCAAATAAAATGATACCAATGCTCCACCAGTCACATCTTCCGTCGTACAAATCACCTCTAACGACCTCAGGGGCCATATATTGACTTGTACCGACCACGCTCATTGCGAGCTTCCTTCGTTCCTTGCGATTGCGCCACCGAAGGATATCCTCGCCTGGACTTGGTTGTCTTCTGTCCACCCTTTCCGCAGTTTTTTCGTTCCCACCCTCAGGAGAGCCTGCGACCTTGTAAGGCCTATTAGCTTCTTCGATTGCAGCTTTTTTATCTTCCGCATCTCCCTCTACCTTGATTCCCAGTTTCTTTAGCAATGACTGTCGATGGTTGTTGAAATAGGCCTGGTTGTGGGACCAATGTCCATCGAAAGCAAGTCCAAAGTCGGAAATTTTTAGATGTCCCGATGCCGAAATAAGGAAATTGTCAGGCTTAACGTCCCGATGGATCCAACGCAGTCGGTGAGCTTCCTCAATACATAGGATCATCTCCGCAATATACCACTTTGAGACTTCTTCAGATAGGATGTTCTTTCTCATCAGCAAAGAAAGAAAATCCCCACCTACCATGTACTCCATGACAAGGTAAAGGTTATGCGTATCCTGGAAACTAGCTACAAGCGGTACAATCCATCGAGATTTGTAGGATGCGACGAGAAAATCTCTCTCTGCTCGCAGATGCCCTTCTTGGCAATTTAACAACATCTCCGATTTGCGGATAACTTTCATGGCAAAGACGTCTTTTCTCATCTTCCCTGTCTCCTTTCGACGGAAAGGTCGCCCACCCTTCGAGATTTGCTGCGAAGATTCGGAATTGGCATTCTTTTCTTTAACCAACCGAACAACGCCAAAACTACCCCTTCCAAGGACCTTGACAACCTCATACCCAGCGATTAATATGCTTTTTTTGCGGTCCATACAGTTTGAATGGGCCTTTAAAACGCGGTCTTGACGAAGATGCTCAGATTCTTGGCGAAACCAGGCACGTCGAGCTGCCTCCTTCTCTTCTTCTGATAGGGGTAATGAGTACATTTTTTGTTCTAATTCACGTTGCCGGCGCATCCTAGGCGGATCTTCAGAGAATAATGCATCGAAGTATGTTTCAAAGAATATCTTTGCAGATGCTGTTGCTTCAACAGTAACAATAGATGGCGTAATTACCGGTGGCGGCCCTCCAAAAGATGGTGACTGAATTTCCGATGGAGTGGTTTGCACAGGAACAGTGCCCTTTTCCTTACCGGTCAAGCTCACAGAATCGGCTTTTGGTGGAAATATGGGGCTCCCTTCTGAAGTAGGATTCGTAGATTGGCTTCTGTGAGAAGTGCCACTCCCACTCAGATGTGCCGCGGAGGAGTCCGAGTCGTCTTGCGCATTGTCACCTAATTTTTGAAGCGTAGATGAACTCAACGGCGGTGTACCAATAGAAAAGCTACCTATGGTTGGCCTGCGTCGCAGATTTGCGCGATGGACGACTGTTGGGGGGCAAAAGGACATTGCGATTTTATTTGATATCCTCTGCGTGAGCCCCGGGCTGGAGTAGATCCGCCGAACGTTGAACGGTGCCGATGGCTTAACAGCAGCAAATGTCTTCAACTCGCGAGGACAGTTGGGAGTACCGGTCTCTTTTCCCACGGACACAGGCTGGATTGGGTCAGACTTTGTCTCCTTGTTTCGCGGTATTGAGGTCAGGAATCTTTGGCTTGGCTCCCTAGTATTAGATGACCGTTTTCCCTCCAGTGAATCACTTGGTTGACTGGTGACGCCTCCCTCTCCGCTTGTTTCACGGTTCTCTCTCGGTTTATCCTGAGAATTTACGCTGCCTATCCAATGAAGTCAGTATCGTACATTAACAGGGATAGAGGTAAACAAGATATAACTTACCCCTACTCCCCCGTATTCTGAATAACGACAGGAATCTCGTTCCGCTCTTTCGTAGAAACCTACGAACAGTATTGCGGTCTTGGGGACCCTCTTCTTCCTCGACTTGTGAATCTGATGTAGCAGGGGGTGGATGGTCGACCTGGACTGGGACTATTGCCTTCAAAGGGGGACAGTTGGAGAAGATACTTCTGGAGGTGCTTATGCCTCGGTCCCTTGCAAACATGATATCGTCATGAGGCTGGCGAGTATATAAATATCCAAGGAGAGAAAGTAGAGCAATGCTGGCCACTGTAGAATTGACCAGGTTGCTTAGGCAAAATAAGGAAACGATGGAAAAAGAAGGTATATAGACACGGCTGAAACGTCTCATGTAATTCTATGGCATCACGGGTAAGTAATGCGTTGATAATAGTGAACGATAGTACGCATTCCTTACTCGCACGACGCAGAGAATGTTTAAAAAGACGACAAATTCAGCCGCCGTGGAATATCCATACCAGCGAAAGAAAGTGTACATGTCCATGACGAACTTGAAGCAAGTTCATCCTGACCTGGATGGGCAGAAGGAGCGAGAGACCCCGAGTGGAATGTAATTTTAACTGCAAGCATTAGAAGGAAGCAGCAGTAGGACGTTTCCATGGCCGTTTAAAACCATGTCTTTTGTCTTTAGGAAACATCTTCACTGTGAGGGAGGTTCTGATGTAAGGCTGGGAGTTTGATGGACATTGGTTGTTGTTGATTTATGCTTAAAAAGTTTAATTGGAGCGACGTACACGGGCCTTTTATCGTCACAGGCCAGTGTTTTTTATAGTAGACTCGCTTCATTTCACTCTTGCTCTTGGTCAATGGCTACAAAAGAATAACAAAAACAGAACTACAGCTCAGTAAGTCTCCGAATGTTCTACCCTTGAAAATTTTGATTGATTATACACACGCGGATATAAAACGCCAGTCTTTTAGTGCCAGTCTTTAGACGCAGCTGGTGTCGGTTTTGACAAATGAAATAAGAGAAATGGAACCAAAGGACGCGCCAAAAGGAGCAAAGGCCTCTAAGAAAAGAGCTAACCTGGAAAAGATTTGTTCGGTGTAGGCTGGAAGAACACAGCCGGGAGATACAAATGGAGGGGGATCAACAAACTTCGATTGGCCAGGGCCACGTTTATTTGATGTTCAACAGCTTGACGTCAAAGATCAGCTTGGAGTTGGCTGGGATTCCTGGGAGAGCTTTTCTGCCATAGGCAAGCTGGGCTGGAATGGTGAGTCTTCGTTCACCACCGACTGCCATGCCGGGAATACCAACCTCCCAGCCCTTGATCACCTCCCCACTTCCGACCTTGAAGGAGAAAGGCTTTCCGTTTTTGTTGGCTATTCAAGTTGTCAGCTAACGTGAATTAAACGTATGGTTGTGTGAGGGCGAGGGCTCAAGGGGACTTACAATCAAAAACCTTGCCGTTCTCGAGTCTGCCGATGTATCTCATCTCAATTCGGTCACCGTTCTTGACAGGCTTGCCTTTACCGAGCTTCTTGTCATCGACGGTAACTCCTTGCACCTGCTTTACTCCAAGGGTTCCAGTGGTACCATCGGTCTTCTTCTCAGCGGCCTTGGTAGGGGTAGGGCCTTGCTCAAGTTCCTTGGCGAATTGCACTTTCTTATCGGACTTGCTACCGGCAGGAGATGCCTTGGCAGCCTCAGCAGCCTCGCCATTGTTCTTTTTTAGCTTCTTTAGCTGTTTCTTGCTCAACTTGGGTTCGCCATTGGTAGCAGGCTCGGCAGTCTTCAGCGTCTTGGCGATCATGTCATCCAAGTTTACCTCCTCATCTTCAGAGTCATCTGCTGGGCGTTTATTGCTCTTCTTGTCCTTCTTGTCCTTCTTCTCCTTCTTCTCCTTCTTAGACTGAGTTATGGATTGCTCCTCATCAGTGTCGATCTCCATAACTCTTGGGTCGGCTAGGTCATCTAGCTCGTCACTCTCGTCATCATCACCCACAAGGGCAGCGAGCTCATCCTCATCTGGTGAGAGGTCATATTCATCCTCATCGTCCTCGTCGTCGCTCTCCTCATCACTGCCGTACGTGTCTTCAAGAGGAGTGACGTAGTTTCCAGTGAGATAGACGGTGTGAGTACCGGTAACTTTGAAAAAGACGCGCTCACCCTCGCCAACAACGAAGTCTAGAGTTTGTTGGAAGTTCTGTAGAGTTTAGATAAATTGTTAGTGATATCTTCAATGCAATAGCCTTGTATAGAGAGAGCAGACGTACGCGCTCTGGGTCGAGTGTGCAGACGATGACTTCGTCCAACTCCAAATCCTCATCATCGCTATCGCTCTCATCGTCATCAGTGGCCTTTCCCTTGCCCTTGACTAACTTGGAGATAGCTGCAGCCAAATCAATATCCTCTTCGTCATCATCATCCTCATCAGCTTCACCTATGCCCTCGTCCATGTCTCGAAGAGCGGCCTCAAGCATCGCTCGCTTCTTCCTGGCGGGGTCGCTTGGACCACCGTTGGCCTCGTCGTCAGAATCCTCATCTTCGTCATCCTCGTCGTCTTCCTCATCAGAGTCTTCATAGTCAAGACCTGGAGGAGGGCGGACAATCCTCAATGTAGCTCGGGGCGCCTTGTTCGCATGGGCCTCATCCTCGTACTCTGGCACCGCATCGGGATCAATTGCGGCCATGGTAACGCGAAACTACGGCAAATTATGGTTAATTAAACGGCGCAATCATAATTGGGGGGTGAAGTGTGTGCCAGATAGTTCATCTACGCACCATGGCGGCAGCATCAGGGACAGCAGGCACAAGGATGCCACCTGGGGGCACCTTGACCGCATAGAGCGCAACTGGCTGAGTTCCCGACATATCGACTTGATTAAAAGAGAGCACAGGCTAATGAAAGATCGGACGATGCGGTGTCCAGAGAGCTCTATCAACAACGAAACAGAAACCTGCGGGATAAGAGAATGGGGACTGCAGAGAATTCTCAGCGGAAGCTCCAAACTGTTTTCCAGCAACCAAAGTAAATAAATTTTTCTTTCCTCGGAACTTTTGCACCCACGCGCTAGGCTCTTTTAGGACTAGTCCAGGCTATCTCCCTCCAGGTCATGTGATCATATATCTATGGCGTCTTTTTCGCGTTTAGCACTTAACATATACACGAACAACGACGAGCTGCTAGTCGATGTCGATGTCGATAGTCAAGGGTTACTACGGCATGGTGTGATGCTGCGATGGTATCATGCGGACACTGAACGATGGGCTCTAAACTGGAAGCAGGCTCCAACGCCACGCGCAAGAGGATTGAGAACCGTGAGTCGCGAGTTAGGTATGCACCGATACACTGACACCGGGGTAGCTGACAGGAGACAGATGAGTTCACCGGTGAGGACGGGGAGGAGTACGATGCCTCTGGATTCGGAGGGTTTGGCGATTACTTTCGCCGCAAGAAAATCAAGCTGCAAAATCTAGATGCTGAAATACGCTCTGCATCCCCAAACAATCCAGCCATATTCAAAGGGATCGTGGCACACGTAAACGGATACACGCAGCCCTCGTTAAACGATCTTCATCGCATGATCGTTAGTCATGGCGGAGGGTACCTTCAGTATCTAGATGGGAAGACTGCCGCTACTCACATTATTGCGAGCGCGTTAACCCCCAAGAAGAGGGAGGAGTTCCGGCAGTACCGCATCGTCAAGCCGGCATGGGTTGTCGAAAGTGTAAAGGCAGGTCGTATGCTGCCGTGGGAGTCGTTCAGGTTGCTGGATGAGGGTGCCTCGCAGAAAATTCTAAAGTTTGATACGAGCGGGAAGATTTCTGCTGAAACTAATACTCAGTCACAAAGTTATCGAAGCCAGACAGAGTCAAGCTGGTATACGTCACAGCTGAGGAATGAGACGGCCGCCGCTGATACCCCAAAGGAAGCCGGCGCTTCCGCAGACAAGACAGGCGTAGCTGAAGAACCCAGTTTGATAGAGGAGCAGGCCACTGAGGCTCAGTCTACATCAATCGAGCACTCTAATAGTCCACCAAAGACCCCTGAGAATCATGGAACATTAGATTCTAATGATACTTTGCCTACTGTTCAACCGGAACTATCACTAGCAAAGCAAGACCCTGATGTGCGGGATCAAGATATCAAGGACCCTGAAAGTGATGGAAAGCAACTGACTCCCGAAGAACACAATGCGATTCTACTCTCCAAACCACATATAAAACAATATAGCGTAGTGAATCCGGACTTCATTCAGCAGTACTATCGCGAATCTCGCCTCCACCACCTCTCGACTTGGAAGGCTGAGCTGAAAGCACAGCTTCAAAATATTGCTCAAGAGCGAGGCACTCCAAGGCGAACGCCGACCAAGCGGCCTCCCGGGACAAGGCGATATATTCTCCACGTCGATTTCGACAGCTTCTTCGCCGCAGTATCTTTGCAAAAACACCCAGAACTTGCCGAGAAACCGGTAGCTATAGCCCATGGCACTGGGCCAGGGTCAGAAATTGCTAGTTGCAATTACCCTGCGCGTAAGTTCGGGGTAAAAAACGGAATGTGGATGAAAGGAGCCCTTGAGCTATGCCCAGAGCTAAAAGTGCTTCCCTACGATTTTCCCGCGTATGAGGACGCTAGCAGGAAGTTCTATGATGCAATCCTTGACATCGATGGTGTTGTTCAGAGCGTTAGTATCGATGAGGCACTCGTCGATATTTCCTCCCTCTGCATAGAGGCTGGCGGCTCTGACGGGAAAGCAATGCCTGAGGCTTCGATATATCGGGAGCAAGATAAGGCAGATATTACCGCCCAAAACCTGCGGGACTCGATTAAGGAGAAGACAGGCTGCAACATCTCTGTTGGGATTGGCCAAAATATCCTTCAGGCAAAATTGGCGTTGAGAAAGGCAAAACCAGCAGGTCAATTTCAGATTAAGCCCGATGATATGCTTGACTTCATCGGTGAATTTACAGTTAAAGATCTTCCAGGAGTGGCGCATAGCTTGGGGGCGAAGCTTGAAGAAATTGGCGTCAAATATGTCAAGGATATCCGCCAACTCAGTCGGGAAAAGTTGACCGGACATCTTGGCCCGAAAACTGGCGCTAAATTATGGGAATATTCACGGGGAATTGACAACGCCGTTGTTGGGGAACAGGTCATAAGGAAATCGGTCTCAGCAGAAATTAACTGGGGAATCCGATTTACCAACCAGACGCAAGCTGATGAATTTGTTCAAAGCTTATGTGAGGAGCTACATCGCCGACTCTTGGAGAATGGGGTGAAAGGGAGTCAACTGACTATGAGGATAATGCGAAGGGCCGCGGATTCCCCTGTTGATCCGCCCAAGCACCTTGGCCATGGTAAATGCGATACCTTCAATAAGAGTGTTGCACTTCATACACCTACCAATTCAAGCGACGTTGTCGGAAAAGAAGCCATCTCTATCCTACACAGCTTCAATTTCTCTCCCGGAGATTTAAGAGGACTAGGCGTGCAAATGACAAAGCTCACACCGATAAAAGCAACTTTCAGCGGCGAACTGGCAAGCAGCCAGCGGCAACTACAGTTCAAGCGGTCAAGCCCTAGCTCGAGAAATAAGGAACCCCAGGACCCAGATGAAATCATCAGCCCCAAAAAGGGAGAAAATTTAAGCCCACATATATCTGGGTCACTCAAAGCCGGCCCTTCACTCAATGACATGTCTCAAAAGCCTCTAAATCTAACAGGGACGCAGTTCATCTTGCCATCACAGCCTAATTCCTCTGTTCTTGCTGAGCTACCAGGAGAGGTTCGTTCCAAATTGGTCGCCAGGGAGAGGCCAAGTATTAGCGAACAGTTAAGAGCAGCAGCTTCCTCCCAGCGTGTTAACTCGCCATTCGCCTCAACTGCTCTCCCTCCGGAGTCACAGCTTGACCAGGAAACACTTAATGCCTTGCCTGAGGATGTAAGAGCAGAAGTATTAGGTTACTACAGGCAGAACGCCAATACTCCAGGGGCTCCTCCCTCGAGCTCGGCAGGACTACAGAAATCTCCGCGTCATAAAAAGCCTACTACGCCAACTAAACCGCGCCCAGGACGGGGACGCGGACGGCCACGGGCCGCAGCCAAATCGAGCACTGGACCCACCCTCATTCAATCCAGCTTCATCACCTCCCAACCCTCGATACCTTCATATAAGGACGCCAGCACGGCGGAAACCCCCACCCGACTGGAATCCACCGAGCCTGATAGTGAGATTTCAGCCGATTTTCTCGCTGCCCTGCCCGAAGACATACGTCAGGAGGTATTGGAAGAGCACAGGCAGGCTCGACTCCGAGACCAAGGAGGCTTGAACCTTGCAGAGATACACGAGAGAAACAATCGAGCGAGGCAGGATAAATCTAACGATAGCGCAGACCCCGTAGATCCCGAACAGAAATTCCTCCGACTGGATCCGCGTCCTGCAAAGCCTACTTTTACATCAAAGAAACTATCTGCTCTGCCAGAGCTCCGTGAGGCTCTTAACGAGTGGTACTCATCCTTCGAGACCGAAGTCCCGTATGAGGAGGATGTAGAGGCACTTACGAAATACCTGAGACGAGTTGTTCTTGAGGAGAAGGATATCTCCAAGGCAACCGATCTTGCACGATGGCTGGGCTGGCTAGTAAACGATTCCAATAGTAATGGCGGAAACAGTGTCAGTGATGCTGGAGACAAGGATCGTCCATCGATAGCAGGCTGGAAGAATGCCGTTATCAAAGTCCAGAACAGCGTGAGTGATGCCGTCGCGGAGAGAGGTCTCCCTCCAGTTGACTTTACGTGAACCCATATTCCTCCATCTAGCATATATTGATTTTTGTCTATCTGTATGCATACACACATATTTGAGCATAATATTATTAATCTGGAACGTATTGATCAACAGTTTTGATTAGAGCTGACAGCTTCATCCTGTATGTACTGCGCTGCGTGGCCTACAGCGCTAAACCCTGCATGCGCAGCAGGAAAGCGAAAGGGCGTCGGCACAACTTTTCCTTCTCTTCGGAGTTGGATGGACTTCACCTCCTCGCAACAGACCTAGAACATATAAGAGCTGGGCGACGAGGACTATATTGCGACTGCAACCAGTTTCGATTTGTCGGGAAGCATAGATTTACACAGGTGAGCCATTTTATATTCACCCAATTGCTTGGTTCAGAGCCCGATTGCCACCGGTCATATATCTCGTTCTTTGTTAATCCACCACGCCGCAAAACTAACCAGTCGTCGGCTTCTTGGGATACTATATCCTAGCCCTTTGAACGTGGAGCAATTCACCTTGCATTATTCTCTCTTGCGCTCGGAGTCATGGGTAATACCAGATGCCGTTCAGTTGCGCTAACACCTGTTGGTTTACAGTAGAGTAGCGAATCGAGTTACTATGGCCACCAATTCTACAGGTATTCGTCCTTGCCTAACCGTCTAGACTGCTAGTTCTGCTGCTCCAGGCCGTTTGCAGGCCGGGATATCAAAGAGCATGCACGCTGTTTAACAGGCTTCGTAACTAACACCGAAGCAGCACCCACGCACTACGCCGTGATCCTATACGAAGGCTTCCAGGCTCTCGATGTCTTCGGCCCTCTCGATGCTCTGAACATCACCTCACTGGACAATGGAATCAAGCTCTCCATTATTGGACCAAGTTTAGGCCCCGTGAGCACAAAGCCTCCTCCGCTTCCCACCGTCACCCTAAAGCCAGGATGGGGCTTCTCTGAAAGCGTGGTACCTACGCACTCCTACGCCGATCCACCCACAGATATCGACGTGCTCGTAGTCCCCGGCGGACTGGGCACCAACGACGCCTCCAACATCGAGCCAGCCATACAGCTCACTCGCAAACTGTACCCGAGCGTTAAATATCTATTCAGCATCTGCACGGGCGCTAAGATACTTGCGGCCGCCGGCCTACTAGACGGCAAGAAAGCCACAACGAACAAGAGAAGTTTCGATGCTTCAACGAAGCCGTATCCACAGGTCCAGTGGCAGAGGAGCGCCAGATGGGTAGTAGACGGGAATATCTGGACCTCGTCCGGCATCAGCGCTGGTACCGACGCGATGATTTCCTTCATTGGCACCGTGTATGGCAGGGAGTTTGCACTGAGCGTGGCTAAAAGGATGGAGTATCGATGGGTGGAAGATCCAGCGGATGACCCGTGGGCGGCCCCAGAGCCGAGCTCCTAACTGGGAGAACCGGAGTATGCGGTAATACGTCACACTATCTGGGGAAGGTGAGGAGTGAGGGGAGCGGGAGTTTTTTCCGGGACGATTGTCAAATATTGATATCCTGGAGACGAGTCCGGGGATCTGATCCTGGTTGACTCCCGCGCGCCAGGATGGTGTCATAGCTTCGTCAATCTCTACTCAATGCATAAAGAATAAGCACTAGCCAATTGGCGAGATTCCGGTGAAAAGAAAATGCGCCGGACATATGCACGTAGTCAGGCAGCCAGAATCAAAACCGACATCCACACGAGTATCCATTGGCTTAAAGCTTGAATATAGTTAAAGATAGCCGCTCTTGTACATTGACATCACGAGCACGGCACTTGACCTCGAAGGTACTCCGCACTCTGCACACACTTAAGGCCTAACATTGATATTAAGAATATCTAACATCTTTTGTAAGGAAGTCGTTTCTTTTCTCGATGAAAATTTGATAGCAAGTTGAAAGTCTTGGCGCCGACATTATTCTGCCGGTCCTCACCGAAAAGGCAGGTGACCTGGCTCGGCTGGAACCGGATAACTTTGAACGCGGGGTTTTCCGGGGCTAGTCCATAATAGGCAATGATAGTCTCCGGAGATATGGCTAGAAGCGGCTAGGGCTTAGGGCTAGGGCATGCAGGGAGCAGGGGCCTCGGATGTTTAGGTCTGGCCTAGCAGGGTCATGGGAGCAGAGATCGCTGGGAGAACAGGTAGTTGGCGATGCCCCAGCAGCCATGGCCCAAGAGGGAGTTGTCTTTATACTTGACTAAGGCTTGTCTAGCTTATCACTGGTCGTGCGAAGTGCAAAATATCCACCCTAAACTCAGCCTTGGTATATGTATTTTATAGTGATGGCATAAAACAACCCCTAACAAGTACAAGAACAACAATATAATCAAAGATATGTAGAGAAGCGCTAGCATGATAGTATCCAACTCAATGCTCGCATAGTGAAAAGGTACTACTCGCGAACGCATCGTCTTGGTCGGCTACAATAGCCTTTCTCTCCTCCATCAGTTCCAGCCGCAGCTCCTTCGCATCCTCCATGGACATTGAGGGATTGCTCATATAAGAGACTACCTCGTCGTACAGTTCCCTGGGCAACTTACCCAGAGCACCTTCCCATGGTACCAATTCGCCCCAGTCGGCACGTTGCGATGGCACATTTGCGGTAGAGATGATTCGAATATTTGGGTCGACGAGGAAAAGTGCTAGGATTTTCCGATGGCCTGGCTTGGTAGGGTCGTCCAATCTAAATGGTTCAACGCGATGTTGAAAGATGTTTGAGAAAGTGAGAAGGCGTCCCTCTTTACAGGCCACGCTCCCCGGGTATTGTATACTAGTCCCGTCCTGATGACACCCAAAAACCTGCTCTAAAAATTAGTGCTCGTTTTGTAGGTAATATAATTCATCAGTTCTCGCATTACCAAGCTGGCGAAATGCAAGACGGCTCTCAGTGATGTTCGCGCTATCGTAGTAGTACAATGCAGTCGCGCAGATATGTTCATTCTATGATATGTTGTTAGCGTCATGGCGCGAAGGTTTATTACGCAACGGCAGTTGCCTTCGGAGAGTATACCAATTGACCCTCGACATGCCATGATCCCCCTCCGTATTCGGGGTTTTCTGGAGTAAGGTGGATATTTGCAAGCTTGATAATGACCTGTAACCCCGTCTTTCCGTAATCTCGCTGAAGGTCTAGCGTTTTTCGCCGACGTAAGGGCTCTTGTATGTCTTCTTCAAGGTCTACCTCCTCTGGAGGGGCGAAGATCCCTGGCTCGGGCAAGATAATGCCGTCTCTCCAAATACCACTCCTCCATTCGTCGAAGCGATCCCAGAAGGCTTCGTCTTCTTCTCCTGGTAATTGTTGAGGCTGATCCTCCTCGGGCAGGGAATCAGGGTCAATGTCATATTTGACTTCATCATATGGGATACGTTCGTAGTCATTGGTATACAGTTTATGCGGCGTTAATGTCATGTTCCATAGAGGAATTGCTCGAGAGATAACCTGCTCGAGTATTCCATACAGCTCTTTATGTTCCCTGGGATGCAAATTGTTGATGTAGCTAGTGATTGTGCACTGATTGGATTTCTCTGGTATCGAATCTGCTTCTGTGGAGTCACTGGTAGACTTGAATGCAACATCACATGGGAGCCACTGGAACTTCTTGCTGTAGGGCCGACCCATTGTGTTTCCCGGATACGAGAACAAGTTGGTGCCTTTTATTACAGTTTCACCATCGGATGGGATAGGAAGTACTTCACCAGTCCCAGATTTGGAAATGCCGTCATCAATGCCCAGGATACCGTCTTTAATGATTTTTGTTGTTCCATAAACCAGGGGGAAGAGGGAAGGGTGCACGAGATCCAGGACTTGGTTATTTGAGTGAGGATGGTAGTCCTTTTGATGATCAGGCACATTTTCAAGCCTGGAAACCGCCGCTCTCAGCGACTCCTTTAGCGATTCTGGAATTGCCGAATCTGACTTGATGACTCCCCCATCGTATGCAGGAACCATCCCAGTCTCCTTGAAGTGTTTAGATCTATACTGAAGCTCAGCGATGATCCATTCGATCATTTTTTCTGTAATATCATCTTCGGTATTTGCTCTTAATTCTGCCTTCCACTTCTCTGTGATATCGCTATTAAAGACCTGAATAGTGGAGAAACAGTTATCACAGCTGAGGCGCCACAATTCCCATAATAAAGCCATCAAGCCAGTGCGAGGAGAAATTGAGTCTATACCTTGTTTTCCCAGTCTGGTTTATCAGTGATATCGTTCATAATTCGAACCATGGTGAGCTCACGAATCGTGGTCAAACGCATACTGCATCGATGTTAGCTGTCCACTCACTCAAGTGGCTGAGGGAAGGGGAATTCCGACGAAACGTAGTCACTATGAATGTCGCAACCATTCAGCGCACTGCGAAACAGGGTGGTGCCATGTTCCCGGCTATTGGAATCTGTTTCTTCATTGGTTATAAAGCCGTCACCAGGGGCTGCTTGCCAGAGTTTGACATCATTTAACGGTATACCGAAACCAGGGAGCTTCAGCGGTCGAGCCATAGTCCAGCCTCGTAAATAAACGTGCAAAGGTAGATAAATGTGTAAAGGGTATATATAGTCAACGTCGAGGATGAAAGTGAAAGGAATAAGAGGATAAATGAATGAATGGGAGTCCCATCGCAGGCTTTTTGTCCTTTTTCACTTCCTCCCCTAGACATGGGTATTTAGCGCCTCTGCGGCTCAGCCCAGGTTCCAATCCAGGCACCGGCCCAGGCTGCAAGCCAACAGCCAAAGCAACTCCAAACCAACATGTTGGCTGGCAGGCAGCAGCCCGGATCCCTTCAGGGGGCTTCCTTGAGGCCATATCAACGGGACGACGTATCTGATATTCCCCGGTTGGGAATAAGGGAGGTTCGAGCCGTGAGATTATGTAACCAATGAGATGACATAATCTTCTGACATAATCTCATGACTAAGCCGGCACATCGACCTCGGCGCAGAGATGGCCCGATTAGGTAATCTGAAGCTGGCCGGCTATTTTGCAGCCTTGGAAAGTCACCAAGAAGTCACTCCGGGCTGCGACTCCGTACCAAGGTACCAACCACGCAGCAAAGCGACCAACCGGCCAACCGACGACGCCGACCAAAATCGCTCATCCTCTCTGGCGAGCCAATATCAGCCGAAATACCGCAAACAGGCCCTGATCTCAAAGACAAGTAGCTCGTCAGCCTCGTATTTGCTCCCTTTTGTCTGCACCGCATCGAGTCAGTGATAGCTAATTGCTCAACAGAGTGCAGCAGCGCAGTCCAGTTCTCCATATTAATATTACGCCGGCCGTGAGTATCCGCCCGCCCACACGCGTATTATTGCTCAGCATTGGTCGCCGTCATCCTACAGATGCCCGCGTGGTTGGGTGGGAGTGACAATTGCTATATATTCGACCGCCACAGGGGCGGGACTTACCCCCGAACATTTTGACTTTTTGGCGTTGAAGGCAAAGGAAAAAGCAGAAAAAGAAGAAAAGCCGTTTTAGGTTCTCTAAAACTTTATCGGCGGGCATTACTTATATGAATACATGGACTCGGACTTTTCGACTAATGGTGGAACATTTTCTTATCCTGTAGAGATATCAAAACATAAAATACGCACCGACCATCTTAGCCAGCCATCATACAACCCCGGAACACGGATAGCAGGGCTAGCACTCACTTCTATCAAAGAAAACACTAGGCATAACGATACGATGGCACCACTGCAGCCAGAGAGTCTGTTCTCGAAGCTGGAGACAGCGCCGGCCGACGAGGTTTTCGCTCTCATGGGCGATTTCCAGGCCGATACATTCCCAGAGAAAGTCAGTCTGGGTGCCGGCGTGTATAGAGACAACGATGCGAAGAGCTGGAGGCTACCAGCCGTGAAGAAGGCATGATCCCGCCGACAAGACAGCCGGAAGAGTCATAATTTTCTTTTCTAACATCTCCTTTAGGCCGAGCAATTGCTTCTCGATGACCCAACGTTTGATCATGAATACCTCCCCATCCCGGGCTATGCACCGTTCTACAACCTGGCCAGAGATCTCATCTTCGGAACAGAAGATTCATCCATTCCAAAGGACCGCATTGCCAGTCTCCAAACCATCTCAGGAACAGGCGCAAACCACATCGGAGCCCGCTTCCTAGCAGACCACCTCCCACATCTGCCTACCGCTGGTGCAAAGCGCACAATTTGGATCTCAGACCCAACCTGGGCCAACCACCATTTGATTTGGAACCTTGTCTCAAGCGGATCGTCGGGAAACCCCATCGAGCTGAAAACATACGCTTATTACCATGAGCCAACCCGATCGCTGAACTTTGACGGAATGATGAAAGACCTCGAGGCCAATGCCACTACGGGAGATGTCATCCTGCTTCATGCCTGTGCCCACAACCCCACCGGTATCGATCCCACGCGCAGCCAATGGTTGCAGATCGCCGACCTATGTGAACGCAAGGGTCTCTTCCCATTCTTCGACTCGGCATACCAGGGTTTTGCCTCTGGCGATCTCGACAACGATGCATGGCCAATTCGCGAATTCGCAAAGCGCGGCATGGAACTATGCGTTGCTCAGAGTTTCAGCAAGAACCTAGGCCTCTACGGTCAACGAGCAGGTGCTTTCCATCTTCTCTGCAGAAACGCAGAGGTCACTGCTCGCGCCAGATCCCAGGTCGTCGAACTCCAGCGTGGAGAGATTTCTACGCCACCATCTTATGGTATGCCGTTCTAAACCCACCTGTCACTCCATACACACCCACGCCTTCTTCTTTTCTTTTTCATGCAGTGACTAATCATCCTTCCTAACCCCTGCAGGACCACGAATTGCCGCGAAAATCCTGAGCGACCCAGCTCTTGTGGAGATGTGGAAAGAGGATCTCGTCACCATGAGCAGCAGGATCAAGTCCATGCGCCGTGCACTATACGATGAGCTACAGAAGCTCCAGACCCCCGGAACATGGGAACACATCATCAACCAGATTGGCATGTTCTCGTATACCGGTCTCACCAAGGAGCAGGTCGGCCTCCTGCGCGAGTACCATATCTACATGCTTGACTCCGGCCGTATCTCCATTGCTGGATGTAAGTTTTCCCCCGCACATCTCCTATTCCACGTTAAAGAAACCTCACTAATACCGCCACAGTGAATACCAGCAACTTGAAATACGTCGCAGACGCCATCGACGCAGTGGTCCGCAAAACCGCAAAACCCGCTTCTAACGGATCCAACGGATCCAACGGCCATTGAATTAACGATATACAGTCCCAACCCATGGCGCGAATGATTTGAATGACGCTATGTATCTTACCTGATTGTCCTAGCGGGACCAGTTTCCTATGTTTATCTACTTTTGGGATCTGTGGAATTACTTGCATGTTGACCGACTATTTTCTTCCAACCAGACGTCGGTTGGCACATTTGATTTGATAACCTGGATTGACTCTTGTCTTGATGTATAGATGTACGGTCGATGTTTTCTGCGCTGCTCCTTTGGTTAATTTAGACTGGGCGGTTCACTCTCATACATGGTATCTCCTAATGTATGATAAAGCCAGACCTATAGCTAGCTTATCTAGAGTAATATGCTATTAATCAATCTGAGAATAAACATTAGCTCGAAGTCCATTGTCGCCATCACCAGCTTTGCACCTACTATCTCTCTCTTTTACGGCTTAAGTTATTTCTTGACACAGCGGCCGATGTTTCGCTATAACTCTGACACTAATAAACAATGCTAGGACAGGAATCTACTATACCCTCCGTCCCTGGTGCCTGTGCATCCTTATAAACTCTAGGTTCGGAGAAATATTAATAGATTAGGTTTCGGTGCGCTTTGGCCCAACCCAAAGAGGAAGATTGTTTTTTTGTACCTCACTAGATGTACCGATTCCAGGGAATTTCCCTCTAGCTACATCACGGATCTGACTCGCTCAAGGCTAGTTGATTTTAGACTATCGAGGTTGTTGAACAAGCCTGGTGGATAGGTTAATGGAACACTTACTGACAGTCAAGCCACAGATACGGGCTGGTTGGGCCGCGCTATTCGATACCTCTGCCCCTCGTCATCCCCGTTCTCAGACGAAGCTCTCAGCATGATTTACCTTACAGGCGATCGGTATAATTCTGTTTACTATCCTGGAGTAGACTATTATAATGAGCCAGGCCGTGGTATTGCTACTTGGGCCGTACTATACAGTATCTCAATTCAATCGCTAGGCTAACTACAGAACAAAATAGGGTATAATATTATAGAGAACATTCAGTCCAGATCGTAGTCGCGTCATGCCTGGTTGGTCGCGGCCTCCTTCACTTCGGGGTAGTACCAGGACGTGACAGCAATGATGAGATAGACAAGCATCAGCAGAGATCCCTCTAAGTAGTTGGACTTGCCGTCTCGCAAAAAGTTTCCAACGACCAAGATTGCCAGTACCAGGAGAACAACCATGAAGATCTCAAAGTTAAGACTCATGTCTTTATCGAGACACCAGCCGACAATGACGGCCAGAGGGGCGTTGAGCAGGGCAGTTTGGATAGACGGCGCCAGGCAATGGAAGAGCGCAAAATTGATCTGGTTATCCCACGCTTCATCCACGGCCGTGAGATGCTCTGCGGCCTTCTCGACCAGAGGAACCAGGATCAGACCCATAAAGTTGTCGGGGACGCCGAGCTCGACGATGTGCTCGATCTCCTGGACGAGGAACACAGCAGACATACAGACACAGGTTAGGGCAATTGCAATAGCCAATATACATTCAACGAATGTGAGCTTGTTTCTGTTCAGTTCCATGTCTCGGTCCTCGTCCTGTGCCTCGTCGTTTTCCAGAATCTCATCGAAGATCGAGTTATGGCTGTGTAGGTTGAATACGAGGTACCTATCAGAATGAAGTGTCAGCTCTATTTCTCCTGTCGGGTCAACCGCTGAAAAACTTACACAATGAAAGCAACTAGAAGAATGATAGCGGTTGCTCGACTGATTTTCAACGCGGAGTGATTCAGATGCTCGATGGTAAAGTGGGTGTTGACAGCGCCTTTGAGCGCAGTATAGAAGGCGCTGGGAATTAGAAGCCCAAAGCCAGCAACCAGAAGCAATCCCGTTCCGACCTCGCTGACCGCCTCGTGGAATACCTGCTCGTTGCGCCTAAGACCTCCAACGAAGAAACAGCCTCCCAGACAGAGAAGTAGGTTCGCTAGGATCGAGCCGAGAATGGCAGCTTGGATAACGGGAATGAGGTTGTGTTCGCCGGGGCGATGGTTGTGGAGGAGAACCATAAAGAGGACGAGTTCGACGACGGCGCTCAGGGTTGTCTCCAGCAAGACACCAAGAATTTTTGGCAGCTTCTTAGCCAGCTCTCCACCGGCGAAACCTAGCAAGTTGGCGGACGGTACCATGGCAATGTAGTTGAGAGCGAAGACCCAGACGTGAAGGTCCGGCCGGGCAAAGTGTATCGCGATCGCAGCTGGAACAAATGGCCAGAGGAAGTTCACCATCATTGACGCTGTGCAGACGCTCCTGAAGCACACATGGAAGAAATGGACAGGGTGAAAGCCTGACCGGCCACTCTCACCGGCGCTGTTGACGCGGAAGAGGCCCAGCACATAGCGATTGGGGTGCGATTCTCTCTCGTGTGTCGGCAAGATCGAATCGGCTCTGGCATCAGCCTTCTCATGCGATGCCTCATGATTGCCGTCCCCGTTTGCCTGCGACCTGATCGAGCCCATCGTTGTACTAACACGATAACCAAATGTGATTAGTAGGGGGATAGACGATGTCTACCAAGAGAAACAATTGTCGGTCGTCTTTCCTCAAAGACGACGGGAGAGGAGGTAAATAAAAACATCGTGCGCTGGAGAAAAAAGCAAGGAAACGATCGGATCGCCTCCACCAGTCACTCCTTTCGATCTATGCCGTTAGGACATAGCGGCCTGATATGCCTTTATTTGCCCCTGAAACATACCGGGGTGCATGCTTTACTTGTATTTTCCTCGGAGAGCAGGTAACGCCACAGAGGTAATGAAGCGATGCATTTGAACTGCTTACTGTTTCATACGGAGGACTCCATACTCAGTCTCTTCACTGAGCTGATCGTCAGCATACTCCGTACATGCCAACCCGGCATCACCAAACAAGCTTGATGGAAGGCTTGGTGGAAGGCTTGTCGTCATATTCAATGCTTGTTCGCAGAACTTATCATCGACAAGCCCCTGGGCCAAGTCTTCAGGGGCCTAAGCCAAGGCTTCCTCAATCATTAGACCTCGCGTAATTGCTTGGATGGTCAACTCTTATAGGGAGTCTGAGCCGCTCTTAATTAGTGACCAACCGGACGGAGCTCCATTTTGCATGGAGTTGTCTAACTGGTCAGCTCCATCAACAATTATGATATGGAGAACTGGACCGCCTGTGACGTTATTGTGTCCATCTGTTCAGCTATCAGAAACGTTCTCTTACAAGATATTGTATTTGCCAACTGCTCAAGGAAATCAAGGGTCCATAATATATAATGAACCCTGAAATAACCAGGCGACGTGCTTACCTCCAAGCAATCTATGCGCCTGACTTGTCAAACAATTAACTATTTAAAAATACGATTCTAAATATCATTTGTTGGATATGTTACTATGGATACCGTCTTCACTCCCCAACGCCGAAGTGCTGATACTGGAATCCACAGCCGCATTGTGATTACAATTAGGCCCATAGCTATGGAGTATACCCCCGTGAAGAAACCGATAACATGTGGATGAATACCTATCCTGAGTTCCTCCTTGTCTTAAGACTTCTACGGTTTTCTTTCCACTAACCGAGAACGTGACACATCTAGTACGCAATTCAGCTGATCAAAGACTCCGTCTTGATGAGGGCTCTATATTCCAGAGTATCACGACAGCCACGGAGCTCAGCGTATTACAATTTCCTACTCGCTATTATAGTAGCACTCTATACTTCAAATCCTTTCGCTTGTCTCTGAATCATGGCCACTCTACCCCAATACATGAATATGTATTTACAAAGGAGATGTCAGAACTGACAGTATCATGGGAAACGGGGGCCTGGTAACAACGGCTGCTATGTGGCTAGTACTAGTGACTCGGAGCATGCCAGCTTCTATCTTTAGCACTATGCATGCACTGCACTGTCACCTGCTTTGAACGTCGTTGATGAAAGTGGCCTTCTCGTCGTCCCAGTTGCCTGTTCGTTGGCTGGTTGATTGACTTTGGTGAACACATCTCACGACCACGTAGCTCGCCTACATGCTGTACATGTACGACATACTAACGATCCGACATTTATTGCGCACTAATACCCGTTGCGTTACCATCCAGCTTCCCAGAACGAGTGAAATGAGACTGAAGGATAGCATGCATGGCCCTAAATCGTCATTTCAGTCAGTAAACAAGGCCACTCGGGGATCAAGCTTTCTCTACAACTACCGTTGACTCTATGACACTACAAAATCATGATAAAAGGATGTTCTACATTCGATAGGAACTTCCGTTAATTGCCCTTACTTGAGCATAGTTTTACCTACTACCTATGTTGGGCGTCACCTCCCTAGGTTTGTTGGATGTGTTTATCTAGCTCCAGTTCTAGAAATATATATTCCACGCCATCCCTTATACCTTATAGCGGAACGGCTTCGGGGAATGGGACTTTATCCCTGTACCCTACTTATGCAGCTAGGGATCACTGCATAGCAAACACATCCCTTGTCCTTCTTTTCTGCGCCCTTGAGCATGCATCTTCATTTCACGTGTGGATGGAAACCGACAGCTACCTGCAGCTCTTCGGGTACCCTTGTGAAACCAAGCAAGAATTGACAAAATCCCCGCTACTAATCAAACGCAGTTCTCCTTAAACCCTGCTCATCACGCCCTTGCATTGTCTTTGTTCTAGGAATATTCTACCGCTATAACTAGCGGGTTGCCCAGCCTCTTTTTGTACATGTCTCCCCTATATGTCAACTTGTTCAAATGATTATTGAGATTAGTTTACCATGGTTGAAAAACTCACGTCGAGGGCTAAGGCACCCGAACCCGTAATGGCTCAGGGCGATGATGGCAATGACTCCTCTGATGTACGCGAAAGGAAAGGAGGAACTACTCGTGATGGACAGGATATGTGGCGAATTGGAAGAGTTCAAGAATTGAATGTGAGTCCCATAGGTCTCGATAAATTGGCCTTGGTGGAGAGAGCTGCAATAACTGACCACTCAAATATCGATAACAGCGAAATTTCCGCTTTCTCTCAGTCCTAGGATTTGCAGCTGTGCTTATGTGTACCTGGGAGGCCGTCATGTTGTAAGTTCTGCCGTTGGGGGAACTAATCAGTTGGGTATCAATGTTTGACTGAACGATACAACCAGTGGAAGCAATAACGGCTTGACCAATGGCGGTGTTGGCGGTATGATATACTCTTATATCGGCGTACTTATAGGGTTCTGCTTCGTCATTCCCACGATGGCGGAGATGGCTTCAATGTAGGTTGTCCGACATCGGCTAGTCCCAGGGGATATACAGCGTCTGATATTGGTCATATCAGGGCTCCAAGCGCAGGAGGACAGTACCACTGGGTCTCGGAATTCGCACCAGCAGAATACCAACAGTTCCTCAGCTACTTGACAGGTTGGATATGCGTTTTGGGCTGGCATACTGGCATTGCCGGGGCCTCGTACACCGTTGCCAACATGATAATTGGAATTATCCATATCAACTATCCAGAAACATATAAAGCGCAGCAATGGCATGTGACGCTTCTCGTCATTGTGATAGCTGTTACGGCAATGTTCTTTAACAGTTTCTTTGCCCAAAAGCTGCCCGTGATTGAGGGTATAATGTTGGTTATCCATTGCTTTGGGTTTTTTGGTATCCTTATTACACTTTGGGTCGTGGCTCCGACGAAACCGGCATCCCATGTATTCAGAACGATTGAAGATAATGGTAACTGGGGGAATAAAGGGCTGGCATGTCTCATCGGGATGGTAGGGCCTATTTATGCACTTATAGGTTGGTCAATCCAGGACTATATCCGTTAACGAGTGTTACTTTGACTGACGTTGAGCCAGGACCCGACTCCGCCGTCCATATGGGTAGGTTCTCCCTTTGAAATGCTCGTACCAGAGAGAGCTAACATAAAGGTGATAGCGGAGGAAATCAAGGATGCATCCATAGTCCTGCCTAGGGCAATGATTTGGACATTGGCGATTAACGGAGGCGCCGGTCTCGTCATGCTCATCACCTATGCGTCATGTGTTAATGATGCCCGGACTCTCCTGAAGACCTCCACCGGTCTACCTTTTGTCCAGGTGTTCCTTGACGCGACTGGCTCCGTTCCTGCAGCCACCGGCATGACCGTTCTCATCATTATTCTCCAAGGATGCTCTGCCATCAGCAATGTGGCCACGACCTCTCGACAGATGTACGCCTTTGCTCGTGACGGAGGACTACCATTCTCAAGCTTCATCGCCAAGGTAAGTTCCCTGACATAGGAGGAAACTTTTGGTACATGGTATAACGTCTCAATGCAGGTTGACTCGCGCTTCGTCGTCCCCCTGAACGCTCTGTGTATCAGCTTCGTCATCGTGATCCTGCTTGCCCTCATCAACATCGGCTCATCCGTAGCGTTCAACGCCATCTTATCACTCGGAGTCGGATGTCTTCTGACATCCTACATCATCTCCATTGGCTGTGTTCGGCTGAGGAGATGGCGTGGCCAGCAGCTCCCGCCTGCTCGATGGAACATGGGCAGATGGAGTAGCACCATGGAGACGGCCTCTCTGGTCTTTCTTGCTGTTGCCTGGGTATTCTCGTTCTTCCCACTTGCAAACCATGTCAACGCCGAAACGATGAACTGGAGCTGTCTGATCCTAGGGGGAGTGGTTATCGTATCGCTGGTGTATTATGCCTTCTTTGCCAGGCATGTCTATAGGGGACCAGTGACGAGGCTCCGGCCGTGGACAGACCAAAAGTAGGTATATCCTGACCATAATTATACACTATATAGCAGCACTTATAATAAATAGTTCCCATATTGATAAAAAGAGATAGAAAGAAGAATAAAAGAGAAGAAGAAAGAAAGAAAAAAAAGAAATGGGGCCCTGCCGCGACTCGAACGCGGGGCCTCTCGCAACTTTGGGAACCCAAAGCGAGAATCATACCACTAGACCACAAGGCCATTTGCTGTTGTAGGGATATGCCCTGGAAAGTTGATCACAACCCTCTATACAAGATACGTGAGCATATCGTCATACTTGGTGGGGGAAGTTCAAAATTGATCGCGAGACAAGAGTCGAGCAAAGATATCTCCCTGTCGCAAGTCGCAATGGCGTCCAGATCCCAGATACCTTACGGCGACCGTGCAAAGGCGCATCCCAGCCCGCTTGTCCGCCGGCTGTTTGAGATCGCGCTCCAGAAGCAGTCGAACGTCGTCGTCTCTGCAGATGTCACCACCACCAAGGAGCTATTAGACCTGGCTGACCGTACGTCTTCCATGATAAGACACTGTTTATTCCTCGTCTACGAGTAACGTGCGCTAACGGTCGGTGACCAGCTTAGGCCTTGGTCCGTACATGGTTGTGTTGAAGACACACATCGATATAATATGCGATTTCTCCGAACAGACGATCTCCGGCCTCAAGGCAGCCGCAGAGAAACACAACTTCCTCCTCTTTGAAGATCGGAAATTCGTCGATATCGGAAACACGGTGCAGAAACAGTACCATGGCGGCACGCTGAGGATATCTGAGTGGGCGCATATCGTCAATTGTGCTGTTTTGGCAGGGTCAGGGATCGTCGACGCTCTGGCACAGGCTGCTTCGTCGAGCGATTTCCCATACCCGGCCGGCGAGAGGGGGCTGCTTATACTGGCTGAGATGACCTCCAAGGGATCCCTGGCTACGGGAGAATATACGAGACTGTCCGTCGAGCTGGCGAGGAAACATACGGGTTTCGTCATGGGGTTTGTCGCCACGAGGTCATTGGGCGATGTTGAGACGCCCGAGGTTGCGAAGGCGGAAGGGGAAGACTTCGTCTTGTTTACTACTGGTGTAAACCTCGCGTCGAAGGGGGATCAATTGGGTCAGCAGTACCAGACCCCCGAATCGGCAATTGGGAGAGGAGCGGATTTCATCATCTCGGGGCGAGGTATATATGCTGCTCCTGACCCTGTTGATGCTATCAAGAGATACCAGCAGGCCGGCTGGGACGCGTACCTAAAGCGTGTCTCAAAGTGAACAAGATAGATAGTTCAACATGGGCCATAAGATAGACTGCCTTTGAAACAAAATAAATATTCATACATGATTTAGTAAATATTTTTGGTAAAATGAAATTTTCGAGTATCGTCATATCAAACTTGTAAACTATCATACATCTCGCACCCTGCCTTAGAAGGGCGAAGTTGGCGTCTGCATCATCGGCTTCGCGACGCCAAAGATGGCCATGCCCCAAAGCGCCATCTGGGCGAACCAGAACGCTCCTCCGTACTTGCGTCCGGCACCAGCAGCCTGGCCGGAGTAGACATAGCCGTAGAGGAAGAGACATCGCATGACGACCCAGGTAGTTCCGATCAAGGTGGTGGCGGCAGGGTATTTGAGACCGGCGACGAGAGTGAGCAGCATAGTCTGGGGGGCGTTCTCGAGGAAGTTGGTGTGGGCGCGCTGGGCACAGTTGAAGGCTTCAGCCTTGGGCTGTTGCGACGACTATGTTAGTAGCTGCGATATCGAGGACGAGGAGTAGGACGTGGACTCACGTTAGCCTTGCATTGTTCGGCAGTGGCGTAGCTGTTAGGATATGGGACGCCGGCATCTCTGCGCTTCAAGGTGGTGATAACGCCGTGGACGAAGCCGAGCACCGGGATGGCGCCGAGGGCGACGGCGATGATGTTGCTGCAGACGTTAGCTATAGCCTCTACCTTGGCCTCGAGGAACTCACCCGTAACCGTCTGGGACTGGGATCATCATCTTTGCGGGGTCAATTGAGTAGTTGATGGTTAATAGTTGATGGTTGATGGAGATGTTGATGGTAGTGGCAGATGTGATGGTTGATGGATGGTAGATGTAGAGAGATAGTTGGTAGACCAGCTCCAGGTCTTATATGAAAGCAGGCTCTACACCCCCAGGCAACCAGCCGTCCACGACATGGAAACTTCGAGCTCTTGATCAGTCGGGCTCCGGGGCTTCAAACCAACCGACCGGCAGCGCCAGTTAGGCCGGGGATCTCGGACTCTTCACGGACGAACTTACGGACGTGGTAAATACGGGGGTTTTTACCTTTAAAAAGGCGAAACACATGAAGAATGGCTAAATATATATTCACTCCGCGCGCATCGCTATTTTAGACAGATCAACTATAATACCAGGAACGCTATCGACTTCTATTTCACCGTGGCCAGTTCAGCTTGCAGCCAAACCGCGCTTGCTTACACTTCCGTACTTGGCCTGCCAGGCGAAGAAATACAAGAGCGCGCCCAGCGGCTGTCCGACGAGACAGAAACTCAGCCAGAAGATGGAATTGCCCACTATCTTCCCTGTCTGGCCTTTCATCTTCTCCAGCGGCACGGTTGCAGCTATGAGCGGTAGCTGTAGCATCATCCCTGCAAAGGCGACGCCTACTCGGAGCTTTAGTTAGCAAAGGATCGGGGACATTTGGGTAAACAGGTAAAGAGCATACCGATGATGTTATGTGTTGGTATACCGACGAGGACTTCGTGCAGAATCGCCGAGAAGGTGAAGACAACCAAACTGGCAGCGAACGGGTTCCAGCCACGACCGATGAGCGGGGAGAAGATATGGCGTTTCATAAAGTGGTAGACGGGCCTGTTCCACGTTCGCCAATAAGCGCCGACACTGGGACTGTTCCACCATTCGTGGTAGAACTCTCGGTCTCCAAAGCGCATCACCTCCGCGAGAGCGTTCAGGAAGGACTGGAACAGCGCGAAGAAGCCCGCCAGCCAGATGACAAGCGATATCGTAGACAGTTTCATGATCCGTTCGAGGATAGACACCCAGTCGAGCATGGCAACTTTGTCCAGCGAGTTACGTAGCACGGGAGCCGCGTACTGGGCCGATATGATCCATATAAACACTCCCAGGACTATGAACTCGAGAACCCGTTTGGCGACAAACGACCAGCGAATGCGGTCGGTCCGAGGGTATACCGGCTGATAGACCAGAGTTGGCGCGAGCCAGAAGTACGACAGGTTTGAAATGGTGACATTATTCGGATAAGGACATGCCTTGTAGATTTCCGGCAGCCTGTTGTCTGGAGACGGGTTCAGGACCGCATGGCGAAGATCACGGTTGGTGAACGCGTAGGAACAGTTCTTCAACCAGACGATTATAGCATGGAATTGACACACTGTGCCGATTCCCGGGTGATGGATATAGTAATATACCACATACGACGTCACCAGCAGACACAGGCTGGCATTGATAGAATGTGCAAAGGCAACGTATCGCCATGTCGTCTGAAAGGCAGAGAGCTCCTTGCTTGTCCGGGACGAGGATTCGTCTCGTTTCATCCGGCCCACGGCTCCCTTCACCTGCTGTGCTGCAGACAGCTCGATGACATATGCTACGAACAGATGGCAGGGCACCAGAGCGTAGAGGATTGCACCGAGAGCCAGGTCTTGTTTGCGGTAGTCGTGGCATCGAATGCAGATGAGGACGCCGTATTTCATGAAATTCTCCACGACCAGACGCAGGTTCATGACAATCAGCACGATGACCACCAGGTTCCTGAATCCAAGGAAGCTGGGCGAGTGTTGAGTATCGCGACTGAGGCATGACGGCTTGACTTCCAAGTGATACGCAGCTACATGTCGATACTTGCTCCTCGGCGGTCTTTGACGAGCCGCCGGCTGCTGCTGATGCTGCTGATGCTGCTGCTGCTGATGATGATGATTCTTGTGCTGTATCTGTATATGAGAGTTCCCTTTCCCGTTCGCCAGGCTATTCGTCCTATCTTCCAGCGCGATGCTGTGGCTTGCAGCAACCTCCGTCTCGGTGACGATCGCCATGATTAAAAATATGTATAACCAATAAAAGAAAACACAAAATAAGTATATGGAAGCAGTGCAACTTTTGTTTCGAGCCCGGGTTCTTATAATTAAAGCTGGCCCTATCCGGACATAAATATAAGTTATGCCGTGAATTGAATCGAAGGCAAAAGGTTCCGCAGGTGGCGGCACTGCGCGATGGCGAGAGAAACGAGAGAAATTCAGAGACGAGAAGATATTGGATCCACGCAAGTCACACCATGATCGCGAGAGCTCGACAGCGACGAGGACGGAGGTGAAGATGAAACTGGAGATGCGAGAAGTTCTGCTCTGCCATGGACTCACCGTTCCAAGATTCGGAACTTCTCCAAGGTTGCTTTTGGAACCTTGTCCAGAGCAAGCTCGACATTATGTAAGGACTATATACACTAACGTAGTATTTACTTCCATAGATCTTGACTGGACTGCTACATCGATGGCAGGACGGGTTCTCGCCGGGTCTGTTGGCTTGATAGTCGAGACGCTGCAGGTTGCCAACGTATCTTGAAACCTGAAGCTATCAATAAACCCGCGTTGATATTCCGGACCTGACGACGTCTGGATGTCTGGATGTCTGATGTCTGATGTCTGATGTCTGATGTCTGATGTCTGATGTCTGATGTCTGATGTCTGATGTCTGATGTCTGATGTCTGATGTCTGATGTCTGATGTCTGACTGTCGACTGGGATGCTTACTTGCTCAGATCAAGGTGGTGTTGTCTGCCCAGCTACGAGAGCTCCCGCTGCAAGCGCACCAGGGAGAAGATGATACAGAATCCGTCACCGTCTGCCTACCCGTGGGACCTAGGGGTGCAGTGATAGAGGCCATTGCATCCCCTACGTGCCCTATGGGACGAGATTACTGGTACAGATGCGCGTTTTTGAACAAGGGGCGACATCTTAACCCTGTACCTGTATACCTGCCCATGATGCCGCATCATGCATGGTAGGATCTGGACCGCAGCCACTCGGGCTTCTTTATCGCGATTAAGCCTCGGACCCGAGAAACCGGCTCTTTTATAGTAAGAGAAAGGTGTATACTTGTTGTTCGGACTAACGGTCCTACGGCTATGATAGGGACTGTGGACGAGAAGGGTAGGTAAAATCAATATATCCTCAAATTGTTATTATCTCTATACTTGTTACATGACATACCACCCTCCTACAGAGCCTTAAACAGCTTGCACCAGTTCAACATTTTAAAGCCACCTATAAGCATATCAATAGGTACGATGTTTGCCTCCGAGTCGACGTAGTGGATTACTGCATTGACGGTATCATCCACGGTGCGGCCGTAAGCAACCTTGAAAAGTCTCTCGTACTGGGAACAGAAACGGCCCCTTCCTGGTCGTTTAAGCAATACTGCTAAATGAGGAGACGACTTGTGCAAAGGGATGTACTTTTGCCCATACTGTAATCTATATTAGAGGTAGCAATTTTAGGGGTATGAAATCAATACGCACCTCTGGCAGATCTCGAATTATGTCCCAATAAACTGAGGGGACTTTGGCGTTGATGAATTGTTTGTCCGTGATGTCTTTCGAAAGCTCCACGAGGCGAGAGACAGGTGCTTTGCTTGCCTCTTTGGGAAATAGTTTCTTGACGATTTCTAGAACCATATTTCTCATGTATAGCCTTAAATATGGCTGATCAATTTTGAACATGATCCTATCAATCTTCTTTATTTGATCCTGTAATACTATAGATTAGTAAAATGCCCTTTAAACGACGAGGATTCTTACCTTCGACAACTTGGTATGCAACTCAAGCACCTTTCTTCGTTTCTATAAAACCGTATATCAGTAAATAGCCTAACCAAGGCCGCTTAAGAGACGTTTACCATGTTGACATATATCCACTGATCAACCTCACCGTCATCTGGTGCCACTATTGGTGCTTTAAGAGCACTAATGTATGCCTCCAGTCTCCGCTATAAGGCCATACATTAGTACAATGACCAAGCAAGAGTTATTTGATGAATGTTTACCCGCATATCCGCTGCCCAGGACTTGACATGGCGGGGGTGTATGTAATCCGGGATGTCGGCGAGGCCTGGGATATCTACTCGTTCTTCTTCTTCCTCTTCAGAAGAAGAATAGCCGCTGGAGCAAGATGGAGATGCCGTAGCAGTATACCACGTGGATGTGCCATCTGACGGCATGGTTGGTATAGATATGTGCTGTATCACTGGAGTATATACACTGAGTATATAGAATAGCTGGAGTAGAGTAGGAAGTAATATCCAATTTGACTATTGAGAAAGCGTTGTAAAAATGCAAAGCTTGGGGTGAGAGCAGAAGAAATTTATATTCAATATTGGGGAGCAGTTCATGATTCAATTTCCAAACTGGTTCCGTGGTCCTGGTAGTGCTCTGCCATGGTAACTTCAGTGCCTCGACCATACAATTCGGCAAGTCTATGATTCAACACTGCTGTTCTGGTGTAGAAAGCTTATTTTTCAAGTGGAATATCGGGAAGATGTATTCTGTGCATACCAGATTATATACGTATTGCATAAGGGTGACCAAATGTTTTTAGCCTTCTAGGTCCTCTATACTATAAACGTTCCGCCCATGGGTGTCCTCGTGCCTCTTAATACCAATAGCTTAGCTATCTTGACATCGTGTCAATAACCTTTAGATCATTTGGCTCGCAGTACGCTAGTACCTCGGTCAAAGTATTGTCTTAGTCGTCTCGGTAACGATCTGGGCGAGAGTACTGCCCCGTACATGCGTGCTGTGCTAGCAGGCGCTCCCTGGGAGAATGACGTTGAAGCTTTGGTTCGAGCTATTAGGTGCTGATGACTGGTTTTAAGCTCGACTATAGCCCAGCCAACCTCCATACCATTTCTATACAGCCAGTATCCTGGGAGAAGTTAGGCTGGCTTGATCCCAAGGCGGAAAAAGGACGGTTGTATAGAGGGGCGCGCTGTGAGGTCTCTCACGCAATGGAAGCTGATAAAGTCTATTTCTTTGCAGAATTTTTCGCCGGCTGGTTGGTGATGCCGTGCTTCTTGAGGGTGCGATATATTGTCGACCTTGAGATATTGTCTGGCATGCCTCGAGCAAGCTCTCCGTATGTAATTGTTGGATCGGCCCGGACGCGCGAGATTAACATCCGGATATCACGTTCGGTGAGCTTTGTAGGTCTTCCGGAGCGCGGCATCGACTCTCCATCCACTCGCGAATCCTCCTTAAGAATGGTACTCTGCACTGTAGAGACGGGGATATCAAGCGCCTTCGAGATGCGTCTGAGCGACCAGCCACCCTTGCGCTGCCCGAGGATCACACCCCTTGTGAACGGGGTCAGCTCTGCTCTCTTCTTCCTCTCTCCCTTTCCAGCCGAACTGGACTTCTCACTCGAACTAGCCTCCGCCATGACGAGCCGTATAGACAGTGGGTATACCAATATATATATAAGCCTGGTACTATTTACACCTTTTGTAGATGTTTTGTTTCTTTTGACGCGACGCGATATGCACGTGACTGCTTACATAGCAATATTTTAAAGCGGCGATGGACTAACCCAAAGTGTCCATCCATATTTGTATCTCGGAGCTCGCTTTTTGATATCAGGAACTCTCTCCCCGGGCCCTTTTTCTCACACTTACGCACTTACAATGGCCTACTTCGAGGATGGCGCCGAAGGAGCGTTTGCGCCGCGGCAGGCGTCCGGCCCGCGACGCCCAAGTACGTACTTTTTGCTACAGCAATTGCCAGGGCTGCCGGTATGCTAATCGATTTCTATAGGACCCGTCACAGATTACGGCTCGTCGCTGGTGCAATGGATGAGGGTACGACAGCCTCGTTATAAGGGCCCGCCTAGGCTGGAGATAGAAAGACCGAGTCCTAGTTATAGTGTTGATGTTAGTTATGCTACCAGCTCCCGCCTTTCGAGCTTGACAGCTAACACCGTTACCCATCCTTTAAGATGCTGCCTCCCGTCGCTGCAAGCCACTCAGCTGCAGATACGATTCCCGTTCGGCACCTGCACCAGTCTATTGGAAAATCGAAGAAACCTATAACCGTCGTGAGGTGGACGCCAGACGGCCGCCGTCTGCTTACGGGTGGCCATACTGGTGAATTCATGCTATGGAACGGCACAGCTTTCAACTTTGAAACTGTTATGGATGTAAGAAGCTTCTTGGTCTTCGACATAATCCCACTGCTATATGAGGGCACTTCCAGGGCTGGACTATGCTGAATCAAGACAATAGGCACATTATGATCAATTTCAGGCCGGCGTGACTTCGGCTGCTTGGTCGCATAGCCATGACTGGCTGATATCGGGTGGCCAGAAGGGCGATGTTAAGTACTGGAGACCGAATTTCAACAACGTAGAGACGGTCGACGACGCGCACCAAGAAGCAGTTAGGGATCTGACATGGTGCCCCAACGATTCGAAATTCCTTTCCGCATCTGACGATACCACGCTGAAAATATTCGATTTTACGGCTCGAACATGCGAGATGGTTTTAACTGGGCATGGATGGGATGTAAAGTCATGCGACTGGCATCCTACAAAGGGCCTCCTGGTTTCCGGCTCTAAGGATCATCAAGTCAAATTCTGGGATCCTCGCACTGGTAGATGCTTAACTACGCTACATACACACAAGAATACCGTTACGACGACGAAATTCTCCCCGGTAAACACTAACTTACTGGGAACATCATCTCGCGACCAAACCGGTCGTGTCTTTGATCTCCGCATGATGCGGGATATATGTATCCTGCGAGGCCACGAGAAGCCAATATCATCTCTAACCTGGCATCCAATACATAGCAACATGATATCTACGGGTAGCGAAGACGGTTCCTTGTACCATTATCTACTCGACGAACCCAACCTCCCCACCGGACAGATTCCTACAGTTGCCCCATATGGCACCACGGACCCTGCAAACACTCCCGCCCAAGTGATATTCCCAGCGCACAAGATACAGTATGCTCATGGCTCTACCATTTGGTCTCTTGACTGGCACCCCCTCGGCCACATACTTGCTTCAGGTTCAAAGGACAACTTCACCCGTTTCTGGTCCCGTGCCCGACCTGGGGAAATCAACTACCTCAAAGACCGATTCCATATTGGAGAAGAAGCTGCCGAGGCACAAGGAACTTGGAACCGCGGATTCGGGCGTAAACAGATGCGCGAGGAAGAAGAACAAGAAGCCCAGGAAGAGGATGAAAGCCGTATGGACCAAAGACAGGCTGGAGAATCGCAAATTCCAGGAATTCAAAATGCACTCCCTGCCGAGGGACACGGACTGCCTGGTTTACTGCCTGGCATCGGTGCGTTGCAACCACCACCACCTCCTCCACCAAATGCATCTGGCGCACCCTCGTCTTTACCACAGATGGATCCGGGACGATTAGCCGCTATGCTATCCCAGGGCGGTTACGTTCCACCGCCGCCGCCGCCTCCCGGCCAGGGCCAGCAGCCTCCATTCCCACACTCCACGCAGCCGCTGCCTTTTTACCCCAACCCTAACATGCCGAGCAACTTGCCACCAAATATAGCTCAGATGTTCGCCAACCAGCAGTTCCCACCGCCCGGAATGCCTCAGGGTTTTGGACAGCAAAATCCTGCATACCCGCCGTCAGGGTTACCTGGTCTTTTTGCAGGGCCAAATGATCATCCCAAGTGAAGGCCATAAAACGAGTCAACTTGTCAGCACATAAGTCCGCTTAGTGGAAGCGCAAAGTCCGAGCCTGGATACCAGCCAGAAGGCAGGCATACTGGTGGATCATAACCACAGCCTCAAAGAGAGTGACCGGCGCCGATACTCTCATTGCCACCCAATGAACTCTCCACGAAGAGAGGCTCCCTTGATATAAGCGCCCTTGTAAGGCCTCTCGCCCATAAAAATTTTGGTATCCGGATATATGTTGACAGATATTGGTTCTAGGGCCGCAGATTGCTTCTGGCTGCTGAGGGACAAGCGATCTGCCTGGAATGGCTGAGGAGATCTGTGTTATTTGGATTGGTACTTCTCAGTGCTTATGACTTTAGAGGGAATCTCCATTTAATGCGCTGCTTCCTGCGTAAGCAACTGCCACAAGATACAGAAGCCGTCATGATACGCCAAAATAGGGGTACTATTTACTATGGTCAGGGGCCAAAATATAATCGCTATCTAATCGTCCACAACTATACTTGATACATCAATGTGATCTCCATAGATCTTTCCTTTCTCCTTAAATCGTCCCGTTCCCCTGAGCCACAAGCCCCTTTCTACTCTTGGCCGTAAGTTGTATTCAAACTCTCGTAACAGGGAAGGAGATAGACATTGACATACCATAGACGTAAGCTAGAAGATCATAACCGTCTTTCTATCCTAATTCATCATGTTTGATTCACTATGTTTACAGACAAAAGGACAGAAATACTGGATGACATAAGCAGCATCCCGCATTAATGTTTATCCGTATATCGCGGGCCAAAAAGTGCTTGAGATGAAGCTGTGGAAGAGCTTGAGAACATCGACGGAGTGCTCACCATGGGCAAGGACGCTGATATCTCTGCGAACGAGCGGGCGTTCATCCTAGAAGCTCTCCACAAGAACGTGCGACTCGATGGCCGTGGATTCGACCAATTCCGCCATCTGGAGCTGACCTTTGGGGAGGAGCATGGAAATGTCAAGGTACAGCTGGGGAAAACTGCGTGAGTAACTAGATCGTTCTTCCTTGTAAACTGTATCTATATATGTGAAGATGGCTGCTAATTCGCAATTTGCCGGTAGTGTTCTTGTGCGCATATCAGCAGAGTTAACGACCCCGCGGCCGGAGCGTGATTGCGATGGAATATTCACGGTCGTCGTCGAGCTGAATGATATGGCTCTTCCGGGGTATGAGACTGGCCGGTGTGTATACTCTTTACATCTTATATGTCTCCGTCAGCCCTAATATGCATTTTGTTCAATCTGCAGTCAATCCGAGCTGGAGGTCAACCTGTCACGAACTCTCGATAAAATCGTGCGGCGTTCCAATGCGCTTGATACGGAGTCGCTATGCATTGCAAAGGGAACAATATGCTGGAACGTCCGAGCAGATATTCATATTCTAGACTGTGACGGAGGCCTGATTGACGCCAGCTGTCTTGCGACCATGGCTGGTCTGCTTCATTTCCGGCTACCCGAGTCCGCCGTGCGTGACGGTGAAGTTACCGTCTTCACAACGGAGGAGAAGGTACCGGTATCACTGAACCTCACCAAGCTTCCGCTGTCAGTGACGTTCACCCTGTACGACGAAGGCAAGATCGTGCTCCTCGACGCCACGACGAGTGAAGAGGCCGTTAGCGAGGGATCTCTTGTGATTGCCCTGGACAAGACGGGGGAGATTGCCTTGTACACGAAGCCAGATGGGGCGCCGGCCGATCCAGTGAATATGGTTACATGTTCGAATCTTGCATTGGAGAAAGTCAGGGAGCTGAACAAATTCATCTCGACAAAACTGGACGAGGACAAGCAGATGCGGGAGAAGAAACGACCGACGGCCGAGCTAAGTGCCGCCAACGAGAGATGATGAAGACCGGCCCACGGTACCTCAGGTATCAATGGCCCTTGCCTTGCGCCTGCGCCTACGCCTGCGCCTGTGTCTGCGTCAGCGTTAGCATGTTCGGTGCGGAAAGCTATGAATGCCAAATAGATCTACATCTACTACTCCGTTCCTCCACTGCGCCGGCAGCCACGGCGGAACACCCGGCTCTGAAACGAGCTCCACGTTGCATATTCCAACACCGCCAGAATCCAGGATATGCCTACGTCTCGCGGCCTGTCGTTCTCTTCAGGGAACTCCTTAAAAACTCCGCCCTGGCTATGAACCGGCGGCCCTTGAACAGCTCGAGACCGACCCACCCGCGCGACAGGTTCGCTAAAGAAGCGGTTTTCGGGAGCTATTAATAGTTAGTTAAAGAGGAACCCAATATAAATGCCTGCTGCCAGTAAACCGACGCCGATGTCTCTCTGTGTAGCTCCGTACAGGGCTCAGTAAATGTATCAGGGCAACAGCGCCAGCGCAGGATTCGCACAGTAAACGGCCAGCCTCGTGCGCCTGCGAGTGGAGCAGAGATGCTTGCTATTCCAGCCACTCAGCCTGAGCAGCTAGTAAGCGTTTTTCGATGTTGTAAATATAGGTGTTTTTTGCGGTAGCGCTGCGGGTTTCGTGTTGCCTAAACGCATCGGATCTTGGCTGTTTGCGCTGTGGCTGAACGGCTGCTTCGCCTCGCAGAACGACGAATCTCCTGGCCAAAACCCAGGTTTCATACGCAAAGGACGCAAAGCTGGAGGGATAATTGCCAGCCTGATCCGTGTCTCTTCTGTTGTTCGTTGTTAGTTATTCTCTCCTTTATTTGCTTTGACGGAAGTGCTGATTAACGATAGCTCTACGGAGTCTTGTCTAGAGATACGCCCCTTGAAGTCGCAACCGCCAGATACTTCGACAGAGCAGCTCACCGTCCGTCTTCGATGCGTGGACACCTCTTCGCATTAATATCTCGGTGACCGGGTCGTGCAGAAAAGCGACATGGCCAGCGGCAGGCCTCCTGGAGGTCCTCCGTCTTCGCATCGTGACCATGATAACCTCCTCCAGCTCGACGATGCTGCTCCCTCGCAGTACAATACGGGGCAACGACCGCCTGTGAGCGACGATAATCTTATACAACAATACAATATTAATGACTCCGACCAACCCCCGTCACGGCCGTCTGTGTCCTACGATGATTTCGTGGGCGGCCAGGGGCATGCCGCGCATGATAATCACAACAACGCTCCCGGCCAGGACCACCGCCATGGACAGCCTCAGTCCGGCGCTAATAGGGCGTATGCCGGTGAAGGTGGTCCAGGAATGTATTCCCAGACCTCAGACCTGAACCATTACCAGCGCTATTCCGATCTAGACGATATCGACGACGATCGAGCTTATGGCTACTACAACGATGGAGACAGGTCTGACGGGACGCCTATTCAGGATGCTCGTGCTAGGGACAGGAATAGCATAATGGCCCTGGGCGGCGGAATCGTGGGTAGAGCGAAGAACATGCTCGGTATAGCCCCGGAATATTCTGAGATGGACCTGCCCTTGACGGAGGCTGGAGCATCGTCCAGAAGAGTTGGCACCGCGGGAACAGATGAGACCCCCCCAGGGAAGTCAGACTCAAGATTCAAGCCAGGCAAATTCAAGTTCGGCTTTGGTCGACGAGAACCTGATCCCTCTACCCTCGGTCCGCGTATCATCCTCCTCAACAACGCTCCCGCCAATTCCGCGCATAAATTCGTCGACAACCACATCTCGACCGCTAAATATAATATCTTCACCTTCCTACCAAAATTCCTCTTCGAACAATTCTCAAAATACGCCAATCTTTTCTTCTTGTTTACCGCCGCCCTCCAACAGATTCCTAATATCTCCCCCACCAATCGATATACAACCATCGGGCCCCTTATCGTTGTCTTGATCGTCTCGGCCATCAAAGAATTGGTCGAAGATTACAAACGAAAGAGTTCTGATAGAACTCTCAACCACTCCAAGACAAAGGTGCTGCGTGGCTCGAACTTTGAAGAGGTGAAATGGATAAACGTTGCCGTAGGCGATATCATTAGGGTTGAGTCCGAGGAGCCCTTCCCCGCAGACTTGGTTCTCCTGGCCAGTTCCGAGCCCGAAGCCCTTTGCTATATCGAAACAGCCAATTTAGACGGAGAGACAAACTTGAAAATCAAACAGGGTATTCCCGAAACCGCCGATCTCGTAAGCGCTGGTCAGCTTAGCAGATTAACGTCCAGGATCAAATCCGAACAGCCAAACAGCAGTCTATACACCTATGAGGCTACCATGACCCTACAATCAGGTGGCGGGGAGAAGGAGTTCTCCCTTGCTCCCGATCAACTGCTCCTTCGAGGAGCTACTCTTCGCAATACCCCCTGGATCCACGGTGTCGTCGTCTTTACCGGCCACGAAACGAAATTGATGAGAAACGCAACAGCAACGCCAATCAAACGTACGGCCGTCGAGCGAATGGTTAACATGCAGATTCTGATGCTTGTTGGAATTCTGGTTGCCCTTAGTTTGATAAGTTCGGTCGGTGACTTGATTGTGCGCACGACCGCTTCTCAGAACAAATCTTACCTGGACTATGGCAACGTCAACCTCGCGAAGCAATTCTTCTCAAACATCTTCACATACTGGGTTCTATACTCTAATCTTGTCCCCATTTCTCTTTTCGTGACAATCGAAATCGTCAAATATTACCATGCTTTTCTCATCAACTCCGATCTCGATATTTACTACGAGCCAACCGACACCCCTTCAAATTGTCGAACGTCGTCCCTTGTCGAAGAGCTGGGCCAAATTGAATACATCTTTTCAGACAAGACCGGAACTCTTACTTGCAATCAGATGGAATTTAAACAATGCTCCATTGGCGGTATTCAATATGCAGAAGTCGTTCCGGAAGACCGGAGGGCGGCCTATAATGAAGATTCTGATACAGCCATGTATGATTTCAAACAACTGAAGAAGAATATGGAATCCCACCCTTCCCAAGACGCAATCAAACAATTCCTCACACTACTTTCGACCTGTCACACAGTTATCCCCGAACGAAATGACGAGAAACCCGGCGAGATCAAATACCAGGCCGCATCTCCCGATGAGGGTGCACTTGTCGAGGGTGCAGTCATGCTCGGATACCAATTCACTAACCGAAAGCCCAAATTTGTTAGCATCTCCGCTCAAGGGGTAGACCAAGAATTCGAACTACTGGCTGTGTGCGAATTTAATTCAACTAGGAAACGTATGTCAACCATTTTCAGATGTCCCGATGGCAAAATTAGGGTCTACTGCAAGGGAGCAGATACCGTGATACTCGAACGTCTGGGTCAAGACAACCCTATCGTGGATATTACCCTTCAACATCTCGAGGAATACGCTTCGGAAGGTCTTCGAACTCTTTGCCTCGCAATGCGAGAAGTTCCCGAGGAAGAGTTCCAAGAATGGTGGCAGGTCTTCAATAAGGCTGCTACTACCGTCAGCGGAAACAGACAAGAGGAGCTGGACAAGGCCGCCGAACTTATCGAGAGGGACTTTTTCCTTCTCGGTGCCACCGCCATCGAGGATCGACTACAAGATGGTGTCCCTGACACTATCCACACTCTACAACAAGCAGGCATCAAAGTCTGGGTTCTGACCGGTGATCGACAAGAAACAGCCATAAATATCGGCATGAGTTGCAAGCTGATTTCAGAAGACATGACTTTGCTCATTGTAAATGAAGAGGATGCCCAGAGTACCCGCGATAATCTAGTTAAGAAGCTGGATCAGGTTAAAAGTCAAGCTAACTCTGCCGACGTCGAAACGCTAGCTTTAATCATTGATGGAAAATCGCTTACCTTTGCCCTTGAGAAGGAGTTGGAGAAGGTGTTTTTGGACCTGGCCGTTATGTGTAAGGCTGTTATTTGCTGGTATGTCATTCCTTACCTACCCACATCGCATTCTAAATATCACATGAAATTAACACCTTCTCCTTCTCTACAGCCGTGTCTCCCCACTTCAAAAAGCACTTGTCGTGAAGCTTGTTAAGCGTCATCTCAAGGCTCTATTGCTTGCCATTGGTGACGGTGCCAACGACGTTTCTATGATCCAGGCGGCGCACGTTGGTGTTGGTATCAGCGGTATGGAAGGTCTGCAAGCAGCGCGAAGCGCTGATATTGCAATTGGCCAATTCCGATACCTTCGAAAATTGCTTTTGGTTCACGGCTCCTGGAGTTACCAACGTGTTAGCAAAGTTATTCTATATTCTTTCTACAAGAATATTGTTCTTTACATGACGCAATTCTGGGTAAGTCTTCACACAGTCCGTGTTTACATACATTGCTAACAATCTACGTTAAATGTAGTATGCTTTTGAAAATTCTTTTTCGGGACAGGTTATTTACGAATCTTGGACGCTTTCATTATATAACGTTTTATTTACCGTTCTTCCTCCTTTCGCAATGGGTATATTCGACCAATTCATCTCAGCGAGACTTTTGGACCGATATCCTCAACTTTATCAGCTTGGCCAGAAAGGCACCTTTTTCAAAATGCATAGTTTCTGGTCCTGGGTTGGAAACGGCTTCTACCACTCTCTCATTGCTTACCTTATCTCTCGACAAATTTTCAAAAACGATATGCCAACACAAGATGGTACCACGTCTGGTCTTTGGGTATGGGGTACCGCTCTCTACACAGCCGTTCTAGCAACCGTCCTCGGCAAAGCAGCTCTCGTAACCAACGTCTGGACCAAATACACTGTTATTGCCATCCCTGGCTCACTCCTTGTTTGGCTTGGCTTTATCCCAGCATATGCATACGCCGCACCCAAAATTGGGTTTTCCCACGAATATATCGACCTCATCCCACACCTTTATCCACTTCCAACGCTCTGGGTTATGGCGGTTCTCATACCATGTCTTTGCCTTGTTCGTGACTTTGCTTGGAAGTATGCTAAACGCATGTACTATCCACAAAGCTATCACCACGTTCAAGAAATCCAGAAGTACAACGTACAGGATTACAGACCACGTATGGAACAGTTCCAAAAGGCTATTCGGAAAGTTAGACAGGTACAGCGCATGCGCAAACAGAGAGGTTATGCTTTCAGTCAGGCCGATGAAGGTGGCCAGATGAGAGTTGTTAACGCTTATGACACGACGAGAAGCAGAGGACGATATGGAGAAATGGCAAGTTCACGGCCGATGACTTGAGTACCTTGCTCTTGCATGTAGTATAATTTTCCCCGCTATATTTTTCTTTTTTTTTCTCACCTTTTTTCCTGTTCTTGATATGACGATTCAACTTTAAAGGAGACAGTCTTTGTACTCCCCTACCCTTTTTTGTTACCCTTCGAACTTGGATCGATTTAGCAGTTAGCTGTTATTTCGAATTCCGCTTTTTATTCCCTTGCTTCCCACCCGATTTTATTTTTAGATCGCCTTTTTCTCTTTTTGTCTACTTGCTAGGAGGGACCGGTTCTTCTGCGTGGGGGACGTTTTATGTGTTTTATTTATTCTGCATCCCTTCATTCACTATGTACAAGCTGCTACTTACTCCGTACACTTCCGCATTCAAACCCTCTTTACACATATATCTATCAATTAATCACGGATAAAATGGTTAATTCCTCAATTCTCGGGGTTTGGGTTGCGCTCTCCTCGTGCCCTTTGCCCCGGTCTTATATAGTTCGATATATCATATACGCTCGCTTCACCTTCGTTTTCTACGCTTCTAGGCCAAGTCGATGATGTTTCCATGCTTGCCGGACGAGCGGAACCCGTATTCGGAGAAGACAAACGGCTGGCCCACAAACGTTTCAGATTCTCCGAGGGCTCCAATAAACATACTTGAAACTAACGAATAATAGAGAGTTTGTGAGGGAAATAGGATGTTTCAATATAGTTGCCACCGCTCCGTATAATCATAGTCGATAGATAAACAGTCAACTTAGCATTTGCATGCTCAAAACTTGGAACTCTTTCCAAACCATGCGTGAACTTGATTGGGCCCATGTCGTCCTACACCATCTACCGGAATGGAATGCTTTTAACCGTGAGCCAAATATAAACACCCGAACGCTTTAGGTCCGTAGTGATCTGAGTGTAGATTTAATATGGCCGGACCCAGTTGAAAATGTATAGAACAGTTGGTGTAAGTAAAATCCCTGGCGGCAGATCTACGATTTATACATCAGGTCAGCTGTGTCTCAAGTGTGGAGGGGACATCAGGTTGATAGGTAACTTACGCTCAACAGTGTTGTCTTGACAATTCCTGAAGTCCCTAGCCACCTATCTTACATTCCACTTCGCTACAAAGGGGTTTGACATGCCCTTGATTTCGCTCAAGATCCGATGCAAACACCAATCCACTGGCCTTTTCGATGGCTTCCAAAGGCGTGTGGAAACTCTCCAGCGGAGTGCTATTATCTATCGCCTTATTTGGCAACACAAACGACCCCAAAGCAACCGCTTCTCCCTTGCCTTCAGCGAAAATCACTTTGAAAAAGTGCGTTGGGACCGCAACATTTGGTGGATTACCAATAATCTCATATTTCATAACCCATTTGCTGCCCTCTTGAATTGGCATATAGAGCGGTCCAGTGACGATTCGCACGGAGGAGTAAACCTTCGTTAATCCACGACAGAATTTCTCAAACTCAGCCCAATAACCTCGATTAAAGCCTTTGCCAACTTGTGGGCACATGTTAGACAACGTGAAGATCTCGTTCGTAGCTTCTTGATCCCACCTGCCATCCGACACGGGCATCATATTCCCATGGTCGTAACCTGAACGGGCATAATCCTTCAACAAAGCGCGGAACAGCTCGGGTATAGTTGTATCTTCGTGATACTGAGCGGCAGAAGGGTCTCCAGTGCTCTTTGCGAGTGATTCGGCAGTAATGTGTTCGGCAATCCAATAGGGGTTTCGACTCCGCCGGTCATAGGCGCCGATGTAGGAAGGACGGTGTATAGGATCTGAAATTACGCCGGTGAAGCCATATTTACTTAACCCAGCCGGGTCCGCGAGGCCATCGGCGCGCTTTTCGACAAATGTGCCCGCATAACCAGATATTCCAGGGACACAGGACGTAATTGCAAACAAGAGTCCAACAGATATAGGTTTCATGGTGTCAGTTTTAGCAGTAAGCTAGAAGCTACTCCGTAGATATTTTTCGATCTCAGAGCTTCGCCTTCAACTTGACACCCTGAACAATAAAGAACGCTTGACAATGAAAGAACCTGCGTCAAGTGTATCGTTCAACTGGGGGACTGCAGCTCTATAGAGGACTATAAATAATAGGGCCACGACACTCAGGCAAGATGATCTACACGAGTAACGCCAAATATTGAATTGGGCGCTCATAGTAGAATTTCACCAACTCTCCCATCGTGCCGTTATATTTGTAGATCATCACGCCGTGGACCACCTATTCCCTAGTTGGATACTCTGATATTTGAGAAAGCGTGCTCGTCGCTTATAATGCGCCCTTGGTGGTGAATAATGTCGGTAGCTTTCTCTAAAACGGCTGATGTATACTCCGGATAGGAATAATGAAAGGGGACCGTTGAATTAGAACCCCAACAAGACAAGCTGTCATTGGAGGGGCCTATTTCTAGTCGTCCCTAGCACAGTGCCACTCGAAAAATGCCTGACACCTAACGCCTAAAATTCCCAAAGCGCCATCTCGACTACTCGAGCAAACATGTCACATTCGAAGGTTATGTTTTGAAGGTAGGGAACCCAGGGCATTCGATTGTCAAACGTTGGGTTGCCGCACATGTATATAGGATAGGCCGCGCATGGACTAGAAGCACAAGCCGGAGATTTAGTTGTTTGACAGGGGGTCATCTCGTACATCTCTCCGTTGGCGGTCTCCATCCAATTCCCAATCCTTCCATAACCAACCTCTCCCTTTCCTGCCATGTTTTCCCTTCACTCTCGAGGTTAATGATCCTACCTCCACTTCCATCTCGCGACCGAATACCACTAGAGTCAAATTTCCAATTGTGTACTTTTTTGGCGTACCTTCGCAAGTCGCGTTCGAAAGTCGTATCGCCTGACCATCCAAGCACCGCGCACCCTATAGTTCGGAACGGGGATACTATAATATCAACACGCCGGTGGAGATTTGGGTTTGTCCTTCGGGGATTTTCTGCGATGGGGGCGGCTGCTGTTCCAAGCTCAGCCAAGGAGTTGGGACCCATGTCTTGTGGGTCTTGCTTCAAGTGTTTCATGTTGGACAGGCCCTCTTTGCTTGCATTTTCGTTTTCTCCTTTCCCCCTTGATGCGTGGGAACCCGACTGGTGCTCGTAGGGATGGGGTTCGGGCAACGATGACGATGATGGCGATGAGGGGATGTTTTCGAAGTTGGGATCTTGCCATACAACCAAAGCTTTGTCCAAGCTGTCGAACCTGGGTTTCCCGCTTGATTCGCCGCGGTATGGTAAGGTCTGTTGATCGCGGTTGGTATTTGTTAAATGAATGGCAAGCGTATGGGTAATCCATCCTTCATGCTCGAGGCTCGCAACAACGTCGTAGACAAGATTGGATGTGACCCTGTCGTCTCGGTGAGTAAGAATCACATCTACATCTCCGCTTAGCTTCTTTCCCCGTCGATATCCCCCGACAACAATACATTCCATCCCCTTGCCATCGAAGCCAGCCTCTGGCCTTACTCTTTTTGCATGGCTTAGTATAGTGTCGGCAATGTATTCCGTTTCATCTTTTGGGATTCCCTCCAGAAATTCATCATAATATTTCACCCCGATTTGTTGGACACGGGATAAACTATCCCAACCTTGCTCGACGATGTCGTCTAAATTTCTCCATTGTCTCTGGTAGTAAAAGTCTCTGGCAGACTTAGCTCCAACACCCCAGATATTATAGAACAAATCGATCACTCTCAGAGCGGGGTCAGAGTTGAGTGGCATGGCAGACTCCAAAGTTCCATCCTTACTGTGCTTCCATTCTGTAAACAAATTTGCGATTCGATTCTCACAACCCGGTAGAGATAGAATCTCTTCCGGAGACTTAATCTTATGCGGGTATGCTGCTAGTGAGGCGACGGAAGTGCTATATGCACGTACGCCAACTTCATCCAACGTTAATACTCGGATTTTCTTAATCATCTGTAGCTGGTTTATAAAGTCCTCGTTTGGCGGATGCAGCGGGGTGGAGCGGCAGCAAGAATATATAACGTTATCGCGCACCCACTCTGGAGGATCTGGGATGGATAATTCTTCCTCAAAGTCAGAAGTAGACGCACGGTATAATTTTGGCCTTCGCCCTTGAACAGAAGGGCTGCTTGGTGTAGCCCTCATTCGACGTGGAGATGACGGTATAAATTGTGGTGTCGGCGAAGATGCTGCATCCTCTTTTGCTCTCTCCAATATGCTCCTAGCTGGACTTTGCTTAGCAGAAACATTTTGACCAGGAGAACTAATCGAGGAGGAAAGATCAGACGATGGTTTTGGTATTCTGCGACCTCGATAGACAATAAACGGGTCCAACGGTAGAGATTGTCTTGCTCTCAGCGACTGGTGTATCCAGTTTAATTCGACCACTATGATATCCTTATCATCGTCTTCAAGTCGGCGCCGTTTGAGGGGTGGTTCTGGCACTTCAGTCGGGAGTAGCACGTCTTCTGTCCATAGTCCTTTGGAGCGAAGCTCCAGCGCTGCGCGTTTCTTATGCGATACCTTGCCAATTGCCAATCGTGCTTCAGTGATATCGTAGGTCAATGGCGCACCGCATCTAGAGAGAAACCCTTCGATGAGATGGAGCTCTTCCAGTGATATATGCGTTGGAAGAACAAAAATAGAGGGGCATGACTTGAGATCAATTGTCTCCTCCTCGGTTGCTAGTGAGCTTGAGATGTCAAGGTCTTGCATCATCACCAAAGATCGCTATCGGCTTCCATACCGCCGAAGCTGTCAATCGCGAAGAAAGGTTTAAAAAGTCAATAATTCAACGGCAGGCAATATAACTCGAATTACATGGCAACGTCTTCACTCATATATACAGAACGGATTCAATAGAAAGCACGGGGTTCATTGACTTGGAGAAAAATATGGACATCACACAGAACTGGGAGAGAGGAAAGATTCCATGAATCCGGTTGAATGCTGTGTAATAGATCCGGCCCGAATCAACAACATGTATGGAAAATAATGAAAGCTGCTGGCGGCTGATAGTAGAAAGCCGTTAGACCGAATACAGCGTGACGATTATATAAACTCAGCAATAAAGACAAGATTGTGCAGCATGCCTCTCCAGATTTCAGTGATAGCTGCTCATGGTCTCCCTGCAGGAGTTATAAACCCGGAATGCGATGTTGAAGGAAGAAAACCGACTTGAATCTATCAAGATAGACCCAAGTTGCATCATCGAAGTCGTGAATTTGATAGTCACGTGATACATATGCCCGATGCAACGGATTAACATTAATCCTACAGTACCACGTGATATGCTTCTTTATTTCATCTTCAGCTTCAAATTTGATGTCGACGTCGACAAGCCAGCGTCCAGTGGACCAATGACCAATGGACCAGATGCGAGGCCTACTGTCAGCAAGAGATAACCAGCCTTTGATATTTATCCCAATCTTTACTAAATTACTATGACAATTTGTGGTTCGCGTTCGTGAGTTCGCTTGGAGCTTAACGGTCGCTTCGATCCGTGTTCTGAGAAAGCATGCGGCGGGCCACCGGAGTGTCAGGACAACGGTAACCTCCCCTTTACCCGGCCCCCGCTCCAAGCTACATAAATAGCACGATGCATAAATGCGATCAGATCAGGGCCAAGGCAACCTGGGCAGAGGGTCCTATCACCCCTTTACACGTCCACACATGCAGCACTCCTGACTGGAAGAATTAGACCAATGTTTGGATTCCTGTCGCCTCAACGGATGGCCTAAACCAGAAAGTCGAAATCTATATCACATGGCGGTTTGATTTTAGACCCAACCGCCTCAGCAGGTATGAATGGGTAGCCTACTTGACACCTAGGATAGAATGCCGATCAGCGCAGGGGAGGGTATAAGAGGTCTCGGCCCAGATCGAACCTCAACCCTAACGGCTTCCAACTCGGCCAACTTTGGCGATTTTCGCTATACAGAGGAGTTATGATAAGAGTAAAGAATCCCTCTTCGGCAAGAACTTCTCCAGGACAGAAAACAGGACCTGAGGTATAGCGATATGCGTTTATGCTAATTAACCCCAGATATCGCTTCGTTGGCGAGCTGTGAACAATTTCGCGTATAGACACGGGACGGAGGGCAAAAATTTGGGTTTCCATTCCATATGCCTGGATTCGCTTCTACGGAGCGCCAAACAAGACCTTTCTCCGGATCTCTGTCTTGGAGGCAAGAGTGTGGAGTATTCCGAAAGCCAAGCTATGTTTGTACAGAAATATATGGTCAGCCCGGTGACCTATGACATTCCAATTGCCGGTGAAATGCATTGTAAAAGTTGCATATCTACAAGGGGGCATCCACGGAAGATTTTTGTCCAGGCCAGGTACAGAGGCAAAGAAGTCGGTGAATTAGAGGCAGGGAACCAACGCGCTTGTGAAAGGCGTCATTTGCTGGGCAGGGTTCTTCGTTTTCTGAGCCACGGGCTATTTCCTCGTGCTCTCGATGGGGTGTTGGATCGCAAAAATTGCAGGAGAAGGTTGGCTCCATGCCAATTTCTAATGGAGAATTTTCCTTAGGTCGTCTTAATCATCTTGCTAAGGACCTTGACTTTAGGTGTTTCAGGGTAAATCCCCCTCAAAGGCTTGGCTTAGCGGAGCTCCGGGCCACCAATTTGCAAGGCAGACCATAACAAGCAGTATGTTCTCGTTGTCATCCCACGGCTTCCGGGTTGAGCTAACGTAGAACGGAGCTGCAATAACAAACGCACTATAACGTCAGGTTATAGCTTTTGATCGCCGGATCATGCCTTGGGTGGCTATCCTTATACGTCTGACTCAGCCGTCTTCCGCTAGCTTAAAGTCGCTTTAGCGCAGGGCGAAATGGATACTTGTGGCTAGTGTTTTGCCGCTGGAAGCTCGCCAACGTTTGTCGTGCTACTGGCTATTTTCGACGTTCCACCCTGACTTGGACGCAATGCACGGGGCCCGGGAGTCCTGCCCATTTCCAGCTCTCCCGTACCATCAAATGGCTCCAGGGTCTTTTGGTGTCTATGCACGAAGTCCTCCTGCAGTCCTTTCTCGCGATTCAATACACACGAATTGCATGTGTAGACTTGGCATTGCACCATCGCATCTGCATGCATCGCAGTGGCTAGTTAATGCTGGGACGATTTGCTTGTTTTCCTGAAACCCAGCCATGATCCATCCTCTGTTTTCGAGGAGGCAGTTTATGCAGGACATCCACCTCACGCGCCCTGTCTGACCACCCACCCCACTTCCTGGTACCTTTCTAGAACCTAGCACCGGAAAGATTCTTGGACGCCGTCGTGTTCCTGGACGTTGCTGGCATGCATCCCCTCCCACGGCTTCCTGGCCGTTTATCTTTGATCAGCCCGTGGCGCATAGGGCTAGTAAACCCCCTTGCAAGATAATCACCGGAGCTAAAATCCATCAATTATATCGCGCTGTTTTGCGGGTGGCCATCCTGGCCAGAGCTTCCCCTTGCAGGTGCAAGGATCAAGCAGGGTGCATTCCCTACCAACCAACGAAATTATGTCTTGCGGAATATCCAGGATTGATATCACCCCTTGGCCAAATATGGAGCTGGACGGAGTTGCGTTTCAAGCTTCGGTGCCGCCCTGAAGGTGCATTTGTGCATGCGGACAACGCCTCAACGGGAGAAGACTACAGTAGAATTCAAGTCCTTCATCTTGAAAGGCTCTGTGTCAAATCGACTGTAATTTGGTGCTTAATATTGTACGGAGTATTCCGGACCTAGGAGGTTTCAATTAAAAGCCACAACTCACGATTGTCAGTCAAAATCGGTGTTGGTGGTCGGTTATGATTCCGGTACCCCTAGATTCATGCTGAAAATATACCCATGGCAGCGCTTCTGAAGGTAAACGGCCTTCCCGGTTTACTGCTATCCGTCTATATCTGCAAGCCGATATAGAAAGTATTGGCGTGCAACATCGCCTCGGTGGCCTGCCCTTTAGGCTGGGACCTGTGAGCTCCATCTTCATTCATTACTTTCCCTTAACGTGCTTAACGCTTCGGAGTCCTCTTGGCGGCGTTTATCACCCTGCACTCCGTACTCATGAACCCTGAGGTGCTCCTCCACTTGCTCTCTATCCTGGCCACACCCGATCCACATAACCTTCACGAGCATGACTTTCCTCGCGAAGGTCGCTCTCGCCATGCTGTCTATTATGGATGTGGATTCCTACCCATATTACAGGGATTATTTTCCGAATAGGTCTGAACGCGAAGGTTTTATTTGCTCAGACAGGCTTGGGACCCGCCCTTATGGCCGGTGGCATGGCATCACTTCGGCTCTCTAAAAGACTGGACAGAGGGGAGGGAAATATCTATATAAACAGCCAAACCTCCTCCTCATCGACCTGATTGACAACCAAGGTTCCAACTATCTACACTCTTTACACCAGCTTCCTGGTCCACATTCTTTTTTACCTTTCTTTCTTACTTACATTCTTTCACTTTTCACTTTCACCATGGGTGTCTTCAGATTCATTTCCATCTCCCTCGCGGCTGTGTCCGCCGCCAATGCTGCGCAAATTCTCTCCATGTCCCATGCGCAGACCGTCCCCAACTCCTACATCGTTGTGATGAAGGATGACACCTCTGATGATGACTTCGTTCACCATCAGAGCTGGCTCCAGTCCACTCACACCCACAACGTTACCCGCCGTGCTACCGTCCAGAACGCTGGTATGAGACACAAGTACACCTTTAACAAGATGAAGGGATACAGTGGTGTCTTCGACGAGGACACCATCAACGACATTGCCAAGGACCCCAAGGTATGTTGCGGGAAGGGTGAACTACTTGGTCACGGAAGCTGACTTCAAATTCCAGGTCATGTTCGTCGAGAAGGACAGCATCGTCTCCGTCCACGGCCAGCCAGTCGAGCAAAAGAACGTCGAATCTTGGGGTCTTGCCCGTATCTCCCACGGACAGCCCGGAGCCAACAGCTACGTTTACGATAGCTCCGCTGGTGAGGGTATGACTGTTTACAGCGTCGACACTGGTGTCGACGTCAACCACGAAGATTTCGAGGGCCGCGCCATCTGGGGTTCCAACCAGGTTAACGATGGTGACAACCGTGATGGAAGTGGCCACGGCACCCACACCTCTGGTACCATGGTCGGCAAGAAGTTCGGTATTGCTAAGAAGGCTAAGCTCGTCGCCGTCAAGGTTTTGGGCAACGACGGAAGCGGCCCTACCAGTGGTATCGTTGCTGGTATCAACTGGAGTGTTGAGCACGCCCGCAAGAACGGCGGTCTCGACAAGGCTGTCATGAACATGTCTCTCGGTGGAAGCTCTAGCTCTGCCCTCAACCGTGCTGCCGCACAGGCTGTCCAGGATGGTATGTTCCTTGCTGTCGCTGCCGGAAACGACAACACCGATGCCAACGGTAGCTCCCCTGCCTCTGAGCCAACCGTCTGCACCGTCGGTTCCTCCGCCGAGGATGACTCCCGCTCCTCTTTCTCCAACTGGGGACCTGATAGTGAGTGCCTTCTCGACTCTATATACGTACCATTACTTAATACTAACCCGACCTAGTTGATATCTTCGCCCCCGGCTCCAACATTATCTCCGCCAAGCCAGGTGGTGGTTCTCAGTCTATGTCCGGAACTTCCATGGCTGCTCCCCACGTCGCTGGTCTCGCTGCTTACATCATGGCTCTTGAGGGTATCTCCGGTGGTGCCGTCTGCGACCGTCTAAAGGAACTCGGCAAGGCTGTCGTTTCCGACCCCGGCCCAGGCACCCAGACCAACACTCTCATCTTCAACAACGCTGGCAAGCCCGGTCCTGGCGGGGATGGCAAGAAGACCCCATCTCCCAAGCAGCCAACCCCAAAGAAGCCCACCCCACAGCAGCCTGCCCCAGAGGAGCCATCTGCTCCTATTCCTCAGCCACCATCTCCTCAACACCCACACACCCCATACCCCGGTGACGACTTCGACTTCGATGGATTCTGGAAGAAGTACTTCGGCGGTGACCACTGGCGCAAGACCTTCAGCAACTTCTGGAACTAGAAGTTTGCCCCCAAAATCTTGATGTTCAGCATACTTTGAAGCAGCGCTTCGTGAACTTTCGCTATTCGTTTCTTTACTCAATAACTTAATTGTAACTATTACCCTGTATTTAGTTAGACCTTCAATATATATGTGTGCAAAATAATCTTGTTTGATACAACGCGTGGTTGTGCATCCGATGATCATCTTTCGATTGTAATATTATATAACGTTGCACAGCAGCCGATCCATCGACACATGGCTGTGCTGCCAGTGATTATCGTGTTTCGATCAATTCCCTCGCCATGCATTATGGGTGAGGGAAACCCCTGCGGGATCTAGCTAGATCGCACTTATCATCTTCCCATCTCCTTACAGTCGTGCTCTATGACAGCAGCCTGTTACTTGTACCTGTGTTTGATCGTCGTGCTTATCACTGTGGTTAGTAAATCTCTAGTATCGATGCTCGATCGATCGATGTTACTTGTAACGTGATATTCAAACGATGTTTGTGTCAACGGCGTCCCCTGTTTTAGAAAATTTTAAAGGCCGTTCACCCGCCTCAAAAGCAGATGGACCTCCCACTTTTGGTCCATTGTCCGGACAATCAATCCCTCTCTCCTCGTCAGCCTGGACCTGGTCACCACAGGTATCGTTTGGAAGGCCGGTCTGCCTCTTCCCTGCCCATCGTCGCCACCGTGGATAAATCAAGACGCTTATCCCACCAAATACAATGAATAATCCACAGATAGCACCGCCGATGACGTCGTAATAGTCTCCAGCTACTTGGACACCGTCCCAAAACCTTCTGTGCGGCTTAAGGACGTTCAATAGGAGGGTTAATAGCTGGATTATTCCAATCACAATGGCGACGACGACGGTTAGACAAGTGAGAACTATCGAATAGTATAGGAAGGCAACCGGGTCTCGTGGGTTGCGGGATATGGGCTCTTCAGCTGGGGAAGATCGTGATTGAGGGGCACGCTCTAGGAAAGGTGTACGGGAGGTTGATGTCGATGGTGATTGTGGCAACTGCGAGCCCAGGAAGTGTGTTGCTGGTTGAACATATAGAGAGAGCATGAGAGCACCATCGATGGTGTCAACGAGGCACATACCGGCTGTTGAACGATTCTTGTTAGCACCTAGGCGGACTAACGTGCATGGAGCAGTATAAAACTTACATGTGAACAAAATAGGGAGTATCATGATTAACCAGATGCTCGTCCCTTTCGAAGCCTGTATGGAAGATATTCCCAGAAGTGCAACCTCTGAAGACGTGTCAAATCCTAGTCCGAATAACACACCAAGCGGATACATCTTCCACGGTCTAAGTTTCGTTAATAAGTGCCCTATATCAAGTTGATCTCCTATGAAAGAAGGAACCTACCGGTCGATTATTTTGAACATCCCTTTAAGAATAGAGAACAAAATTCCTCCTCCCTGGATCTTCCACATCTCCTCGCCTCCATCTTTATCATTTAGGACTTTCCTCATCTGCTGAATAAGTTTATATAGGATATATCCGTTCATGATTCCCAGGAGAATAAGGAATGCAGAGCTAACGGAACTCCCAATAATACCCCCTATTGAGCCATACTTGTCGAACTTATCCGATACGGCTGCTGCAGTAGCTGCCACCACGATTGACGTGACAATGACGATACTAGGGATGTTAGTTGAAATCCTCTGGTAGGCGATAAATTTAGGGACGCATACGTTGAGTGGCCCAGCGAGAAAAAAGTCCCTACTGTCACTGCTTTCTGGCCTGTGGCGAGGAGACGCCGTGTCATCAGATCGATTGCCTAAGGGAACTGTTAACATATGAATAGACAAAAACGTATTATAAGCGGTGTGTTGCTTACGGATATATGATCTGCGTCAAGAGCATGTCTAAGGCCGAGAGTATATGAAAGAGCAGCGGTCGATGCAAGGAATCTGTGTATACCGGACTTATCAGTTCTATTTACTAATATATTCCAGAAATGTATCAATAGAATTCTTACGGATGATATGCCTAGTCATCAGTTAGCACTTCTCATTAATACACTTACTGAATCAATCAAGCATAACTCACCAGAACAATCCCAACCGCAATCCAAACCAATATATTGACTAACGTAACAAACAATATAATGGCTAGGGCTGGTAGCGGAATCTTTCTCAGCCCCGGTATGCGGCGGTGCGACCTTTCGGCCTTCTCTATGATGGACCATCTGGCAGCTTTCACTTCCCCCTGAGCGGTCAATGATTGTTCTTCAACCAAGACAATGCTCGGCGTAGTCGTTGATGCAGTATTCGCCATTTGATATCGATCTGAAACCCGTACTATCCCGAATGTGCTGTTCTATGCCCTAGCCCATCTGCGTGAGTGTTGCGTTTTATACCGTGAAATAGTGCCCCTCCCCAAGGAATAGCCGGATCGGAAGAAGAGTCAGGTGTATATCTTAGTTCTTCCTTTCTTATTCCTTTTTATCGGAAGTAGGGAATTTCGGGATAGCTACGAGCGGGCAGTGTGCATGTATGTGTATATCGTGTATGCATTGCAAAACGCAGTTCCTCACATGAGGCGCAACTCGAGAGATAAAACAACAGAAACCAGCTCGGCAATCACTGGCCGACCACTGCCATGATTGACTACCAGTGTGGAGAATGATGCAGGGCAGGGGAATATGAAGACAGAAAAAAGAGGGGCAAAAAACGAGTTTCCCCGAAGTTCCGCACATCAGAAGATTCAATGCCTGGTTCGTTGGCGGACTGGGATGGAAATAACCCCATTGGCAGGGAGAAAAGGCTCTTCCTCTTCGTCCCTTGGATATTATATAGAAGAGAGAAGCTGTAATGACAATGTTTGTAGCGATGTGATGATAAAAGTGAGATATAAGCGAGTGGAGTAGAAAAGCTTGGGTTCACTCCTTATCTGATCTACTTTGACCTACTTTGACATTACGGAGTATATCAGACAGAGAAGAGAAGAAGAGTTGATCAGATATAGACAATCATAAAGGAGCATGTTTTCTACTGGGATATATACCTGTTACCCACCAGCCAATTCATCCCCTCATCCCTCATTTAATGCGTCCAGTCTGTACTCGGAAGTGCCTAACCCAACGCCAGAGTATAAGATAAAACATGAAGAAAACAGCAGGAGATAGAAGGTGGGAAGACGCCTTTTTATCAAGGGAGAAGGGGTAGGAGATAACCAACATATATGGGCAGATGGTAAAAGTTTATACATCAATAGAACAATCATATATAGAGAGAAGGGAATTCAAAGTATAGGTAGAATGAAGTTACTCGGAACCATCGTCGTGCTCGCCAGACCTCTTGTCGAGTGTAAAATCCGCCTGAAGATCCATATCGGGCCCCTGTGCGCGGAACAGGTTCGACCCATCCTCGTCGTCCTCATCCAGAGCCTCCCCGTCCTGCATTCCATCTACATCATCTTTGAGGATATGCGGACTCATCAAAAACCTCCCCATGGTAAGCGTAGCCTGGAAAATCTCCTTGCCAGTCGGCACGATATGTTCTTTCGGCAGTAAGAACCCATAGCTACCTCGATCCCGCAGCTTGATCTGGTATGAGTACCGTACGTCGAGATCATGATAGAACCAGTCCAGCGCGCTTCCTGCCGTACTCTCAAGAGTATATGAAGCGACTGGCTCGTCGTTATCTTTATCTTTAGCGCCAGACGCAGCCACGATGCCTCTGCATGCAGCCTTGACGTCATAATTTTCTCGCGACGATCGGCGAATCGCTTTTGCTAGGCCTGCACCTAGCTCTTCTAGATTTTCTAGATTGGCGGGTAAATGCGCGCATGAGTGGGCGTACGGATACAGGATCTGCTGCGAGTAAGAATGTAGATCTACAAACGCAACAAAGTGGGCGTTATTCTCGGATACTTCGGAGCGAGCCCAGGCGGCGATCTGGCTTGCCTCGATCGCCTCGAAGGCCTCGTCGCCTGCATAGCTTTCTGAACAAGGGTTGCTACGCGTCGAGTTGCCGTCCCATTCGAACCCCCAGGAGCGATCGAGGTCGATTCCGGGACAGAAGGAGAGGGAGGTCTGCTGACGGTTTTTGCGCCATAGACGGTCCGTGGAGAAGGTATATGCGTATCCGTCGGGATTGATGGTTGGGATGAAGACGTAGTCGAACTGTTCAAGCAGTTTGGTGATGGATCGGGACTTGCCGTAGCCAGTTATGAACGAGTAGGCGATATATGAGACTGTGGAGACACTGATCCATTCACGGGCGTGGGCACCGCCAGAAATAACGATTGTTCTACGCCTGGGAGGTTGTTGGGCGTTGTTTGTCGGGTGTACGCCGACACGGAGAGCAGGGATATCGCGACCTTCGGCGGTCGTGCCCACGCTGATCAAGGTGGCATGGGATGAAAACATGGACACGAGCAGGCGCATCCAGGGAATCAGCACGGAAAGCGGTTGGTAGTCCTGGAAGAAGACATTCTTCGTCCCTTGGGAGTTCGATTTTGAGGTGCTGGCGGACGGAGTGAAGCGACGGGCTCCTGCTCCCTGTTGTGATGGTGATGACGGGTTGGTGTTTGGATATGATTCGTATATCGTCTGCGCGAGGTCGCGAATCAACGGAGTGTGAGATGTCCGTAGAGAGGCAGGGAGCAGCCCGAGAAGAGATGGAACCTGTAGCCGTCAGCATCAACCTATTTTTATATCAAACATAGCAGTGAAAGAAATAAAAAAAGGACATACCACATCCCTAGACAGGCGGATGTCCACCCATTCATCATGCGTGCCCCAAACATCAAGAAACAAGATATTCGACGCCTCAATCAACGCCTTCACCTCATCCTGTGTCTTTATCGTAAATCTAAGCACCACGTCCTCGCCGTATCTCGCCTGCAGCGTCGCCGGCGCCTTCGAGGTAGCCTGAGACTGCTTCCGTGTATCTATCTCACAGTCCTTGCCACGTCGCGGGGCGCCCCAAACAGACTCGACGAGCGAATCCCGCAGTCTCGTCCAGGCAGAGGGCGCCCTCAACGAGCCCTTCTGGACATCTAGTATCGGATCTGTGTTGGCAGTGGCACTGCGGCTGGTTGCGTGGAATGTATATGCCTGGTCATCGTGCTGGGGGATAGCCGAGACCAGCGGGAGAGAGGATGCTAGCGATAGGAGCAGGCCGATACGCATGGAGAGGTGCATCTTGCCATCGACAATCCGGTCAGTCGGTCAATTGATGGCGTCTATCGTGTGTCAAACGGTTATTTCATCGTGGGATGTGGGAGAGCTGGCCGAGTCGACCATTATGAAGTCATGGATGGGAGAGAACTGGGCAAAGATACGAAGATGTGGCCGGCGCCACACATCAGCCACAGTCATCTTATACCTTCATCGTTTAGACAGTTCTTTGCTTCATGACTGCTATGTACGTTACTACGATAGTACGTTTCTTAAGAACAGCATATATACTACAGGATCATCATGGCCACCTCCAAGGATACTAAATATATGCTCCTCGCAGGAGATATGTTTTACAAGCCATCAAAGACCAGAGAATACCAAGATATACCGACGGAGACGTCCACCAAAGGCGTTAACAATATCCTTTACAACTTCTAGCATCAAGTCTTATTTATCTTTAACCATATCTATATTCGTCTTTTCTCATTAATTTGCTAACATACTCAGAATGAAAGGGGATGAAATTCAACCGCCTGTTATGAGATTCCTTTATGCAATGTTCCGCAAGCACTGTAAATACTGATACATCTTTCTATAAAGAGTCTCGCTTTTCTTCCTTCATCCCATCCTTTCTTTTCTCTTCTCTTCTTTGCCGACCATACCCAAGTGTTCCTACACGTCGACAGTATTTTAACTCTTCCTTCGCTACACCACTCTGAGGAGGCATCTGTTGCCGTTTCTCATCGTCATGGATAAGCCATTTGGCAAGTAAGTTTACTCTCCTCATTCTGGAAAACTGCTCTCTAATTCTAAAGTAGGCTTATCCGTTCCAACTTATTTACCTTTCACATTGGACCCGAAAAGGTTCCTTTTGTGGTTAATTCAGAGGCCATAGCGAAGCAATCACCCGCCTTGAATGCGCTCATAAATAGAAATATGATTGAGGCTCACTCCAAAATCGTTGATTGGCCAGATGTTGACGAAGATACATTTGTTCGGTTCTGCGAGTTCTGCTACCGGGACGACTATTCTCCTCCCAGCTGTGCATGGGATATCAGCACTGATGAGAAAGAAGAGCCGCCACAGGAAGCGAGGGCTACATCCAACGAAGAAGCGCCTTTATCTATTTATAAATATTTTGACGAGCCGGATGCAGAACTATCTCCCAGCCCATTTCCGAGGAAGGGAAAAAATGGAAAGAAGGCCCCATCCGAGCCCCAAGACCTCCTTAGTGATAGCGATTATTCTCCTCCGGAGCACTTGACGCACTCTACTCAACAGTTTAAACCCTTCTCCAACGTCTGCGAAGACCAAGACTTCACTCCCGTTCTCCTCGGACACGCCCAACTGTATGTGATAGCCGACAAATACTGCATCCAGCCCCTCAAGGACCTCGTGCTATACAAGCTCTATACGACTTTGAAAGGGTTTACCATCTTTCCCAGGCGGGTTGGAGATATCATCGCGCTGATCAGATTTACGTATGATGACGGCAACACATGCGGGCAGATGAAAGAGACCGACCCTTTGAGAAAGCTGGTAACGCGGTATGTGGTAACTAAGATGGAAATTCTTGCTATGGAGGCAGCCTTTCTGGAACTCTTGCAAGATGGGGGCGACTTCGTTACTGCTTTCTGGAAGGTCGTATGGGAAAGGCGAACTGAACTGCTAAAAGTGCAGGAGACATCAGCGTTTTCTAGTTGTTGGGATTAGTAGAAAATGTTGAAATAGGACATGCAACTCTAGATACGAGAGAACAACAATAGAAGACGTATTCAACACGCCAGTCTCTTGCGATACTAATATCACCATCATTTTAGTAGAAGGAGAGGGAGTTGTGCAGTTGTTAGAAAGTCCAGATATCAATCTCGATGCTGGCCTCGCTTTCCTTCTCTCCTTGATATCCCCCTTCCCCCTTTCCTCTCCCACATTCTCTCTTCCCTCGTTTCTTTTCTCTATCTTGATAAACAATTTCTCTATCTTGATAAACAATCCAGTCTAGAAGATCGTCTCAAGTCCCTGGCATCTTAACCATAGATCAAGAGTTCCTCTGCCACAGCTCATCATCACTTCACGCCATCATGGATGGTCACTTTGCCCAGTAAGCCATTCTAGCAGCTCATTCTAGCAACTTGAATGCTAATAAAAAGTAGAGTGATCAACTCCAACATGTTTACTTTCCTTGTTGGCTCCAAACAAACCTCCTTTACAGTGTATTCTGAGGCTATAGCAAGCCAGTCTTCCCCTCTGCATGCTCTCATCAACAGCAATATGGCAGAAACACACTCCAGAACTGTCTCGTGGCCAGACGTCGATGAAGATACGTTTGTCCGGTTCTGTGAATTCTGCTACAAGGACAATTACTCCAACCCTTCCTGGCAGGTAGACTCCAGCGTGACTCCTCTCGTGGAAGTACAGGAGAGTGTCGAGGTAGCAGATCTGATAACTAGGATGGAGGAGGATCTTTATCGAGGCTGGGGACGCCGCGAGCCGTATCATCCAAAGCGGGCGGTTGGACGCAACGATATCAAGAACTTCTGGGGACCTTTCCCGACCTGCTCTACATCCTCCATCAGACACGCCGTCACCTCCAACACCTCAGCTGGACAAGACTTCACTCCTGTCTTCCTTGCCCATGCCAAGTTGTATGTTTTGGCAGATAGATACAGAGTCGACAACCTCAGACTCCTGGTTTTAGGGAAGCTCCACGGAACTCTGCAAGAGTTTCTTCCTTACAAAGAACGGATCGGGGATATAGTCGAGCTGGTCAAGTTCGCGTACTCTGATGAGAATACTCTTGGGAATGGCGCCGGCAACACTGACGACCTGAGAAAGCTCGTGGCTCGCTATGTCGCATTCCAGGTGGACAGTATGCGTTCGAGTGAAGAGTTTATGGAACTCCTGCAGAAGAATTGCGATCTCATCCACGATTTCCTGGCGGAGATCGGAACACAAACGCTTGAGCTGGCCGAGAGGGTAGCAAGATGGGACCCGAAGATGTTTTGACTACCGTCTTGACGATATGGCAGAGGATGATCCTACATCCATACGAAGCGCTAGAAACACGATACATGGAATGTGCATCTAGAACTCCCACGACAAGGAGAAACTGCATAAAGGAGACGCACACCAAGAATATCCCTAGCCAATGGCTCTCACCAGCCGTATACGCAGCCTATAAAGAACCCTGTATAATGTATGCATCGGCCCTCAGTAATCATACTATTAATAGGCAGCGTCCAACCCGCCCTCACGGTAGTATCTCTTAAGTAAGAGGCCTATGTACCCTGTATCTCCCCGTGTATCTTCCTGCGTATCTTCCTGTGTATCTTCCCTGTGTATCTGCTTGGTCGTTGTTGTATGTTGTAAGTTATGTTGTGGTAGTGTTGTAAGTACCAGTACTTCGTCATAGTCAGGGGTCAAGGCGACAACAAAGTACCGGTACCTCGTTGACCGGGATATGGTCAACTTCTCCTCCTCCGACCTCAGCTTCAACTTCCACCGTCTTCCCTGTCCGACTCGCTCGTCCTCCAGCCCTCGACATCAGGACATCCAGACAGACATCCAGACACCCAGCTGCTCAACGGTGCCGGCTGTCAGCTCGCTTGCTCCCCTTGCGCGGTAAATAGCCTTCCAAGGCTGACGCACTAGCCTCATCTCACGTCTCTTCGTCGTCGCTCTTCACCACGCTTCACAGCCAGCGACCTCCTTTAAACCGCCCCGTCCGCGTCCGCTTGATACTTATCACATCTACTCTATCACGCTGCACAGTACGACCTTGTCTCCCACTGGCCAGACAGGCATCTCTCTCCGTCCCGACCATGACATGACATGACCAGCGGGCGATGTGGAGGAAATCCAACACCACCACCACGACCACCACCGCAACCACGACGGCGACGGCGACCACCATCACGATGCCGTGGAATCTTCGGAGCTCGTCCAAGGACTCTGCAAGGAAGCACATCTCCCCCGCGCACTCGGAGGTGGAGTTGCCGCCTCGCCGGAGCGAGCACTCGATTCGATCGCGCCCTCGCTCCCCGCTGCCCCGGCTATCAGAGACCCAGGGAGTGGCTGGGGACCGCTCCTCGTTCGCGCACGATGTCAATGGCAGCAGGCTCGATGTTGTCCGGGAGAACGACGCCAGGGATCCGGCCGTGACTCGTTTGGCGACCAAGAGGAACCGGTTCAGTCTGATGAAATTCCGCCATGCCTCCGATCCGCAATTGTCGTCGAGCTACCAGAACTCGGAACCCCCGCCGGTGCCCAAGCTGCTTCCTCGTATGTCGTTCCAATTCATTGCTTTATGCCGGCATAGAGACGTGCTGACCGTTCTAGCTCCTACAATCATCACCACTTCGCCAACGAACAACAATCTGGACCTGCCGGGAAAGGGTCAGGGTCAGAGTCAGGACCACGGCCACGGCCAGGACCAATCACGGTTTTCTCAATCGTCGCATAACTTGGTCTCCGAAGGGGACGTGGTATCTCGCAGCTCGAGTCCGGGGCTTACGGGCAGGCCCAGGAAGGATAGGAGTACAAATCCGACGCCACCAGCTACATCGAATGCAAAATCTTCCCATATCTGCTTCGAAGAGACCGGAAGACTCTCAACCACTTCTCTCCGCAGCGGACATCGGAACCACGCACACGCGGACTCGCAGTCGGCTCTATCTAATGCTCGGCTATCTGAATCTTCTCGCTCTGACGCCAGTTCCGGTGATCGGTCGGTGTATCAGTCCCAGTCCTCGAAGAAGGAATCTACTTCTGCTGCCTCCTCGATATTCCGGTTCCCTCGTCTGAAAAAGAGCCGAGCGTCCCTCTTCCCGGTGCCTGTTAAAATACCGCCTCCAGATGGTCAGTCCTTCCACCGCCAGACTCAATCGAGCAAATCTGCAGACCTACATAGCGACTCTACTCCTCTCCCGTCACCTTCCCAGTCGTCGTCCGGTCGCCCTCCGTCAACTGCTGGCTCCCCTAGACCTCCGCTTTTCCGCAAAGACTCAGGGACATCAGGACGCTCCAAGACATCCATCTCTCCGGCCGCCACAGACCGTGCAAAACGCCGTGCTAGGTCGTCAACCCTGGGCTCATTGCATAACATCCATGATGATACAGATACCTGTCTAACCCCCGACATCACGCCGCCAGCAGTCAATGCTCCTAGGAAATCCTTTAGCGACCTCTTCAGCATCCACACCCGTCTAAAACAGAATCTGAACGACCTGCCTACCACTCCTCCGTCAGGAACCCCGACTACCACTCCAGGGACCGGCACAGGACACATGACGCCTACAACTTCCAAATCCAACTCCTTCTCCCTCGCCCGCGAACTCTCGTCCTACCCAGCACGCTCTTCCACTGATACCTCTGCAACCTACCTCTCTCGCCTCGAATCCAGTGTCCACCGTGGCGCAATTGCAACCATTCTCTCCCAATCTAGCGAGGAATTCTACTCTGTTGCTCTGCGCAAATACATGCGGGGGTTCTCCTTCTTTGGGGACCCATTGGACATGGCTATCCGCAAACTGCTCATGGAAGCTGAATTGCCCCGAGAGACTCAACAGATAGATCGCATGATCCAATCGTTCGCCAATCGTTACCACGAATGTAATCCAGGAATCTTCGCATCTACCGAGCAAGCATATTTCATTTCCTTCTCGCTACTGATCCTGCACACGGACGTGTTCAACAAGAACAATAAACGCAAGATGCAGCGTGCAGACTATGTGAAGAATACTCGCGGTGAAGGCGTAGCGGATGAGATCCTCGAATGCTTCTACGATAACATCTGCTACACCCCCTTTATCCACGTCGAGGACGAACTCAATCTCAACTCACGCCTCAGCTCCCCCAAGGCACGAAGCAACCTCATGACAAAGATGGCTAGCACCGACCACCTGATGAAATCATCCAAGGACCCAATAGATCCGTATGCACTCATCCTCGAGGGGAAAGTCGCTTCCCTCCGACCAAATCTCAAGAATGTCATGGAACTAGAAGACGTCTACTCCTCCACCCCGACAACAATCACCCATCTACCGGCTTGTCCTTCCATAGCACAGCTGAACCACACCTTCGACAACCCATGCATACTACAGATTGTCTCTGCCCGTTCCCGCCCAGATGCATTTATGACTGAATCGTCAATCGCTAACCCAGCAGAATCCCAACCCGGTCTAGTCGATATCCGTGTCGTCAAGGTTGGTCTCCTCTGGCGCAAAGATGCGAAAAAGAAAAAGGCGCTATCTCCCTGGCAGGAATGGGGTGCTGTCCTTACTGGTTCCCAGCTGTACCTGTTCCGTGACGTGCAATGGGTTAAATCCCTTATTGCACAGTATGACGCAAAACACAAAAAAGACAGCCATCCTCCAGCGGTGACATTCACCCCTCCAATTGCGGACTTCAAGCCAGACACAATCATGTCTACTGCAGACGCCGTGGCGCTGCTCGACTCAAACTACAAGAAACACAAACATGCCTTCTTGCTCGTACGTCATGGTGGATTTGAAGAGGTGTTCCTCGCAAATTCCGATGCTGAGATGGCTGACTGGATGAACCTGGTAAATCATGCGGCTACATACCGTACCAGCGGCATTCGGATGAGAGGCTCGGAGAAAGAAAAACTTGTCAAAGCAGACCCGCAGCATACACATGAAGCGCATGCCGCGCGCCGCACGCAGGTGGCAGCACGCATCAAAGAGGCGAATGAGAAATTATTCGTTTCACAGCGTCAGGTCGATATGCTGCTCCGTAATGCGAGACACCTTCAACATCTTACACCCATTCATCCACGCACTAGGGGGCAGGTTATTCTTTCAGCAGGCCGCATGGCTGCCAAAATTAAATGGGCTCGACTTGAGCTAGAACGATTAAAGTGTCATCGTGGAATATTGGCTAGGGATCTAGCGGAGGAAGAGGGACGGGTTGGCAGTAGCGGTTGGAAGAAAGAGGTTGGACTTGCCCTTGGGCAAATGATGGATGGTGCGAGCGATATTGGAGATGTCACCACGCTTTTGGGCGAGAAAGAGGCCGAGAAGGCATCAATATCAACTTCTCAACCATCGAATTGGAACGGCATCGTCGCGTCGGACGCTATGTCTATCGCCAAAGAAAGTAATCGCCAATCAATCTCTTCGACAATTGCGTCGAAACAGACCAACCTTTCTACTCCCAATCCCAACCCCGCAACAACACCCATCACGGACACAGATAGCACATCGAACGCCGCCACTCCAACTCCCAGCATCACAGACGATGATGAAGAACAGCGATTCCTTCGTGAAACAGGTATTCTCGGTCTTGATACCGCCTCCCTCTCAAGCCCGCCCAACTCTCCAGGCAAGAAAGAACCCATCACACCCATCTCAACCAACGCCCCTGCAAATCCAAGTGGTACACATCCTTCTTCCCCACCGTCCTCAGAACGTTCAAAGGTCCGCCGTAGTTTCCAACGCACCCTTCGTGAAGCTCATCATAACGTCCCCCTCCACCGCACAAGCCGCAAGGGCCGTGATCGCGATTCCTCGACCCATTCCTCCATCCACTCCACAGCTACCGGTGGTAGCGGCGGCAATAATAATAACAACCCTTGCGCCCCGTCTACTCCCACGGCGACATCGGATGAACCGGGGACTCTCGCGCGCAAATCTCCAAGCTTCACGGTCCACGGCAAGAAGGCATCAGTCATCACCTTCGGTTCCGAATGGCAGAGCCTTTCACCAGAGCAGAGACTAAAGCAGCGTAAGCCGCAATCTCATCAGCAGTTACAGCCCTCTCAATCGCAGTCTCAGGGACAAGGACAATCCGATTCCATCTCGATTTCTGGCGTGGATGACGGAACGGACTCGGTTTTTTCGGCTTCTATCGTTTCGACTCTGGGAGGTGATAGCCCGGACCAAGTGGGCGCGCAACCTGCAAGGTCAGGTAGTGTTGCGGCTAGAAATGAGGCTCCAGACGCGGCGAACTTGGCTTCTAACGCCGCAAATGCCGCTCAGACTACAGACTTAGCGGTCACATCTCGCTGTTCGCCTACCATAGGTGACATTGGAAATTCTCCTGTCCCTGGTTCCGGTAATAACACTGAACATCAGGTTTCTCACGATGATGCAAAACTTGTGGTTGCATGAATACAGCCTACCCTCCACCTTTCCGGCCCTTACTTCGATTCTCATCCAGACTTCAATTTCGACTACCAACTTTCCTTTTTCTTGTATTTTCTTCTTCTTTTCTCTTTCTAGAAAGAAACGTATGATGGATGGATGGCATAACGTAACGAAATACCCGACTTTTTTCATCTTTGTGGAATAAATAAAACGTTTCTTTCTTACCTTACTTACCCACGCTGCGCGCTATGTTGAAACATTTACCCTCTTTCCTACCTTGCTCCCTCCTTTGGACGGGGCGATGTACCACACGGCTTCCCGGTTTTCATCTTCTTTTCCTGTTTTTTATTTAATTTGCGTTATTGTCTTACTGTCGAGTGTCTACGTACACCCTATATGCTGGACATGTGTATGTATGATGCTTCACGTTCTCTCTCTTACCCTTTTCTTTTTCTAATTGTTTTCTCTATGGTAAAGGATGGATGGCTGGTGGGATATGTTCTGATTGTTTACCTACTTATACACTGCTCTGTTTTTCTTTCCTGTTTTTTTTTCCTGCCTGGTTATGTATAGAAATGGTACTAGCATTCATTTTGCATCTCTGTAAGTTTATAAAGAAAAGCATATATCTTTCTTACAAGTGATTATATATATGGCTTCCACACGGGGTTTGTTGCCATTTGCCTACTAACAAATGTAGCTTGCGCAGGGTGTTTTTGAGCATGGTGGCCTTCCCTAGCAAAACCCTAGCTCTAAAACAAACGTTTTATGAGTGTTGATATTCCCGTGGCAGCGCTGTTTAAAGGAAATGAAATAGATGGATATAGTTCCAGTTACTGGCATCCTTCCTATTCAGGTTACTTATCAAAACAATCGTAATACCCCTGAAGTATGCAAAATAATGGGGGAAGGGGCTCTGACAGATGGAACTTCATATATGACAGTACACAACGACTCTCACCCATTTCTCTGGTAATCCTTTTAACGCCACCCAGATCGAAGCCGAACGCATCCGTCCAAGGTCCGAGACGACCGAAAAGGACCATGAGTCTTTCATCTATCCAAATACCTATGCCCGAATTCATATAACCCGTACTCGAAGAACCATGCAAAACCCACGCGACTGCGGCGTCCCGGCCGCTGTCATGGATTATGATCCTCCCGGGAATGTCACAGTGAAATACGTCGGTCAGCTCGGAGTCGGCCTGGTTGCCACCACCAATATAGAGCGTGGTGATCCCATTTTGTTCGAGCGAGTTATAGCAGTACTGGAAAGAGACGAGAGTATCAGTGCGACAATATATAACATCGCAATCCTAGCCCAGCTTGAAAATATGGGGCCTTGGTTCAAGAACTATTTTTATAAGCTGCAAAAGCGCCATGGCGATGGGACGCCAGACAGCCTGGGTGCGAAGTTCGACCTAGCGTGCATCCCATGCCCGGCCTCAGTTACGGCTGGGGGAAAGATGATAAGAGTAGCGGGCAGTTGGTGTTCGAGAACCAACCATTCGTGCACGCCGAATGCGCATCAAATGTTGTCGAGAGGATTGGACGACAAGGCCAAGGAGGCATATTACGTCGCAGTGCGCGCAACTAAAGTCATACGCAAGGGCGAAGAAGTGACTGTCGCTTATGACTACGTCAATATGCAACCGGCAGCTAGAAGGCAGTACATGCTCGCACGATTCGGATTTGTTTGCCGTTGCCATGTATGCGACCGCCCTACTGAAACTATAGAGAAATGCTTCTCGGCGCTCCACGAAGATATTGCAGCCATTCAGACGCGATATTTTTCCAGTATAGATCCGGTGAAATTCTTCCAGTGCATTGAACGTATATACCTTCTACACGTCGGCCTGGATTTCCTTGACATCCGGGGCGCGCAAATCCTGGAGCAGGCCGCTCGGTTTTCCGCTTACCATTCAGACAAGGGCCGCGCCGTTGGTTTCCTTACCTTAGCCTCACCCCTATATCTCTTTGCTGAGGGAGTACAAGGGCCTAACGCGGTCAGGGCTACCAGCTGGAAAGATGACCCGTCTCTAATACCAGGGTACGGGACAACGACAAAGGGGCTATCCAAGGAATCGGATTTCCGCAAGATAGGCCCATTGGACGCAGTAGGCCTCGCTATTGCTTGCATGCAGGGCATCCAAGAGGGCCAGTACCTCAGCCTGAGTTATATGGCAGACCGCCGCGTAGGGGCCCATTACGGGGGTGTCAACTCGGGTATGAGGGGTGATGCTGACGAAGAGGACGCAGAAAATCGGGCTAAGAACTTGAAAGAACTGATCAAGACTTTGGAGGAGGAAAAGAAGCACCATGATCTAGAGAGACTTGAAGGATCTCAGCTCATAGCAAATGGCAACTCTTCAAGCACTGCGAATAAGAAAAAGAACGGGGGAAAGAACAAGAAAAAGAAGAAAAAGAAAAGGTAATCGGTTATTAGCCTTGCGGAAAACCTGGAAAAGGGGATATTGAAGTTGAAGTTGAATTGAAGGCGATGTTGAATTGAAGTTGAAGCTGAGGTTGAAGTTGAAGTTTTGTATACAAATCAGCTTAGTCAGCATCCTTATCGATTTGGAGCTTCAACTTTTGGAGCTTCCTTCTTGCATCCAACAGATAGAACTAGTACTATCATCTACTGAATTATATCATTATTCACGTCAGTTTCGGGTTATATTTCCGTATAGAACTCATACCGCTAGCATACTTGATATAGATACCCAATTGGTTACCGACGGCCACCATGGCCCATTCAAAACGCAACACCTCACTCCCGCATTTCACGTCCTACGAAAGATCCCTTCTTCGCTCTACCTGGGGCTCCCAGAGTACCCGCTTATCTCGCGAATCCTTCCTGCCATTTTCCTCATGCCGTCTCTGCCTTCTACCGGCCCGAGAACCAGTGGTCGCCTGTGCAACGAACGGCGATCTGTTCTGTCGCGAGTGCGCAGTCAATGACCTTCTTGCACAGCGGAAGGAAATTAAGCGTCTAGAAAAGGAGCGGGAGATAGCGAAACAGGAAAGAGATGAAGATAATGAGCGATTGGCAGCTGAGGCGAGAGACAGAGAGTTGAAAGAGTTTGAGATGGTTAGCATGGGGCTCGAAGAGAAGATGAAGAGAAAACGAGAGCTAGAAGGTGGCACGGGTGGGAGTGATAAGACAAAGAAGAACGGAGACGATACCGCGGAGAGTAGAGAGGCAAAGAAGAGGCGGAAAGAAGGATTCGAGCTGGACGAGGAAGGGATGCGGAAGATAGCGATGGAGGAACGAGAGAAAATGATGAAGAAGATCGAGAAAGAGAAGGTATGATTGATTTCAAGCTTTCTCTTGATCTAATTCTGCATATATAACTGACTGGTTACTAGGCGGAATCATCGAAATCCCAACTCCCCTCCTTCTGGGTGCCATCATTAACACCAACAGTGGCAGAGAATGGAGAAGACGCCAAGTTGGCAAAGCTCAGCCCACTGTGTCCAGCGTCAACTCCACAGGATAAGCATGGGTACTCCCTGAAAACACTCGTTACCGTTCATTTCACAGAAGAGAAAGACGAAAAAACAGGAGACATGGTTCGCATATGTCCGAGCTGTAAGAAAGCTCTTAGCAACGGACTCAAGGCAATGCGTATGTATTCCTGCCAGCCATTAGGTACACGACTAATTTTTGCTTCTAGTAACTAAACCATGTGGACATGTTCTCTGTAAACGATGCGTGGAGCAATTCATGACTGCAGACAAAGGCCCAGACCCGCATTCTACCGATCCATCTGAGTCGGAACGGTTGGGGAAAATATTCTGCTATGTATGCGAGACCGATTTGACGGAAAAGAAGGTGAGCAAGGAAGGGAAGAAGGATAAAGAGAAAATTCGGCCAGGCCTGGTCGAGATATCGTCCGAGGGAACTGGGTTTGCCGGCGGCGGGAAGAATATGGCTTCCAAGTCAGGGACAGCTTTCCAATGCTAATTGAAGTAGGGATAAGATATATACAGCTGGCACTTAACGGTTTACGGTAGTGCCTTTCGTGCTCTATCCATAATTGAAGCAACACGGCACATCTGAAAGCTGGCCGTGCTATCGAATTTTCCCTTACAATGTAAATAAAGCGTGCAAGTGGAACCGAAAGGTTAATTCTAGTGATATATTACAGGAAATAGTACAAAAAGGGGGCATAAATGACGCTATAGATATTTCATGCGGCGTTTCATGACGAGGGCAAGTTCTTCCTGTTACTTGCCTTCTTAAACTCGCGAACGGTGATGTCGCACTTTATTTCCTGACATAGCACACCACGTCTGTAGGCGGGTAGTTTGCTAGCGAATTCAAGACCACTCGCACGTTCGATAGCTTCCAATGGCACCTCAAAATCCTGCAACCGTTTATCGTTTGGAATCCTGGCGTTGGGAAGCACGAAGGCTCCAAGGCTGACCTTTCCTTCCTCTCCATACCCATCCTCGGCGAAGATTACCTTGTAGAAATGCGTGGGCACGGCGACATTGGGAGGGTTTCCGATCACTTCATAGCTAACCCTCCACTTCCCATCTGCCGGATCACGTTTGGGCAGATACAGCGGTCCAGTCACGATGCGAACAGACGGGTATTTCTGCGTCAGTCTGCGGCAGAAGTCTTCAAAATGCGCCCAGTAATCGCGGTTAAATCCCTCTCCGACCTGCGGACACATGTTTGCCAATGAGAAAGTCGAGTCCATTGCTTCCTGGCTCCATTTGGCATCTGCAGCAGGTACTTGATGTCCTCTGTCGTAGCCAGAGCGGTAGTAGTCGCTTAATCGTGCACGATACGCAGCTGGGATAGTTGGTTCTTCGTAAAACTGGCTGTGGGAGCGGTCTCCGCCCTTCTCAGCTACGGATTCGCGGGTTATATGCTCAGCTACCCATGCTGGATTGCGAGTTCGACGATCATAGCCGGAGGTCAGAGGCGGGCTGGTAACGTTATCTGAGACCGGACCAGGGAAGCCATATTGAAAAAGGCCTGTTGGGTCAACAGGTGCGGCTGAGCGAGATGGAAGCGCTGGCGGTGGTGCTCTAGCTGCTGCGGTGACGAGGGATGGTGCTGGAGGAGCTGCGGGAACTCGAGTAGCTGTTGGAGGCGGGAGAGACTGGTGACGAGACGAGCTGGAGGAATATATCAGAGCAGTGACGCCGGCGCCTGTAGCTATACCGGCGGCTGCGATGGCAGCGAACGTAGCTTTCGACATGGTCAACGGGATATCGAGAAGCTGTAGATGGAAGAACCGCAGCAGCAGAGAGCGTGGGATGTAATAGAGAGCGAATGTCAGCCTCCTCCTCGGCTTCCTCTTGGTCTCGTCGTCGTCGTCTTCGTGATCTGATCTGGTGATAAGTAGAAAAGTGATATTTATCCGGACCGACCATTTCTCCATCCAACCAGGGGAAAAGGGGCAAACGACAAATATTGTCCATATATCAACGACCACGGGAACGTTATGGATACAAATAGGAGTATTTACGCCCAAAATAGAAACGGTATATATTGAATAATCAAACATTTCGCGATATACAAAAGGGCTATATAGAGAATTTCGAGAATTATGATATGCATATACAGTACGGAACAAAGGAGGAAGAAATGAAGATAAGAAACATCGTCCCGTTCTCTCCATAAATGCCGTCAATATTTGGAAATCAGTTTCTCAATGCTGTATGGCGGTGCAAGGATCCCAAAAACATTACTCCAGTTGAACCAGCGACTGTATCTCCGGACACAGCGGCCGTTGATAAAGACGTGGCCCAGGAGTTCACACGTCAGTCCCTGCTTCGTCAGAATATGATAAATAAATTTCTCTGCGTCGTCCTCGGTGTGAACCACCCGATGAAGTACGGGGTGTTCTTTCATCAGCTGTGAGGCTATCCACATAGACGCTACTCGACCGAAAATACCTGCTCCGAGAACAAGGCAGAGGGTTGTCAGTGCAACGGAGATCGTGATCAAGGTTGACGACGCAAATGTTGCGGTTCCGGCCGCAAAAACCCCGACAGAGATGGCCTTGGAAATTACCCGTAAAGCCGCATGGCCGTGGCTAGTCCCAGAGACGGATATGATGACCATAAATGCCTGTCGTGGTACGGCAAAGGGCTGAGACGGATCCATCGTGACGTATCCAACTGTGTTAAACCCGTGCCGGCCCAGGTTGTCGAGCAGCCGGGACTGACGAGTAATAAGGGGAGGTCTCTGGAACAGTTTAGGGTCTTCCATTGTAGCTGCTGTAGATGATGTATCGTGACTATCCTGGTGCGTAACCGACCACAAGGGCCGCATTGCTTGCTTCGCCTTGGCCACAACTTCACTTCCCTCCCCTTGGGTATCAGCCGTTGTTTTTTCAAGCGGAAACAGGGCAGGCGCATCATCACTAATACGGATCGAACCCGGTGCCTTGGATACCCGTATCGTCCATTGTCGGGTAAAAGGTATGCCAGCGAAATTTGCAAAAAGAGAGGAGAGGGCAACGACCATGTACCAGCCTAACATCCAGCCGGAAAACTAAAATCGAGGTAAGCTGCCTGTATCAAGTTAGATGTTCAGTTTATTGCAAGGTTGATTGGCTTACCGAGCACCACCAGGAGACTATTCCCCCTATCCCCGTAAACCAACAAGCAAATATGATGATGCCGATCCAGAAGAGCTGACAGAACATGCCAAAGGCAGTCAAGAGCCGTTTACTATTGCCTAACGGGTCATGCGCGCGGGCCTCAACCATGTCTGCAAACGTTGTGGCATTTGTCTCGTTCATGGGTATAGGTTTGACTGGCTCGTGTAGATCACCATTGCTTGTAGTTGCGATCCAGCCACCGTATGTGAAACCATCCTGCTCATAATCTGAAGAGAGATCTGGGACGATGTTCCCACCTAGAGATAGCATCATGGCAAAAACACCAGCAAGGGGCATGATCTTATAGAGTATCCATAGCTCCTTCGCTGGTGCGCCAATGAGTGCTCCAGCCGTCGGTAATAGACTCAAGGCACCTGCAGATCCGGCAGTCCCCGCCTGGTAGATGGGTCCGACGTTCGAAAGAGCCATCGACAGCTTGGTGAAGCATTGTACTCGGTTTCCTAGTCGGATATTATTCCCTTGAGACCTCCACTCCTCGAAGTTGAACAGACTGGTGATCGAGAAGACGTCCGCAGCGACTTTTGGGTCTGTTCCGTTCGCATCGTTACTAATTTGAGGATCGTTGAGTGGCTCCACTGATGCTATTCCGAACAGTGCAAATGGTAGGATGGGATATATTACCCGCATCAGTCGTGACGTGGTACTCCGATAAACGATATAGCACGCCGACCGAAAGGGATGTGCGGGATCCATTTGCATTTCATGAATCAAGGCCCAGTAAGGACGAAATGGGTAATAAAGTTGCTTGAGCAATCGTCAAAGCGGGTTATGGCCCTTGGTTCGATGCTTCTATTGACCACCAGCATCTTAGAAAGGGTGAAAGCTCGGCTTCTTAAATACGGAGTATACTGCGCACGGTACATAGTACTACGCATTCCGTATGTATCCTTAGGAATAGCGTCAATGGTTCGTTGATACAGAAACTGCTGGCTGGTCAGAAAACACAATAGATTGCCTCGCATACCGCGTTCCTTGCTCGCTAATCTAGCGAGGGGACATGAGACCGCCACATGTTTATCCATAGGTCTCTGGCAGCTCTTTTACCTTTTCTAGGTAAAAAGAAAGAGAGAATGTAGTCCTTACGGTAGTAAGAGATTATCAATGCGAGTGTCACCGGACGAGGCTGCATACCACTAGACTCACTTCATCATAGTTGATCCTGATGGCTGGCTAGTGGAAGACAGCCCGGGTTTGACAGCTACCCCAGGGATAGTCAATACACGTTGTCTCGAGGAAATATGTATCAGTTCATATTAAAATGTAACCGCCAGCCTTCCCGTCTCCCGCCCGCCACGTCTGAGTGTGACCTCGTATCCATAGAACGTCATTTCATCTTCTGCTAGACAGCTTCGATCCACAGGTATATAGGAACCGGGCCATGTGTACGGAGTATAGAGGCTTGACTGGACTGAGCGTCGATAGATCAAAGTCCTCCAGCAGGCTGTGCGTTTGATGTACCCCTGTAGCCTACTGCACAGACCGATGACCAGTGCATCTTTGTCCGCGTCCCTGCGATGATACCCAGTAGCAGGGAGCACTTGAGCGTAGAGTAGCGGGAGGAGAGCAAAGTTCAAACAGGCCGATCCGCCAGGTTCGAAACTATCAAGTTGGAAGATGTCAAGATGGATGAAAATTGAGATGCAACTTTTCTGTGGCTAACAGGATGATGACTAAGAACCACCCGACAAGACCAATTTTCCTAGATGCCCAACAAGCAGGCATTTCTTCTTTCGTTTGCTTCTCGTTTATACGGAGTGCAGAAGAGAGCTCAAAGACAGGACTCGCTGTAACATGACTCGGGCGATTCAAGGGTCTAGCGACTCTAGATGTCATTTGAAGCCTCCGGCGAAGAAGTGGATTTGTCGTTAACTGCTACTTGCTGGCGGGGATGTCTGGTTATTTCTTTGTGTAAACCCATCCCTTTGGCAATGCAGGATAATATTTCTTTATTATGGGGAGCTTACTTCGAGACCTTGTCGCGGATCACCTAATTCCTTTGATACTAACTGAGGAGCTCGAGACTCGGATGCCTATACATCAGCTGCAATATACCATCATATCTTGCTCTAGATATGGTATTCTACTGTGGGCCCCAAGTTAACGGATTTCATTTCGCAATACCAATCCTACGGATAGAAGACCCCATTTTCATTTAGGCTATTTCCTCTAGCTTCTTTAGGTCCCTCAGCTTCGGTTAATTACACACCGCTACCTAACTACCCCTTCAACTCGCGATTTGATGTGCGAGCATTATTAACAAAAGGTCATACTACCTAGCACAACCGTTTTTATGTTGCGCATTTCAGATAAGCTAGCCCCTGATCAGAGCTACAAACGATGTAAGTACCCAAAAAGGGGTTTTTTTTATATGAGAGAGACTTTTATGTTTCAGTAAGGTACTTAGGGCCACTTATTCTTGTACACAGAAAGCGAATTTCATTCTCACCTCAATGATTACGTTCATTTTGAGATATAAAAGATTTCAACTTTCCCGGTCTTCTTCATTATTCCCATTCAAGGATTCAGGATCAGAGCCCTCGAATATCGATAACCTCTTAAAAGCCAACCAAGTCAGGACTTTCCTTTACTTTTATGTGCTATTACCCAATTCTAATGAGACCTTATAGGCCCTTTCTCAAACAATTTACCAAACATTGCTACTCTAGTTCATTTTTACAAAAACTAGTTCTTGTATGTTGATTGTATCTCACTTCTACTCATATTAAAGTCTAATCTAGAGCCAGCAATAAAAGCGAACAACATGCAGTTCACCAGCAACCTTGCCCTTCTCTTCCTTGTGCCAGTGGCGTTGGCAAGTCCAATTGCGAATGATTTATCTACTCGCGGCGGATGCGTGCCCGGACAATATCGATGTTTTTGTGGTCGCGCAGCTGGCAGTCCCCCTCTTCTTTGCGCCGTTCATATTTGCGGCCCAGGACAACAGTGGCAGGCTTCGGCTGAGTGTGGCATCGCACTAAGGCGTACGTGCAGGGAAGGGCCTAACCACACTGCATTTTGTGTTTAGATATAAGGGGTGATTTCCTCTCATGTTTTTTTGATGTTTGACAAGACTTCATACCTATGGTTTACACCTAGTTTATCAAAGGATAACGTCAATACTTTGGATCAATATCATCATTGGTCCATTTAGTGGATCTCTTTATCTCCCAGCGGATCTACCCGAAGCCTAAACCCTAACCTAAGTTAAGGTATTCCAGCAGCGAGTCTCATGGAAGCCAGTATTCATGCGCAAGCTGAATAGCTATATTCACCTATGTTTTTGCTTCTCTTGAATCAACGATAACCTCATATAAAGTAGTGAATTATATCTTCCGGTCAGGCTTGGTGGTTGCTACCCTGTGATTGTACGGAGTAGAGCCATACGGTCCTAGCAGCACGCCGCTATCTAGATACATGCTTCCCATGCCTAGCGTCGAGTTAGTTTGGACCAGAGGTAAGTTATAGCAACAGCCAATTATTTCTAGTTTGAGTCCTGAATATAGGAAAGCTTTGGGACTGATCTAATTAGGTGTTTATCCTAGATATAAATTACTAACATCAACGAGTCATACATGGACAACAAAATTGATCGACCTGCGAGGCACACAAGGGGTAGTCTCGTGGTAGAGATTGACTCCCGCCTAAAATAGAGATCTACACCTTTGACGAGGATGACAAAAGGTCAATTTCTAAGTGTATACATTCTACTCTACTGTTTGGTCTTTAAGACTGTTACACCTCGATCGGCCCATGAATTTCAGTATCATCCTTGCCACTCCACTCAGCAAGTTGTGCTCGCATTCACGAAGCTAAAATATATCCAGCCGAAATCACATTCAGGTGGCTGTGGCTCTTCCTTGATGCTTTGCAGAGAGGCTTCATCAACTCCTACCCGATTCGGAAATCTCCCCCATGCTAGCCACGTGACAAAAATACATGACTAAGCTATCCAGCACGTGTGCGTGACTAAGCAGATCTGCCGACAAAATTTTGTCCCACGTGATAAACCTTAAAGTAGCGCAAGGACCTTGGGAGGCAAACTAGTCCTCTTTAGGAAGGGCCTCCCCCCGCCAGCAAATAAAGTCCGACGCTGACAAACTCGGGGAAACGAGCTTGTTTGAGCTTCGTTAACCTTCTGTTGACCGTCTTCTTCCTCTCCTGCTCGTCCTCTTCATCCTGTGTTTATACGGAGCACCGCTGGAGTTGATATCGTCTCCGAGACAGCATTGCGGCTTCGTGTTCCTCGGTGGCGGATAGACAAGAGGGGTTTATATATACGAGGCGGCAACGCTGTTCAGGAGCTGTCTGGTCTATCAACAGGATGGTGTCCAATAATGACATCCAGGGATGGATAATGAGCTGTATCAGCGGTATTGGTATGTTGAATCCGTGCTACCGTTGATGTACGCTATCTAACGGATGAGATATATAGCATGTGCACTGGGATCGGGCCTTATCTGTGTTGACGTCGTTGCGCAGTACTTTGGCAAGAAGGACTTCAGGATAGCAGAGAGCGATGTCTTTCTCTCATCGTCCCTGAGTCTGAGTGGTGGAGTCATCGTATGTAGATATTGACCTCGGACGAAAGGAGAAGCCATGGCTAACTCATACTCAGCTTTTCACGGCTTTGTATAGCATGCTGCCGACTTCAAAGTACTACCTGACCCAGGCCGGATATTCCACACAGACAGCTGCATACACACTGATAGGGCTGTTCCTCTCGGGAATTATCGTTATAAACATCTTCTCCACCCTCCTGCACCGATGGATGCCCTCTCATGTTGTCAGCTGTGAACACTCGCACTCGCACTCGCATCCGCACAAGGCCAACGATATCGAAGAGAACGGAGAGGTGACGCACGGTGCATGCCATGGCACCACAGAGAACACTCCCCTTTTATCACAGCACCACGACATACATAGATCTGCAGGCCAGGATGCTCCTCATGAGCATAGCGTGACGCCAAGCCGGCCCGCAACAGGGACACATGCCGGCACATCGGTCACGGCCCAGCTGTCGGAACAGTTAAACTGTCTTATGGGTGGCACTTCAAAGGCCACTTGTGCAAACGGTAAATGTTTTGGCGTTTCGCAAGCTTGCGGGCTCGAGTGTGCGAAGCTTAGGATCCAAAATGAAGGGGAGGATCGCACAGTTGGCGGGGCTACTGAAATTACCATTCTCGCACAACCTGTAACAGACGAAGGAGATGCCATCGGTCCTGTCCCTCCTATTCTCAGAGACGCTGCCCACACCCGCCTTGCCGGACAAGACGCTCCTATTCCATCCTCAAGTACCGCAACCACCGCGTATGCACCTTCGCCGCCTTCACAAGAGCCCCCAGCGCACCATCATCATGTCCCACAGAACGCTTTTCTATCCATCGGTCTGCAGACCTCCCTCGCCATCGCCTTACACAAGCTACCCGAAGGCTTCATCACCTATGCAACCAACCACACCAACCCAACGTTGGGTTGGTCCGTCTTCGTCGCCATCTCCATCCATAACATCACAGAGGGCTTTGCCATGTCTCTACCGCTTTACTTGGCGCTCAAGTCGCGGCTCAAAGCAATCCTTTGGTCCAGCATATTAGGTGGCATCAGCCAGCCTGCTGGTGCTGGACTCGCGGCGCTGTGGATCTGGGGTTCGACGAAGGCTGGTGGTGCCAATGGCGGTGGTATTGGGGATGATGTCCCTCTTGAGGGGCCGTCGTGGGCTGTGTATGGTTGTATGTTTGCTGTCACCGCAGGCGTGATGACGAATGTAGGGCTGCAGCTGTTTGCAGAAAGTCTGATGCTCTCGCATCGGAGGGGATTATGTATTGCCTTTGCATTTGCAGGGATGGGTATCATCGGGGTTAGCTTTGCATTGACTGCTCGATAAGCAGTGTCCGTTGGTCCTTAAGTAGGATTCTTTCCGTTAGATTGTTCCTGTTCCATATTGATCCGGAACCGGTATTGGGTGGTTCGCATTGTTTAGAGCATAAATTGTCCCAGACTACACATAGACCAGGTCGTCAAATCCATTTGCTGTACATACATGATCCAATTGCGCCAAATTATACTGCGTTCAAGCACCACCTTCCTTTTGCTTCTCCTTTTCCTTTTCCCTCTCCCTCTTTCGAGCAAGGTACCTCTCCTTCGCACTCATGACGTCTGTCTGTGATTTCTGGCTCTTATTCTTCTCCGCCAGCTCTCGTAAACGCGCGTCTTCTTCTTCTTTCTCCTTCCGTAACTTCTCCTCCAACTGTTCAGTAAGCATCTCTGTCTGTCGTGCCCGTTGCATCTCACGCGCAGCGCGAATGCCACCACGATCAAATCCAACATTTTTTGTCGCGGCTGCATTCGCCCGCGAAGCACCTGCTACCCCTGCCGCAGGCTTAGGCTTCGATACAACGTTCAGCCCAGCAGTAAGCAGCTGCCGCTTGTCAACGACCTCCCCTTCATCGTTAACCGCAATCTTTGCGCCTCTAGCATTCAGTTCCTCCGCTATCTGCGTTGCTGACTTCTCTTTCGTCTCCTCCTCCTCGCCCATACCCTTGTCTGCAGTAGCCCTATTCTTCACCGCCTCCTCTGCCAATTTAACAACCTCCTCATGCCTTTGCTCATCTCTCTTGAGCACGTCCCTATAAAATCCAGTCATCCCCATCCCTTTCTTCCTCTTCTCGGCTTCTTCCTTCTCCCTCTCGGCTTCCTCAGCTTCTATCTTCCTGACCTCCTCCTGCTGAGCCTTGTATGCCGCTGTGACGAATTTCTCTTTATCGGCGAACTCATCGCCCTCAGCCTCGCGTTCGCGGGCAAGTAGTTTATCGCGCGCCCTCAGCTGGTCCCGCTTCCGTGTGTCTGCACTACGGAGAAGTGCTGTCATGTATTTTGGCCCTTGCGCCGGCGCAGATGGGTCGTCATTTGAAGTATTGGTTTTGGATTTAGGTTTGGCGTGTAGAGAGTCGTATACAGCATCGTAGTCGTATATTGATGGATCAAGGGATTCAGCTTCGTTGGCATGCTTCTTACTGCTGTGTAGAGCCGCAAGGTTGGTGTATTCGCGCTTCGCGGGGGCTTCGGAGAATTTCGATTTCGTGGTGCCAGATGATTGTGATGTGGCTGGTTTCTTTTTGGATGGAGCTTCAGCAGCCGAACTTGAAGGCTTAGATTTCGCTGGGAAAGGCGATAGACCGCCTAAAGTTGTGATTTCGACGGCGTTGGATTCATTGTCATCGCCCTTTTGGCCTTCCTCATCTGAGTCGGGGTCATCCCATAGACTCTTGCGTTTCTGGCCAGCAAATACCGAGAATGAAGGCTTCTTGCTATTAGCTTTGGACAAGTTAAGCCCATAACTCAGCTTTGGCGGTGCCATCTGGGCAATTCGGGGCTGATTATAGTATCTTGAAGCTCTCTCAGATCGCAAGTCTGATGTATCCGATGAAGCTCCATGTTGGACGCCAAGTATGTCACGTGGTATACAGAGCCGCAAGGGGGTCCGGCTTATGTCATCTTCGCACCTCGGTCACCACTACGATGTAAGGACTGTGAGTTTGAGTAATAGAGAGAACTTTTTTATAGTTAATATATTATTATAATAAAATACTATAAGCTAGACTCTAGCCTCGCAGCTCTATATAAGCCATCCTTATAGCCGCCAGAGCTACACCCACGATACAGGTAGCTTTGAGAAATTCCTGCATAACATGATACCATCGAGACCAGTACATTCTTTTGCGAATTTGGAGCAGGGAGCTAGGCTCATTGAGATTTGGGAATTCTTCTTCTGGGATAGGAAGGTCGAGGAACTGGCAAAGTGGCTTCCAGCCCTGACTTGGATGGAATTCCAGTAGTTTCCGCTTGGGAACTACCTTACGGACGTAGTCATAATGCCGGTCAAACGACTCGAGTAGAGCTGGAGCAGCAGCAGCCTTGTAGGCAGGGATTCCCCGGGAGAGCACCGAGGTGCTATAGTTAAGAAGCGGCCAGTAGCCCGCCGAGAAGTCTTGGTCTAGATATGAGAGTATAGTAAAGGACCTCCAAGAAAGGACCGTGAGAACGCTATTTTGCATCGACCTGAGCCAGGACTCGCGGGTGCGGACGTTAAGAATGACCTTCGAGTCCGGATATGCGGCGAGGAGCTCATCAACGAAATGACAGCAGGGCTCGTCCGACACGGCCTAGAGGAGAAGTTAGCTTGTCAATGGAGCGGGATCTTTTTGCTTGTGAATATGAAATATGAATAGGTGTTGTATACATCATAGTTCCAGAGAATGCGATCGAAATCCTCTCCAGCAAATGGCTTTCCTTTCTTATCGAATTTGGCTTGCATTGCATTTAACCAGAGTTGAAAGTGACCATTCTTTTTATTGCTCAGCACTTCGTCCCAGTGATAAGAATTGATGCCTAGTATCTTCAAAGCAGCACACATTGCTGTAGGCCATGGCTGTCAGTATGAAGAGCTCTTCATAGGGGAAAACTGTCCACAGGACGCCTCACAAGTTGTTCCTGTCCGAGGCAGTCCAAGGACCAACACTCTCATCGGTTTCGGCCGCGGAAACACCGGGTCTATCTTCTCATGGAACTCCATGACTTCCTCAATTAACTGCCCTTGAGTAGTAGTATTGATAAGAATGAGGACATATCGGCTCGGATATCTTTTCTCTTAAAAGCAACTAGAAAGAGACTGCGAAGCCCGAAATATCCGTTTGAGAGTTCCCGAGGCCTGGTCGGATTTAAAACTCGATGTATTCATCAATGCACTCAAAATTTGGGCCTCACGCATCGCTCATCTGACAGGCAGATCTACAGTTCATAACTATACTACCGGCCCTAAGCGTTGTTATCATCTCCTATAGATACATGTTTCGCAGGGAGCTGTCTTGTGGCTAGCTGGCTCTAACAAAAGGAGATGTCACTCTTGCGTAATTGTGCACCCTCAGGACTATGAGATATCAGTGGCTGCATAAAGGGCTTTGTCATTCCTGAGCAACAAGGATATGCGTTTAACGACCTTGCTCAATTATTCAGATCGGTGCATGTCATTTTCCTTGTATCAAGGAGTAACACCGCGGGGGAAGAACCATAGGTGGAGAGGGGTAGCCCAATGTTGATCCAAGTAACCCGTATCACGCAATCGTAGTATTCAAGGTAGCCATCCCATGATATATAAGGGACGAATTGTCCGTCCTGCAAGCAGGTAGAAGAAGCGGTACTTTTCATATACTCAAAGAGCATTCATTCCCCCAACACCCTTCAAGTATATTTTCATCACTAGAGCCTGAAACGATGTCTGCCAATAGCCCCCTTATTTCTGCGGATGACGAATGGTCTCCTTTGAAGGCGGTCATCGTTGGAAGAGCAGAGCATTCGGCCTTCCCGTCTGAGCCCTTCCACGCGATGGCGGCAACCATGAGAAAGGAGCACTTGGCTGAGTTCCGACCTGGGAACCCCTTCCCGCCAGAGGTCTTGGAGAAGGCTCAGCAGGAGCTCGACAACTTTGCTGCCGTTCTCGAACAAAACGGCGTGCGTGTGTATCGCCCCAAGGAGGTCGACTGGTTGAAAGTCGGTGGCTTTACCGGAGCAATGCCGCGTGATACCTTCATGACGGTGGGAAACACGCTCATTGAGTCCCCATTCCCCTGGCGCTGCCGCCAAAAGGAAGTCCAGCTGGGATATATGGACATCCTCGATCTGCTCAGCAGCGACTACTGCGCAAGAATCTGCCGAGCGCCCACTATCGTCGGTAGAGATACCATCTACGATGGGGTAGGTGGTACTAATGGTAATTCCGAGACCAATGGCTCCCACCACTGGGCCATCAACAACAGCCGTCCAGCCTTCGAAACAGCTGACTTTATGCGCTTCGGGAAGACGATTATTGCTCAAATCAGCAACGTCACCAACAAGAAGGGTATCGACTATGTGCAGGCCATGGTGCCCGAAGGGTATACCGTTGAGATTCTGGAAACCAACGAGGGGTTCACGACGAGGCACATTGACGCAACCATCCTGCCTCTCCGCAAGGGACTCCTGGTGTACAGCCCTCCTCGTGTCTCCGAGGAGAGCCTCCGCTCTCATGCTGTCTTCCAGGACTGGGAGCTTCATCCGCTACCCTATACTCCGCAGCCTGAAAAGAACCCATGGCCTCCGCAGTATATGTGCTCGCCCTGGCTCGTACTGAACGGGCTGAGTCTAGACGAGAAACGCATTTTTGTTGAAGAAAAGAACAAGGAGTTTGCAGATTGGATTAGAGACCGGTTTGGGATGGAGCCGATTTTGTTGCCGTTTGCTCATGTTAATAGCATAGGAGGATCGTTTCATTGCTCGACTGTTGACCTGGTTAGATCAGCATAAGGCGGCCTCTTCTGTTGTTTAAACAACCTGTAAGTAGTGCGAGTTTCGCAGGATTTTAAGTGTTGAAGTTTTTACTTTATTGAGTGTAGTCGAACTAAACCAATTATGTCCATTTGTATATCTATGAAAATAAAAAAGAAATATCTTTCTTTATGCATTGTGTTGTTATAGGGTGGATATTCCAAACACCACCGCCACAGCTTTCTCCTCCTTTACTTTACCTTGATCTGCATTTGAAGCTCCTAGAGATGCTCGAGGCTAGTTGATTATTGTCGTCAGCCCACTCAATGCCCATTCTTTAGGCGTGATAGCGATTGGATGGGACAGAGATATTGTACTCTGGGCTGAAAAAAGAAAAGAATGAGTTAGCACGGATTCCCGCCATAGTTATTCGAGCAAACAATCACCATGCATATGGAAGACTGGCTGGTACATAACCTGGTGCGCTCCGAAGATGATACATGATATTATAGAAAGGGTCAACCTATATAAGCTATATATACAAGGGGATACCAAGGGCCGGCTTGGGGTCACGTGATGTACCACCCGACCGTTGACCAACGTCACCGTCTTTGGCCATTTGTATCAAAGGAAACGACTTGAAGCGCGGAGACGACGCGGGAGTATAGATATTGCCTAGAATATTACGCAGCTGGCGGCGCAAAATGTCATACTACTTCACAATCCTATCCTCGACAGACGTCCCCCTCTTCAGCCAGGCGTTCGGGACTTCCAAGGGGGGTGCAGATGGCATTGCTCGATTTCGATATGCGGATAATGAGAGATATATGAACCAGTTTATCGTTCACGCCAGTCTTGATATTGTCGAAGAAGTCCAATGGACCAATGGCGCAATGTATGTTCACACTACGTTATCAAAACCGTCTTGCCCTGTTGGTGGGATGCGTTCTAACGATTTCACAGGTACCTAAAACACATTGACACTTACCCGCCAGCCTCTGCCTACGTCTCTGCTTTCCTTACAGGAACCGGTGTGAGGTTCATTCTTCTGCACCAACCACCACAATCTGCCTCCCAGCCCGCCACGGGAGGATCAGGCAGTGGTAGCGGCAGCGGACTTTCAGCTTCTGGTTTCCTCGCGGCGACATCGGGGTCGTCACGCGGCTCGTCGTCGTCAATAGCTCATAACCCAACCTCCCCACAAACAGAGGATGCGATTAGGCAGTTCATGAATGAGGTGTATGAGAATTGGGTGAAGGCGGCCATGAGCCCGTTTTATCGGCGCGGGATGGAGATTACAAGTCCCGCGTTTCGCGCGAGGATGATGGCAGCGGGGAAAAAGTGGTTGTAACTTATGCCATAATGAGAAGGTTATCTAATTTACGCTAGGATGAGCCCTGGGTATGGCTATTCTATGCGTCTTGCCTGATGGGCTGGGAAACTTGATTGGCTTCGGGCGGGATATTACTCCTCGACCCTGCCTGACGCCGTATGAATCGCTCTCAGGCTACTAGTCCGGTTCCCGAATGCTGCTGGACAGTAAGCACTGCCACTGCAGCATCGTATGCTCGGCACAGATAGGCCCGATTTCCCATACCAGACTACCACCGCAAAATGTCGGTCAATTGGCATTTCGAAACTGGGGTGATAGAACGGTTGAGATGAATGACCGGAGTTCAGATGCAAGTGTGAGGCCTGGAACGGTGGAGGCTGTAGTGTCGCATTGGCTTATATCGCAATCGACGGGAGTTGGTGTTGCGGAAGGATATGAACGGATTGCTATAGACTGTCGTACCTCCGTTATCTACGAAATCCATACTATTGGTATACGGATAGAATGAGTGAATAACTCAAATTCAATGTACTCCATAGATAAACTGGCACGTTTCATCTAACTTTCCAAAGGCAAACTGGGAACTATTAAGTCGGCCCGAAAATAAATATGAATGCGCGCAATGAGACAGCAATATGCGACAACCTGGGTACAGAATAAGAGCCAGGGCGCCGTAACCCAAACACCGTCGATGTCATGTGAAACAAAAATAGCAACAAAACACCTGAAATGGAATAAAAAAATGATCAACACTCATGAGTTTTCCCTCCAATCGCCTCGCTTATCACACCATCATTTGTGGCGCCATCTTCTTAACGAGTAGACTCTTGAAATTATCCACAGCATGCACGATATCGTCGATCCGTGAGGTGGCGCCCAACAGGCCACCTTCCATCTTCACGCTATTACACGCACCGATATGCAGCGTGTGGTCGACTGCCACAGTCCCATCTTCCAGTAATAGGCAGTCAAACCCCTTATCACAGGCTTCGCGAAGGGTACTCGCTACAGCCCCGTCGGTTGTCATTCCGACAACAACAAGATTTTTAATCCCCTTGTTACGTAGTAGTAGTTCGAAGTCGGTATGTGCGAATGCTCCGCGGCCAGGTTTATCAATCACTGGCTCACCATCGATTGGATAGAGTTCGGGGACGATATCGTGGCCTGGTTCACCGCGGATGAGGAGACGGCCTAACGGACCTGTGGATCCGATGCCTGTGGCTGTTGGGTTGTTGTGGGAGCGGAAGTTTTCACGAGTCGAAAGAGTAGAGAGGTCTGGTCTGTGGCCTTCACGGGTATGATATATGGGGAAGCCGGCGGCGCGGAATGCATCCAGTAGCCGTCGAATTTTGGGTATTAGCGCCATGGCAGGCGTGACATCGTAGCCTTGATATGACATATATCCTTCTTGCGAGCAAACTAGATACATATTTAGAACGATGTCCAGACATGATGGAGGGGCCAGGGTCAGCAGGGGGTACGTACCATCCCGTTGCATGTCAACGACTACCAGAGCCGTGGTGAACGGAGTAAAAGTGGCATCGTGAGGCCAGTCGTAAGGTACGGCGGTGACCTGACCCTTTTTGACTCGATGATGAGGCGCCTGGCGGGGTTTATCCATGATAGCTCCATGGTTGTGTGTCGGATTCAGGACGGTGAGCGTCCATATGCCAGGATTCCCAGCAGCCACGAGCATGAACGGACAATCCATCAGCCTGGACGTCCGTTTCCGCTTGCGAGTCTCCTCCGTCAACCCATTCCGGGGCCTGTACTGGCCTCCACGATCGCATCTTAACCAGACCTTCGCGGTACGCCCTGGTTTCTTCTCGGTGGGCGTACTGGACGATTTGACAACAACATTGTACCCGTGTGCCTTTGCATGAGCATGCACCGACGCTATCAACGACGCTTTATCGGGGTATGTGCCTTCTGGCGGCGGAACGAGGTCGTCAACGGGCGACAGGTCGGGGATATCCTGTAGATCGCTGGGCGCATCGAGGTTCAAGTCCGTGGGGTCCGCCATGCTTGCCGCATGGCCGGGTGAAGCGGACAGCCCTTCTTTCCAGAAGTTAGCGCCATTGCGAGCAAGCATATGTAGAGAAATGTGGACTGCGCAGAGTCTGTGGTAAGGGGATGCGTAGATAGCTAAGGTTCGCTGTGCGTGGATGTATGGCGGAAGCTGTGGTGGTGCCAGATATGCCGGAGCAGCGGTTGTGTGGAGGCGGGACGTTGAGAGAACGGACAGACCGCGCTGTCCTCGCAGAAAAGAACGCACTCACCTACCGGCAAGACGAAAGGCAGCGCTCGCTGGTGCTGCTGGAGCCGCTGTGGTTGCTTGTATCTATATCTAAACAGAGGCTATGGGCACGTCGTTTTCTACCTGCGGTTGGCGAGCTTCAAGTAAGCAGAAGTAGGAGATGTCACGTGGTGCTGACACATCACTATATAAAAACGTCCAGTCCATCGTTCATGTTCATGTTCATCGTCGTCGCGTTATATCTCGTATTCTATGCTGTCCTTAGCATGGCGGGTTAGCAGGCCTCGGGTTCTTACATTTACAAGTGATCATATATAGTCATAAAGGTCAGGGTCATAAGCTGAGTTCTAGATAGTATATCTTATCTCAGCCTGGGGGTTGCATCGAGATGTGATTATCCAAACCTCCAGCTGGTCAGTAGTATCACTAACGGTGTACATAGGTGCAAGTGGGAGACGCTTTCCTTGCCGTCTGGTTTGCATGCAGGAGGGCCGATGACAGCTGTCACAGACCATGCTGTGCCTGCCATGGAGAACGGTGACGACGATATAGACTCCTTTTTGAAACCGTTGGTTCTTGACAATGGCACAGTATACAATCTTGCATACCGTTTCTCGAAGACATTCAAGGAACTCGCAGCGAGCTCTCTAGAGCAGTTCTTTCCTGCGGCTGTAACCCGCCTACCCACAGGGCAGGAAACAGGCCATTATCTAGCAGCATATGTCGGCCTTTCATACCTTCGGGTTGCCTTCATTGACCTGCTAGGTCCGGCTGTACCAAGGGCCAAAACTAACGGTAGTAAAGGTGTGATACCACCCCGTGTGCGACGAACTCTGGAGAAAGCATGGCCTATCGAAGAACGCCTGAAAAAGGATAACGCGAAGGACCTCTTTGCATGGATTGGAGACTGTGTCGCCGAGGTTGTAGCAGACAGCCTAGATCCGGTGGGAAGCAGTTCACCGGCATCAGTAGATATGGGCATTTCATTTTGTTTCCCAATAAAGTTCGTCTATTTTACCGGACTGGACTCCGTTTTCCTCTTTTTGGATACAGAGAATTAACATTTAATAGGCAAGGAAACCTGCACGAGGCGATATTAATGCCTACTGGCAAAGGATTTGCAATAAACTCGGATCTCAATCTTCGAGAGGCTTTGCTTGACGGTTACGACCGCCACATACGGCGCGCCAATCGGGAGTTTGATGCTGACACAAAGCGACTACGGAGCAGTTCGCTGCCGACACTAAGAGTAGTGGCAATCACAAACGACACAGTTGGGACGCTGGCGTCTCTAGCATACTCGGTGCCATCGCTTCCCAATAGCAGGGCCGTCATGGGCCTTATCGTCGGTTCAGGATGTAATGCCACCATATTAATGAAGATGAGCGACCTCCATGAAATGAAAACCCATCAGGTGCGCATGAATCAACCCGAGGCAACAGAGGTACTCGTGAGCACCGAATGGACCCTAAGTGACTCTGCTGCTCCTCTCCGAGAGCTTGAGATCGCTACCAAGTGGGATAAAGAGCTTGAGGCGGCTAGTAGTCGACCGGGCTTCCAACCCTTGGAATATATGGTTGGCGGTCGATATATAGGCGAATTAGTCCGTATAATTGCGCACGATTACCTGAGAATTGTCCTTGGAGTCCCACACGACGCGCTTCCGGTGAACCTCGTCGAGCCATACAAGCTTACGACCGACTTCCTCTCTTTTGTTGTCGCATCCCCCTCCGCCACCAAGGAAAGCCTTGCCTCTGAGCTTCGCGCCAAACTCCCACCTCCAGCATCGTCAAGTGAGTGGAACTGGACACCTGAAACAGCGGGCATTCTACGATCCATCGCATCCACCGTCCAGGTCCGGTCCGCTGCCCTCGTTGCCGCGGCAACCGTCGGCCTGCTAGCCTGTACGGAACACATCCATCTCACGAAGCTTCAAGATCTAGCATCTGTTCCACATACACCTACTCAAGAAGCTACCTCGTTCCTGCAGCCAAGCGACCTCCGTAGTCCGGAGGAACTAGTTGTTGGTTTCTCTGGCGGTGTTATACAACACTACCCAAGGTACAAGGGCCATGTGCAAAGGTATATTGACCAGATACTACTACGCAGTGGGCCACAGGATGGAGGGAAGAGTATATTCCTTAGAGAAGCGAGTGATGGTGGTATCATCGGCGTGGGCGTCCTGGCTGGCACAACTAACGGCAAGATAGAGACGATTACGGGCGCAGGTATGAAGGCTGTGCAGGATGCAAAGGATCCTCAGTCATAACTATGGGCCATATTGGGGTTTATATCTCTGAATTTTACCCAGATCGGTGGTGATAGGCACATGGCCAGTTGACACCTGAGCCATGAGGTGTATTACCCGGATATCGATGCAGGATAGTTGGCTGGACATTTCAAGCGAGCCGGCATTTGTATGACTGTAGATGAATATTGTGTATCTTTTAAGAATATTTGTATGAATATGCTTCTATGTCACCTATCATCTTGCAGATCCAGATTTCGTACGTCTACTTGACAAGATGGTTGTCTATACGGACTTGGGGCCCTGAGATAAGGTAGTGACACCAACATGTGTCTGCTGCAGGTGATGCTAACCCTCCAGCATGGCATGCAAGCGCAGCTGATATCGCCAGGGTTGAGGGTTGAAGCATTTTAAGCATCGAAAAGTGACCAGGAACAGCGTCCACGTGACCGTGGTTGTCAGGGCATCGCTGAGTCAGCACATCATCAACATCGAACGACAACAACAGGGGGAGAGAGAGAGACCGGCGAGACAGTGAGAGATAACGACGACCACGACGACGACTAAGACGGCGACAGGACAGCAGAGGGACAGCAGAGGGACAGGTAGGTATAGGTAAGATAGGTAAGTAGGCAGGTTCCTCTCAGCCTGCGCCATACCCGCATCCTTGACCGAGTGTCTGGATGATACCGGCATCTGACGCCAACGATTCACTCCAGCTGGCGCAATAGACCGGCTGCATACTACGTCTGGTCGCGCAGTTGTCGCTACCAGCTATCGCGAAACCATATAGTGCTCTACTAGAAAGCACCTGCAAGCGTGGTTTCCGACCTCGACACCCGGAAAGATATCTAAGCTCAACATGGCGATTGAAGAACCTCCGTCATCACCGCCCAACCCGTCGACCAACACCGCCGACGCCATCGCCTACTACAAGTTGCAATATGAGGCACTAGAAGCCGAGCTCGCAGACTTTCAGACGTCAAGTCGCGAGCTAGAAACCGAACTAGAGAAGGACATCGAGGCGTCGGAGAAGAGGGAGCGGAAGCTGAAGGAGAAGGTCGAGAGCTTGGGTTACGAGGTCGAGGAATGGAAGGTGAGCTTCAGACGTGCAGCGCACCCACTGTATGCCAGGCGCATTCTTACGGATGTATGAATAGACCAAGTATAAACAAGCCAAAGCGGAGGCGAACTCAGTGCAGAATACCCTACAGAAGGAGATCACGACGCTGCGAGACTCAAACCGGACACTACAGTTAAAGCTTCGCGATATAGAAGTGGCCAATGATGATTTTGAGAGACAAGCTCGCAACACGACCTCTTCGCTGGAGGATGTAGAGTCGAAATACAACGTCTCTATCGAGCGCGGGGTGCTGCTCGAGGAAGAGATCAAGAACGGCGAACAGGAGCGAGAGGCACTGCGTATCCAGGAGCAGCGACTGCGTGATGAACTAGCGGACCTCAAAGTGGAAACGCATATTACCCAGGAGAAGCTACGAAAGGCAGAAGCAGCTCTGGAACGAAAGGCAAAACTATCGTTGCTGGATTCCAGTTCTGCGAACGGCCATCGCATGGATGCGGCGGACCATTCGCCTGCAACGACTGCCTCTTCTCCCATCGCTACACCTCTTACCAAGTCGGCGTCCTCTGTTGCATCAGAGATCGCTACTCCTCCATCACCACCCTTCTCCGAGTCCTCCACGAACGGGGCCTTTAGAGGAGGCACCCCGAACATGCCTCGATCCCGCATCTCTCTGTCTGACTCTACTTCGATGCCCAAACACCAGAAGTCGCAGTCACGGTCCTCTCGACATTCTCGTGTGCCATCTGTATCTATGAGCAGCACCACAGGCCGTTTGACCCCATCTACTGGCCGCCGCACCACCTCCAATGGTCTCCCTAAATCAGCTTCGCTGCACCAGATTCGCGGCCTGATTGGGAAGATGCAGAAACTCGAGGAGCGCGTACAGTCCGCACGCTCTCGATTACCGGCACCGGTCGACACACCGCCTCGCGTATCCCCGCGTACCAACTCCGCCATGGGCCAGTCCTATATATCGTCGTCGGTTACGGTACGTAGCAACAGGAAGCGATCCAACGGCAGCGTGGCGAGCTCCAAGGACCATGAACCTATTACCCCCCTTTCCCGACTACCACAGGGTCGAGGTTCCTTTGGCGGTCCTCCGCCAGGTCAATCCACCCCCTCACGACCAAGCAGTCGCACAAGCATGTCGTCACGGTGCTCTATTAACTTGACATCGTCGAGCGGCGTCGCACAACCCCGACCAGAATCTCGCCAGAACCTAAACGGCTCCCGCACCGCGCTGGGACATTATTCCAGCAACTCGCTCAACATGAGCATGTCCAGCATACCCGACTCCCACCACCACTCGACGAACAGCAGCAGCAGCATGAGTGGTGGCATCCGCCGTCCTCGCTCCTCACTAAGCAACTACAACCCATCCGCGAGCATGTCATATATCGACGAAGACAACGCCGAGTTGGACCTGAGTATGCACACGCCCACACCGCGACGATACGACAGCATCGGATCCGGCGGCTCGATCCCCACCCCTGCAGGCCTGAAGAGGAGACCGAGTGGCGGTATGTCCTCGATACCCACGCCGGCCACCCTGACACCACGACGGACGAGCTCGGCACTCGGAAGGAGAGAAGGCGATATGCCTCCGCCGTCGACTGGTAGGAAGAAGTCGACTGTCGGGCCTCGACCTTCCTCGTCCCTGGGGAGCCTGGGAGAGACATATTAACCAACCTCGTATCGTCCGTCCGCGGCCCCCTAATGAATGTCTATGAATATACACTATCATGCATACATCTCCCACCTACCCGCGGCGAATAATACCGGACGTTTGTTTTCACTCCAGCCGCACCTGACTTATTCTATATTTTCGTAATAGCCATCCGCTCTTTCAGCATATCAACTAGATAATGACGCATGTGTTTCGTTCCTTTGTTCATGCCCTTATACCCTGTCCTTCATCTTCAGCTACCATCATGTATGTATATCCACGCTACGCCAGAAATACCAGACGGTCTTACTGAATCTCGGAGCATTTGCATCCTCCCTGTCAGCCTTATCCTTAGTCGCTTCGTCGTGTTTTATATAGAACCTTCCATAAGCTCGGCCTCGGTGCCGAGCCTTACCTAAGCCTTACTTAGTCAGCGACATAAGGGGCTAGCGCGGTTTTTCTGTTGGGGAAAACTCGGGCCCGCTGTTGAGATAGATATATAGAAGATATATAGAGATAAATATAGATGATAGGTAAGGTAGATAGATGGATATACGGAGTAGAGATAGAGATATAAATAGATAGAGAAAGATAGGTAGAAGGTAGAGATAGAGAGAGAGAGGGAGAGAGAGTATACTCCGTTCGGGGGACGGACATTAATGGCGTGGGGGAGCGGACAGTTAGCTGCAGTTGAGGCAGCTCAACAGGCCGAAAGCTCCTTGGGAAGAAGGAAGAAGAAAGGCGCAAGGGGGGTAAAGTTGAGGTAAAGTTGAGGCAGAGTTGAGTGGTAACGGCGGTACGGTAAGTTACGGTGCTTTTCGGCCCGGTGGCGGCTCTGGTACACGCCGGATACGCATCATTACGTAGCAAGCTCGAGGGTCGCCCGATCGGGAAACAGGGCCAGCGGTTTTTCTTCTTCTTCACTTCTTCATGCGCCGGCCTCCCTCTTCTTCTTCTTCTTCTTCTTCGTCCTCTTCTTCTCCAGCTTCACTTCTTCTTCTCTTCCCTGTGCTTCTCCTTCCTGCGTAGAGCCGCATTCTCTCACTCGGGTTCTCTTCTCTTCTTCCATTCCTTGCTCCGTTGCGCATCCCCTTGCCAGATGGTAGCAGACGGCTTGCGGCGTTCAGGCTGAACAGACATATACAACACACATACACAGAGATCATTGACACTGCAACAGTGCTAGACAGTTCCCCCTTAGACTCGACAGACTTGACAAGCTCCGAACCTGATTTGAGAAACCCTCCGAACGTTCATATAAAAACACCATAGACAGCTGCTCCAGACACCGAATTCCGCTTTTGAACAGTCAGTCAAGATGCCTGAAACGAATTCAACGTCCGTCAACGGCTACGGTAGCGCGTACGCCGCCAAACATAAGCTCCCTTCACATTTTATCGGTGGAAATCGACTGGATCTAGCTACTCCGGGCACCGTCAAGGACTTTGTGGCCAAGAACGATGGTCACTCCGTCATTACCTCTGTATGCTTGGATCCTACTGAAAAATATATGTATACGGTCAATTATACTAACGGGTGCAGGTCCTGATTGCGAACAACGGTATTGCGGCCGTCAAAGAAATTCGATCCGTACGAAAATGGGCGTACGAGACTTTTGGCGATGAGCGGGCTATCCAATTCACCGTCATGGCCACCCCGGAGGACTTGAGAGCGAATGCAGACTATATTCGTATGGCAGATCAATACGTAGAGGTAGGTTCCCCCGCACTGCGTCAACCGAAAAAGGGGGTGGAGGGTAGCTAATTCGGACAGGTCCCTGGTGGAACTAATAATAATAATTACGCAAACGTCGAGCTGATCGTCGATGTTGCGGAACGGATGGGTGTGCATGCCGTTTGGGCTGGATGGTATGTTCATACGTCACTATTTCGCCAGCATTCACTAACGAGTATAGGGGACATGCGTCTGAAAACCCCAAACTGCCCGAATCGCTCGCCGCCTCGCCAAAAAAGATCATTTTCATCGGCCCTCCAGGCAATGCGATGCGCTCTCTCGGAGATAAGATCTCATCTACGATAGTTGCGCAGCACGCGGGGGTTCCCTGCATTCCGTGGTCGGGCACGGGCGTAGATGAGGTCACTATCGATGAGGAGGGCATTGTTACCGTGGAGGACGAAGTTTATGATCTGGGATGCACGCACTCTCCCCAGGAAGGTCTCGAAAAGGCTCGTGAGATTGGGTTCCCCGTCATGGTCAAGGCGTCCGAGGGTGGTGGTGGAAAGGGTATCCGCAAGGTTGACAGCGAAGAGAACTTCGAGGCCTTGTACAATGCAGCTGCCAGCGAGATACCGGGATCGCCCATCTTCATCATGAAGCTGGCCGGAAACGCTAGGCATCTGGAAGTCCAGCTTCTCGCTGATCAGTATGGCAATAACATCTCCTTGTTTGGCCGTGATTGCTCCGTCCAACGACGTCACCAGAAGATTATCGAGGAGGCCCCAGTCACCGTGGCTAAACAGGCTACTTTCCAGGAGATGGAGAAAGCTGCAGTTCGTTTAGGTCGTCTTGTAGGCTACGTCTCTGCCGGTACTGTTGAATATCTCTACTCCCACGCCGACGACAAGTTCTACTTCCTCGAGCTCAACCCTCGTCTGCAGGTCGAGCATCCAACCACCGAAATGGTCAGCGGAGTCAATCTTCCTGCTGCCCAGCTGCAGATTGCAATGGGTATTCCCCTCCACCGCATCCGTGACATTCGCCTCCTCTACGGCGTTGACCCCAACACTTCCTCCGATATCGACTTCGGCTTCTCTAATGAAGGAAGCACCAAGGTCCAGCGCCGGCCACAGCCAAAGGGCCACACCACCGCTTGCCGAATCACCTCCGAAGATCCAGGTGAAGGTTTCAAGCCTTCCAGCGGTACGATGCACGAACTGAATTTCCGAAGTTCCTCCAACGTGTGGGGTTACTTCTCTGTGGGTACTGCGGGCGGAATCCACAGTTTCTCCGACTCGCAGTTCGGTCACATCTTCGCCTATGGAGAGAACCGATCTGCCTCGAGGAAACACATGGTTGTTGCTCTCAAGGAATTGAGTATCCGTGGTGACTTTAGGACGACGGTCGAGTATCTTATTAAGCTGCTCGAAACGCCTGCCTTCGAGGACAACACTATCACTACCGGATGGCTGGACGAGCTGATCACTAAGAAGCTGACTGCCGAACGACCGGATCCAATTGTGGCTGTCATTTGCGGTGCCATGACCAAAGCTTACTTGGCCAGCGAAGCATGCGAATCTGAATACCGTAAGGGTATCGAGAAGGGTCAAGTACCTGCCAAGGATGTCCTCAGCACCGTCTTCCCAATTGATTTCATCTATGAGGGATCTCGCTACAAGTTTACGGCTACCCGCTCCAGCATCGACAGCTACCACCTGTACATCAACGGCAGCAAGTGTTCCGTTGGTGTTCGTGCATTAGCTGACGGTGGACTCCTTATCCTTCTTGACGGCCGAAGTCATAATGTCTACTGGAAGGAAGAGGCGGCTGCTACTCGTTTGTCCGTCGATGGCAAGACCTGTCTTCTTGAGCAGGAGAATGATCCCACCCAGCTGCGAACCCCTAGTCCTGGTAAATTGGTCAAGTTCACCGTCGAGAACGGCGAGCATGTTCGTGCCGGCCAACCCTTCGCTGAAGTTGAGGTCATGAAGATGTACATGCCCTTGATTGCCCAGGAAGACGGAGTGGTTCAATTCATCAAGCAGCCCGGAGCTACTCTCGAGGCAGGTGATATTCTCGGTATCCTCGCACTAGACGACCCATCTAGAGTCAAACATGCCTCGCCATTCCACGGCCAACTGCCAGAGCTCGGCCCACCACAGGTCCTTGGTAACAAGCCCCCACAGCGATTCATGCTTCTTCTGAAGATTCTCCAGGATATCCTCCGCGGATACGACAACCAAGTCATTATGGGAGCCACTTTGAACGAACTCGTTGAAGTCCTGCGTAACCCAGAGCTACCATACGGAGAATGGAACGCATACGCTTCTGCCCTGCACTCTCGCATGCCGCAAAAACTCGATGCCCAAATGACACAGGTCATTGAGCGTGCAAAGTCTCGCAAAGCAGACTTCCCCGCTGCCCAGCTTATGAAGATCGTCACCCGCTTCATCGATGAGAACGTCAAGCCAGCCGATGCCGAGGCTCTACGAAGCACTATTGCGCCTCTGTTGCAAATCATTCAGCGTTACAACGAGGGTCTCAAGGTGCAAGAGTACAAGATCATCGTCTCCCTGCTTGAGCAGTACTGGGATGTCGAGCGCTTGTTCGCTCAGGGCAACACTCGAGATGAGAGCGTCATCTTGAAACTCCGTGACGAGAACAAGGAGGACATCTCATATGTCATCCAGACCGTGCTTTCACACAGCAAGATCGGATCAAAGAATAACCTCATCCTCGCTATCCTTGACATGTATCGCCCCAACAAGCCTAATGTCGGCAACGTTGCGAACTATCTCAAGTCCATCCTCCGCAAACTAGCTGAACTTGAATCTCGCGCTACCGCCAAGGTCGCTCTCAAGGCCCGTGAGGTGCTTATTCAGTGTGCTCTGCCTTCTCTTGAAGAGCGAGTTGCTCAAATGGAACATATCCTGCGCTCGTCTGTGATTGAATCTAAATACGGTGAGACCGGCTGGGACCACCGAGAACCTGATCTTAATGTTCTCAAGGAAGTCGTTGACTCGAAATATACCGTCTTCGATGTCCTGCCTCTTTTCTTCGCCCATAGTGACCCATGGGTTTCCCTTGCTGCACTTGAAGTCTACGTTCGCCGTGCTTATCGTGCCTATGCTCTCAAGGGTATCGAGTACCACAACACATCCGAAGCACCATACTTCGTATCCTGGGACTTCATCCTTCGCAAGGTGCCGCACTCTGAATTCGGTCTACCAGGTCAGTCAACCACGTCATCTGTGCCAGGAACACCCATTTCGGAAATCAACCCATTCAAGAAGATCGGATCTATCAGCGATATGGCGTACTTCACGAACAAGGGAGTGGGCCCAGATGAAGTGACGAGAAAGGGTGTTTTCATTCCTGTGCATTACCTTGACGAAGCTGAGGAAGTGCTCTACAAAGCTCTCAGCGTCTTCCCCCGTGCTGCCCCAACCATAGCTAAGCCAAAGAAGAACGGGGCTCTGCCTGACCGTAGCAAGCCAGCGGCACGTTATGAAAACGATGAGGAGCTCACAGGTGTCTGCAACGTTGCTATCCGTGACGTTGAGGATCTGGATGACTCCGAACTTGCTTCTCGTCTCGCAGCTCTTGTCAGTGATGCAAAGGGTGAATTGCTTGCTCGTGGCATTCGCCGTTTGACTTTTGTCTGCGGTCATGAAGACGGCACGTATCCTGGCTACTTCACCTTCCGTGGACCAACATATACCGAAGACGTTAGTATCCGTCACAGTGAGCCAGCACTTGCCTTCCAGCTTGAACTGGGCCGTCTGTCCAAATTTAAAATCAAGCCTGTCTTCACTGAGAACCGTAACCTGCACGTTTACGAGGCTATTGGCAAGGGTCCTGAGCTTAGTGACAATGCTGTTGACAAGCGCTACTTCACTCGTGCTGTGGTTCGACCAGGCAGACTACGTGATGACATTCCTACCGCTGAATATCTCATTTCCGAGGCCGATAACTTGATGACTGATATTCTCGACGCACTCGAAATTATTGGCAACAATAACTCCGATCTGAATCATATCTTCATCAACTTCACCCCTGTCTTCCCCTTGCAACCAGCTGATGTCGAGAAAGCCCTTGCTGGTTTCTTGGAGCGCTTTGGTCGACGTCTGTGGCGTCTGCGCGTCACTGGTGCTGAGATCCGTATCCTCTGCACTGACCCTGCCACGGGCGCACCTTATCCTCTCCGAGTGGTTATCACCAACACCTCCGGCTATATCATCCAGGTTGAGCTTTATGTTGAGCGTAAGTCTGAGAAGGGCGAATGGATCTTCCACTCTATCGGTGGCACGACCAAGATTGGATCCATGCATCTCCGTCCTGTCTCCACACCCTACCCTACCAAGGAATGGCTGCAGCCTAAGCGTTACAAGGCCCATCTTATGGGTACTCAGTACGTTTACGATTTCCCAGAGCTGTTCCGTCAAGCTTTCCAGAACAGCTGGACTTCTGCCATCGCTGCTCACCCTGCCTTGGCTGAGAAGAGGCCTGCTCAGGGCACTTGTATCGAATACTCCGAGCTTGTCCTCGATGATAGGGATAACTTGGCCGAAGTTTCTCGTGAACCTGGTACCAACACCCATGGTATGGTTGGATGGCTGATCACAGCTAAGACACCAGAATATCCACGTGGAAGACGCTTCATCGTTGTCGCCAACGACATCACGTACCAAATTGGTTCGTTCGGACCACAGGAAGATAAGTTCTTCTACCAGTGTACCGAGATGGCTAGAAAGTTGGGAATTCCCAGAATTTACCTGTCTGCCAACTCTGGTGCGCGTATTGGTATGGCGGATGAATTCATGTCGCAGTTCAGCGTCGCATGGAACAACCCAGAAAAGCCAGAGAATGGGTTCAAGTATCTCTATCTCACACCAGATGTTGAGAAGCGCCTTGCCAAAGAGAAGAAGAAGGATCTTATCACCGAATTGATCACTGAGGATGGCGAAGAGCGCTATAAGATCACCACCATCGTCGGAGCCAAGGATGGTCTCGGTGTTGAGTGTCTTAGGGGCTCTGGTCTGATTGCCGGTGCTACCTCCAAGGCATACGAAGACATCTTCACCATCACACTCGTCACTTGTCGTTCCGTTGGTATCGGTGCTTATCTCGTTCGTCTCGGCCACCGTGCGATCCAGGTCGAGGGTCAGCCAATTATCCTCACTGGTGCACCAGCTATCAACAAACTTCTTGGACGTGAAGTGTATACCTCCAACTTGCAGCTCGGTGGTACCCAAATCATGTACAACAACGGTGTCTCACACATGACTGCCAACGACGACTTTGCGGGTATCACCAAGATTGTGGAATGGATGTCCTTCATCCCTGAGAAGAAGGGTGCTCCCATTCCTATCCGCCCATCGGCTGATCCCTGGAACCGAGAGGTCACATACTGTCCTCCACCCAAGCAACCATATGATGTCCGCTGGCTCATTGGCGGAAAGGAGGACGATGAAGGCTTCCTTCACGGACTATTCGACAAGGATTCTTTCGAGGAGGCCCTTGGTGGCTGGGCTCGAACCGTCGTTGTTGGCCGTGCTAGACTCGGTGGTATCCCAATGGGTGTCATTGCTGTCGAAACTCGATCCGTCGACTGTGTCACGCCAGCTGACCCTGCCAACCCTGATTCCATGGAAGTGCTGTCTACTGAAGCCGGAGGAGTCTGGTATCCTAACTCCGCATTCAAGACCGCCCAGGCTCTCAAGGACTTCAACTACGGTGAACAGCTGCCCGTCATGATCCTCGCTAACTGGCGTGGTTTCTCTGGTGGTCAACGTGACATGTACAACGAGGTTCTCAAATATGGTTCCTATATCGTTGACGCCTTGGTTAAGTATGAGCAGCCTATCTTCGTCTACATCCCACCACACGGTGAACTACGTGGTGGCTCTTGGGTCGTCATCGATCCAACTATCAACCCAGACCAAATGGAGATGTACGCCGATGTTGAAGCCCGAGGTGGTATTCTTGAACCCGAAGGTATCGTGAACATTAAATACCGCCGCGATAAACAACTCGACACCATGGCCCGCCTGGACCCAGAATACGGCGCCCTCCGCCAAGCTCTCAAAGACAAGTCTCTAAGCCCTGAGAAGCTTTCCTCGATCAAGGCCCAGATGACCGAGCGTGAGGAGAAACTACTGCCCGTCTACATGCAGATTGCCCTTCAATTCGCCGACCTCCACGACCGCGCCGGCCGCATGGAAGCCAAGGGCACAATCCGCAAACCCCTCGAATGGAAGAACGCCCGCCGCTTCTTCTACTGGCGTCTCCGCCGTCGTCTAAGCGAGGAAATCATCCTCAAGCGCATGGCGGCTGGCACCCTCGCTTCCGCCACTGCCTCCCCAACCCCACCAACCACCGCCACGACTCCCCCCATCCCCAGCCCTTCCAACACCCCATCCCCCGCCAACACATCCAGCATCGTCACTGCTCGCTCTCCACGTGATGAGAACCTGACCAAACTTAAATCATGGACCGGAATTGATGACGATGAATTCGAATCCAACGACCGTGAAGTCGCCATCTGGTACGAAGAAAACAAGAAGACCGTGTACGAGAAGATTGAAACGCTTAAGACCGATGGTGTCGCTGCCGAAGTTGCTGCTTTGCTTATGGGTAATAAGGAAGGTGGTCTGCGTGGTGTGCAGCAAATTCTTAGCATGTTGCCTGCTGGAGAGAAGGCTGCTGTGTTGAAATACTTGGGCTCTTCGTGAGTTGACGAGCTTATGTCCAATGTATAGAGAGGGAAATTCCTTTGTTTCCTGCCTCTTTATGTGATTCATTATTTACATTTCGTGTTTCTTTTTTGATGATTACGTTTTTTCTTCTATGTTTTCATCTGTATATTCTTCTTTTTTGGCCCTGACATTTGTCTTACGTTATCATGGAATGAAGTAAAGTACTTTTTAATGGCTTACAGCTCTATTGGTCATGTTATCATATATTGGTCGTTTTAGAATTACTTATAATCCAGTTTATTCATGTCACTTGGTCCTCAAACAGGCTTGTATATGCTGTCCCCACCCCAGCCCTACTTCCTTGCCCTACTTTTTGGATGGAAGCCGAGAGCACGTGCAACAACCTTATTCAGCCCGCGCCACGTGATGAGGCTGAGCCAAGACATGTCTGTTTATGGGCAGTTTCTCCGAGCCGGGTGGATTTAGGCTGCATAAATTGCTGGCCTCTGATTGGCGGGTCCCAGGCAGCAATGTTCTGCAGCTTGGGCGATATTTATAGACGACGACGACGCAATCGCAGGCGCAGGCGCAAGCATCGCGACATGAGAACAACGCCGCCATCAAGGTGAAAAAGTCGACATATATTCAGATACACCGCTGTCCTCGGCTACCTCTCATCAAATACCCCCAAAACCCTCATCCAACTCTCTCACTGCGGGGTTTCCGGTGCTGATACCGACATTATGTCGGTACTTAGACATGGCAGCGCTTTTCTCCAGCGACGGCTGACGAAGCTGTATACCGACACCAAATCATCCTGCGAAAGCGTCACCACAGCTGCCAGGCCCAACGACGACCCAGAGCTCGTCTCTCTTAACCGTCACTTTCGAACGCAGAAGGATAGGCTGTTAGCGTGGGGTCTAGACTGGAGTGATGCCAGTGCAGCGCAACCAAACGATATTGATGAAGCGTTAACAGAAGCTGGATTCAGCGATGTGGTCGCAAGTGTTATGTCATCTATCCAAAAACTTCTCAATGAGGCTGAACGGCTGCAACACCCAAATGCCGCAACCATGTCACCGGATGGTCTGGGAGGCAAGGTTACGGACGGCAGCTACACAGCTAGCGCTACTGGTGGTGTGAAAACAACCTGGACAGAAGCAGAGATATCCCGATCCAAAGTATTGTTGGAAGAATTAACATCTCACATCGATACCCTTTACGATTTATCGGCATCTAGGCGGGATATGAGCATGAGCATATCATCGAATGCGCCACAAAACGAGAAATATGCACACCATCGTGGCTTATCGAAACAGTCGAAAGAAGCTCTTCGTCCAATATTAAAATCCTCAAAATCAGCTGGTAGCAAGCCAAGTTATCGGGAAATTGCGTCGAAGGAAACTCGGCCTGTCATGCCAACCAACGGTCCTTTTTTGAATACGCACGTTGATCCTTCTCTCACCGTGAATAATGAAGCATTTCAGCTACCGTTACCACAGCCTCAACAGAATGGAGAATTCTATCTAGATCGCTCTGCCTTGAGCCTTTCGAAAGAGAGCATCGCACACGCAACAACGCCTCCTCCTTATGAGGCCGTTGCCGCCTCAACTAGTTCAAGAGCGATGGGATATATCAATAGAGAGGCCATTACGTCTTGCCTAATGGGAAGTTGTCGTGGCGCCTCCATCCCAGTTATGGTTGAATTTTTGCCAATTTTGATGGAGGCGCAACGTTCTCTTGCCCATCCGCTAAAGCAGCGCATGAAGACTATCAGTCAGACTCTAGATCGCCTGATAGAAAATTCAAGGGTTTCTCACCTTGGACTGTTGAAATTTATTGGTTATTACATCGACATGACTTACTCCCGTTACGCATTCGTTTACCAGACACCCCTCGACGTGTTTCCATTTTTACAACAACCTTCTGATACCATGCAGCCCAGGCCACTCGTCTCACTTCTTCACACTGGCGATGATAAGCAAGAAGGGCCTGTGCCAAACCTTGAGGTTCGGTTGGCTCTAGCATACAATCTCGTGCTATCAGCGCTACATCTACGAAGTCAGAATCTCGTTCATGGCAACATAAACAGCAACAACATTATAATATTTCCTGGCGTCCACGTATCTAACACTGGATCCACGAGTAACGAGAGCTCGGATTACCGCCGACCTTATCTTACTTCCCTTGGCCAGTTTGATGGCGATGACAAAAATGCGCCTCCGGAGCCTTTGTCGTCAAGCATGTATCGACACCCTGACGATCGAAGGGCCTATAATGATAAGGCTGCCTGGGCGTATGATCTATACAGTCTTGGTCTAGTCCTGCTTGAGATAGGACTATGGACACCGATCGGGAGACTGTGGAAATTAAAATATAATAACTCGATGTTCAAATCCAGAATCGAAAACGTCTACGTGAAAAAGCTAGCAGCTAAATGTGGAGGTGCTTATATGCAAGTCGTTCAGCTATGCCTTGACACTCCAAATTTCCATTTATCTACCGAGCCCATGGCCGATTTGGGACTTAGAATTCCACAGACATATAACTATCCCTGGACCGACTCAGTTAGCTCGAATGATTGGAGCACGTTTTCGAAGAATTTTGTTTACACGATTGGAAAGGTTCTTTGGAAGTGTTGCGGCGTCGATGTGTTCTCACCACCTCCGGCTTCTGATCTAGAAGACTCCCTTCCTCCACCACTGGGCCTTGGACCCGAGTTTTCCTCCTTTCAGCAAATACCCTCGAATGAGTCAGGCATGCATTTTATAGAACCAACCGTATCAATTGATATCCCCGATGATGCTTCCGCCCACCCGGATGTGAAAAATATTAATGAAATGTGTGAGAATAGTGAGAGAAAGGCCCGAAAACGATCATTGAAAAAGTGGTCCAATGTGGATATTCCTGAAGAGCACCTACAAGCTTGGAACAAGGCATTGATGCCAAAGCTAAGCAAACTTTTACAAAAGATTTTAAAAGACTCGCCAGAATCTTGCAGTGCAACGCTGTTAGTTGCTGGAGAAACAGCGGACACGGCTAAGACAACGATATGCGTTACTTGCACCAATGTTCGAAAAGTCCGTGCGGCATTAAAGAAGTACTTTGAATATGATCGTGAAAACTGGAATCTAATCGTCATTCGCGGAGATATAAAACGATCCAAAGTGCCACGGAAGAAACGCCGGAAGCCTAGAGCGAACAAGGGCGTTGTTCCTCCAGAGGCGACTGTGGCTAATTTCAATGCCAACTATCAAAGCAAGCCTATATGCGGTGCCTCGATTGGCGCCTTCCGTTATGATGAACATCTACCGCCAGTTTCTTACGGTGGCGCGATTCTTGTGGACGGTGTACCGTATGGGATGACAGTTCATCATATGCTAGACACTCCCTGCGATGATGATGATGATTATGGCGATGGGTATGAGGACGACGATGCAGATTATCCACCTCGATCCGCAGCTAATTGTATACCCAATCTCGATAATCGTGATACTTCCTTTTCCTGGGGCGATGCTAACGTACCAGAGGCTGTCTACCCATTTGAGTTTTCGGAGGACGAGGACGATGATGACGATCAGTCCATAACACATAGCCTTGACGAATCATTTGACGACCACTGGCTATCTGACGGCTACTCGAGTGACGAGGGAGATGATTACGGCGGTTTCGATGACGACGATGCGGCTTCGATTGGGGATACAGTTGGGGTTGAACCTGGCGAAGAGCCTCGGATTATGGTCACGCAGCCAGCACTTGATGATGTACATGAAGACTTCTTTCCAACACCTGAAGATAGAGATGATGAGCATCTTGCATCTCATTCCTTGGGCTTTGTTCACGCCTCATCTGGAGTTCGAAGGTGGACTCGTGATGGCATCAAACATGAGGTCGACTGGGCATTGATTAGAATCGACTTAAACAGGATGGAAGTTAATAATCAGGTTCCCGTTAGCGCAACACCCCAAGGCAACTCTAGGTCTAACCGGAGACAACCACAAGCTGATACCAACTCCTTCCGCACCCTAACCAAAATCGCGAAACTCGATGACCTCGGTGGTTTAAATGTACAGTGTTGCGGTCGAACTAGCGGTTTCCAGAGTGGACGAATTTCTAAGGCCTTAACTCTAGTTAAAATGTATGGCCGTCAATCATTCTCAACTAGCTTCAGCGTTGACGGCAACTTTGGAGGTAAGGATTTTTCATTTCCCTTGTTAATTTATGCAGGTGCTAACATCTTACCTCATAGTTCCCGGGGATTCTGGTGCCTGGGTCTTTAACGACAAGGGCCAAGTATGTGGCCATGTTCTTGCTTGGTCCGAGAAGAGTCGAAGCGCCTACATCGCCCCTATGGAAATTCTTCTCAATGACATCGCTCGCACCCTTTGTGCGTATAGCGTAAAACTGCCAGGCGGCGACGAAGAGATATGTTTTTGTGACTCCGCTCCATCAGCATCTGTGACTGGGGCACCACCGCCAATGCTACCAATTCACTCGATGAAACCACTCCCACCGACCCCAGCGATGGCAGAGCATCTTCCAATTGAACTACAGAAGTTAACTCTCGAGCTGGAAGACCCCCCTCGTAATAATACTAGGGTTGGGAGTGTTAAGAATATGAAGGATGTTTCTGGAACTTATCGAGCCAGCAATGCCTTGATGCCGCATACTCGAGCTATGGAGCGGCAGATCGCCTGATATCACCTGTATGATATATTTCACGTTGACGTCAACATATCCAATATTTATATAAACAATTTTACGATCTGCACTGCATTCACTCGGCCTATATGTATCCTTGTACACTGCAGTCACTTTGTATTTAGTTCGTTATACCCTTAGAATCAAATCAAATGAAAATGAACCCACATATTATTTGATCCCGAAAACAGCGTAGTATTAGAAGATTTATTAGATATATTAACAGCCCATAAAGGGCATCCTGTCACATCAGGCATGCCTATATCAGATAGTTGACGTCGTTAAGTCCCTCCTGAACGCTTTTAGGGTAGCATAATTCACCACTACCACTGTATTCTCACTGAAGCTATCGATCGCTTGCAGTTATGAGGTTATAATCAACCTCATCTTCGACGCACCAGCCCATACGCTACCGGACTTTGCCTTTTGCTTCTACGAACGTGAGATCCCCAAATAAGCGTGTTATCGATTATAATTACTAGAGGTTGTTAGCCACGTTGAGATCTTTGGAGAGGGTCATAGGATAGGGGAAGCTTACTAGTCAGATAAGTGAGTACGACGGTCGGTGTAACCCACGCACTATTAATGTAATGCCCAAGTGCGGACTCTTTATTAGGGCTATCATATAAGGACATGACCGATAGTAATGAGAGGAAAACTCCCGCGGTAGTAGTGATGATAATGCTCAAGAATTCGGCGCGGCTTTTGTTTGACTTGGAAAGCCAGTGTTGCAAGGCGAGCACAACGAGGGTTATTCCTGCAGCAATAAAGAAGAACCTGAAGACGATAGTCGAAGCGGCAAGTATTCTCGTGACCTCGGCGGAGGCAGCATTATCCCCTTCTGCTTTCTCCTTACTTTGCGCTTCATCTTTGACCTGGATAGAAAAAGTGTGGAAAATCCAGATGGTTACCCTTGAGTAAAATTGGTTGGTAAGAGCGCGCAATTCGTCCCTAGACTTGCTAAGATCCTTTATAGATAATAGATCATCATAGAGGGAGGCAAAATCTGGTCTCCCATCATCATTAACGAGCCGATTAGAGAGACCTTCAACAACTTTCTTTAAAACATCGACAACTTCTGCCGATGTTTTGGCTACACCACGGCCTGATAGAGCAGCGTTCTTAGCGCCTTCTAAGACATGTATAGAAACATCGTACAGTATCCAGGAGCGACTTCCTTTGCTTGTGACGAGAATTGCCATATGCAGCGGATAGTGAAACAAGACCCAAAACTGTTGTTGAATGTATTCAAAGCGCTCCCCATCGATTTGATCAATATACAGCGCGTAAACAAAACACTACGAGCTTGTCAACCTTTGTCTTCCAAAATGAGCTGGGATGTAAACTTACAATGAGTAAGATGTGGGACAAAATCAGGCCAAGGGATGTTCCTGAAATGTCTTTCGTCCCCATTGCAATGCTTTTAAGCTGGTATGAATTAGCAATGAAGTTTCTTAATGGAAGAGTTGCCGAACTTACCGAGTCCGTCATTCCAACAATCCCTTCTCCTAGAACAATCAAGGTTAGGCCGATGAATCTGTCTATAATCGGAGTTCCCTTAAAACTCAAAATCTCCCAAAAGCTAGAGATCAGAATCATGATTATAGCTTCAAACGCTATCACAATATACCAGACAGCATGTGTTCTCGTTGAATGGATATTTTTAGCACCCAATCCTAAACCGAGAAATATGATCGCAGAGACGGAAAGAGTTGCAATCACGATAAGTTTGGCCATAAACGTTGATTTATATCTCCTTAGATACCAGGCGACAGGAATATATTGTGCAATGAGAACCACTCGGGAAGCCGTGAGAAGAATACACACGCTTCGAAACTGAGTACTGTCGTCTCCTAACTTATTGACATCAAACCTAACAGCGGTGATCGCGAATCCAGCCGTGAGTCCAAAATGAATAAGTTTGAAGGCCCGCCCCACAAGGGAATCCGTGTAGAACCGAACATCAAAGATGGTAGCTTGGAGCCAGTAGAACCATAAAACCGTGATGAAGGAAATGTACGACTTAAAGCCTGTGATGACATTAGAACTATTGATATTGGATCAAGTAAGATTCTTTGAAGAAAAGAAGAGGGGATCACATGCTGTCGGCTGTGGTCAGCTCATGAGAAGCATTAAAGGCTGCAAGGGCGCTGACGAAGAAGAGATCGAATAGTAACTCCATCGAAGTCGGTTGACGATTCTTTTTCAGGACAGGATTTTCGCTGGAAGCGGGTGTCTGTCCAGCTTCTGCTTGACCGTGGTCGTCATTATGCTTTTCCTCTAACCGGTCTTCCTCTGTTGCAACCGGGCTGGCAATAATTGGAAGGGGTTTCCGCCAGTTAGCATCGGTATAATTGCTCTGGAAGATATTTTTGATCTTCATCCTGGAAATGCCGAGGCAAACAATGCTATGGGTGGCTTGGAGGATGCCCGAAAGAAACCCAGCGTCAGAGAGGACATCGTGGAGATATAAGTGCTGAACACGACGACACAGGCTTCCTGGCTACAGGGGGAACATGGATGCGTGGACGATAACATGGGAACGGCGAGGCTGAAGGATGATACATACATGCATGGGCCAATCAGATAAAAATAAGCTCAGGATATAAGCAAGGGGCTAAACCTTGTTCTATGGGGCCAAAACACGTTTGTCATGGCTTTACATCAAGATGCAGCAGGATACGGGGTATATAATGATATTTACTCTGCATAAGAAACTTAATAAGTCCTTGGTCCCAATATTATACCATGGGCTAGGTGGAATTTACAAGAGAAAGCATGAGAATTAGGGAAGTTACGGAGTATCTCTATACCACAGAGGGAACAAGCTATTCAATGCAATGATTTACACCAGGGGCTCAAGGATTTTGATGTCGAGTGTATGAACAGCTGATCATTCGCTGGGATATCGCAGGGCCCAGGGGCCCTTGACTGCGTCGGCCAGTAATATCAACATCAGGTTATGTCTGTCATCTAGCGACTCCTCAATCTGGCATAGCACCTTCGATCCCGTCTTTCTAGGTTTGGTCCACATGCTTCTTTTCTCTCGCGGAGCTGATGTTCTCTTGTCTCGTTTCTCGACGTCGCTAAGCGGGTAAAGAGAGCTCCTTTAGCGCGAAGGAAGACACTGTTGACTCCATTATTATCCTCGGACGCGGACAGAAGCGCTATACGGAGTAGACAAGGCCTAGATTAAATTCTGTCAATAGTGTGCAACATATGAATATCAGCAACGGATCAGCCCACTTGGGCTCATGATAGTCCTTAAGGCTGATGGATTTATATGCCTTAGATCTAGGGGAGGGCCCTGGGATCCAAGATGGGTTTGATATTTGACGCGTCTTCTCCTTCTTTCCGCTTACCTCTAAGGTCGCCATCGAGGGCTGAGAAGCTTGCTGGCCTAGAGGAGTTTGCTGGCAACCGGAAAAGAAGGCCCGATGCTACTTTGGTTAAGTTGTCACGTGATATATTCCAATCTCAACCTCATCTCATCATCCAAGGCTATCGAATACAGCCCTTTGCCCGTCAGTTCTCATAAACATGTGGAATAAAAGAAACATCTTTTAATAGAAGTCCAACTGTTTACTATCCTTGATTCTTCGTTGTATCTAGGAGTATTGGCTACATAAAAACGACCCTAGAACGGCGCAGGCAAGGAATTATCTTTCGTGCCATTTACAACCACGAAGGCATAAGGGAACTCTCTTCTTACTCCTCGATGAAGACAATACCCTTTAACCATACTTTTTCCTCATGATAATTGTCCCCATCAGAGTTTCCGTGTGCAGTTATCGCAGGCTGTACGGTTAGAAGCAAATCGTGACAATCGAGACGAGTATCGCCGACGTTGAGCTTGTGTAGACGATGTGCAAGCATGTCGGGCGATTTTACATAGAATTGCTCCTTGTTGTGGAAAAATGTGCAGCGTACATCGGTCCGCTGCGTCCAGAGGCGGGTCGACAGTGCGCTCGCAGTCATCAGCAGGGAAACTAACTTATCATGCCTCCGTGCAGCCTCATCCATAGGAAGTGAACCACAAGTTGAAGATGTAAGCGTATTGAGAAGAATTTGTGCTATGTGTTCACATGTCCATTTCCGCATCGCACTAATATTTGACTCTGCATGATTTTTTGCTTCCAGTCCGTCAAGTAGCCGGAGAGTCTGACAGCGCCACCAATGGGCGTGAGGGCGGTCAACTAGAGACAAGATTAGATTATATCTAACCTTTTGATGATATTTACTTACCATTTTGCAATTCGCCATACAATCCATTCAGTTCCACCCCAAGTGTTCCAGTCCACTCTCCGTTGAGTCCCATCTCTTGAACGAAATGGAAGGGATCCGCGACCAGGTATCGAAACACATAGACCGAGAGGATCGACTGTGTTAAAATGAATGGTATCTTGTCTGCACTCTTACTCATTGCCCTGACGGTATCGATCATTTGCCTGCCCCCATGCAACTGCCCCTGTAGTTCTGCACCTAGGGTTTCCAGGACTACACTCGACAACTGTTCCGTGAAGAGGTTTCTATTTGAATAGTCTCGAGCCCAAACTCTTATGGCGCTTTCGAGGCCCTTAAGCTGTGCACGGACATCACTGTCTTCGAGGGGAGTCCATTGGGCCTCCTCCAATCGTTTAAATGCGTTCTCTTGAGCTACGCGAATTTGTTCCCTTTGAGTGGCAAGCTCAATCTTTAAACCCTGCATTTCTTTTGTCATATCCTCAATGGTAACTTCCAAGCCTGCAATTTTCCTGGTCCAATTGGTTGTGTCGCGTTCTTGTCGTTCCTTACAAATGACAACCTATCGTCAGCCATAAATGTCTGACTTTTCTGTCAATGTACTTACATAAAAGCCCTGATAGATTTTTCGAAGATTATTCTGAAACTCTTCACGCTCCTTCCCCAAGAGCCGTGTCCTTAATTGCAGCTGATGCTGAAGTTCTGCTACCTCCTTGCGCAGTTCACTGGCCTGTTGGGCATTATCTGCAGTTGCCGTCGATGGACGCTCTGCTGGAAGAGGATTTCTGTTCCGAGATCCTTGCGGCAGCCGAAATTCGGCGCCATTCTGATATGAATAGTAAGTATGATTCTATGATAATAACAGAAGTGTTAATGATAAATAGCTTTTATTCATACCACAGGTGATCGACCACTGTCCATTTTCTTTCGCTTTTTATTTGGCATTGAGGCCGACTGCCTATCGTTCATGCGAAAGTATTTAGCGAGTTGGGTGGAAATACTTGAAAGTGAAAAAGTGAGGATAAGGCCTGAGCGAAGGTATCATATGAGGATTGTTACCGGGAAGTCCCGTCAACCCCTCGCTTAGAGCTTGTCTGTGTGGGAGGCAGGTCAAGCTACAGCCACGAAACCTTTTTCAGATCTTTGTTTGAACTAGAGGCTTCGTTTTCACCTAGCTATCAGGTTGTTCTCAATCTCATCTACACAACACCAAACTTGATCAACTCTCTTTACCACGTACCTCTTGCATCCGACTTACACCAGAGTCGGGCTGGTATCTAGGGACATAATGGCTGGCAAGAAACGGCCACTATCAGGGGCAGGAGGAAAAGACAATGGTAAACGTCGTGACCTGGATGTTCATAAAATCATTCTCGGGGTGGATTTTGGGACGACTTTCACTGGTAAGATGCTTTAAATTTTTAGATACTGCTGACAGGCGTTCTCAGTTGTCTCTGTGCTAAAAAAAAATTATAAAAGGTGTGAGCTATGTTTCGACGGCAAAAAGAAGCGTCGATGATATTTCTATCATAACTACTTGGCCTGGGGCAAGCCGCAAATCAACGACCGTGTTCAAGATACCGTCAAGAATTGCATATCCCAACCAGAACTCCAGGATCAAAGAAAAGAAATGGGGGTACCAAGTTGAATCCGGGATGACCTCCTACTCTTGGGCCAAATTACTTCTTGACAAAAGCTCTCACGCAGCAGAATTTGACGATGAGACCCTTACTTTTCAAGAAGAGTCTGGAATGCCAATCCTGAGTCTTCCACCAGGAAAAGATGCAGTGACTGTGGTTGCCGATTTTCTAGAAGCTGTATACAAACACACAATAAGCATCTTGGAGAAAGAAATTTCAGCAGATGTGTTAGCTATCACACCAATGGAGTTCTGGTTTACTATGCCGGCTATTTGGTCAGACAAAGCACAGCATGCAACCAGGGAAGCAGCGAAGCGTGCTGGGTTTGGTTCGCGGCCCGGAGACGAAATCTATATGATATCAGAGCCGGAAGCTGCAGCGATTGCTGCTCTTAAAGACCATACAAGCAATGAAGCTTTGAGTATTGTGAAGGTTGATTCTCGATTTATTCCCAAAATTTTTATTACTGATGCTAATTACTATATCAGCCCGGAAATGGAGTCTTGATTTGTGATTGTGGGGGAGGAACTGTCGTAAGATAATCTTATTATACCTTGGTATAGGTCTAAGCTTACCTCCTAGGATGTCACCACGTATCGAATTTTGGAAACTTCTCCGAGACTCACGTTCGAGGAACTATGCACCGGCGCTGGTATATCGTGCCCTATTGACAAACCATTACAGGGTTTTACTGACTACTGCTAGGAGCAAAGTGCGGCTCCACTACAATTGACCGGCAGTTCTATAAACTTATGCTGGAGAGATTTGGAGACGCTTTCCGTGATCTCCCTCTGAAGACGAAAGGCCCAGGGAGCGACTTTATGGACGAATTTGAGAAGATCAAACACGACTTTGGATACTCTGAGAGTGGAGATGAGAATTACGAGCTACCACTTGATATCTCATTGAGTGACCCTGACCCTAAGCACTTCAACTGCGACGAACGGCTTGTTATCCTTTCGGAGTATGAATATGTTCTCGCCCAACTTACCTTTAGAATATGCTCACTAATTTCTATATTTTCAGCAAGGATGTCCGTGCATTATTTGATCCAGTTATCGGCAAGATTAAAGCCCTGGTGAAAAGCCAAATCTCAATTGCCAATGGAGAGACGGGTAAAAACGTCATCAAAGTATGTTCCTACCTACATCCCAATACTAACACAAACATTGTTCATCTTAAAGCGAAATTTTTTTTTCTTTTTATATAAGGAATTTAGCCTTTCTTTACTAATTTAATTAGACTATCATCCTAGCTGGTGGATTTGGGGACTCGGAATACCTTAGAAAAGCGCTTCAACGAGAGTTTTCGGCACGACTGAGTATTGAAGTCATCGTACCTAAACACCCGTAAGTACTTGCAGATGTTAATAATTCGCAGAGCTAACGCATGATATGCTGAAATAGACAAGCCGCAATTGTCAAGGGAGCTGCGTTGAGAGGCTTAGATGGATTGCGCCCAATTACCAGACGATGTCGCCGCCATTATGGATTCTCGTGCGGCAAACCCTTTAGAAAGGGGGAAGATATGGAGCATACAGCATACAAGAGGGTATTCGACGGATGCAAGTATTCGAGGGGAAGAATGGAGTGGATGGTTAAAATGGTAAGTTGCCTTGCTCTACGAATGGCTCAACTAACTCTATCTAGGGAGAAAAAATGGGAGAAAATATCACAAAAATGACGGAAATGAATTATTCTGGAAAGGATCAGCCGATGAGTTGCAGGGTGGAGCTCTACTCGTGTAGTTTGAACGAAGCGCCTGAACGAGTTGACAGCCCTGGTAAGCATTTATCCCTGACTGTATACATTCGTGACTCTGTCTAAACTTAAGTAGGCGTCAAACTGGTCGGCCATCTCATTATTGACTTCTCTACTGTCAACCGGGCCTGCCTAAAGACGAAAATAAACGATGAAGGCGTCCGGGTGTATCTGGTTAGCTATGAGGTTCAGATGTGCTTTGGAGCAAAGGAGGGTATTTTGAAATTTTCTGCGGTTGCGAATGGAAAGAATTTGGGCGAAGCGCAGATTGATTTCTCAAAAGACTAAGACCAAGGAGCGAGTTCGTTAGGTCGGGCCCTGTGGATTTCCTAAAATTCAACGCTCTTCGTACCCTGAATAGGTTACTAACGGGAGTTTCGGAAGTCTATATTCTACACGCATTAGTTACTTTTATTTCAAATTGCAAGGCATGTTGTGAAACTATCAAGGATAACTACCAACGCGTTCCAACGGCAAGATCAACATTACTCTCAGCTTTGATGATCATCGTGGCAAGTCATTTCATATTCGAGGTCGGGTGCGCCAGGCATTGGTATATCTCCTCCAACATCTACAATAGCATAGGTTAGCAAGTAGTGGAGGTAATAGATATAAGAGTGAGAACACACCTGGTACCTGGAGAACCCAGGCAACAAGGTATGTTGTGCTCTCCTTGAAACCGAACTTGGATATTTCCTTTGTGGAAAGTAGAGAAGCGAGTCCATGCACTTTATATATTTTCGTATCACTTCATGGTCAAGCTTGAGTGGATCATTCAGCGGTAACGGGCTTCCAGGCTGATAGTTGAAGCATTCGGCGCCTTCTCGGTGGTCTCCTTAAAAGTTGAAGTTATAGATGATATCACGTGAAACATCGTTCTGTCTTAGCGACACCATTAAAACCTTATTTATCTTAGTGAGTGTTTAATTTATATAAGTCACATGATTTGTTCAAAGAAATGGCCTCAGTGATACTATATGGTTTATGATTACATAAGGGCTAAAGTATGCTCTATTAAAACGAACTACATCAACCTTGAATCAACCTCAAAAATATTATCTACATCGGGATTTACTGATATTCAAGAACGATCCATTACAAATAGTTAGATGAGTAGATAATTAGACTAGAATGGCGGATGCACTGCTACAACTTAATGAGTATATTAGAGGACCACTGATATACCATAAAAGAACGGAAAGCTAAGAATGTGGAAGCAATCAATTGACCCTAGGGTATTTCTATTCCAAACAAGAACTTCGTTGTTCCTGTTACCACGCACCTTTAGCGCCAAATTCCCATCACCACAGAATAAAGAGAAGAAAAACAGAAGAACTAAAAATCAAAACCGGAAACTGTGCATTATTTATACAAAATGGAGATGTTTTATGAAGTAATCATCGTCCTCGCTGGGCCAACATTCCTTGCGCGCTTCTCGCCCAAATTATGAAGCCGCTCTCCAATCATATACACATCGTCTCTAATGCTAATACGCCAAACGCCAATTTGACGCTGGAACATGCGCACTCCCCAAGCAAGAGCCATTAACACCAGGAATAAGGGGTACGAATACCGGTAGACATGAGACTGGGCTGTAGCTGAAGAGTCGGAGAAGAGAGTTGCATTTAGTATAAAGCCAATCGGGAGCGGGCATAGCGTCACAACGAGAGCTAGAAGAGTGATAGGTATTAAAAATACTCTCGTTGCTAGCCAGATATCGGGGTTGGTCCAGCCGTTCCGCACTGTCCCACGGAGTGCCATGGCGGGCACGGATAGGGGCTTGCTGAGAAGGAATCGAATGGTTACACGAAGGTATAGGATCCCGAGAGTCCAGTCTTGCACGAAGTAAATGATGTGTGTTTCCGATGGGCTTAGATAGGTGTGTAATGGAATCAAAACATAGAATTCGGTAACCAAGGCGAAAACCGACGGGAGGAATAGCCCTAATGCTGCAGCAATGTATGCCATGCGGAGTGCTCTAATAGCTAGGTCGAAAGTCTTGTAAAGCAGATGTTTGGGAGACCTCATGTATGGCTCGGAGCCATCGCGTACGGCGTTTACAATTTTATGGAAGTGTAGATATCCATAATACACGGTCCCAACCGCGTAAACACCAGCCGACAGTGCGTAGATATCATTAACACGGATGTGCGGTGGGAACATGAAGGACAACATTCGGCGCCCAATAATGAGGGGTATTATTGTAATCCCAACGCCGGTTGCTGCGGCAAAAAGCCAAAGTAGTAGAAGGAAGGCAAAAATTCTAGCCCGGAAATTTGGCGGAACGTAAACAGGTGAGTACAGTTCGTTCTTCTTTCCGTGGCGACCATCATCATAGTCTGGTTTTCCGTCTATGCGGTCGTTATTTTCATCCACTTCAACGAAAACTTGCTCGCCTTTAGGTATCCGTACTTGGTCGGATGCTGGAGCTCGGACGAATCTTCCATCGCGAAGGAATCGCCGAGGGGTAGCTTTCGTCCCAGTAAACGTCCCAACGATAGCATCACGCCACGAAGGATATACAGTGTACCCTTCCTCATCTGGCATCCGGTCTCCAAAGAGAAAATGCGTAAGTCTAAGCATTCGAGCACATCGATGGAACCACCAGTCGTATATTTTATGTAGCCCATCCGAAGGCTTGATCGCTCGAATAGCGACTGGCATCACGAAGTTGTAGAAGAGAAGGTCCACTGGGAACTCTAAAACCGGCTCATTCGAGGACCAGTAAACCGGCAGGACGCCGTTGAACGTAATTGATAGACCCCAAACGACTCCACCAAGGCAAACAATTACCAACGCTCCATATACAAGGGCGCTAAATGCAATTTTCCGGAGCTGGGTGGTGATATTGCGTTCGAGGACATCACGCACTGGGTGGAACGTGGGATCATCAGGATCTCGGATGAAGTCTGTAAAAAATTAGTGTTAGTGCTATCAATATCGTAGAGTAGTATGTAGTGGTAATAACTTACAAAGAACACCACTGCGCATAATCTTTCGACACATTGAAACGAAGAGCGCGAAGTGAAACATATAGCAGGTTCCAATGAACCAATGGACGAACAGCGAGGTTAATGGAGACTCCAAGGTGAACGCTGCTCTAGATGCAAATAGGCCGTTTCCAAAGAGCGGTAGGAGCGCGATGTCCAAGAGAATGCCGCAATATAATGGGAAGACGATCATTTCGATCCCAATTATGACAATAACCTTCATGACACCGCCTGCCTGGCGAAGAATTTCGGCAACAGGACCGTCTCCTCTCTGTCCATCACGACGGGGGCCGGATATGATACCAGAAATGCGGAGATAGGCAACGCCAAGGAGAGAAGCAAAACAGTAGCCCAGAATTATGGCAATTAGCCGATCTTTGGAGCTCCAGCGGCTCAACTCATAGTTGGATGATATGGTTGAATTTTGGATCAAGGTATCGGAGCTTGACCAATCACTCAACCCGTTAAAGAAGGTGGCAACACCTCCTAGGCCCTTCAGTGCAGCTAATGCCATGGCAGGGGCCTTTGGCAGATCAGCAATGAGAAAGTGTTTCACTACCGAAATAGGATCTTCCGACCGTATTACGCCCAGGGGTATATCGTAAAGTAGAGACTTTCCACCACTAAATAGCACGCTACTCAGTGAAGCAAGCCTGGCTTGATGTAGTTTTAATGCCTCGTGGGATACGGCAGAAAACATTGGGAGGTCGGATTCATGGAACGTGAACATAGTCGTAATGAGACCAGTTAATCTCTGGCTGCTACCTTCCATCAAAGATAGAGAAGCAAAGGTAATAGAGTTAGCGGCGGAAAGCTTCCCGAGACTTGGTAGGAAGAGCCCCAACTGCGCTAGGATTGCCCGAACCAACACGTTCATCAGGTAGACGACGTATGCGAAACATCCAAGGATCAGATCGACGGTGATATCGGCAAGCATTGAAACAGCGGTGATAGGGACTCTAATGAATAACCCGACGGGATTCACTAGCATCACTAAAGCAATTTTACCCCATAGATATGGAAGCCAGATGCCAACGGAGACGGTAAACGAGATCAAAAGTGCGCTGAAGACAGCATTTTGTAATAGGCCGAAAAGGGGGCCATGCATTCCAATAAGCTCCATGACGCCCTCCAGGTCGTCTGCATCTTCGACGGCTTCAACATCGTTACCATCTGCGGGGTCGTTGGCGGCAGCCGCTTGCCGAGCGCGATTTTGTGCTTCGTTCGCATCACCACCACCGTGCCTGTGCCGCTGGTGCTGCCGTAGAAGAGCAGGTTGACGGTCAGCACCTTCTTCCTCCTCATCGTCCGGAGGTAATACTATTGGGACAGCGCCCCAGAAACAGTTGAAGATCCTGTCGAAAATATTATTAGGGGGAACTAGCTCCGTATATAATAATTCGGCCGCTTGCTCGGTAGCGCGTGTGGGAGCAGGAGCAGTCATAGAGTTAGGGGAGGCTAATTCAGCTTCCGCATCTGCAACTCTCTCAGGTTCAGTGTCTGGGTCATCCCTTAATGTATCTCTAGCATTTTGAGTACCAGCTGCGGTGCCTGGGGGTGTGTCGTCATCATCATCGTCGTCGTCGTCGTCGTCGTCATCGTCATCATCATCAACATCACCGACTAACCGTGAGCCTAAAACGTGAGGGTCTGGGATGGGCGATTGGGTGGAAGCTGCTACATCTAAACCCTGGTTTGCAGGTAGAGTAGAATTAAAATCCGAGTTGAAGGCTGGTGCGGTAGCGGAAGTTGGCTGAGATAGTGGATGGGTCGACCCCTGAACAGGAGAGACACGCTCGTCGTCCAAGTCAGGGAACCTCCATTGAATAACGCCTTGTCCACTGAACGGATTGAACGGCGGCATAGTCTCTTGCCTGACCGCTGGCCCTTGAGCAGAAGAAGAAGGTCTATTAAGCTTCTCATCTTCATCTTCTCTATCTTGATTCGCGCCAAACGGTGTCAATGGATGACGGCCACCGATAGTATGGTTGCCGAAATTTGCTTCCGCGGAATCATCCCACATGCTAGGGCGATTTGAGGCATCTGCTGGAATCTGGAAGGGTCGATTGTAGTTGTGAAAGTTTCCATGAAATATTTGGGAGTCTCGATCGCGAAGGGTAGTGGGAAAGGAAGAGTTTTCGGGATACGCTCCAGCATAGTTAGGAGCAAAGGGGTTATATGTTTGAGAGTCAGGGAGGGCGTTCTCATTTAAGAAATGCCTTATTCCAGGTGAGTCATCAATAACATTGTCCGGTTCATGGTCCGACTCCTCTGGTTCTGGGTCATGGACCTCCATCTCAGCGTGGGGGACCTCCTCTTCCGCTTCCTCCTCTCGCGCCTCTGCTGCGTTTTGCTCAATTGCGCGATTAAGGAGTTGTCCCAGAGCCTCCCCTTCGCCCTCGGGAATGTTGATTGCAGGTTGCTGTTGAACAACCCACTCCCTGATTAAAAATACGAGGATGAAAGAAATGACGACGAGTAGCGTAATAAGTTGGCCTTCCAGGGTATCAATAATAATATTATTTAACGTCGGGGAGGATGTGGCATTGTTTAAGAAGGACATATCTGAAAGCCATGATGGCTGCCGTATGCGCCTGACTGGTGCAGTGGTTGATTGATTTGCACCAGTAGATGTGGGCGTGAAAAAGGCGTTTGAGAGTAGGGTCTTGGCGATGGAGTATATCAACGGCTCACCGGTGGTAAAGTTGAGCATTGATGGAGCATTCTGCGATTGCGGGTTGCTATCCACCACAGTTGCTGTGGCTGGTGACATGCTGGGTATACTTGAGGCAAGGGACGATGTTGCAGGCGACGTTCCGTGTGCAGCAAGCCAGGCGACACTTTTATTTGCTACTGTCGAAGTAGATCTCTGCACCACGTCCGGAGCAGGCCAGCGCCCATCTGCAAGCCAAAAGAGACCCCGCCATATCGTCCTCATCGACCAAGGAAGCAACCCAAGCCAGACGAAAGCAACCAGGCCAAACCGTAACCATGTCACGAGTGCTCGGCAGCCATGGATAAACAACTCCTTTAAGAAAACCGGCACGGGCAGCTCCTGGGGCATATTGGGGTCGTAAAGTTTCGTAAATCGGAAGGGCGTCTTGCACAGTTCGCAGTGCTTCTTCTGCGAATGGGAGAGCCATTCCATGAGACAGTTTTGATGGACGAACTTTATGCTTCCGCTGCACTTGCAAGGGTAGAATAGCTGTTCCTCCTCTGTCCCCTCACCACGACATATCCGGCAAGTATCCATCTCATCGATTCCTCCGGACTTGTGGCCGTGGTTTGTTTCGAAGGCAGGGTCGTTCATGATGTCCGGCGTGAGCGGGCGGACCCCTGTAGAATTCACGTCCTCCCAGTCCATCTTTATCGGAGTGTCGGGTCGTCTCCGGAGTGGTCCACCAATTTATATCTGGTCCTGTTGACCTGAAACGACCATCGATCAATTCAGTGCTGCGTCACTGCCGACGGAACGGAACCTCGTGTGAGGTGGCATGAACGATAGCTGCCACTTATTTGGAATCCCGATCAGGATGGGTTCTATATAGAAGTTTAGCATCTAGGCACAAAGAGGGGGGGGCACAGCATCCGCGATGCCTACCGTCTAGTGTCCAGTCAGGGAAGAAGCGTGGGATAGCTTGATATAAAGCGTTGATGCTGTCGCTCTCTCTTCCTTCAAGATTGCAGAAGGCGTTGGTTGGGATGATGAGTAAGATGACTAAAATGACTAAGGGACGTCAGATGACTAAGCCAGCAATCAGATAAGCCAAGATCACATGATATATTAGTCAACCGGATTTTCTTTATGCCGAGCCTTATTCGGTACACGCGAGTCCATACACCTACTCTATACTTATTATACCTACTACGTATGCTATCATACCTACTCTATATTATACCTTCTCTATATACATATTCTACCTACGCTACGGAGTACTGAGTATATATATTCTATATCTACATCTACTATACTGTGTAGGCGGAGAAACATGCCTAACTGGGGCGACATGTGATAGTGGATCTAGGCACGCGTCGTTTAGAGTTAGCAAAGAAGGCAAAGGCAAAACATGATCTCAGCCTGCATCGCAAACTAAAAGATCTTGATATCAGACAGGAGGCCGCAGCTGCAGCAGCCGACACGCGATTCGACGGATCATCAACGGCCTACGCCACCACAGCCAGCTCTGCCCGGACTGGCCGATCGCTGTTCCAACATTCGCCTTCTCCAGGGTTCATAGATCTAGCTATTTATGACACGTGAAGTCCGCTCGTTCTCAACGTCAACACTGCGCTTCTGCTGAACAATCTAGTACTACTTTCGCTCATACCGAAGACCTCGCCGAAGCCGGATGGTTTAGCTCGGCCCGCTGTCGCTATTGCATTTCCGTCACTCGCGCCGCAGGGTGTCTGATTGGAGGTAGCGTGGCATCAGCAGCCACGATGGATCCAGACTCGGATAGGGTGGTGAAGTTGGAAGAGACGGACATCGAGGAAGAAATATACACGGTTCTGGTGGAAAAGCGCAGGAAGGAGGAGGAGTGCAGGAAGCAGGAAGCCAAGAAGCCATTCAGACCGGTCCGGGCCACGATAAGTGCGCTGTTAAGGTATGTTTACCTCCGTTGCCATTGAGAAGGACTCCTTACTGATACTTCATCCCTGCAGACTTTTCGTCTGGTACTCAGTGTTTACAGCCCTGTTCTACTGCCCGTCGTCCGTATCCGAGCTCGACGATCAGTCACCTCGAGTCTGCAGACCATACCTAGTCGTAAGGACACACTTGGAACCGCATCTAGCTCCCTATTATCGCAAATACGGAGCGCCTTATGTCGAGAAGCTTGAGCCATACGCACATTCTTTCCACGAAAAGGTATATACTCCCACGGCGCAGTTCTCGAAGGATGTCTACCATGGCTACGCTGCCCTTCATGTCCAGCGCGGTGCACAGCTAGCCAAGGAGCAATGGACCCAGAGAGTTTCGCCACATATAGACCCTCTCCAGAAGCAGATCACCGGATACTATGGTGCGTCTGTCGAACCGCACGTCAAATCCGCGCAATCGATCATAGTCCCTCAGGTTCGTGTGGCGGTCGCGCAGAGCGTTCTGGTCAAGGACAAATACCTCATTCCCTATTATATTCGGACTAGGCCAGTGGTGCAGAGAGCCTATGCGACTGTTCACAACTTGGTCGTATCGACGATAGCACCGTACACACAGAGAGCAGGGTCGGCTATCTTTCTGTTCCTCAACGGCACTGTGCGAACACACATCACACACCTCTATTCAGAGAACGTGGAGCCCCAGCTTGTAAAAATTGGTGCAAAGCTTGCCAGTTACCGTGAAGGCCGGACGATACAACACGTCAATTTAGAGACTGCTAGGTACATTTACCTCCGAGGTAGTCAATGCTTTATATCATAAAAAGCTAACTTTTTGTCTAGTATCACGGTCGAAGTACCGATCTCTGCAACAGAGCCAGAAACAAGGGAACATGTAGAGTCGAAAGCTACACAAACTTCGTCATCCGTGGAACTTCCCACTACCACAGAGCTGACTCCGGCTCAACAAACCGAACAAGCCCGCGAAAAGATTGCGACCGATCTAAGGACTTGGAAGGAGAGGTCCGCTGCCTCAGCTGAAAAGGGGCGTGAAAACGTACAGGAAAAAGTCCATCAGATTGTTGAGAGCATTTACAATCGCCAACGGCCCGTAGGTGAGGCCCTCCTCTCTTCGTTGCAAGGGGTGGTCGAACGCGAGCTACACGGATTGAAAAGCGAACTATACGACATCGTTCAGTCGATCCCTGCCGAATATACACCAGAAGATGAATTGGGCGCCCAAGACGAATTTCTGCAGGCCCTGAAGTTATCTAGCCTTGCCATCCGGGAGCGGGCGCACGACCTCCGCCTCTGGTTCAACGAGTATATGGATACCCTCACGGAGTCCATTAACAAGACCGTAAACAACACGCTGGATGTGCTCGACAATGTCCGCAACCTTAGCCTCCAGGAAATTGGAATGCGCTGGTCACAGATGGACGGTGTCACCTACAACGACTGGGCCAACTTCTACGACCTGAAAACCAAACTCGTGGAATGGAAAGACGATATTCGACAGGCTGGTATGCAGCACAATACCTTCCTTGCTGCCAAGGAGTTTGCAGACTCTATCGTCGCGGCGGGAATGGACGCTGCACGAAACGCTGCACAGCAGCTGTCAGAGCTAAAGGCGATTGGCAAGCTAAAAATTGAAGCTGGGGAGACGAGCGAAAATCTTGATGTCAGCCACATCAATGAGGAGATGATACAGGAAAGAAGAAAGTCTATGAAGACCAGTTCACCTCCCACTCCACTTAAGACCACGGACCTTTCGGATTCACCCACACCAAGTGATACAGAAGTCGTACAATCGGCTTCTGAGCCGTCAGCTCCCACAAGCTCTGTGGCCGAGAGCCCAGGGGAGGAAGTCGAGGCTCCACTAGTAGACAATAACGGCGAACAACCCAAGGCAGCCTTCTTCGACGCAGAGCCAACCCCTTCAGCCGACGCTCCGGCAATAGAGCCAACCCCTGAAGTACCGGCTTTAGAAGAGACCCCTGCCACGGGAACCCCAAGCGAATCCGCACCGAACACAACATCTATAGCAGCCATTATCCCCCCATTGGCCTCGGGAATCCCAGGCTCGGACCTATCAGACGCAACAACATCAGATTCGGATAAAGTGATAGATTACATTTACAAGGAACAAGTCCAATTAGAGGCTGCCGACGAACAGCGCAAAGCCACAGTACCAGCACATGAAGACTCTTCTTCAATCCCCAGCTTGATTTTAGCCTCAAGCACGGCTTCGGCAATTCCTAGCCTTGTGACGCAGAAGATTGAAGATGCCATACTAGGCGTTTCAGATGATAGCATCTCAAGCTCTACTCTTGAAAATATTTTAGAACCCGCTCCGTTGACACCCTTGACGGAAGCCCTTGGGGTCGATGAGATCATCGACTCCGCAACAGATGAGCTCAGCTCAGTCATCGATTCTGCAAAGGCTGGACTGGAAGGGGAATCACCTATCCCCAGCGAGAAAGTCAATTCTCTCATCGGAGATGCAAGCATGAAACTCGACGAAGTCTTGCCATCGGCCCAATCATCCATAAGCTCTCTCGAGGAGATACCAGTCGCCTCTCCATCCCAATCAGCTGGCGATAAGCAGCAGGAATCCATCGACAACGAGATCGCAAGGCTAACAGCTGCCCTACAGGCGGCTCAAGCTCGTCTATTAGAATTAACCCAAGCGGGGAGCTCGACCACGGACACCCCCGAGCACAAGACAGAATCGGAGTCCACCATCCCCGAACCCCCGTCTGCATCCAGTCACGCAGATGAAATATAAACGAATATACGATGGGTATTGATACGGGGTTTCCTTGCATTAAATATTGAAAAATATGTCTTCTATTTTTTCCTTTCTGATTTATGATACGATATGTCTTTCTATGCCGGCGAGCTTTTTCTATTTGTCATTATATACACTTCTCAGCTATATTATCGTTGACCAGGGCGAAATGTATAATTTATATCATCTTACATATTAATATCTACATATGACTTATGACGAATTATACATTGAAGACGTGATAGCAGTATTCTACTTACTCAACTCTATTCTTGCCTCTACCAGGTCTCCTTAAGTATAGATGAGAACTAAACCCGTAGCTAATATCTAGTATTCGTTATGTACCCATGTTAGTTCCTACTTCGGCAGTGATCTGAGGGACACTAAATATACGAGGAGATATGACACTGGTTGTACTACATTTCAACTCCAACCTGACCATGCTGCAATATACGAAGTCTTCAGTGGCAATGCACATAAATGCCCTCATTAGGCAAATCGTCGGAGTGGAAAAGGAAAAAAAGAGATGAAAAAAAAATGGAAAAAAGAAAGAACAGAAACGACCGCGGTGCGATTCGAACACACAGCCTTTGGAGCCGAAATCCAACGCCCTAACCATTAGGCCACGCGGCCTGATCTTATCGGTTACAGCGCAGTCTTTCTGTTTCTATCCTCAACAACCTCCTCCTCACTTTTACCACATATCAAATAGTCAACTTCGACCTACACTTTGAAAGGACAAGAGAGACTCACTCCAGGTCGGAGGAGTAGCATCTCCCGCTGGGCTAGCTGGCTCCAGGCAAAGACTGCTACTTCGTATATGCAGATGAACCTGTGTTACCACACTAGACAGGATAGGCTTCATCCGACGGTCCGTATTGATGTCGACAGCTGCGCCAGCTATCAATTACGAAGATCGGCTTCTTTGATCGACGTCTCTGACCATCTCTCCATAACGAGGGAGTAAGCAGCGAGGCTGCAGAGAGATATGGAACGCTTCATCTTTAAGATATACATCTTCAAGATATAAATATCTCATATCCTCCTGCCAGAAATATGATACCCTCTGATAACCAGCAGTCTCCAGTTATCAACGATACATATACCCTGAATACTTCTATACAAGACAGCATCCCACCATGCAAATCCAAGCACTCCTTCAAGTCTTCGCGTCGGCCCTTGCTATCAGCGGCGTCACCGCCGAGCTCCACGAACGAGAGATCTATGCTCGTGATATCGCCCCCGGCCAACTCAGACACCTCGCAAAGTACCAGGCCAAGAATGCCCGCTCTCTCAGCCCTGACCAGCATGCTGCCCTCGAGCGTATGAAGCGTCTTGTCAAGGACTATGCGGTCGACGACATCCACGAAGCCCGCGCGGCATGCGAGTCTGCATTTGGCGACGCAGAGTGTAAACGAGTCTTGCATGCTGGCAGAGACGTCAACCATGCTCGCCGGGGCCCGCTTGTTGGAAGAGCTCCAACTTGCGAGTGCGCTGACCAGAGTCCGTATTGTCCTGGTTCCCAGCATTGCAAGTACAAGTTGGCAAACTGCAATTTTACATCGAGTAAGTACTTCCTACAAGAGACTCCATCATTGGTCATTAACGTCTCATTTAGAGGGCTGCGGTGCCCTTGGACTTTATGTCTGCAACGGACTCTGCGAGTGAGTGTCATTGTGGGCAATTCTACGTGTTAGGCTGTGTGATAGGAATACTGTACCCCATCCGCTCGTTAGTCCTACAATCTAGTTATTCAATCGATGACAGTATCAGTTTATTAAGTGCCATGTCTAGTCAAGAACAGATATAGGCATTAGTCTCTTCACGGTATTTTTTAGCAAGTATATAACCCAGAGTTCAGAGATGCTATAAGACAACTATAGCAGACCTCGTTAAAGACATGGACAGACGACGGTGCCTATCTATACTTGACCCTCTGGCCACCGCCTCTCTTCTCCATCTTCTTCTGTCTCTTACTCTCAGCCTGCCCGGCACCTTCATCCATGCCCATGTCCATTCCAGCACCTCCTCCCATGCCAGGCAGGCCCTTCTTCACACCCATAAAGGTCGTATAGGCAAGCCACATCGAATACAGCGGCACAACCACCCACAGCCACCATCCGTAGTCTCCAAATATACACGCAGCGCCCATACACCCCCACGTCCAGTACAGCACATCCCAGCAGTACTCCGTCAAGCCCGGCGCATCGAGATCTTCTCCCGGCGATCTTAGCGAACCGTTAGCAGCATCGTAGCGCGGACGACCCAGTCGTTCAAAGTAGAACTCGATCACGAGTGTTGGAGACGTCAACAGGCCATATTTCAGCAGAGACGCCGGCCGGTTGAAGATGAAGTGTAGCAGCAGGAGAATCGCGTGTAGCGAGGCCGTGGTGATGTGTGTCCTCAGAAGAAGCGAAGTATTCCGGGCTGCGAGGGTTTTGGAGGCTTTCTATGAAATATCAGCACTATATCCTGTATTGTTGCTGGAAGCTTACCTGTGCCATGGCGTAAACCTGATAAACCGCCTCCCACTATGTCGACGAACAATCCGACTTCAAGCTGTTTCTTCAACTTGTTTAAATAACTGTCATATATAAGCGTTCCTGCAGGACTCGAGTTAAATAGTGCATGCAGATGTTTGTGTCTCTGGGCCACTAGCCACCTGGGATCTCTTCAGCCACCAGAAAACACTTCCATCGCCTCCCCAACCCGCGTTTGTTATGAAGACAGCTCGAACAGCAGCAACGCAACCACGGCGACCACTGCGACCACTGTGACACTGCACGTACGGAGTATTCGTGCTGTCGTTAGCTGTCGGTCCGTCTTCTCAGCGCTCGTTCAGCCATCCAGCAGACATCGGCCGTCTCCCTTTCTTTTTCGCCGTCCGTTCTTTATCTCCCAGGCAACACCAACGGCGCACCCGCAACCCCGAGCTGTGAATGTCGAATATACCATAGGCCCGGCGACTCTGCAGCTCTGCCTCATGTCAAGCGCATCCTGCGGCTGCTATGAGACTTCTGGAGCAGGAGAATACCTTTGGCAACAGCGCAGCTTCGGGCTTCTGACTGCGACCTTCCTACGACATCGCGCGCCCGCCGGAGCCGCCCTCAACTCTCACTTCTGAAAGCCTCAGTTTACCTCAGTTCGAGCGGTATCTCACTTCTGGAGCTTTACTCCGATATATCTTACCTAGTCTACACCTACGATCTCCAGCCGTCCGATTTACACACCTAGAGCGGAGTTGAGCTCGACCAGACTCGAAAGAACTCCCCGCGCCTCCTCCACGTCCACGTCCAGTGTGCGAACACAATATGGCTCCTTCGGCGCCTCATATCTCCAGCCAGCTACGGCAGCTCATATACTACCATCTCGACAACAATCTCCTTCGTAACGCCCTCTTCCTGGCCGGCCGCCTCCATGCGTTCGAACCTCGGTCCTCTGAAGCCGCATACCTACTCTCGCAGTGTCTCCTACAGTCCGGCCAGCCAAAATATGCCTGGGAAGTTTGTCGCAATGCAGGATCGCGCGGGACACATGTTGGATGTGCCTATGTCTACGCCCAGACATGTCTAGATCTTGGACACTATATGGAGGGAATCACTGCGCTGGAAAGGAGTAAAACTCAGTGGGTGTCAAAGAACAACTGGAGTAAGCTATTCACATATCAGACTATATACCTTATTGAAAACTAATTGCTGTTGAATAGATAAACATAGTGAAAACCGACGACACCATCTACCTGATGCAGCTGCAGTTATTTGCCTGCAGGGAAAGTTATGGCATGCGCACAAAGATATACACAAAGCCGTCGACTGCTATGTTGAAGCACTCAAGCTCAATCCATTTCTTTGGGATGCATTTCTTGGTCTTTGTGAGACAGGTATGTGATGGCCTTTGCCACAGATGGGAACATATCTAACAATCATTATCCAGGCGCAAATGTCCGAGTGCCGAATATTTATAAGATGACACCGGAAATGGTCGCCATGCTTACTCCCTCGCCATCAGAGAATTCCATGGCTTCGGAGAAGGCTATCACCAATGGCCAGCCGCTGCAAACTCAGCCAAACGTCAATCACAACGTTGACCCTTTTCTATCTCTCAACGGAACCAGTTATGGAAGCTCTGCACTCTGGGAAAAACTAAATGGGAGCACTGTTAGCGTGGCATCCGGATCCGGGTGCGCAACAGTCCCCGAAGGGGTTGAAACCCCGATTACGCAGAGTGATTCGGATGATTTCCGTGTCCGTCCCAGTGCGAGTGCAGGAGAGTCTTATGGCGAACCACCATTTGCGCCTGCCCGACGACAAAGATCTATGCAAGTATTAGGCGTCGAGAGTGGTGTAGATCCACCAAGAATGAAGTCTACCAGCACACGATCCAAGTCGAAACCAAAAACCACAGGACCTGCTGAGGAGTCAGCTTCCGGTAAAGAATCCACGTCTACACAGCAAGCCGTTTCAGCAATGGACCGCAAAAGGACCGTATCCGGGCATATTGCTCCAACAAATTCGGCACAGCAGCCAGTTGAACCTGGTGCCCCCCAACGACGAAGTGTTCGTCTATTCAATCAGATCCGGCCCACCAGTAAATTCTCCACGACGGCAGCCACCCTTGGATCACGAGAGGGACGGGAGATTAAAAAGGCAAAGTCTACCAGCTCAAAGAGTCGCAGCACCGCTATCGCTGCTCCCATCGGACGAACAACTGGTACCACGCGGAAACAAGGTGAGTCCACAGACGTCGAAGCCAAGGAGAGCCGGTCGGGCGGCAACTCGTCGGAATCTCTCAATGGCGTGTCAAGGACTCAAGTACCGGATAAATCGAAAGAGATAGATGCTCTAAGCTGGACACTAGATCTCTTTTCTAGGCTGGCAAGCGGGTACTCGGCTCTAAGCAGTTACAGGTGTCAAGACGCACTTCAGATCTTCAACTCTCTTCCTCAGAACCAGCGTGAAACGCCCTGGGTATTGTCTCAAATCGGCCGAGCCTATTACGAACAAGCGCTATACAGTGATGCAGAGAAATACTTCATCAGGGTGAGGACCATAGCGCCATCACGTATGGAAGGGATGGAGGTATACTCTACAGTATTATGGCACCTCAAAAACGAAGTCGAGCTTGCGTACCTTGCGCACGAGCTGATGGATACTGATCGCCTGGCACCCGAGTCGTGGTGTGCGATTGGAAACTCCTTCTCTCTCCAAGGAGACCACGATCAAGCCTTGAAATGCTTCAAACGAGCAGCACAGCTTGATCCCAGATTCGCATACGGCTACACCTTACAAGGACACGAGTATATGTCTAACGAAGAATACGACAAGGCTCTCGACGCCTATCGACATGCTATCAACGCTGATCCTCGCCATTATAGCGCTTGGTACGGTCTCGGAAAGGTCTACGAACGAATGGGTAAACTCAAGTTCGCTGAGCAGCATCTTCGCACCGCCTCTAATATCAACCCAGCCAACGTGGTCTTGATCTGCAGCATAGGTCTGGTTCTAGAGCGCCAGAGTAACCTCAAGGCAGCATTGCTACAGTACAGCCGCGCTTCGTCGCTATCGCCGCAGTCAGTCCTAGCTCGACTCCGAAAGGCACGAACGTTACTTAAGCTTAATGAAGTGAACCTTGCCCATATCGAGTTGAAGGTTCTAAAGGATGTAGCGCCCGATGAGCCTAACGTGCATTACCTGTTGGGCAAGCTGTATAAAATGATGCACGACAAGGGAAATGCGATAAAACATTTCACTACCGCCCTGAACTTGGATCCTAAGGTAATTCCCTTCTCCCTCACACGTCGAGACAAGATCTAACCAGAATATAGGCTGCTCAATTCATCAAAGAAGCCATGGAATCCCTCGAAAGCCCTGATGATGTTGATGACGATATGACATGATTTCCATCGTAATCATCCCCCAGACCACTAACCCGCCCTTTTGTACTTTCTCCTTCTCCTCTGTATTCATTTCTTACCTTCATCGGCAGCATAATATCTAGCAACCGCTGCTCCTCTTTTCAACCAGCATATTGCCTTGTGGGTTTTGGTTCGTTTGTTTCTTTGGCGTTGGTGTTACTGGCTGGCTTCTGGGATAATGCATAACGAGCATAACGCAGTGGAGTAATAGCATTGGGAAGAGAAAAAGAGATATTTGACTGAGGAGACGCTCCATCCGGTCTGATGGGCACGGGGATGAATGTACATTTGACTACGTACAAAAGAGAGATGGACGGACGGATGGATGGATTGATTGAATGTGGACATGCCTCTCTTCCCCTCGACTCTCCTCGATCTTGCCAGCCCTACGGAATGGCCTTTTATCCTATCGTTTCAGATCGAATCGATTAATTATTATTATCATTCATCGCGAGCTTTGTGAATTATAGACATATGACTGTATCCTTCATACGTACGCCCTTAAATCAGTCCCTATGTCTATCAAGGAGTCCACTAGAATTAACAGCCATAGTAGTCGTACAACCATAGTAGTCGTAGAAGAAACATCAAGACCGCATGCTCGTCGGTATAACTTCTATCTTGTTGGGGCTGCCCCGTTTTCAACAACTCAAACCCCTGACCTTGAGCCCGTGAAAGTACCAGGGAACAGAAAAATAAAATCTTCAAAAAAAAAAAAAAAACCTACTTCTACCAGAACTCCCATACTCACTCCCTCACAGCGCGCACCGCATGTCCTAGCAGCCCGAAACCCGCACCGCTCCCTCCGTCGACAGAGACCGACCGACCATGGCCATCCTCTCCTACATCCTCTCGGGCCTCACGTCCTACGCCGCGCTCACACTGGGCCTCTTCGGCCTGTCCCTGAAGGTGCCCCGCGCAGGCTTCTTCGCTCGCTGTCTCGCCGCATACGCCTCTCTGCTGTTCTGCGCAGCATACGGTGTGCTCGCCTCTATCTGTCTTCGCCTCGTCGGCTACGGCCAGATCTCGCAATGGACGGTGGCCAGAGCCTTCAAGTGGTCTATGTGGCTCACTACGGGAATACACTTCGACGTCATCGAGGGCCAGGAATACCTCTCTACTCGGCCAGCGGTGTTTCTCGCGAACCATCAGACGGAGCTTGACGTCCTGCTGCTCGGCGCCGTGCTGCCTCAGTATTCTGCTGTGACCGCGAAGAGATCTCTTTCCCGAGTGCCGCTGCTCGGGTGGTTTATGACGCTTTCCGGGACTGTGTTTATCGACCGCGCAAACCGCGAGACTGCCTTCAAGGCGTTTGATAATGCGGCCAATCTGATGAAGACCAAGGGACAGAGTGTCATTATCTTCCCCGAGGGTACTAGGAGCTATGCGCGAGAGCCGGCATTGCTACCGTTCAAGAAGGGCGCATTCCATCTGGCGGTCCAGGCCGAGGCTGATATTGTGCCAATCGTCGCAGAGAACTACGCGCATATTCTAAACGTAAAGAAGATGCAGTTTACCTCTGGGGACGTCAAGGTTAAGGGTGAGTTTCTGTCGACCTACCAGACACTACAATATATAGCCTAACAATACTAATCAATGTTTAGTTCTGCCCCCAATCAGTACCAAGGGCCTTACGGCTGCCGATGTCGACTCCTTGGCCCAAAGCACGAGACAGTCGATGCTGGATGTCATGGTTGAAATGGCCAAAGCGAGAAAAGTCGAAAATCTCACCAACGGAAAGGTCGCAATGGAAAACGCACCCCGAACTTCGCGCTCTACCGCCGTCGAGATATAAAAGCACACATTTAGCCGGCTGTCAACGCCGATGAACACCTTTCCGATCCTTTGAGCAACCCGGGCTTACCGCTTGGCCTTCTTTTTGGCCAGATAGTAGCGTAAGCCCAGCTCTATCACCAAAATTTTACTATACTCCCCCTTCCCCCCCGAGGACGAATAATACATCCCACCCGGCTATATAGCGGTGGGAACACGAGGATCCCCTCTACAAAGAAGACTTGATGGATATATTTACCTAAGCACGACACTCGAATCCTCGGCGGGCTCACGTTCGGCCAGGAGGCGTTACTGGTTTTGGATTAACTAGATATTTGCGCAGGATGATGAGCTTTTAACGTTACCTAAAGCATTGCATCAGGAGTACCGGGTATTTGTATCACTATCGGATTTTAGTAGATCATGAATTATGACATTTGGGGTCCTAGTTAATATCCCCGTCACATGTATATATTTTTATGAATATCTTCCCTAGACAAGTCCTCTGATCATGAAAGCGAGATATCCCATTCATGACATGTGTATAGCATCCGTCTTCCACTCACAAACTCGTCAACTACTCTGAAGACAATCGCATTCTCCCCTGGCACACGGCCCGACGTCCTTCTCAATATTGATAGATCTAAAGTCATCCCACCGAGTCGAGTTGGGCGTTTTCCCGAACCCTCCTCCTCTCGTGGCTGTCGCCAATATATATCGTTCTCCAAACGCAACAACTTCCATGCGTACGTTGTCAACTATCTCCCCCTTCAGCCGAATCTCAATCCCCGTCTTTGGAGAACCCCAATCAAGCCCAGCTTCAGGCTCGGGTGGAACAACGTTAGAAAACTCCAATTTCTGTAACCAATCTGCCAGCAACCCTTCTCCGACCATCTTTATATAAGCCTCCTTCAGCGCCCAGTAGGTGTAGAACAGACGTGTGCGATATTTTATAGACTTGGCCAATCGTTCATCATATGTATCTTCAGGGCTGTCACGATAGGAACCAGTACCGCGGGGATCAGATTTGATGGTTTCCAATTCCCGCGGTGAGAACGCTTCGGTAAAGATGTCGACGAATTCACGGAACTGCGCTTCTGTGGAAGGAAGTGAGTCTGGATTCCGCTTTTCTCGCTCGTCGGTGCATGTTATATCGATTCCGATCTGGGGAGGGCCATCCAGCCCATATCGCGAGGACGGATCAAGCTTGCTTTGTGCATCATTTTCGCTTCCATCTCGGGAGAACATGCATCCTGCTAACGCTACCATGGAAGCCTGATGGCTGACGTTGAATTCAACCTGCAAGACCTGACCGGCATCCTTCTGGGCATCTTTCAGCGGGATATAGCATGGTCTGCAATGCGGTTGCGGGGTCCGGCTGATAATGATCTGGTTCCAGGGTACTCGAGAAGTGCGATGAATATATAGATATTTCAGCAGACTGGAGGCAAGGGACATGTGCTGGTCGACTACGTGATAGAACGCCCTGATCTTCTTCTGCTCGGATGGTTGAAGGGTGTCGATAAGGGGGAGTGCAGTGCTGGTCTGCGTCCAGTTGCGCATATCGATATACCATCGTGTGAGCTGCCGGGAGGTATCATCGACGGGGAGTATATGGGATGCCATTCTCCCTATATATATGAGTTTCCCAGACAAATCGTTATCTCCTATGACTCTCGAGGTCGACTTTTTGGTTACGGTCTGTACTCCGACTCAGTGGGTATGTAGCATGTATTCTTTCAAATATATGTCAAGTATTCATGCGTAGATGTACGAAGGTTCGATATATAACAATTTGGTTGAGTTGTTTGAGTGCTCAGATTAAATATTTAAATATTCAAATATTCAGCCTCGGACCCCGCCATAGTAAGATCTATATATCTACATAGTACGAACAACTTCCACCATATCGGTCATATTATTTATTAATTATATTCGAAAGCTCCAGAGAAGACATAACTACTCAGAAAAGCACAAGACCGAGGAGAGTAGTGGCCAGTGGGATAATATAGAGCCAGCGCGTCCGCAGTCCATCATCCCAGCCGCTCGCCCCCAGTCCCTTGGATGCGGTTTGCGTTACGGTCTTCGTAGCCGTCGCCGTTAGTGTCTCCGGTTCCTCGCTCGTTGTCGTTGCCAGCGCAAAGGTCGCCCGGTAGTACGTCCTGGGAAAGTCATAGAACCGCGAGGCCGAGAAGCAAGCGACCAGACTGTGTATCCCGGTGGCTGCAACTTCTCTCGAGTTGAATATGGTGACAGTATCGCATATTTCCGTACCGCTGATATTGTCTATTAGTATGGATGCCGCCACAGCAATGTATATATACACCAATATATAAAAAAATTATAGTACCAGTCGCCCCTGACGCCGTTGGAATGCACTCCGATATTTCCTTCACAGGCTACCAGGGGATTGCAAAACGCCTCGCCGCTGGGACAACAGGCACCGAACCTTGGTCCAGCTGCATAGTACTCGCCCGACGGACAAGTGTACGAATACCCTTTATATACACCATGTTAGACCACGACTGTTCGATGAATTGACAGGAGGGAGCGCACAGTAGCTGCTCGACGAATACCACCCTATAAGGTCAGAATACCCAGCCTGGCGCTTCTCCATCATTCGTTCGACTGCCGCAGGTTCTGGGGCAGCGGTGACGAGGGCGCGCTTCAGATCCTGCGGCTGGGTGCCCTGGGCCCCAGCACACGCGATCAGTGTTGTAACGAAGAAGAGGGAGAGCTGCATCTTGCTTGCTTTTATCCTAGCATTTATCAACGAAGTGAGGATGTCCGGTCATGTTCTCCATACAGGCGAAGATCATATCGTGAATGATACCCGCCACCAATACGACCGCCGTTTTAATACGAGCCAATTATTGGAAGACTCAAAGTTGGAGGATGTCGATACGAGCCTGCACACGACAAAAAGAACAGCTACCGGAGAGTTCTCGTGGACTCCTATAAAAGTCTTATCGTTGATAATTGTCCATGGAGCATAGTATTGGCTTTCTATGCTTTCACAGCTCTATCAAACTGAGGCAAGCCTACGGGTATGTTAGGGCCATATTGTTCCGGATATACCACTTTGATAGGTCTGCGACTTAGGATGTGAATACATAACTAGGTCCTGCTCTCATGATACTGGGCAGAGAATGCGGCGAGCCTTAGTATCTACTCCCTTCAAGCCAGCATACTGTTGAGTGATGTTCAGCGCTGCAACAGGGTGATGACTGGCCCTTCAAACGCAGCACATCCTCTAAACTGATTCTTTATAAAGGTATCTATCCTATTCAAGTTGATATTCAAGTTGATATTTATATTGATATCGACGAGGAAGTCAGGAAGCCGAGAAAAAGCCGAGGAACAACTTAACACCGAAAGCCGAATGACTAATCACTATCGATAACTTTTTGCGCTGACTCCGAAAGGGCGTTTTCCTGGGGTAAAGGAAGAAGAAACATTGACTGATCAACGGGCAGAGACGCTGGGAGAATTATAGACAGACTGGTTATCTAGAGGGCCATGCGATGACGATAACCGTGGGGGTCCTCGCCTTGCAGGGCGCTTTTTACGAGCACATCCAGCTCCTGAAGGTTGCCGCCGACAAACTGAGGGGCAACAAGTCCATGACCAAACAGCAATGGGAGTTCATAGAAGTTCGCACGCCCGCTGAGCTTGATAGATGTGATGGGCTCATCATCCCCGGTGGCGAGAGTACGGCCATGGCCTTGGTGGCCGCGCGATCGAACCTGCTTGAGCCGCTGAGAGACTTTGTAAAGTACGGCCACCCCAAGCCCTTTGGAAATGCTGGCGCGTTGAAGGCGAGTAATGTTAACGTGTATTGTGGTTGTGCAGGCTCCATAGAAAGCCCACCTGGGGCACTTGCGCCGGGCTAATTCTCCTTGCTGAATCGGCAAATCGGACGAAGCGAGGTGGTCAAGAGCTCATCGGGGGGTTGGATGTTCGTGTCAACCGGAACCACTTTGGACGACAGACAGACAGCTTCTATGCGCCGTTGGATCTACCGTTCCTGCCGGGAGACGCCGGCCCCTTCCGAGCCGTGTTTATAAGGGCGCCCGTGGTCGAAAAGGTACTCTCGCCCAAGGAGGGTATTCAAGACGAGGAGCTCAAGAGGGATGAGACGGTGGTGGCGCCATCCAGACAGCCTGAGAACGCGATTGCTCGAGAGGCCATGGCGGATAAGGTTGAGATTCTAGGGAAACTCCCTGGAAAGGCCGAAGTTGATGGAATGCCTCAAGAAGCTGGTGACATTGTCGCGGTGAAGCAGGGCAACGTCTTCGGCACCAGCTTCCATCCAGAATTAACTGAAGACCCCCGAATTCACATGTGGTGGCTCTGCCAGGTCAGTGATGCAGTTGGAAAGTTACAGAAATCTGAGGTAGTCGTTCGATGAACAGGAGAACACCGGTGCCACGACATATGATAGAAGATGGTATATAGAATGTTTTTTTGTATTTTGGGTATAAGATAGAACTGCGCTTTCATATCAAGCGTGTTTGATGCCTTTTGGTTGAAGGACCTAAACCCACCTACCTACCTGTATATAACTCCAACTCTCAACTATCTTCTCCAAACACGCGCCCGTACCCACCACGGCCCGGGTCGAATTCATCTCTGAACTCATCACGAACTTGTCCACCAGATTTACCACGTCTGTAGAAGAAACGTCAGCACTCTCGTTGAATTGTAGGGTACGTTGGCAATAGCATACCCGTACTGCCTCCCCTCTTGGAATCCAGGGTCCAAATCGGTTCGAATAATTCGCTCATCCAACTTTGTTCCTCCGATATACTTCATACAATCCAAAGCATCCTGATGTGTATAATACTCAACGAAGCAGAAACCACAGGGGGTTTTCTGGAACCGATCCAAGCCCATGACAAGACGTTTTATCTCTCCGCATCTAGAATAACGGTCAGACGCTGCAGTAGCCGGTACATTGATGAAAGTTGGAGACGTACTTTGCAAATAGCTCGTGTATTTGTTCTTCGGTTGTGTAGAACGAGCTGCAGGAGAGAGAGCAGTTAGAACTTGCGCTGAGCAGGCAACATCCGGCTGCAACGTACAGGTTTCCGACGTATAGAGTGGTAGCCTCTTTCAGGGAGATATCGAAGTCCGCCTGAGGCTTATCTTCCTCGCGATCTCCGCGATCATGATGCGACGACTTCCGGCGTTTGTTCTGGAGATAACAGGTTAGAGATCAGGTATGCAGCCGCACCGCAGCGTTAGAGCGCATACCTTGTTATTGAAATAGGTGCTGGGCCTATCCAGCCTCTCCACCGTAGATCGAATAGTGGTCGCCATGCTCAGGTCTCGTGTCTGCGAGCTTGTTGCGTAGAATGCAGCAGATGCTCGTCTTGCCTGAAGCTTGAAGCTATTCGCAAGTTGAAGCCGCTAAGAAGCTCGAGGCTTGGCGCGTCGTTTGCCCATCAAACTTCTCTAAGCTTTTTACGGCGGACAACAAAAAAAACAGTTTATTTATTGGCAGCGGAGAACGAAGAATAAATACAAATCTACAAGCATGAGGGCTACTGCGTCGTGAGCAGGCATCGCGTTCGTTACGACATCTTCTCCGGCCATACCTTCTTTCCATCCTGAACGCGGAACCGCCTTGAGTCTTCAATATCGCTTCAACATCCCTAACCCAATACCCGGGCCAACATGCCGCGAATCGTGGACTATTCTCCTCCATGGTTATCAAGACCCTCTCCGGGAGTTGACCTATTCTGCCCCTCGTCAACGGACAAGCCGTCCTCGTCGATTCGCAATGCGCAGAAAGCTATTGTTGACGCTGCACAGGAACCAAGACCAGTTCGAACACTCGCTCGCAGAGGCACGGAAATATTTACCGTCGTTGATAATCAGATCAGATGGGCAGATCTTGCAAGACTAAAGGATGAATGGAGGAAAGGCGTGAAGCAGAAGAGGGAAGAATCCAACCGTGGCAGACAAAACGAAGATACCAGCAACGTGGAGAATGGACAGAATGATAACTTGGAGCGAAATACGGCGAGGGAGGAATCAGATGGACGAGAAGATGCGGCAGATACGAAAGCTTCATATTACAGGGTAAGTCCCTAGCTTTCGTCTTTCGTCGAGTTATTCGCATTCTAATATCAGTCTATAGATCCTGACTACTCCAGTATATGGAAAAATCGAGCAACTGACCATATCCCCCAACGGAGCGTTCCTTGCCATTACAACAACCCACACTGTCCATATCGCCATGCTCCCGGATTCATCGCATCTGTCTGGCCCTGATTACTCCCCCATTCGTGTCAAGACATTCCAGCTAGGGCCTACTACCCACGTCATCCCAGAATCGCCAGTTGTGGCTGTCCTGTGGCATCCTCTGGGAATATGCGACAACTCAGGGGGATGTCTTGTTACTGTTACCTCCGATTCGGCTGTACGAGTATGGGAGATCGATCGCAAGAACCAATGGTCCTTTGATAGGCCAACTCTCGCAATTGATTTGAAGAAACTAGTTGATGGAACTTCAATGGATGAAGACTTTGCACCCCTCAGCTTCGGACAAAATAAGGGATTCTCAGCCGACTCATTTGAGATGGAAGTTGCTGCTGCCAGATTTGGCGGTCATGGATACGAAGAAGAAGATGCTTGGGCTGCCATGACGCTGTGGGTTGCTATGCGGACAGGCGATGTATACGCCCTTTGCCCTCTTTTGCCCTCAAAGTGGCAAGCATCGCCGGTTACCATTCCATCCTTGACTTCATCCATCGTCCGAGAGCTCGCGGTTGCCCAAGAGGAATCGCTTGAAACGGATGACGAGCTTAAAGCAATTCAGCAACAATATGAATGGCTCAAGGAAATTGACAACCAGGACGCTTATCCAGTGGCAGAGGAATCGATCTTTACCGAAATTCGAGTACGCCCGTCTAATCCAAGCCCTATCCCACGGCTCCAGGGACCTTTCTTGTTTGAATGTGACGATCTTGAGGATGACCTTGACATCACCGATGTCTTCGTCATTGCGGCTAGGGCTGACATTGATGACCTGATGGCTGGAGAAGACGAGCCTGAACTACTTAACGACAACGCTCAAAGCGGGTTATCAGGTACAATCATCTGCCTTGTAACCTCAACTGGAACTCTACACGTGTCCCTTGAAATGGATGGAGTCAAGGGGCAGTGGCTTCCAAGGACCTGCAAAAACACCTTTAGCACACCGATGTCTGAACCGTCTGAGCTACTATTATTGGAATCATTGGAAACTGTTCGTGTCAAGGACCGACAACCCAATATGTGGCCAATGTTCTCAGAAGATATTGGCTCTCGATATAACTTCTACGTGACCGCTGCCAGAAGTGTAGTCTTCTTCTCGCTATCATCGTGGGTTCATCGTGTAGAACCCGAGCTACGCTCCGAGGAAACAACAGGATCGGCGTTCCGTATCAATATCATATGTGATGGTGCAATTGCTGAACGTGAACAAATGCTTCAACTCCCACCGTCAGAGCTAGCTCCAAATAGCAAAGGGGAACATCTAGCTAGCTGTTTAGCTATATTTGATTACGACCTGGGCTACCTATTACTCTCTTTCACGCCGTCTCAGCCTTGCGCCGTTCTCCTTGATTCCCCCGAATACGAAGAATTTGCGGCATCCAGGGACTTAGCATCTTCAGACTCAGAGGCGGTAGATAGCCGCACCACCCTACCAGCACATACACGCCCGCCATACCAGGTCCCTTCCATCCTCTATTCTCCTTCCCCTCTCGTCTCCTTCGTCGCAGAGCACGTCCCACACGGCCATAGGCATACATTGAAAGATCCCGTCCGCCTATCGCCATCAACCCTAGAGCTCTTTACATCCGCCCACAGGATCCTAAGCACATACACACATTCATTGGAAGTTGCAGCCTCTGATCTTTTCCGCCGCTGTGAACGACTACAAGGCGAAATGCGCGGCCAGTTGACACAGTTGGCTGAAATTGGGGAGAGGATAAATGACGTCTCAAATGGCACGGTTAGGGGAACTGTGAGGAGACCACCTATGGATCGTGAACAGGCCTTGGATTCGAGGATGTCTGCTGCCCAGTCAAGACAAAAGGAGCTTGTTGAGCGATACAACAATATCAGACTGAAGATCATAAAGGCTGGAGGCAGACCGATAAGTGAAAAAGAGAAAGGATGGATGAGAGAGGTTAATACCTTATCAAAATCCGTTGGCGAAGATGATAAGTCAAATGGCGAATTAACGCAGAGACTTGAAACGGTACGCTATTGCACTGTGCATGGTGAAACATGGGCTCGTACTAACGAATCATATCATAGGCGACGTCTTTGGCTAAAGAATTACTATCTGAGATGAAAAATATCCCAGAAATAGCTGACTCTACACCTTCAACGCCTACACACCCAACGCAACCCAAGGTACCTCAACGGCTACAAAAGGCAAAGGTCGCAGATGCTATGAATATGGTTGACAGAGAGTGAGTAAACCTTACCCCTATTCGGAACCACGGTAGTTGTTAAATGTATTAACCACGGTTGTGATATAGGTCTGCCGTCATTGACGCAATCACGTCCAGACTTGAACGGCTATCAACCAGCTTCCCTGACCTTTAGTGCTTTGCCTGGCAGTATTTCCTTTCACTCAGATATGTAATGATTCGAACAATACCCGTACAAAGTGTATAACCAATGCTCTCATGTTTCGTTCCGTTTGCCAACCAGTCTAACTAGCTAGTGTTTATGTGCAAATGAAATTTTGGACGATTTACGGAGTACTATCCGGGGAAATCGGGTTGCCTTTTAAAGCCGTTATCGTCGTTACGTTGCTTCCCTTAGCTCAGTAGATGCAGCAATAGTATACATGTCGCGTACTTGTTCGTCTTTACTCTAAACTCTAGGGTCAAGTGAGAACATGGAGATTTTAGAAGTTGCTTGGCCCCTATTATTAAACGAGCGTGCTAGCAACAATATGAAAAGAACAGCCCAAAGGTGACACTATACTCCAAAAGTTGCCGATAGACAAGGAGGAGCCAAAAAAAGAAGAAAATGCATATTAAATAATCAAAGGTAGATCCAGCCTCCGCACCGTCTAACCGCGCCCTGATTGATCGTTTCCAACTCCAGTCAAAATCACCTATATAGTATCATCAAAGCCAAATGTCCCATTCACGCTGCAGATCGATACGTTCCTCGATGATACCCGCTAGCTCTGCAATAATGGACTGCCAGCTCGGCAGCGTGAGCGAATGTGCCTTTTCTTCCCAGACCCGCATCTCCCCCCTGAACCCATTCCACCATTCGATAAGCATGCGCCGAGTGTACATGGGCATATTAGCGTCGTCAATATAGGCGCCAAAGTAAGAATCAGCGTTGAGCCAAGTGCGATATGGCCCCCGGAGGTATCCCTCTCGAAACTTGTTGAACGAGGCGGTAAACTCCGCATACGCTGCTTCGTCGACCTTGAAGCTGATGACGCAGGCGGGGATTTTTGCCGACACAGATGTGAATTCGTTGCGGTTTGTGCTCCAGTTGAGTAACCTGTCGATTGAGTTGATGTGCTTCCTGATGCGCTGTAATGGTTTGAGAGGACAGAGGTAATAGTAGCGGTACCTATACCTCTGTTCAAGAAAGAGGAAACCTTTGAGCGCGGCGTCTGCTTTTTGGCGGACGATGTTGAATGTCTGGAGTACATCTTCAGGGACAGTAAGAGACAGCTCGCGTGGAAGAATGGTCTTTTGTCTGTCAAATATGACTGGGGGGGACCTAGTCCAGACGGGTGTAGGGTGATGTTTGTATGGATTTGGTCGTAAGGCAGCGACACTTGGGGTTGCCGGGGGCCGTGGATCAAGAGCCATGGTGGATAACGGTAGATGGAGGGTATGGGTAGACAGCGTATGAGCTGGATGGCTCGGGGTAGTTGATGAGGGAGACATGGGGGGATGGGGGTAAGGGGCCATTTTGGTGATGAAGTGAGTAAGGGGTGAAGGGAATAACAGGCGAAGGAATGAAGAGAGAGTAAGGATAGCTGATATCAAATTATAAACTGAGTGTCACTTAAATGAAAGCGTGGGCGTGTTCTAAAAGAGTGTGTTGTATAGGAAAGAACCAGCAAAACGTCATCTCACTCTCAGGTGAAATAGTGAAGGAGAGAGTAAGGCCTTATTCGAAGTCGACAAGGCTCAGCTTAGATCGAGTGACCAGCAGCAAGAAAAGGGCATAAACGAATTTATACAATCCGAGACGAAGGGAGGCCAAGGTAGTGATGACCTCGGATTCAGATGGCTGTCTTTCTGGCAACCAGATGACAAGAGTGAAGGACCTCTTAGAAGGTTCTTTCTTGAAATCCTTGCCATTTCCCATGCTGACAGGTATGTACAAGTATATAAAATGTACAGGGAGAGGATAGTGAAGAAAGAGATCAGACGGAGAGCACCAAGATCAAGGATATATAGACACAATATGGTCAGGAGAACGGGGATGGAAGAGAGAGGCGGGAAAATAGGAATAGGGGGTAGAGCTCTCGTTATTTATCTACGAGTATTCCATGTCTATGACGATTTTCAGGGAGAGGAAGTTTGGGTCCGGTTTCTGGTTCTACCAGTACCAGTTGATGTTTGTTTCATAGAACAATAAGATTCTGGATGACAGGAAGTATATATGTATTGGTATAATGTATCATGGCGAAGCAAAGAGGGCATAACTCCTTACATAACGCGCTGGGAGATCCAGATACCGGGAACCAAACTTTTGCGTCGAAGACGGATACTGTGTGTCTGTATACCGCCGAACAGGAAGAGATATTGAAGTTGATTATCCTTGTGTGGATAATCATGCATAGCTGAGAGTCTGGAGAGTAGAGAGAATTAAGAGAAATTAACTCCACATTTAATGCTTCATGCTATGGTAGGTAGTCTGTGGGTGTGATGACGGGGAATAGGTTGTATGAAGTGAGGGAACGGGTTGATGTAGCTTTTACAATCATAATACATAAAAGAACCGAGGACGTAATAAGAGGAATGCAAGTTATTGAACGCTAAACAGCCGTCAGCATAATCCATCATGTATGCACGACAGAACACTTACCGTTCGATCAAATGAACCCCCGAGGCCGTTTCCACTATATCACTTACCTCGCCGACCTTCAATGCGAAAGCGGCCTGCTCAAACTCCGCCTGCATCTCGTTCCGGCCAAAGAAGCCCCTATAAATCAACAGATCAGCATTCCACCTTTATACGATATCGTCCTTTTCAACTAACAGATCGCCTCCCTTCCTAGCACTGCTGCAATCCGACTCTGACATCGCGATATTGCCGAGTGAAACTTGGCCGGACTGGATACGCTTCTGGTGACCACGCAGTATCTCAATTGCCTCGCTCTTCGACCGTGTGATATCAGACTCTCGCCAGCTGCTCGGCCGTCTGCTGTCCCGGTGCTTGATGAGCAGGTGGCTCGCCCGGATCTTGCCCTCGGTCTGTCCCCCGGCCCCGAAGCGATCTGCTGCCGCCGGTCCGCTGTGGTTGGTTGCCATGTACACCTTCAGCTTCTCCGTGTCGGTGTTGGCCGGGGGTTCCCATCGTGATTCCTTCGAGATCGAGTTGAAGTAGTATGGAAGGTTCTTGGAGTTTGAATGTCGTACCTCCCAGCCGGAGGGGAGTCCTGTTTCAGCCTGCGATCCCTGTTAGCCGTCATCCTTATCCGCGCACAAGGACCACCCACCATGGCGTATATATCTATATTGTCCGTCCGTTTATCTGCTTGCTGTCGTTTGTTGTTTGACTCGTCTCGATGTCTCGTGGTGGAAACCAACAAAGAATGCGGGGGCGGGCGGGAGAACTGCTGAGTAAGCGCGTTTCTTCACTTTTCTTCATTCACTGCATTTTATACGCATTTATACAGCATCTACGCATTTATTTCTTCTTGACACACCACACTATCACAATATCACAGCTTTCTTACTATCGACCATGTCTGCATCTCCAGCTCCTCAGGGCAACGCTGTCCAACAGCAGGGAACCGACCAAATCCACTTTAAATTCTGTCGCGAGTGGTACGCATCCCCGAGTCCTATATCCTAACCGCGAAAGACTACAAGCTAACCTATGTCTCTATCTAGCTCTAACTTGCTCTATCCAAAGGAAGACCGCGCGACCAACTCCCTAGTTTTCGCCTGCCGGACCTGCCATGTCGCGGAGCCCGCTACATCATACTGCGTCTTCCAGAACAAACTACACAGCCAGGTCGGCGATACCGCAGGTGTAACGCAGGACGTTGGAAATGATCCGACGGTTGGTCTCCCATTTTGCCTCCTCTGCGGCGAGGAGATATGCTGTGACTTTTGCGGAGACCCGGCAGACCATATTGCCTTGGGAAAACCCTCGAAGCCCGCGCAAAGCAACTTATAAAGCTTGGGGAGAATATTTGGCTAACAAGAAGTGCAATTTATTTTAGCTTCCTCGCTCCAATAAACTGTGTCCAAGCTGCGGTGAGAACGAAGCTGTATTCTTCCAGTCGCAGCAGCGATCTGCCGAGACGGGAATGGTGAGATATACGAAGCCTCTGCTGTTGGTTCTGTTCGACTCCGTTCTGACAAAGCTCTATGATTTCAGAAATTATACTACGTTTGTTGCACGTGCGGAAAGGTGTTTGTTTGAAGTTCCTGCGATATAGACTGCGCTCTCCCTCTACTCCCTACGGATTCCGTTGAGTCGACCCTTGTCATATGATCACGGCAGTTCCAACCACACGCTCTACGGACGGCCCATACACATGCAATAACTACGAATGCTCGTTCCGAAATATTTTGTCCGTGGATATACCGCGTACCACCGTTATTGATAGGAGTTCTTGGGAGATTTGACATTTTCACTACGGGAAGGCGGCCCAGGCGTTTTTGATGATTTTTCTTAGAATTTAATGACACAATAATGATGCTATAAAGACGCCCTCAGAGATGTTGTATAATACAGATATTTAAAATCACAGATGCATCGGCGCCAAAGACAATATCTTCGACCATTTCTTATTTCGTAGTTCTGCTCCGACGATGCCTGTAATCATTCAATGTTAGCAGCCATACCAAACAGTCATATCCCGTCAGCATCCAACTAACCGGTGAGTCTTGATCCGATTGGGTCTCCGGATTTGTTTATCAAGACGCACGCATTGTCGTCGAACTTGATATAGCTTCCATCCGGCCGTCGGACCTCCTTCTTTGTCCTAACGATCACAGCATGGCGGACATCTCCTCGTTTCACTTTGTTGGCAATCGAGCTGCTGGAGTTGCTATCCGATCCGAAGCTACGCTGTTTCTGGACAACGACGACAATTCGGTCACCTTCAATTATAGAAACGAAACATCAGTAATGGCTCGTAGGTATAAGGCAGCGGTAGGACTCGACAAACCTATTGTCCCTGCCTTCCCTTTCCTAAGTACTTGGGCGCATTCCACGACGGCAGCACCGGAGTTGTCGATACAATTGAGGAGGGTCTGGCGGCCGGGAAGTAAGTAAAAATGAAGCTCATATAGCAGACATGCAACAGGCCTTACTTTTAGTTGTATCATCTTTGCTTCATGGCGCAACCGTCTGGCGTTCAGGTCGTTTTCTTCGTCGAGCTCGCGGTTTCTCGATCTTTTGATAGCGCTTTTCTCTTACCCGGACTTATAATACGCCGAGTGCCGGGCCTTCAAGTTCGCCGGCGGGAAGTGAAGACCATAGCCCTTTGACTATAGGTATAGTAGGTAGAATGAACCTGCTAGGGGCTTTTACTTGACGCTGCAGGTGTATCGGGAGAATATTTTGGGCGTATTAAGTATATTTTCTGGTAAAAGAGCGTCCTGATTGAATACAGTATATGTCCACGTGACCTCGACTTTTGGCCCCCTTGCGGCGTCTTGAGAAGAGAGAAACGAAGCGCTAGAAAGGCTGGCGTCGACATCGAGCGCGCAGTCCTCCTTGCAATTTGACGGAGGAGGATTTGTGCTCGCTGAACCAAAGGACACTGGTTTGCGGGAAACTCCTGGTTCAATGCTACTGGAAGCGCAACTGTCTGGAGGTCGCGTTTCGCCCCAGCCGCCGAGCAAGAGGCCTATATTTGAGTCTTGAGCATTGAGGAGGCGTTTTATGTCCCTCACCCTCGCGGCTTCAACACCATTATATCGTGGTGGTATATGATCCATACCGATGGCACGTACGCCTCCGGTTGAGAAGAGGGAGAGATTAACCCTCTCTCAGCTCGCGACGTATGATGATATCTTGACGGATACCCTCGTGGATCAAGTGAGTTCTCCCATGATATATGGCTGCATACTGCGCGCAAGGACCTATGCTAACCTCTTCACAATATAGGCCTACTTCTGGACAACAATCCGCAAGAATAGAGCCAAATATTTCCCTGTAAGGGGCATACTCGAGGAGAGCGTTACTTCTATCCTCCTACACGATGTAGTCGTTGCAAAAGACGCGTTAAAGGCTGAGAAGGCCTTCCTGGAACTTCCAGGTCTGAAGAAATTTGGCGATAAACTTCGTTCTGCGCGAGAGAAGGAATGGTTTCGACGACATCTTCGCAAATACATCTCCATCTACCTCCCTGATTGCCCGTTCGAGGTTACGACAACGAATAGGTATACTATCTTAACACATGAGGCTGCTGTGTCTGCTAGAAAGTTCATATCATCCGGACACCCGGTGAAATACCTGAGTGGTACCCTTGTTTCAATCACAAAAGAAGAGGAAACCGATCTAGACCTTACAAAACGTGATTTCAGTATTGTCATGTCAACCAGGAAGAAGACTGCCTCGTTGTTTTTGGGACCGGCAAGATTTGCGAATCACGACTGTAACGCTAACGCGAAGCTGGTCACAAGGGGGTTTGAAAGCATGGAGGTTGTCGCCACGCGGGATATTGAGGTCGGAGATGAAATAACCGTCTCATACGGCGATAACTACTTTGGCGATGACAACTGTGAATGTCTTTGCCATAGCTGTGAGTTGGCGCAGCGCAACGGCTGGTCAACGCCCACGCCCTCGCGTGTGAATAGCTGGGTTCGCAGCGCATCCGCATTTTCTGACGAGCTGGAGCCGTCATCTAGCCCCCCGAGCAATGGCAGCGAAAAACACGGCCTAGAGACAGATTCTGATGCCTCGGATGGTTTTCTGGGAAAGAGAAGGAAGGTGGAGCGTAAATCGTCAAATCTAAGGTTGCAGGAATCTGCAGATGAAACCGGTGACGCCGAGGCTGAATCGACTTCGTCAGTGCCGAATGGGTGCTCGCCCGCTGCTAACGAAGTGATACCTAATGACATCCAGTTACCTAGAGATGACAGCCGTGACAATGGATGCGACACATCAGATATCCCAGTTGGCGACGAGGAACTGTCAGCAGAAGGCCGGATTTCTAGGGACACTTCTATTGAAAATAGCAGCGGACAGTCCTCTGGATCCACTGCAGCAACATCTCATCCTGGCTCAGGTATCCAAACAACACCTGCTCCAGGAATAACAGATACCATCCCCAAGGACTTAGATATCGGCGAGAAACTGCCTCAGCTAAAAGACAAGCTCCCATTTCCACAGATTCTTATTGGAGATAGTGAAGAAAACGATTTGTCTGCGTTTTCTGAAGTAAATGAATCAGATGCTACGACAACGGCCCCTAAACCTAAACGACGATACAAAAAACGCAGCTTCCCAGTCCCAGTTGACGAGCCCCCTAAATTCCGGGTTCCAGGCGATTACACGAAGACTACAAAGTTGCTAGCACAACGCTACGATCGCTGGGTCGAATGCCAAACATGCAATGACTGGTTCGTGCAAGGGGAAGCATATTTCACTCGAAAGGAATGCCCGCGCTGTGAAAGACACTCTAAGCTGTACGGATATCGTTGGCCTAAAACTGACAAAGAGGGTCGACGTGATACGGAAGAACGAGTCATGGACCACCGTACTATTCACCGTTTTTTGACAAATGATGATGAGTCGCGTCTTCATCGTCGTGGTCGAGGACTTGGTGTTAGCACCTCGAGTCCTACTCCCGAAATATCTGAAACGAGAACGGAAACTGACGCAAGTGAAATTGGAGACGGAAGACGTGTTACTCGGTCATGTCGAAGGGTATCCCGGCGGCTAGAAGATACCTGTGTTTAGAACAAAGTTTATGGTGGATGTTTTCGCCATTGCGGCCTGAAACGAGCGCTGCTGAAATGAATAGCCGCGGGATACCACCGGGGTACAGCCCCATGCGTCTAGGGGATATTGCCATGTCTGCGATCGACCGAATGAAACATTTCTTAGACCTGCAGCAGCTCAGCAGAGAAATGAGCGAGCAGTACGAGCTCCCAGACAGCAGTAAACCAGTAAGCTGTGGTAGTCTGCATTATAATGTGTTATTTAATACGATATCAGACCTCCAGCATCATAACCAGGACCTTCATTGCGCCCTTATACCAAGGAAATGCACAAGGGTAAAGGCGATCGGTCGGGCTCTCCTCAGGCACAAGACGCATCGTTGGCACGTTGGTGGTTTATTAATACACCGGAAAAGAGTGACCGGTATAAGAGTTATACGCTTGTAGCACACCGTTCCCGTCCAGAAAAAGCTGCAAATAAGGATGACGAGCCATGAATATATCGAGCTGACGCTGACGCCTATACTCTCTGAAAGCATCATCCTTCTCGGGGAGGGTGAAGGGCCAAAAAGGGCCCTCGGGGTATCTCATAACCACTGGCACAAGGCTCCTGTTTTCCTTCTGTGCTTTTGTGAGTGCCATCTCCCGCCGATAGCGAAGCCGTCGAGCCGCAATGTGATCATTCCCGCTCCATATCTCGGGAGGTGTGTGGGCAAGCCGGCGAGCTGTCTGTGTTTCGGACTCCTTTACCGCGTGCATGGAGTCGCGAAAGTTACTCCACCAATTGGAGAATCCCATTCTATTGATAGATTGGTCTGTGGTTTCGAATAGTCGATCATGGGGTGAAATATGTTTTACAGGTATGCCTACTAGTTCATTTTGCGATCTTTTATATTGTTGTTGCTAGAAGTTTGCTTGATTCTATGTTTGCTTCTCTGGTGTAAATGCACGAATTGCATGCATTATGTTGCTTTCCCCGACGAATACCCAATATAAACACCCGCATGTTTCTACTTGTCTCACTTGTCATCCCTCGCTCGGTTCCTGACATACATCGCTTGAGCTTTGCTAACCCGGGAGTAGTAGGTTGTCCATAATTGCACTATTTATGCAGTTTTACCCCCCTGGTCGTTTTTGATTGCCTCCCTTTCTTCGGGATGATGCATATCAGGGGCAGTGAAGGGAAATAAGCGACATGCCTCATTCCCACCATGCATCTTTACAGGTTGATTAGGCCATTCTAAACCACGTCATCCTTAGTCTGAAGACCAAACACTCACGGTGCTCACCAAACCACCATCTCACTCCCAATATCAAGATCCTCTCCTCGATCTCCGACGGTGTCCTTGCGTGTTTGGCTGAGTACCGAGATCTGGAACCTCATGGTGAGGCCGCTCTTGAGATCTGTCTGTTCCCTGGAACTCATCCGTAAACTCTGGATGTCCTGTATATGGAATCATGGGTTAACTCAATGTCACCAAACGTGTTAAAACGCTCTATGAATGACCTTCACTCACCATGCCCCATCCTCCCCGGCTCTTGTGCTCGAGCAAATCTTTCATCCCGTCCGTACGGGGTGGAATGCGACTCTTCCTTCCTCGCCTGTGACAATCGTATCTTCGCATTCTCGACTTCTATCTTCATAAACTCAATGGCGACTAAGAGTAACATATTCAAGGCTGTGCTTTCATTGGTGCTACTCGACTGCCGTCTGCGGCCACGTCTATGGCTGCTCCCCTTGCGGTTGTGTGAATCGGCCAAACTAGACATTGATGATCCCATTTTCGTGGCGTTGAACAGTTGAGATTTTATCGCGGTTGCGTTAAGACAGGTAGATGGCATGGGTAGGCTGGTCTGGTTTTCATTTGATCATTCGTCCCTTGGAGACTTCCTTGCTTTTATTTAACATAGATTTGGCTGTGAGGGGAGGAGAAGGCGTTACGTGTACTTGCTTGCTAGATTAGTTGTTTGTTGTATATTGCGAGCTAGAAGAGCTTTTTGTATTCTGTAAGATATGTATATTAGACTCCTACTCAACGAAGACATGTTTATTGCCAGACTACAGCTTGTAGTGCGGTTGCTACTTGTATTTGTTTTATATTTGGTCTCTAGCTAAACGTCGTTTTAAAAAACTATCTAACGTAGAATATTTGATGTTAGCGATTCTTACGCTAGTACTCCCACGAAGTTCACAATGTTGGAAATGGGTTCAATCATTCGAAGCTTTCATTAGTATATATCTATTGCTTAGCTATGACCCAAAACTCCAAAAATAATTAGATGATTTGACTCATAACGCCGCCGATCAGGTAGTAACTATCATACAAAGTATTTTAACCAGCGCCAGTTGTTTGATGCCATATTAACAAATGGTGTATAATACAGGACAAGAATCAAACAAGTTTATATGTAAAAATGGTGCAAAAAAAATCGGAGATTGTCGCGTTAAATCAGTGCCTGGCCTCTAAACATCGCCTCACGGACACCCTTGACGACGTCCTTCCTATCCTTCTTATTAACGAGGACAATACCTCTACCTCTCCTGCCCATGCGACCTAGACGGCCGAGGCGGTGGATGAAGTCGATGGTTGAATGCGGAACGTCATATAGAATCACAGTTTTCACGGCCACAGTGTCGATTCCTCGAGATCCTAGATCAGTGATCACAAGTACTTTCGTGTTTGCTAATGACTTTGAGTTGGTATCAGGTTTCTTGGGTTCATCGGCCCGCAGGAAGGGGACTGCCTCTGAATCGAATTTCTTGCTCTTCATAAGCAATTTCTTGTCATCCTCTGAGAGCTGCAGTTTCGCCTGCGTGAATTCGTTCAGGATCTCGGCTTGTCGTTTTTCGGGTGTGTCGCGGGTTAAGGAAACAGCATCAATTCCCTTTGAGGAGAGAAAATCAGCTACCTCGTCGGCGGTTTCGCGCTCATTCACAAACACAATTATATGCCTCATCTCCGAGCTTCCGGTAATACGTGCAAAGGCATCGGCCTCGTCGCCGCTTCCCGCCTTGCCTAGTGACCATATAACGTCGGCGCATGCAAGGGATTTTTTCCCGTGGTAGGGTTCTTTGTCAACATCAACAACACCGAGTTGGACTCTTCGAGGAATGGCGTGAAGATTCGGAGTGACGAGTCTTCGAATGTTAGGATATAACTCGCGCAAACGGTTATCCAAATGTCGTGGGATAGTGGCGGAACAAAGAATCAGCTGCTTCAAAGATGATGCTGCTCTCTCTATTATGGAGTTGGTGATTGGAGCAAAGGATCTATCGAAAAGGGAGTCCGCCTCGTCTGCGATGATGTGGGTGACACGGCTTAAGATATATGGGTTGGATTCGGCAATCGAGCTAACAAGATGTGGAGTGCTGATAAGGACGTCTAATCCGGCCGGATTGAATAAACTATTCCGAATTCTGCGGGGCGTCTGAGATGAATTGATGAGAGCGGAGCGGAATTTGACGGTGTGGGATAGCTGTTTCACCAGCTGGCCCACTTGATTGACGAGTTCCGAGGTGGGAACGAGGATTATAACCTTTGGCTTTGCAACATCAGGGTGCGTATCTGGGGTGGTCAGCTCGGGAGACTCAAGCTCAAAGACGTTATTCCTTTCTCTCAAAGCCTTCTCCTCCGCTTGTTTCCTTGCCTTTTCGTCCGCCTCTATCTTATCTTGTTCCTTTTGAAAAGCCTCTCCATGCTTGAGAGCGTCTATAACCGGAACAAGGTACGCGAGAGTCTTTCCGGAGCCGGTTTCCGCCGCGAGTAGGAATTGGTCGTATTTCGGCGCGTGGTCATCCTGGGGAGCGGTAGCAGGAATTTTGTTGTTGTGGCCCAATAACGCCGGAATGGCCACACGCTGTATAGGGGTTGGGGTAATATCCTCCATGCCAGATAGGGCATTCTTATATACCGCCTCGCGAACAACATCGAGGAGAGGAAACTGGTCAAAGGATGTGATATCTGCAATCTTCTCTTTGATTGCCATGCGACGGTTATAAGGCACAGGTGTAAGGGCAATCTGCATTTTCAAAGGCTTGATCCATGAATCTTCATCTTTTTCCTTCTCCTGGGCTTGCTCCTTGAATCTGCCAGGCTTTGCTGCTCTTTTAAGCTCAGCGTCTGACCTGGGACGAGCGTTATCTCGCAGGCGCACACGGGTCTGATTAGTCGCACTCCAGGGCCCATTCTGGAAGCGGTCCGGCTTCTTAGATTTTGCATCAGGCAGTGCTGACTTGGAGACGTTCGGGGAGAGCCTCATTCGGGAGGCGGGCTTTCGGCGAGCGAAGGTTGACGCAGACCTGGCGAGCTGGCTCCATGGCTGCAGGGTCTCGGTGACGTGCGGGAGAGTTGCGCGTTTGATCTGGCAGTATAGGCACATAGACCTGGGCCCGAGAGGAACGCGCGACGACAGCATCTCGTCTTTCTCGCGGGGATATGTAAAACGCTGTCGAATCTTACCTTTTCATCCTGGTCGTCTTAAAGATATAAAATTTCTCCGAAAGGTTTCGCCGTTCCGTGTTAGTAAGCAGTTAGTAAGCGCGTTGTCATGGCAACAAATTGCCTATTGCGTTCTATTTGTCAACAGCTTATATCAACTCCTCTTCTACCCTCGAACCATCCACAACTTCTTCCCCTCCACGAAAACTATCTCTTCTTCGCACTGCAGATATTCCCTGCTCTTGCAGCTTTCTTTCTGTTCGATCATTCGTTAGCAACACCGCGCGCAGCGCTGCAGTCCAGTTCTACTCTATTTGTTGTCACTCGCGACTCGAAATCTATATTCTCATTCTTTGTGGAATTTCATCTCCATTGTCCGCGTCCACGGCGAGATTCCTTTGATTCTCGATCGCGGGAGATCATAACGAGGACTATTACACCGCAGGGTTGCAGCTAGCCCTTGCTTGATCCATTTTCTCAAGGTACGATCGCCAGATCGTCGAGATCGAAGAGGATCGCGACCTTGTGAATATCATGTATACTGACTGAATTCATGAAATAGATTCTATTTTAAAATATGGCCCCGAGTCAGCGCCCTCTATCTGAGCTTAGCCCAGTGGCTCACAAGCGCAACTCTCCCAGCTGGAAGGTACGCTGAAAAACTTAATCTGCTTTCCCCTGGCTATACTTGAACTTTGGCCTAATATAAGTAACAGGATCCGGCGAGCAATGAATCATCGCCATTTGAAAATTCACCAATAAATAATCCTACCTCTCCACGACGCTTCTGGCAAGGTCGTGACCCCGGGTCCCCATACAGGGTGGCCCATGAAAACACCGATCCATATGAAGGGTCCTCGATGACTTCGTCTCCGAGTAAACGATCCTCAATTGAGAATTTGATGCGCGCTTCTCGTGTTAAGAATAGCAGCATGTTTGCGAGAGAGCATAAGCAAGAATATGATCCCAGCCACATCCAAGTTTTGGAGAGGCCTCTAGCAGGTGGCAGACCTCTCAGCCGACAATTTCAAAACAGCCAAGAAGGAACGAACCAGGTTGATGCCCGTCGTCAGCTTCCATCACAAACTGGAGGATTTAGAAATAGCGGCGAGGGCATGGGGACGCCACCAGCTACATCCAAGACCGGAGATGACTCTAGCTCGCCAATAAAATCGCCTTCATCCCAATCCCCGGGTAAATCCTCCTTGTCTAGAGGGAGCCGGTTTGGAAGCCGATCAGCCATATTCGACCCACGACGCGAAATTTGGTCCGATGAAGGCGATGAGAGTAGAGTGAGTATGAATTCCGAAGGTTACAGCTATCACCGCCAGACGAAGAGTGTTACATTCGACGCCGCTCCCCCTCAAGTCAATGAATACGAAATGACGACACCAGTTCCTTCATCAATAGCTAGCTCACGCGAAGGGAGCTATGAAGATGCTAGTAATGAAGATAGCTTCGACCACGGTTATTCTATGGAGATTGAGGACAGCTTTGACGCGTCCCTTGAAGATACAGATAAAACGCCAGTGGTTCTTCCAGACGAATGGCGATACATGAGCCCCGCCAGTGCAAACGATGATGCAGCAGGCAGTGATGATGACCCATTTAGTGACGACTTTGGAAGCCCAGGGCCTGATATCAGACCGAGCTCCAGAGATTCTACCCCGTTCAAGAATCGAATCGAATCCTTGGATTCTAACGGAGAGCGTCGACCACTTCCACCTCTCCCTCCATCCCAAGCGACTCCTCAGGCGTCCCGCAGCTCACCCAGCCCCGGTTTAACCGCAGCCTTTGAGCGTGGGAGCAGTGCTCAGCGTGACATGCCACAGCCTCTCAGACCCGCTTCATATTCGAAAGCCGAGATTAGTGGCACAGGTCGCAACTCTCTGTCGCTTGAAGATCGCTTGAAATTGATGATGGCAGGCGACCATAGCCATCAATCTGATGCTGAAACCCAGCGTGAGAGACGAATGAGACGCGCTGGAGCAAAGGAACGAAGTGTTGAACGCGAATTGGAACGCAGCCATCTCTCAGAAGACCATGATGAGTCCACTGCCATTGAGTCACCACGGATTTCACGTGAGTCGATTTTGAAAAACATGAAAAACGACCAGGATGCTTCTAACGAGCAGCCTGACTTCGGTGATGTGTCACACAACTCTGGGACGTACAATGCATTGACCTTCGACCCGGATGTCCCAATCCCTTCTCTTGAGACTGACCAGCCCATCGAAGATGAAACAGTCATCATTAAAGACGAGGAAGATGAAGAGGATATTGATCTTTATTCTGTCCCTAGCTTCACTGCGGACGATACCAATGAGGAGACCGATCACGCTGAGTCTCAACACCTCATCGCAGATGATTCTAGCAGCCGCTATTCTTACACTTCCAAGGATGATGTGCAAACACCTCCAGAGGCTTCGCGTAGCTTTGAGATGGAATCTTCCGAGCTAACTCCAACCAAGACAGCCCATTCCCCTCGTTATTCGGAACATGATTTACTTGCATCCACCCTTTCGGGCACTAATGGAGATCACCAATTCGATATGCAGTTCATGTCCTATATTGATCAGTCCACACCTCCTGCTGAAGAGCAACCTGGCCAAACTTCCCGCCTTGACTTTACATCCATCCGCGAGTCTCTCAACCGTCCAGGTACCCCTGATTCCGTTATCCGTCATCCAGTCTCGCCAGAGGAGTCGCCCGACAGGTCGCTTATTGTCCCTGAACCAATTGCCACTATCAAAGCGCCTGGAGGTACTTATAAGACACGAACCTCATTGACCCCAGCTGATGCGAGCACCATGGCAGCAACTCGCCGTAGGGTTAGCGGCCACGATGTTCCAGTTTCGCCAATTGAGGAATTCACGCCACGTCTACCCCAGCTCGACAAGTCTCTCCATGAGGAGACTGGTGAAGCGGACGCTTCTGCGGAAACCAAGACCACGGAAACACTGCCATCATTAGAAAAGATGCGAATCAGCTCACTTGTCAAGCTTGACATCCCTATGGATTCAGGCAATGATGGTTTTGGTCTAGATGCCGAATTCGATCGCGTTATGGAGGCTCAAAAGGTAGCATTTGATATTCCTTTCTCTCAAGTCTCAACATACCCAGTATCGAAAACAGACAACCAGACACAAGACACTTTGCGTTATTCCACATATGAACATACAGCTGACACAACTATAAATAAACAGAGAGGCTACCTAATGAGGCAAAACACGAAAGTGGTAGTTGCCAGCAGCCACCCAGATGACGAGTCGACCAGCGGCAATACCCAATCCCTAACCGCGCCAAACTCTCCTAGAAAAGGTAGCCAGCAGACATGGACGACTGAGCCATGGACCACCAAATCGAGGCGCCAAAGCATTAAAATTGCAGGAGCCATGCCTCGAAAGAAGATTGCGAATGAATCCGTTCCTCCCTTGCCAGGACAAGAGAGTAGTATCAAGGAAGCACCGAACGCGGCCGTGGAAGCTGAAGCTGAAACTGCAGATGCCGTAGATACCGCTGATACCACTGAAGGAGAAGGTGACCGCGGAAGATTGTTCGTCAAAGTGGTGGGCGCGAAGGACTTGGATCTTCCCCTCCCTAGAGGTAAGCGTTCTGACACATGTTATCCAGTACACAGCAATACTAATGTGTCCGTTTTAGGTGAACGATCCTATTTCTCGCTCACACTTGACAACGGGTTGCATTGTGTTACAACAGCGTGCCTGGAATTAGGCAAAGCAGCCCCTATTGGACAAGAGTTCGAACTAGTCGTGATGCAAGAGCTTGAGTTTCAATTAACTCTGCAAATGAAACCGGACCAAATCAAGCCCAAGCCGCAGCCGGTTCGGCCCGCTTCTCCAGCTAAAGCAACTAAACCACAGAAAGCCTCTACCTTTAGCCGCGTTTTTGCCTCTCCTAAGAAACGCCGAGAGATGGAACTTCGTCAACAACAAGAGGCACAACAACTACAGAAAAGACAAGCCGAAGAAAAGGCTCTGGCCAATATTGTCGATCCGTGGGAGAAAATTCGCAAGGTTGTTGACAAAGACGGAAGCTTTGCACGTGCTTATGTCTCGCTCGCCGATTTTGAAGAGCAGGCATTTGGTCGCCCGCTCACCGTTGATGTAACATGCTTCAACGAATGGGCAGTCGATGAAACTGTGAGCAGTGTGAAGAGCAAACGTAGCACCGGAGCTACTGCTGGTTCAGGAACTCCACGTCGACCACCTTACAAAATTGGCACCCTAGAGCTTCAATTGTTGTATGTTCCAAAGCCCAAAGGCGCAACTGACGATGATATGCCCAAGAGCATGAACGCCTGTATCCGAGAAATGAGAGAAGCCGATCATACAGCTTCAAGATCCTGGGAAGGATTCTTGTCCCAGCAAGGAGGCGATTGTCCTGTAAGTTATCTGTCCTACGTTTTCCAGATGTTGATTGATTCCCAAATGCTAACGTATCACGTAGTACTGGCGTCGTCGTCTATTCAAACTGCAAGGATCTAAATTGACTGCATTCCATGAGGTTACTCGTCAACCTCGCGCCACCATCAACTTGGCAAAGGCTATGAAGCTGATTGACGACAAGTCCTCCCTTACTCAGAAAGAGACCTCCGCAAAGGGTGGCCGAAGACGCAAATCTGCCTTTGCTGAGGAAGAGGAAGGATACATGTTTGTTGAAGAAGGCTTCAGAATTCGCTTCGGTAACGGAGAGGTCATTGACTTTTACGCCGACAGCAGAGTCGAAAAAGACGGCTGGATGAAAGTTCTCGCCGAGACCGTTGGAAAGGGTTATGCCTCTGGAAGCGGCCAAGTTAAGCCTTGGACTGAACTCATTCTCCGCCGCGAGAAGAATCTCAACGCCAACAAGCCATCACACGAGGATAAAATGACCTCTAGGCATTCATATGCGCCTCCGCCTCCGCCAAAGGAGCAACATATAGCTCAGGCTGCTCGACCAACTCCCTCAGGCGTTCCACGCCCTAGACATCAACATCAACTATCACAGCCCAACATTAGTGCGCAAGAGGCTCGACGCCAAAAGACTCGATCACTTATCTTCTAAAAGGCCCTTTTCTTTTTACTTCATGGGACTGTAGCATAGCACTATCTCTGGCAGGCAACCTGTGCTTTTTCTTCTTGTATTCACATCACAGCCTTTCCTATTTCCTGGATACTTTTTCCAAATGTCCCTCCCTTTTTAACTTTTCTTCTTTTCCTATGTTGATTGATTCCGTTCTATTCTCTTGACTTGTTTTGCATTTTATTTTTGTTCCTTTTTTTTTCTTTCGGGGGAAGGTAGCCATGACACGCTTAATGAATATACGCTGGTGTGATGATTGGTTGATGGTTGAGTTATGTGTCTAACTGAAGAATTTAATTGTTTTTTCCTACTATCCTTCTCGTTTCTGCTAAATTTCTACTTCTATTTCTAGTACTGTTTGTACCTACGTGTTTTAAAATAAAGATTGTTGTTGACTTTGTAAAATCCCTCGTAAAATTGATAGCTCTTTCAAATTAGTCTATAGTCGATGTTACCACTAGAACTTATGCCTCTCTCTCTATATATATACGTGGTTAGGATTGGATTTCGGTGTCCCCAGCCTAAGTAATAACTCTCAGCAATAGAAGCGTTACGGGTGTGCGGAATGACGCTAACAATAATCGTACATCTCTCATCTATGTACATATATTTTTTGTTTGCAAGTGTCCTTGGCTATGAGAGAATGATGACATGGCCTTTACATCCATCCTCTGTTTTTTTATTTTTACCACGTTTGCTAATAGGAGGAAGCGTATGGCGCTGGATACCTAACCCCCATCCTCGCCATTGTTCACAAGCTCCGACTCCGACTCAGATTCCACCTCGGCCAAAAGCTTGCTTTCCGCCTTCCTTGCCTCCTCCTCTTGGGCGGCTGTGGGCTCTGTCGTGGAGGCAGCGGTGGCAGCGAGGCCCCCAGAAGTAACATACAGAAAAGTATTTTCTCTATAGCTGTCGATGTGGTTGAAGAAGTTTCCAAAGCTGTAGGGAACAGTGTCAGCATTATTAATAAATTAAAACTAAGCTGATAGGGGAAACATTGGCTGAACTTACGCATGCTTTTCTCCCTCTTCCGTAAAGATACGTTGATAGATCTCTTTGAGCTTGAAGTCATCCATTTCTTTCTCGTATTTTGAGAAATCAATGGGTTCCCTGCCCAAATCTGCAGCTTTCTTGTTATACCCGTCGAAGATAGGCCGTTCAAGAAGGAGGCCGAGACCCGGTGCTTTGGGGATAGGTATTCTAGGACGCTTATAGCTTTCTTCTATCCTATGAATATCAGCACCGCATCGAACGAGCAAGGCAACCATGGCGACCATCTTTCTGATCTGATGCATCATGAAGCTCTGCCCGTGGACTTTCAAGCTCAGCCATTCGGTGCCGTTGATGACGACCGGGTCCCTGGAGATTTTGAAAGACTTTATTAGCCGTTTGGCAGAAGGGTCGCGGAAGGTCTTTTGGATAGTGTAATTGTGGAAATTCTTTGTGCCGACATATAGGTTTAATGCTTCGTTGATGCGATTAATGCGTTCTGGAGGTATTCGGTACTCGTTCTTGACTTTGAAGTAGGCTGCACGAATATCCTTAACTGCTATGTTAACCTGAGCTTGTTCGTCAGGCGTAAGCTCCGACTTTTCTGGCACAACGTCTTCTGCATTTCCGGTCTTTTCTTTTTCACCTTCGCCTTCGGTCTTGCTGGAAGCCGCCTTATCGTCCCCAGCAACTGGCGCGGGCTCACCACCCACAGCACCGATGGCGGCCTGAACATACGGCCTGATCTTCTCGGGCAGGGAATCGATGATGGGCTGAATATGCTTCCTATCCGTCTCTTCCCAGTAGTTCTCAACCTCGGCCTGCCTCTGCTTGAATCCTTCCATGTCGTCATATTTCTCAGCCATCTCCACCATCTTTTGAGCCATGAATGTACTCGGGTGGGGTGGTATGAAGCAATGCGTAGGTATCAGATATTCGTACATTCGCGAGTCGCAGAACTGGTAGGCGCTGAAACCTTTGGTGGAAGGGAAGATACCCCACACCCTTATCTGCGGGTTTAGCTTGTCATTGATCTTCTGTACAATGTCTGGGTCTTCGACGATGAGTTTGAGAGAAACCACATTTCCCGCGGCGTGGACACCTTTATCTGTTCGTGCGCAACGGACGAGGGAAGACTTCTTCGGGTCCATGGCATTGGCCTTTGAGATTGCGCCTGCAGCAACAAAGGCGGCAAAGAGGTCGCCTTCAATGGTTTCTTCGGTGGCGCATCTATGTAATTGACGCTCTGTTAGCTTCAGGTAACTTTTTTTCTTCGTCGTAATCGAAGACAGGTATCCCCTACAGCTGCATTCCATGGTATCCGGTGCCAGAATAACCCAGCATGACGATGACCTTCTTCTTCGGCCGGCGTACATCGGCGTCGATATCCTCCTGGGAGAATTGAGTAGCGTAAATCGGCATCGGGCTTTCGCCTTCTTCTATCTTCCTACGCTTCGACTCCTGCTGGTCATTCGCCGCTCGCCTATCTATGTGTTTATTTCTGAATTAGTTAGTTGGTCGTTTTGTCTACCCGCGAAAATGGAAAATCGACGGCACCAGCTAGACAATATCACCTACCTATACGCTTTCCTTCCCATATCTTTGTGTTTATTGCGGCCACCTCTGCCAGCTGAGCTGCCGTCCATCTTCCCTTCGTTGGAGCCGGACTGCTCTGTGACAGTCTCCTGAGCTGCAAGAGGGTCGGCTTTGGCTGTACTCTCAGCCGGATTGGGATTCTGAACAGCTGGATCCATGCTGGGCGAATCGAGCTTGCGGCTCTCATTGATCAATTCAGCGTTAGCAGCAAGTTCTTATGCCACTTTACTTGCCTTCATTTTGAATATTTCGGATCTTCCCATTTATACCCGCTTAGTCATATAAATTACTAAGCAGGGTCATGTGACATCTTGGCACTTTTCCTTTCTAAGAGCAAAAAGCAGCATCTCACCATGATATAGAGATAAAAAAACAAGGAGAGGAGGTAAAAAAGAAGAGAAGAGGAATACTGTAAGGGCCGACCCAGAATCGAACTGGGCACCTTGCGATCTGCAATCGCCTGCGATAACCACTACGCCACCGGCCCGGGTAGATACTGGCTGGTCTGGTTATGAATTGTTGTTTGATGAAAGCGAGCGTCGAGTAGAAATACAACAAACACGACAATAGGCGATGGTGACGGTGTTACGAAGAAATAAAAAAATAAAAAGTAAAAGGGCTGACCCGGAATTGAACCGGGGACCTTGGGATAATTATACAGCCTCGAAAGAGGCCATATATCGCTGCAATCCCCTGCGCTAACCGCTGCGCCACCAGCCCGTTTTGCTGTTCTCACCTCTGGCTCTTTGCTTTTCATGCTACTTTGCGTCACTGCTTACTCAGAAATCTTACTAAGCACAGCATCGACTTCGCGGCTCAAAAAAGAAGAAAGACATCTCACCTCAGGCAACTATCGCCATCGCCATCTTCGACGGAGACGGGTTGTTCTGTCAGCGATCAGAGGGCAGCTCTAGGGTGGTATTACATCTCTCTGGCGTGCTCTCACATCCCGCTCACCCGCTCACTACCAGCGTCACTGCTGCAAGGAGGGGATTCGGCCTGGCGCAATGAGATAGACATCTCCCCTCACAGCAACAGGACTCTCACGCATTCCTAGTCTGCGGCCTTGGTCTTGAAGGAGGCCAGCTGAAGGAAATCCAGCATGGATCTCGCAGGCACGCTCATCCGGATGGCTGCGCGGGCGTTCTACGAGACCCGTCACATCCTCGTCATCGATGCTCTCTTCATACACTCAGTGTATGCTATTACCACTACTGCTCCTTGCTTGAGCCTTGAATTCTGAGAGTGGCCTGGCTAACATCTCTTTATTCTACAGCCTGAATGCCGAGGACCTGGCTCTTCTTTTGGGGATGCAGCAAAAGGACGTTAGGAAGCTCTGTGGCCGGCTGCGCGAGGATCGGTTGATTGCTGTGTATGCTATGACCCTTAGAAGTGATGCTGCTTTCTAGGGATGCTCTTTTCTAGCCATGGGGCTGACGTGGACTTGTTATTGACCAGACACCATCGCACCGAGATGCGGGAGGGCCAAACTCGCCCGCGCGAATATTACTATGTCCCGCTCTACCCCGTTATCGACGCCATCAAGTACCGCGTATCTCGTCTCACGTCCTCCATCAAAGCGCAATATACGCCGAACCAGGAAAGAAAGGAGTATATCTGCCAACGATGCGGAGCCGAGTGGACGCAGCTGGAGGTTTTGAGTAGTGTAGGGCCAGAGGGATTCGAGTGCCTACGCTGCAACACTAAACTGTCGACGGTTGACGAGGTTGAAGGAGCTGGTGCTGACCGCACTGGTCACGAGAAAAACAGCAAGCTCATGGCACAGCTAGACTCCATCCTTAAGCTTCTGATACAGATAGACTCAACCGATATACCGCCTAACGATTTCGATAATGCTTGGGAGCACAAGGTGGACGTTATACGGAACCAGCATACAAACCCGACCCGTGTTGCTGTTGCGGTTAACAAGAAGGGATCATCGGTGGTCAAGGGTGTCAACAAGACGGATGCTTCTGCGCTGGAAGTGAACCTGTCCTCCTCCGCCGAGAGAAACGCAGAAGAGCAAGCTCAAAAGGCGGCACGAAAGGCAGCAACGGAGAAACAAAACGCCCTTCCAGTCTGGCATACTCACTCCACCGTATCTACCGAAGCCACGAATTTACCTACCGTCAAAACAGAGCCAAACGGGACAGCGACAGACGCAGGTGCAGCTACAGCCACGGAAGAAGATACCAAGGTCGGCATCAAGGACGAAGAGGAAGAGAAGAAGGACCAGCAGGAAAACATGGACGATACTATCGCTACGTACTATGCTGAGATGGCACGCGAGAAGGAACTTGAGGCCGCGGAGTCTTCTGATGACGACGACGATGATGACGAAGAGTTTGAGGACGTTAGTGTTACCCCGGACGGGGCCAGTAGTGGACAGCCAGGCTCTGTCGGTCTAGCTGTGGGTACGCCCACGGTTAATGGCAATGGCAATGGACATGGACATGGCAGCAGTCTGAAGCGAGAGTTGGACTCGGAGTCTGGCACCAGCGGACCCAACACTAATGCGGGGACGCCTATTACTCCAGCGGACGATGAGGGCCCGGCGGCTAAGAAGGTTAAAGTAGAGGCCGAGCCGGCGATCAAAAAGGAGGAAGACGCAGGGTCTGATGAGGACGAAGAGGAAGAGTTTGAAGATGTATAGGCCCGTACTTCCTGACCACGTCTCGGCTGTGTATTTGCCGGAAGCAACTGATAATCAGATCAGCTTGTTCTTTTCTTCTTTCTTCTTTCTCTTCTTCTTATCTTCTTTTTATCTCGTTTCTTCTTATCTCGTTTCATACTCCGTACTGGCGCACTGGCTGAGCCTTAACGTTGATCTTCGTCCATTCCACATGTACCAATACTTAAGATGAAAGATAATAGTAGCTGTATTATTGCGCACGAATTGAAGCCTCTGATCCCTTCGTATAAACACGTTGTCTCAGGGATGTGACCTATCCTTGGTATCATCCCCTGCGTCTCGCGTCCTGCATCATGCACCCATCGCTGATCACTATACATACTACCAGGCGCGAAACGACCAGGCAAAGGCTGGAGAACGAGGCGTAGCTCGCACCACATAGAAATGGCCTATACAATGCTGTGCGCCCGCGAATTCAACGCACATATTAATCACCATCCAACTCTACCAGCTGGCACAGCCAGACTATCCGATTCGATGGCTCGGGGCGACGGATGTACATACGGAGTACACCGCATATCAGCCCATCTCAGCCGTCAGATCAACAGCAAAAAGTCTCCTCGACCACGGCCCGGAGCAGCTCCAACTTCCCGGCGTCAAGCTAGACGGCATATCAGGGCGCTTCCGCATGCCTGGCCTGCCCCGGCTTGGTAGCAAGTTAGAAGCCTAGCGGAGGCAAAAAAGAAAGGGACAAATCGGCTGGCTTTTTGAGCTAGACTGCTAGTCACCCTTGTCCTTGTCCCTGTCCCTTTCGACGGAAATTTATATTTATATCAAGGACCGCTTCGTCACCCTTTCTCACTCCGTCTTGCTGTCTGGTTATCATATACATACGCTCCTCTCTCGCTCGGTGGGAGTCTCTCTGCGTGGTGTCTTTGGCCGGGCATGTTTCTGTCCAGGCATGCCTTGAAGCCACCCGCCACGCGTCTCCCTGCTTAATTACAAGATCAGACCTCCGTTACTGCGCAGACCGTCCAAAATGTCCAACATGTTTTCATCTACGGGGGGAGTGTGGCCTCGGATGTCTAGGCCGAATTTTATATTCGTGCACTGTACGTTTGCTCGTTGACCTGCGATGCGACTATGTGCTGTGCGATGGCTTACCGGTTACTCCTTGCGTGCGACTATCAGATGTCTATATCATTGCTCTCTGCATCATCGGCATGATTATGATATATCCTCAGCGAAATATGAGTGCGATCGATGCATTATTCCAGTCTGTGGCAGCCGCTACCATGACCGGCCTGAATACGTACGTCATAAATCCTCCGACTTTTTGTTCTAGAAGTCATTTAGATGATTCCGTCGGCTTTGCTCATTATTTTGTTTTTCCGCTGTGCCGTGTCATTTGAACTTGTGAAAGTGGCGATGATATTGGCGTCCAAGTCTATCAACTAACTACTTGGATTGTAGGATCGATTTCAAGGATATATCGACCTACCAACAGCTGGTGCTCTATTTCAGCCCTCTGCTTGCAAACATATGTTTTATCAACTTTGTCGTCGTCCTAGTGCGATTATACTGGTTCGAGTCTAAATTCAAAGAAATCGGTACGGGAAACATCCAGAGAGCCGTCGTCTTTATTTGATTTATCTCTTCTTGTACCTGCACCCATAACTTTCGTATGGAAAGGTTAACTGGCTGGTTCTGAAGTGCGATTTTCTCGTCTGCCATCTACTGAACGAATGCATCATGTTGAAAGTGGTTCGAGAAGTGGCAAGGCCATTGCATCATCTACTGACCCTGAGATCTCCGCCGTGAGCTCGGAGCAGAATGAAATTAACAACACAGAAGGGCTAAAGCAAAGACCTACCTATGCGCCCAACAATGATGGACAAGAAGATCATAAATGCACCGTTGCTGAGAAACAGTTGCCAGCTACCGGGCCGGGGCATATAACATTTTCAACTGATACATTCAAACCGCGGGAGAAGGCACTTAGGATCCCGGGTCCGAGGGAGTTTGAAGCCGGGCATAGGGCACATGAAGTCGAGGATGAAGTTGAGGGTAAATTCTCCATTGATGCGCTGACCAGGTAAACATGCTAATAATATCTAGGCGATGAGCTCACGAAAGCTACCTCCATCGATCCATCTCTCGCCGGTGCCTCTAGCTTGCGCGACAGAGGGAAGCTAGATAGAATACTATCCCACGCGACCACCGTGGAGCAAGCTGCATCCTCAGCATTTGTACTAGGGAGTGCATCGCGTCCTAGATCCCGCTCTCGCTCTATCTCTCGCTCCCTACGTCCGCTTAGCAGATCTGCCTCAAAGGCGTCCCAAGCGCCATATCTATCATATACTCCTACGATAGGCAGGAATTCGCAATTCTTGAACTTGACTGAGGAGCAAAGGATAGAACTGGGCGGTATTGAGTATCGAAGCCTGAAACTACTCGCTAAGATTGTCGGTGCCTACTATTTTGGCTTCCTGTTGATTGGATCTATATGTCTCATTATTTGGATCTATGTTTCGAATCCAATTTACATGCAGGTCCTTACGAAGAGTGGCATAAATCCGACCTGGTGGTAAGTTTGAGCTCTTCACACAACGCTATCTTCCAGACTGACTCCTCTAAGGGCATTCTACTCCTCCATGACAGCATACAACAACCTCGGATTCGCCCTTACCCCCGACTCGATGATCGGCTTCCGCACCAGCACACTCCCTATGCTCTTGCTGGCCTTCCTGATCCTCGTCGGAAATACTGCCTACCCTTGCATGCTCCGCTTAATTATCTGGTGCATGTTCCGCCTCTCTCCCAAAACCTCGGCGATCCGCGAACCACTTAACTTCCTCCTCGATCATCCTAGACGATGCTACACGCTTTTGTTCCCAAGTAGACCAACATGGATGCTTCTAGGCACGCTGGTACTGCTGAACGGTCTGGATGTTATGCTCTTCATGATTTTGGATCTGCATAATCCGGAGGTCACGGCGGTAGGTACAGTCTGGCATCGATTCTGCGCTGCGTTTCTCCAATCTACGGCTTCGAGGACGGCAGGGGTTACGACTTTTGCTCTATCGAAGATTCATCCCGCCGTGCAATTTAGTTTGATGGGTGGGTTATTCTTGCTTTATGGTGAATCGTTCTAGCTGACAGTGCCTTTAGTGATGATGTATATCTCTGTCTTCCCGGTTGCTATCAGTATGCGAAGGTGAGGCTGGTCCGAGGCTGCTTATCTCGCGAACCTGAACTAACATGCCACATCTAGGACGAATACGTACGAAGAGTCGTCGTTGGGTCTATACGAGTCGGAAGAAGAAGTTGACGAGAACACCACCTCCTCGTCATACATAGGTCAACACGTTAAGAAGCAACTGGCCTTTGACTTGTGGTATGTCTTCCTAGGCGTATTCCTCACAACCATAGCGGAGGGAGGTAAGATCGCAGACCCCAACGATCCTGTAAGTTATCCGACATTATTCATCACCAACATATACATTGTGAATGCTAATTCTCCCTCTCAGGCGTTCCAAGTATTTGCAATCTTCTTCGAGGTCGTCTCCGCTTAGTAGGTCACTGATGATCCCTCTGTCAATGGAGCTCTGCTAACGGTCACTAGTGGCAACGTCGGCCTCAGCCTCGGCCACCCAACGATCAATGCTGGATTGTCCGGTAAATTCAATACGGTCAGCAAGCTGGTGATGTGTGCCATGATGGTCCGCGGTCGACACCGAGGTCTACCCTATGAACTCGATCGAGCAGTACGTGTTCTTCTCTTCGTTTCGTCTTGGGTACCGGCTAACCTCCTCGCAGATCGTCCTACCGGGAGAAAGACGCCGGAGAGAAGAGCAGGCTCGATCAGAGAGTGTCGCCGTGGCTGGTATCTAGATGAACGTTGTATAACTCGTTGATAACTCATTGATAACTTATTGGATAACTTATAGACTAGAGTATGGTGTAGGCCTAGTTTGATCACAAGAATGACATGCATTCATCTACCTTCTCTTATCCTCTATTGTTTATTGTATATTGTATATTGTCTTCACTCTTTATTCTGGTCTGCTCTGCTTACTAAGCCGTATTGTTTGTTGATACCGTATTTTTGGCCGTTGTGTGTCATTACGTCAGCCCTTGACAGCAAATAGACCAATGTAAATGCAGAATTAACAGAGCTTCTCTGAAATTGGCCAATCAGACCGCGCAAAAAAAGCGGCGGTTGGACACCATGGTACAAGCGGTACCGGTATTTTATGGCCGATGGAGTCATCGCGAAAGAGGAACAAGAAAGAGAAGAAGAAGAAGAAGAGAAAGAAAAAGACAAGATAGACGGGGCATGGCGTTTGTTCATGAGGATACTCTCTGCTGCTACACCTGCATCTACGTGAAGTAGCGAATCAGTGTAAGTGCCAGCCTGGTGTCCGTCTGCAGGGCGTTACTAGCATACTCCAGCTCCAGCTGCTGGTTGCTGCTGCCTGTCACCCTACGCTCACTTCACCTCAACCTCCCCCATACAATCAACCACCGCCAGCACAGCACACCAGCCACCGGATAGCTGTCTGCGACCGAGATACCAGATCTCAGCTCTTCTCTGCCTGCATCTACTGACAGCTTTCGTTCTCCAGAATACCCGGTCCGTCCTCATTGTGCTGCTGGTTCACCTCTCTCCGTCTATCCTTGCGGCTCTGAGGCCAAAAGCTAAAGCTACCCAGCCCTCCGCATTCCTACCTTCACCTCGCCAACAACCTCACTCCCAGTCTCCTGCCGCTATAGAATACGCCCATAAAGCCCCAAGGCAACCCATCCATACCGCCGTCAAACTGGAAAATGTCATGGGCCCTACCCCGCTAGAGCACTCTAGCAATATCACCTCCACCACGAGCACGAGCACCGGCACCGGCACTGGCACTGGCACCTGCGCCAGCCCGCAGCCACAATCGATCGACGCAAACAATCCGGTCGTCCACCGTCCGGCAGGGATACGCATTCCGGACTCTCCCTCTCTTCTGTCTCCCGCT